CTGCTCGGCTGGCGCGCTGACCGGAGCGCTGTGCTCGAGGCATCCGAGGGAGGAGTGCGAGCGCGCAAGCGAGGCGGGCGCCGCGAGCGACTGCTCCGGCTCGACCCGCTGAATTGACGCTGCCGATGCCGGTCGAGGGATGCTGTAGGTGATCTGAACCGGCGGCTGGAGCTGCGTTGCGTGGGCGGGAGGCGACATCGCGGCCGGCGTGAGCGACCTGAACGAGGTGACCGAGGGCGTCGGGGAGAACGCGGCGACCGTGACGGGAGCCTGTACGGTCTGCGCCTTCTGAGCCGACGACGTGCGCGAGACGACCGTGGGGGCAGGCGAGTCACCGCGCGACGAGGCGACCGACGGCGTGACCTGGCGAGGAGCGGGAGCGGGCTGGGCAGAAGTCGCAGCGGCGACGCTCCGGGCTTTGCTCGACCTCGGTGGCGTCTGCGAGTCGCTGCCGGACGAGCCCGACGTCTGCTGCTGGCTGCTGCTTCCGCCCTTGGTCCTCTTCCTCCCGGGCGCCTGTCCCGCCTTGCGCACAAAGTCGCCATTGACGAACTGGTCCTCCGTGCCGGGCTTGATAGCCCATAAGCACCCCTTACCGGGGTTGTCAGGCCCGCGCGCAGTCTTGATGAAGCACGGGTTGAGCGACAAGTTGTGCCGGATGGAGTTCTGCCACCCCGCATCGCCCTTCTTGAAGAAAGGGTACGTCTGCATGATCCAGACGTAGATATCGGCGAGCGCCATGCGCAGGTCGGGCGTCGAGAAGAGCGCTTGGCCGATCAGGGCGGCGTACGAGAACGGCGGCTTCTGCTGAGCACTCGTCGTGGGCGGGACGAAGATGGGGTACGTGTCGTTGCGGCGAGGAGCAGGGCGCTTGTTGTCGCCGCTGACGGTCGACGAGCTGTCGCTGCGAGGGCGTGCGGCGGGTCCAGGGCTCGAGCGAGAGTAGCGGGCCGGGATATACTCCGAGTGCTGCGATGAGGCGGGCGAGGAGGACGGGATGGCGCCGTACAGGAAGTCGGGAGCCGAGGCGGGGTGCGTCTGCTCGGCGGCGCTGGCAGGGAACGCATGCGGGCGCGACGCGATTGAGCCGCGCTCCGAAGCCGCAGGCGAAGAGTCGCAGAAGGACGGCGCGCGCATCGAGAGCGAGCCGTTGGACGGGCTCGGCGAAGTCGGCCCCGCATCATTCATGCTCGAGAAGGCGGTCCAACGAGCTCGCTTGACGGCCGAGTTCTCCTGCGACGAGCTGAAGATGTCGCGCGAGCGAGATGCGCCGCCGGACGAGAAAGGCGAGGCGTTGCGCCGGTATGGGCTCGAGAAGACGTCGTCGACCACCTGCGAAGACTCGAGTCAGTAAGTTTGCCGGTGAAGCGAATTCGGGCGGGACTCACGATGTCGGACGAGCGGTCCACCTGCTTCCTCGGGCTGAGCGACTTCCTCCCCGCCAGCTCATTCGCCTCGAGCTCGTCCAACTCGCTCCGCAACAATCTCGCCACATCAGGCGAGAACAGGACGCTAGATGCCGGCTTCGACGGGCGAGGACTTATGAGCGCATGCTGAGGGTAGGTCTTACGCACAGGTGAGGCGGGCGAAGCGTGCGCGAAAGTCGGAGAGGTCTTTGGCTGCTCGGGGACAGGAGGGTGGCGCTGCTCGACGGCGTTGTCGAGCATCTGCGTGGCAGCGGCTGACGAAGAGGGTTTGGGGAGGCCGGCGGTCGAAGGCGGGACCTCGACTTGCGGAACTGTCGCTTCGGGCGCAGCAGCCGCATGAGCCGGCTGACTCTGCATGAAGCGGTCCATCATGCCCCTCTGGCCCTGCACCGACGGACTCGCGTCCTGCGCGCCGGGTGTAGCCGCACCAGGCGAGCCAGCGTTCCTCGGCGTCCCTCCAACTCGCCGCGAGACGAGGGCGCTCGCGATCCCAGCCGCCGAGTCCTCCTCGCTGCTGCTGCTGCTGTCCTCTTGCGCCCACTGCCGGACCGCCGCTTCACCCGACAAGCCCTGGTCGCGCTTCTGCCGCTTCACCGAGCGAGCTACGACATCGTCGAACGCTGAGCGCGGTCGCGCACGGGTCGCAGAGGACTCGAGCTCAAAAGCTGCCTGAAGGCCGTTCGTAGTGGTCGGCGTGCGCGAGAGAGATTGTTGCCAGGGTACGGGAGCTTGGGCGGGAGAAGCGGCGAAACTGGTTGATGCGGACGCGAGGACGGGACTGACGGACGACTGGGGGTGGAGGTCGACGACGTGGTGCGAGCGCGGGTCGTGCGGGAGAGCGGGGAGGGCGATGGCTGCTGCGGCAGAGGCACCGGACGGGTCGGTGCGGAGGAAGCGCATGACCTGCTGCTTGGCCTCCTCAAACTGGTCCGGCGTGATGCCATGAGCCTGTGCGAGAGCAAGGGCGTCGACACTGTCAAGTGCGGGCTGGACGTTCGCAGACAGCGAAGCGCGAGACAACGGTGCTGGGACCGATGCCGCGAGCGCAATCGCCTCAGCCGTCTTCCTCGTCGCCCTCGACCTCGTAGGAAGCTCAAGGAGCGCCTCGTGGTCCGAGTCGGCAAAGAAAGACGAGTTGTGACCGCTTCCGATCTGGGGCGACGAGTCGAGGAGCCCGTTCGACGAGGTGCGGATGCGCACGCTGCGCCGCGGACCTTGCTTGCCGTTCCTTGTGCGGTATGACGCGTCGTGGCGGTCGGAAGGGGTCGCGATCACGTCGGTCGACGGAGACGAGGACGACGCGTCGAGGTGAGCATGGCGGTGGACGAGGGCCGGGGTAGACTGGCCGAAGGCGGAGGAAGAGGGCGGGGCGGGACTCGACAATGCTCGTGATGGCATCGCTGGTCGAATGGAAGGCCGGCAAGGAGGGTGAAGACGAGGAGAGTCGGTTTGTCGCGGAGAGTCGAGCTGTATCGCAGGCAGGTGATCAGCTCCGCCTGCCGGCCCTGCAAGACCCGCAGAGACTGTTCGGACGCACCAGGACCTCAATCACCGTCTACAGGAGCGCGTGCGAGCGGCGGAACTGCAAGGGCGACGCGCGACTCGCTTTCCGGGGCGCGACAATGACGCTGTGAGAAAGGGAACAACGAGTCAGCTCGCGTTGTCTGGCGGCTTTGAGGGCACGTCGAGGGGCACAGGAGTCTGCCAACGTACTGGAATCACCCTCTGTTCGGCGCAAACGGCAAGAAACGCGTGCGATGGAGGCGAGTCGGGGCGTGAAGGGGAACGGGGGAGGGTCGGGCTTGGAGGGCGGCGATGGCGCGGTGAGCTTGCCGCAAGTCGGTGCGTGTGTGCTCTGCGTGCACTGGCAAGCTCCTACACGGGCTGTCTCGATGACCCGCGGGTCGCGCGAGGGTGTATGGGCCGATCACAAGTGGATGAGGAGGGGGAGGCTGAGGGTCGCTCGTGCGGGTGTGGGCGCGTTTGGCGGTGGTCGGGTGCTAACAAATGGACAGCTGCGAGTCCAGTGAGCGTGTGCAGCAGTCGCCGTTGTCCAGCCGTGACGAGATGAGCGAGTTGGCAAGAGGAGAGCCTCGCCCAGCAACACGAGGACGCGACTTGGGCAAATTGCAGGTGACAGCACTCGCGCAGGACAGCACCTCTGCACACTCGCAAATCACTTTACGACTCGAATGACACGTCCAGGCGAGCTGACCCGCCCAGGAGCACGTCCAGCGAGCGAGTGAGGCGACCCCGTCACGGTGCGAACGGCGTCCTCCTTGTCCTCCCTCTGGCGCGGCTCATTCGAGGTTGCAGGACTTGCGACTGAGTGAAGACGACGCTGGACAATCCCTGGCAGACGAGCGGTCGCGTGGAGGACGGCGTAAGGACGCTGTTTCTCCTTTGTCGCCTTCGCAAAGGCCCGCTTGCTTGTCTGAGGGCGCAAGGAGCTCTGCGCACGACTTCGAACGACCGAAGTGCCTATGATACGCACAATGAAGATGATCGCAATCTTCGAACGCGATGCCACCGTCCTGAGGCGTTTCCGCGCTTGTCCTCCATGGGCCTGAGCACCTGGCGAGCCTGCGCTTGATCCCCTGCGATACCCTCCAACAGCCGCTTCAGACAAAGCGAAACGCTCCCTTTCTTCCCCTGAAGAAGGGGGAGCTTGCGACCGCTCCAGGGTTGACTTCTTCCTTCGTCCTCCTCCTCGCCTCGTTCCGCTCCTCCCACGTCCTTTTCGTCGCCGGCTGGTCCAGCACACTCTTCTTCGCACCCTCCTGGCCCTTCTCCTTCATTCGTCATCCTCTCACGCGTCGCAGGCCGACTTCATCCTATCTCACTCCTTCCCTCGCCTTGACCTCCTCAACCTTCTCCGTCACTTCTCGCCGACCTCCCCATCCCCTCCTCGTCAGCATGCCCCGCTCTGCTGCCCCTCCCAACCCAATCTTCATCCTCATCCCCACCCTCGTGCTCATCCCGCCAACTCCGCCTCCGCCAGCAACGCCCAGACTGATGAGTTCCGTCGAGGCGGACGCCGAATGCCCGACTATCAGCAAGCACGCACAGATGGTTGAGTGGCCGTTCAGTGGATTGGTGGTCGTCCAACACGTAGGCGACTCGAGCGAGATCAGCTTCGAGGTGTTCGGCTCCCTCCACGGCCCCCAATCTCGACAACCCACCAAGACTCGTCCGGCACAGGCTCAAGAAATCGTCGTCGGCAAGAGGAGCAAGTGGAGGCGGAAAAGCGACAAGCGAGCCGAGCACACGCAGCTGGTCAAGGTAGACCGGAAGATCGAGTTGGCGATGCTCGCTCTAGGGTTCTAGCGTCCTCCTCTCCTGCAAGACGGATCGGTGTGCGGCTGCAAGCCTGCCGAACGGCGAGCGTTCATTGCAAGACGAACGGCTTGAGCCAGACGTCTGCTGCTTCGAACTGGTCGGCGAGGTCGGGTGCGATGGACGGTCCGGCTGTCGGCTGGCGGAGCGAGCGGACTGCGAGCATGATCTGTGCGACCATAAAGAATAGCCTGCATCAGCCTCGCGCAAGCGGAAAGCAGGAGTAGTGAGAGGCAAATCGAGACGCACCAAGTTCCAGAAGCGGAAACCGCGCTCGAGTTCGGCGCGGACGCTCTTGACGTTCGTGAAGGCGCCCTGCAACAACCCAAGGACTTCCTCCTTCGCCGCGCGGACCTTCTCCTTCTCCTCAGCTGACAACGCTCCCTCCCCTCCGTCCTTGACCAACGACCGCTGGACCATCTCGAGCCCGCCCGCCATGCTCGTGAACGCGTCCCCGTACGCCTTGAACAAGATGCCCATGCCCGTGTTCGTGTCGGTTTGGAACGGCAACGAGAAAGCAACGCCGAGGTAGTCGTTGTACGACCGCTGGGCGTCCGAGCGGAGGAGAAAGTTGACGGCGACGGCTTCGATGAGCGTGCGCATCGAGCGGGAGGTGGCGCGGATGAAGGAGTTGAAGACGAGGAGCTCGCGCGACAAGGGCCCGTTCCAGGCGCCGGGCTGCGAAGAGTGCGAACGATCAGCGAAGCGGGGGACATCAGAGCAGAAGGAAAGCAACGCACGGTGAAGACGAGCGGAACGATACTCAGTACCCGCATCACGAGCAGCATACTCCGCTTGTCCGCCTCGGTCCCGCCGAGGTTCGGACCGCCCGAGTATGGCCGCGTCCCGATGCGGCCGTTGTGCAGGACGTTGGCGCGCAGGAGCTCCATAGCGAGGAAGAGCGGCTCTTGGAACTTGTCGTTGACCTTTGAGTTCTTCATCGCGAGGTGGAGCGCAGCCGCGTGAGGGGTGTGCTGATGCGCCGAGGTGAGGAAGCTGCGCAGACGATGGGTCAGCAAGGTCCGTAGGCAAACAACCTGCTGTCCACTCACGATCGCAGCTCGAGGAAGCGCCAGAGCGTATTGGCGACGATCTCGTCCTTCTTGTCGAGCGGCTGCGAACAATCTCTTGTCAGTAGTGGTCGATTTGCTTCGGCTCGAATTTCGCTCACTCGGTCCGCGTTCTTCGGCACAATTGTCCGCTGCGCCAGACTGGCCGTGCTCGTGCCGCCGAGGCACAGGCAAAGGTCGATGGTCGAGGACTGCGGGTTAAGGCTCGTCAGCGAGCGCGTTCAAGACGAAAGAAATCCGCACGCACAGCCTGTCTCCGCAGCTCGTCCTCGATGTGCCGCGCACCGACGTTCCACTTCGACACGCTCTCGACAAATGCCTGGGTATGCGGCGCAGCGTGCGGGATGACCGTTTCTGCGCCGGGCTGGAAGTAGTACACGGCCGAGACGGGCTTCTTGCTCCACAGCGGGTTGAGGACGTTGCTGACGAGGGCGAGCGAGACGCATCGCGGCGACTGCGGCAGCTCGTTGAGCGACTTGATGTACCGCTCGTACTCGAGCGTGCTGCCGCAGAGAGGCGTCTGCTCGATGACCTGGCCTGTCGCGAGAGGGGAGATGACCTGTGGGGCGACGAGGCCGCGGAAGATCTGGTAGTACACCTCTTCGGGGAAGTGCGAGGAGAAGATTTCGCCGAGGTCGACGGGAATGTCTGCAGAGGTGTAGATTTGAGGAGACTGGTGCTGGTGAGAGTTGGGGCCGATAGGTGCCGCTGGAGGAGTAATGAGCGGGAGAGGGAGGACGCGCCCTTCGTGGGCGACGAGGACGAGGGAGAACTTGATCATGGCGCGTGAGCGGGCAAAGGTGTCGGCGTAGTTGGACTGGTAGACGGGGCCGAAGTTCTGGTGTGCGAGGACAGCGTTCACGCCTGAGCCACGCTGCTTGATCGCTTCGACGACCGAGCGAAGGTGGAAGCCCTGAGGGTCGATGGCGGGGAAGGTAGGTGAGCCGTCGAAGCCGGCGAGGACGCAGAGGTCGAGGAACTGGTCCGAGGTGAGGCTCATAGAGTCGAGAAGGGCAGCTTTCGAGGCGAAGGAGATGGTCTGGCGGTCGAAGTCGATGTCGAGGATGATGCGGTCGAGTCCGTCGAACATGAACAGCTCGTTCGCTCCGTAGATCGAGTGGACGTAGGCTCGCTCATGGCGTTCGAGGTAGGCGAGTTGGGCCCAGGCGAGGTAAGGCGCGACGACAAACTCGGTTGTGCGCTGCTTGAACTGGCGCAGGACGAGACGGAAGACATCTTGCGGCGAGATCGAGCTCGACGAGCCGAAGTCTGTCTGCGCCTGCGGCAAGCGACCGTGCTCGTAGTGCTCCCACGCCTGCCCTCGCCGCCAGCTGCGCTCGTCGTTCGGAGAAGGTCGCTCGCGGTCGAGAGGGTTGATGCCGTTGAAGACAATGACCGGCTTGATTCCGAGCGACTGCAGCGTGTGCATGTTGCCCTCGATCTGTTGACGTCGATGCGATGCCAAAAGAGTCAGTCCCGCTCTTCACATGCCTTGAACCCGTCCTTCGGATGACCCGTCGTCGAACAACCTCGTCCTGGACGCCAGACTCACCTCCGTCGCCAGCGTCAAAGGCAGTCCGCCAATCGCAGCAGTGAAAGCATCATGCTTGTCGAGCGGTTCGCGCAGGCTGAGCAGTTTGCGGAGATAGTGATGGGCGTCAATGCCTAGTCGAGTGCCGGCGAGCGCCTGGAGCGGGCACTCCTTGACGAGACCGCGCTGCGACCGAGGTTGCGGTACTGTCAGCTCCAATGATTCTCGTGAGAGCGCTTGAACGAGCCACGCACCTCTGCGAGCCAGACTGCATCGAGCGGAGTCGCGAGGCGGGGGAACGGGGTGTCAGCGGTGTGAACGGTGCGGTGGTTGCCTGCGAGGCGTGCCCGCGGTAGGAGACGCGTCGAGACTCACCATCGAGCCCGCGGACAGGCATCTTGCACGAGTGAAGCGAGGTGGAGCGGGGCAACAACGGACGGGACCCTCTCCAAGAGAGCGGTTCGCGACGATGACACGTTTGGCACGCTCTGATGGACGATTGTGACAGTGGGTTGCAGCGAGATGGCCATCTTGATTCACCTAAGCAACACAGACAACGAGGCGACGGAGACGGCGGGGTATCCAGCGTATCCAACACGAGGAGAGAGAGGGCAAACGAGGGTGGGAGCGGCGGACGAGGGGCGATATGGGTATGGACGGCGGGGAACCGAATGCTGCTGCTGGCTGGCGTAACGGGAGGAGCCTTTTGCGCGAGAGAGAACGAAAAGATGCGAGTGCGGGCGGCGAGGCGTGTATGTCTAGTCGCGAACGAGAGCCGAGGGCGGTGGCGGCTTGTTGTGGCCGCCCTTGAGGAAGAAACGGAAACCTTCGTAAGAGAGCCCTGTAGATCAAGCGTGTCAGTGGAGTTGAGCGAGAGAAGCGGGAAGGGACGCACAGCACAACGCGTTGCTGGGCATGTTCGTCAACACTCGGGGCGTCATGCCCCTCGCGAACCCTCCGAGACCTTGCCGCTGGTAGATAATCCGGAACGCGTCGCCCATCCCGCGCGCATTGCGTATTTGCTTGTCGTCCGACAACCCTCGTGTCTGCAGGAGCGTCTTGCACACGTCCAGCGGCGTTGTTACGGCTGCCGCGACTGCTCCTGCGATACCGCCCGCGGTAACGTGGGTGATGGGAGAGTAGGTATTGGCGGGGTTCAGCTTGTCCCTACGAGAGTCTAGGCGTCAGCGGGCAAAGCAGGGGGAGAGACGTTCGAGGTCGACGCACTTGATGAACTCGTACGAAGAGAACTGAACGGCGGTGAAGGGGACGGTCATAGTGAGCGTGGTAGGGTAGGAGACGTAGAATGCGGCGAGTCCTTCGGTCTTGTAGACTGTCCGGAAGGTGTCGGCGACAGTACGGAAGTTCGAGCCGTGCGCCTGCATCCGTTGCTTAACAACTGCGGAGGGGGGGATTAGCTGCGTACTGCAAAAGCGCAGGGAAGGCACGCACCATCGAACGGATTCATCAACGCATCCGAGGTTATCGTCGCAACCGCTCCCGCTCCCGCCGTCGCCAGAAACGAGTACCCTCCCTCGTTTCCGCCCGCCATATCCTTCGCCAGCTCGTACATGCCGAAGTAGACGGCATGTGCGGGTCCTGCGCCCAAGATGACGGACGCGACACCCCGCCACATCCGCTTTGTGCCTTCGGTCGTCGAGATCCGCGTGAAGGCGTCCGACATCGAAGCGTAGGCGGCTGAGGGAGAAGTGCTCAGCACCTGCATGCGGGTCTGTCGGCAGAGACAGCATTAGCACGACGACAAGGCGGAAACGGGGATGTGAGGAAGACGGACCTTGATCATGTCAACGGGAAACATGGCCGCATGTTCCGCGATGCCCGCGAGCGAGCCCGCAAGCATGTTTATGGCGAGAGAGTCGGTGCTGAGACCCTCGTAGTCGACTTCCTCAATGACCTCCATGCTATCGAACAAGGCGACGAGTAGGGAGGAGAGGGCGGCAATATGGAGATGCTGGGCTGACGGCGCGGGTTGGGGGGAGTCTCAAGAGTGCTAGAGCTGCACAGGAGGCGCGAGAAGGCTGGGCTGCGTAGGGAATGCGAGTCGGAGTCGGTGATGGACCGCTGCGTCGGGAGGCGAGGGCGGACCTGCGAGAGCGGCGAGGCAGAGTCAGTACCGCAGGGTGGCTTGAAAGGAGTCCCTTGGTCCCTCCGCGAGCAGCACTTCCCCCCTGCGCACCCCTCTAGCGCCAACGCAGCCCCTCCTACATGCGCGAAAATGCGAGGGATGCGTCTGCCACCCATCGCCGCCTTCCGGTACATCCTGAACGCGCTGGAACTCCTTGTCTCGAGCTCCTGGACCATTCTGCGGCGTGACCAACCGTATCGCAGGCGGGGACGGGTCGAGCGTCTGGCGGCGTCGAGGTCGAGCGGAGGGGATGTAGATCAAGCCGCAACGAGCGCAGACTCACGGTGCGAGCGGGTCAAGGCACACTCTAGCAAGCACGCGATCCGACGAGCTCAACAAGCAGGCCCAGCAGCGAGAGGGAAACGAGGAAAGTGACAGACAAGTGTCCGGGCAAGAGAACGAGCCGACTCGGAGACTTGTTCTAATCCCTCGACTTGCTACGATGTTGATCTCGCCACAAAGAGGCGTACAAACGACGTCTCTCATGGACGAAGGGAAGCGGGGCGAGATGATGTTGGTATAACAGGCGCTTCTAGGAGGGGCGCCGACAAGAGCGGACGCAGTCCGACGTGTGTGCGGGAGACAAGAATGACGAGGCAGAGACGGCGATGCGACGAGAGCGGGCGTGGCGAGATAGAGATGCGAGTGCCGAAAGAAGTGGCCGAAAACGCGAGGGAGAGGCCGGAATCGGAGTGTTGCGGGCTTACAACCCGAGCTCCTTTTGCTTGGCAGCGACCTCGTTGTGCAGGAGGATGCTACGAAGATTGTCAGTGTCAGCATAGGCGCCGTGAAAATCTGCGAGCGAACGGATCGAGGCAAGACGCACTCCTCCTGCTCCCAGGGGTCTACGCGAGCGTGATGAAGGGTGAGTACGGGCTGCTGAGTTAATAGGAGCGGTGAATAAGACGCACAGTCCACCCAGACATCAGGGATGTCGTCGCCAGCGAAGTATGCGACGTCGTCGGGGATCGAGGCGCGCTTCTCCTTCAGCTTGTTGTGGACTGCGTGCGCGATTCGTTCAATGGTCAGCCAACATAAGCTTGTCATGCGAAACTGCCTGACAACGCACCGACGAAGATGGCGAGCTTGGTGGGCGGGAAGTCGGCCTTCTTGTCCTCGGGCAGCTTGTCAAACTGCGCCTGGATGTCCTTCTTCAGCTCAGCGACGGCGTAGCCGAGGGTCGTCCGGGAGTCGTCGACCTCGTCCTGCAGGTGAGAGTAGTGTAAGTCGCCAAAGAAAGGAGAGTCGATCGACTCGAGCCAGAGAGACGGGAAAACGCACAACGATGAGAATCCGCCTGCCGACCAAAGGCCTGTTTCCGAGCGTCGAGAAGTCCAGCCACTGCGTCCGGATGACCTCCTTTCCAAGCTTCTCCTCCTGCGCCAAACCAGCCGTGCCGTCAACCTCGCCGACCTCCTCGTACAGCGAGAGACCGATAGCCTGGATGGGGATGTTGCGACGCTTGCCGTCGGCGCCCGAGACGCGCTTCAGGAAGGTGCGGAGAACGCGAGCGGGGAAGAAGCTGGACGATTGAGGGCGTCAGGAAGTGCTTCGTCGAGCGGTCGAGAGACAGCATGTCACTCACCCTCCGCCTCCAATTGCGCTAGCAGCGAGCCGAGACAGCAAGTTAGCATCATACGACCTTTGTCGAGCACCGGAGCAAGCGGGAAACGCACACCATGATGTCGGGGCTGTCGGGAAGTACATTCACGGGAGGTCAGCATGTCTCCTCCGCGTTCCTTTCGTTGCCGCCGCGAGCCCGCAGCTTTCCTCATAGGACAAGAGAACTCTCGACGCACTCGAACTCGCTCTTGATCCGCTCCGCCGTCTTTCCAATCGTGACATGCATCTCCTCGTACGTAATCCTCTTGTGACCATCGTGGACGTTGGGCAAGGTGGCGGGTCCTCCCATCGTGTCGTCTAGCTGTTCAGGTGGGCGGAAGAGGGTGTTGCGGGGTGTTCGCGGACGGGATGGTCGTGCGGAGAGCGAGTGAAGTAGTAGGCTCGCAAGACGGCGGCGGGAGCTGCGGGAAAGGTGGGGCTGGCGAGGATGCTAGCTAGGCGGTCTGTTCGAGCACTCGAGGTGGTTCTAGCCGTAGCAGAGCGAGGTGCGACGACGAGGTTCTGGTGCAAGCTCAGCGGAAGCTCCTCTGACAGAGGATGCTCACCGCTCTACCGTCTGGCGGGCTGGCGCGATGTTCGGTGGACTACTTGTATCGCGAAACGTACTCTACTGACGTTACAATCTGAAGGAGCGCGAATTGAGCGAGGTTTCGCTGGGAGATGAGAGCGAACTGGCGACGGCGCGCTCATGGGACGCTCTGCTTCGTGCTGCTCGACGAGAACGACGCAGAAAGTACGCCGGCGACTCCGCCACATCGAACTGTTCGACTTCTTCCCGCCGACGCCCGCCTCAACCGACGACGTCTCTGCCCTTGCCGCTCCCATTGCTTGCTAGACCTCTTGGAGAATCCAACAACCACTACCAGCGCATCTGAACCAGTCTCGCCCCGCCCATCTGTCCGTCGCAGTCCTGCGCACCCGCCTCCTCCTCCTCATCGCTTTCGAAGATCACCACTGAGCACGGCAGGAAGGCCCACGCGAGGGCGGTCAATGACTGCACAGGCCGATCCGACGACCCGCCATGCAGCCGTACCAGCCGGTCACGCCAGCGCCAGCTCGCACGGAGCGTCGACCTCGGGTCCTGTGGGGAGAAGCGCTGGACAGACGGAACTCGACTTTGAGGACGGCCCGCTGTACCGTGCACACCTCGCCTCACACGAGCGACGAGCGAAAAACCTTCGCGCGGCGCTCAAGAAGTTGCAGAAGTCGCTCGACGCCTCGCTCGCCGCGCTCGAGGCTAACGCGAATGCGCAGCGTTCGGTCGACGAGGCACTCGAGGAGCTCTCGGCGGGTAGTATGACGAGCCAGAGTGATACGCTGGGCGGGTTGTACGAGCGGGAGCTCATGGCATCCAGGGCAAAGACTCGGGACAACGTCAAGAAGGAGTTGGATCGCGGGAGGGAGATGAGCGAGCGGGTCAAAGGCGCTGTCGAGCGCATCAAGGCTCTAGAGGAGCGGAAAAGGGGCTTTGAGGTGGATGCGAAGCGGTACTACGACGACTTGGCCAAGGTGCGTTCCCTCCCCCTTTCAGGTTGCTCCTTTTGCTCATCTTCTTTACGCAGTATCTCTCCCGCGGTGACTCCGACACCGCGAAGATCGCATCGCTCGATGCCAAGCAAGCCGAGCGTGCAGCTACCTTTCGACAACTCCGCATCGACTACTTCTCCTTCGTCGAGGGTCTCGTCGAAAGCGAGGAACGCGCGGTAGCGACGTGGTTGCGGACGTGGGCGAGTGTTCGAGAAGCGCAGGTGCCGAACGAAGATGGGAGGGAGGCGAGCCTCAGGGCGCTGGAAGGGCGGAAGGCGTCGAACGGCTACTCGCCAGGTCTAGGCGACCTCCCCGACTACCTCGTTGACGCCATCTCCTCACCGTCGTCGAATGGAGCGGAATTGCGGAGCGACGACGGCCATTCAGCCGCGCCTACTTCGCTACACTCGGCGATCAGCCGTATCACCACGCCCGGCGAGACAACCTTGTCTCCGCCAATACCGACTTCGCCTACTCAAGACGATCCGCGACGACGTCGTAGAACCTCTATGCCCTTCGGCATGGGCGGAGCGAAGGGCAAGGACGAGAAGGACGGAGACCGCAAGCGAGATCGGCTGAAGGAGTTCTTCAAGTCGGCGCAGCAGTCAATCACTTCGGCGTTGCCAGCGTCAGCATCGTCGGCGCACCTCGCTCTCGACGCATTGCCTCGCCTCTCGCAACCCCCCTCTCCACTGCCAACTTCCGCAACCTCGCCAACAGCGCCGAGCGGTCCTCAGCACGCACCAATCGCCTCCCAACTCGCCCCCGCTCTCTCGCTTGTTCCCCCGCCTGCGCTGTCCCGCCCGAGCGGCTCGCAGCCCCGTCGTAAAGAGGGCTTCCTCTTCGCGACCGAGACTGGGCAGAAACATACGCAGTCGGGCGATGGCGGACGACCGTACCAGCGCTTCTGGGTCGTGCTTGGCGAAGGCCAGCTCACCGAGTACGACAAGTGGACGGATGCGATGCAGGTGCACGGCTCACCGATCAACCTCCGTTACGCGACGGCGAGGATCAGCAAGCAGGCGGGCGAACGAAGGTTCGCCTTCGAGGTCCTGACGCCCGAGCTGAGGCGAGTGTACCAGGCGTCGAGCGAGCAGGAGTGCCGGGACTGGGTCGAGGCGATACAGCGGAGCGTCGAGGCGTTACTGAACGGGTGAGTCTACTTGTGCTCTCGAGCCTGCGCCTCGCTGACCGTCTTCGCTCGCAGCACCTCGTCCGTCCGCAACTTCGACGCCTCGCGGCTGCAAGGCATGTCGAAGTCGCCGACGCTTCAGGACGTGCACGGCTTCGCCGAACCGCCTTCATCGCCCAAGTCTCGCTTCCCCGCGCTCATCTCGCGGCGAGCCTCGCTCGGCCATCACCGCAAGTCGTCACACGGATTGAGCAAGAAGGACAAGCGGCGGAGTCAGCAGTCACCGCCTATACCGTCACTCACCATCGGCGCGCCCGTCGACCGATCCTTTTTCGATGCCTCGTCGCGGAGAGGCCTGTTCGCCTTCTCCGAGAACGATGCGGACGAGCCTCCCCCGCGCCTGTCGCTCAGCAACTCTCGTCCCGGCTTGAACGGTCTCGGAATCCCTTTCCCTTCGTTCGGCAGCAGCGCGCAAGCATCCAAGTCGTCGCCCGAACTGCCGCTTCAGCCCAATCTTCGGATCCTCTCGTCCGGCAGCCGCTCGATCCCTTCCTCTTCGGCAGCAGAAGACGACGAGGACGACTCGGCGTCAATGTTGTCGGCTCAGGACCGCGCCATCTCGGATGCCGTGCGCGGCTGGGCAGCTTCCGAGCCTGGTTCGCAGTCGCTTCGCTCGTCGACGCGCTCGGTCGACGATGCAAAGTACCGGAACGCTCAGCGTGTCGCTGCACTCGCTGAAGAAGCCGGCAACAATCTCTGCGCCGACTGCAGGGCACCGGAGCCAAAGTGGGCGAGCTGGAACCTGGGCATCACGCTCTGCATCAGGTGCGTTGATCCAGTCCCAGACCGTTGCACCAGGACTCAACCCGTCTCGACAGGTGCTCGGGCGTCCATCGCAGCCTCGGCACGCACATCTCGAAGGTCCGGTCGATCGAGCTAGACGGTGCGTCTCTTTGTTCAGCTGCCTACTCACATCTTGCTGACCTGTTCGCTCCATCTGGCAGACTGGAGCGACGAGCAGCTCGCTCCGCTTACGGAGATCGGCAACGTTCGCTCGAACGAGTTCTACGAGGCCAAGCTGCCGGCTGGCACGACCGCCGCTCTCGCAGATTCGTACGTAGTCTTTAAGGCAAGCTCACAATGCCGAGTCTCGCTGACAGTACCCGCGCAGAACAATCGCCTCCTTTATCCGGGAGAAATATGTCGACAAGCGCTGGGCATCCGCGTCACCGCCCTCGAACGCTCGCGTCTCGCCCTAATCCGCCCCGCCACGATCTGTTCCGCCTATCTATCATACCCACGGCCAGCCGCCTGATCCGTCTCGCGCCGGCTCAGCTCGACAGACACTAGTCGATACCCGCCCCTCCACCGCACTAATCAGCCCTTACCCGCTTCGTCTTGAGTACCCACCGTCATGCTCCTCTACCGACTGTTGGTCTCTGGTCCTGCAATCCTCGCGCAATCGCAGAATGTCAATCGCTCGAATCTTGGAGGTCTCTCTAAGCGAGAAGCCGTGACCGCTCCGTCCGAGAAACGCTGCTGCGTATGTCGAGCGCCAAGTAGTAAAACCTGTCTCGCGCGCCTGAAAAGCTCGCCGTTGACGACTTTGTGTTATCCCGCTCTTCCGCGCAACTTGGTCTCTCTCGCACACCGCACATCTCCTCGCTTCCTGCCGTGCTAAAGCTTTACGCATTTGGCTTTCCGTGAAGCTCTCCAGCGACTCGCGCACTGCCTGCGCGCGCCTCGGCAGCCAGGTCGACCGCCCTCTCGCCTCCTCGTTCCGCAAGACAGCCGACTCAGACGCAATGGCTCGGACGGCGCTCTCGCTGATTCCCTCGCCTGATCCGGACACTTTCACCGAGCTCCTCGTCAACGACCTGCACGTCCCGCTCGACTCGACAGCCTCGATGCGAAGGTGGCTTCCAGGACATCTCTGGACGCTCGCGCACGAGTGGCTGAACGCGATGGAGTGAGTTGACTCTTCGAGAAGCGTTGCGCGTATCCGCTGATGTCCCTCCGAAGGTCCCGCAGCGAGCGGGAAGGAATTGTCCCGCCGCCCATTCCTCCCTTGCCTGGACTGCCTCGCCGCCTTGCGCCAATCCCAGGCGTTCTGCCTGTTCCTGCGAGTCCCGAACCCTCTGACTTTCTTCCCGACGCCGAAACCGACCTCGCGCAAGCAGCTGGTAGTCCGGCCGCTGAAGAGGGCTGCGACGACGTCCAGGTTGCTCACGGTGCTAGCGAAGACCAGCCGCTGCCGAGCTCTCTCTCTCAAGCTCAGCCTCTCACACGAGCTGAACGCCTGGAGCGCAGACTTCAGCAGAAGGAGAAGCAGCAGCTAGAGCAAAGGCGACGGTTGGACGGCTCCGGCTCGAAGGACACGCAGTCGCCTTGGACTACTCCCCTCGCAGTGCGGCCTCTTGCGCGTTCAGCGGCTTCGGGCATGCGGCATGAGCGATGCGGGTCACCACGCAGGAAGTCCGCCCTCGCCTCCGAGCTCATCGCAGGAATTGCGCCGCCTTCGTCTCGCTATCGGGCGCCGCTTAACGAGCGAAACGGATCAGCCATCTTGCAGGATTTGTTCCAGGTCGGAACGCTGCGCTTCGCTCCACCGAAGGAAGTCGCGACGTCTTCGAACTTGCCGAGCATTCAAGTCGTCCCGCCCACCTCGCCTCAGCCACCGACGTCGGCGCCGCTTTCCCCCCAGCAAATTGATCCGCTCACTCCAGACGACCTCTCGAGGTCGCCCGCCCGGCGGCCACTGAAGCGAGTCAAGGTGAACCAGCTGGGCGAACCGGTCAAAAGGTGCGTTCGCGGTGCTGCGGTCTACGTCCACTCAGCGAGTCTAACAGCCTTCCCTCGGACACACTCACAGGCGCCTTCACATCGAGCCGGACGACGCGTTCATCCTGCCCTTCCAGTTCCCGGCGAACTCGTAGACGACGTCTCCAACGCCTTTTCAGTTATCCCCCTCACGCAATCGATAGCTTTGCCATCGCCTACTCTGCTATCAGTTCTAGCAACCATCCCTGCGTGCGCTGTAAGGGAAAGCCGTCTCGCAAGAGAGCCTCGACCTTCCTAACTGGAGAGCGCAAGTGCGTTGTCGGCTGGCTGTATCGACTTGAATCGATGCTCGTTGCGATTGCGATGTCTACCAGGCGTCCCCACCGTCTACTCAGACTCGTCGTCGCTGCCCGACTCGCTACCCGTGTAGCTGCCACTCTCGCTGCCCGACTCATCGCCCGTATCCTCGAATGTCCGCCGCTCGACCTCGTAGCCAAGCTTCTCGAAGTTCGTCGCTAGCTCGTCCATCTTGGCCAGTCCTGAGGCGATACTGGCGATCGAAGAGTTGGCGGCAAAGATCGGCGCGATCCATTTCTTGATGACTCGCAGAATGTCGTCCGCCGTGATGTCCTGTGGTCCGGGACAAGTGAGTGAGCATACGGGGGAGTCGTAGAGAAGAGCCGCTCACCTTGGTTGCCGCAAGGGCGATGCGGCCGTAATTGGGTGGCAGACCGAGGAGCATATTGGTGAAAGACGCGTTTGCCTGCAAGTCAAGCAGTCAGTATCGCTGCTGCCTGTAGGTAGGCTCGGACACGCACTGCAGCATTGATCGTCGACTCCTTCGAGGCGGTGTTGTAGGCGAGCGAACTCTTCGCCGACTCGATGGTGAGGTCATCAATCTCGAGCTGAAGAGCGTGAACGTCAGCTTTGCGTCCGGATACGAGGATCGTGGTGACGCACCTTGCCGGAGACGAGCTGGTCGATGAGGTCGCGGGCGGCGACGAAGGCGGCGTGCGAGTCGGGCGACTTGTAGACTCGGTAGTAGATCAACCCGCTCTCGAGGTCCTGGCTGATGCTCGCGCCGTACGCGAGTCCTGCGCCGCGAATGAACTTCCAGATGAACGACTCCATCGCGTTCAGGACGGCCCGGGCGACGGTGAGTGCCGGCTGGTCGGGATGTGTCCACGAGTCGGGTCCCTTCGCGACGTGGTAGGCGAAGCAGCTCTCGATGCTCGAGACGCCGAACAGCACGACCTGCGAAGTCGAAGGTCAGCCACGTTTTGTCGAGGCCTGCGGATGCAACGAACCTTCTTTGCTGGCTGCCTGCCGAGCGGGCCCATCACCTCCTTGCTGAGCTTGACGGGGGCGAGCTGCTCCTTCTACGTTGGCGAAAGCTCGTCACTACTCGAACCGGAACGACGGACAACCCGGACGTACGGGGAAAGGCTGGATCGGCTTGAAGTGCTCGAGCCAGGCGGACGATGGCTTCGGCAGGCTCAGGATATCGCCCTTCACCTGGACGCGGATCGCTCGGGGGTCCGTCACTGCCAAAGTCGAGGTCAGCTCATAGCGAGCAAGGCGACGCCGGTCGAACGAGACTCACAGCCCTGTCGGAAAGCCTCGAACTGCTTGATAACCGCGTCAGGCTCCGCCTTGAGCCTCTCGAGGAAGGCGGGAAGGAACTGCTCGCGGTTGAGCAAGTTGAGCGCGACGTTGGTCGAGACCTCCTCGCTAATCATCTTGCGGTACGCGGCATAGGAGACCTCGGAACCGTCCCGCTTCTCGGAAGGAATGGCTTGCAGAGCCTTGGTCGCCGAGATCTTAAGGCGTTCGGTGGAGAAGGACGAGTTGTAGAGCAGATCGCTCAACCAGGCGATGGCGGTCGTGTACTTGTCCTTCGAGACCTTCAGGCGAAGCGTAACGGCTTCTTGGAGAGGCGAGTTGATGTTGATCGAATACGAGAGCGTCTCGGCGTCGAGCTGCTTGACGACTTCCTCAAAGTCGAGCTTGGTACCGTCGGCGCGAGTGACAGGGAGGGTGAAGAACGAGTCGAGGTAGACGGGGAGAAGCGCACGAAGCTCGGCGGGATCGAAGCCGGGCACATTTTGGGGGAAGAGAACGATGCCAATCTGTATGAAGGCCGAGTTGATGTCTGCGGAGTGGAGCGGATGAGTGACAGCCTGCATTGGAAGGAAAGGCGACGCACGGTCGTACTGCACGAAGAGCGGGAGCTGAGCACCATCTGCGTCGACGTGCTCCTGCACTCGGTTCTTCGGCTTGTCTGCGGCAGAAGCGACACCGCCAGACCGCGCCGACTCGACCTTGATCCACTCGATGCCGTTAACGTCGGGGACGGGGAACTGGCGGATGATTTCGGGCGGAACAGGCTTGTCGTTCTCGGCCTGCGCCTCCTCGATCTTCTTCTGCAGCTCTGCGAGACCCTTCTCGCCGAACTTGGCCTTGTTCGCCTCGATGATGGCCTTGGCGTCGGCCTTAATCTTATCAGCGAGTGCGGCGGAAGGCTTGCCAATGATGGTGAGAGCCGGAGCGCCGACCATGAACCTGCATGCGAAAGGTCAGCTAGTCAGAGTGGCTGAAAAGGCGAAAGACGGACTTTTTGAGCACTGCGCCCCACTCCTCGGCGGACCAGCCGTCCAGGACCTTGTAGAGCGTGTTGACCTTGAGCGACGACTTGAGGTCTGAGCCGTCTGCGCGTCCCCAGATACCGTCTGCGAACGAGGCTGTTAGCATTGCGGATCTAGCTGACCGACTTCGCGAGACGAACCGGAGACGACGACATTCGTGATAGTGTCGGACGCATCCGTCTCCATCGACTCGAGCACCTGGAGCTTCTGGCGCTCGAGAACGGTCTTCATGCGATCCATGTCGATGTCATCGACAGCACGAGCGAGCGCCTTGCGGAAGCGGCCGGGAAGCGTTTCGAGTTCGGCAACAGGAACGGAAGAGAGGTAGGAGGTGATAATCGAAGGGTTGTCGCTCGAGGCGTAGAAGGTGATGTCTGCGAGTTCGAGCGTCAGCGCTGTCTCGGCGAAAGACGAAGATAGGGAGGCTCACCGGTGCAGGACGGCTCGTCAACCTCGATGAACTTCTTCGACAGCGGCGAAACGGCAGAGTCGGTGAGGTAGAGACCGATCACCTCGAGAGCGAGGTCGTTCAGGAAATCATCGTGCGGAACACCGATCCACGAAAGCATCAGCTCGCCCACGTCCTCCGTTTTCTCCGGGAACTCGACCATCTCGATTCGGTCTTCCGTCAGCTTGGGCGGATTCGCTGCAGTGCTCGACTCGACGAAGGGTCGCACTGCAGTTTGGGAAGCTCAGCATCTTGACATCGAGCTGTCGAGAAAGGGACGCACCCCAGCCAGCCGGCTTACGACCCTTCGCCTGTCCGTGAGCGACGATGGAGGGAAGGACCTTTTCGGTAAGCGTGTTGAGGAGATTGGTCGGGTTGAGCGAGCGGCCGGTCACGATCAAGGTGATGTTCTGCGGGACGTAGCGCTGCGCGTGGAAGTCTCGGACTGTCGACGGAGGGCGTCAGTAAGACGGGGCTGCGAAAAGCAGTGAGGTGTGCTGGAAAGGCTCGCTCGACTCACTCTCTTCAACCTTCAGCCGCCGCAAGGCCTCCATTAAACCGCCGGTCTCGCTCCGCAGCGCATTCTCCTTCGAGTACAGCGCACGTTGTTGCCTGTAGCCGCACGATGCGTCAGCTAGACTCGTACATACGTGACGGAGGGACCTACCGAAGGTGCATCAGGTCGCTACTGCCGTTCTCACGCCCGCTCATCTCGGAGAAGACAACTCCGCCGTCCTCGCCCTTGCCGTTGATGTGATACACTTCGGTGACGAAGCCAGCATCGGTGATGGTAGGGTAGAGGATGTGGTCGAAGTAGACAGGCAGGATGCTGAGGAAGCCTTCTTCGCCAGCGGTTGCCTATCAAGAAGGGGTCAGCCTGCAGAACTTGACGCAATGCTAGGGATGCAACGCACGACTGTGTACGTCGTGTCGGTGGTTGCCGTCCACGCATTCGTACCGGCCGCAAAGCTTCGGCTGCGAAAGATGCGAGGTTGTCAGCGATGTCCCCTGCGAAGACGGGCACAACGAGCGCACTTCGCGATGGTGTCGAGGATGCCCTTGTAAGGGTACTTCTCGCTGCCCAGGAAGATCTGCGGGCGGTCAGGTCAGCTAGTTGACCAGGTCCAAGGCAAGCGAACTGGCATACGAGGTGCTCGAGCGTGTGCGGTCGGCCCGAATCTGCGTCACAAGCGGTCAGCAGGGTGCGGAGGGAGGACAGCACCATAGAACGCACCATCGAAGATTTCCGAGACGATGCTCGCGTATCCTTGCACCAGCGGACTCTCGTTCGACGCCCAGACAACCTTCAACCCGGTGCTCTCCGACTGCCACTTGGCGATCTGGATCTCTGGCGCAAACTCGAGGCTGTCCTCGACCACCAGCTTGAAGTCGCCCACCGTCTTCGGGATGTCGATGCCAGAGTTCGGAGACGAGGAAGACGGATCAATCTCCATGGGACTCATCGTGGCGAGGGTGCGGCGAGGCTGAGAGAGTGTGCGGGTGCTGGAAAGATGTGAAATGCGGTTCTGGGTGGTCGCGGTGAGGTTGCGGGCGGACTGTCCGACGAGGCAGTGCTGGCGATGAGGGAGGAATGAGCGGAACGCCGTCGCTCGGGAGAGGCGGGACACGAGGCTAGCCAGGGTCGTTCGTGTGAGCAGCAGAGCGACTGCAAGGACGAAGGAGCGAGGAGCGAGCGAAGTGGTGAAAGTCAAGGACGAACGCCGCTTGCGACCGCAGGAAGAGAAGTTGGAACGCAACGACCGTACGCTGACCAGATGAGCCGTGCAATACACTCTTCTACATCAGAAACGACGCTCCTCGACCTCGTAGCCCGCCTTGCGGAAGTTGGCCACGAGCTCCGCCCGCTTTTCCTCGTTCGTCGAAACCGCCAAAATGCTCGACTTCGGGTCGAAGAGCTTGACGATGTGCAACTCGATAGCGTCGAGGACGTCCTTGAGCGTGACGGCCTGTGCGGAGAGGCTGGTCAGACTCGAGCAGGAGACGAGCCTTGCGAAAGGGCATGTCGCACCTTCATCTTCTCGAGGCTGCGCTGCACGAAGTGTGGCGGACGACCAAAGATGACCTCCTCGAAGGAAGCGCTCGCCTATGAGCCCCGCGCATCAGTTGATCGCTTGGACGGGAATCTTCGAGAGACGCACAACGGAAGCGAGAGTGTTCATCGATGCGATCTTCGAGTAGGCGAGGGACGACTTGGCCGCGTCGACGTCGGCTTCCGTGATCTTGACCTGTAGGAGAACGTGTCAGCGAGACGCGCCCAGTCGGGTGGACCAGGTCGTACTTTGCCCGAAACGATGTTGTCGACGAGGTCTCGTGCCGCCTCGAACGCCGCAAAGGCGTCGGGAGACCGGAAAATCTGTGAAGACATTCCATTGAGCATTGTTGAAGTCTGTCGGAGAGCTGGGCAGCTCACGTTAAAGCCGAAAAGGCCAGCCTCCACATTCAGGCCCATACCCGCGCCGTAGGCGAGTCCGTTGCCTCGCACGGCTGCGTTACCGCGGAGTCAGCTCGTGTCGCATGCAAGTTCGAAAGTCACCCACCGTTCCAGAGCAATCCGTTTGCGGTGCCGAGGGCTGCGGCGGCGACGGAAAGTCCTTGGTAGTCGGTCGCGGACCAGTCGGGACAGGCGCATCGAGTTACGAGGTAAGTCGACTCGCTCGAAGGAATCGTGTAGAAGACGGCCTGCGAGGAGGACACACGCGATGTCAGCGGGCTTCAGCGGGACTCGAAGAAAGCGCCTGACCTTGCGAGCCGGGTTCTGGCCGAGGTCTGTGAGCAGATCACGACTCCGCAGAAGATGCGCGAGCTGCTTCTCCTGCAGGCAGTCCATTGTCAACGATCGCTTCGTGCCTTGCAGCGCGGACAACGCACAGGGAAGGGCTGGAGGCGCTTGAAATACCGAGCCCACGGCGACGTCGGGTTCGGCAGGCTCATCACGTCGCCCGAGACGTGCATACGCATGGCGCGAGGATCGAGCACTGCGTGAAGCCGATCATCAGCTCGTGCGAGATAGGCAGACACGCAACGTGCGGACTCGTTTCCTGCAGCTTCTCGAGGTCCCGAATCAACCCTTTCGCGTCGCTCTTGAGGCGTCCAAGAAGCTTGGGGAAGGCGTCGACGCGCGTGAGCAGGTTGAGCGGGTGATAGACGCTGCCCGCCGAAAAGATGAGCGACCCGATGACCTCGCCGGTGATGCTTGCCGCGTCCTGCTTCTCGTCCGGTAGCGTCTGCAGCGCACTGTGAATGAGCGTCGTAAGGCTGAGAAGAAGACGATCAGCAGAGGGACCCGGACCAGCGCGGAGAGTAGGCAACGGACCGGTCCTTGTCGAACTGCATCCCGAACAAGCTGTCCGCCAACCACCCGACGGCTTCCTCGTAATCCTTTGTTGGTACCCTAATCGCAACTCGGACGCCCTCGGACTCGACCACCGCCTCGATCTCGATGGCGAGATCGGTGAGCTGCCGGTACGCCTCCTGGAACGGCAATACCCGCCCGTCAAAACGCTTGACGGGCATGGCGAAGAAGCAGGAGTTCCACAGCGAGAACAGCTCAACGGGAGGGCCATAGAGGTGCACGGAGACCGTGACGAAGCTCGAATCATAGTGGTCGAATTGGACGAAGAAGGGCAGGTCGACGTCGCGATTGATCTTGCGCTGCAACGGGCCCGGAAAAGACTCCTTGCCGGCTGCGACGCCGTTGCTGCGAGCGGTCTCGACCGTGGGCAAGGCAATCTTCGTGTAGTCGGGGACGGAGAAGGACCCGACGAGCGACTTGGGCGCAGGGTGGTCGTTCGCGGCCTTTGCGGACACCAGGTCGGCAGCAAGACGAGCGAGACCTGAAGGGCCGAGCCGCTGTCGGTTGGCCGCAACGCGGGTTGCGGTCTCTGCCGCCTGCTCCTTGGCGAGCTCGGCGGAAGGAACAGCGACAAGCGTGACGGCGTGAGCGTCGACGAGCCACCTGCACGATCAAGGATGAGCGGAGATCTCCCCAGTGACAGTGCCGCAGACTCACTGCTCGAGTAGCCGCTTCCAGTCCTTCTCGCGAAACTTGGCGAGACGCTCGAGCACTTCCAGGTCGTTGAAGACGTCCTTGAGCGTCGAGCCGTCTTCGGCGCCGTAAATAATGTCCTGCTTGACCGAGTCGAAGACGTAGCTCGATGACGAGCCTTCGAGCGTGTCGAGGAGCTGCAGCCGCGTCTGTTTGAACCCGACCTGGATCCGGTGCATGTCAATCGGGACGTGGCAGAGTTGGCCGAGGAAGTCGAGAATTTCGCCAGCCGTCGCGTCGATGCTGGAGACAGGTACAGCGGAGAGGCAGACGCTGAGGATGTTGGGGTCGCGGACGTCTCGGTTGGTGTCGCAGCCCGAGAACTTCTGGTTTGGAATCTCGATGAACTTCTTGCAGACAGGCGAGTCCGAGCCTTCGAAGAGGTAGCCGAGCAGATGGTCGAGAGCGGCGCAAGTGACGAGGTCGTCGACCGAAGGACCGATCCAGGCGAGGTAAACCACACCGACACTCTCGTCCGAGCTGCCCCAGGCGAGGTCGTCAGTAAGTGCACCGACCAGGGGGGAGTGCAACTAACTCTGCGTATTCAACCTTCTTGACGATGTCGCGCACGAGTACGGGATCACTACGAGCCGTCCTCGACTCGACGAAAGGCCGAATCCAGCCGGGAGGACGAGGTCCTTTCGCCAGTCCTGCCTCCGCGATGGCCTCCTCCGTCTCGCCCAGCGTGCGAAGGAGCTGTGCCGGATCGATGCTCTCGCCGGTGACGACGACCGTCATGTTTTGCGGCACGTACATCTGTCCGTGAAAGTCCTTGACTGCGCGCGCACATCGCGTCAGCGGAGATACGCGGTCTCGGCGTGATGCGACTCACTGTTCTCGAGCGTGAGCTTGCGAAGAGCGTCCAGCTGACCGCCAGTCTCGGACCGATACGCATTGTCGCGAGTGTAGAGCACGCGGCGTAGCCCGAGGTCGAGGACGGATCCTTCGCTCCCCTCGTTGCCCTGCATCTCGCTGAAAACGACGCCGCCCTCGTGGCCAGTGCCGTCCACGTGGTAGATCTCGGTCTTGAAGATCTCGGGCGTCATGAGCGGGAAGAGGATGTGGTCGAGGTAAACGGGGACGATCTTGAGCATGCCCTCGGCGGAAGCGCATTCGAAAGTGTAGGTCGTTTTGTCGATGTCGGTCCAGGCATTGACACCTTGCGAAAGAACACGATTCGACAGCGCATCGAGAACACCAGAGAACGGCCAATGCTTTGACGCCGTGAACGTGAGGTGTTCCTTCGTGTGCGGCGTGCCGTTCGAGCTGAAGACTTCGGTGACCAGGGTCGTCCAGAAATGACATATTGTGCCCGGACAGTCTGCCCAGATGACCTTGAGTCCGCTCTTTGTACTGCGGTACTTGGCGATCTGGATGTAAGGCGGGACCTCGAGCTGGTGATGGGCGATGAGCTCGAAGTTGCCGACACGCTGAGGAACGGCCAGACCGGAAGGCGACTTGTGCGAAAGAGGAGCAAGAGGAGAGACGGGCGAGGGAGGAGGCGAACGCTCGCCGTCCGACTCGCTGTCGGTATGGACCGTCGACGCGACCATGCTGGCCTGGCGTCGCATCGATGTGGCAACGTTAGGGGAAGGCAGGGTCGGAGAGGGAAGAAGCGCTCGAGGAGAGACGAAGCGACTCCGCGGACAAGCCGGCCGCGAGGAGAGGGGGAAAGAGTGGGTCGCTGGAGAGATCGGAATGTAGCAAAGCCGCAGTACCACGTTCCCCATGCTGCGCCTGCGAAAGGGCAGGGTCAGCGAGGAGAACAACGGTGCGAGAGAAGAACGCACTCTCGTCGCAATGAGCGATCTTGCGGAACAAGACGAAGTTAGCATGCGAAGAGCGGATATCATTGCGAGGGAAGAATCCGAGGGAACAGCAGTGTCAAGCGGTCAGGCGAACTTCTTGAAGATGATGTCGGGATCTGCGAGCGTCGCGGAGGTCAGCTTCAGCCTGATTAGATTGACCTGGAAGAGCGCCGGGCGCAGTCGCACCTTCTTGATACTCCTCTGCCGACACCCACATCCGCTTGAACGTGCTAAGACCTGCGAGGATACTTCCGCCGATCCAGGTGCTGTACTTGCGTTCGGGCGGCGCGCTGATCCGGATCTTCGTGTCTCGCAGGGCGAGCTTCTTCACCTCGTGCAGCAGGCGGTCACCAAATCCTAGGCAGACGAGGCGCGTAAGCTTGACGAGCTCCGCGAGGGGAAGCGCCGACCGAGCGACGTACCCTTGACCAGCGTTCCTCCACCACTAAGCACGACGTTGCCGAACAAGCTTTTCCGCAAGTCGAGGTCCGCGCGGTTGATAGAGTCGACGACGACCTGGTGTACGCCCGCGTACTCGAGGCCGACAATCTCGGGGTTGAAGAGCACTTCTGGCGCGCGATGCCGTTCGGGACCGAGCTATTGGGACGAGCGCTGATCAGTCGTGCTCGTGAGCTCACGAAAGGCGGTGAAGCACGCACTCGGATGACATTGCCGTCTGGTAACCGGAAGTCCTCGCTCTTGCCGCCTGCTTGCGCCTCCTTCTCCTCCTTCGCCGGCGACAGCGCGACGTAGCAAGTCTTCTCCTCTGCATGTCCGTCGGCATCAGCAGCGCTCTTCGAGCTGAGACTTGAAGAGGCAAACGCACTGATCATCCGCACGACCTCCTTCTCTGCCGAGGTGTGCAGATGGTAGCCCGCTTTTCGCAGCAGCAACTGCAGGTGGTCCGTCACGTCTCTGCACCGCGACGCTCTGTCAGATTCGACGACAAGGAGACGATGAGCGAAAGACGCACCGTCCCGCAACATCGACTCGTCGGATCGCATGCTGAATCGCAAAACCCTCAAAGACTGGCACAGCATGCGTCACACCGTCTCCCGAATCGAGCACAATACCCGTCGTTCGTCCCGAGGCGTACCTGTACCGCATCTCAGCGTCAGCGCGAGTCGACTTGAGGAAGCGTAGGAGAGCAGAACGCACAGCGCGAGGATCGCCTGCACCGACATGTACATCGCCGGAACGTTGAACGTCTCGAAAAAGATCTGAGCTGCTTGTTCTCGGTTCGAGTTGGGGTTGAGAGGCGCTTCGGTGAGAAGGACGGGGTGCTGCAGGTCCGGGCGAGCGGTTAGTTTGGTTTGCCAAGCCTGGTGAGAGGACGCAACTCGCCTCTTCTGACAGTGTTCGCAGTTCTTCGGTGTAGACGTGCGACCATATCCGCTCCATGTCATCCCAGTCCGTCACGATGCCGTGCTCCATCGGATAGCTGTCAAGGAGGTTTCGGTGTGTGAGTTCCCACAACTACCATCACGCCGCCTTCAAGGCAGTAACGCTTCGAGGAGCGGCGAGACGAAACGTGGGACTCACTTGATCCGCAACAAACCCCTCAACTCCTGCGCCTTCCTTCCAACAAACGTATCTCCCTCCACCGCGCCCGCCATAACCCTCGTATGTTTCGGTCGTCCTGTTTGACATTTTCTCATCAGCTCCTCCTGCATAGCCAAGGAGAATGAAGGCGAACGCGCCGACATAAGAGGGAAAATAGGTCGATGGGTGGTCTGAGCCTGCGAAGCCGGCTTTGAGAGTACCTGAGCCTTGGTCGATGACGATCGGTTGGTTGAGAGAGTCCATGATTGTGCTGTGGGCGAGGCGCGAATGGGTTAGAACGGGGAGAGCGATATGGATTCCTGAGGTGGAGCCGAAGAGGAGAGGGAGGGCAAGTTGATGAAGGCGCAGCTGGACCGATTGCCGCTCGATTTGCAAGCTCGCAACAGCTCCTGTTGCCCATATTCTGCCCTCCCATAGCCCCTCAAGCGGTGTCGCTCGCCTCCCACATCTCGCTCAACCCGCGACGCCTCGACTAGCAAAGACGCAGCTTACCTCGCCCTGTGCCGCAAACCACTACCGCCCGCAAGAGCCTAGTCTGCTGTCAAGCCTGCTGCGTAGGCCGTACGGCTGGCGACGAGTCCGAGGCGAGAGAAGTGAGGATCCGAGGAAGACGCGTCGGGGCGATCAAGCTGCAGGCGCGTTCGTCGGGCTGGCTGGAGGGCTTGCGAGACTAGCGGGGAAGCCAGAGAGTGCGCTAGCTCAGCAGGCGAGCGCGTCGAGCGAGGTGAGCGACGAAGTCGAGGTGCAAGCGGGGCCGCAACAAGCGACGGAGACTTCGGACGGCGTGCGAGCTGGCAGAAGCTACGAAAGGCCAGTAGAGATTGCGAGTGATGCTACAACAATGCTGGACGGAACTGCACAAGAAGGGAGGTAGTAGAGACAGTGCCCATTCTCCTTGAAAGACGACGCTCGACCTCAACTTCACTCCGCCTGCACCCAGCCGTCGGCCAGTTCTCCTATCAGCGGAAGGCGGAACCGGTCGAGGTGGTCGCTGTCGTAGTAGGCGCGCAGGCTGATGGCGCACAGGGTCAGTAACCACTCGAGCGTGAGCAACGAATCCAACGAAAGCAAACTGGGCTCACCTCATGAGTGTCAAAGCGGCGAGGTCGACAATCACGAGCAGGTATTGCGCCCATCGGCCGAACGGGAGGAGGAAGAAGAGGTGCAGGAGGACGAGGAACAGGTTGAGGAGGACGGACTGCGAGGCGACAGGAGAAGTCCGTCAGCTCGCGCTCACCATGAACAAGAAGGGAGCATGACACTATTCACCTGATACGCATGGAACCGAACATAGTCGTTCTCAATCTCGAAGACAAGCATCGCGGCCGCCCCGAACGGTCCGAGGGCATAACACGCCGCGCTCTGCCAGTCGTGCCTCCACAGCGTCACCTCGTATCCGGACGTCCCTGCCCCACCTCCGTTCGACGCGAGAGGCACATAGCCCGAGTGAGAGGACGAGCCGAAGCCTGTCCCGGACGTGAGAGAAGAGACGGGTGCGCCGGATTGGTAGGATGTGCCGGCCGAGGAAGACGCTGCGGGAGGTGGCGGAGCCCAGCGAGTTTGTGAGGGTGCATCTGGTGGCTCAGAATCTGTTGTTCGCAAGGTCAGCTCTCGAAGAGATGAGGAGGGGAGGGTGGGTGATTTCGACGCACACGGCGCAAAGTTGAGCGGGGTCGTCGATGGCATGGCTTCTCGGGAGTCTGCGAGCGTCCTTGAACTGTCCCTGAGCGTCCCAAGCGAGTGCGAGAGTGAAGGCGGAGCGAGAGGTGGGGAATACAAGTCGTCGGCCGCATTACACCGTGTTGTATTCAGCTCATTACAATCTGTATCTCGTCACCCAGACCTCGCGGCGGGTTCGTACAAAGACGAGTGCCACAATAGACAACTGCATAGTGTAGCGAGCCGTTCAAACGAGAGAAAGAGCGGTGTTGTGGCGAGAGCGAGGGGGTCAAAGGTGGTCGCCTGGGGACGAGCGCCGCGACTTCGCACGCTCACGCTTTCTCCCCTTGTTCGCTACAGAGCCGCCGACGAGGTGCGCGTGCGAGCTGCCCAGCGTGCTCACACGGAACCAGTACTGACACTCTGCCTTGCAACCGCGCCGCCCCGACCCCTCGACCCGCCCCGCCCAACTCGCTGCAAACTTCCCCTCGACCCGCCAACCTCGACAACGACAACCCTGTGCCGCCTTGTACTGCCACCATTCGACTCCGAACACTCGAATTGTCCGACTGCCGTTTGCGCCAACCTCGAACTCGACGTCGTCGCCGTCTTTCGCCTCCTCGCCTTCGAACGCCCGTTCCCTCTTCGACTCGCCAATCCACCTCGACCCTTGTCCGCCTCGCTCTGCCCTCCATCCGACTCGCCATCTAACGAAACACCATCTCGCAGTCGACATGGGCGCGTACAAGTACCTTACCGAGCTGCAGAAGCGCAAGCAGAGCGATGTCCTCCGCTTCTTGCTCCGCGTCCGCTGCTGGGAGTACCGCCAGCTCAACGTGATCCACCGCGCCTCGCGCCCGTCGCGCCCCGACAAGGCCCGCCGCCTCGGATACAAGGTACATTCTCGCCGTCCTCGAGCTGGGTTCAGCGTGCGGGTACGGTGGTGAGGGTGGCTCGAGCGGGCTTGCTCGCAGCCGTGTGTGGCAGAGGAGGGCTGGGGGGAATACATGGACGCCCGGGAGGCAGCTGGAGGACGCGCGGACTGACCTTGCTCTCCTCACCCGCTACAGGCCAAGCAGGGCTTCGTCGTCTACCGCGTCCGTGTCCGCCGCGGTAACCGCAAGCGCCCCGTCCCCAAGGGTGCGTCACGGGTCTTTTGCGAGGAGGGAACCACGCGGGTCGAAGCTAACCTGTGTTCGCGTGGTCGTCAGGTGCGACGTACGGCAAGCCCACCAACCAAGGTGTGAACCAGCTCAAGTTCCAGCGCTCGCTCCGCTCGACCGCCGAGGAGCGCGTCGCCCGCCGCTGCGGCAACCTCCGTGTCTTGAACTCCTACTGGATCAACCAGGACGGAGTCTACAAGTACTACGAGGTCATCCTGGTCGACCCCTCGCACAAGGCCATCCGCCGCGACGCCCGCATCAACTGGATCTGCAACCCGGTCCACAAGCGCCGCGAGTCGCGCGGCCTCACGTCGGCCGGAAAGCAGAACCGTGGCCTCGGCAAGGGTCACTCGTACACGAAGAGCAACCGCCGCGCCCACTGGAAGCGTACGAACACGCTCTCGCTCAGGAGGTATCGCTGAGGAGTTCGCGCCGGAGCATGGGGATGTTGGCGAGGAGGACTCTGCATCGCGGTTCTGCCTCTTCCTCCACCGGGACTGTCGCGAGGACGAGGACGAAGAGAGACGCTCGTGATGCAGGAGAGGTGCTGTGGAGCTTTCCGAGAGACGACCCGGACTTGGCCTCACCTTCGCCTCGTCGACTGCGCGACCCGCTCTTCTCCCAGTCTGTGTCTCCTACACTTGTCCGCCGCCTCTCGCATACTCTCTATGTGCGAGAGTACCTTCCGCTGTGCATGCTAGCAGGCGGGTCTCAGGGGAAGCACCTTGCTCTTCGTCCTCTGCCTCGCCTCTCCTTCTAGTTCCCTCGTTTCTCCTCGTCCCTTTCCTCGTCACCTGCTTCCTGCACAACTCGGGCCCACGTGGACTGTATCGCTGTCTTGCAGTCTTGACAAAAGCTTAGAGTCTACGACGCCTGCCATCGCCCGCCAACCGTCCCGCACAGCCCGACCTAACCTCGGCAACGACCCCTCGCTTTGGGCACGACACGACTGGGGACACGTACGCTTGCGATCAGAGCTTGCAGTGCCTCTGTACGTCCGTTCTGCAGCACCCCAAGCGCGCAAACCGGCCCCCCAGCGAGCTGACCGACTTCATCTCATCGACGTTCTGCAGGTCGAGGATCAGCGACGATGGCGAGCCAGGCGGTCGCGACTTCTGGCAATGCACCAAAGAGCCCCGCGACAGCGCCAGCGACCCAGCCCCGCGGCTCAGCACTCTACGGCGCCCGACGCTGGCTTCACGTCCTCCCCTTCCTCCCCGCCGGGTCGACCTACCTCAGCGCGCTCACCCTGCTCGCCTTGCTGCACACCGTCGGCCTCCTTCTCTTTACAAGAGGCTTCCTCCTGACGCGGAAGGCGCTGCCGAACGTCAACTCCTGCAACCCAACTGCACCCTCGGGCAACCTCGACCCTTCCTGTTCCCTCCCGCCGACACACGACAAGCTCATCTTCCTCGTCGTCGACGCACTCCGAGCCGACTTTGTCCTTTCCGTCGACGAGCCAGCCAACCCGTTCTACAGCAATCGCATCCCCTTGCCCGCTCACCTCACCCGCACCCAGCCAACCAACTCGTTCCTCTCGCACTTTATCGCCGATGCGCCCACGACGACTCTCCAGCGCCTGAAGGGCATGACGACGGGCTCGCTGCCGACTTTCATCGACGCCGGGAGCAACTTTGCGGGCGAGCAGGCGGACGAGGATAACTGGCTCGGGCAGGCGAAGCGCGCGGGCAAGCGGATCGCGCTTGTGGGCGACGAGACGTGGCTCAATGTCTTCCCGCGAGGCGGCAGGGACAGCGTCTGGCAGGAAGGGCTCGTCTGGCCTTACGACTCGTTCGATGTCGAAGACCTCGACACGGTCGACCATGGCGTGCGGGAGCACCTCCTCGACCTGCTGGACGAGCGGCGGCAGCGCGAGTGGGACATCGTCGTCGCACATGGACTCGGCCTCGACCATGCAGGACACCGCTTTGGCGCCGAACACCGCGAGACCAGGCGCAAGCTGCGCGAGACGGAGCAGCTTCTGCGGGACGTCGTCGAGCGGCTGCAGGAAGACACGTTGCTGGTCGTTGTCGGCGACCACGGCATGACGGACCGGGGTGATCATGGCGGCGACAGTCGGGAAGAAGTCGATGCCGCGCTTTGGGTCTACTCGAAGAGGCCGATCATCGACTCGACCTGGTTCAAGCACGACTTCGCCTCGCCTCGACACCCTCTCGCCTCTCTATACGCCACCGCCAACGCCTCTGCCGACCTGGGTGACCGCTTCCAGCTCGCCTGGCCGGAGAAGGGCCTCTCGCAGGCGACTCGCTCCGTCAGCCAGATCGACCTCGTCCCGACCGTCTCCTTGTTGCTCGGCCTGCCCATCCCGTTCGGAAATCTCGGCTTGCCCATCCCCGAGCTCTTCTTCCGCAACGTCAACCTACCTGTCGCGCCCAAACCGTCAGCAGAGGCCGCCTCCGACAAGCCGAAGCGCGGCTTCTTCGGCTTCGCTTCGTCGCAGCCGGAGCGCCGCGACCAGGAAACCCTCTCGCCGCTCCAGACCGTCCTCCAGGCCACCCTCCTTGCCTCGTCGGAACTCTCGAACTACCTCCTCACCTACACCTCGCTCCCGTCCGGCAAAGACCTCGTGCCAGCCATGCCAGAGCTCTCGTTCATCCTCGAGATCGCCAAGTCGGCCTACAAGGGTGCACACGCACCCGGCCGCTCGCGTGAGGAGATGGAATCACGCGCGCTCGAGAAGTTCTGGACGTTCGAGCGCAAGGCGAGGGAGAAGGCGAGGCTCGTCTGGGCTCGCTTCGACCCGGTCCTAATGGGTGCAGGACTTGCGGTCTGGACGGGCAGTCTCGTTGTCGCTTGGCGACTGGCAAATGCGGCGAAGAAGGGACCGGGCGCCCGATTCCTGGTGGGTCGGGCTGTCGAGGGCGGCTTAATTGCACTTGCTGTCGGACTCGTCCTTTCGGCCCGAGGCGTTTTCAAGGGTCGCCCGAGCAGCTTGGCCGCAGCGTTCGCCGCTGCCGTCGGAGCGGAACTCGCCGTCGTCTTTGCCCCGTCAACTTCGCCTTTCTCACTCACGACTCGCCTGAGAAGCGCTCTCGCACGATTTACACCAGCTCACCTCCTTCCCGTCGCCGCGCATGCCGCTCTCTTCGCCTCAAACTCGCTCACCGTCTTCGAAGATCGCATCGTCCTGTACCTCCTCGCGACGCTCCTCTCGTTCAGCCTCGTCCGCGGCTTTGCGGCGCCTGAAGCACGGCTGAAGAACCGCATTGTCGCATACTCCGCCATCGCACTCGTCAGCCTCCGCCTCATGGCCTGGAGCACGATTTGCCGCGAGGAGCAGGTCCCGAAGTGCCACCCGACCTTCCACCTGACGCCAGGCTCGACATCCAGCATCGTTGTCCTTGTTCTCTCCGTCGCAGCGGCTATCGGCGTCCCCCTCATTCTCCGCTCGTCGCTGGCGACGTCCAAGTCGGACGAGGGAGTCGCTCCAGCGTTCCTGGGCATCGGCATTCGCGCGCTGCTGCTAAGCGCATCGGCCTACTGGGTGGCGGACTCGCTACTGGCGGCGTCGAGCTTCGGTACGGCCGGGACCGCCGTCGCGTTGCTCGCGAAAACCGCTTTCGCCCGGGTGGTCCTCGTCGGAGGCTTCCTATCGGCGACGCTCGTCTGGTACCTCTCACCGTTGTGCATCCGAGTCCAGCGCGAGCAAGTTCGGAATGCGGCGGGCGAGCCTGTCCGGACGCAGATCAAGGTCATCGGCTTCGCCAACGCCCTCGGCTCGTCGTACCTCCTCTTCTTCGCCGCGATTTTCGTCCTCCTCTTCCTCGTCTCGCCGCCGCCCGCCCAGCTCGTCCTCGGCCTTCACCTCGTTATCCTCCTTTGCCTCCTCGAGGTCTTCGACTCCGAGCGCGACGTCCAGCACCTTACGACGGCACTCACTTCGGCAGCATCCCTTCAGGCTTTCCTTAACAGTGACGAAGGCGGCCTCCCGCCTCCTCCGCCGCACACTGGACCGACCTTCGTGCAGATCTCGATGCTCGCCCTCCTCGCGCACCTCTCGTTCTTTTCAACTGGCCATCAAGCCGTCATCTCGTCGATCCAGTGGTCGACTGCGTTCATCGGCTTCCCTTCCCTGACATACCCCTTCTCCCCCATTCTCGTCACCCTGAACACCCTCGCCGGCTTCATTCTCACGGCTGTCGCCCTCCCGCTGTTCGTCTTCTGGAATCTCTCGCCGACGCTCAAAGACCAAGGCGCGCCAATGGTCGTCGGGCGCAACCTCCTCCGCGCCGGCGCGAGCTACATGGCGTACTTTGCTACGCTCGCCCTCGCGTCGGCGACGTGCTCAGCGTGGCTCAGGCGGCACCTGATGGTGTGGAAGATCTTTGCGCCGCGATTCATGCTCGCGGGTGTTGCGCTCCTCGCGACCGACTTTGTCGTCCTCGTGTTGGCAATGGCGTGGGGCGCAAGAGGGATGCTGGGCAAGGTTCGAGGGTCGCTGGGGACGAGGTTCGCGGAGTAGACGGGCCAAGATATCAAGCATCTCGCATCTCGCAATGGCATCCATGCATTCTCAGTCGACCTGTTGGGGTCAGCCTACAGAGCAGCGGCAAGGATACGAAGTCTCTCACGAGGAAAGGGGAGGAGGAGAAAAGAGGAGAGGCAAAGGCGAGAGAGAGTAAAGAGCAGGGTGCTTCCCTTCAAGCCCGCCTGCCAGGCTGCCGATCGAGAATGTACTCGCGGCGAGAATACGAGAAGGGCGACGGAAAAGTGTAGCGGACTGAGGAGTCGAAGAGGCGAAGGAGAGTATACGCGTCCGAAGTTCGAGCGCTCCTTTCCCTCGTCGAGCGTTTCCGTAGCACCTCTCCCTATCTCACAGCGTCTCTCCTGCTGCACCTCCCTCTCGCGGAGCAGTCCCGTTCGAGGAAAAGGCAGAATCGAGTTGCACAAGTCCTCCTCGCAAACATCCTCGTCTCCAGGCGAACATCTCAGCGGTATCGGCGGAGCGACAGGGTGTTATGCTTGGGCCACTGGGCACGGCGGTTCGACTTGTGGTAGCTGTGACCCTTGCCGAGGCCACGGTTCTGCTTGCCGGCCGACGTGAGTCCGCGCGACTCGCGACGCCTGTGGACCGGGTTGCAGATCCAATTGATGCGGGCGTCGCGGCCGGAAACTCGTGTGAAAAGCGTGGTCTTACAGAGTACTGCTGGTGCGAGAGACAAGCGAAACAGCATGGGAGGGTCGTCTAGATCTAGAAATGCGAGGGATGCGACGAGTCTACTGACCACTGCGCATGCGTTTCGGCAGCGGCGGTATCGGCGTGATGAGGAGGCCAATGACGACACTGTCGGGGGGTTGTCAGCGGGAGTCGCTTGCTCGAGCGAAGCGTCGCGCACCCGCAAGCGCCAGTGATCCACACCGTCTTCGCGAACGAGCTGTGGCGAGCGATAACGCTGAAGGCAATGCCGCCTGTCCGACGCCGAGTGTGAGCAAGCGTGCGACCCCACTCGCAGCGAAGGAAGACGCACCGAGATTGCCGGAAGCGCCTGTGATGCCGCCCATCAGGCCATTGATGTGCGGATTGACGTGCGGTACAACCGCGTAGACAGCCCCGTTACCGGCCTCGATCGAGATGGCGAGGAGGGAGGCGAGGAGGATCAGGATGGCCGGCGAGTTGGGGTTGAGAAGGCCGACGAGGAGGGCGAAGGCGCCGCCGAGGACGCAGAGCGCGCTCATCCAGACTGCAGATGCGATACTCGATCAGTACGCAGCTGCAAGGCGCTGTGAGGTTGAGCAGCGGCGAGAGCAAGACGCACATTTCTTCGCGTGAAGACCGCGCTGCTCGCCGAGCGTCCTGTACCAAACGTCGGCCATCAACCCGCCAAAGGGTCGGGCGACGACGTTCAACAGCCCGAACAACGCCGCCCACTTGCCCGCCTCGCCCTGCTGCCAGCCGAATTTGCTCATGTACCAGCTCACGAGGATCGAGTTGCCGACGAGGGCGGTGCCGAAAGTTGAGGCATAGGCGGCGGCGAGCATGAGCGTCTGGATGCAGCAGAGGTCGCGCAGGGGATGGCGGCCAACGTTCGGCTGCATGGAGGCAACCGCCGTATCCTGTACATCCGACCGGCATCGGCGGACCTCAGACACCGTAGCCTGGCCTTTTTCGAGGTCTTGCTGGGACTTCGGCGTCTTGTGGTAAGCGGGAGACGGCCGGGCGAGGAGGGTGGTTGACGAGGAAGCCGAATCAAAGACGGATTGGGGGGACTGGCGAGAGATGTCGAGGTTGCGAGTTGACCACGAGCCGGTCGGGGTGTCGTCATTGAGCGCGAGGACGGCGATACCGCACACGATCAGAAGGATGCCGGGGACGATGAAGCTGAGGCGCCAGGCGATATGCTCGGGCTGGTTGTGGCTGGCGAGAAAGGAGTCGAAGACGGCGGGCATCTGCGTGCGAGACTCGTCAGCAGCTGAAAGCAGCGGCGCGAGGTGAGCGAGCGCACAACGAAGAAAGTCACTGCAAGCGAATTCAAGCACGATCAGCCTCGTGTCTCGAAGCGAAATCTGCGAAGGCTGCACACCTCCGACACCAGCATCTCCCCAACCCGCTGCAAAGGCCGACGCAGTGCCAATGACGCGCTTGTCGAACCTGCGCGGCATACGCTCAGCGTCAGTCACACCTCATTCTCCCGCTCAAAACCCGAACGCACCATGCAGCCATCAAAGCCTGACATGGCACGAATGCAGCTCCAGCGATGCCCATGAAGAAGCGAATGAAGTAGAGACCGGTTGCGTTGCGGGCTGTACCGGCAGCGCCGCAGGGGATGGCCGAGAGAAAGAGCGTGCCGACGAGGACGTAGCGCTGCGAGCGGAGCGGAGTATGCAGTCATCGTCAGCTCGCTTCGGCCAATTGACAGGGTGGAACAGAACAATACTCACCGGTCCGATCCTGTCGCACAGCGGTCCCGCGATCAGGCGGACGATGAGCGAGGTGACGCCAGCGACGATATTCGAGTTGGCGACCTCGTCGTCCGTCAAAGCGAGGTCGCGCTTGATCGTGGCGGCTAGGAGTGGCGGCATCGCGTACCAGCTGAAGAAGGAGAGAAGGAATGAGAGCCAGGCGAAGAAGCTGGACGAAAAGGTCGCAATACGCGCGAGAGGCGGGTGGACGGTTGGCGAAAGTGAGGAGGTAGCGCAAGACAGCTCGTCAGCTAAGGCGTTAGAAGACGAAGGGAGAGGACACGCGGGACTCACAAGATCCTGCCATGGCGGTTGAGCGGATTGATGATCGGAAGTGCAAGCGCCTTCTTCGTCGCCGGATCAACCGGCGGTGCGCCGAAGCAAAACAACGAGACCATAGCTTGCAAAGTCAGGCGATACTGGAGCGCCGCAGGAAGAGACGGAGGGTGGAAAGCGAGGAGGCGAGGGAGAAGGAAAGGAAGGAGAGCGGGCGAGGCCGAACGGGGCGACCGTCGACGCCCGCATCGAGCGACGGCTTCGCAGTCTCGCGGAGCAGTTAGCGTCGACCGCTCGAGCGACGGGCCCAACGCTCTCTCGCCCAAGGCGCTAACGAGGAGAAGCTGCCTACCCAAGCCCTCGGCGACTCGGCGACGTTGGCGCCTCGTCGCACAGCCTCGAGACGACGTTCTCTGCGCCAAGAAACGTTGCAGCGGGGACGTCGAGTGCCAGGCGAGGGAGAGTTGGCTAGATGGCGATAGTGCACCGCCTCACTCCGCAGCTAGAGGATAGCGGATAGCCAAGATCTTGGTTGCGATAGACGTTGCGATCGCTGTGACTGCGCCGTGAATCCGACGAGTCAGTGCAAAGCGCGTGCAGGACGCGAAACGAAGGAGACGAGAGGGACAGGCGGCGAGGCGGACGCACCAGAGAAGCAAGTCGTGCTCAAGATTCCCGCCCGCCCAAGTCCATCCTATCTGCACGCGGCGGCTTGATCACGAGCTCTCCGTCACCGCTGACCATGTGCGCTGGGTCGTGCACGTCGACGCCGTCGCCCGAAGGTGCAGCCTCGTCCACCTCGTCGATCCAGCCGGCGGGGACGATACAGGGTATCGACGTAGCGACCTGGGAGCGAGAAGTACGACGTTAGTACAGCGATCTCAGCACATGCAGCGGTGCCGAAGCAAAAGGACGCTTGAACCAGACTGAGAAGGACTCGAGACCCACCCAAGCTGCCCGGTTCAGCCATCCAGGCGCTCTTCGCCCCGTTAACCGATAGACTAGCTCGTCCGTGAAGGTGTTGCAGTTCCTGCGTGAAGAGGTAATCATCATCAGACGAAACCAGGCGAAGTGGAGCGCGACACTCACTTCTCGAGTAAGCGATATCGAGTCCCGTTCCAAGTTGGATCCGCCTTGAGCTCTTGCAGGATCCGGTATGCTCTCCGCTCGGCCTTGGTCATGTACTGCGTCCCGTCACTCGCGCCGCCATCATCCTCCTCCTCCTCCGCAGATCCGTCCGCCTCGTCGTCCACATCCTCGTCCGCCTTGAAGTCCATCTTCGGTGTCCGCCCTGGAGCTTGCGCTGAGTCGACGAGGTTAACGGTCGATCGCGAGTCGATGGACTGCCAGTCTCCGTACGACCGTCCAGCAATAGTCTCGTCCTCGCTAGCCTGGCGCGTCCTCTCCAGCCGCCTCCGTCGCTTCCGCTTGACAGCTCCTCCGCTGCTTCTCCGCCCGAACGCCTTCTCCCAGTCCTCCCCGAACGCAGTCCCAGCGTCGAGCGTCGAATAGTACCGCAAGCCCGGCATTCGCTGAGCCGCCGTTCCGGCCGGGATGCCAAAGACGCCCGTCACGTTTGGCGAGTCGTGTCCTCCGAAGGCGTACTCGGTCGGTGTAGGCGAGTGGTCCGTCGGTCCGAGGGGGATGCGAAGCTGGACTGACGAATGGTAGACGCCCGATCCGCTGTGAACAGACGCGGTGCTCGTCATTGCCTCGTAATGAAGGTAGCAGAGGCCACCACGCACATGAAGTTCAGCAGCGAGCCGAGTTTCGATGGTGGGAGCTGTTTCAAGATGAGGAGGAGAGGGGGTGAGCGGGACAGGTTGGGACGGCGAGGGTGAGCTGTGTGAAGACGTACGAGGTCGTAAACGACTATCTGGACCTGCAGTGACTCGTCAGCGTCTCTCGAAGCCATTGCCGCCGCTGTGGTCCTCGCCAACCCCCTCCTCGTCTCTCTCGCCTCGACTTGTCACCATTCTCGCACTCGTTGCCAGGAAAGCTTCGCAGGGACACCTACAGAAAGGCCTGCACACGTACCGGCTCAATATGGAGAACTACTAGTGCGCTCCTCGCTCCTCTCGCTCCTCCTCCCCACATTCCCATGGTTGCTCACCAACTCGCTTTCCTGCATCTCTTTACGCTTCGTGACGACTGCCAACACCTCTATCGCAACTTGCTCCACTCCCCCTCGCCCTCGAAACAGCGCCGGCAACCCTCTGAACCGGCTATCCTACCTCCGATCCTCCCAGGCGTTCCTCACCTCCGCCCTTCGCTCAGCCAAAGCCAAGTTCCTCCCGCTCGACTCGCTCTCTCCACTCTGCAAGCACGACAAGGACGGCGCGCGGCACCTCCACTTTGTCGGCTGGAAGGACGTCGAGGCGGTCGTAGGCGAGGCGGAGCAGGTCTTTGCCGGTGTCGACGGCAAGCGGGACGAGGATGTCCCCGAACTTGCGGTCCTAGGCCTCCAGGCGAAGCGCCTTGGCAAGACCCGCGTCGGAGACCTCTCGCACGACGAAAAGATGCGCTACTTCCTCGACCAGCCTGCACTCGTCTTCCTCGGCGTCGACGAGCGGTCCGCGCCCGAGTCGGCCAAGTCGCTGCCCGTTTCGAAGCCAGATGAGCACTCAACGCTCGAGACGCATTCGCCGTACGGCGAGCCGTACTGGGCTCTCGACGTCTCCGCCTTGCCGGACCTGAAGGAGAAGATCTTGCAGGCGAATGAGGGCGCCAAATTTATGGAGTTGCGGTCGGGCGCGCAGACCATGCCGACGCAGGAAGCGTCGATCGCGGCGGAGGCACGGGCGTTGGTGGACTGGAACACGCGTAACAAGGTGCGCGTGGGCGACGATGGCTTCCATTCGCTGGGTTCCCTCTCCGGGTGAGAGGCTGACCACCCTCTTCCCTCGCAGTTCTGTCCCGCATGCGCACGCCCGATCCGTTCCGTTTGGGCTGGCTGGAAGCGCTCCTGCATCCCCGGCGAACCTTCGGCGGACGGCGTTGACGGGCAAGCGACGGCATGCATCTCTCGCAAGGTGTGTCGAGTGACTCTCTGCCTTGCCACGTCCAGAGTCGAGGCTCACTACCGACTCGCATCGCAGGGCGTCCACAACTTCTCGTACCCTCGCACCGATCCGGTCGTCATCATGGCGGTTCTGAGTCCAGACGGCGAGAAGATCTTGCTTGGCCGGCAGGTGCGCTCAAGCTCCCTCCTTTGCTTTCACCGCCGACGCAGCCCGTCTGACCTTCTCGACGTCCTTCCGCAGCGAACCTGGCCCGCCCGCTTCTACTCCTGCCTTGCAGGCTTCCTCGAAGCCGGCGAATCCCTCGAAGAAGCCGTCCGGCGCGAGGTCTATGAAGAGGCGGGAATCGTCGTTGGAGATGTCGGCTACCACTCGAGTCAGCCCTGGCCGTTTCCGGCCTCCCTCATGTTTGGCTGCTGGGGAGTTGCGAAGACAGAGGAGATCCGAGTGGATTTGGATAACGAGCTTGAGGGTGCGTGCCGGGCTTTCGGTTTTGTCAGGCTGCGGACTGACCCGTTCTCTTCTCCTTCTCGCGTCTCTCGCCTTCATCTCGCTCCTGCCTCCTGCTACTCTGCCTCGTCTCACTCTTACCTGCGCTCTTCGGCGCTCCCTCCGTCATCCGTACGAAACCGCCCATACCCCTCTCCGTCACCCTCGCTTCGCACCTCCCGCAGACGCCCGCTTCTTCACCCGCGACCAAGTCCTCAAGGTCATCCAGTCGACGAAACCCATGCAGCTCAGTCGTGAACAGGTCGCACGGATCGATGGAAAGGAGGGCGCCTCATCGGACAAGCACGACCTCGAGGATGCGAAGAAAAAGGCTGACGACGAGGGATCGTTCCTGATGCCGCCGGCGTGAGCTCCCGCTCTCTCCTTGAGTTCTTGTGCGCGCGCTGATGTCGCCGTTGTGCGCAGGACTGCGATCGCCAACACGCTCGTCAGAGCTTGGGCGACGGGCAAGCTCTTCAACCAGGCGCCGGCGTCGGTGTCGAAGATGTAGACGGGAGGTGTAGACAATAACTTGGCTGCATTGAAGGCATGGCACACAGCCTCAGCCCGTTTGAGCGAGAGATGGTCACAAATCGGATTGCAAGGGAGCCGAAGGATCCGTTCTCTCCTAGGTCCGCAATCAACGCAGCTGGTTCCGCTTGATCTTCGGCACATCGGGACAGGCTTGCGCTTCACACCGGCGAAGCGAGAAAGCTAGAATCCAGCGGTTGAGCTGCCGGGAGTACATGTTCAGGTCTTCTTCCTCGCTCCGCGACTACAGTCGCCATGTCACCATAGTCGCCGCATTCACTCAAAAATCCTCGCAAAGTTCCGCGGCTTGGTGTACAGAATGTAGAGAACGTATGCGCAACCGTCGTTCAAGCCGCCTGCATTCCTACACTTTCATCCCCTCCTCTGCGGATTCGCCGTCTTCCTCCCTGCGCATCTTTGACTGCGTCGACGGGGCGATGGGCGAGACGGGGAAATTGCTGGGAAGAGCTGGCGAGGTTTCGTCTTGCTTTTGCTGAGCGAGCGCTATCTACCAGGCAGCACGCAAGTCAGTATGGAACGTCCGGCGCAAGCAGCTAGCAGCTCACCGTGTTGCGCAACAAGGCCTCCTTGCCGTGGACGAGTGTACCGTCCTTGAGACGGAACGCGTTGACTGTCTTCGACCATGACTGCGCAACTCGGAACTCGGAGAGAGACTTCTGCGTGGTACCCTTCGACAGGTCGTCGTATGAAGCCGTAGAGAGGAGGTTGAGCGAGAGACTGAGAGCTGCATCGGGGATACGGATGCACATCATCAGCAGGAGCGCAAGAAATCGAGAAAGCATCTGGCAGACTCACTTGCGCGCCCGTGTACCCTCTTCCTCGTCTTTGCCGGCTTCGGCGCGGCGTCAGGCGCAACCTCGTCGTCCGTTGTGCAAGCGCGCTTGGCGTTCGTATCGCCAGACGGAGCGGCTGGCAAGGCACCCTGCTGGTCCTCCTTGGCCGCCTGCGCCGATTCCCACAAACGCATCTCCTGCGTCCACTTCTCCAGCTCGACTTTCGTGCGAGATTTGCGCGTCTGCGAGTTAGCGTTGTCAGCACAAAATGAACAACTCGAGACAACTGGGTGCGCACCTCCTGCTCCTCCGCCGGCAAAGCCCTCCACATCTCGCCGATTCGCTTGTTGATCTCAGTTGGCGGCAGGTCGGGGTTGTTGGCCTTGACGGCGGCGCGGATCTCGTTCTGGTAGCTTAGGTATGCGCTGGCGGGTCGGATCGGCTTGTTCGGGTCGCTCGGCGGACGATGCGAGCGGTAGTCGGATCGGACCTCAGCGCGCTTCGTCGGGTCGGTCTGAGGCTTGCGCGTGACTGGAACAAGCGCATTCGGTTTGCGACCAGCCCGCCCCTGCCTGGTCTTCTGGTCCTGCGGCATGAGCGTTCCTTCGAGGAGAAGGAGACGAACTTCGGCGTCCACCACCTCATCGGCAGGGTCGTCTTCCGAGACGGGCGAGAAGCGGGTACTCCAGATGTGGACGGCGTTGTGCTGACGAGCCAGGACGATGGCGCCGCGAGACGCTGGGACGCGAGGATTCGGCCGCAGGTCAGCCGATGGCTTCTGAGCGTGCGAGTGTGAGTGGCTTACTGCGAGTACGGGCCGCACCCCAATACACCGATGAACCGAGCGCTCCAGCGAGGAGCATGCCCGGCAGTCTCTTTTCGATGCAGGCGACGCCGTACGGGTGGTCCGGATGCTTCGGGTTCGCCTTGACAAACTGGGCGAAGGAATTGTGGATCGCTGCTTGTGCAGCCAGTCAGCGCTTGTCCTTTCGCACTCGTGAGCGAGAATTGTCGCACCGTCGTTGCCGACCAAGTCCTCCATCAGCTGGTTGTACCAGCAGTCGACCAAGGTGGAGGTTGAGCCGATGACCCTGCCATCATAGTGGATCGGGACGGCGACGGCCTGCAGCATGTGTTTGTTAGCGTCATCATGTTGGGATCATCGCTCGTTGCGCTCAACTCGCCTTGTACGCGCTGCGCAACTCGTCGACAACCCGCTTGACTTCGTCGGCATCCCCTGTCGCGAGCAGATGTGCGTGGCAGCTGATACCGGTCGACATCTGGTAGCGGCATCGGGGTGCCATTCTGCCGGGATGAGGAATCGTCGAGAGAGTTCGCTTGCAGCGGAAGACTCGGAACCTGCGAACAATCTCGCTCAGTCCAGCTCGCAGGAGATGACGGTCGCCAAAGGAAAGACGTACTCGAGGCACGCAGAGCACATCACGAGGTAGGTCTGCCCGGCTTGAAGATCGAGCGCCGCCAACTTCTCCGACACGCGAGATCTGCCATCCTTCCCTCTTCGACGAAGTCGCTGTCCGACTGGCTCGCCATACACGACCTCGCTGGCAAGGGGGAGGTCGTAGGTCCGCGCTTGAACCGGCGTCATCTGCCGTGGCGCCGAGTTGACCACCGCTTGAGCTGCGTCTCGCAAGTCGCCCAGGCCTTCCTTCGTAAGTCCGCGCCATTCGGCGGGGCTGACGGGGAGGACGAGCCCGTTGTTGAAGCGGTGCGAGATGAGGCGTTCGGTAAGCGCAACGACCTCGCCGGCGAGAGGGTTTGATGCGGGGATGGTGATGCGCATCGCGGTTTCGGCGGACATCGAGCCAACGGCATGTTTGTGCATGTGGAAGAGAGAAGTGAGGCCGGATCCGTTGTTCGAGGGATTTGCCGAACCTTCTTCGAGCTCGACGACGCGGAGGGAAAAGCGAGTGAGGACTTTCCGCTTTGTGTGAAAGAGGGCCGTCTTGTTCGATGGCAGATTGACGATGGTCCATGAGAAGAACGACGACGTGTCGTAGGTCGCCGGAACGCCGAGAGGAAGCGGCGGAACAGCCGAAGCTGCCGTCCGCTTCTCGACGAGTCGATGGAGATTCTCCTACGGGGAGCACCTTTTAGTGACGGTTCTTTGAAAGACAAGCTGGATACTCACGTGGTGGAGACGATTGCCGGCGATGAGGGCGGGAACAAGCTTGCCGGCTTGGTCGGCCTGGATGATGAAGTGAAGCTTGGAAGATCCCGCTCGATCGAGGCGACTGGAACCTATCAGTCAGTCTTGACAATACCTGCTCGAGTCGGAGGACTAGGACGCACCGCTGGGACCAGGGGAATAGCATCGACGAATTGAACATGTCGTTCGCCCATTCGAAAGACGTCGCGAAAACGCAGATGATTCCGCGGTCTCCGTCTGCATTGAGGTGCTCAATATCGTCTGCTGCCATGACGCCAGTCGTCGGGTCTCCCTGTGCGCGGTAAGGTCAGCTTGGACCGACGCGAGTCGAACGCTTCGGCACGCACTCCGGCTTGCTGCTTAAGTACAATGGGCTTGAGCGTGTCCCGCACATCTCCCGATGCGCCAGAGGGGAGCGCAACCTCAAAGCGCGACGCCTGACCGCTCCCGACGAGGAAAAAAGGACCTTCGAGGCGCCGTTCGCTCGCCTCCTCGGCCGTCCTGACTGACGCACACTCGCCCTTTGCGGCGAACCCGACGTCGAGCCACTCCTTCACCTTTCCCTCTTCAAGCAGCGGCTCCACATCCAGCGACTCGTCGAAGTTGAAGTCGGGCGGCAGGTCGGTCGTTTCGGCAGAGTCCGCGGCCGGCGACGCCTCTGGACTGGTCGTTGGGTGTACGCCTGACGAAGGCGTCTCGCCAATGACATCTGCGGGGGAGCCGCCAGTTGGTGTCGGAGGAGCAGGCGCGAAGAAATTGGCGGTGGATGCGGTGTGCGAGTCGTCGTCGTAGAACATCTCGCTGTCCTCATCCTCATCTGTCTCGTCACGCTCGGACTCCCAGTCTTCGGCAAGTAGTCCCTCGTCTGCGACCCCCGCAAGCTCGAGCTCGAGGCAGTCTGGAGGGTGAACGCTCGACGACCGCTCGTTCCCATCGTCATTCGGGCGCTGGCGCTGGCGCGAGTCGGGATGAGCAGGAACGGAGGTCGGCTCTTGAACATTACGGTCGGCGGACGGGTAGTCCGTTCGAGGGATGATGACGGCGGGACCGGGACCGAACGCTGGAATGGTGATGGGCTTGAACGGAGGGGTGTTGCTCGAGAGCGGCATCGTAGACGGCGGCGAGCCTCCGTCGTCCCGATGAGCGTGTCCGTGATCCGAGCGAGGGACGGCAAGCTTCGCTTGCACCGGGAAGATGGGCTGCAGAGGGTCGTCGACGAGGAGATGCGTATTCTTCCGCAATTCCTCGGCATGCGGGCCATGCAGCTCGTCGATCGAAGCGACGAAATGGCTCCGACCGTCGTAGAAAATGCGAATCGGATGTTGGTGAGGATCGCCGTGCAGTAAGCTGCGAACTTGGGCGATGGTCGCTTGCGTCGACTCGTTGGCGGTGTAGATCGGTGCTGGAAGGAAGCGAGTGCGCGAAGGGAAGCCGTAGTCGACTTGCGAAACGGAGAAGAGGATGACTGGGCGGCCGATCACGGTCGAGAGAACCGCGAAATCCGGGCCGTCCAGCCAGGTACCGTCCTGACCTTTCCATTCGACGAGCTCGTCCATATTGTAGACGCACTCGACGCCGTGTCCTCGTGTCTGGACGGTGACGTAGCCACGCTCGCGCATCTCCGGCGGCGCGTAGTTCTCGAGGGTCGGGTAGACATGGCGAAAGACGTTGACCATGGCGGTGCGGAGGTACGAAACGTCAAGGCCGGCGGGCTCGCCCATCGCGATACGAAGTGCGTCGATGCCGCAGTTCCCGTCCGCCGCCGTGAGCGCCCCGCCTCGAATCCAGCAGTTGTCGGAACAGTCGACCGGCGGCTCGTCGACAGGCTGATCGGGGCGGGGATTTTCGGCAGGAGGTCTGCGGTCCAATCCGCCTCGAAGTCGCAGCGACAACGCGATGGTTGCCCCACGCGCGATGTTGTAGTCCGCTAGCTTCTTGTTCCCGCGAAGGACCTGATCGGCGAGCGTTAGGACTTGAGCCTTAGGGCAAATGCCGGTCTTTGTGCGGATCGCGGCCTTGAGTTCGACCACCGTTGCCGAGAGCGGGATAGGGAGAACGAGCTGCACACGGTCAAGCCATCAGCTATAAGTCCCGTGCGCATGCTCTGAGACGTGGCGAAGTCAGACAGCGAACTCGGACGCACCGTCTTTCCGTCCGGCCTTCGCACGAACACTTGCGACTCGCCCTTGGCCACCTCGAACTCGATCACCTGTCTCCTCGCGACGCCTAGAGCGTGTGCCATTTCGAGTTGCTTGAGACCGGTACCTGCGACGCGGACGCGCTGGTCGACAGCGTGCAGGCCGGTCGCGGACTGGAGGGCAGACTCGATCTCGTTGAACGCTGCGCTGGAGCGAATGTCGAGCTTGACCTGCGGACAGTAGATGTCAACCGAGCTGTCGTTCTTGTCCTGAGAAACGAGCGCACCTTGAAAGCAACACCGTCACGCTCGGTCGAGTTGACCTCGACTTGACCGTGCGAGCCGTTCTTGACCGGCTCGGGATCGCTGCGAAGCTTGCATGGGAGGAGCGCGTTGCGATACTCCGTTGCGAAGGAGGGAGAGAGCGCGAGGAGGGCTGGATAAAACGGGAGGACGAAGAGGGGAGGTCAGCGAGCGGAATAGCAGATGGCTTTCCCCGACTCACCCTTCGTCCTGCCCCACTCCCGCCTCTCCTTCCGCACTTCCCAGCTCGGCTTCTTCTCTCTGCCCACCCAGCTCCTTGGCAGCCTCCTTCTCCTCCTCCAGCCGTTCGTTCCCTCCGTAACCCGTCCCTTCCTCGTCACCCTCGGCGAGACGATCACCCACGCGAGCGCGGCGACCACCTGCTCAAGGCGGATGTTGCGAGCGACGCGCGAGAGGCCGAGAATAGCGAGCGAGATGAGGTAGGCGAGCAGGTCGACCGCACGAACGACGTTGCCGAACAGGATGACAGGATAGAAGAGGTCGTGCGTGATGGTGTAGAGGAGAGTCGCGAAGTACATGGCGGCGTAGGTGAAGAAGTAGGCGACGTGAACGAGGGCGAGGCGAGGTTGCGCCGCGGACGCGAGCCGAGCGAAAGGGAGGAGGAGGACGGTCAGGAGAGTTGAGATGATGAGGACTGCGCTCGCCGGGCTGTTGTACGCAGCGAGGGCAGTGAGGGCGCCGTGCACGACGCTCCACATCCCGGCGAGAGTTGTCGGGACGAGGAAGCGGTCGAGGCGGCTGCGTAGAGGAGCGTTGGCGAGTGCGGGCGGCGGAGGGTGTGAGTGCGTGTTCTGGGGGGTCGTGTGGATGGCGCGCGGGAGCGAGTATGGCTCGGCTGTGAGGTTTCAGCGGAACAGTCGAGGGGAGAGGGACAGGAGCGTGAGTGAGCGGAGGATGAAGGTTGGAGATCGTCAACGCACCGCGGACTCTCGCGGACAGCCTGAGTAGTCTACTGAACACTCGATTACTCTTATACACACGCTCTCCAACCCGCCCTATGACGCCCCGCCGCGTCCGAGGCCGTCCTCGCCGCGTCCTCTTCTCCTCGACCCGCTCCGCCTCGCCTCGCGCCCTCGTCATCTATTGTTCTCCGCATTCCTCCTCCTGTTCATCTCGCAATGGACACGGTGGCCTCTGGAAGCGGTAGGCGGTGTGGGGCGCGGTCCTTGCGGTCCAGGCGGGGCTGAGGGCTGTGTGAGCGAGGCGTCAGCGCGAGTGTAGGGCTCACAACAGCGTGGAGAGACTCACCTGGGCGATCTCGAAGTCGGGACATCCCTGCAGAGAGCGGGGAGGTGGTAGATGTCCGCTTGTGTCGCCTGCGAGGAGACAAGGTCCGCGGACCCTCCGCAACTTGACGGCGCGGGTCTTGCGCGGGTCCGTGAACGCCTGCGAATGGAAAAGAGACGCCAATGCATGCGAGTGGGCGAGGCTGAGCAGTCAGCGAGCCGAGAGTGTCGAGTTCCCGAGAGTGAAGGAGAGTCGCTGAATCCAAATGCTGGTGTGGCTGGTCGGCGGGGACCTGCCCGTGTTGCGTAGCGAGTGAACGACTTCGTTCGAGCGTCGGGCAAGAGCTATGGTCGACTCAGAGGTCGTCGGCGAGCAAGTCTGATCGGGGCGAACGGCCGCGGCAGAGGAGGTCGACTAGAGTCCGTTCGCGACGGGCGACGCGGTTGTAGCCGTGCAATACGTCGTGAAGGCTCGTGCTAGAATGTCGTGAGCTTTGAGGTTGTCGAGAAAGGGAGGCGAGCAACAGCGAAAGCCCGAGCCCGTCGACAAGCCTGAATTGTTGCTGCAAGAGGACGAGCTGTGCAGCAACGACATGGTCAGTGGCTGCAGTTGGGACTCGCACGAGCGTCACGACTCGAGTAGGGGAGCGCTGCACCTGAACCTGTCCCAGTCTCGTCCGGGGGGGAGAACCTTGATCGAGCGGGTATGATCGTGTTGCGCCCGAGCTCGTGTGCTCGGATGGACGAGTAGGGCGTCCAGCGGTTGAGCAGCCATTGGCGGTCAAGTTCGGGCGGAAGTCGCAAGGTTATGGGGGGAGGAGGCGGGGCAGTGCTGTTGAGCGATTTGCCATCTCGACGTGCAAGAGGCTTGCGGGTCCGCGACGACGCTTGATCGCGATCCTGAAGAACGAAGACAGCCTGTTGAAAGCCATGCGGCGGTGAGGGCGCACGAGAGAACGGGAAGCGGAGGTGGTCGAGGTTGGTCAGGGTGGCTGGTAGGCGCGCGCTGACAGCGCGCGGCGTAGGCGCGTAGGCGATGTCAGCCGTGCAGGCGTCATGCGACGGCCGGACAGCATCTCGCATCTGCCCGAGTGCGTATGAACTAGGGCGAAGGGACGAAGAGCAGCAGTGTGTCGACGAGCGCGAGCGGGAACGAAGGTCGAGTCGTCGTCAGCGAGTCGATCTCGTAGACGGGGCGAGGGCCGGGTAACGCTCTACGATAGGGATTGGCGCGCTCTGGCAGGCCCAGCATCAGCGCAGAAGCGCTCGACCGGTATCTGCCGTGCGAACTGAGACACCATCCTCCATTTCGCGAATCCTGACTCGCCTTTTTCTGCCGCTACGTGCTCCAGGGTGAACGAGAGGACGTATCCTCGAAAGACGCCCTTGCAGGCAAGTAGCAGATGTAGTTGCCCTCGAGTGACCCGACGAGAGCGACCAAGCGCTAAATCCTCGAGACCGCCCGTGGTCGGGCCATCCGGCGGGTTCTGGTGAGCTCGGTCGCACGCAGAGACGCTGTATTGTGCATAGGAGGACGAGGTGCATGCAGGCTGTTCCCGACGAGCGGATGCATGGTCAGCGCGAACGTCGGGTACGAGGAGACGGCGACGACCCTCGCGCCGACCATGACTAGGCAGCACGTCACGCACCTTCGGTATAGTCACCGTGAATGCACTACTCGCAGATGCGCCAGCACGTATCGTCCAGCACGAAGGAGGGCACGAGGGGACAAGGATCGCCTCGATCGTCCGTATCGACGTCCTTCGAGCCTGCAGCCTCTCGGCACGCATCCTGCGCTCGAACGTAGCCTCCCTTCTTCTTCGTGTGGTCCGCGAAGCCGTGTGTCCAAGTCGTGATCCTCGTCGCCGGGTCGCTGATGACGGTCTCTGCTAGAGAGGAGAGCCCGAGGGCCGGTCTTGGTCGTGTCGAGGGCGTCGTTGCGAGGCATAAGCATAGCACCGCTAGCAGAGACGCACGACGAAGCAGGGTAGCGAGTGGAACGGAGAGAGCACGACTCTCGGTAGATGCGGGTCTCGCAGACTCGCTACCGTCGTGTGTGGTGGGCTGCTCACGATACATGTGGACACAAGCGCCTGCTCGAATTCTGGTTTGTCCTCAATGACTCTCGGTAGAGTTGGGTCTCGTCGTCTTTGGCATTACGGCGAAGAGGCAGGCGTTTGCAGCAAGGCCAGGCAGCCGAGGACCTCTTCTCACATGCGTGTGGTATGTACCGATGAAGTGTCGGGCTGCATTCGCAAGTACAGTGCGGCAGAAGGTGTAGAACGAGATGTCAGAGCGTCGGTCGAGAGGAACGGGTTCGCTGTGTTCGGGACATCCGCTGCGAGTGCGGTTGACTGCCTGGCGAGCCGAGAGTCAGTGTGCAGGAGGGGTGAGTGCAGCTGTGCGTACGACGAATGATCCGCCTGGACGCCCGCTCTCGCCCTCGACAACCTCGTCACCCTTGGCTCCACATTCCTCGCCTCCTCGCGACGGCGCCGGCTCGCGGAGATGCGGAGAGGTCGGAGAAGATGCTTCACGTGCACCTAGGTTCGTGCACGATCACGCGCGCTCGTTTGTTTGGCCTGCAATCATCGACGCTCGCTCGGTCGCCTCTCCCTTCGCTCTCTCGCTTCCACCTTCCGCCCCCACTCGTCCCCACCACCGACCCCTCCTCCGTCTATCAGCCTCCGCCGCGCCACAGTTCCCCGCTCCTATGTCTCGCAGCATACGAGGAATATAGAGCGAGACTCACGTGCCTCCCGCTCGCGCCTGTTCGCGGTGGTTTGGTGGTGTAGTACGTTCGGCGAAGGGATCGGCCTGCCAAACAGGATTTACAGCCGCGCACAGCTCATGCAGTAGGCTCGACCGAATACGGCGTAGCAAGAGTACTGGCGCTTCGGCCGTCGAGGCTATTCTGCGGACGCAGCTGATCCGCCGCCTGTGTGGGACCGGGGAAGAGCGCAGGCTGCTCTTTTCTTCTTGATACCTGTCGCGTGCAATCCCCTCAAGGCGCCCATTGAGCTGCACTGGGAAGTGCAGCCTCTGCGCCGAACCTCGTCAAGAACCACGACCACAACGTCGCGAGCTTCCTCCCGCTCGTCCTGTACGAGCAGTTCAAGTTACTCTACAATTTCTGCTTCCTCCTCGTCGCCCTCTCACAGCTTGTCCGGGCGATCCGCTTCGCTGCGTGAACCTCCGCTCTCGATGATTCCGCTTGCTCAGTCACTCATGTTTTCATCCTCTCACCGGCTTCCTCGCGGGCTACATCGTTCCCCTCGCCTTCGTTCTCGCCTTCGGAATCGGCAAAGAGGCGTTCAACGACTACAAGCGCTACCTACGAGATCGAGCCGCCAACTCCGCCCTGTACAGTCGCCTCATTCCGCATTCCGCCTCGACCCCTCACTCGTCCATGCCTCGTCTCCCACGCCCTCCTCCGCACCGCCTGCTAATCCTAACCCGACAATTCAGGTTCCAAAGATGGCTCCCTGAACCAGGCGTCCGGCTCAAACACAGAGAGCTCGATGCCAATGGTCTTCAAGCGTTCCTGCAAGACCCAGAGGATCTCGTCGAAAACCGGCCCGTAGTTCGTACGATTGACGGAGATGGAGCGAAGAGATGGTGCGTCGCAAGAAGCCCAGTCGAGCACTTTGAAGGCGTCCTCCTGGAGGAACGGCAGGATGTTCCATAACTTGAGCTCGACGAGTTTGGGGAAGGGCGGGAGACAAGGGTCAGGGAAGGGATCTGCGCGGTCAACTACGATTGCTGCACGCTCGAGAGCGGGGCAGACCGAAGCAATGATGTCGATTTCTGCCGCTTGAAGGCCGTCCGGGTGTTCGATGCAGAGCGAAGTGAGGTTGGGAAGCTTGTTGGCCTTGACAAAGATGTCCATGATCGGCGCAGTCGAGGTGACCGCCCCGCGCGTGACGATAGTCAGCTCGGTCGTATTCTGGCCGGGGATGAAGCATGGCTTCGGGTGCTCCTCATCCGCCTCGGGGTACCAGGGTCGTAGGTCGCAGATCTGGAGCATCTTGCAGTTCGGAAGAAGGCGGCTTGCCAGTGACTTCACGGCGGGCGAGTCCCGGCCGGTGTCCCATTCGCTGTCTGCAAACTCGATGGTGCAGTCGATGACGCCTTCGCGCAGAAACTTGGCTGCGGGTGTCATGAGCTCGTAGACGTCATGCTCATTGCGTAAGATGAGCGTATGGACCTCTGCGACGGCGGCTCGAAGGCAGAAGCGGCTCGAACAGGCGAAGGAGACGAGGTCGCCCATGTCGAGCTCGACGAGCTCGCTCGCGACTCGGGCGACGAGTTCGAGCGGAAGGTAGTACAAATGCATCATCTGCAGGCCTGGGACAGTCAGCGTACGCCCCCGCGGCAGGCCAAACCAACGATTTCAGGTGGACGCACGAGCAGAGGCTCTGCGGCGAGCAGAAGACTCGGGCGGGCGCGGGCGCTGCAGCAATGGCTCAAAGACGGCCGTGTAGCGAGTTCGAGGCCTCCCCAAGCGTGTCAAGCGAAGGAGCAATTCGAGAGAGAGAGGAGAAGAAGACCGCGCAGCAGGACGAGGTGGGGGCAGCGAGCAGCCGGCGAGCGATCTCTCGAAGCCCTTCTAGCCAACGACCACCGAGTCTAGGAGCTCGCATCTGAACTGTGCTGTCCCAGATCGCGCCACGAGAACAGGACGCGAGCGCGGTGAAGAATATATGCACGTTGTTGTTTCTCCCCAGAAATTGTAGTTCAGGTGGCCAAGACGTAAGGCGTGACGCTTACACGTATTTTATTGAGACCCGTCAAGATCGTGGGTTCAATCCCCACCCTGAACAGCTCCTTTTTTTGCGGTCTATGGACGGGCTCCTACGCTCCCCGGGCGCTCCAGCGGTGTGCAATCGCAAGGAGTAGTGTCTCTTTTGCTGCCGAAGCGCTGGGAGACCGCTGGTGGGCCGATGGACGGAGGAAAGGGTCGCGGAAGCTGGAGGAGGAGAGGCGGAGCATGCTCGGCGGGGGCGGCTTCGCAGGGCTAGCTGCGTGCTGTACGCCAGTATAGGGACGTATTTAGGCCCAATGGAAGCCTCAGCCAAGCCTACGAGCGTTTGTGGAGCTGGCAGTAGCAAAGTGATGAAGAGACAGGAGCTTCGGGGCGGAGGCGGGACAGAGGCGTCGATTCTTCGCGCGACTGACGACGGAGGCTGCAGAGAGCTTCAATAAGCAGCTTGCGGTTGACTGAGCTAGCAGCAGCAAGCACACGACGAGCGCACCAATGCTGGACCTTCGCAAGTCCCTCTCGCCAGGCCATCCTCTCAGCCAATCCTCCGACACAGCCTGCTAGGTACTCTCTTTACGTTCTTTCTCGGTCTACAACGGTCTCCGACGCGTCTAGATCTTGTACGTGACCTTCTGGCCCGAGTTCTGCCCTCGTAGAACCGTCAGCAACGCTGCAGGCTTTTTGAAGCGGATGGAGCGGCTCACACTGCCTGCCTTGAGGTACTCGAGGCCCTCGGTGATGTTGTCGAGGCCGCCGTCGAACGAGCGGATCGGGTTGGCCTTGAGCTTACCGGAGGCGAAGAGGTCGGGAAGGATGTTGGCGCACCTGCGGTCGGGGAAGCGAGGCGAGTCAGCGGGAGCTTGAGTTGGCATAGGCATCGTCGTGGTTGCAGCGAGCAGACAAGAGGCGAAGAGAATGCAGGACGCACCACTCCTCCATCTGACGCTTGTCTTCCGGCATCGCGGGGAACGTGACGCCCGGCCAGTCGAACTCGACGCCCAGCACGGTGTCTGCACACGGAAGAGTGGTCAATACTGCATCAGGCCGCACAGAACGAGCGTTACGCACAAACAAGGTTCATCTCGGCAGGAACCTTGTCCTTGTACTGCTGGAGCTCCTCGTCCTTGTTCGTCAAGAGCGTCATGATGTGGCCCTCGCCCTTGGCCGCAGCGACAGCCTTGACGCAGGAGACGGTCGTCTTGCCCTCGGCGATCGTGTCGAGGCCGTACTGGAGCGACGGGTAGTCCTTGGCAATCTTCGACGAGACCTCCGGGTCGGAGTCTGCACAGCCGTAGTCGAAGAGAGTCAGCGAGCACCTCAGGCAACGGTAGCTGAGACATGAACGCACAGGAGTAAGCAGCAGCCGCGCCAAACTCCTTGACGAGGTCAAAGTTCTTCTCGCTGCAGACAGCAATGGGCGTGTACCCCGAGAGCTTGAGGAGTTGGAGAGCGTAGAGGCCGACAGAGGTCGAACCGCCCCAGATCAAAATGGGCTCGGCGTTCTTTGTCGGGTTGGAGGGGAGGTTGAGCTTGAGTCGCATGTAAAGCGCTTGAATCGCGGTCCCTGAGGTTCAGTCGAGTAGAGTCAATGCTTCGAGACTTTCGAGGACTCAAGGAGACGGCGGACTCACAGGGACCGATACCGCCCGCTGCAGCCGCCTCCTCGTCGCTCACGTTCTCGGGCACCTTCCAGACGAGAGTCGCCTGCGCCTTGACATACTCGGCGAACGAGCCCTCGCCCTCCCACTGTCCACCGTGTACAAATGCAGCGACGCGGTCGCCCTGCTTGACGTTCGAGACGCCCGAACCGAGTTTCTCGACTGTGCCGGCAAAGTCGCAGCCGAGCCACGAGTTGTCCGGGGCGAGAAAGTCGCGGCTGTGCGTATTAAAAGCAGTGTGAGCCGGGGCAGGCGCAGGCGAACGATGGAGAGACTCGCTGTTTCCCTGTCAACGCGAAGGAAAGGAGGTCGACTTGGTCAGGCTGCAGGTTTCTGCGAGGCGGAACAGCCGGAACGCACAGTCAGTCGGGTTGAGAGCGATGGCACGAGTCTGTCGAACGGAAGAAGGGCGTAAATGAGGAAGCCGGGACGTGGAAAGGGAAGCGAACGCTGGACCTTGACAACGACCTCTCCGGGGCCAGGCTCGGGGATGGGGAGGTCGCGGATCTCGGTCTTGCCCTTGGTGGGAACGACGACGACTTTGGGCATTGTATTGATGTTAGTAAGTGGGATAGAGTGAGAAGGAAGAGGGAAAGAGACGAAGCCGACTTGATCTCCGGATCGCTGACGGAGACGACGCCTCCACTTCCGCGCTCCGCGCTTGACGGACGACGTGCTCGCTCAGCATGGACACCAACTGCACAGACTGCACGCCAGGATCATCCAACAGCGCGGGCAAAGCGTCACCGTCTGCGAACCCCGCTTCATCAGTCTCGAGGCCGGACGACCCCGCCCTGTTCGACTCGTCCACCTTCGAGCCGCCAGAGCTCGGCAGCAGCGAGGGAGAGACCCCCAGACTGTGCATCGAGTTCTGCGACCGCTGCAGGGTGCGTTGTCGCGGTGTTCTCGCTCGCTTGTTCTTCGTCATTTCGTCGCGAGGAGACTCACTCCAACCTGCTGTGCGCGCAGTGGCTTCACAGAGCAACATGGACTCAGACTGAGCTCTTCCTGACCTTCCCACCCTCTACCCACTCGTCGACCGGCCTCCGCTCCATTTCGCTTGTCCCTCGCAACGCTCCCGAGACGGGCGGTCGCTTTCGAGTCTGGCTGTTGCGGGATACGGCTCAGCGAGACGCGCAAGGGAAGGAGAAGGAGAAGTGGAGAGGCTGGGAGCTCGTTTGGGATCGAAAGATTGAGGGAGGCTTCCCTGAGATGAAGGAACTCGTGCGTCAATTCCTCTTCTCCTCGCCCTAACGACGCTGAGGAGGTTGCCCATACAGAAGCAACGCATCCGCAACCTTATCGCCCCGTCACAAGACCTGGGTCACAGCGACAAGCCCGCCAAATCCTCCAATCCCGTTTCCTCCTCTCCCTCCGTCGACGCCCCTCCTCCAGCCAACACAGCCGCCGAGTCCGTCTCGAAAGGTCCAGCAGGAGACGTAGCGGACGATGCGGAGGGTGTGACGCTTGGAGCGCAAGGAGGTGCGGCGCCGCCGGCGGAGGAGGAGGGGATGCGGCCTTTGACGAAGGCGGATTTCGAGCCTCGATTTCGGTGCGCGTGAGATGCAGGGCGTACGGATGTGCGTATGAATTGCAAGCGACAGAATGTACGGTACATCGTGTATGCCAGAGCAAAGGGGACAGGGCGAGACTCGTCACGGCTTGAAATCGTCCTCGTCCATCGGGCCTTCTTCATCGACGCAGGCGTCGATCCATTCAGTCGTGACGATGCGGCGGTAGCGGGGCCTGGAGGAGCAGAGGCGTCAGGACGATCAGCCGGAAGAAGCGAGAAAGCAGGACGCACTCCGAGGTGCGGTTGATGAGCTCCTTGTAGCGGTCAGGAACGAGCTTGGTGACGATGATGTGCGTGAGCTTCGGGTTTTGCAGGTCATCAGTCGCGACGCCGCCGGCTTCTTCGAATGCTGCGAGACGGAGCAAGGTCAGCTTGAGCAAGCCGTCGCAGGGTTGGGTGGCACCTCGGACGCACCGGTCTTGGCCTTTGCGAGTCTAGATGCAGAGATTGGTCAGCGAAGCGAACGGAGAATTGTGCTAAACCGAACGTACTGCGAGTCCGCAACCGTCTGCACGCGATCGGAGGCCTTCGAGCTCGGTAAGTCGTTCTTCTCGGCGCCCGCACGGGTGTCAAAGTACGCCACAAGCGGAGCGAGCGGACGCTCCGGGTCGAATGCCTTCTGGTCGTCCGCGCCAGCACCCATCCCAGGCGAAGCATCCGTCAAGCCGTCGTTGCCCAATTCGAGGGTCTCGCTGCGCGCGGAGGAATCGCCCGCTTCGAGCTCGAGATCCTCGACGTGGCCACCGAACGAGTCGGCGTCGGGCTTCTTCTCCTGCGACGAGTTCGCACCGAGGTCGAGCTTGCCGACGTCCTGGTTGATCGCATTGACGGGCGGCGCCATCGTGCCCTTGCGCGGCCAGTAGTCTTCGTACCGCGGAACGTCAGGCAGCGGCGCGTCCTCCGTCTTGACGGCTAGCACCTCGCCTTCGTCGTTCTCCGTCTCGGGGTCGTCCTCGTCATCCGCTGCGACCTCTCCGCGGTATTGCGACCAGGCTTCGGCGGCAGTGATGCGACGCGGAGGCTCCTGCGCGATGTCGGGCTTGACGTCTTCTGAGCTTTCGACCTGCATGCCGTCGTCGTCCGAGTCGGCTGCGTAGTCGGGACTCGACATCGTCTTCGGCATGGCGCGAACGAGGTAGCTGCGTGGCGCGTGCGTCAGTCAGGCGCTCTCGCCAAAGCTGAGTGAGACGTACCGCTTGTGCAACGGGAGACGGCGCCCGCGCTCGATGCTTTTGAGGACCCACTCCGGCGTGACGATGTCGACCTCCTTGCCGCCCTTCTTGTTCTTGATGCCTGCGCACAATGATCAGGGACGGAAGCTTTGCCAGACCCGCACTTCAGACGTACCTGCATACTCGGACGCCACGACGACGCGCTCTATGTCGGCAGGCGGGATCGTCTGGATGTAGTTGCCGCCGGCCTCGACGACCTTCTTCTGCACCTGCTCCTTTAGCTCGGGCGGCTTCGTCTGATGGATGTCTGCGCGAGGACCCAGGTCAGATGCCGTACGAGCGATGAGCGGCGAGACTGCGCAACGCACAGAAGACGACGCCCTCGAAGACGTCGGATGTCTTCTCGACTTCGCCGACAGCGCTCGAGACGGCCCGAGCTTTACCGCTGCGGTTGACGCGAATCGCCTTGGATTTTGAGCTAGCATACGAAGATGGGTCAGCAGGCTGGAGGCGGGCAAGTTGCGACGAAACGAACTCACGCCAAGTCGTCGCCGAACGGACGCTTCTTCGGAGCACGACGGAAAGCGAGAACGGCTGCGAGTTAAGCAGTCAGTCTTCTGTCAATGCGGTGGCACAGTCAGACTTACTCTCAAAGTCCATGGAGTCCGACAACGGATCCAGCTCGTCGCGAATTTTCGAGGCGCCTGCGAGAAGGGCTCGTCGGCTGGAAGACGGCACGGAAAGGAACGCTCCAACTTACGAGGGAAGCGAAGAGTCATGCCGGCACCGTACTCGGCTTCAAGGGACAGAGTCAGCGCGGTTCGAATGCACAGGGGAAGTCCGCGCTCACCACCCTCGACGATCTCGGCAGCCTTGATCTCGATGATGAAGGAGCTGCAGGCGGAAGCGTCAGCTCAAGCACAAGCTCGGAGCGGTTGCAGTTAAGACGCACTCTGCTGGGTCGATGAGAACATCGGGCCACTCGGTGACCGTCTCGAACCAGTCAGGGACCGACTTGGAGTCCCTGCGGTCGAACTCGATCCATTTGCCGCGCGTGTTCTCGCTGTTGCGGGAAGACGGTCAGTAACGACCGGTCGTAGCAGGGCTAGAAGGGACGCACACGATCCAGGTGTAGTCCGTCCGCGAGAGTCCCGATCCGACCTTGGCAAACGACTTGTAGCTGCGAGCGTATGGGAAGAGTGTCAGCCAGGCTCGGGCGAGCCGGGGAAGGGCGGACGTACACCTCCTTGCCATTCTTGGTTCCCCTCAAACCGACAAGGAAGGATGCGAGCCGGCCGCCGCGACTGCCTTGGCCCCAGTAGCCACCGACGATGAGCCCGTCAATCTTCTCCCCGAGCTCGTCCATGTAGTCTGCAACGAGCGCATCAGAAGAGCTTGCGGAGAAAGAGAGGAAGGTGACGCACCTGGCTTGATCTTGACCCACGAGTCCATCCGGCCGCCGAGGACGTACGTCGAGAGCGGATGCTTGCAGACGAGCCCTTCGCCGCTGCAGGAGAAGGCGTCAGCGTCGTTCAGGCGAACCGAAAGCAAGTCGGCTTACCGCTCCTCAAGGATGCGCTGCAGGTACTCGCGGATGTCGTCGATGGAAGAGCCCCTCGCGCAGTCAGCGATCTCCATGACTCCCTGCTTCTGCGTGATGACCTGCCCGAGGAGGTGCTTGCGGCGCCAGAGCGACTTTTCGATTAGCGGCGTTCCCTTTCCGCCTTTGCCCTTGATGTAGAGGATGTCGAAGACCTTGACTGCGGAGCAGGGCCCTGAGTCGAGGCCCGGACTTGAGAGGAGGATGGAACGCACAGCAGGGACGCGGATCATTCGGGCCGAAGTGCTTCGTCTCATTCGACGCGAAGGTCTTGAGATTTCCGAAGGCCATGTATTTGCCAATCTTCGGATCCCAGACGAGCATCTCGCCGTCGAGGATGACCCTGCGAGGCCGAGCTGTCAATCAGGCGTCTTTTGCGGAGGAAAGGGAAGAGCTCGGCGCACTCCTCGATGTTCTCGTTCAGGCAGTCCTGGATGAAAGGTGTGAGCGAGCCGGTGGCAGCGTCGGAGCCGTAGAGATACGTGTAGTCCTTCGACTTCCTGCGCGAACGGACATCATGTCAGCGTGTTCGTCCGACATCGTGCCCAGCAGGGAAGACTCGCCTTGACGCGTACATGTACGTGTCACCCTTCTTGTGCATCTGAATGCGCTCGCCGTCGAGCTTCTCCTCGATGATGAACTCGTCCTTCGCGTACTCGCCCTCCTCGAGCGGGCGGTTCGGATCCTGCGCAGACCTGTTGCGCCTCATCGCCTTGATCACGTCCGAGAGCGAACGCTGCGTACGCCAGCAGAGCATCGGGCGGAAGACGTGGGTAATCTTGACGGTGTGGTCCTGCGGAGCGGAAACGGTGAGCGATTGCGCCGGACCAGCCTTGGCGCCATCCGTACCTCATGCGGGATGCGGTGGTGAGGGTCAAACAGCTTGTAGCAAACCCGCTTGATGTCGGAGCAGGTGTTGAAGAGGTCCATCGCGTCCGGGTGGAGCTGGTTGAAGATGGTCTTCTCGCCCATGCCAATCTTGAGGTCTGCGGTAGCGGTCAGAATATCAGCAACGAGCTTTCAACTGCGGCATCTTGGGACTCACCACGCAGAATGATACGGATGAGCCACTTCATCTCGGCGGGCGTCATCTTCGAGACGCAGCGGCGAAGGATGCGGGCGTGCTCCGCTCTGCCAGTGTAGCTACCGTGAGTAGCTGGTCTGGAAAAGGCGAAGACGCAAGACCCACTGCATGCCCCTCTTCTGCCCGTTCGCGTCCGTGGTCGTTCCCCTCGTCTGGGACAGTTCGTCAAGCGTCTCGTTGATCTCGTCAATGGTGACATCGCTGACGGCGCGAATGACTGTCGAGCGACTCTTGATGACGTCGTAGGCGACGGCGCTGTACGAGAGCGGGTCAACGACGAGTCAAAGCCCAAGAATGAAAGTCGACGCACGCAAACTCTCCTGCCCCAGGCTGTCGACCAGCTGTCAGGCGTCGCATGCCCCTGGAAGAGGGAACGATCACGCACATCCTCCTTAGTCGGGACCTTCCAGTTGATCAGCTTGAGCGCAACGCTTGTCTTCTGCGGGAGGTCGAGAGCCTGGATAATCGCCTTGGCCAGCTTCTGTTCCTTGAGGTTGTACGTCCGCCGCCTTGTGTCGCGCTGATAAACGTGTGTCTGTCAGTCGGAAAGGCGAAGCAAAAGAAGGGCGGCTACACGCACTTCTGGCAGCATCAGGCGGATGAGAGGGTAGAGGTCCGGCCCAATCTCAGCCCTCCAGTGCTGCAGGACCCAGGATTAGTTCGCACGGTCCATATTGGTTCCCAGACCCAGCCAGAGCACGCACCGAGATGAACTGCCCGAGCAACTCGCCCTTGTATCCCGCCTTCTTGTGCTTGTTCCTCGTCGCGCTCTCGAACTGGTCGAAGAGCATGCAGAGGACGCCGAATGGCGGAGTCGTTCCATTCTCGAGCCCCGGCGGCTTCTCAATGTCGTCCGACTCGGCAAACTTGAGGCTGTCGTCCTCCTCGTCCTCATCATCGCTCCTCTGTTGGCGGGTCGCGCGTGACTTTCCGCGGCTGTGCAAGCTCGCGGACATGGCGTGCGGCGATTGAGCAAGAGCCTGCGCCTAGCGCAGTCGTACACCAAGCAGCAGGTGCGGAAGCGAGCGTGTTGGCGGGAGGCAAGCCACAAGTTGACTTTCGTCCGAGATGTCAACCAACATTTCTCTCTCGAACGGAAGCAGGGTTCACTTTTGCAGTTTCAATGCAGTGTAGAAGACGTCTTCCAGCCCAGCGGCCCGCATGCTGCGTCCAGTTGTGCAAGGTCAGCGACCTTCTCCCTCGAGAGCAGGAAGGGCTCGACGCACATCTCGCCAACCTCGTTCAGCCCCTCGACCTCCTTGGCGCAGATCTTCTCCTTTGCATCCTTGCCGAGTACCGGTCCCAGGTGACTCTTCGTCCGCACAGCCCAAGTTGCCGCTTCGTTCGGCGCGATATCGGGCGGCGGCTCGATGACTGGTCCGTCCAGCTCGCACCGTACTTGCAACGCCTTCCATTGCCATGACTTGACGACCTGGACGAAGTGATCCACGTTCGATGCAAGTCCTTCGGCGATAATCACGCCGGGATAGCTGCAGCAGCGGAAGCGAGGGTAAGCAGAGGCTGTCAGACAAGGCGAACGGTAGACGCACCCCGGCTTTGAGAGGCCCCAGAGTTCTAGCTCAGTACTCCAAGCGACGATATCCTTCCGCTTACTCGTCGCGAGCAGGTGATGCGACCACAATAAAACCGTCTTGAGCTGTAGCGGCCCGGCATCTGCGACGGAGCGCGGTCAGTAAGAAGAGGAACGAAGACACGGATTCAAGACTGACAAGGTGGCCGTGTGAGAGCAGGCGAAGGCGAGGCATGGGAATCAAAGGAGGGCGGGTGAGCGGTCAGGTATTCTTGCAGGGCGGTGAAGACGTTGAAGACGGGTAGAGGGTCGTCTGGAGGCTGTGAATCAGCATGCAGCTCAAAGGAGCGAAAGGATGCCTCGAATGCGTACCTTCGTCGTGAACTCGCTCCGAGACCTCCTCCAGCTGTCGTCGCAGTTCCGCCTGTTCGTCCCGCTCCAGCCGCAAGCAATGAAGTGATAGCTCTGGATGGGCGGGGCGTGTGCGGTACTCTGCCGTGAGCTCAATCGAGTCGGATAGTCGCAGCGAAAGGGTGGGGAGGGGAAGAGAAAGGTCGTCTAGCGCGGCGGAACCGTCGAGGACTGGCTTGAGCACGACCAGGGGGTCAGCTCAGTCGCATCAAGTGCCCGTACGAAGCGACGCGCACCTCCCAGGCCCTCCTCACTTCGTCATCGTCCCATGCGAGTTCTCCGTCGACGCAACTCGCCTGCAAGACCAGCAGCTCGTCCCTGATCTGCTCCAGTAGCATGTGCGATGCGAGGACTGCCTCCAAAGTAAGCTGCGAGCGAAGATAGGCAGGACGAGCGAATGGACGGAAGCCAAAGAGCAAGGAACAAGCAAGGAACATCTCTGCAGGCCGTGTCGGGCTGCGAAGGAATGCAATGCATGGTAATACACGAGGGAAGGGATTGATACAGCGCGACGAGCGAGATGCGTCTCAGACGAATCGCTTCGCCGCGACTTGCTCCTCCGCGACCGGCGCGTCTTCCTTGTCGTCGCCATCCCCGTCCCCGTCCTCGTCGTCCTGCTTCTCGTGCTGCGGCAACAAGTCGCCGACGCGGAGGCGGAGGAAGCCACCGAGGTCTCCGTCACCCGTCTTGACCGTCAGTTCTCTGCGAGGGGAAGCGTGTCAGCGACTGGACACGCCGTCTAGAGAGCCGCGAACGGACCTAGTCCTGTGCAAACTCTCAATCGCGTCGATGCGGTCCCTCGTCGTGTCGAGCTGAGGGGTAAGCGCGAGTCAGCAGGTATATTCGGCTGTCAAGACAGGGCTGGGAAACGCACGTCTTCCTGGAAGCCCTCGCGCGAAGCGATATCGCGGAAGACATTGAGCATGAGGCGGCTGTCGGGTCGGACGTTGTGGTAGCGGTCGATATTGATGATGTGCCAGGTGTCGAGGTCGTTCAGGAAGTCCGTCCGGGTCATCAGGTTGCGCTAGAGTACACGGCCGTCAGCAAAGGGTTGAGCCGGGTTACCGAAGTCCTTACGCACCGCTTCGCCGTATGTGACCTTGGGATCCAGGGCATCCGGAAGGACGTTCAGCAAGTCCGCCTCGATCGCCTTGTCCGTCTCTTCCTCCGTTTCGGGCTCCTCGATCTGCTTGATAGCCTGCGCGAGGAGCGGCGCGGACTCCTCCGCTTGCTTCGCAAAATGTTGGAAGAGGAGCTGTAGAGCGTGTTGGGTCAGCCGGTGTGTCGAGCGAGGCGGAGAAGAAACGCACCATCGAGCAGGACGCCCACTTCTGCTCGTCCATCACGTCATCTGCGAGAGTGAAGTGTCAGCCAAGTGCTGACCTTGGCTGACAGGGGCCGCAAGCGAAATGCACCGTCGTGCTCGGGGATCAAGCCAACCTTGGACAGCAACCACTCCTTCTCCTCCGCGACAAGGTCCTTCGCCGCCTCAATCATATCGTCCCGCTTGACGACCTTACTGAGATACGCCAGCCTGCCACCAACGAGGTCCCAGATGCGCATGCTCTCCACCCTGCTGACCGGCTTTGCGGAGGGGCAGAAACGAGGATGCGTTCCTTCGAGGTAGTCGTGCGTCTCGGAAGGGGTTAGGTCGCGGATCGAGAGGACGTGCATGCGAGTGGCTGAGCGTTTGAGGTGGGCGTAGGTGTGAAAGTTGTCGGTGAGGAAGATCATCGTGAGGACGCCGGCTTGAGACCAAGCCTCGGCTCGCTGCTGGAGCATGTGGAGGAGCGCGTGGCCATCTTCGTCGTCGTGGATGAAGTGGGCGTTCTGGACGATCAGGACAAGCGGGCGATTCCGCTTCTTACGATACCGGATCGCGACCTTCTCGAGCTTGAACAACGCCCGCTCGATGTCGAGGATCGGCCCGGCCTCGCGAGGGTCCCGTCGCTGGAAAAGACCAGCAAACGAGTCCTCATTGTACTCAAAGTCGAGCGCCTTGCCGAGACGCAGTCGGACGACTTCGGGGTCTTCGTGCGCTTCGAGCATAGCGCAGCCATCGGCCTGGTTCTCCAGCATGGCCGAGAGCAGCATGCTCGTCTTGCCCGCTCCCTTTGGCCCCATCAGGAGCAAGTCTGCGAGGTGACGGGTCAGCTGCATCAGGGTGCGAGGAGAGTGTCCGACGCACATTCGCCTGAGATTTCGCCGTTGATGACCTTGTCGATGTAGTCCTGCTCGCGCCGGCGGATGATACCCTTTTTCACAGACCCGTCTTCTTCCCGCGAGGTCGCCTGAGCCAGCTCAAGGACGGGGTCGTAGCCCTTTGCGAATGCTCGCTCCATCTTGCGAAGGACTTCCCACTTGTACCTGCGAGATTGACCTTCAGCGTCGTCCTACGATCTGTAGTCAGGATGGAAATACCAGTAATGGTAGCAGAGACCGGCTGCAGCGATGAGCAGAATGCCTAGTCGCGGGAATGAGCGGAGGAAGGAGGAAGAGCGTGTCAGCTACAGCTCGTCTGACTTGCCAGCCTTACAGACGATCTTCAAGAGTCTTCTGACTCACCGCCAGCCGTCGCTACCGCACTATCGAGCGCTGGCCGTCCCCCTCCTCCTCCTCCTCCAGGACCTCCCCCTCCAGGACCCCCTCCGCCCGACGAACCGCCTTTCTTTTCCCGCTCCTCCTCCCTCGCCTCGCCAGTCAGGTCGAGTTGGTTCTCATACTGAAAGTTCGGCGCAACGGCGTTGTTGATCAGCGTCCTTCTTGTCGAGGGCACCAAGTGGGGTGGATGGTGCAGGGGCGCAAGAGACCGCAGGAAGCGCGGGGCAGCTCGTAGCATGATAGCACAGACACCTCAGAGCAGTCCTAGCCTGCGCAATCCCGTCCACAGCGAGGTCAGCGAGGGTCACCCTCGTGGTTGTTGGCCAACCCACTCTCCATCACCTCGACTGCTCCTCGCTGCGCTCTTGTCGGGCTTGTGTGTGCTCAGACTGGTGTAGTGCACGCTGCAATGCCGTCTGACCTGAAAAAGACGGCGTACTCGCACCTCCTCCCGCAACACCACGCCGACTCGCCGTCGTCCTCATCGCCAGCGTCGTCCAGGAGCTCGTCGCCAGCGCCGCTGCCAGCCGACGACAAGCACTATGCGTTCAGTACGACGCTACGCCGCCACGAACCGGAATCCGTCGTCGACTTCTCCCACCCGCTCAGTGACCTCAAGCAGCACGTCGCAGCGCGGTTCACGGGGTACGAGCCCGTCGGGGGACAGAGCGGGGCAGGGGGAGGGCAGACAGGACCCTCAGCGTATCCTCCAGCGGCGCACGGGCACGCCGGACCCGGAGGCTACTCGCACCACCCCTTCGCACACACGACCTCCCCCCTCACACCCTCAGCCCACTATGCCTCGCAGACCATCGCACAGACGCTTTCTGCTCTCTCGACATCCGCATCCTCGGGACTCAATGTAGGGAAGGTCGGGGCGGTCCGCGAGCTGTCCGGCCCAAACGAGTTCGAGGTCGAGGCAAAGGACCCGACATGGAAGAAGTTCCTGGGCAAGTTCTACGAGGACCCGCTCATCCTGCTCCTCATGGCGAGCGCGGCGGTCAGTGCGGTTGTGGGGAACTACGACGACGCGGCGAGTATCCTGGTGGCCGTCTTCATCGTCGTGACCGGTGCGTTCCGCCCCTTCTCTGTCAGTCTCATCCGAATCTGACTGGCTGCTCGATCGCAGTCGGCTTTGTCCAGGAGCAGCGGTCAGAAAAGTCGCTGGAGGCGCTGAACCGGCTAGTGCCTCACTACTGCCACCTCATCCGGTTCGTCCTGTTGTCACTCATCTCGACGCGTCCGCTGACTGACATATGTCGTTAGGAACGGACGCAAAACGACACAACTCGCCAACGTTCTCGTTCCAGGCGACCTCGTTACCTTCCACACAGGCGACCGCATCCCCGCCGACATCCGCCTCACACAGGCTCACGGCCTCGAGATCGACGAGTCCGCATTGACGGGCGAAACTCGTCCTGCGAAGAAGCATACGGAGGCTATCACGCAGGGTACGGGAGGAATGGGGGGCTTGCCGATCAGCGAGCGGGATAACATCGCGTTCATGGGCACCCTCGTGAGGAGCGGTCGAGGAGAGGGAGTCGTGGTTGGTACGGGCGTACAGACAGAGTTTGGTGTCGTCTTCAGCATGATGCAGGAGGTGCGCTCGCTTGCTTCCACTCACCTTCGACTGCCAGGCTGACCTTCCCTTGCTCGCAGGTCGGCGACAAGAAGACCCCTCTGCAAGTCTCGATGGACGAGCTGGCGAAGAAGCTGTCAATCATCTCGTTCGGAGTAATCGGCATCATCTGCTTGATCGGTGTCATCCAGCATCGCAGCTGGCTCGAGATGTTCACGATTGGAGGTGAGCTGTCGCGACTGTTGCGCTCATTCAGCAGCGAGACTGATGATTCGCATCATAGTCTCGCTCGCCGTTGCCGCCATTCCTGAAGGTCTGCCCATCGTCGTTACCGTCACTCTCGCCCTCGGTGTCCTGCGAATGTCGAAACGGAATGCGATCGTCAAGAAGCTACCCAGTGTCGAGACGCTCGGCAGCGTCAGCGTGATATGCTCCGACAAGACTGGTACGCCCTCAAGACCTCTGCCCCCGGGCGAGGCGAAGACGCTGACCTGCTTCGTCCGCAGGTACGCTTACCACAAACGTCATGACCGTCACCAAGGCGTACTCCGTCGACCACGGCATCTTCGCCCTCGACAACGGCCCTCCCATGCTCTCGCCTGACGATTCTCGCGCCAAGATCTTCCTCATCGGCAATCTCTGCAATCACGCTCACGCCGACAAGGGCAAGTACCACGGCCAAGCGACCGAGGTCGCGCTCATGAACGCCCTCGCGACTGTCGGCCTGACCGACCAGCGCAAGTTCTTCACCCGCAAGAGCGAAGTCGCCTTCAGCTCGGAGACGAAGACGCAGTCCGTCACCGGCACTTTCCCGCACGCTCAGCCCGGCGAGCTTGACACGACATACGTCTCCGGCGCTCTCGAGGGCGTTCTCGCTCGGTGTCGGTATCATCTGCGGGAGGACAACTCGGTCGTTCCGCTCGAAGCGGGCGTTTCGAAGCTCATCCTTTCGAAGGCCATCGAGTTGGCCTCGTCCGGATTGCGAGTCGTCGCGATGGCGTACGGGCAGGATCCCGAAGCCCTCATCTTTGCGGGCTTGCAGGGGATGATGGACCCGCCTCGGCCAGGCGTGGCAGACGCCATCTCGAAGCTCAGCTCGGGCGGCATCCACGTCGTCATGATCACGGGTGACAGCGAGCAGACTGCGGTCGCTATCGCCAAGCAGCTTGGGATCCGGACGACAGGCGGGACAAGCAGGATGGGCATCTTGACGGGCAAGGAGATCGACCTTCTCAGCCAGCGGCAGCTCGCGGACCGGATAGGCGGCGTAACGGTCTTTGCGCGCACGACGCCGCGACACAAAATGGCGATCATCGAGGCGTATCAGTCGCGAGGAGCGGTGGTCGCAATGACCGGCGACGGAGGTGAGCCTTTCGATCTCCTCGTCCCTCTCCGCTTACTGGCTGACACCCTTTCACTGCAGTCAACGACGCGCCGGCGCTGAAGATGGCGGACATTGGTGTCTCGATGGGCAAAGGCGGAACGGACGTCGCGAAAGAGGCGGCAGACGTTATCCTCGTCGACGACAACTTTACAACCTTGCTGCCGGCTGTCGAGGAGGGCAAGGGTGCGTCGCGAGCTGCTCATCAGCCGGCAAGAGTGCTAATTTACCCTATCTGCAGGCATCTTCGTCAACATCCAGAACTTCCTCTGCTTCCAACTCTCCACCGCCGTTGCCGCCCTCTCCCTCATCACCCTCTCAACCGCGCTCGGCCTGCCCAATCCGCTCAACGCCATGCAGATCCTCTTCATCAACGTCATCATGGACGGCCCGCCCTCGCAATCCCTTGGTGTCGATCCCGTCGACCGCGAAGCCATGAAACGCCCGCCTCGACCCAAGTCGGCGCCCATTCTTACGCGCCGACTGATGTATCGCGTCGGCTTCTCAGCAAGCATCATCATCCTCGGCGTTCTGTTCGTCCTCGCGCGAGAACTTGGCGACGGCACCGACCTTGCGCGTGACCAGACCATGGTGCGTCAATCTCCTTCTGCCCTGCGTCCAGTTCTCGGACTGACTTCGTCTCTTCCGCAGACCTTCACCTCCTTCGTCTTCCTCGACCTCGCCTCCGCTCTTCAGAACCGTGGACTCAATGTCCCCCTCCTAACCGGCGCGCCCAACAAGATGCTCCTCCTCGCCGTCAGCGTCTCCTTCCTCGTCCAACTCTCGCTCGTCTACGTTCCTTTCCTTCAGTCCGTCTTCCAGACCCAGGCTCTCTCGCTACGGGATCTGTCGGTCCTGCTCGTTCTGGGCGGGTGCAGCATGAGCATCCATGAATGGCGGCGGCGGTACGAGCGGAAGCAGCTCGTCGAGGAGGCCTGGACGAACGCGCAGGTCGTGTAGAAGTGGTCGCATCGAGGTCTCTCATTCGCTCCCCTCGCATAGATACCCATTCGCATCGAGCAAGCATATCGAAGGTCACGGCGAGTTGCGAGATGTGCGAGAGCAAAGCGATGACGACGAAACGAAAACAGAACCTGATGATGCACGTCCGAGATGATGCGGCTCCTTTCTTCCCTCATGCTTGTGCTCAAAGCGTCGGCAGAACCTCGAGCTGGAAGTCGTCGATTTCCTGCCACTTCTGGCGAGCCTTCTCCTTACGACGCTCCGTTCCCTGGAGTGAGACGTCCGTCAGAGCGTGCGTACGATGACGCGCAGACCGGGCGCACCGAGTCATCCGGCTCGGAACTCTTCGCAGCCCGCTTCCTCGCCTTCACCTCGTTACTCGCCTCTCCTGCTGTGCGCGAGGCTGCGGCGCGCTTCTTCGTGGTGCCGCGACGACGATGGGGTGGCGAAGAGACATCTCTGTCAAGTAGGAACGTCAGCTGTGCTGGGACGCTGTTAAGCCGAGCAAGTTGCGCGCACTCGTAGTCCGTCTCGTCGTCCATAGACTCGGCCTCGTTCTCCTTAGCTCGACCAAATACCTTGCGGCGTTTCGGAAGCATCTTGACGAGCGCCTTCGACGAGATGCCGTGTTCAGGAGAGTTGGCACCCGGCTGTTCGTCGTCCTTGACGCGCTTGCGCTTCGGCGCCTTCTTCGGGCGTCCTGCGTCCTGCTCCTGGATCGCTTTCTTCGTAGCAGCGGCTTTGCCCTTTTTCGGCTTCGGAACCAAAGCAGGCGAGAGTGAGGATGCGGGGCGGACAGCATCGGTCGAAGCAGAAGCCTTGCTGAACGGCGGGTCGACGTCGGGGTCAGCGAGGGCCGCTTCATCGTTCGAGCTCGGCGCGCGCTTGCCGCTGCGGCTAGTCTCGGTATCGACTTGCGTCCGCCAGCGGTCGACTTTGGCATGGGCATCCGGCTGGCCAAACGACTGTACTTGCTGGACAATCGCATGAAGCGAAGTGAGGCGAGAGGGCGGCTGACTGTACCCTTCGGCGAGCTGATCATCTGCCTTGCTCGTGCCAGCGCGCGACAGAAGACCGGGAATGGGAGGCAAAGAATACGACGCCTGGGGAACACCCGAGAGCGTGAAGGCAGAAGGCGGCAGACCGAGAGTCGCTTGAGGTGCATCGGCAAACGCCGGAGCGTTGAAAGGCGAAGGTGCGCGCTGGATGGCCGGAGGAGCGGGATTGAGGTTCTTCGCCGAACGCTTCACCGGGTCGTGCCGCCCTGCAGCGATCGATGACCCGGCAGCGGCGTTGTCCAAGGGAGTCGGCGCCAGCAACTCGGGCGGAATCGTCGCATAGGTAAGCCCGCTGCTCGAGGACGCGGCATCAATCGAAGGCTGGCGGTCGACAGGGCGAACGGGTGACTCGGCTGCGTTTGCGGGAGGAGGACGGGTCAGCTCCTCCAAAGAGCGATAGACAGGCGTACTGACGAGAGCAACACGCACCCTGACTGGCCTTCCTCGTCTCTTCGGACGCCTTGTAGAGACCTGCACCGCCTCGTCCAGCAGTCGTGCCGGTCTTTGAAGCCATCACAGCGCCCGGGACCCTCGGCGCGCTCGGAGTCCTCGATTGAGAAAACAAACAGACTGTCGAAGACGTTGGGCTGCCCGAACGAGACCTGCGAAGCGCTAGCGAACCGGTTCCTTCGAGGCAAAGTGATGAAGAGTAGGGAGCTGTTGGAGAGTCGTGGGCGGCTGATTATGTCGGGCGGGTAGGCTTAACAGGCAGTCCTCTGTCCTTGAAGGGATGTAGCGTGGCAGCAGGCGCGATCCAGCGAAAGTGGTGAAGGTCAACCGGCGGACTTCGCTCGACAAGGAGGTTGACCTTGCACCAGCCGCCTGCGCCCTCGCTGGATCGGCATGGCAGCTTTTACCGACCGCTCGGACTGGCACACGCTGTGCGCGAAGCCTCTGTTCTCGCTCAGTGCCCCCCAACTGACCTTCCTCCTCCTCGCAGGTCTCTCTCCATTCCTTTCCCAAACGCCGACAATGCGACTCTCGTGAAGCGCGTGATCGAGGTGGACAGGGTGCTACGGCCGTCAGAGCTGTCGCGGGAACTATCGGTCGAGGGGAGCGATCTCAAAGCGTGCGTTTCTCCTTCTCTCCCTCCCCCTCAGGCTTGTCTGAGCTGTTTCCTCCCTTTCTGCAGCACTCTGCGGGCAGCGACTGTTGCACAAGCACGTGTTGCACTTGACCACCTCTTCTCCGACATCCAGCTCGTCGTGCAGACAATGCACAAGTTTGGTCCACCTGAAGTGGTTGGGCAGAAGGTGGAGAAGGCTGCACCAGATGCGACGTCGCTGGAGGTTGGAATGATGGGCAGCTGGGAGGGCGTCAAGCAGTGAGCAGAGCCGGGTGTTCTCTCATTAGCTCATCTCCTTGCGTCTTGCCTCATCCTCCCTCCCTTCGTTCTTCTCTGCCTCTCTTGATCCGTTGGCATCTCTACCGCATGCCCCTCTACTGTGTCTGTTCTGTACATAATGCAAACACTGATAGTTGTGCGGCTGAAAGCTTGCGAGAGCATGCTCCCTTCGCTGGGTTCCACCTTTTCCTTCCTTCTGACAGACAGGGGCAACCAGGGGATGACTGGAAATTTTTCTGGTCTCCCTGTGAATGTATGCGGGGCATGCGCGTGCCAGTGATTGGCCAAGCGAGGCGAGCAGGCTTTGTTCCCTTTCTCCCTCTTTCCGCTCACTTCGCCAGCACCCACCTCGGTCAACCGCCCTCTGACCTGCCTCGGTTGGTTACGCCAGCCTGCTAGATGGCAGTCGCGGTGCACTCACGGCACCGCGCGGTGTCTGTAGTGTCTGGCACAGCGCCTCAGGCGGTCAACCACAAGGGGACTCTGTCTGGCAGTTCGCGGACTGCAGCGGACTTACCGCAGTCAGGCCCGCCCACACCCTCAAGGAAAGGCAAGGAGAAGGTCTGTACCGGATCTGACGTTGACGCGAGGCGTGAAGAGGAGGAGGAAGAGGGAGGAGGAGGCTCGACCTCTCATCACATGCGAGATGCGCAGGCGATGCCCAATGGCACTAAGCAGGTACATTGGCACTTTTTGTATCCATATAGCCCTGACACAGGCTCACCGGCGCCCTCCGTCACTCTTCACCTCCTCCCCTCCTCATCCCCACCTGTCAAAGTCCTCCAAGTCCAAGGAGGTGCTAGATCTGACGCTCGACGACTCGGACGACGACGATGGAGCTGTGGCGCTGCGCGTGCGTCTCCGGCGCCTCTCTCGTGCCGTACGACGCCTCACACTCGTCTTCATCTGTGCACAGCCCCCCTCACGGCCCGGGAACAACGTCTTCGACTCTGGACGTCGTACAGGCGGCTCATATACGCCTCGACAAGCTTCTCCACCTCAGAGAAGTCCAGCGCAGACGCCGCGTGACGGTCAGCCGCCGCCCTCGCCGCCCGAATCTCGACGGTCGCCAGCTCGAGCGAAGAAGGAGTCGCTTAGCCCGCTCAAGGCGACAGAACAGCTCGCTGCCACGGTCGAGGTGCGTTCAAGCATTGTATTCAGCACTGCATACAAGTCTGACACCGTTTGCTGTAGCAGTCCCCCGTCGCCAACCCTCACCTCCCTTCTCCTCGTCAGTCTCCCGCTCCTCCGCCCGCTCCCATTCCCGCTCCAGCGCCAGGTCCGTCAGCCGCACAGTCACCTCCCTCACCTGTCCGTGCAGGTCGACGGCGTCGCAGGATCCTCCCGCCAGAGCAGCGTCTGCAGGTCAAGAACCACCGATGCCGCATTCCGCCTCCTCCGCCGCCTTTGCCCGCCCGCGCAAACCTCGCAGACCTCGCGCTCCCTTTTCTCCTGTCTCGTCATCCCCACATCCCTCTTGTCCGCCCTTACACACGGCACCACCATCACTCGTCGCGCTCCGCAAGCCCCGCCGAGTCCCGCACGACCACGCCTGTCCAACCTCCGCCCGAAGCCGGCCCTTCGTCCATCGCGAAATCGTCTCGCGTAGGTCTCATCGACTCGTCCGACCTGCACTGGGCCGAGATCTGGCCCGCCGTCGCCGACATGCCGCATCTCGAGGGTTCGGACGTCGAGTCTGACGGAAACGAGCGCGTCTTTCGCCGCGACCGCAACCCCGAATACTTCGACACCCTCTCCATCCCCTCGCTCCTACCCGGACGCCCGCTTGCGCCCGCACAGTTCGTCCCGTGGGCGCTCGATGCGAACAACCGCAACAAGCCGGGGATGCTCCCGAACCCTTACCGTCACAATGATATGGACGCCGAGGACGACCGACGGGCGCAGGCGAAGCGGGAGAAGCTCGAGCGGCGCGCGAGCGAGTCGCGCAGGCGGGAGAAGGGAAAGGGACGGGCTGCAGACTCGGACGACGAGATGATGCCGCCGCCGCCGCCGAGCAAGAAGCAGAGGCGCTCACCGAGGAACGAGACCGAGGCGGAGCTGCAGGCTCGACTCCGTCGCCGGCTCGAAATCGACGACGACACCGACGCCGAAGACGAGGCAGAGGCTAACTCCCGCCCGACGATCGGCTTCGAGACGCTCGCCATCGCTGTCCTCGACCAGCAGCGCGCCAAGCGCAAGATGCGTCGTGCGATGGGCAAGGACCCCGACGAGTCGACCGACGACGAGCAGTGACCGTCCCCACTCATTGCTTCCCTTTTCGCCTTCTTTTCGCCTTCCCCCCTTCTCCTCGCTTCCTTTTCTCCTGTTGTTGATTCAGGCTGTGCCACGGTTTTGTTCCCTTAGTTCTGCCGCAGTCCCGTGTTGTAGACTCTACCGCCGCAGCATTCCTCGCACGCATTTCTCGCACGCATTCCTCGCACGCAACCTGCACACGCTTTGCCTCACTCTCAGCGCTCTCCTGCGACGATACAATTCGAGAAAGGACTCCATCATTGCTCGCTACCGCAGTTTGTCCTCCAGCCGCACGCCCAGGTTCTCCGAGACGTCCATGCCCAAGCGCTGCATCTTCTCTTTCTGGACGCGATCGGTCTGCAGCTTCCGGAGTTCCTCGAGTCGAGAGCGGTCCATCAGCTGCTCGCTTGATGCGGCTGCTGAGCGGCGCTGGGATGACTTGGCGGCTACAAGCGAGGGCGAGAGTCAGTACAGAGTCGAGAGCGGAACGGAAGGATTGAGCGGACCTTCGAGATCCTTCATGAAATCGTACGAGTCGCTTTTCTCGACTGTCTCGCCCATCCGTACAGCCGTCATCCGCTGCTCGTACTGCTTGATGTCGTAGTACTTCTCGTTCGGCAGCGTTCCCGTGTTGTAGTCCTGCGAGCGAGCGAAGTCAGCGCAAGTCCCTAGAGACGCTTGAGAGAGCTACAGTAGACGCACCTCCATGAACTGCTTGAAGATCTCCTTTTCCTTCGCCTTGGACAGAGTCTCCGGATTGAGCATCTTCTCGCCGATCAGCCAGGCGTGGAATTCGTCGCTCTTCGTGTAGATGTCTGCAACGAGATGTTAGACCATCACGAGAGGGGTCGGAAGAGTGTCAAGACCGCACCAGCCTCCGTCAAGATGCCGTGTTTCCCCCATTCGACCGTCGCGAGTCCCGCCTTTGTCCGCTTCTTCTCCTCGCGCTGCTCCCGATGGCGTCAGCAATCGCTTTCCGAGGGGGAATGGAATGAAGCGCACCTTGGCCCGCCGTGCCTTCTTCTCCTCCCTCCGCCTCCTCCGCTCATCCTTGTCGTCCCTATCTCGCGAGCCATGCCGCTTCCGCCTGTGTCTCCGATCCCGCGAGTCGTCGCTCTCGGACCCAGAAGAGTATGAGCGCGACCTGCTTCGGCTCCTGCGCCGCGAAGACCGCTCGTCGTGCCTCCACCGCCGGTCCCTCGACCTTGACCTGGACCTTGAGCGGTCCTCCTCGCCTCGCCTGCTGCGCCGATGCCTATCCCTGCTCCTACTCCGACTCCTGCTCCGCTCTCGCTCCTTGCCCCGCTCGCGCCGGTCCTCCCTCTCCCTTCGCCCAGCTTCATCAGTTTCGCGACGTCGAGGGGAACGACTCCTGCGGCGTTCGTCTCGGTCGCGGTCGCGGTCGTCTCGACGGGACGTGTGACGAGAGCTCGAATGGTAAGAGCGCTCAGAGCGGCGGTCGGGGCTGGGTGAGCGTGGCATGGCGAGCTGTCCAAGAGCAAGCCTGGTTCGTCGAGGGTGCGCCTCTTCCACTCACATCTTTCGGGTGTCAACGGCTGTGGAGAGCCCCACTGGATCCTCTCGACTCGCCTAGACCGCATTCTCTCGCCCGCAAGCCGCAAACCTCGACTTGCCTTCCCACCTCCTCGACGGCGGACTCGCGAACTCGGTTTGACTAATCGACGTCGAACTTGCTGCTCTGACTCGACGAAGATCTACACTGCTCGTGTTGGTCAGCCCTCCGCCAACGAGCCAACTTCATACGCTCGCCTGTCCTGCTCGCGCTCCTCGACTTTCCTGCTTCCTCCAACAATGGTTCGTCCAGTACACACTCTTCCAAGGCAGTTTCACCGCTCACAACTAGTTCCGCAGGCGTCGAACTTGCCGAAGATCTCGCACGTCCTCGAACTTTGCCTTTGTGCGTCGTGCCCTCTGTTCCTTGCGCGGCATTCTCACTCTTCTGGTCACAGATGCCCGCAACCTCTCTGCCTCCGTCCACTTCTACTCCAAGACTCTGCGCCTCGGCGAGCCCTTCCTCAACTCGGAGCGCATGGCCGGCTTCTCGCTCGGCTCGACCACCCTCCTCCTCTTCCAGCGTGGCAAGACCTTCGACGACAGCGTCATGCCCAACGACCGCGGGCTCATACCTGGACATGGACTTGCTCCGACGGCAGAAAGCGACAAGGTCAAACTCAAGACGCACTTTGCGTTGGCGGTTGAGAAGAACGAGGAGATCGAGGAGTGGGAGCAGGAGTTCAAGGAGAAGGAGGTCAAGATCCTGGGCAAGGTGGAGTGGCCAAAGGGCGGAAAGAGTCTGTACTTTGCGGACCCGGACGGGCATGTAGGCGAGCTTGCGGCGCGCGGAATCTGGCCGCACTGGTAACGATCTCGTTCCCGCTCTCGGTTCTCGTGTGTTATCACAAAGCTCGAAGTAGTCTATGCGATGCGAATGTTGCGATATCTGCGTGCCTTGGTTTGCCGAGAGATCCATCCTCAGACCTCGAGCAGCATCTCCTCCTCGTCCTCCTCCGGCTGTTGAACGAGAGCCCAGTCAGTCTTGCGCTTGGTCGATGCAACGGAGGAGTACGTACCTGCATCCGACTCAACGGCACGTTGTGATGCTGTGGCCGCTCGTCCTCCTTCTCCTCCTGCGCCTCCCGCTGCTCAACGACCTCCTTTACCTCCTCCTCCCCCTTCGCCTCCTCCGCCGGCGCCTCCTGATGTTGCACAAAGTTCGAGTTGTTCTCAAACGACGGCGCAGGGGGCAAATCCGCCGGATCCGTCTGCGCATCAACCTCTTCCAACGCCGTCTCCGGTCCTTCATCCCGCATCAACAAATTCACCAGTCGAACCATCGCTTCCTTCACAGCCGGCACCGCCTCCTTCGAGTGCGCCTCCTTAATCACGGGGTAGACGCCCCGCTTGCGCATCGCTTCCCGGTTTGATCGGTTCGTGGCGAGCAGGACGAGGGTCTCGACGAGGATTGTGCGGATTTGGGGGTCGGATTCGCGAGTCTTGTCGGAGGGGAGCAGCTGAAGTTCAGCGGGGAGCTCGTCGAGGACCTGCGTCGGTAGTCGCGTCAGTTCGAAACGATTGATGCGAGGAAGGACGAGACGCACGTCGATGTCGAACTCTTCGTTTCCGCAGAGAGGCAAAAGCAACTGAACGAGCAAGTCGATGCAGCCTTCCTCAGCCGGCCCGTCGTTCGAAGGCGCAACAAGCCGGGTGTGTCCAGCCTTCTCGAACGCGGCGTTCCTGCGAATCCAGCGAAGCTAGTAAGCACGAGCAGCGACCGATAAGCTTAGGCGCGGACGTACTTGATGGTCGACGCGACGCCGCCCCGTCGGATTGTTGAGGGGTGCTCGGTGAAGGAGATGATTTTGGCGAGGGGTGGCTCGACTGATCGGTCGGGCGTGGCGAGGAGGAAAGCACGGCCTTGGGGAAGCTGCGAAAGCGCTCAAGGGCGTCAGGACGTTGGGAGAATGGAGCTGAGTAGCGAAGGGAGAACGCACAAGGGAGACGTTGGCAAAGACAGAGGCGAGAAAGTCGTAGTTGGCGTTCGGGTTGTACTTCTTGCCCTCTCCGCGCAAGAAAACCTCAAGCAGCAAGTCAAGCGCCGCAATCTCATCCTCGCCTTCCGTTCCTCCCGCCGCCTCGCCTTCGCCCGTCGAAGCCTTTGAACCGACGGGTACTCGCAGGCCGAGGATCTGGCGCGAGACCGAGTCGAGCTTTGACATGTTGGAGAGGAGCATGCAGGCGAGATCGGAGAGGAGGGCTTTCTCGTCCTGCAGCGATACAACAAGCGATTCAGCATCAACTGCGCAGGAGAAACGGGGACGAGACGCACAACGATGAGCCTGACGAGACCCGTAACGAAGCCCGGCAGCTTATGCAGTCGCTGGACGACCTCGAGCATGCTGGAGAGGTTGATCAGGGCGGAGATGGCATCGTGTGCGATGAGCTGAGCAAGGGAGGAGGAGGCAAAGGTCAGTCTCGCACGCCGACTCCAGCCTGTACCGCCGCTCTGGCAGCTCAGAACCCTTGATATACTCCTCCCGCCCACGAACAACGCCCAGGACTGTGTGCTCACCTCGTTGTCAGCGCACATGGTCGCGATCTGCTCGACATGGCTGTCGCGGAGGAACAGTTTGCGTTCGGGCGCATCGGGAGCGGTGTATGGGCTGCGTGCAGTGACTTTCTGTCAGCAAGCGAGCCCTTCTCGAGCGAGCGAGCGGTGCTCACAGGAGGGTCGCAAGGGCAATGCGGCGTACTGGCGCCTGGGCGTCCGCGAGGAATTGGAACAGCTCGAGAAGCTGCGAGTCGGTCTGTTGTGCCATTGTAGAGCCTGTCTAGCCAGCCGCAGCCCCAGCAAGAGCGAGTGAATGCGTTGAGCTCGTCGTCGTCGAGGAGAGGAAGACTTGGTCTCTGAGTGTCGCCCTCTCGCTCGAACAAAGGCTCAGACAGGCTCAGCGACACGCCAGAACAGCGCACGATGGCATTCAACCAGCAACCCATCGCGCTCCTCTCCGTCTACGACAAGACCGGCCTCCTCCCGCTCGCCCAGGGACTCGCTGATGCCGGCGTCCGCCTCCTCGGCTCGGGCGGCACCGCCAAGGCCATCCGCAACGCTGGCATGAAGATCGAGTGAGGCGCGCGTCTTTGCCGGGCACCACGAGCGACGGGGAGGGCTCAGCGAGATGTGGGGAGGTAGTCAACGGGGCGAGGAGCGTGAGGACGGCCGCGCTGACGGGTTGTGGTGCTGTGCAGGGACGTGTCAGACATCACCAAGGCGCCCGAGATGCTCGGCGGCCGCGTCAAGACGCTGCACCCGGCCGTCCACGGAGGTTCGTCTTCCCTCGTCCCCGACAATTTTCTATCGGCGCGCGCTAATCACGGTCCCCGCAGGTATCCTCGCCCGCAACATCCCGTCCGACGCTTCCGACCTCGAGGCGCAGAAGATTGCGCCGATCAACGTCGTCGTCTGCAACCTCTACCCGTTCAACGAGACCATCGCCCGCATCCCTCCCCCTTCCATCCCCGAGGCCGTCGAGGAGGTCGACATTGGAGGCGTCACCCTCCTCCGTGCCGCCGCCAAGAACCATGACCGCGTCGTCATCCTCTCGGACCCGAAGGACTACGACGAGTTCCTCGCTCAGTGGAAGGCCGGCAATGGCCAGGTCTCGGAGGAGTTCCGCCAGCGCATGGCCGTCAAGGTGCGTAGCGAGGGCCTTGTCGACGACGCTTGCAAGCTGAACGTCTCCCTCTGCAGGCCTTCTCGCACACCGCTGCCTACGACACCTCCATCTCCAACTACTTCCGCCGGCAATACGTCTCAGCCGACGGTCTCGCCGACGCCCCTGCCGACAAGAAGGCAGACCTCACTGAGCGCGTCCAGCAGCTCACCCTCCGCTACGGCGCCAACCCGCATCAGAAGCCCGCCCAGGCGTACGTGACCGAGGGCAAGCTTCCCTTCACCGGTGCGTCCTGTCACTTTCTCGCCTCGTTGAGCTCTTTGCGCTGACGGTTCTTTCTTGTTACTGCCACGGTACAGTCCTCTCCGGTTCGCCCGGCTACATCAACCTCCTCGACGCCTTGAACTCGTACGCTCTCGTCCATGAGCTCTCGCGCGCCTTCACGCCCGCCAAGGCCGCCGCCGCCTCGTTCAAGCACGTCTCGCCCGCTGGCGCAGCCGTTGAGACCAAGCTCACCGAGGCGGACGTCAAGGTGTTCGACGTTGACGGCGTTGGCGAGCTTTCGCCTATCGCCTCGGCTTACGCTCGTGCTCGCGGTGCGTTCTGCTGCGGCCCTCCTTCTCGAGTACTCGCTGACAATTGTGTACGACGCAGGTGCCGACCGCATGTCCTCCTTCGGCGACTTCATCGCTCTCTCCCACACCTGCGATGTCCCGACCGCCAAGATCATCTCGCGCGAGGTCTCGGACGGCATCATCGCTCCCGGCTACGAGCCCGAGGCGCTCGACATTCTCAAGAAGAAGAAGGGCGGAAAGTACTGCGTTCTCCAGGTTTGTCCCCCTCTTCCGCTGCGAGTTGGGCAGCGCTGACGAGCATGTGGCCGCACAGATGGACCCGTCGTACAACCCTGGTACGCAGGAGACTCGCCAGGTCTACGGCATCACGCTCGAGCAGCGCCGCAACGATGCCAAGATCGACGCCGAGACGTTCGGCAACATCGTCTCGAAGAACAAGAACGTGCGTCTCGACCTCGCTATTCGCATTTCCAGCCGTTTGCTGATCACGGAGGTTCTCGCAGCTCTCGCCTGAGGCTCTCACGGACTTGATCGTCGCGACCACCGCGCTCAAGTACACGCAGTCCAACTCGGTCTGCTTCGCGTACAACGGCGGCACGATCGGTCTCGGCGCTGGCCAGCAGTCGCGCATCCACTGCACGCGCCTCGCAGGCTCCAAGGCCGACGCTTGGTGGCTGCGACACCACCCGCGCGTACTGTCCTTCAAGTGGCGCAAGGGCATCAAGCGCGCCGACCGCTCGAACGGCACCGACGTCTTTGTCACGGGCGAGATCTTCGACTCTGACCCTGCCGGTTCGGAGCGCAAGGAGTGGGAGTCGCTGTTCGAGCAGGGACAGGTGCCCGAGCCGCTGTCGGCCGAGGAGAAGAAGCAGTGGTTCGAGGAGATCAAGGGCAAGGTGTCGCTCTCGAGCGACGCGTTCTTCCCCTTCCCCGACAACGTCTGGCGAGCGACGAGGAGCGGCGTCGGCCACTTTGCGGCGCCGAGCGGGTCCGTCATGGACGAAAAGGTCATCGAGACGGCCGACGAGAGCAACGCCGTCTACGTCTTCACCAACCTTCGGTGCGTGCGCACTGCCTCTCCTCCTGGAACCGTTGAGCTGACGCGTCTGCCTCCCGTGTGCAGCCTCTTCACCCACTAAGCGACTTCGCTCCTTCTCTGCCCCTCATCTCCCGGCCTCCTTCTCTATAGCCATCGTCATCCCGCAGTGCATCGTTTCAACAGCAGTTTGTAGCGATTCAACCCGTCCTCATGGAAAGGACTTTCTCTTTAACGACCTGGCCATTCACGCGGAAACATGCTCTCGCTTGCGCTTGTTGGGTTCGCCTGACTAGACTGCCCTCGTACTGGTCGTCAGGATAGCTTCTCAGTTTCTGTAATAGAGTGGCATCGCTTTCGAGCGTCGTCGAGTTGGGGACTCGCAGGCGACGAGAGCTCTGGCTCGTCTCGCACATTTCGATTCGCTCACAGGACTGCCAGCTGGGTCTACCGCTGCTGAACAAGGCTCGCAAGGCAATGGCTGCCGCCGCCCACCCTGCCCAGCCGTCTCAAGAGCTCTCCTTCGCCCCTCCACCTCAACGGCATGCGCAACCATCTCGCCACCCGGCCTCGTCCCAGGCGGAGCAGGAGACGGCGCAGGACGACTCGATGACGGACGACATGAAGATTGCCATCTCGGCGCTGGGCCTCATGCGCGAGGGATCGCTGGGAGCGGGACGGGCTCACGAGGCGGCCCCCGCAATGGACCACGACGGCGCGAGCACCTCGAGCGTGCCGTTCCCGTCTGTCGGACAACCGCCTGCGTCGTTGGACTTTCGCGCACCGTCGGGCCTGACCCGTGGAGACCCGTCGAGGTCGACTTCCATCGCGTCGACTGCATCTGCCTCCGAGGCTTGGACGGGCGCCGGGACGAGCGACACGGGCTACTCTTCGCCCGCGACGAGTGCGAGTATCTCGTGCGCAGTGACGGACGATGCAGAGATGAGCGAGAAAGGGCTTGGCGAGGCGGAACTCGATGCTGAGGGAGCGGGCGAGGAGGGAGTGAACGGGGCCGAGGATCCCAGGTTCATGGCGCGCGTGTCGCAATTGCCGATTGTCAGCGGTGGACTGGAATGGTACGAGCGGAGCAAGGCGAACTCGAGGGTCGTCAAGGTGCGCTCAAGCTCTTTCACGCTGTTCTTCCCTTCCTCCTTCTGACGGTTGCTTCTTTCCCGCGTATAGTATGGCGCCGGTCTCGTCGAGTCTTCCTTCTCAGCCGTCTCCCGCCCGATCGCCAACACCCATCTCGGCCGCGCGACCGACGAGTTTGCCTGCCGCCAACTCGACCGTATCGGTGCTCCCGGCGCTTCTCCCGGCCGCAAGTCTCCCGCTTCTCTCCACTCTCGCCAACTCCAATCCGAAACTTCGCCAGTGGAAGAAGATGGCCAGCCCGCATCGCAGCGGCCGAGGCTCGACCAGCGCACCAGTTCGAGCTCGACGGTCGCGGGAGGAGCGGGAGGCGGACAGGTTGCGACGGTGCCGGGAGGTCAGAGGTCGAGGTGGCAGACTGTTTTGCTCGAAGCGGGAGGTTTAGGTGCGGCGGTGAGCGAGGAGAGCCTGAAGAGCCTGAGGTACTGCTTGCAGTGGTTGTTGGTGCGTCCCGCTTCCGCGCATGTTCCACGACTGTCCCACCGATACTGATTCGTGTACGCCACGCAGTACGCAACGGCACACCTCGACCACCAGATCGGCATCCTGCGCGACTTTATTATCTCCCTCCGCTCTCACACCGGCGGCTCTTCCTCCCCTTCCTCGAACGCCCTTGTCGCCGCCTCCGCCTCCGCACATCTCTCGCAGATCAAGCACGACGTCGTCGAAACGATTCGCAAGGTCGTCGAAGTCGTCTCGAAGTACGCTGGCGCTGCGCTGCCCGAACAGGCGAAGCGCTACGTCAGGCAGAGTATTCTCGGTTTGCCCGTCAAATGGGCGAGTGCGATCGAGGGTGGAAGGAGGTTGAGGGAAGGCAGTGTGAGCGGAATGTCGGCTGCGGGAGAGAGCGACTTCGGCACGCCTCGGCCGGAGAGGATGCACGAGTCGTACTTCCCAGGCGCGGCGGGGCCGAGCAAGGGTCCTCCGGGCGGATTGAGCGAGCAGGTGCAGGGCGGTCAGGCGTCGGCGGACCTCAACCCGACGGCGGAAGCGGCGGACAGGATCTTGACCTTTGCGGTCGAGAGTCTCGACATGCTTCGCTCGGTGACGGGTATCTTTGGCGAGTCGGTCGAGCGTGCAGAAGCGTGTGTTCAGTCCTACTCTGCACTCTGCTCGACTATAATGGCTGACGGGTTCCCACTGCCGCAGCTGGATCGAGCGTCTCCGCGTTGTCGGCCTCGACCGTCAGCGTCAGCGTCAAACGGCAGCCGACGCACCCTCTTCCTTCTCTCCTCCCGCACCCTCACCCGCCCCTGCTCTTCCCGCGCCAGATTCGGTCGGCCACACTCCTCCCGCCTCTCACCCCGCGACGTTCGGTTCCGGCGCTTCTTCGCCTGTCGTCGCTGGTACGAAGCGTCGCCGCGCGACTGCTACGTCGACGATGGCGGCTGGTGCGGAAGTGGAGGGAGTGGCGGGGAGCAACGGCAGGGCGAGGACGACGGGCGTCGATGCGGGACAAGCAGCGGAAGAGGCGGAGCATTCGGGCGGGTCGCGGAGGAAGCGCGGTGCGTGGAGGGAGGGCGCGGAGAGCGGTGCATGAGTGACGAGGTGGCTGGAGTCGCTTGGTCGGTTGTTTGGCATCCTGTCACCCTCGCTGTGTCGTCTCTTCTCCCTTCGCTTGTTGATCCCGCTCCCGCATCGCTTCACTGCCTTCCCTCGCTTCTCTTCGTACGGTCGTTGTGCAATTCACCTGCAGTGCCATGTTGTCCACATCATCCGCGACTCTGGTCAACCAGATTTCGCTAGTCTCTCGTCCGTCTCGCGCGCCAAGCTGGAGGGAGAGCAGAAACCGTCTAGTTCCACAACACCTGCGCAACGCCGTGCGCTTTTAGGATGAGAAAAGGAAGTCTAGGGCTACAAGCCGAGGAAGGGGGATACAGTGAGCGATGGAGCGAGTCGAGGATGGGAAGAGCGGCCAGCGCATCGTCCTCCTCTTTTCGTCGACGGGAGAGAGAGTCATTTATGACCATCCCCACTTGATGCTGATGACACCGGTGTCGAGCGAAGCGACTGCGGAGACGAAGGGGAGTCAGAAGCGTCGCTCGAGGGAATAAAATGTTCGCAAGGGCCGGGAAGTCTCTGCAAAGGGCTGGGAGACTCACGCTGCTGGAAGAGGCCGGTGCTCATGTCAAGTCCGCCGAAACCACAGCCGGGACACTGCACAAACGGGCCAGAGAGTTAGCAAACCGAGAAAGGGACGAAACGACGTATGGGAATGCTCACCTCGTCCGCGACGAGCGCGCGAGCAGTCTTGCCGTTCGCAGTGTTGGTAATGGTGACGTGCTGACCGCAGTGAGCGCCGCCGGCGACCTGGGGCGAGTTGACGGCGACGATGAGGTCCGAGTCTTTGTGGTACTGGCCGCACGATCCCGGGTTTCCGTCCTGGGTGTACCAGGTGCCCCTTCCACTGAAGGAGGACACCTGAGCCAGGTTGTTGCCCGTGGCGGGAGGCGGCGACGACTTCTTGACGCACTTTGAGCCGGATTTCGAGTACCCGCTGTTGCACGACCAGCCGCACTTCTTGCTCGAGCAGGTGTGCTGCGAGTTGGCGGGGATGGATTGGCTCGAGCACTGGCTGACCTTGGAGCAGGTCTTGGCGCGCTTCTCGAGAGTGTTGAGTGCGGGTTCTGCGAGGAAGAACGGATGTCAGCCTCGAGGTTGAGAAGGTTCGGACGAGGTCGTGCGCACCAGACGTCTCGGCGGCGAGGGTGGCCGGCTCGACGGCAGTCTCGTCGACGACAGCGACCGGGGCGGCAACGACCAGCGTCGCGAGGGCGAGGAAGGAGGCGAGGAAGGAAGTGCGCATCTTCGGAAGCGGTGTCGGCGAAGGGAGTGAAGTAGGCGGCGTCGGAGGCTGAAAGAGCGACTAGTGCACGACACGAGACGAAGCTAAGCACGGTAGAGAAGGACAGGAAGAAGGAGAGAGACGAATCCCATCCGACCTGCCACCGCACCAAGTCCCCCCGGCCGTCTGCAGAAGAGGGTGCTTCGACGCTCGCCGGCGAAGGGCTTCGCGATTGGGGTTCTCTGCGTCGAATGCAGCATGGCGGGGAGAGCGGAACAATCGCCTGCGGGCACTTTGCCGCCTCGCGACGGGTTCGTCCCAATCTGTGATCGAGACCTTTGCGAGGTCGAATGCGGCAGGTCAAAAGTGCGGCCAGAGGCATGGCGGCGAGCTGCGAGCGCTTTTGAGGGTGCAGTGGTGCAGCTGAAAGCGGACGAACACTCTGAGCGAGGCGAGCGGTCGAGAGGCCGGGGAGCGGTCGAGGCGGAAGGGTGAAGGCGGCGAAGGGAGCGGCGAGCGTAGCTGACAGGCGCTCGTAAGGTCTTGTGCGTGGTTCTCCCGGGAGGACAACGTCGAAATAGGGTGTCCGCGGACGGAGCACAAGAGCTGCGAGGTCGTGAGGGCGAGCGAGTTGAGGATGAAGAATGGGAAGTGCCCTGAGGAGGTGGTCGTCGTCGACGACGCACTAAGCGGACGGGACGAACGCAATGCGATCAGAGCGACGTATGAAAGCACCCGCGAGTGTGCAGAACCCAGCGAAAGACGACAGAAGCGAGGACGAACGGACGAGGAGCGATGCAATGGAGGAGCGCGCCGCCCAAAGCGGGCGCGTCCAGGGCTGGCGACATCAGTACGTCTTGAGTACGTCGAACAGAGGAGCAGTGAATGAGAAGCCAACAAAAGCGAGAGGCTCAGCGCAAGACCAAGACAATACGGAAACAGCGCACATCCTCATCGTTACGAGCCAAGCCTCTCCTCTCTCCTCTCCCGCCGCGGACAACGCTCGCTCCCATCAACCAGCACCAGGTTGTCCAGCCGCAGGAGCGCGCAACATCCCCTCGGTACATCCCAGAAGCGAAGAGCACCGTTTCAGCCTCAATGCGGTTACTCCTTGGTCTCGCCCTCAGCCTGCAAATGCCAGACCACGATCGACGCACAGTCAGCGACGGGGAAGCGAGAGGAGAGCGTGTGAAGAGGGCGACGCACCTCGACAGCAACGATGGCAGCACGCTTCTCGGCAACACGCTCCGCACGGCGCTCACGGGCAGCCTTGTTCTTGACGCGGCGGGCCTCGGCCTGGTCGGCGAGAACCTTGGTGCGGTTCTGCTCGGCCTTGGCCTTGTGGATGTGGTCCATAAGAACGCGCTACAGGACGGGACGAGGTGAGCGAGGCGAGCGCTAGTGGAGCATGACGCGAGAACGCACCTTGTTCTGTTGACCCGAAGCAACACGCGCAATGCAGCAAACTCAGTCAGCACCATCCCGTCCGCTCATCAAACCCAGTCCAGCCGCAGACAGACCTTGAAGACGTTACCCTGCAGGTCGAACGAAGGTCAGCACCGCCCTCTCGCAACATCTCGGAACGGCGTGAAACGCACCTTGGCCTTGAGGTAGAGGTCGTGGTAACTGTGTATGAGCGAACGCGAGGCAAACAAAACGTCAGCGCTCGCCCCAGCCTGCACACGCCTGACCCCCCCTCCCGCAACCCTCCCATCCGCAACACCGCTTCGATACCTCGTCCTGACCCCGCGGTTCCCTCCTACACAACTCTCGCACCGTCCTGCACCCCTGCAACCCGCCCATGCCACCCCATCTTCCCCGAGAGCGAGTCGCGAGCGAATGGTGTCGAAAGCTCACAGCTGGCGATTGATCTTGCCGGCCTCGCGGTACTTGCGGAGGAGGCGGCGGAGGACGCGCTGGCGCCTCATCCACAGGACCTTGGTGGGCATGCGGGCCTCGGCGGTACCCTTGCGCTTACCCTCGCCGGTGTGGCGGCCCTTTGCCTTTGCGGCGGCGTGCTCGCGGGTGCGGGCGCGCGAGTGGACGACCTCGGGCTTGACGATGATGTAGCCGTCCTTCTTGAGGCGGCGGATGTTCTGCCTCGAGTTGGCGTTCGCGATCTCGCCGAGGTGGGCCGGGTCGAGGTAGATCTTGCGCTTGCCGACGCCAAAGACGGACGCGGCAAGGCGCTTCTGCGAGCGGAGGTTGGACATGGTGGCCTGTCGGGGCAGTCACACGGCGCACACAAGGGCGAGGGCGGGCGGTCGAGGTGTGGGAGCAGGGTTTGCGGGAGGCGCGAGGCGAGGTCGCAGCGGGCGCGGGCGAGGGCGGCGGGGGTGGTGTGCGGGTCCAACAGTCAGCTCTGTGCGCGTACGACACCACTGCAGCACTCGCAGGCGCACCTAGTCGAGGGGGCGAAGAGACGAGGAGCGAGAGCGACGAGCTTGCCTCTCGACCACCGCGAATGGCTCACTCGCCGCCGTCTGCGGGCTCAGGTGACTCGCTAGACTGCTCTACAGGGTCTCATTATCCGCTACGGCCAACCACCGCAGCCCGCCGTGCGGTCGTCGCGACGGACTCGACCCCTCGAGTCGACCACAGCGATGCTCCCCTCGACTCGACGCGGCGCAGGAGGACGGAGTGGCTGCGCGGAGATCAGCAGACCGTGTACGGGCGAGACTGGGCTGCCCGCTCGGTGCACACGCGACGGTGGAGCGCTCGAAGATGGGTCACTCTGCCTCTTCCCCTCCTCGATCTCTCCTTGCTTGCCCACCAGCGCACGAACTGCGACTGCCACTGCTTCACGGGCAGGCGCAAGGGGGGATGCTTGACTGCGCAAGGCCGCGATCTGCCACTGCAAGAGGCAGCCTCTCGCTTCTTCGAACGGCCGTTCCCGCTTCTCTCGTTCAGGCTACTTCTCCGGCGTATCCTGCAGCGCTTGAACTGTTCCATCATGTTACACACCGCTCAGCCTGCGCTCGTGCACGTCCTGGCGCACCAGCTCAAGCCATCTCCACAAGCTTGACGCCAGTCCTCCTCCTTCCGACGGCACATCCTGCTTCCCCACCTACTCTCGCTTGTCCAGCTCGCGGACAGCTCGACGCCCTCCAGCAAGGCCGACCGCCTTCGTTCTTCGTCCACACATCCAGCTAGCGTCCAACCCAGGAGGCCGACCTCTCTCCGTACCGGCTTTCGCCCAGCAAAAGCTCCATCACACTAGGCTTCTCCCCTCTCTTCGCTTGCATCGGTCACGAATCTCGCACAAGTCAGTCCTGGCGATTCTTTCGATTCGCAAGAACGGGGTTCGGAGGGAGGACAGCGTCAGGTCGAAAGCAGCGTGGGAGCGTGAGCGTGAGCGAGGCCAGGGGTCGAGGGCCTTGTCTCGACGGCGTCTCCGGCTTTACAAGTTCAGCGTGCGCTCTCCAGTCGGTCCGTCGTGAAGAGCAGCACGCTGTGCGCCGGCGACTTTGTTCTGCGAAGAGGGAAAGTCGAGACGGGGGCTTCTTGCGACAACAGGGGCTTCGGTTGGGCAAGGAGAAGGACGGCCTTGAACTGCGAGCGAGTGAATGCGTATGACAACACATGAGAGCAATAAGGCGGCCGAGGGTGCTGCTCGTCGCCACTCCAACGGCCGCCGCTCAGGTCTCCCAAGCATACAAGGCCCTCGTTCTTTTCGTGAGTGAGCGAGGGAGGGCGCGTCGACGGAAGATTTGAATCGTTGAGAGGCGAGCTCGTGGGATTCTCTCGCCCGCACGCGAGCGAGCAGCCAGCAGCGCAACCGACGAGGCGCGAGAGGGGACGACTTTGCAATCCGCGAGCGAGCTGGGACCTTCTCATCGTTTTCTCTCGCCTCGTCCTCACCTCGCAGCGACCGGGCGGGAGTGGTAGAGTTTGCTGGGCGTGAGTCTCGACATGCTGCGTCTGCGGGAGACCGTCGGGAGGACAAAGAGCGGTGGCAACACCCTCGAAACGACGAGGGAAAGGTCTCGACGGCTGCCGCGCCTCGAGGACCGGCTGGTGCCCCGGTCATTCTCCGCGTGTCGGTCCTTAATCGACGCTACCGTGCCAAACCCGTCGAAACCCTCGAAAGGCCGCCCGTTCGCAGAGGGAGCGCGGACAGGTGTCGCGGCGAAACGGGAAGGGCAAGGCCCGGCGTCGTTTCTGACAATGAGTGCGACAGTTCCTGAGCGGGTTGATCGCTGTCCGCAGTCTGGAGAAGGAGGCCCCCCTCCCCGGAAGCGAGAGCACCCTCCTTCGAAACCGGCGACCGCTCGAAAGAAGGGTGCTCACCCCGGCTTCCTCGCACGCTGGGCTGGGTACAAAGCCGCTCCTTGCTCCTCTCTCCTTCGTTCTCTCTCCTTCACTCCACTCCCGACCCAGTCCCAGGCTTCAGTCTCCCTCACACCGACCAACCCGACCTCAGTCCATCGTCGCCTCGACGCACCCACGGTCCCTTCCCTTCGCCAGACTCGACACCGTATTCAACACTCTACTTTCACGATGTACTCGCAACTCGCCGTCGCCGCGCTCGCCGCCATCGCCTCTGTGCAGGCCGCCCCCCTTCCCATCCTCGCGACCGTCGAGGCCGCCCTCTCGACGCCCAACACGACGCAGTACAACCAGACCGCCGTCTCGTACTTCATGAACGGCAACAACGGCGCCTGCGGATGGGCGAACCAGGACTCGGACAAGGTCGTTGGCCTCCCGAACGAGTTCTACCAGGACCTCTCGTCCGTCTCGCCGTACTGCGGCAAGTACATCGTCGTCACCGACCCGCGCGTCAACAAGACCGTCACTGCCCTCGTCGCCGACGCCTCGACCGGCAACAACACCCTCTCGCTCTCGCAGGGCACCTGGAACGCCCTCAACGGCACCGCGTCCGACCTCAGTGCGTTCCCGTCGTCGTTCTGCGTCTCCGCGCGGGTGCTAACGACGTTGCTTCCTCGTTCTGCAGAGACTGTCGACTGGCGCTTCGCCAACGAGACCGAGACGGCCGCCGCCAAGGCCGCACTCTCCTCGCCCGCCTCGTCGTGGTCTGCCCCCGCCCCTTCGTCGACCACCGCCGCCCAGCAGCAGCAGCAGAAGCAGCAGGAGCAGCCCACGTCGTCGTCGCAGAAGCAGCAGACCACCCAGCAGGCCTACAGTGCGTTGACGCGGTCGCTTTCTTTCGACCTTCCCAAGCTGACCCTTTTCGCTTCGCAGCCACTACCCAGGCTCCCTCCACCACCTCGTACGCGCCTAAGCCGACCACCACCACGACCGCCACCCAGCAGGCCCAGGCCACCCAGCAGAAGGCGTCGTACGACTCGTCGGCTTCGTCGGGTACCTACTCTGGCCAGGCGACCTACTTCTTCCGTGCGTGGACGTCTTCCCTCGCTTCTTGGGCTCGTTCTGACTGTTCTTTCGCTACAGAGAACGGCGTTGCCGGCGCTTGTGGATCCGTCCACAGCGACAGCGACTACATCATCGCCCTTGAGACCAGTATGTATGCTGGCGGCAGCCATTGCGGCCAGCAGGTCAAGATCACCAACACCGGCAACGGCAAAACGATCACTGCTACCGTCGCTGACGAGGTGAGCCTCCATTCCGTCGTTCGCGGCTCGCGCGAGACCGCTTCGAGGTGGACTTTCGCTGACTCCTCCTCTTCGTTCGCCCAGTGCCCTACTTGCTCTACCTCTCAATCCATCGACCTTAGCCAGGGTGCCTTTGACGCCCTCGGCTCGGAGTCGCAGGGAGTGCTTCCCGTGAACTGGAACTTCTCGGGCTGAACGTCTTCCTCCGCCTTCCCCGGCGCCCTGTATCGCTTCCTACCGCCTGTACGCTCTTTATCACGATCCTTTATACGCGCCTGGAGCGCGAAAAGAAGCCGTCAAGGCTCTTGTAGACTTTCTCGGGTAGATTTCCTCGTCGTTTCCGGGCAACTCGCAGACACTTGTTCGCATCGCACCTCTCGTCATGGCACCGTCTTCATGAACAGCGAGAATCGACGCAACGGTGAGAGTTGCGCGCTTGAAGCAGGCGGAGCCGGACATCCCTCCTTCTACCCATCCCGCTCTTTCCCCGCCGTCCTTCAGACTCTACCAACGTCCTCACTCGTCAAGCGACTACAAAGTGCAGGCGTACGGTCAACGACAACAGTCGGTCTGCGCGACGACAGGGTCAGCTCGCACGCTCGACTTTCATTGGTCTCGACTCCGCCATCTGCCGTCGACGAGACGAGCGGCGCAGGTGCGGGCCGCAACGTCTTCATGCGGTGAAGGGAAGCTGGCATTGTGGCATGAAGCTAGGCGGAAAGAGCATGCGAAGCGAGTAAAGGTCGACGGGGCGAGCGAACGAGCGAGAGCAAGCTGGATCGCTCACGATGCTGGCGAGGCTGAAGTGTCCGAGCCAGTAAGAGCGGAAAGCAGTCTGTCCACGTTGAAGGTGTTCGAGCGGAACGGAGGCGCTTAAGGGATGGAGGATGCGAACGACTTCGCCTTCGCAAGTCGGAGAACGGCGTTGGAGCGGACGTGCTGGACGCTGCGGGCAAGACCGCAGTCTAAGGCGCCGACATAGGTGAAGGGGATCGAGCGGGGAAGCCGTCGACGACCCAATGCGTCGAGCGGGAAAGCTTGTCTATGTCGCAACCTTGCCATCTTGTGAGCCGTTCAACCGAGTCCTCCAGTCGACGGTCCCGCCGCCGGACTTGACAGCGCTTGAAGGAGAAGCGGAGAGTTAAGATGGTCGTCGGGTGATCGCAGTGAAGATGAAAGCGGATCCAGGTTGTGGACGAGCGAGAGGGAGCCGGAACGAACGGCTTCGACGATGGTTGGCCAGCCATTGAGCGTCATGTGCGAGAGCATTGTGACGCTGTAGTGCCTGCCGTCGTTTACGCTCAAGTTGACGCCGCAAGCTTCGCCTCGTCGAGAAGGACAAGCCCTGTCAAAGACCTCCATGCTCTGCGTCCGCTCCAACTGACGCCGTCCTCCAGTGACAAAGAATCAGGCACTATAGCTGTGGTACAAGAGGGTCGAAAGAGGCCGATATAAGCGTTTGAGGCTCGAGGCGAGGCGTGCGAGGAGTAGGTCTGGCTGAGCAGCCAAGAAATGGCGGATAGAGCTCCCGCCCGCAATAAACAAGCAAGCGCTGGTGCAGCCTTCTTGAGGAGCGCCCGAGGGCGGAGCAATCGCCGCATCTCCCCTCCGAGCCTCATCCTCCAATCCTCCTCGTCAACAAGCTCGAGCCCGACATCACCTTCCCTCTCCAGCCCTTCCGCACCGCTGACAAGTACATGTAGAACAGCGCGAGATGTCCACATGTCGCAAGAAGGAGCCCGCGACGAGTCGATGCGGACCTTCGCAAGCCATGGGAGAGTAGGCGGGGGTCAGGGCGCAGAGCTGTGTCCCATCGTCGTCCGTCACTGCTCAACACACTTGAACGTCTTCGAGGCGTCGTCAAATCCGCAGATTGCAGCTGGCCTCGAACGGCCCCGACTGATTGCGCGGTTCTCGGGCACGGTCTCGAGAAGTTCGGTACTGGAGAACTGCCAGTAGGAGGTGCTGTGAGTTGGTGTAGCGTCCGCGAGGAAGAGGGAGGAGGTGCGTCGGTTAGAAAGGGAAGGTGGCGGCGACGAAGCGAGACAGAGTGAAGAGGGGGCGGAGGGAGGTCGTCGCAGCCAATGGGCGGCGAAGCCGCAACCTGGCATTTCGAAGAAGCGAGGTCAGTTGCGCATCCTGGTGAGGGGTGGGGTCGCTGACGCACCTCCTTGTCGCAGGCGTCTTCGAGAAAGCTCCTTCTCACGTCGACCCGAATCCTCCGCTTTCCGCCGCAATACTCCTCGCTCTACTCGCATAGACCACCACGCCTGCAGTCTTCTCCACCACCTTAGATCCCTCGATGACGCCGCTCAGCATACTTCTCACAGCCCGAACTTTGAGATGCGCGGTCGATGTTTGAGAGGCCGAGAACTGCGGTGAGGACTGGAAGAGCGAGGGGGACCAAGGCGTCGTGACTTCTGCCTGGTCAAGAGCGTGCGAGGAGAGGAGCGAGACGAGGGTGAAGCTTGACGGTCGAGAGGGACATAGGCGACGATGCGACATGACTCCTGCCCGTTCAGCCGCGCAGGTAGTTGAGCGCACGCACGTCATGCGTGCGTATGCTTCCCCAAATACGATTCCTGTTGATCGGATGCGGGCGAGAAGGGTGAGCTAGAAGAGGTGGTCGAGGAGGAGAGGTGCGAGTCTGCAGTGCGGTCAATCATGTGAGGGTCAGCTCGCGTTAGAATGCGGATACGGACTCGACGTACTCGGCAAATCAAGTCTCGCTCGCCCAGCAAGCCCTCCACGACCAGACGTAGCCCGTAAAGCACACGCAGGCGATTTCCTCCGCCCCTCCTGCCGCCGCCTGTGTCTCGAGTCGGAGCAGGGATGCTCTGTGGTGGTCAAAGAGTCAGATTCGACCGTCAGGCGAGCCCACGAAGGGGGAGCGCACCAGGTTGACACCACCATCCTCAGCGAGACGAGGACGGCGTCTGGTGAGTTGGCGGTTTGCGCGCTTGCCTGCAATCGTTCCGCCCGTCGTGTAGAAGACGCTGTTGCGCTGGCTGTTCGTCCATAGCTTGTGTGAGCCTTGTAGTCGATGGTCGAGGAGGCTGTGCAAAGTGGACGAGTTCGTCCCATGCCTCCACTTCGACTCTGTCACCGCTCCCACTCACTGCTGGATCGCAAACTTGCTCGTGGACCCTGCTAGACTCTGCGCAACCTGGGCGAGACACCCTTCCGGCCCCGCCCGCTCTCTCACCGCCTTCGCTCGCCGATACCCTTCTCGCGACTCGACGAACCGTCAACTCGCGACGACGGCCTCGCGACGGGGATTGGAGGAGCTCAAGCGGGCGACCAGTACGAGGGATTGCTTCGTGGGAGTATCGCGCGCCTTCCGCTGCGTGTGTGTGTCGCGAGACCAGGAGCTATCGCAGGCCGGATTGCGGTGTGAGGCTTGCTTTGCGCGTCAGTTGCGGCACAAGCGCTTGCACGCCGTCGCTACAAGATTCTGGGCATGCTACCTCGCTACCCGGACGCACTGCAGCCCATGAAGGGAGGAGCAGCGGCTCAAAGCTGCTTCTGCGAATCTTGACGGCTGGCTCACGACCTCACTACACCTTCTTCCGGCTTGGGCTTCGCACTGAACTGCTCCATTGGCTCATGCTGCTCACACGGCCTGTCCCTTCCGACCAAACTGCGAGGCGGAGGGAGAAAGAGCGAGCGAGAGTTGCGGCGGTGGGCGCGCGACTTTGCGTCTCTCAGCAAAGGTAGAGATGTCGCTCTTGAACCTGAATCCTGACGGCGAGCTGTGCAAGTTGCAGGACGGGCGAGAAAAACGCATGCCGTTCTATTTACGGCGATTCGATCCGCCTTTCAACTGGCCCAAGTTCGTCCAGCGAGTCGCGACAGCCTCCCCTCGAGCAGATCCGCCTGCCTCCTCGTCCTGTGAAGTGAGCGGTGTTCCCGGCTTGTACGCACTCAAACGCTCCTTCCGACGCTTCCTTCAAGCTTGCAACCCTCCCTGTGCGCCGAGAAGCGCCATCTCGAAAAAGTGCACAGGCGACAGGAGTCGCCTGGCGCACTGCACACCGGCTATGAGAGGCCGCTTGCACAATGGTATGATTTTTGGCATGCTGTTCGATGCCCGGACGGCGTCAGCCAGCCCTACGATGCGAGTTGTCGCGGAGGAGCACCCTCTCACGCTCTCCCTCGTCTCTCGCACTCTCGCACATCGCTCATCCAGCTCAGACCGCGTTCTCAAAGCTTCCAGCTGCCCAGACAGCGTGTTTCAAGTAGCCTGCGCCCTTTGACACGCCACCGAACGCCAGCTCGACCCTCCCTCTCCTCCACCACCTTCATCAGTCAACCTCGACTCGACTTCGCTATCGCACCGCACAAGCGAGTAAACGATGCGCCACTGCTGTTGGATGGGTTGGGGTTTGTTACAGTCGAGCATGGGCGCGGGCGCTCAGCTGCTGGCATGTACGGCGAGGAGGGGCGGACGACTTCTGGCCTCGAGCGCTTCCTTGCCTCTGAGCTCGCTCATTCTCTACTCGATCTGGTTCGAGCTCGAGCCAAAGAGCTGTTGGTCTGCGGACGTGCTCACGGGATTTCCCAGGACCGTTTGAGGCGGTTCTTCCACGAACTTTTCCGCAGACTGGACACTGCTGCGCGGCAAACTCGCTTCTCACTTTCGCTTTTCACAGGCTTAACAGCGCTTGCTCTCCACAACACTTCGCAGCTCCTTCGTGCGCCTGTCACGCGAAGTAGACGAGTCATTCAACTGGCGCTGTTTCGCTGCTGATGAACTGGACCAACGGTTCGTGTCGAAGGCAGGCGCCGAAGCCGGTTCAAGCACCCCTTCAGACCACCGAATCATCTCCTCTTGGCTCGTTTGCGGCCATTGTGCACCGCCGGGACCCTCAGTGTCGATATTGCGCTCCTGGTCCTGCTATTAGTGTCAGGACCTCGCGCTCGAACGGTCTTGCTTCGCTACTTCGTGCACCTTCAAGACCAATTGTATCTTCGCTAATACATCAAAGCTCGGCCGGCACCTGCTCGACTTGACGAACCTCGACGAATGACCGGGTCTTCGTTGTGCCCGCTTAACCGCTGACCACTCGTTCCCAGTGACTGCAGGGCACCAGCACAAAGATTACAAGCCGCACATCCTCAGAAATTCGCGCGCTCGCAAGGAGGGCAAGGTCAGGAGTACGTTGTGCGGTAGTGCGAGCGAACTCACCGATCCTTAAAGCAGACGCAGGAATCGTAGCCTGAAGCGATGGCTCTCCAGCATGCACTACCTCGAGAGTACTGAAGCGAGACTGACGATGCAAAGCGCTCGGTACACCCTCATCCCTGTACCTTTCCCTACTCCTCCCACTCCCAATCCATGTCCTCCGTTCCCGTAAGAACGCGATTTCCCCTACCCTCCCTCTCCCACACCACACTTCCATCGATGTAGTAGCGAACGAGCTGTCCAACGCGAAACGAAAGTCGTCAGTCGAAGTTCGTGATATTAGCGAAAACTTCGCCCGCCTCTTCGCGAGGCTCGAAATTCGAAAGGACGCACCTTGCACTCGGTAGACATGGCATCTGACGAGTACAACTCGACGCAGTAACGCTGCTCAAGGGCGTTGTATTCAAGCGGGACGCCGAGCAAAGGATTCCATTCGCCGAGGCTGGAGATCGCTCCGACGAGGCGCAAATCCTATGGTGAGGCGCAGGAGAGACAGTGTGAGAAACTCGTGATCGCAGAGAGCGATGGAAAGAGCGACGCGCCGTCGTCTGATCGTACTCGGCCGCGACCGAGATCTTGATGGGTGCGAGGCCGGACGTCTCCAGCTGCGCCGCCTCCGCCTCATCTTCCGACCTGCGGGTGGTGCAGGTCGAATCAGTACTGTTGGGGAGTAGAACGAGCTCGCAAGCCACGAAGCCGGCTCAAACTGACATGGCCAAGTCCCCCTCCTCCTCACTCAAAGTCCCGCCCGCCTGGATGTCCGTGCGGCGGCGCTGCGGCGCGTGAGCCTGCGGAGAACCGATCGGAGCGAACGAAGGTCCCGTCGGACTGCGAGGAGTCGGAGTGAGGAGGATGGGCGAGGACGGAGGGCGCCTCTTCAGCTTCTTCTCGATCGAGACGGGCGTGGCGAAGATGTCGAACGTGAAAGGGCGCTTTGCATCCTTCTCGGGGGTCGAGGGGAGCTCCTGCGCTGCCGAAGGCGCTGTTGGAGAGAGCAGGCGAGGTCAGCGAGCAGCCCACACTCGCGGACGGCGATCGATGAACACACCGGGCACCTCGGCGTGCGCCTCTTCCTCACCCGCCTGCTCCTTCGCAAGCATCTCCTCGAACCGCTTGACCTTGCTGAGCAGGCGGCGCGCCGGTTTCTCATCCCCCTCGCGCAGCCGGTCCACCAACTTCTTCGCCTCCTCGAGTTCCACCCCCACTCCGCCTAGCCCGAGACGCCAGAGCGTGTACGCCAGGACGAAGCGGACGTTGCCCTCGTAGATGGGACGGTTCGAGATGAAAGAGTGCTGGAAGTCGAGCTCGGCGAGCTGCTCGCGCAGGCCTTTGAGGGCGAGGAAGGTGTCGTCGATTTCGTATGAGTGGGAAAGGGCGATGAGGTCGTTCAGTTCGCCAAGGAGGCTCTGATCGAGGCGCTGCGTGCAGTCAGGAGCGCGTCTCAGCAGTCTGGCGTCGACCGAGTGAGCGAGGGATGCCACTCACAGAGAGGGAGGAGGGAGGCGGAGAGGGGTCCGGAGGCGCCGCGGAGTCGCTCGGCTGGACATCGCGGTCGAGCGGAGTGATCTCTGAGTCGTTGGAAGCCATTCGAGCGCAGCACTTTGCGGAAGTAGCGAGATGCAGGATGTCAACCCGTCGACTTTGCCCTCCCGCTCGCTTCACCTCTCGCAACACGACACAATCGACTCGAGCACCGCACACTCGAGTCTACAGTGCGTCTATACTCTCCAGCACGCGCACTGTGCCGTCTCCTGCCCGCGCGCGACGTTGTGACGGCGCTCTTCCGCCTCATCTCGCTGACCTCCCTCCTCGTATCCTCCCGAGCAGGCGATGCCTCCCGCGTACAGCGACAGTGGCTCAGACGCCTACAACCCTTCTGACGGCACTAGCAGCGCCTCGACCGAGTCCGCCAGTCAGTCTCTCCGCATCCCCCGTCGCGACCTCGTCGACTACCTCTCCGACGACGACTTGCCTCCCTCCGCCGCCAAGCTTCCTACCCCGAGCGACATAGTCTACTCGCGCCAAATTCCCCAAGCCCGTCTCGCCAAATCTCGCTTGGTCAAGGTCCTCCGTCGCGAGCCAGCGATCGGCGAAGAAGAGACGACGGGCGAGGTACTCGGTCCCACGGAAGGGGAGGACGAGCCTGAGGGCGGCGAGGAGTATCAGGACGGCGGCGAGGCTATGGAGCGGTCGTCTTCTAGCGCAGCCGCGACCGTCGCGGCCGAAGCACAGGTCGCGGCGCAGGAAGGCGACGGCGCTCCGGGAGAAAGGGTGGACGGTGCGTCAGTCGAGGGCGAGGCTGAGGGTGTGGAAGAGAGGAGTGAGCCATCAGTAGGCTCGGAACAGGCGGAAGAGGAGGAGGACGACGAGGACGACGAGGAACCTTCGTTCGGTCCCGCAGTACAGGCCGTCCACAGTATCGCGTCGATCGCCGAGCTCGACAGGAAGTTCGAAGCTGTTCGCCGTCGCAGTACCTGGTTCAACTGGAACCCGAACCTCTGCAACACGAAGACGAAGCGCCAGCCTTGTGCGTTCTCGTTCTCCTCCTCTCGTTTACACTGCGCTGACAAGCAAGTGTAGTCATTATGCTCGGTGACCCAGCTTTGAAGGGCAGGAACGTCCAGAGCGAACCAACGCTGAAGATCGACACCCTCGTGACGATTCGCGAGGAGGCGGCTGCGGGCGGTGAGAAGAAGGCGATCAAGTACTATAAGAAGGAGAACCTGCCGGGTGCGTTCGACGTCGATTCAGCTGTCCTCGCAGCTGATACGACATTCCTCGCAGCATGGTGGAACGAGTACCCCAAAATCTTCGGGCCGCTCCGCCGCGAATCTGCGCGCTTCATCTCGGCAGTGTTGCAGGTTTGCGCCAACGACAGCGAGGTCGACGAGGTCATGCACGACAGCAACTTTGACGGCTATCGCGCCTCTCCCGGAGAAACGACCTTGTTCACTGCCATCCGCAACGACATCGAGAAGATTTTTGACAAGGACAAGGGCGACTACCCCGAGCCCAACCTGATCACCAAGCTCTGTGCTCTTCTCGTCGACGGCTACGAGCAAGACGGCGTTGCAACTTCCACGAACGGCGAGATGCCGCGCCTGTCGGACCCCTCGGGCGAGAACCACAAGCAGTTCGCTTACGGCGCGGTCGGCGTCGGCGCGCTCATCATTGGCGTCCGCCTCCTCCGCCCTCACATCTCGGCGACTAGCTCCTACATTGCCTTCAAGCGCAACAGCAAGCTCGCGCTCACGATGCTGGAGTCAGAAGACCGGATACGGCTCGGCTTTCCACGCGCAAAGGGACAGGCGCAGCGACTCTTCCTTGAACTTGTCACGGACCAGGCTGGTCAGCACCGCTGTTCTATCTTGTTGAGGGCCTTGGCTAACTGCTGTGTCTTCCCGCAGTTCCACCTCCGCCGCCTCCCACTCAGCCTCCTCTGCTTACCTTCCCCTTTCTCCCAACCGACCCTCCTGACGCGCGCGGCCGCCTGCGGTCCTACCGCCCGGACCTCTCTCCCGCCCACATCGAACGCGCCGTCTATGTCCTCGGCTGGATCAACCACGTCCTCGCATCAATGGGCATCACCGCGCTCGAAAACAAGCAGAAAATCGAGTTCTGGAAGGACGTCCGAGCCCGTTTTTACAAGACGCCGGTCCCGCGCGCGAGAGGTGCGTCCACTTCGGCGCAAACTTTGACCTTCGCTAACACGCCTCTCTCCTAGACTTCATCACCTTTCCCGAACGCCGCGTCGCCTATACTCTTCACACGTACGCTGGACAAGGGCAGGCGATCTATCGAGGCAAGTTGATTCGAGACGATGGGAGCGGGTGCGGAGAGCGTATGGAGGGGGGATGGAGGATTTTCGACCCGATTCTCGCCCAGTCCGCCGTTGAACTCGGCAACAAGGTGCGCCGCATCGCGTTTCTTAGCACGTCATGACCGCTGACCGCGCACGAACGGCAGATCTTCCGCGAGACGAACGACTACATCGTCGCCGAACGCCGAATGGCCGCCCATCTCGACCTGGGTGAGCTCGTCCTCGACGAGAACGAGATCGAGACGCTGCTCGAGCACCCGCGAGTGTGAGTCCACGTCGCATCTCGCAAGAAAGAGCACCCGACGCTGACGGACTTGCCTCATCTCCGCAGCTACGTCGACGCCGACACTCTCACCTGCGCAGGCTGCGGCGAGGCAAAGCCGCTCACTGACTTCCCGGATGCCGACGCCGACGAAGTATACTCGTACAACCGAATCCTGTGCGTGTACTTCCGTTCCTCGAAGGCTGCCTTCGCCAGGCTGACGAACCGTTCGCACACTCAGCTGCTTGGCTTGTGGACCGGCGACCGAAGGCGACGCCTTCTCGCCGCGTTATGACGTTGTCAGTCTCGTCTCCCTTTTCGCTCTTCCAACGCTGATGAACTACTCGCAGTTCCGGTCGCTCCGCAAGATCCGTGCGCGCGAGGGCATCGACCGCTCCACCTCCACGCCCAAGAGTCTCGCCAGGGACTACGACGGCTGCTACGGCTTCGACTTCGAATCCGGCATGGGCTTCGACCTCTACTCCCAACTCCCGATCGCCATCGGTGAGCGGACCTCTTCCGCGCGCTGAGAGTCTCGCAGCATACTGACGGATACCTCTCTGCAGCTACCGACGAACCGACCGTCGTCTCGCTCGACTGCGTTGCGCCGATGCCCTCGCAGAGTGGCTTCCTCGTCGCTCACGGTGATCTCCGGAACGTGGTCCCTACTTTGCGGACCACAAATTGGGCAGTCGGTAACCGAAGCCGCTTCGCGACGGAGATCTTGACCACGCGTGCGTCCTTTCTCCGTTCTCTTCCGACCGGTGCTGACTGGTTCGCGCGCCCGCAGTCACCGCTCTTGTCCCGGTGATCCACCATCTCGAACGCACAGCATCCGACCGGACCCTCAACCAGCTCGAGAAGGATGCGCTCGAGTACGCGCAACAGCTCGTCCAGGACGCGCGCTCGGCGAACGAGAGCCTCCGGCATGCGGAAGGAGCTTTCGGAATCTTCAAGCGGTTGCGCAAGGTGGCGACTGTCAGCGTCGACGACGTCTCTTTTTCGCATGACCCCTTCGCCGACTTCCTCGCCGTCCTCTCCCGCATCGAGAAGATCCACGCGTCCTTCATCAAAGCTCGCCCGGATGAGGAGGATCCGCTGCCGGGAACTTCCGCCTTCTATTGCAAAAACTTTGAGGAGTTCTCTAGTGAGTCAGGACATTGAGCAGCTTCCTGAGCGTCTCGCTGATGGTTGAGCACCTCCCAGACATCGACCCCGAGAACCTTCAGTCGTCTTTCGCTACGGCCGACGAGATCCTCGGCGAGCACCAACAGCTTGTCCCAGTCTACGCACCCTTCCCCGAGTCCAGCCGCCCGAGGGTGACTTTCGAGTCCCAGGAGGAGCAGGCGCGGGTGAGGAAGCTGGTCGAGGGTGCGTCCGCTTGCATTCCCTTCGACGCCTTACTTGCCCACAGTGCTGACTCGTGCTGTTCGCAGCGATCGAGAAAAGCAAGAAGATCAAGCAGATCAACCCGCGGTTCTCCGGATTTGCCTACCTCTCGGACGGCTCAGGCTGGCCTGCCTTTGTGTCGCCGGAGGAAATCGCGCTTTGGGAGCAGGAGCAGGGGCGCAAGGTACGTCTGAGACTGCTCTTGCTCTTGTCCTAGCTCTGCTAACACAACCCTTTCTGGGAAAACAGCTCACCCTCGAGGACCTCCTCGCCGAAGCGGGTTTCCGGATGTTGCGGGTTCTGGAGAAGTGTGACCTGTGCGTTTGCCTGTCCGGATTGCTTTGGTGACTATACTGATGCACAGCGCTCCGCCGCACAGCAAGTACCGCGAGCACCCGGACGCGGACCCTCTCGACGGATACTTCGGCAACTTACTGGTCGACCTGTACCTTCAGTTTGCGCTAGGCGAGCATGAGGACCTCCTCCTGGGCAAGTCCTACTTGCTCGCCAAGGGCAACGCTTACAGCGCCGGTATCGGTCACCGTTTGCCAAAGCGGCCGATGACCTTCGGAGTGTCGAAACCGCGACCGACTCGATTGAAGGACTACAACTTTAACGTGCGCTCTTCCGTTGGGCTTCCACAAACACCTCGAGCTCACAGAACTTGACCGCAACAGGACCGCAACATGCAGCGCCGCAACTGGGACTTGACCCGCCACTTTACGGTTCAGCTTCAGGCGTTCGCGTCGGACGCCGACAGGAAGAAGGCGATCCAGGCGTATGGTCACGCCCTCTCGCACTGGCTCAAGAAAGGCAGGTTCAAGTCGCTCGACGCGGACAAGCAGGAGGTCCTCTCCGCCGCACTCGACGCTTTCTACGCTTCACCGGTGTATAACTGGCTGGGGCCGTGGAGAGCTCGCGGACTCATCGTGCGTACTGCTTCCGATCACGCACACTCGGAGATTCCGCGTGCTGACAAGGGGAGGTGCAGTACTTGAAGCGCGTTGCTGCCTGAAGACCGCCCGAAGATCCTCAACGTAGGGAGGTCGTCCGTCTGATTCGCTGTACTCTCCTCTCGCTTGTTGATGTGAGTGAAACTAGCATCGTGTCCGTTTCAGCCTCGGCAGCCTTCGAGAGTCGAGAGTCTTGCGTTGCCCTCCTCGAGACTCCGTCGCCTTCGCAAGCCGTAGTTTCTCCTCCACTCCCTCTCGCTCTCTCGCTTTCCTCATCCCTCGTCTTCACACAGGACGCTGCTGCTCGCACGACTGCACCCAGCGCCGGGCAGATCGGAACTCGCCCCGCCCTGCGATCTCGAGCGGGCCGAAGTCGACGTCGACCTTTGCGCAGACCGTCACTCTCTCGCTCGCTCTCGCTTGGTACGTGTGCTAGCGAAACTCGAACTGCTGTACATCGCGATTGCAAGCCACCCGCTCTTGCCTGCTCGCCCGCCGCCCTCATCGCTGTTGACCGACGGTTCTCTCCCCTCATCTCTCACCGCCGAACCGCCATCGCGGGACTCACGAGCGCCCCACAAACACGCACAGACGCCCGGGCAACGCTGTGAACGCGCCCGCCATGCTCGCCGCCGTCGGACAGATGTGCTCGACGAGCAACCTCGCCCTCAACGCCAAGTTGTGCACCTCGATCATCCGCCGCGCAGCCGCCGCTTCCGCACGCATCATTCTCCTCCCTGAAGCATGCGACTTCCTTGGTGTCCAGCCCGACGAGACGCACAAGTACAGTCAGTCGCTGGACGACAGCGAGTTTGTCAAGGCGGTCAAGGGGCAGGCGAAGGATAGCCAGATCTGGGTGGGCGTGGGAGTGCACGAGAAGGCGGAGGAGGACCCGAAGAAGTGCTACAACGTTCACCTGGTGCGTGCGACAACTCCCCGGCACCCAAGAGTCCCTTCTCTGACCGGCTTTTCTTCCCGCAGCTCATCTCGCCGCAAGGTCAGATCGTCCAGCGGTACAAGAAGATTCACCTCTTTGACGCCAAGCACTCGGGAAAGTCGATTCTCGAGTCCAACACGACTCTGCCCGGCAAGGAGCTGATGGACCCGGTGGAGACGCCTGTTGGGAAGCGTGCGTACAGAGGCGCTTCCTAGGAGCGTTACTGCGCGACTTACAATGCCCCTCCTGCAGTCGGACTCTTGACCTGCTACGACTTGCGTTTCCCCGAGGTCGCGCTGTCCTTGCGGCGGCGAGGAGCGCAGCTCATCGCGTACCCTTCAGCCTTCACGCTTCGTACCGGTGCGTTGCCTAACCCCGCTCGATCTGATAGACATCCGCTGACATCTCGTGTCGCGCAGGCCCGCCTCATTGGGGTGAGCAGCCGCCTTTCCGCTTCTCTGCCTGCTCCGGATGCCTAGCTGACCTGTGACGTGATGCGCAGAGGTGCTCCTCCGCGCACGAGCTATTGAGACACAATGCTACGTTCTCGCGCCTGCACAGGTTCGCTTATCCGTCACCCTTCCTCGCCATCTCCGCTCACCCTCCTCCTCCCTACAGATCGGCCAGCACTCCGAAACGCGCACCTCCTACGGCCACGCCCTCATCGTCGACCCATGGGGGCAAGTGATTGCCCAAGCGCCCGACCGGCCACCTACGTACCCGCCCGACGAGCAAGATGAAGACGCGGGGACGTTCGTGACGGCCGAGATTGAGCTTCCGTGGCTCGAGCAGTTGAGGGAGGAGATGCCGCTTTGGGAGCAGAGGAAGAGTTGGAGCGATGGAGTGTATCCGATCCTGTAGACGGGGCGACTCCGGACGTAGAAAGGCGCTAGAATGGACCGGAACAAGTTGCAACAGGCTCAAAGGTGCGGAGGGACTGAAAGGGCGAGACTAGTATGCTAAGGGTATGAGCGAGACCGGCGTCTACTCGTACATCATCCTCCGCCTGCCACCCGCATTTGTCCGCTGCCGCTTGCGCCTCATCTCTCCCAAATCGCCCTCGACCTCTTCGCCCCTGAGCGCCGAGAGCCCCGCCAAGCTCTTCCCGAACTGACTGTACGTCCCGCTCTGGACGAGGAAGTGCGCAGGCGGAAGTCCAGGCTGCGTCCGTCCACCTGGCTTGCGCTTGCCAATCGTGCCCGTCAGGAGCGAGGCGGTGGCTCCCACGCCCGATAGCGCCGTGAGCGATCCTGCGCCTGATCCTGCGACGGCGGACGAGTTGGGCAAGAGCGCGGCAGCGAGGTTGAACGGGTCGGAGAGTCCGCTGAGGCCGAGGAGCGAGCCGAGTGCAGCGGCATCGACGCCATTCGACGAGCCGTCTTTGCCGCCTGCGACGGACTCGGACGGGGAGGCGGCGCCGTTCGTGCCGCCGTTGCCGTGACCGGGTCGAGAGGGGCCGCCCATGCGGCCGTTGCCGCGCATGCGGCGGGTGCCGTGGGTTCGCTGCGTCTCGAGGAAGGTGTCTGGGCGCGTGCAAAAAAGCGTTAGCTACGACTCTAGCTGTCAAAGAGCTATGCAGCAAGCCTGGAACGACCGGCAGCACAGCGAAAGGAGCCCTCGAGCCAAACGCACCGATTGTAACGCCCTCGCCCTCCTTCTCCTCCATCAACCGCTTCCTCCGCTCCTCGACACCCTCCATCAACCTCTCCACGACACCCTTCATAGCTGCCTCGTACTCGTCCTCGATCCGCTCAACCTCCGCCTCGTAGAGCCTCCTCGCAGCCGCAACCTGATGCGAGTGGAACAGCCTAATCGCGAGCTGTTCATTCGCGCGCTCCATCGAGAGTCGATGCAATGAGAAGAGGTAGGGAATGGGATGCATGTCGGGGATTACGGGGTCGGTGAAGGGCAGAGAGGGGGGAAGCTGGCCGACGGGGATGGAGAGGTCCGAGGTTGGGAAGACGGGAGGCGGGAGGAGCTCGTCTGCTGTGCGGGCGTAGATCTCGGACAGGTCGTGGAAGATCCTGCGGGGGCGAGAGAGACCTCTTCGTGTGAGTGCGTGCCAGTGACCGGAGGTCTTCAAGGCGAGGAGGCGGAGTCTCTGAAGAAAGCGGGTGTACGCACCGGTCTCGCCTGGCGACAGTGTCCTCCTGCAGCCGCGTCACCCGGTCCACCATCTCGCGCCGCCGCTTCTCGCGCTTGTTCTCCTGCGGCTGCATGCTGTAGGCTGTCGGCGAGCGAAGTGCGTCAGTACGAGCTGCTGCTGTCGGCTCGCCATGCCAGCGTGTTCCAGCTCCGTCGCCATGCGACTGGTAGCAACCCAACCGATCCCCAATACGGGTGAAGAGCACGGCGAGGCGAGAGATCGGACGAGGGAAGACGCACCGTCGTAGGCCTGGGGCGGCTCGTCCGGCGGTTGCTGGTACATGGCGCTAGTTCAGAGCGGCTGTATCACTGTATAGCAGTACTCAGCAAGCCCCAGCGAGGAGCGGTGAGGGGGGAAGCGAGGCAGTCCTGGTCCTCTCTCCGGCGGGGCGAGCGAGATGACAGGGGGACTTGGGACAGCGACGAGTGAAGCGAGTAGATTGACACCGTAGGGCTACTGCTTCGGCGGGCGTGACCCCATGATGCTCGACCCGACCCTCACATTCGTCGACCCCTGCTCAATCGCCTCGACGAAATCGCTGCTCATGCCCATACTCAACTCGAGGCCGCCGTCCCGCTCAATCTGCTCGACGCCCTTCCGCAAACCCTCGCTCGCACCGTCTGACTGCGCCTTGGACCGCAGAACCTCGACGAGCCGGTCGCGCGTCTCTGTCAGCCGCTCAAAGTCGGGATTGGGCATCGCAGACTTCGACGCGTCGAGCGAGCCGATCGTCATCACTCCTCTCAGTCGCAGGGTCGGACACTTGTCGAGGATGTGCAGAGCGAGGTCAACTGCCTCGCCAGAGGAGGACGAGGATGTCAAGGCAGCGAGACCGGATTTCTGCTCTTCGCCAGAGGTGTTGATCTGGATGAAGACGTTGAGGGGTTCGGAGCGGGACGAGGGCGCGGAGGAGAGGGCGTTGTGGAGGTGGTTGGCGGCTTTGACGGAGGTGAGGGTCTCGATGGCGAAGAGGTTGGGAATGGCTGCGCGAGAAAGACGATGTGAGCACGGCAAAGACTTCAAGAGGCGGGGCTGAACTAACCGGCGAGCATCTTGCACTTGTTTGACTGTAATGTACCGATAAAGTGCCAAGCGATATCCTTTGGCAGCTGTAGCGAGGCGAGAGAGGATATGAGCGCGAGTTTCGAGAGAGAGAGAGCGGTTCGCAACTCACCTCCTGCGCCTTTCCCTCGAGCTCCTGCGGGTAGTTCTCGCCAAAGTGTCGTACGCCATGCTCGTACAGCGCCAGAATGTCCGATGCAGGCTTGTACTTTGAAACCGTGACCAGTCGAGGCTGCCCGCAACATCGTCGGATCAGCTCGGTTGCGCTCGTGAGAGCTCCTGACAGTACGCACAGTCGGACCCGCTCCTCGCCGCTGCGTCGCCTGCTCCACCTCCCTCACGATCTTGTCGTAGTTCTCCCTCAACTCCTCGGCCCGCTCAGGCGCGGCAGGTTCAACAGGCATGGGTGCGGGGCTTTTCGTAGCGAGTGAGCGGATGCAAGTCAGCGAGTTCTGCGTGTAGAGCTGGCGGGAACGAGCGAGCATGCGAGGTGGACGAGGTCGAGGAGTGTCCGGCACAGGGACGCGGAGGTTGGAGACGCCCGTTCAGCTGCTCTCGCTCGGTTGGCTGCTTGTTTGGCTTGCGCATCTCGCTTTTGGACTAGAACAGACCGACACACGGATAACATGGCACAGCAGCAGTCGACGATCAACTGGGACGAGTACATCTCGGAGCGAGGGAAGATGTGGGAGCCGTCAGCGAGTGAGTCCATCTGCGGGTCTGACGGGGTCTGAGGAGGGCCAGGGAGGGTGCGGTTCTACGTCTAGCCTGCACCGAACCCGCCAGCTGCCGTGTGAGGGCCAGTCGGATTGACTCCTCCTCGTCCCCCCTCCCCTCCAACCCGTCGGCACACCCTGCACACCCAGTCCGCGGCCTGTTCCCGCTGGAGAAGATTCCCGGAATGGTCAGCCTGCTCGCTGGCAAACCCAACGCCGAGACGTTCCCTTTCTCGGCTATCAAAGTCGACTTGAAGCCTATCGTGCGCTTCCCTCCCCTCTCCCTCCTCTCTCCCTGCGCTCATTCAGTCGCACTGGCGCACAGATCCCCGGAGACCCTGTCGAGACACTCACGATTGAATCGGACGCCCTCTCGGAAGGCTTGCAGTACGGCGCGACGGCCGGTCTTCCAAGCCTGAACAAGTGGCTTGAGAACTTGCAGGAGGTGCGGCACAAGCGGGCGAGGGATGGGAGTTGGGGGCTTAGTCTTGGGAGTGGAAGTCAGGATTTGATCAACAAGGTGCGTTCGAGGTACAGCGCAGGCATTTGAGCGCGGATTGACGGATCGATCGACAGGCTTTCTACTCGCTCGTCAATGAGGACGACTCGATCTTGCTTGAGACACCTGTGTACTCGTCAGTCGATTCTCCACGCTTCCCTACATGCCGAAACTCACACTCGCCGTCGCAGGGGAACAATCGGCCTTCTCAAGCGACACAAGGTCAACCTCATCGGTGCGTGCTTTCCCTTGCTCCTCAATAATACATGCTGATGCCTGCTTTGCGCAGAGGTCCCCGTCGACACGGAGGGCCTCGTCCCGGAGAAGCTTGAGGCCATTCTCGCCAACTGGGAGAGCAAGTTCCCCGGCAAGCGGTTCCCCAAGATCCTCTACACCATGTGCGCGCGCTCCCTCATACTCAGAAACTTTTGCTCACCCACGCGCACTCGCAGCCCTACCGGCTCGAACCCAACGGGCGCCACCGCCCCTCTCGAACGACGAGAACGTGTCCTCGCGCTCGTCCGCAGATACAAGCTCATCCTCCTCGAAGACGACGCGTATCACTACCTCTCGTTCGACCCGGAACATATCGTGCCGAGCTACTTTGAGCTGGAGGGAAGGGACGGAGGGGAGGTTGGGAGGGTTATTCGGTTCGATTCGTTCTCGAAGATCCTCAGTTCCGGTGCGTGTCACCTGAGATATTTCAGAGTTTATAGCTGACCCCTCTCTTGTCGCAGGCATGCGGTTGGGCTTCGTGACGGGCCCGAAGCCGATTCTCGAGATCATCGACCTGCACACCGCCAACACCAACCTCCAGCCCTCGTGCGTCCTCCCTGCCCCACATTCTGCGTCTTGTGCTTACGACGCCCGCCGCAGCTCGACCACGCAAGCGATGGTCCTCGTCCTGCTAAACAAATGGGGCCTCGATGGCTTCCTCGCGCACACTCGCCGCGTCGCCGCGTTCTACAAAGACAAGCGGGACATGTTCGAGAAAGTTGCGCACAAGTACCTCGATGGTTTGGCGACTTGGGTCACGCCTGAGGCGGGCATGTTCGTGAGTCGAGCTTTCGCTTCTTGCGCTCGCTGGCTTCCTCGGCCTGGCTTCAAGCGCTCCAAAATCGCGGTCTCGGCACTCACTCTCTTACTACTCCTGCAGCTCTTCCTCGACCTGCACCTCACGACCGACGGCACGCCCGGCGACTCCTCCGAACTAATCTCGACAACAGCCGTCCAAAAAGGCGTCCTCGCCGTTCCAGGTGTCGGCTTTCTCCCGAACGGCGGCAGGTCCTCGTTTGTCCGCGTCTCGTTCTCGCTTGCGACGGAGGAGGATGCAGAGTTGGCTTTCCAGCGGTTGAGGGAGTGCATCCTTGAGGCCAAGGGCGAGAAGGCGTAGATTGTCGGGACTCGCTAGATGTTGCAATATGCTCGGGACCGTCTCAATGGGTTTCTCAGGCAGTACAGAACTCTGCGAAGGCGTTTGCGCGAGTTGACCTCCTCCTTGCTCGTTGACATCGCCCGTTCGCTCTTGTCAACTTCTCCTCATTCCCGCACAGGCTGCGCGGTGCTCACCACAAGCTAGCCAGGTCCCTCTGAGCTCGCCAACAACGCTCCCGCTGCCCGCCAGTCCGCCCTCTGCCCGTTCCACCCCCTCATCGGTTCGCGCGATCCCAGTCTTCTCGAGACCCCCACGACACGCTGAGGGCGCCATGCGCATCGTCACATGGAACGTGGTGCGTTTCGCATCTTTTGAGGCGCGCGCGAAGGGCGCTGACCACCTGAGCCACCGCAGAACGGCATCAAGACGCTCCTCCAGTATCACCCGTCAGTCTTCGTTCGCTTCGGCGGTCCAGGACGATCCAACGCGCCCTTGGACCTTCAACAGAGACTTGATGAGCTGACAAGGTCACTCGCACGCAGATGGAACCAGAAGCGGACGTATGAGGGGATCATTGAGGACCTGGGCGGCGACATCACCTGTATACAGGGTACGCATGTTCTCTCGATTCTTGATACATATACGCTGACAAATCATCACTCACGCAGAGACGAAGATCACGCGGGCGCAGATGGAGAGGGGAATGGCCGTCCTCGACGCCTACGACTCGTTCTTCTCCTTCTACCGCCGAAGCGTTCGCGGCATTCACGGCACGGCCATCTTCACGAAGCGCGACGTTGTCATCCCGGTCAAGGCGGAGGAAGGGATCGCGTCGAGCCTTATCCCGTCGACGATGGCGGTAGCCGACCGAATTGGAGGGTATCCGCTCAGCTCGGAAGCGGATCTCGACTACAACGCGATGAAGGATCTCGACTCGGAAGGGCGAACGACGGTCATCGACACGGGCATGTTCGTCCTGATCAACTTGTGCGTTCCTTCGCCCTGCTCGCTCTGTTCTTCGTCCTCACGTCTCCCCGCGCGCAGGTACTGCCCGAACGAAACGAACTCGGATCGCCTCGTCTTCAAGAACAACTTCAACACGCTCGTCGACCGCCGCGTCCGCAACCTCATCAAGCTTGGCCGCGAAGTCATCGTTGTCGGAGACCTCGTCAGTCCCGTCTCTCAGCCGTTCAACCGCGCCCTCGCTGACGCCTTCGCTTTCAACAGAACATCTGCGCGTCCGATCTCGACACGGCAGAGCCCGAGCAGCGAGCGCGAGACTCGGGTCTCGAGAACTTTACCGACCACCCGCCTCGAGCCTGGCTCGGCGCCTTCACTGGTCCAAACGGCCCCATGATCGACATCACCCGTCGCCTGCACCCGGACAGGCAGGGCATGTTCACCTGTGCGTCAAGCAGCTCTCCGTCTGCGCTCTACCCCTCGACCTGACCTCCCCTCCCGTTCTCGTCTTTCCTGCCAGGCTGGAACACGAAGATCGAAGCTCGGTGCGTCTCGCAGCCCCTTTCTCAAATAGAAACTCCCTGCTGACGCTCGCTGCGAGCAGCGTGTCGAACTACGGTACCCGCCTCGACTACATCCTCATCACGCCCGGCCTCCTTCCCTGGGTCAAGTTCTCCGATATTCAGCCCAAAATCGTCGGTTCCGATCACTGCCCCGTCTACCTCGACATGTACGACGAGCTCGACATCCCCGGCCGCGGCAAGGTCAGCATCTGGGACGAGTTGAATCCCGGTCGCAAGAAGGGCGACAAGCTGCCCGATCCGCCTGCTTTCGCCAGCCGCTTCTTCAGCGAGTTCTCCGGCAAGCAGAAGCTGCTGTCTAACTTCTTCACCAAGAAGTCGGAGATGCCGCCCGATGCGTCCAAGCCTTCGCCATCGCCCTCTCCTCAACCCAACTCCGCAACCACGTCCGCCTCGGTTTCGAAGAACGGCAGCCTCTCGACGATGGCGACGATCACGGCTGTTACCAACGGCTCGTCGAAGAAGGGCAAGGGTAAGGAGAAGTCGCCTGAGGAGGAAAAGCCGAAGACGGGGCAACAAGGTCTCTCAAGCTTCTTCAAGCCGCCTCCCGCGCCCGACGCGAGACCGACGAAGAAGCGCAAGAAGAGCCAGACGGAGCCCACGCCTCCCTCTCCCAGCAACAGTCGCCCTTCGACATCCCGCTCCTCCAGCTCGTCGCAGACGAAACCGTCGCCCTCGCCCACTGCCTCTTTTCGCAACGGAGATGGCACTGAGGTCCTCGTCCTCAGCGACGGAGACGACGACGCCGAGGAAGAGCTCGACCTGAAGGAGCGCGAAGATGCGACGGCAGATCCAGGCTTCAATCCGAACGCGCAGTCTGCTTCCGCTTGGTCGAGCATCTTCGCCTCGAAACCCGTCCCGCTCTGCGAAGGTCACAGCGAGCCATCGCGCGTTTGGACAGTCAACAAGCCTGGACCGAACAAGGGCAGGCGGTTCTACCTGTGCGCGAGGTAAGCTGGCTTTCCTTTCGTCCTCTCCCTCTTAGTGAACTCGCTGATCTCAGGTGCTCCCTCAGACCTGTCGGGCCAGGCTATGATCAGGGTCAGTCGAAGATCCACGTCAATCCCGAGTACAGGTGCAACTTCTTCCAGTGTGCGTTGTCTCGCTTTTCCTTCCTTTCCTCTCGCTGACTCCCGCCTTTGCAGGGGAGACCAAGGTCAAACGTCCCGCCGGCATGGTCCTTTCGTCGTCTGCGAAGAAGCAGAAGACCTGAATGCCTCGACACTCTCTCATTCGCATCGCTTTGTCCCGTAGTCGTCGTTCTCTACATGTCGCTTGTACCCCTCCTCGCATTGCAGTCCTCCTCTATCGCTTCTTACGAGCCCGCTCACGCAGCGTGTCTATCACTCGCGGGTTCAGGTCATGCAAGTCGGACGCTCGACTGCGCAGGAGGTTCGTCAGCTGCGCGCGACTGTCGACGGAAAGGCGACCTCACCTCGGTACCCAGGGCACAAACCACTGCCACCACTTCTCGCCCATCACCCTGCGCCAGTTCTCGCTCGGACCGAGGTCGAAAAGTGGCGTGTCGGGTTCGACGTAGACGACTGCGCCTTGTCCTGCCTGTCTCTCGGCGTCGAGCGGAACCCAGAGCGCTACCCGAGCGTCGTAGACGGGTTTGACGCCGTCCTGACTCCGCCATAACCGCGTACGCTCGATCTGGATGGCGGAAGTACCGAGGCGAGTGTTGCGGACAATCACGAAGATCACTGTAGGAGAGTTGTTAGACGACGTCTTCCGCCGGCGCAATGTCAGAGCGTACTGGCAAGCGCAATGAGAGTTATGAACAGTGCGAAGAACACGACAGCGAGTGTACCGAGATGTGGCACGGCGAGGGAGGGGTAGAGCGGGACGTCGTAGGCGTAGGTGATGCCGTCTTGCGTGAAGGTCCGCGTCGTAACGTCGGGCACAAGAAGGGGTCGCTCGTGCGCTGTCTTCTGGTAGAGGCGATAGCCGAGGAGAAGACCGCCGGCGTAGCTGTGGACGGGAAAGTGAGAAGAATGACCAACCGGCGCAGGACAAGACGCACTGCCAGACTGGACCTCCTGCCCAGCTCAACCTGCGACTCCACCACCGCTCCTCGAGCTCAGCTGTATCCCACGTCGTCCGCACCACTTCTCGCATGCTTCGAAACTCGAGCGGAACAAAGGGGACCAGAGCCACGCTGAGCAGGACCGCAGCCCAGACGAGGAAGGTGAAGAAGGGCTTCATGGTATCCTGGCCGATGCAATTCGAGACGAAGGCGCAGTGGTGGTCGAAGTTGGGTCGGCAAGTAGCGCAGTCGGCGCAGTGTCGGGTGCGGAGGGACTGCCATGCTCCACCGCAGGAATCGCGATAGCACCGTATTGACTCCCCCTGGTCGTCGCAGGCGAAGATCTGGGGAGCGCAAGCTGAGTTTCGGCAGGGCCGAAGAAAGCGAACAGCGGAATCTCACAACTCGCTTCTCCTGCACCTCGACTGGCGGTTCCTTCCGTCTCGGCGATTCGCGTCGTTGGAAGAAGACGGCGAAGTAGCTGTACCCAGTGAGGAACAGCGCGATGTGGACGACGACCGCGTATCCGCAGGCGATCGCTGGAGACCGTGACCTCAGCAAGGGGACTTTGCAGAAGCAGAAGGGTCAGCACGGCAGGTGTCGCGTAGAGAGCACGGTACGCACTGATCTCTAGCAGGACGAGCGAGTAACCCCTGAGAGCGAAGATGAGGAGGAGGGAGGGGATTATGGCGCCGAGCCAGACGTTCGGACGCTTCCAGCGCTGCATTCGAGCTGGGACACGAGACTTGCCGTGGCTCGGCGTGCTCTCCGCCGGCTCACGCATCCCGCGATGGTGTTGAGAGGCAGCGGTAGAGGGAGAACCGCTTCGACTGATGAGAACGGAGAATGCGACCAGCGCAGCTTCCGCTCCTTCCGTGGGGCTGAGAATACCACAGTGCGATGCGAACGAATGCCGGATTGCATAGATGCGACAACAAGACCGTGCGACGGCGATATACAGGTCCTCAACCAATCCGAACTCCGCTTCCGCCTCTCATCGCAGCCCGAAACCCTCGCTGTGGGCAACGACACCAGTTAGAAGAGGAATAGCGCTGCCAAGCTCAGAAGGAGGGAAGCGCACCTGTCCTCCATTGCCCGGACCAGCATTCTCTCCACCTTTTCCCTCGTCCCGTACCGCCACATGCTGAGCGTGTTGAAGCACGTGTGGCTCTGCGGGAGCCTGTCGCTGTCGTCGCCGAGGCACTGGAGGCGAAGCTGCAGGCCCGAGACGCCTGTTGCTGGGATGCGATCCGAGGCGGTACAGAAAGCGAGAAGGCGGCGCTGGCGATCCGGTTGAAGGGAGGCGAAGACGGACCAGAAGTGTCTAGATCAAGGGTCAGGTCAGCACAAACGTCTAGTGAGATGGACGGAGAGCGCACTGTATCGTCGGCTCGTCCGCCGAGAAACCCTCGTACACAGTGACGCCCTTGAGCGCCTGTACATCAAGCGGCTCAGGCGAGCCTCGAACAACGAGCTCGAGCTCCTGCGCCTTGAAGAGCGAGAGAGCGTTGCCAGCGCAGACCTCGTTGAAGCCTTCCGCGAAGGCTGCCCACTGCGACGAGACGGAAGTCGATAGAATAAAGTCCACGAGGCGCTGGACGTAATCTGCTGATGATGGCTCAGCTCCGTGTGCAGTGACGAGAATTGTAGGCGACGCACCCTGCCGGTTCTTCTCGGTGACAGCCATCTCCGCTCCACGTTCGACCAGGTCAACCTCGACCACCTCACCCCAAGCCTCGTACGTTCCGACAAAGCTCCTCAAGAAGGTTCCCTCCACGTCTCCCTTATCGTATTCGAGCAACTGATGCAGACCGCGAGCCAAGGCGGGCTGGACTTGAGCGAGGTCTCGGAGAGTAAGCGATTTTTCCGACGCGAGTTTCTTGTAGGTCGCCTGAAGTCGCATGTTGGTCAGTTGCGGGAGAAGACGACAAAAATCTCGGGACGCACAAGAGGTAGCGGAACGTCCAGTGTTGCCTCGTTGTAGACCGCAAGCCCAACGATAACTCCGACCATCCAGAAGTCGTCCTCCATGTCCACCGCAGCCGGATTGAACCAGCACAGGTTCGAGTCTGGGTCGTGGAGGAACATGCCGAACTGCGCGAGAGCGAGATCAGCTGGAAACGCGGGGATGGCCGGTACGCGAGACGGACCTGCGGGTCGAAGAGTTGCCGGCAGAGCAGGAGGAACCACTCCTTCCGTAGGCCGCCTGTACTGCAAAGTCAGTGACGGCACTGACAAGAGCTGCGAGACTGGACGCACCGGCGTCGATACCCTCCTCTCCCTCCCAGGTGATCCGTAGCGGCTTCTTCAAGTCCGTCCGGTGCAGCGAGATCTGCTCAAGAGTCATCAGTCGACGACGCAGTGGAGGTGAAGAGCAACGGACCTGTCGCAAGCTATCGTCGACCAACCTGTCCCGCCTGACGCGCAAGACCAGCAACGGGTTCTCCGCCTCATCGCTCGACAAGTTGTTCCGGTACGCTTCGCGCGTTCGTTCGATCTATGCGTCACCGAAATCAGTCCGCGCGCGTACGCGGGGAAGGGTAACGAACGCACCATCTGGCGTTCGGCGTCAAAGGCGAGGAGCATCATCTTGACGCCCAAACTGAGCAAGAACGGGTACTGGCACAGCGAGAACCGTCTACAGAAGTGAGGGTGAGCGTTGGATGCTCGGTAGGAGGAAGGAAGTGCGGCTCACGAGTCGCGGTTCTCCCAGGCCTGGAAGTCGGTGATCAAGATAGATTCGCCGAGCGAGTCGATGAGGGTGACGTAGAAAGCCGAGAGCGGGAGTGACTGAGCGTTCGAATTGGCGGCGACTGTTCCGTCGGATTGTCAGCGGCAAGAAGGAAGTAGCGTGTCGGAGGGCGTACAGAGCAAACTCGCAACCCTCGCGCCTGCCTTGACCATCCAGTCATCCACGTACGCCTCTGGCTGATCGCCATCGATGCACTGACCGATGCGGAAGGACGCAAAGCCGCACACGAGCTCGACTTTTCCGAGTAGAGCGGCGCGAGGATAGGTCGGCGAGGAGAGGTAGGTGACGAGCGAGTGGTGTATGAAGTTCGGCAGGTTGGAGAGGCTGGGGAGGCTGGAGTCAGCCCTTATTACGCTCTAACGAGAGAGCGCTAGACGTACAGGCCGATGAAGCGGGACTGCAGAGACCTCCGAGTTTCCGCCTCGACCGTAAAGTCCGCCAGGAAGATTGGGCACTGCTCGTCTCGTCCGTCAGCCAGAAGTACACGCAGCAGGATCGAGTCAAGCTAACCTCTATAAGCGCAATGACCCAACCGCCGTCTCCTTCTGCCAAAGTCGGACCGGGCCTTCGCAAGATCGCATCGACCTGGTCCCGCAGGACCTCCAGCGCCGCTGGTCTCAGCTTGACGAGCTCGTAGAGTCGGGAGAGAGTCGACTGCTGCGGAAGGTTCGAGTGCGAAGTCGAGCGAGTTCGGCGGAACGAGGCGTCGAGAGAAGGGAGGTTGGTGAAAGCGGTCGCAAGCTGGGCGAGAAGGAGGTCTTCGGGGTCGTCTTCGTCGTTGCCGTGTTGTCGGGAGCCACTCAGACCGACAGCGCTTAGTCGACCGACCAGATCGTCCTCCGCGCCTCTTTGTCGCGCTTCCAGCCGTTCAATCGTCCGCAACATCTCGTCTTCCGTCTCTGGGGTTGCGTCCGGTACGGGCACACCTACGGGGAGCTTTATAAGCCTCCTTCTTCTGAGTAGCGACGGACGCAGGAACGCACCGTCGCTCGCCTTTCCTCTCCTTGCCTCCGCGGAAAGATCGTTCACGGTCTCGCAGATCGTGCATCGGAAGTTCGGGCTTGACCGCGGGTACTTCAGTGCCGTCCCGCAACAGCAACAGACGCCCTCTGTAAGCAGGACTGGCGGAGACGGCACAGGCGAGGGAGAAGGAGGCAATGATGTCGGAGAAGAGAGGCGAGCGGAGGGTCGCTGCTCGACATGGATGCTGGACCGGCCCTTGAAGGGCGGCGCGCGTCGAGTGTTGAGGATTGGCGGTGCGCCTGCCCCAGTCAAGTAGAAGGACGAGCCGTTCTGCCATGGCGAACGGCGTCTGGAGGAGCGAGGAATCGGGGAAGGGGACGGCGAGGGTTGGGCTGAGCGGGGGTACGCTGCCGGTACAGTACTGGGTCCAGCAGAAGGCTCAGCGTGCTCGTCTGCCATCCTCGAGCCAGTCGACGGATGGTGTCGCTCGCCAAACCTCCTCATCGCAACTCTCGCTCTGTCGACCAACTCGCACTCGCTCGGATAGCTCGCAATGAGGGTCAGCTGGCGTGCAGCACTTGCAGTGAGTGAAGCGTACGTGTGTTCGACCGCCGCAACGGTTAGCTGACGCCGCTTGACCCCCTCACAGACCCTCCTCTCCTCGCTCGCCGTCGCACAGGCCGCAGACTTGTCTGGCTTGATCACGAGCGCTTCCTCGACCGCTTCCTCATCAGCATCGAGCGCATCTTCAGCGGCTTCGTCGGGCAGCGCCAGCGCCAACATCACCTCGGCACCCTCGTCGGCCTCTCCCTCTCTCTCCGTCTCGCAACTCGTGACGGTCTCCAATAACCGATCTGTCACGCTTAATGTCACGGTGACGCAAGCGGCAAGCACGAGCTCGTCGACGCAGCCGGCGAACCTCACTACCGCCCCTACGCCAAGCCAGCTGGTCTCTATCACGGCGTACGCGCCAGGAGGAACTGCGACGGGTGTTGCGCTGGGTCCGAATGACGGGTGCGTACCGTTTGCACGATCCGAGCCGAACGTAGAGCTAATCGCGTTGCGTTACAGGTACATTGCGGCGGCCGGACGAGCTGACACGGCCTTGACAGCGTTGTTCGGAGCGGCTCTCGTCGGTGGTTTGGCGGTGTTGGCTTAGCTGGTTCCAACAGACACTCTCTTACGCACAGACACTCGTTCCCAGCATTTCCCGTAGTTGTTGTCCTCTCTTGCATTTTCATCCTCTTGGACTCGTCCATCTTGCTCATTCGTCTCAGACTGTTTCGGTTCGAGCTATGCCGGCTGCCATTGCTTCATCGAGCGCACTGCACAAGCGCAAAGCGCTTCCCGCTGCGGCGAAAGGCAAGGGCAAGGCGCGAGCTGCGCCTGCTCCCCGAGAGGATGACGAGCGGGCAAGGAAGCGCGCGAGGCTGGCTGTGAAGAAGTCGAACCGGTGCGCAGACTCTCCAAACCTCTTTCTAGCAGCCAAGCTGACTCCTTGCGCGCATAGACCCCGAGCAGACGCCTCATCAGCTAGCAGCTCGGATGCGAACGAGGGGAGCGACGACGATGAGGAGGACGACCGCGCGGCTATGTTGGCTGCCCTCGAGGCTCATCAGATGAGTCTGCTGGGTGGCGCGCTTCCGTTTGCGAGTACGAGCGGGTCTTCGAATGGCAGGGCTAAGGAGGTCAAGGAGGCGAAGAGCGTATGGGAGATGGATGATGCGGATTTCGAGGACGACGAGGACAGCGAAGACGGTGAGGATGACGAGGAAGAGGACGGGGTCGAGGAGGATGAGCGAGGGCAGTCAGGTTCGTCCATTCTTCCGGTGCGACCAGGCTCGCCAAGCTGACGTCTCGCTTCTGCAGCTTCAAAGGCCGCGACAGTCGTTGCGTTCGTCGAGCCTGGTCGAGAACCGTCGACTCTAGCCGCCACACCTTCAGCGCCGTTGAGCAAGCGCGAGATCCGCGACTTCAAGGTCCCTTCTTCCGCCTGTCGATTCGGTCCCTTCGCTCACCCGCTTACTTTTCGCAGGCTGGCAAAGTCAAGAACCTGCATGCGAAGCGGTCGATTGCAGACGAGCACAACGTCAAGTATGTTGGCGGAGCGGCGGCCCGGAAGAAGGCTGCGCTCGCGGCGGGTGACGCGAAGGGTGCTGCGACAGCGGAGAAGGAAGAGGAAGACCAGGTCGAGGAGAAGTGAGTCGCTTCGTTGTCTCATGCGAGCCCCACTGACGACTCGCTCCGCAGCCACCTCGCGAAACTCGACTCGCACCTTGCCTCGCTCGTCAAGCCGCTCACATCCGGCACCGGCTCGTCTTCCCTCCCAGATCTCCTCCGGGAGCTTCCTCTCGAGCCGACAAAAGCTCTCAAGGGCCATACGCCCTTGCCGAAGAACGCACCTCGTCTCTTGCGCCGCGGGCAGAACGCCGCGAACCTCAAGCGCGCGCAGGCGCGAGACGAGGCTGGTGGGTTCGGCAAGGGCGCGAAGAAGGGGACTGCTGGGCAGGGCAGGGAGGCGCTGTCGCTCAAGGAGAAGCGGAAGGTCGAGGGGAAGGACAAGCGGCAGAGGGGTTTGGGAGGAGCGATGGGCAAATGGGGCCGAGGGCAGATCAGGTTATCGAAGAAGGAGGTCATGTCGATCAACGGCTCGGCGTCGTAGTCTGCTCTCCTTACGGCGATGATATCGAAGCCGGTTCACTGCGAATGTAGCAACAAGAAAGACCCGAGAGACCCGATCCTCCTCCTCAATCCCACTGTGCGCACGAATCGTCAGCTTGCGTCCGTCCTGCGATATCTCGAGATCACTCACGACTAGCTGCTGCTCCCGCCTGCCCGCTTCTGCCAGTCCCTCCTGAGCCCTCCCTCCGTCCTTGGCTTGGCCGGCGAGTTGCTTCGACAATTTGCCTCCCGAAGGCGCGCCTCGTTGTGCGGACTATGATAACAATACGAGTTAGTCATGGCAAGGCTCGTAGCAGCCAGAAAGAGGCGAGCGTACCGCCTTGTTCCGCGCCTCCGCAGCCTCGAGCATACGCCGTCTCGCCTCAGCCTCATCGCCAGTCCCGCCTTCGTTCCCGCCTAGCCGCTGTGGTGGACTTGTTGAGACCGACTTGCCGACATTTGATGGGCCGCTTGCTGCGTTGGCGGGCTTCGAGGCGGGTGTTGCTGATGTGGGGGCGCCGAGACGATTCCCTGACGAGTGCCGTTCGAGCGCGTCGAAGTGGTCTTCCTTACCGCACAGAGCACCCATGAGATAGCTGGAGATAGCCTCGGAGGCGGACGAGCGAGGGCAGCGCAAGCGAGAGAACAGCGCAAGCCAAGAGGGAAACGAGGAGGAGAAGCAAGTGTGGCTGCTCTTCGTGGACGACGGGCGCATGCGGCATAGCAATAGATCATGCTGCAATGCAGAAAGATGCGCGACCCAACCTCCGCAAGAGCCGAGGAGAAGCCCAAACGCACTCCTCCTCACCGCTTCTTCGGCTTGGGACCCATCCTGCCCAGCGAGTGCTTCGCTCCGCCACCGCCCTTCATCATATCCCGCTCCCTCTTGCCAGGCCGCTTGTCCGACGCCGCCCCGCCGTCCGCAACGCCCATCTCCCGGTCGAACACGCTCTTCTTGCCGCCCTTCTTCTTCTTCTTGCCCTCGCCCTGCCCAGGTGTCCGCTCCGGCCGCGCGGCGTGAATCTTGCCGGGAAGAGCTGCCTTCTTGGCCGCTCGGATGGACGAGCCAATCTCCCGTTGCGCGCCGGAAGCGCGATCCTCCTCGTCTTCCCGCATCGCCATCTTGCGGCGCTTCTCTCGTCGCGAGAGCCCGGAGAAGGGTGTCCGCTTGGGCTACAGGCAAGTGAGAGCGATGTCAGTCTCGAAGGCTCGTGGAGGCAAGGACAGTCAACGCACAGCCTTGGACAGCGGCTCGTCCTCCTCGTCGAACGCACGCTTCTTCGTCTTCTCCTGGAACTTCGAGTTGTGCTCCGCCTTTCCCAGGTCTGTAAGTGCACATACTGTCAGCCGCGCCCCATGAAGCGAGAGCAAGAGCGCGACCCACTCTTCGCAGCGTTTTTCTCCGAGGTCGACTGGAACCATGTTCGTGCCGGGCGAGACTTGATCTCGTCCTCGTGCTCGAGCATGTTCTGCGCTTTTTGCAAGTCCATGTTGCCGCGACGAATCTGCACAAGAAGGCGGGGACCCAGTCAGTCGCGGGTTCGCACATGCGCTGCCGGACCATGAGAAAGAGCGTCACCACGCACCTCCTTCTCCTCCTTCTCTTCCTGCATCACGTCCCGCACATCCGGCTCGAGCGCCCTGAGCTGCTTTGAGACAACCGCGACGACAACGCCAGGAATGGTACGCTGCTTGATCGACTCGGGCGGGGCGTGCTTCATCGCGAGCTTGACGAGTTTCCGGTCCGACTCGCCGACAAGCGTGAGAGCACTGCGTGTCCAGGACGGGGTTAGAAGCTGTGCCGTACGACAAAAGACCAGGCGCAGAGAAGTCGAAACGTACCGGCCCTTCTGACCAGCACGAGCGGTACGACCGACACGGTGCAGGTAGATCTCAATTGACTTGGGCATCTCGTAGTTGATAACGTTCTCGATACCCTTGATGTCGAGACTAAACGAGGAGACGAAGGTCAGCAAACTCGACTTGGAAGCAAGGGAAGAGACAGCACGCACCCACGAGACGCCAAGTCCGTAGCAAGCAAGAACCGCGCCTCTCCGTCCCTGAATCGCTTCAGACTGCGCAACCGCTGCTCTTGCGTCAGGTCACCGTGCAGCTCGTCGCTCTTCTCGAGCCCCTTGCCAAACAGCGAGAAGAGGATCTTCATCCGATGCGCCTGGGCCTTGGAGCGGAAGAAAATGATGGTGCGGCCGGAGCTGAAAGAGCGCGTGCAGAGCGAGACGAGAAGGGCCTCGCGGTGGCGTTCACCCGAGCGCGAGTTGAGCTCGATCGACTCGCCCGCCTTGTCGCCACGGACGCGCAAGACTGCGACGAGGGTCGTCAGCACCGCTCCAGAGGAAAAAGCGAAACGAGCGCGACGGACACTCCTGGTCCAGCCCCTTCGCCGCAGCGCCCATCTCGTCAATCTTGACCCTGACAGGCTTGTTCATCGAGAGCCTCGTGAGCTGCTGGATTGACTCGGTGACGGTAGCGGAGAAGAGGAGAGTCTGGCGAGAGCGAGGAGCGGCCGAGATGATTTCCTCGAGCTCGTCACGGAAACCCTGTAGGCGACGACCAGCAAGATCAGCAACGAAGCTGCGCCAACTTATGGGGCTCGCAATCCAGAGTAGTTTGCGAACGTACCTCTTCGAGCATCCTGTCCGCCTCGTCGAGTACGAGCACCTCGACGCCATCCATCGAGAAGCAAGGCGTGTTCCGGACATGGTCGATGAGACGGCCGGGCGTCGAGACGACGACGTCGGGGCCCTGCTTGAGCTCGGCTTCCTGCACCTTGAGCGAGAGACCGCCTGACATTCAGACCAAGTTAGCGGACGGAGGAAGGAGGAGAAGAGGGTGGAGAAGAACGCACCGACGCAAAGACAGAACGAGACGTCCGTGTACCGCGCGAGCGCCATTCCGACACCGTGAACCTGGACCGCCAACTCGCGAGTCGGGCACATGACGATAACGCGGGTCATCGGGTTCTTCCTGTCGCGGTGCAACAGGCGCTCGAGCACTCCGACCCAGAACGCAACGGTCTTTCCGGAACCCGTAGCGGAGGAAGCGACGATGTCCTTGCCGAGCATGGCGAGCGGGATGCATTCCGCCTGGATGGGCGTCGGGGTAGAGAGGTTGAGCGAACCGAGGGCGAGGAGAAGCTGACGGGAGAGAGTGCAGTTCGGGAGGGTTGTGAAGGAGAGAGGCTTGCGGGAAAGGGTAGTCGAGTTCTCGTGCGAGGTGAAGAAGGCTTTAGCGGCGGCAGCGTCGGCGCGGGATTGGCGGTCGGCGGGCGACGCGTCCTCGTCAGATGCCGAGTTGTCGTCTTCATCGTCCTCGGCGTCCGACATGTCGACGTCGGCGAGAGCAGCGAAGCCGCTTGACCCTATACAAGACCTGAAGTCAGCATCCAGAAGGCGGTTGCGCGAGACCAGGACGAACCGTTAAGCTCTGCGTCCTCGCCGTCCTTCTCCTCGGCGTCACTGCCTGCGTCGCTCTTCTTCTCCTCCAATCCGAGCCAGTCTTCCTCGTCGGCCTCGTCGCCTCCTCCAACGATCTGAGGCCCTGCGTCCTTCCTCGCAGCCGCCTTCTTCGCCGGCGCGTCCTCCTTCTCCTCGACGTCCGACTCCTCCTCATCGTCATCCTCATCCTCGTCGTCTTCCGCATCGTCCGACTCATCATCGAGACCCTCGAAATCCAGGTCGCCATTCTCCAAATCGCGCATCATCTCCTTCTCGAGCTCTTCATAATCCAGCTCCTCGTCGCTGCCACCTTCATTGCTGTCCGACTCCTCGAAGAGAGCCTCGGCGGACTTGATTGCGGCGCGGCGGGCAATGATTTCGTCGACCGACAACCGGGGCTGCGTTAGGACAAACTTGTCGTTAGCGCTGGGTTCTGTAGCTCGAAATTAGGAGTACACAGAAGAGTGCTCACCATAGCGTTAGGCCGCTTCTGGATGTACGCCTCGCCCGAGTCCTGCGAGAGGAGGGAGGAGAGGTCAGTTTAGAAAGTCACTCGCCTCCCCGTGAAACCGCACGCACCCAGACACTGTTTCTCTCCCGTCCGATGAAGCCTCCGCCGAGCCCGTCAAACACGAATCCCTTGTCCATCCTGACTTCCTCGTCCGCTGCACCGCCTCGAGGACTGTCAACGGGCGTGTCCTCGTCGTCGTCGGCGTCGACGACCGTGTCGAGCAGCTTCTTGCCCTTCCCCTTGGCCTTTGCACCCTTCGCAGCCTTCCCCTTCTTGCCCTTTGCGGCGGTCGCGGCGTCGTTCTTCGACGAGGCCTTGCGGGTCGAGGGGGGCGGCGGGGACGGCGACGGCGAGCGGGCGGGTCCCTCGTCGTCCGAGTCGAGTGTCATGATGAATCCAGCCATGTCTAGCGAGTCAACCAGCCAGCAGACGAGCCGAGGCGAGACAGAGAGATGCCAACTCTCGCTCGAGCTCATCTTGAACTGATGAAGTCGCGGTTGCACTCGTCCACCTCGCTTGCTCTGTGGCTGACCGGCAGAGCGACAGCAGCGACGACTGCTACGATGCTGCGCCACCTCGCACAGCCGCTCGCGCACTGCACGCCGCCACCGCCGTCTCTCGCCGCCCGCTCGCTTCACTCGTCCGCACCGTTCTGGCGAGGACAGGTGCCGACGAGGCGGAAACGAGTGTCGCTCGACTTGATTGATACGCTCAAATCATCGGGGCCTCAATCGTCGCGGCAAGCGGCACTCGCTCGTGTTGCAGAACGGGCAGGCAACTCTCGACCATCGTACGGAGGAGGAGGGCAAGGGCGGGGTGGGAGAGGCGGCTACGACAACAGGAAAGGCAGCGGACCGTCGACCATCTCGCGGGCAACGCTGTGTCACAAGCTCCGCCAGCACCTGGTCGAGGTTTGGCAAGGAGGCCCAGGCAGCGGAGGACGACCGAGACGGATCTCGCCGCAAATCCGCTCCCTTGCGTCTGATCTGGGCGTCGACGAGGACGAGTTGAGCCGGTTGACAACCAGGTTCAGTCTCCAAGCGGTTGAGGCTGTTCCCGACGAGGCATGGCAAGAAAGAACGAAGTCTGTTCCTGCCGCCTACACCTCGTTCGATATGGACGAAGTCGCCAAGACCTACATCGAGGAGGGCCCCGAGGAAGCCCTGTGGAACGCCTCGCTCGCCGCCTTCCTTGCCTGGGTCCGCACGAATGTCGCCGTCCCGCCTGTCCAGCCCAACAGTTCTCAGTCCATCTCGACCGTCACGAAACTCCATCTCCTCGCCAGCATCGCCGACCGCCGCTTCGCCTACGAACAATATTTCAGTGCACGCCAGCGGCGGCGCAAGCTCATCCTCCACGTCGGCCCGACCAACTCCGGCAAGACGTACAACGCTCTCGTCGCACTCGCTCGCGCACGAACAGGTGCTTACGCCGGACCCTTGCGGTTGCTCGCCCACGAGGTGTTTACGCGGTTCAACGAGGGCAAGATCGGCCAGGAGGGCAAGCGTGTGTGCAACCTCGTCACGGGCGAGGAGAAGCGCATCATCGACCCCGAGGCAGGCTTGCAGTCTTGCACGGTCGAGATGTTCCCGCTGCAGAAGCGGCTCGAGGTTGGCGTTATCGACGAGATCCAGATGATCGGAGACCCGCAGCGAGGCGCGGCGTGGACGGCAGCCGTCATCGGCTCGACTTGCGACGAGCTCCACCTCTGCGGCGAGGAGAGCGTCGTCGAGCTGATCCAGACGATCGCAGCCGAGCTCGGCGACGAGTGCATCGTCAAGCGGTACCAGCGTCTCTCGCCTCTCGTTGTCGCGGAGAAATCGCTCGAGGGCGACCTCAGCAAGATCAGGCGCGGCGACTGCCTCGTCACCTTCTCGCGGAGCAACATCTTTGCGTTCAAGCGCGCGGTCGAGCAGCGGACGGGCTTGAAGGTGGCGGTTGCGTACGGAGGTTTGCCGCCCGAGGTCAGGGAGGAGCAGGCGCGGGCTTTCAACGCGGGCGAGTTTGACGTCCTGGTCGCCAGTGACGCAGTCGGGATGGGTCTCAACCTGTGCGTCCGCTCAGCACGGAATTGTTGCCCATCGAAGCTGACGAGTCTCCATCGCAGCAAAATTCGCCGCATCGTCTTCGAGTCGGTGCACAAGTTCGATGGCAAGAATGAGATCCGGCTACCGACACCGCAAGTGAAGCAGATTGCCGGTCGCGCCGGACGCTACGGCGTCCACACGCCCGTCTCGCCTTCCGCTCCCGACTTCGACCCAGTCGACGCAGGCGAGGCGGAGGATGGCAAGAAGGTTGAGCAGGAGTCGACTCTCGGCGAAGTTACAACGCTCGACGCCAGCGACTTGCCTATCCTCCGCGAAGCGATGAAGGAGCCCATCGTGCAAGTCCGCCAAGCTTCGATCACCGCGCCTCCTGAGGCGTACAAGGAGCTTTACTCCATCCTGCCTGCCTCCACTCCGCTCTCTCGCGTCGTCAGCCTCTCCCGCGCCATGGTCCGCACCATGCCTCACTACCGCTCGACAGGCACCGGCGGAATCGCCTTCAACACCGACACGATTGCGCACATCCGCCCGCTTACGTTCGAGGAACGGTACACGTTCGGACTCGCGCCCGTCAACAAGCGCGATGCGTATGTCGTCGAGGCTCTCACGGACTTCGCCTCCTCGTACGCGGCAGGCGAGCCCGTCTTCGTCGACGACTGGGCCGACAAAACGGGCCTCTTTGGCCTCCTCGAGCGCGTCGACGAGGCTCACGCGATGCGAGCCGAGTTGCTCGCCGACGAAAACGCGCCGAAACCGACCGGCGACGTCAAACGCAGCCTCGTCAGCGTCTTCTCGCCCGTCACGCTCTCGTCGCTCGAATCGAACCACAGATGCCTCACCCTCTACCTGTGGCTCTCGTACCGCCTCGCTCCGATCTTCTGCGACCAGAGGGGTGCGCGCGAGTTGCGCAAGCGGGTCGAGAAGGCGATCGAGACGACGCTCGACGGCATCAAGTTCGAGCGCAGCGACCGCAGCTCTGGCGTCAAGCACAAGAGGGCGGTTGCGAGCGGCATGCGCGTCTGAGTCGCCTGTTGCTCGGACGGCGGGCCAATTCGCCACGACCCCTCCTCCGCTCCTTCCTCTCTTCAGGCGCAGCCGCTGTTCTGTACCGTTCGATTCTTGTTGTATCCTTGCCGCACGCCCCTCGCATCTCATCCAGCACGCATCGTATCTAAACGGAACCTATCGTAGAACTCGGCAACACGCTCATGTTCCGACGACATTCTTGCACAACACGAGTCCGCTACACATTGAAAGGCTGAACGCAATAGAGGAATAAGGCTAGGTGAAGGGGTATCTAGATCTTCAGGCCAGCTCCGCCAAGCAGGACGGCGCGGATGGAACCAAGTTGCGCCTCGAGCGCCTCAATCTGGCTCTTCGCATCCGCCTGCTCCTTCCGCCGCTTCTCCTCAACCCGCGCCAACTCTTCGCGAGCGCGCCTCGCCTCCTCCTGCGCCACACGCACTCGAGCCTCCGAGTCCCTCGCCTTGTGCTCCGCCGTTTCGAGCTTCTTCTTCTCCTGCTCGTTCAGGCTGCGACTCAACCGCTTCGTCATGCGCTCCTTGAAGCTCTCAACCTCTTGCCTGAGGTCGATCATCTCGGCGCGCTCCGCCGTCCGCTCAAGCTCGAGGTCCGTGAGCTGCTGCCACAGCGACTGAACCTCCTGCCGCTGCTTCTCGACGAGTTGCTGGGTCTCGCGGAGCTGCTCGTCGACCGTGCGAAGCAGCGATGCTGATGCGCGACCAGGATTCGCCTTGGATGGGCTGGCCTCTGCGCCCACCCGCTCGAGCGACTCGTGGTCGGACAGGCGGAGGGTTGAAGAGGTGCGGGACGATGGAAGGCCGTTGATGCCGATGCCGTTGGGAGTAGGCGACTTCTGAGGGAGAGGCGGAGGCGCATCGTCATCTTCCTCATCGAGAGGGGGACCTGGCTCCGCCTTGACCACCTCGCGTGAAGGGGGGAGCACGAGCGCCTTCTCCTCGACGGACGGCCTCGAGCGATGCTGCAATGGAGAAGCAATCTGCTTTGCCGACTCAGACTCAGACGGGCCACTTCTGTTGGCGTAGTTGGCAGCGTTTGGCGGGGGCGGCATCGACTGCACCTCCTTCGCATGCTCGGCGGCCCTGGCTGCGTCTAGCTCGGCTTGACTGAGGAAAGGCGAAGGGATGAGGAAGGGAGATGGGCGGGTCGCTGAAGTAGGGGAAATGGGCGGGGCAGGGAAGGAGTAGACGGACGTCTCTGCAAACGTACAAGCGTCAGTATCGCGAAGCGGGAGTGCTACAATCCGTACGCACCATCGAAATCGACAACGTCGTCGAGAACGCTCGTATCGCGCATCGAGATGGGTCGCGAGTCGGCGTCGAATGTCTTGGAGTGACCGTTTACGCCCGCTTCGTGCGTCAGGGCCGACTGCGGAGGAGTCTTGATGGAGACACTGTGCTCGCTCGAGGCGGAAGAGTGCGTAGACGAAAGTCGCGGCGGCTCATCCGTCGAATCGTGCGGGCTGCCATGCTCTTCCTCCTCGTCCTGCTGCGCGACAGGCGGGCGCTCTTCCCGCTCCAATTCATCCTCTTCCGGCTGCGACGGCAGCACGGCCGCGATCGAAGGGAAATGTGGCTGCTGGATCTCCTTCTGCGGTGTAGGCGGACCAGACTCCTCCTGGTAGATGGACGGACTCTTCGGGGTTGCGAACGCCGCAGCCGCAAGCGGGTCAAGACGAGGTGACGCATGCGAGTGCGCAGACGAGCCTGATCGCTCCGAGCCGAGTCGCTGGACCTCCGAATGGAGAGGCGTGTCGTCCTGGGCGACAGGCGTGGATGGCTGCGAGTTGTACGTCTTGCTGACGTCCTCGAAGCGAGGAATGGAATCCAGCTCGGCGGTGTGCTGCTCGACGACCGGCGAGAACGGCTGGCGCTGCGACCAGGCTTGCTCGTGGACGGGAGGGGCGGGAGCGTCGCGAGGAAGCTGGATGGGCGGAGCGAGCGGCGCTGTTTCCTCCTGCGCAGCGGGCTGCTGGATGTGCAGCTCGCCCTGCGGGACAATGACGTCGAGCGTCGGTGCGAGCAACGACGTTTTCTCGCTGCGATCCGGCGATGCTTCGTCCGCATTGTCGACGATCGTCGCAGGGTCGATATCGAAGTCGGCGTCGAGGAGACCGTCGGCGACCGAGCTCCAGTGCTCGAGCAGCCAGCGCAGCGCCACCTCCCCCTTCTTGGCCGTCGCGCCCGCAGACTCGACCGACTCGCCCGGTCCGCTGATGACCATCTCGCCCTTGGCGGGCTTCTTCTGCGGCGCCGGGCGCGGCGCCATGATCATGGCGCCGAAGATGCCAGAGACCGTCGCGAGCGAAAGCTTGTTTTCCGGGAAAAGCGGCATCTGCGAGAGGAAGGCGACGAGGTAGACGAGCAGGCTGAAGTTCGGGGTCGGGAGAAGGCGAAGGATGATCTGGGCGGAGGCGATGCGAGCCTTGAGCGAGTTGGTCGAGTCGACACACGCAACCTGGAAGAGGCGCCACAGCCGCTGGTCGAGAACGGGTTCAGGAAGGTCGCGGAGGTAGCGCTTCAGGCTGTGGGCAGCGAGGTTAGCGTCTGAATACTGGAAGGCGAGCCGTGAACGCACAGGGAGGTAACGTTGTGGATGGACTCGATCGACAGGTCGTGGTGCTCGCCGTAGTCGGGCGGAGTATTGTAGATCTGAACAAGCTTGGCGATTCGTCCGGGCTCGCCTTGCAGCTGCATCAGTCCCGGCACTTTCGACCCTGCAGAGTGGCGAACAATTAGCGGAGTTCGACGAGACAGCGGAGACCGGAAACGCACCCTGGCCCCGTCGGTAGATCTCCTCGACTGTGCTGAAGCAGACGCCTGGCAGGTCGTGCCGCTGACCCGCAATCATCGACGTGACGAAGCCGTACTCGGCAACCTGCGCGAGGGGCGCGCCGAAGACGACCTTCTTGGCGGCGTTTGAGCTGGAAGGCGATTCTCGTGCTGCAAAGAGAGGATGTCAACGAGAGCGACGGTGGCTTGCGGGCTGAGACGCACTTGGAGGACCCTGTACGCTCAAGACACGCTTCATGCGACTGAAGAACGTCTTCGGCTCGGGCACCTTCTTCGCACTCTCCTCTGGCTGCCGCAGCGAATCCGAGGACGGTGTGGGCATGCCGATTTGCGACTTGCGCGACTCGCTCCGCTTCTGTTGCAGCAGGATGTCAGCCTTGAACGGAAGAGGAAAGCTGGGACCTGCGCACCTTCTTCTTCTCCGACGAGTTGCCGATGGAGAGAATCGCCTCGGCGTCCTCAATCCGCAAGAACGAACCCATGATGAGCTCGAGCTTCTCGAGTAGGTTCAACCGCCACGCATAGCCTGGTACGTCCGAGACGTGCGCCGTTCGTCGCGAGAGGGTGAGGAGATTGAGTGGGAGTTTGGCGCCAGGCGTGATCTTCTGGCTGCCGGGTCCTGCGCCGACGGAGGTGACGGCAACTGCTGTCAAGCCGCCTGGCGAGTTCGGTACGTAGACGGACGAGGCGCGACGGAAGAGGCTGGCAGTCGCGACGCCGCTGTCTGAGATGCTCGACCCGGCGTAGGAAGAGCGGAGGCCTTGACCGACAGGACGGTTTGTTCCGCCTGGCGAGGATGCACGAGGTGGTCGCAGTCGAGGCACGCTGAGGTCCTGCGAGCCATTTCGAACGGACGAAGAACCGGACCCCGTCGTTGCGCTGCTTGGTCGGCGGTAGTCTTCGAAGAGAGGTCCGCTCGCAGGTCGCTCTGCATTCAGCTTGGCAAGCGACGCCTTGCGGAACGAGGGAGCCTTCTCGACCCTCTGCGCGACACTGACTCGCACTTCAGCGGCGTAAGGGGTGCCGGGGACGTCGTCTTTCGAGGCGGGAGGGAGAGGAGGTGTGTGGACGGCATCTGCCGAGGCGGACCTGGCGAGAGGCGTGCTCGTCGCCTTGTATGTCGAGTAGGACGGCGAGGTGAGTGTGATACCGAGATCGAGAGGCGGCTGGGAGCCGAAGCTGAAGTCGACCTTGTTGAAGATGGGTGCGCCGGTCGCCGTCACTTCGGAAGGGATGTGGACTTGCTGGGGCGTAGGGGGAGTGGCGGATGTGGGCGACTCTGGTCGATAGAGTCGTTGCATCGTCGGCGAACCGTCCGCCTTGAACCCGTTAAGCGGCGACGACTGCGTTCGCGAGTGTCCCTTCGAGGTCGGGCTGAGCGGCTCGTATCCCACGTCGCTCATCACTCCCCGACTGTCTGCCCTCGCCATGTCCAAGCTACCGTAAGGACCGTCTGTGCTGGCAGAGTAGGCCGACCGGGGCGAGTCTTTCGCGCTCCACTGCGGAACGGTAAACAGTCGCGGAGATCCGTCCCTCCCCTCTGCCCGCATCGCCGGCGTGAGCTTCTTCGCCTGCGAGCTGTGTGTCGACGCCGGACTGTACGAGGCGCCGTCCAGCGGCGGCGTGCGGAGCTGCGTTGCGAGTCCGAAATGGGTGGCTGGCTGAGGAGGAGAGGAGAGTGACATCCGGTTGAGTGTCGGGAGCGGACACGCGAGGGCTCGCGGCGGATCAAGGTTGACGGAACAAGCGGATCTGAGCGCAGTCCTCAGTGAACGAGCGTAGGAGCGAGCGTGTGAGCGAGGGTCTTTGGGTCGCGGAAAGAGGAGAGCGGAGGAGCACAGCGGCCAGCAGGGCGCCGGCAAGGAGGACGTCAAGCTCCAGATCTCTCCCTGGGATCGACTGGGCCAGGCCGTAGCGCTGTCTGGGGCAATTTGCGGCGGGCGACGAAGGAGGAAGGTGTCGCGGCGAGGACGCAAGGGTGAGGACGACGACTTGCTTGCGCTCGCTCGACCTCCCATTCCTTGCCGTCTGCTTCCTCGAGCTTGCTGCGAGAGACGTCGGCACGACTGCTCCAGGCGCGCAAGCGGTGGAAAGGAGACGCGCGCCGGAAGATCGCTTCGCTCGCAACTTCCTCGAAGTACCGCAGTCGATTGCCCAGGCTACAGTATATTGGCTATCATAAAGTACAGGGACTCTTGGAGAAGTCTCTTATGATATACCTTTGATTGCGCAGCTGGACCTCAAAGCTTCGACGGCGCAGCTTCCGGCCTCCATTTGCCTGAGAGGACCTCGTCGACGAAGTCTGCGAGCATGTCCGTGACTTGGTCGCGGAAGCGGACGTCCTGAGGGTGAGGACAATCAGCTGTGGCGTCGGAGGAGACCGGCGAAGACGAGACGGCGCACCTGCAAGAGCCAGTGGTCGGCGTCCTTGACGACCGGCAACACCCGCAAGTTGCCTCCGGGGAAGCACTTCATGACAGCAGGACTCTTTGCCATCGCAGGCGGGAGAGCCGGGTCCTTCTCAGCGGGGATCATGAGGGCGGGAATGTCGGGCGAGAAGGTCGGGAGGCGGGAGGCCTGCTCTTCGGTGTGGTTGATGCGGCGCGTGCGGTACCAGTTGAGCGGGTGGTGCAAGCCATAGCGCTGGAACGTGTCGAGGTAGTATTGGTACTCCTGCGCGGAAGAGGCGAGTCACTTCTGCAAACTTCGGGCCCAAAGGAAGAGCAAGGCGCACAGGGTCCTTCGGCACAGGCTTGGCCTTCCCACTCTGTTTCTCCCTCATCATACGGTCGATGTTCTTCTCCATCTCGCCCTCGCGCACCGGGAACTGCGGCAACTCCCGTCCCGCCTCGATGAACTTGCCGCGCACGGTCGCGGAGAAGTTGACGGCGAAGAACTGCTCCAGGACCGGCTCGATCTTCTTGGCGGAGTCTTCGCGCTCGAAAAAGGCTTGGTAGCCAAAGTTGGGCAGTTTCGTGCGGACCAGGTCCATCGTCGAGACGTAGGGCGTGGAGGGACCGGCTGGCGGCATGTAAGGCGTGCAGACGCTGTGGGATCAGGCAAGTCAGCGGAGAGCTCGAGGCGCAAGAGGAGCGGGAAGAGCGCCAGGAGCGAGCATGCGCACCTAGCGATGCAGATGACGCGGTGAGGGAAGTAGTCGGCGAAGCGCCAAGCGACCATGCCTCCCCTGCGAGAGCGTCTCAGCGTCCGGCCTCTGCTGCACAAGCGGAAGAGCGCAGCGCACCAGTCGTGCCCGAAAACGATGACCTTGCCCGCTCCAACAGCATCGAGCAAGCCGTTCATGTCGTAAGCTACGCTCTTGTAGCTGTACGCCTCGACCGCTCCAGGCTGCGACGACCCGCCGTAACCGAGCTGGCTTGGGCACAGGACGCGGAAGCCGCGCGCAGCGAAAGCGGCGATCTCTGCGAGGAGGAGGTGGTGAGCATCCCATCCTGTCCAGCTTCTCCCGATAGAGCGCCGTCTCGACTCACGGTAACGCCAGCCGTACCACAAGTCGGGAAAGCCGTGGCACATCAGGATGGTCGGCGCCTCCTCGACCGATCCTCGCCAGTGTGTTGGAGGTTGGTCGACGAGGTGGTAGCGATTGCCCGAATGGACGGTCACGAAGCGGTGGTTGTACGTCGATGCATCGAGCGGATTCGGCGCCATTCCAGCAGTGACAGCGGGAGCAGAGTGAAGGGGAGGAGGGAGAGCAGCAGGTGGGGATTCCGGTAGACCCGGTGTGAGGCGACGAAAGGGCGACGAAAGCATTCTGAGCGTCCGCCTGCGTCACTGCGTCCACTGCAGCCTTCTTTGGTTGTCTCTGCACCCAGCCGAGCCCTTCAGACGCAATGCTGCCGTCGACTGTCCCTCCGAGAGATGAACGAGAATTGATGAGCGCGACGGCGAGAGGGCGGCTGACTTGAGCTGGCGGGCGTCGGTACCGGTCATTTGTGAACTGATTAGCTAGGCAACAGTCTCACAGCGCCGTAAAGCGGAGATGGCGTTGCTGTGGAAGACAAACCAACTCGCTAACTCGCTCGACTTCTCTCCGCTCCCTGACAATCGCTCACTGCGCACGAACGCTCATTCTGAGACGCTAGAGCTGGGGAGAACCTTCGACGTGCCAAGATGCGACCAACACGCCCGCTCGCCTTGTCCGTACGCCCGCCTCCTGGTCCTTCAGAAGCCCCGATCCGGGCAGCTTCGACGATGCGTGCGTCCCGGTCCCGCTAGCCAGGGTAACGACGGTAGCGAGGAGGACGAGAACGAGCTGACGAGAGGGCTACGCGGCCACAGGCGGGACCCTGATCTCCTTCTTCTCTGTTCTCGGGTGTGCGTCTCTCCCTTTCACTCCTCGCCTCCCGCTTGTGCGATTCGACAGGCTTGTACTGACTCGACTTCACGACTGCAGTGGCCTTGCCGACCTTCATCTACTTCAAACGCAAGAACGATCGCAAGGCGCGGGAGATGTACGCCCAAACGAGGGTCAAGACCGGTGCCCTCTCGCAGATGACGACTGGTGCGTGCCGACTTGCTCCTATAATATTTAACAAGCACTGACCGAGGACTCGGACCCGCAGGAGAGAAGATCTGAGGAAGTCGTCTGGGTTTCCAGGATTGGGCCCTCCTGTGTATGCTTGTAACCCTTTACGCAATCCAGCCTCCCCATTCTTTCACTCTTCCGCCTCGCATCCTACCTCCCGCGGCGCTGGCCTGAATCTGGACTTGCTGAGTCGAGGCGAGTAGATTGACGGAAGCGAGAGGGCGGGAGATCCGAGGGAGGGCGACCGCTCGTACTGATCGCCGGGTCGTGCGTTCCGTCTGAGTGTCTGTCGGTGGCGGGGGCGAAGGCGAGGGCTTCGTGCCGGCAGTGAGGAGGCGGCGGGAAGAAAGATCGTCGAGGAAGGCATTCGCCGTCGCATCCGTCGTCCGGGATGTCCGCGTCCGCTTCTGGCTGCTCCCCGTACTCCTGCCAACGCACTCCTATCGCGCATCCTGCCCGCGAGCCTTCCTTACCCCCCCTGGGCCGTGTCGTCCCTCCTCACTGCCCTTGCTGCCCCTGCGCTTCTCCCTGATCATCGGACGCGTCTCCGGGCGTCATGACACGCTGAGAGGCCATGAACCTACGGTTACAATTGAGCCGTCAGCCCAAACCGCCTTGACTCCGGTCGTTCCGCCTCGCCAAACACTTCCTCCCCTTCGCGACACGGCGACGAAAGCGAGACTCACCAGGCCGCGTGATATCCTCCCAACAGCCGCATGTAGCTCGCCTGCTCGGCCGTCGTAGCCGACAACTGCTCGAGCTGCTCCGTCCGTTGCGCCAGGAGTTGAAGTTGTTGAGCGAGGTGGGCGATCTGGCGCGTCTTCGCCGAGGCTTGCGAGGAGGGTTGAGCGGAGGCGAACGGGGTGTATGACATAGTCGACGTGTATGCGCCAGCTGGCGAGGCGTGCGAGCGTGACGAGCGATGTGGTTGCGGGCGAGGAGAAGCGAACGAAACGCGGCAAGACTGACAAGACGAAGACGGCATCGTGAGGGACGTGAAGGCCAAGGCAATGCAGCTAGAGTTACAACAAGCCAAGAGACGCGCGAGAATCCGCTACTGCAAAAGCTCAAACCGCTGGACCTTGACCTCGAGAGTCGCCGTGTTGACCAAGACGACCTCGCCCGACTCGCAGAACCGCGGCACGAGCACGATGCGGACCTTCTTGCCGTCGTCCGACTCGACTGACCGCGTGGCAAACGAGGGCTGGTTGCCGAAGAAGTAGACGTGAGGCGTTTGCTTCAGGACGAAAGGCTCCTTGCCGCTGAAAGGGTAGCACCCTGCGCAGTCCTTCTGCATTAGCGAGCTCGTCTCAACCTTAAAGAGGCATACGCAAACGCACAGAGAGTATCCGGGCATGTCGGCGCGATGTGCGACCATTCGAGCGTTTGCTGGGCAATGCCGATACGGTCTTCGCTGTCGATGTACTTGAAGATGTCGTCGAGCGTCTGACCAGACGTGCCGAGGAAGCTGTAGGAACGAGTCGTCAGCAAGTCCAGAGTACCCGGGCGGACATGGGAGACGCACCTCGCTCCGCCAACATCGCACCAGAACGGGTTCGTCCGCCCTGTGAAGCCCTCGTACGTCGCCGCATTCGGCAAGAGCGCAGGGTGCAGCGGTTGCTGAGGCAGCGTCGGCTCAGTCGGGTCTTTCTCGCCCGACATCATGTCAATCGAGATGGACGGCGCGAGTTCGGAGAGGAACGCGTCGAGGGTTTCGGTCGGCTTCGAGGTGTACATTGACGAGTCGTAGCCGTAGCGTTTCTGTTGGTGAACTGTCAGCCGGCGCTGGGGTTGACCCGCAGGCGAGACGCACCTTCTTCGGCTCGTCGGAAGCGATTACGTCGGGTTGCGCGAGCGAGTTACCCGCCAGGATCAGCCGCGTCACCTTGACCGCCGCATACTGGTCCTGCGGTACCGACGTGTCAGCAACATTTGACGAGACGCGGGACGACCCCTCTGACTCACCTCATCGTCGCCCGCCTCTCCCAACAGCCATTCCGACAGCAACTCCGCCCTGACGTCCGCGACATCGCTCGCCGTACCCATCTCCATCCCGCTCGCTAGCGCGACCCATTCACCCTCGGGAGTCGTCGGGTTGAGCGGCGGCTGTTCAGGCATCCCGGCGAAGCAGTACTCGAAGACCTCAAAGTCGCCCGAGGCCATCTCGGCGCCGAGTGCGGCCATGATGGTGCCTATCGATGAGAGGTGTCAGCGAGAGTGAACTTTGTGGCACGAAGAGTCGGAAGTCACCTGTCACGAACGTCCCCTCTGCGTCATCCACCTTGCTTCCGACTAGCCGCACTCGCCCACTCTCGTCTTCCAGCATAATCTCGTCCGATGGCGAGTGGTACTTCCTCCGGGTCGCAGGCGCCGTAATGTGGTGCTGCGAACGATTCAAGCCCATCAGCAAAGTCTGGCTAGTTTCTCGTCTCGAGCTCCGCTTCGAACGCACATCCCGCGCCAAGTCCTCAAGTACGTTGGGCTTGAGAGGCATGTCGACGTAGACGGTGCCGACGACGTAGCAGAGCTTGCCGTTCTCGACTTCGAGCAGGCGACGGACATGCTGTGGTCGGTTCGAGGCGCCTGGAGGATGTCGGGAGGTGGTCAGCTCACGAATGACAGCCTCGGATATTGTAGAGCCGTGCGAGTTCGTGGAAGGCGTGAAGTGGCAGGCTCAGCGGCTCTAACGAGTTCCTCAAGGAGCTGAACCGTTGCAAGGTAGCCCACAGCCTGTCTCCGCTCGGCCGCTTGGCTGCTGAGGAACCCTTGCGCCCCCACGAGCCTATGCCAACCCGTTCCGCAGCGCAAGCCGCACTCTGGACAATGTCAAAGTCTCGCGCTCCAACGCGTGAGCGATGAGGAAGTCGCGGTGAGGAACAGAAGCCGCAAAGCCGCAAGAACGCAGACAAAGCCTCAGTAGACTCGCGCACTCACCCTTGAAACCCTCACCCTCAACCCACCGCCTCTTGGCCTCGCTCAGCACCCTCGCCCTAAGTTCCGTCAACCGCTGCCAGTACAAATTGGCGTACTGCTTCTGGAACTCTTCGTCGTCGCGGGAGGTTGTGAAGGGTGCGCGGGAGTCGTCGGACGGGTCGGGGAGCGCGTAGGACGAGGTGAGGCGGGTGGGCATCGCGAGTTGGTGAGATGGTGAGATGAGGACTCGAGAGAGTGACGGAGGGCGTGGCGGGCCAGGCGAGTGGCTTGGATCAATGACAGTTACTCTGGCAGTGTAAGGAGGAGAGGCGGGCGCAAAAGCAAGGAGAGGGATGAAAGGAGGAGGAGGAGAGAGGAAGAGCGGGACAAGGAGAGGGCGACCAGATCGGGCCACTGCTTCGTGCACTTCCTGAGTGTAGTTTCGTACTCCTTAAGGAAGCAGGCATCGCTACGTCCGGACAGAGGAAGCTGCGAAGAGGGATGAAGTTGCAGAGTACGCCCAGAAGACAACGAGGGGTTCCGTTCGCTCGTCTGGTCGGCATGCGTGCAGTAGAGTGAAGGAGGGGTACAACAAGGAGTGCTCAAGAGCTGAGAAAGAGAAAGTGGGACAGGGCGGGGGATGATGTTGAAAGAGGGAGACGGGAAGGTTGAGGTGTTGGAGAGCTGGACGCAGACGACTCAAGCGACGAATCGCTTCATGAAGGCCTTGTGGTACTGTGAGCGCCCGAGATCGTTCAAAAACTCCTGCTTGGGCTTGTCCTCCGTCCGGGCTTGGTTCTTGAAAATAACGTCGTCGTCCCAACGGCGCTTGACCCCGAACGATGCCGCGCTCGATTCCGAGATGGTTGACGGTGCTGGCGAGCGTCCGAGTGCGGCCTGAAGGTTCAGAAGCGGGCTGTACGAGGAAAGGTGAGTAGGCACGGGAGGAAGAGGGAAGAAAGGAGAACGCACTTTCCGGTCGCGATCTCCTCGTCGCGCGACATTTGCTCTGTCGCGGCTCGTTCCCGTTCCTGCAAGCACGCATCGTCAGCCCAAGAAGTGCGAATGGAGGAAGCGCCCGCGCACCTGCCGCTCCTTCTCCTCTGCGCGCTCTTTCTTGATCTTTTCGAGCTCCCGCAACAGCTCGGCCGTCTCGTCTTCATCGTCATCATCCGACGAATCACTGTCGTCGTCATCGTCGTCGTTGGCAGCTTCGACGGCCTTGCCCTTCCCCTTGTCCGCGCCGTCCTCCTCCTCGCTCTCCTCGTCGTCCGAGTCGTCCTTGTCGAGGTCCGCCGCCTCCTGCAGGAGCTTCCTCCTCTTTGCCGCACTCTCGCTCGCCGCATCCGACTCCTCCTTGTCCTGCGCCGACTGCAACGCCAGCAGTTTCTGATCCGCAACATAGCCCCTCTCGCCCTTTGCCTTCCTCGCCGCAGCCTCACGCTCCGCTGCGAGCAGCTCAGCCTTCAAGTCCCGCCTCGAAGTCTCGGACGTCGTGCCCTGACCCGGCTGGCGGAACTTGAGCTTCGTGTGCGCGGCAATGTCGCGAGCCGAGAAGGAGCGCGAGTTCTGGCGCCCTTCTTTGCCCTGCGCGGGCGCCCATGTCGGTCGGTGTGCTGAGGACATTGTGTGCGAGTGATGCTGTGTCTACTGGGTCTCGGCGGGGATGTGAGCGGGTGTTTCGTCGGGGATGGGCGAACGAGGTGGAGTGGAGAGGGAGGCGAGTGTGCGAGTGACGGCTGGACTGGTGCGCGGAATGAGCGATTTACGAGCGACTCTGTCCAGCAAGCTTTTGGCAGCAGCAGTACCAGAGAGAGTGTGCTCGAGTGGGAGGGTCGACGGAAGAAGGCCTAATCAGTGTCGAATACGAACCAAGTTGTAATGATCTGATTAGCCCGCGAAGACTACACTTGGCAATACAACCAGTTTGTATTCAGCTTGATTACCTTCGGAGACCCCCTTCCTTGTTGCTGGTTCGCCTCGCTCTTCGTCCCGCTCAGACTCGCTGGAGATTGCCGGAGTTGCTCAAGCGACGCTCTACGACTCTCCAAGGAACCCACACACGCGCCCGCCAACCCAAAACCCTTCGCATCTCCGCACGCCCCGACTCGCTCACGTTCATCGACTCGCTCGGATCCCTCCAATCACCAGACGACGCACGAATGGCCAACGAGCGCTTCCCGATACCCGCGACGAACCGCCTCGCAACCCTGCCCATCGAGGCGCTCAACCAGATCTTTGCCCATGCCCTCGCCGAAGCCGTCACCGCGAACGACTCGCTCCCTTCGAAGGGCGCGATCACGAGGTTCCACTCGAAGCAGCCGCCTCCGCTCGAGATTGGCGCATACTTGTCGAGGTGCGCATCGTCGAGACGCTCCGTCCTGAACCCGCGAAACGAGCTGACCCTCGGCAATCTGCCTTGGCGATTTCCCTCGCTTCTTCGCGCGCAGATTGACAAAGTACACGCCGTTCCCGCGAGACGCTGTTCTGCTGGGCATCGTCTATCTCAACCGCATCACCCATCTACCCTACACCGCCGAACCCGGCATCCACCCGACCCCGCTCCTCTCCGTCGTCCCGCCGCGGCTCCCTCCCCGTCCCCCTCGGCAAAGTCGACCCGCCGTGTCACCCTCGAGCCCGCCAGACCGTACACGACTCGCCCCTACGTCTCCAATCGAAGCGCCGTCTCCCCTTCCGCCTTCACCGACCATCTCGTCCGTCGACAGACCGCGCGTCTCGCCCTTCCTCAACTCGTACACCCTCCATCGTCTCGTCCTCGCCACCCTCCTCATTGCGAGCAAGTTCACCGTCGATGGAGCGCTATCGCAAACAAGGGCAGCGAAGGTTGGAGGAGTTGGAGCGAACGAGTTGTGCAAGTTGGAGGGTGAGGGATTGCGGTTGCTTGGCTGGAGCTTGATGTGGAGTTTGGAAGAGATTGAGGGCGCGAGCGCAGAGATGGAGCGAGTAGGCGAAGAGATGGGCGTACTGGAGAAGCTGTCGGAGCAGAGACGGGACGAAGAACAGCTGCGGACGCCTGTTGCGCCTACGCCTATACCCTCTGCGCGGCACACGGGCTTTGGCGCACCTACTCGGCCTGTGAGCCTAGCGGACGTCGCCTCTCCACCTCGACCGACAATCGTCCTCTCGCCGACCTCGTCCAGCTCTTCATCCTCCGTCCCATCCTCCGAAGCCTCGACCTCCGAGCCCTCTTCGTCAACTTCATCCCCACATCTCTTTCTGACCACCCACGACCCCTCTATCCGCCGACACCAGCGCCCTCCCACCGACCGCGGATTCTTCGAAGCCCCCCGAGACGGCGATGAAGACCCCACGCCACCTAGCTCGCCGAGCGTCAGCAGCATCGAGGGACACGGTGTCGTTGCGCCTGTCTCGCCGACCAGCAGCATTGGCGACGATAAGCCTCTCAGCTCGAAGAGCTCGTCGGAGACGGTCAGGCGGTTCGATGGGCTTTCGTTGACGGCGGATTGAGCGCCGGGCATGCGAGTACAGTGTCATTACATCTTGTTGTTGCCATCAGCTCTTTAAATCTTGTCGTCGACATCGCATCTCCTGCATCGCCTGGGCTTCGCCCTTCTTTGCCTCCGTCCACTTTGCTCGCTTTGGTCTCCGCTTCGCATGGCCGCTCGAGAAGTCGCATCGCCTGTCATAGCTCCCAGCGATAGCTCGCGAGCCTCCAAGCCTGGCACAGTGCGTCCACTCCTCCGTCATCTCTCCCGAGCCCCACCTCCATCAGTTTACGCATCTCTCGCTCGACAGCTCGTTCTGGTGCGGCATGGACAGTCAGAAACGAACGCGGCGAACATGTGCGCTCTTCTATCCAGCTCAAGCGACGTGTGAAGCTGATTTCGTCCGCTCCTCCTCGCAGCTTCACCGGCCTCCTCGACCCACCCTTGACAAGCCGAGGCATCGAAGAGTCCACCCAACTCGGCTCCACCCTGCGCACACTGAACATCCCGCCCTTCTCACACGCCTACACCTCCCCCCTCCAACGCGCCTCGTCCTCACTCTCACACATCCTTCACTCCCTCGCGCAAGACCCCCCTCCAGCCGTCACTGTCTCTTCGGCCCTGAACGAACGCGACTACGGACGCCTGAACGGGCGGGATAAAGCTGAAGTTGCGCGCGAGTTCGGCGAGGAGCAGGTGAATCAATGGAGAAGGGGATACAGCGCTGTTCCGCCGGGGGGAGAGTCGCTTGAGATGACTGTTGAGCGGGCTTGGGCATACTATGAGGAGGAGATCCTCCCGCGGCTGCGGAAGGGAGAAAGTGTGCTGGTTGTTTCGCACGGCAACACGCTGAGAGGGTTGTGTATGAAGCTAGACGGGCTGAACGAGGAGGAGGTCCTCAAGCTCACGCTTGGGACGGGCGCATTGCGGATATATAGGGTAGATGCGGAGGGAAAGGTTGTAGTGCGGCGACTGTTTGCGGTAGACGGGCTGGAAGGAGGAGCTCAGTAGACTTGGCGCGGACACGGGGCTAGCTTTCCTCTCTATAGACTCTCTAGACATCTGTTATACGCCCTCATTTATTTGGCAGCCGGCGAGAAACGAGCGAGGAATGGCAATGCACGACGGGCTGGACTACGCTCGACCCGTCAACGCAGCCGCGACGCTCTGCTCCTCCTCTTCGTCGTCCGTGTCGCTGCCGTAATCTGCGACGAGACTCGCGAGTGCTGAAGAAAGGGCGGGCTTGAGTGGAAGAGAAGGTGTTGGGAGGCCAGCAGCGGGTGGAGGCTGGGGAGGATGCGCGCCATCGAAGGTCGCAGGGTGCGCTGAGGGTGTGACATCAATCGGTGCGACCTGCTCGCCAATGGGCGTGATGACGAGGTCGTCGTCGTCGGAGTCGTCCTCAACCTCAGGCTTCACCTCGGGCTCGACCACCGCTTCCTCGGTTGATATCCGCTCCTCCGTCTTCTTGTCCTCCAGCACCTCAATTCCGCTCTCCTCATCCAGCTGTCCAGGCCTGATCTCGACACCCTTGAGCCAGTCATTGGCGCCAAGGAACTCGATGACCTGCAAGACGTCCGAAACAAGGTGCTTGTAGTCGCGTTCCTCGAGGAGCGAGAAGGGGTCAGAATAGCCGGCGGGACGGGCGAAGGGGTTGTGAGGTGGCGGAGGAGGCGCAGGGCGTTTACGCTTGGGGAGAGGAGGCGGAGGAGCGTTCGCGGGAATCTGCGGATGAAAGAACAGTCAGACGGACTTCAAAATCTGGAGAAGAAATACGTTACGCACCTCGTGCAGGTAAGGACAGTCATCACCGAGCGCGCAGTTCCCTTTCCGCCAATGCCGGCAAACCACCTGGAAGCGGTTCTTCGGCGCCTCGGCTGCGGCGCCCTCGGCTGACGTGTCGACAAACTCCTCCTCTCCAACCTGTTCGGCTCCAGCTCCTCTCTCCTTGACGACCTCCTCGTCATGCATCTCCGCATCCATCGCCTCGATCTTCGTCGTCGCTTCCTCTGGCGGTCCGTCGTCTTCGTCGTCCGAGTCCGACCCATCCGAAACATCCGTCTGCACCGACGTTTTGACCTCGGCGGTCTCCTCTTCCATCTCCAGCTTGACCCGCTTCCTCGCCGGCTCATCCGCCTTGTCCTCCTCGTCTTGCTGCGCTTCACCGCCCTCCCTCCCGCCAACGAAACCTCCTCGGCCCCCTCGACCCCGACCACGTCCACGCGGTTCTGCCTGTCCTCGACCGCGTCCTCGGCCCCGACCACCTCGTTCTCGAGGAGGAGCTTCGAGACCCGCTGCAATTCGTTCGGCACGGGCTTTTTCCTGTGTGAGCAATTCTTATCAATCGCTACTGACCGCTTGAGCAAGAGAGAGCAGGCGTACCTTCTCCTCGACGACCTTCTTCGATGGCCACCGCTTCTTGCGCTCCTCGATCCACTTGGCGACCGCTTCGGGCGTGTCGAGCGCAATGCCTGTTCCCTCGATGACGGCACTGCAAACGCATTCGTCAGCTTTAGGTGAGCCTTTGAGAAGCGCTGCCGGCGAACAGGCGTGCGCGTCAGAGCTGCCTGAATGCAAGCCGACTCACCCGTCAACCGGCTTCAAGCTCCCGCTCCACGGCTTCGGCTCCCTCCCCGGCGCATAGATCAGATGCCGGTCCTCCTCGTGCTCGCGGACCTGCTTCTTCGAGCCCGTGAAGCTGCAGTCGTCCTTGCAGCACTTGACGATTTGCGGACCACCACCCGAAGGTTGGCTAGGACCGCCCTTCCGGCCTTTACGGGATGTAGAATCTCGTTCGGTCGAGGCGGAAGGCACAGGACTGTCGTACGAAGGTGTAGACGAAGCGGAAGGACCGGCGTAGGCGGACGAGAGGGAGTACCCGTCTACAGTCGTCTGCGGCCGCGGTTCGGGATAGTGTTGAGGAGCCGACGATGACGCGAATGGACGTTGTGGAAGTGCCGGAGGGCGCTGCTGACGCTGGTCGTGCGAAGGGGGGTAAAACGAGGGAGGATAGGCGGATCGGGGAGCTTGACTGTACTGTGCCGGTCCGCCATACGGCTGGCCCGCACCGTTGGACTGTAGAGCAGGTCCACCACCACCAGAAAACCCTCCCATCCCGCCGTACTGCCCTGCCCAACTCTGACCATAGCTCTGCACCGCCCCTCCTGCCGGTGCGAACGCCTGACCGCCGTACGGGCCCCAGTTCACCCCGCCCATCGCTGTCTGACCGTACCCCATCCCGCCCAGCGCGCCTGCCACCGCATTGCCGAGTCCCGAAGCGAAAGTCGACTGTGACTGATGAGGATGGTGAGAAGAGGTGGGTCGCTGGATGAGCGGCGCCGTTCTGCGCGGTTGCTGTCCGCCCGAGTTGTAGCTCATCCTAGGGGCACCCCAGCTCAGTCACAAGCCAATCTGAGCGAGAGCAAATCGTGGTGAGACCCGAGTTGCTTCTCTCCCTCGAACCGCTCACCTCGCTGTGCTCAACTGCTCCTGCTGGATCAGAATGCTCATCGAACAGACTCAAGTGACTGTGCAAACCGCGACGGGTGACCTCGCCATCGAAATCGTCAAGCCCAGTGCGTTCCCCTCCTACTCATCGCTCGCCCCCACCTCGGAGACGTTGGCGAGGCTGCAACTTGGCGACGGGGACGGTTGCTTTGCGGACTCGACGGTACTGGTTGGCTTGCCTTGCTGACCCTTCTGTCGGCCGTCCACAGAGGTCGCTGGCTACCCGAATGCTCGCTTCCCAGGCGTCGTCGTTTGGAGCGAGATCTACAATGTGCGTCTGTCCTTCATCCCTGCTGACCGAGGAGCATGCTTACCGATTTGCGTCGCCCGCAGGTGACGGGACCGGTCCTCCGCTTTGCCAACCAGATCGCGGCGCAGGGCTTCATCGTGGCCTGCCCATACCCCTTCCACGAGCTGAGCGGCAATGTTCCCATCCCCTACGATACCAAGGGAACCGACGAGGGCAACGCATACAAGGTGAAGAAGCTGTTGTCGGCCACGGACGAGGACATCAAGAAGACGATCGACACTCTCGTCGCGCACCCGAACTGCACAGGTGCGCCCGAGTACACTTCTTTCTTTCCAGATGCGGTGACTGATACACATAGATACACAGGTCAGATTGGCGCAACCGGGATGTGCTACGGAGGACACCTCGCCTTCCGCGTTCGTCTCTCTGCTCCCTCCGTTCAAGCTTCTCGCTAACTAGCTCGTTCCGCAGACCGCCTTCGACGCCCGTTGCAAAGCGGCCGTCTGCTACTTCGCTACCGACATTCACAGCTCGTCCCTGTCGCCTAGCGGTGACGATTCGCTCGACAAGGCGTCTCGAGGCGAGATCAAGGGCGAGGTGGTCATGATCTTCGGGACACAGGACGGGCATGTCGTGCGTGGCATTCTCTTTGGTAGGTATACTCGCTTGCTGATGCTATCGTTGCGGGCAGCCCCTTGCGGGAAGGACCCTCATCCGCGACAGGCTAACGAAAGCTGGCACGAAGCTGTCCTTCCTCGAGCTGCAAGCGAACCATGCATTCATCCGGTGCGTCTCATCCTCCTCATTGGCTGACCAGCTGGCTGACATGCGGACGTCCTCGCAGCGACGAAATGTCCAAGGTGAGCGCCCGTTCTCTCCGCGCCTTCCCGCGGTCGCCCAGCCCGTCGTCGCGAGCCTGTCGCTGACGCCTTTTACTTTGCAGGGTCGCTTCGACGCCGCCATCTCCAAGGTCTGCTTCGGATTGCTCCTCGAGACGTTCACTCGGACGATCGGCCGCGACTTGGGCGAGCCGGCCGGGGAGGAGAAGGGCGACGGCAAGCTGATTTGTTGAGTAGGGAAGAATACTGCACTTAGACTCCGTACATAGGCTTTCGGAAGGGCTTTGACGCAGACAAACTGGCTGCCGACTTGCGAACGCCTCCTTGACCTCGTCCGCTTCCCTCGCTCAACTCGCTTGCCTCCGCCCGCACTTCTGCTGCTTCCCAGACGAGCTATCATGCCCCGACCACGCCTACAACCGCTCCTGCGACCTTTCTTCACCTCCTCCTTCCCCTCGTCATTGTTGACGAAACCGCCTCTTCTCCCTCACCCACGCCTCCTGACGAGCTCAGCAGCTCAGCAAGTCCGGTACAGACGGTTTGGCGACCCTCCAGAGCGACCCGAGCCTCCGACCTATCCTCCTCGCGACGCTGAACCCCAACTACGCGATGTCAACCCAAACGACCCGCTGGGCATCTTTGACGTGGCGCGACGACGACGACAAGTACCCGTCTACGAGCAACCACGACAGAGGTCTTCCTACGGCGGACGACGGCAGGGCTTCTCGTTCCACAACGTCCAGACGGTCTTGCGGTCGCGGATGTTCCTCGTCCTCCTCGGCGGCGCAGGCGGATACTACGTCTTCCACCTCGAGAAGGTGCCTGAAACGGGACGATGGAGGTTCATGGACGTCTCGCCCGCGATGGAGAAGCAGATGGGCGAGCAGGCGTTCCAGGAGACGATGGGCGAGTTCGGGCGAAAGGTCTTGCCCGACTACCATCCGCAGGCGCGCTTCGTACAGGGCGTCATACAGCGGATCATTCGCGCGAACGGTCTCGAGGACAAGGTGGGCGGCCCAGGTTGGAAAACCTACGTCGTCAAGGACGACTCGACCAAGAACGCCTTCGTCCTGCCGAACGGCACGATCTTTGTCTTCACCGGCATCCTGCCAGTTGCAGCAGACGCCGACGGGCTTGCATGTGTGCTCGGACACGGTGAGTCAAGGTCCCTGAAGTCCAGCCAACAGGAGACTGACCCTCGCCTCCGCAGAAATCGCCCACCAAGTCGCGCGACACTCGGCAGAACGCATGAGCGGCATGAAAGTCTTCTACGCCCTCGCGCTCCTCCTCTCCTCCTTCGGCATCGACATGGGCCTCTCGCAAGTCCTGCTCCAATTCGTCTACTCGCTGCCCAACTCGCGCAAGAACGAGACAGAGGCCGATTTGATCGGCTTGCGGCTTGCGAATCAGGCGTGCTTCGATCCTCGAGCGGCGGAGGCGCTGTGGAAGCGGATGTCGGCGGCGGAGGACAGTCCGGGAGTCGACATGTCCTTCCTTTCAACCCATCCGTCGAGCAAGCACCGCATCGAGAACGTCAAGATGTGGGCAGAGGATGTGAGACAGGTTCTCTCGCTTCCGTTCCCGATGTATGCTGACTTGGCTCGAGCAGGTCGTCAAGGAGAGGCCGAGCGAGTGCGGTCCGTTGCGAGACCAAGTCGAGCCGTTCCAGCGCTTCTCACGGGGAAGGTGGTGAGATGCAATAGATACAGTAAACCCTCTAACAGATACAGTAAACCCTCTAAAAGCTACACAGCCGTCTCTGTCGTCTCCTTCCCCAACTTCTCCTCGCTCCGATTCCGGCTGTCCTCTAGCGTCCCGTTTCCCTTCAGAGCCACCCACTTCGCCCGCTCAGCTTCCTCCCTCCTCGCCAGCTCCATCGCAAACGGCGACCTCAACCGCAGTCGCCCGCCGAAAGCGAACAAGACGAACGGCGTGACGGAGAGGAGGGTGTCGAGGCCTGCGGTCAGGCCTGTCGCGCCTTGTACGCCCAGTCGATCGTACATGGCTGGTGTGAAGAGAGGGAAGACGGCTGCGATGACGTTGCGGGCGAAGCTCATGGCGGACAAGGCGGAGGCGGCGTCTGGTGAGAGGGAGGCTTGAGAAGTCAGCTTGGAACGAGGATGAAAAGGGCCCTTTGGGACGCACAGAGGGTGTAGGCCTCTGCGAGGTACGAGTATGCTGCTAGGTAGCTTAGATAAACGCCCGCGTCTGCGCGCAAGACTCGTTAGCGAGTGGAAGAGCGGAACAGCAAGTGAGGGAAACGCACACAGGATGACCACGCCGATGACCGAGCCCATCCAGTGGCACTGCGGGTAGGAAGTGAAGCAGAAGATGAAGGCGCCGACGGGTAGGAAGATGCCGCCGCCGACTGCGACGAAAAACAGGTCAGCTTCGCATGATTTCGTGAGGGTGGTCTGGACGCACAAGCTGAGTAGAGGCGCGCTTCTGGCCCTCGTTTCGCGACATTGCGCTGGTAGAACCGCTCGCAATACCGGTCGAACACTGTTCGAGGCAGTGCATCAGCGAGACGAGCGCAAGCCGACTGTGAGACGGGCGAAGAGCGCACCCATGCCCAGCGATCCGCCGACGAATTGCCCCATGTACACGAGTCCTGCTTGACCTGTGTTGAAGCCGAACACGCCCTTATAGACGGTAGGGATGGAGACGAGGAAGAGGTCTGTTCGAAGAAGGGCGAGGAGGGGAGGAAGCGATGGCTGTCAGCTGAATCTGGGCAGCCGGTGACAGTGGCCCGCCTTGAGACGTCGACTTGAGGAGCAGGACTCACACAGAACGCCCTACGGAGCCAGCAAGTAGGTTGAGAAGCTCAGCGTGGGGAAGGAGGACGAGGCGAACGAAGCAGACGCACCCAGGTAAAGCTGATCCAAGCAGTAATAGCGATCAATACCGGCTCACGCATGAGCATCTGTACCGGCCGTCCAAGCGACGTCTTCATCAATTCGCGAATCGAGCCGCGCTCAAAGTCGTCTTTGCTCTGGTATCGCTCGTCGCCGGTCTCTTTGCGTAACCGGGCTGCCTTGCGAGAGAGGAGGACGGAGGCGCGAGTCTCGTCGAGGATGAATGGGAGACTGAGGGCGAAGACGGAGGACATGGCGAAGAGGACCCAGGAGAGGTACGGGAAACCCTTGAGCTGCGCGAGATAGCCGAACAAGACAGGACCCAGTCCAGGTCCTGCGACGGCAGCGAGAGTGAAGAATGCCATCGGCGCGCCTCGGTCTGCGCCGCGCCAGACGTCCGCGAGTGTTCCGCCTGCGATGGAGACGGCCGTCGAGCCTGCGCATCCTGAGATAAAGCGTGCGATGAGGACCGTTTCTATGTTCTTGGCGAGTGCTTGGGGGATGAAGAAGAGGGCGAAGACGACGGCTGAAGCGAAGTAGATGAAGGAGCGGCCGTAGACTTCGGAGAGGGGGGCGAGGATGAGAGGCGCGATCTGCGAGGAGACTTGTCAGCTTGCCGCCTGATGGACAGAACAGAGCGGGGAGTTCCTCACTGCGAATGCTAGAGTGAAAGTGGTAAGCCCGAGCAGCGACAGCGTCTTGGAAGTGTCGAGCTCCTCCTCGACCGACACCTCCGCGATCGAGTAGCCCGACACGCTGAGCGAGACGAGCGTGCAGAAGAAGCTTCCGACGGATGAGACGACCCACTGTGTCGGCGGGCGAGTCGGTGGAGGCGGGAGAAAACAAGGAAGGCGAATGAAAGGCGTTCGTGGACGAGGACAAGGTCAGCTCCGTCTCTTCCGCTCGCAGTGCGCTCGGATGACCCGCTACGCACTTTTCGTCGTCGACTCCAGTTCAACGGGTTCGCTGGATCACTGCGTGCGACAACCAAGTCAACCGGCCAGTTCGCACTCTCCATGCCGTGCCGGTCCGTCGGAAGCCTCAACGTCGAGCAGAACAGCGACGACGACTTGTGAGCGAGCAACACGCACTCTGGACCGTCCCAGTCGACCCAAACGACGTCTGGAGGAGCTTTCTCGGCCGCTCGTTCGTCGGGGTCGACGATGTCGAGGTGCGACCGCCGCGACGAAGTCGGCTCGAGGCGAAGGGTCGCGTCGTCTGCTGCTGGGGCAGGTGGTGGGTCTGTCGCAGTCATTGGCGCATGCAGGCGAGTCAAACGAGTCTAGCAAGCGTAGCGAGAGTGGTAGAGGCGCCCTCCAGGCCTGCTCTGTCAGCGAGCGAGAGCAAGATCGTGCCGACGAGCGCGGCACCAGGCGGAAGTGGGGACGAAACGCTCAGGAAGTCACACGGAGCGATGTATTGCGTCCGAGTGGATGACACAGCGACGACGCTCACATCAGCAGCAGAGCCTGGTTGTCGATGCGAGGACGAGCGCGGAGCGATGCCAGGAGGTGGAAGTTGGGGATACAGCGATACAGCTTGATGCTTGCAACGAATAAGGAACCCAGGGTAGTCTATACTCTATAAAACGATGCAAGATGGCCCCATCAAACCGCCTCCTTTCTGTCGAGCGTCTTCTCAGCGCTCCTGCACGGACTTCCCTCCGCACTCCTCCTCGTCTGTCCTTCCCTCTTCGCCCGTTCCTCCGCCTCCCGTCTCGCCAGCTCCTTTGCAAACGGCGACCTTGCGCGCAACCTAGCGCCATAGATGAACAAGATGAAAGGCGTGACGGAGAGGAGTGTCCCCAGGCCGGCGGTGAGACCGGTCGCGCCTTGGATCCCGAGGCGGTCGTACATGCTTTGTGTGAAGAGAGGGAAGACTGCTCCGACGCAGTTGCGGACGAAGGACATGGCGGAGAGGGCGGAGGAGGCGTCTGTGTGCGGCTGGGTCAGCTGGGGACGGCAGAGACGACGAGGAGACATGGCGTACACAGCGCGTACGCGTCGGCGAGGTAGGAGAAGGCCGTAAGGTAGGTGAGATACATCCCAATGTCTGCGACGCGCATCCACCCGAGTCAGGACAAGCATCTCGACGAGGCGGAGGAGCGAAACGCACATAAGATAACAATCCCGATGGCGGATCCGATCCAGTGACACTGAGGGTAGGACGTGAAGCAGAAGATGAAGGCGCCGAGGGGGACGAAGATGCCGCCGCCGACTGTCGACCAAGACGGAATAATCAGCGGGAGAAGCTGGCGAAGGTCGTGAGGGTGCGCACAAGCTGAGTACAAGCGCGCTTCAGGTCCGCGCTTCTCCACGTTGCGGCGGTAGTAGCGCGAGCACCACTGGTCGTAAGCTGCGCAACATCGGCCGTCAGCTCCGCTCCATGAGAAGGGAAAGGGAGGAGCCGCACCCATTCCCAGCGCGCTTCCGATAAATTGCACAACATACACGACTCCCGCCTCGCCCGTGTTGAAGTGGTAGACTTTGCTATAGACGTAAGGAATCGAGACGAGGAAGAGGTCTGTTGCATGGGGAAGCGAGGAGCGTTAGTCTCGCTTGCGGTGGCTTTCGCTCGCGCCCAGACGTGAGGGTACGCCACGAGAGTGCCATGCGTCGCGAGAGCAAGGCGCAACGCACATAGGACGCCCTGCAGTTCGAGAAAGCAAGTTGGGAAGGTCAGCCTTGCGAACAACGACGACGTCCGCTCGAACACCCTCGACGCACCCAAGTAAAGCTAATCCACGCCGTGATCGCAATCAACACCGGTTCGCGCAACAACATCTGCACCGGCCTCCCAAGCGAGGTACTCATCATCTCCCTCAACGATCCCCTCTCGAAGTCGTCTTTGCTCTGGTACCGCTCGTCGCCGGTCTCTTTCCGTAGACGGGCGGCTTTGCGAGAGAGGAGGACGGAAGCGCGGGTTTCGTCGAGGATGAAGGGAAGGATGAGGGCGAAGAAGGAGGAGACGGCGAGCAGGATCCAGGAGACGTAGCGGAAGCCTTTGATTTGCGCGACGTAGCCAAAGGCGACGGGGCCGAGGCCGGTGGCTGTGGACGGAGCAGAAGCGGAGGGGGCAGCCCAAGTCAGATCCAGGCGAGGACGACTTGGGGGAAGTGCAGCTCGCAACGCACCTCCGAACGCGCTGAACGAGAACCAAGCCATCGGCGTCCCTCGTTCCTCTCCCCTCCAAACATCAGCCAGCGTCCCTCCCACAAGCGAGACCGCCGTCGACCCCGCGATTCCCGAGATGAACCGCGAGACGAGGACTGTTTCGATGTTCTTGGCGAGTGCTTGAGGGATGAAGAAGACGGCGAAGATGATGGCTGAGGCGAGGTAGATGTAGGAGCGGCCGTAGACTTCGGATAGAGGCGCGAGGAGGAGCGGGGCGGTCTGTAGACGCGACAGGCGTCAGTCCCGAGTGTCCTCTCTCCCGCAAGCATTGATTGTTCTGCTCACTCCGAACGTGATCGTGAAGAGAGTGATTCCCAGCAGCGCAAGCTCTTTGGAGCAGCCCAGCTCTGCCTGAACCGATGCCTCCGCGATCGAGTAGCCGGACACGCTGAGCGAGACGAGCGCGCAGAAGAGGATCCCGACCGACGAGATGATCCACTGCGACGTCAAGAGCGTCGAGTGAATGCGTAAGGAGTAGTCGAACGAGCGGAAAGCGGGTGGAGGACGAGGAGGACGAAGAGAAGGTCAGTTCTCGCTCCTTTGCGCTGCGCTCGCTCGGATGGCCCGGTACGCACTTTTCGTCGTCGACTCCAGTTCAACGGGTTCGCCGGATCGCTGTGGCACCAACCGAGAGATGTCAACTTCACCGCGTGCGATTTCGAAAGGCCGGGCCGACGGGTTCCGGCCAAGTCGCGTCGCGGGTGAGTGAGCGAGCGAGGAGGAGAAGAGCGAGAGACGCACTCTGGCCCGTCCCAGTCGACCCAGATGACATCAGCAGGAGCTTCCAACGCAGCGCGTTCGTCGGGGTCGACCACGTCCAGCTGTGAGCGGCGAGAGAGCGACTTGGCGAGTGGAGGAGCAGCCGGCGCGAGGTCCATCTCGCTGTCGACGAGCGTGTGGACTGTCGCGGTTGGCGAGGGCGGAGACGGGTGCATCCGAGTTCTGCTGCACCCAGCACTAGCACGAACAGCAAGAAGCGAGACGAGGAGAACGGCTCGCCGCTGAGCTCAGCCTGTGCCGAACAACGCTGCCGACGACAAGATTGCTCGCTCGACTGGCTGGGACAGTGTGACTCTTCTTGACAGCGTACAAGCCAACGAGTCACTCGCGAGTCAACGAACGAAGAAAGTGGGAGAGTTGAGCCGAGTTGCGAGGGGGAGAGATGCGAACGAACGAGGATGCGGGATGCTACAGGCGTTCTACAACAGGCATATCACGGGAGTGCGCAGACCGAGTCTGTGTAAGTGGCGACGAGTGGACGGCGATAGATGGAGAGAGGCGCGCGGGGCTGAGGGGTGCGGAGGAGTCGAGAGAAGGGATAAGGACGTAACGACGAGGGAGGCGGAAAGAGGCGAGGAGACCGCCGGCGACAACCTCGACGCGTACAGGCGATTAGTCGTGCGTGAAAGACGAAGGTCGAGATGAAGGATGCGTCGAGAGGTGTGAAGTTGACGCCGGAAGGGCGGAAAAAACCGCCTAATCGCGCCTGGCCGCCTGTTCCTCGTCAAACTTGGCGCCAATCCGCTTCTCGGCGTTCGCGACAATCATCTCGTAGACGAGGTACATGCAGCAGGCGTTCGGGATGACTCGCATGAGATGCGCAGTCAACTGTGAGCGAGGCGAGCGAGAGAGCGAGGGCGCGAGGGAAGGGTACGCGGGAGACGGCGAGGGTAAGAGTGGGTGGAGAGTCAGCGAGGCCCCAGACGAAAAGGAAAACGAAGCGAGACGCACGCCGTGGTAGCAAGCCCTCCACCCCTCCTCCTTAATGACGAGCTGGAACGTCTGTCCAAGCGACTTGTACTTGGCGATGCCGGACGGCGGAAGAGGCTGCCTCAACCTCGTCCGCACAACCTCGTGCGGGTACGTAATGACCGTCGCGACGAACTTGGCCGACCCCGCCGCGGCACTCACCCTCCATCCGGCATCTTCCTCGCCTGGCGCCTGTCCAGCCTTTGCGATCCGCTTGAACTGCTCGTACAAGCTCCACTGGATCGTACCCTCCGTCACGCCGAGCAAAGACGCGCTCAAGCCGCGATAGAACCCCTTGATCCCCTGAGACCGGAAGATGTCGACTGTTGTCGACCACGAGGTCGGTCGTGGTGGAGGCCCTTGCATCGGCAGAACAGGAGAGGAGGCGGACCGGAAGGAGTGGGAGAAGATTTGTTTCGCGGGTTTGGGGGGAGTCGGGAGAGGGCGCTTTGAGGAGGATGTAGGAGTCGAGAGAGGGGCGGTTGGTGCGGAGGACGAAGAGGCGACTTGTCGTTGCTGATGCCGCAATTGCATGTCGGTCTTGACGACCCAAATGGGGTTCGTCGCGGCGGCTGTCGCGACTCCTGCTGTTGCTGCCGCCGCAAGGTGTACCGCCGTGTTCTCCTTCCCGCCGTTGAACCACTCCGCATACAGGTGCTTGCCGTTGCCGTAGACGAAGAAGTTTATAGACCTGCGCGTGAAGAGCGTATCAGCTGGAGTCCGAGAGCGAGCATCTAGGTTCGAGCGGGAGAGACGAACCTGGCGGGAACGGCACCAGCAAGTGTCGGTCCGAGACCCTTGAAGAGCGCCCTCGGTCCCTCATTCTTCGCAATGTCCCTGCGCGCGACACGAACCACATTCCCGTCAGCCGATCTGGGTCTGCAAGCGGTTTGAGAGTGAGTGCTGCACGAACCTCATGATCTTGCCCGTGTCGACAAAGTTCCACAGTAGTCCGCGTGCGCCCGTCCTCTGCACAGTCTGCTTGCCTGCCTCGACAGCCTTGTGCGCAAACAGGTCGGACTGGAGACGGGTCTTGACGACGTCGAACGGGGCGGTCACGATGGCGCCACACATCCCTCCCGCGCTGCGATCGCCCGGTAGAAAGTGTCAGCGATATCCACTGAGCAAGATGAGGGCTGTACTGACCCGCCTGCGACGAGGTGGACGACGGGCGGCGGCTTTGGTCGTTTCGAGGGGCGGTTTGGCGGCGGCGGGAGGGGCTGTCCGAGCGGGACGGTGAGGGCTGGGTTTGAGGCGTGCGGATGCTGCACGGCTTCGATAGCGCCGGTCATTGTAGCGCTTGGCAGGGAGACGAGCCGAGTTGGGTGGTGAGGAAGCTCAAGGAGGAGAAGGGACGGCCTGAGCCAGCGACACCCACTCTCACAGCTCAAAGCAGAGTGGTGCAGGGCTAGACGAGACTCTCAAGCTACAGCAACACACTCAGCCGACCCAGCAGCGAACAACTCGCACTCGAATCGCTCACGCACCTCCCACACTCGCATCCGACCACCGCAACTCGCCCAGCATGGCTCTCAGGGTGCCCACGATGGGCTCGGGACTCTTCAAGGAGGGAATGAAGGTCAGTACAACTTTCATCGCGCAGCTGGAGGCGGTGCGGGACGAATGAAGGGGGGCACCTTGGTGGTCGCGTCGGATGCGCGATGAGGCTGTATACGTCGTCGAGCGGGAAGGGAGCGCGTGGGAGAGGCTGTATAAAGTGTGCTGATTCGGCTGCCGCGCGCGCAGATGCACTCGGGCATCGAGGAGGCCGTTATCAGGTGCGTTTCGTCGACCGGGGCATCCCTCTCGCTTCCCGAGCCTCAAGGGGAAGAAGCTTATGTTCGAATCGGCGAATGTCACACAGGAACATCCACGCTGTCGCTGAGCTTGCCGAGATTGTCCGGACGTGCGTCGTTGTCCTGCTTGCTTTCTCTCGCTCTCCTCGTGCTGACCTTTCGACTTTCTTTCTCGCTGAACAGATCTTTCGGTATGTCCCGCACACTTCTCAGCATATCCTCGAGCGCCTACTGACTTGCTCGTATCGTGCAGGCCCGAACGGCCGCAACAAGATGGTCATCAACCACCTCGAGAAGCTCTTTGTCACGTCCGACGCGGCGACCATCATCCGCGAACTCGAGGTCGTCCATCCGGCGGGAAAGGTGTTGGTCATGGCGAGTCAGCAGCAGGAACATGAGGTGAGTTTCGGGCTGGGCTCGGAAATGGTTCGAGGAGCAGCTTTCGTCGCTTGCTTCTTGCGATCTGTGGTGCTCTTCAGCAGAAGCTCACCCAGCGAACTGCGCACAGATGGGCGACCGAACCAACCTCGTCTTGATCCTCGCCGGCGAGCTCTTGCGCAAGGCGGAGTACCTCCTCACGATGGGCCTCCACCCGTCCGAGGTGGTCTTGGGCTACGAGCTTGCGCGGGATAAGGCCATCGAGGAGTTGGAGAGTGCGTCAACGTCTTCCTCCTAACGATCTGAAGCGCGCTGACGAGTTGACCGGAGCAGAGTTGACGGTCCGCACGCTCGAGACGCCCTTGACGGAGGAGAGCTTGAAGGTTGCGATTCGCCCGACGCTCGCGGCGAAGCAGTATGGATCGGAGGACCTCTTGTCGAACCTTGTTGCGGAGGCTGTCATGGCTGTCATGCCGAAGGACCCGCGGGCGGTGAGTTCTCGCGCTTTTGCCGCTCGAGCCGGATGTGAGGCTGACTCTCGCTCGCTGCAGTTCAACGTCGACTCGGTGCGCGTGGTCAAGATCATGGGAGGCGGGTTGAGCCAGAGCCGCGTGATCAAGGGTATGGTGTTCGGTCGCGAGCCGGAAGGGACCGTCCACAAGGCCGTCAACGCCAAAGTCGGCGTCTTCACCTGCGGCATCGACATCGCCCAGACCGAGACCAAGGGCACTGTTCTCCTCAAGAACTCGGAGGAGCTCCTCAACTTTTCGCGCGGCGAGGAGAAGCACATGGAGAAGATCTTCCAGGAAATCGCCGACTCGGGACTCAACGTCATCGTCGCCGGCTCGACGGTGGGCGAACTCGCCCTTCACTACCTTCAACGCCACAACATCCTGGTAGTGAAGGTGCTGAGCAAGTTCGACCTTCGCCGTCTCTGCCGGGTTGTTGGCGCGACTCCCCTCGCGCGTCTTGGCGCCCCGACTCCGGACGAGATGGGTCAGTGCGACGTCGTCGAGGCAGTCGAGATCGGCGGCGACCGCGTCACCGTCTTCCGCCAGTCTGAGGAGGCGACCCGCACCGCGACCGTTGTCGTGCGCGGCGCGACCACGAACCAGATGGACGACATCGAGCGCGCGATCGACGACGGCGTCAACGTCGTCAAGGGCCTCATCAAGGACTCGCGACTCGTCGCTGGTGCAGGCGCGACGGAGCTCGAACTCGCGAAGCGTGTCGCCGAGTTTGGCGAGAAGACGCCTGGACTCGCGCAGCATGCGATCAAGCGCTTCGCCGATGCTCTCGAGGTCGTGCCCAGGACGCTTGCGGAGAACGCTGGACTCGACGCGACGGAGGTCCTGAGTCGCTTGTACGCCGCGCACCAGCAGACAGACGACGGAGTTGTTGGTGTCGACATCGAGGTGCGTCGCGTTCGACCCACTCTGCGCCGGTCGCTTTCTCAGTCGCTTCCTCGTGTTCGACCTCATACTGATGCACTCCACTTTCTCCCTCGCGTCGCACTTCTCGCTACCGCTCTCGGCTTCCCATACGCTCGCTCCTATCGACAGGGCGAGAATGGCGGCATCCTCGACGCAAGCAAGGCGGAGATCTACGACTTGCTCGCAGCGACCCGATGGGCCCTGAGGTATGGAACGGATGCGGCGGTTTCCATCTTGCGCGTTGACTCGATAATGTTCGTCCTCGTGCCTCTTCCCTCGCTCGCCTTTCTAACCCTCCGCCCTTTCGCAGCATGTCCCGTCCGAGTGGCGGCCCGGCTCCCCCCAAGCAAAACCCGAACTGGGATGAAGACTGAACGCTGTAATCAACTCTTCGCATTCACTTCCAATCAGTGCGGTGCGGATTTACGCAGTATCTGGCGAGGGATCTCCTCGTGAGAAGGTCTACGAGTTGGTCGCTTCGCTCGCCAGCCTTCGGCTTGCTCGCCTTCTTCAGGTTTTGCTCTACAGCTCACTCGTTACGCTGGCGAAACGAGCCCTCACGCGGATGCGACTTGAGGGCGGGTAACCATGCTTATTTTCCGACGAGATAAAGGTGAGTGTCTGTGATCAGTGCTACAACAGCAATGCGACTCCGCCAACGAGTCCCGCGCCGAGTACCGCCACATATGACATAGTAGATGAAAGGAGAGCGCCGCTCGAGGGTTTGCCGGACGACGAGGCCTGGTTCCCGTTCGCCGTCGAATTGACGAGTGTCTCGGCAACGGCATCGCTCCAGCAATCTGCGCGGGCAGGCGTCAGCTCCTGTACTACCTCAAGAGCGGAGTGAGTACCCACATCGGTGCATGCACGCCTCGCACGCTGCGGTCCTGTTCACGCCCGCCCTCGCCCTCGCACGGTCGACCACGGCGCACTTCAAGCACAAGGGCCACTGCTGATCCGGCTCATTCGGGGTCGACGCATTGGGGAAGCCACGAAGGGTGTACTCGTGTGCGGCGTCGAGGAAGCCGACGACTTCGTCGTAGGAATAGTCGAGCTTGAAGGTCGAATAGTTGGTTGCTCCTGGGTGTGCGCCGGCCGAGTTGGGCAGGTAGATGATCAGCGGGTACGAGCCTATCGCAGACTGGTTTCCGCCTGTCGTCGAGTTGCAGCCGAAGAACGTTGGACGGGTCGAGAGACCTTGAGCGACGAAATCGGCTTGGGTAGCGGGGATTGGAGGGAACGCCGTGTAGTTGTGCATGTACATGGCGACCTTGTCGCTCGTGGCGACGAGTGACGTGCCGTTCGCGTAGGTCTCCGAAGTGTCCGCACTCCCATCCACAGCGAAGACAGCGTCCATTGCGCGAGCCTTGATGAGGAGCGGGTACAGAGGGACGTTGCTGCCGTCCTCGCCGCCGTCCGTAATCTGGAGAATCTCGTTGCCAGACGACTCGAACGTGTAGCCGCCTTCGGGGGTGAAGTTGCCGAACGAGTTGGGGTAGTTCGCCACGAGCGGGACGGAGCCAGCTGGAGGATTCAGGTCGGTGATCTTTTGGAGGAGCCGGGAAACGATGGAGCCGAATGCGGCACCGGAGAAGGAATCTTGGACGGCATTGAAGAGCGAGGCGGAGGTGCCGATCATGAAGCCGGCGTTCTCGAAGCCATTTACGCAGGCACTCGAGTTCAGCGGCTGGCCGTTCGAGAGCTGTGTGCCGAGGTACTCGATGGGAATGCGGGCTGAAAGGGTCGGATCGAACGAGCCAAACGTGAAAGGCGAGATCTCAAACGCCGTATTCTGGAGAGGGATGACGCTCGTCGAGTCGTTCGAGAGCTGCTGCTTCTCCGACTGGCGCGAGGTCGTGACGAGGATAGGGACGGGCATCGCGCCGGCTTGGAAGTTTTGCGTGAGGCGGATCGACGAGAAGAGGAGGCCTTCGTCGTGCGGCGCCGCTTCGTAGAAGTTGGACGGCGTCGTCTGGTTGAAAAAGTGGTAGGCCAGCGCCCGGCCCCAGAGGTCGGTGATGGAGATGGGGAAGCCCGCCGAACTCTTGTTCGAGACGTCGGCCGACAAGGCATCGATGTAGTCGCCGTTCTGCGAGATGCCGAGCAGCCCGTCCGGCGTAATGAGCGACTTGTCGAGCATCCAGCCGCCGCTTCGAGAGTTGTTGATGCCCGTTACGAGCTCGTAGATCGGCTGCAGGTCGTTGAGCGCGAGGGAAGAGACGGTCCACGAGCCGCCGGAAAGGCCGCTCAGGTAATTCGCCAATTGGAGAAGCCCGCCTGCCGTCGACGAGTTGCGGTTGTCGAGAGCCGAAAGGACGCCTGCGCCGTACAAGGACGCTCGCAAGCCGCCACCCGAGACGGCGATTCCGCTGGGAAGGGAGGAAAAAGGTCAACGGGCGTTTCGACAACCTCAAGGATAGCACCTACAGGTTTGGCGTGTTTTGTACGATCTGCATCACGTCGTAACCTGTCGATCCCGTCGCGTTGTCCTGCAGGTACTGCTGCCAGAGGTTCGGGAGGACATTCGTTCTCCGGTTCTGAAGGTAGGCTGCCTCTGCGCCGAACAACGTCTGGTTCCCGCTGATCGGGTTGCCTGTTCGTTCGAGGACCGAGTTGGAGGGACAGCTAACGAGAGCGGGCGCATCTGCGAGGTCGAGACGGTGAGCGAGCGACGAGAGAGCGGAGTTGTCGGGAGGCTCACATGACGGCCATTGCGCTGCCGCCAGGGTCGCCGCCGAAAACACGAGCGCCGCCTGCGAGAGCATGTCGTGGTGAAGACGGAGAGAAAGAGGCCAAGGGACGATGTTGCGACACGAGGAGCGATGCCGAGGCGGAGAGTCCGGGAGGGGTCGACGTCGCGCGACGATGTGACACTCCGCTCGTCGCTTCCTTTGCTCGGATGAAGGGACAGCCATACTGCCACACTCGCAAGCTACACATCCCGGCACCTCCGCTGCCACAGCTCGCCCGCCGTCACCACCCGTCGATTCTCATCGCGTCGGAATGAGGGTGGTCTTCTTCACTCGACCTCGCTTCTCGCGACCGCCTCGCTGCTCGAGCGCACTCTCCACATTCTCCAGACCGAGGCCAGCACCGCCCGCTCGGCTTTGCGCCCCTGCGAACCGCCCCGGTCTCCCCGCGTTCCCTCGGCCGACACGAGGCTCGCCCGCGACGAGTATCCCGTCTTGGTCCTTGCTACCTCGTCGAACAGCACCGTACTCGACTGCAAGGATGCCTGCTCGCATCCCAATCTGGCTCGACTGCGACCCGTGCGTCTCGCGCCTCCCTCTCCCCTTGCACTCGTCGTTGACATCCAGGAATCCCGCACAGCGGACACGACGATGCCGTCGCCATCCTGATGGCTTTGCATCTGCCCGAGATTGACCTGCTCGGCATCTCGACTGTCCACGGCAACGCTTCGCTTTTCAACACCTCGCGTTCGCTCCATTGCTCCCCTTCCCACTCGCATCTTATCGCTAACCCGTTCTTTTCTGCAGGGAATGCTGCACGATGTCTGCTTGTCTTTGGCTCTCCCGAACAAGCGAAGCGGATACCGGTCTATGCTGGCGCGGAGAAGCCCCTTCTGCGATACGTACGGCACGACAGCGAGATTCATGGCGAGGACGGTCTCGGCGGCGTCGAAGGCCTCCCGCCCTCCGACTCTCCTTCCGTCCTCTCGAAACTCGACGAAACGAAGGGCAGGAACGCCGTCGTCGCTTTAGCCGACGCAGCTCGTTCCCTGCCGGACGGTCAGCAGCTTACGATTGTTGCGACGGGCTCATTTACGAACGTTGCGCTGTTTGTAAGCTTATATCCGGAGTTGGTGAGGGACAAGATTGAGAGGGTTGTTGTAATGGGAGGCGCAGAAGGCCGAGGGAACCGCTCGCCGACAGGTGCGCCCTTTTTCTCACTCTTCGAAGGTACCTGCTGACTCGCTACGGGCTTGCAGCCGAATTCAACGTCCTCTGCGACCCCCACGCCGCAAGCATCCTCCTCGACGCCGAAGTTCCCGTCGTCATGGCCGTGAGTTCCGCTCCCCACCCTTCACTACGCACAACCAACGAAATCGCGCACAGCCCCTCAACATCACGCACACCGCCATCTTCCGCAAAGACGACAACGCCGCGTTGCTCGTCCCTCCCTCCGCCATTCCCGACCTCGCTTCCTCAACACCCGATGCGACCGCGCACCCCTCTCGCGCCTACACTCCTCTCCGTCACACCCTCCACACCCTCCTGAACTTCTTCGCCTCGACCTACAAGTCAGTCTTCTCCTTCGACGACGGACCACCGGTCCACGACGCACTGTGTATCGCCTACCTCGCCCGACCTGAGATCTTCAAAGCGAAGCGGTACCGCGTTGATGTCGAGACGGAGGGGACGCATACGCAGGGAACGACGGTCGTGGACTTGTATGACTACAAGAAGGACGAGTTGGTGGAGTACAAGAAGGATCCGGAGAGTAGGGCGAGCTGGGGACGGTTCGGCAAGAACGTGCTTGTGCTGGAGGAGCTGGACGTGCCGGAGTTCTGGAGGATGTTCCAGCAGTGCGTGGACGAGGCGGACAAGGTCTCGCCGTTGAACAGCAAGTGAGAACGGCACTTTGCAAGATAGGACGAATACGATGACGAGTCTCTACACGGTACTGATGAGAGGAAGCTAGCTGGAGAGAAAGATGCGAGAAAGCGGCCTGTCGCGCTCGGCCGTCGACCTCTGCCGCCTGGAGCGCACCGAGACGCCATTGCGAAGGTCTCGCAAGACTGTGTCGAACTGCCCGCGCCCGAGCGTACCAGACGCCGCGGTGACGGTCTCTTGCGACGAGTTGCGGTGCGGCAAGGGCGGTCGTAGGCGGCCGACCTTGACAGGCTCCTTCTCCGGCGAAGGTGGGCTGAGGCTGGCCTGCTTCTTCGCCGCTTCGGCGTCGGCAGCCTGGACTTCGGCTTGAGCGCGCTGTCGAGACGCTCGTCAGTCACCGAGTGAGAGCATTGAGGCCTGAAAGACGCACCGAGAGCATCGAGGCGAACTGCGCAACGAGGTCGAACAGTTCTTCGGGCTTCGTCTGCGCCGGATCCTCGCCAAAGTAGCGTAGCAGCGTCTTGAGCTCTTCATCGATGATCGCGGCGTGCTCCTGAAGCGCCTTCATCGCAGGCTTGGCGTGACGGACAAATTGCTGAGGGGAATGGGAGGTCAGCTTGGCCCGCATCGCAGGTTGAGACGCTGCGCACCTCCATGACCTGCACGAAACGATCGTCGGGACCAAGCAAACGCGACTCCCGCACGGCGTCCAGCTCCTGCTCGACCTGCTTTGCGCCGGCCACGAGCGCCTGGACGGTTTGCATCGTCGTCGCAGAAGAGACTGAAGATGTAGATGGCGTCGTAAGCGCGAGCATCGTGGATGAAAGAGAAGGGCGTACTGCGAGAAGCCGCCTCGAGGTGCGGCAAGTCGTCGTGAAAGTCGAGCAAACTCGAGTCTTGCTTCGAGGCGGTGCGGACGAGGTAGTGCAGCAGAGTGGGCGTCGCGGGTGAGGCAGTCGCCGATCGCACGTCCTTAAGCTGCGGGAGCTTGTCAGCCTGTCTCCTCCGGGTCGGGTAACGAGGCAGGCGAACCTTGAGTAGCGAATCGAGCGAGAATCCAGCCGCATTCCCACGGAATGTTTTCCCGTTGAGCGCATTGCCAATCGTCAACACAATCTGGAGGAGCTGCTTGAACCTGCTCGACGACCGGAGCTCATCGCAAGCCGAGCGCAGCATCGCAAGGTCCGGCTTGAGCTCCTCCATCTCCATGTCGAGGCGACGACGGTAGACCATGGCGGCGAGACGGTCGCTCAGGCGAGGGATGTTTGCGGTCTGGAATGCAGGATGAGCGGCAGACCTTCGACCGATCACGACGAGACGTACCTCTGCAAAGTACTGGTCGGCGGTCGAGAGCGATTTGATTTCGCCTTCGTACCCTCGGATTAGCTCGATCTGTGACAGACTTGTCAGCACACGGTAGGTCGCCCCGTACGCGAACTTGCCTCGTCTTCGCTCGGCACGTAGTGCTTGATCGCCTTCAGGTTGTCGACCGAGAGCGCAATGTCGTCAAGGCGGACGATGGCTTCCTTGATGGCCGCAGGTGGCAGGCGGAGACGTGCGAGCATGATGGCTGGCGGAGTACGAACTGTCAGTCTCCTCAAACTTCGGAAGTCAAGCGCAAACGGACGCGCCGATGTTCTGAGCTCGAGTATGGCCTAACAGCGTGATCGCCTCCTTCTTCAGCTTCGTGCCCGCTTGTCCCTCGCTCGGCTTCGACGAAGTGACAGCGAAGTCTTGCTCAAGCCCCGCGACGTCCACTTCGATGCCGCTCGACTCGCTCATTTCCCATATCGACGCTGTCAACCGTTCCGACGGCAGCTTGGTCCAGAAGAAGGGCTGCGATGGCTGTCGTCAGTCAGACCCGAGGCGGCGAAACGGAAGCGCCGCACCTTCATCTTCTTGGCGGGTGGCCCGGCTAGATGAGGGCTACGAGGGCTCCGTAGAGCTGCAGCGAACGGAGCGGGCGGCGGTGGAGGAGGCGGGCCAGAAGGTGGCGGGGGACAAGGTGCCGACGATGCTGACGGAAGCGGAGGCGCAGGAGGAGGGGGCGGAGGCGGCGGTTTGGAACCGACTGGAGGTGGTGCCGGAAACGAGCGCGCGATAGGCGTCGTCGTTGTGCCCGGCACTGTATGGGCTCGCCGAAGTGCAGCAGGCGGCGGAGGAGGAGGGGGCGGAGGGGGAGGAAAGGTGAGACAGACAGGAGCGGGAGGAGGAGGAGGCGGCGGAGGCGGAGGAGGCGGAGGAGGAGGCGAACCGGCCTGCGCAGACGGCGTCGCAGACGAGCCTGGGCCGGAAGCTGCAGGCACAAGTGGCGATCGACCTTGTCCAGCGTTCTGCACCCTCACGACCTCGGCCTTCGCCTTCTCAAGCGCGAGCTGGAGCTCCTTGATCTGCTCGTCCCGCTGCAACAGAGCCTCGAGGGTTCGCGTCGCCATTGATTCGTGGTCGAGCTCTTTCGCGGGGATCTCTGAAGGCACATTGCCTGGTATGCGCATCGCCGAAGCCACCGTCGACTGGAAGCGCGAGTAGACCGACTCGACCGTCCGCTTGAGGAACTTGATCTCCTTGTCGCGCGCTTCGATAGTCGACTCGAGTGTCGCGATCTGCAGTAAGGGGATAGGTTGATGCGAGTCTGCGTGAAAGCGATTTCGGCGCGCACCTTGAGCTTGTTCTGGCCGATCTCGCCGAGGAGGTTCTCCCACCGCTTGCTCTGGTTGAGCCTGTCCTTCTTCGCATCGTCCGCGTCTGGCGATGGCCGAGCATCGACGGCAGCCAGCTTCGCCTGCAACTCGAGGACCTCCTTCTCCTTCTGCACGAGGCGCTGAATGACGCCGGCGAAGCTCTGGGCACATCCAGCGTCAGCGAGCGAATTAAAGCTAAGTGGGGGACAACTCACCTCTCCTTCGCCTTTGCGGATCGAAGAAGAGCCGCCCTGCGTGAGATTGGTGAGCGTGCTGCTCGAGAGGTACGGGGAGCAAGGAAGGACGTACAGACTCGGCCGCCAGGTCTCGTCCGACAGGCAGCGAGCGAAGCGTGTTGGTTTCGGCGATCTGACGTTCGAGCTCTTCGCGGAGACTCGCTCGCTCGTCGGAGAGTTCGTCAACCTTCGTGCGCAGCGTTTCAAGCTCCTCGATGAAGCTCGTCGGCACTGTGGCGGAATCGGCGACGCGCGAGGAGCGGATGAGCGATTGCTGACCGACAATATGCTGGACTGACGAGAGGTACTGCCGCATGAAGGTGCGCCAGCCTCGGTCGAAGTCCTCGAGATGGGCGGCATGCCCGACGAAGTTGTCGAGAATCGTGACGAGATCGTCGCGAAGCTGACTATAGAGCGTAGGATAGTGTCAGTATGGAGCGAAGCAAGACTCTACGGGGAGGGACGCACTCATCGAGCTGCTTGCGGTCGAAGACCTTGACGTAATTCTTGACGGTGTCAAGGAGTCGCGGGTAAAGCTCTTCGTGCTCTTGCGCGAGCTTGATCAGTTCGCCGAGCGGCAGATCAGATGAACTGCGAACGAAGTGGCGTCAGCGCGGCGTGACACCCGCTGTATGCGAGCGCGACTCACTCGGCCCTCGTCCGACCTGCTGTTCGCTCGTGCAGCTCCTCTTGATCCTCTTGACGCTCCTCGGCGTAGACGTTGAGCTGAGTCATGAAGAAGTCGGGCGGCTGAAGATATCGCAAGCCCTGCGGAGAAATGAGCCTCAGCGACCATTCTCCTTCGCACAACTCAGAGACCAGCTCACGGTCATCGCCTCGTTCAAACCTCGTCGGACAAACTCGTCTCGAAGCACAAGGCGCTCCTCGAGGTCGTGCGGCGTGTTGACGATCGCGTTGACGAGCGACATCGCAGCGGTCCGCCATTCCCAGAACCCGTCGTCGCTGTTCTCCGGCGCCGCTGGCTCGTCGTCGCTGACGGTCGTGTCGTCGGGTATGTCGGGAGCCTCAATGCTACCGATGAACGACTCGAAGCGGAACTTCTCGCTCGCGATGATGCGAGCGTCCGAGAAGGCCGCAAGCACGAGCCGATGCCCGTCGTCCAGTGATAGGACGCAGATGGCAGCGAGGACGTCTGCGACGAGGGCGCGAACCTTGTTGTGGGGAAGGTAGAGGCATTGGACGAGAGCCGCGATGAGTGCAGGTCGGACGAGCATGCGAGAGAAGCCGAGCTGCAGGGACCAACAGCGGGTCAGCATTGAAACTTGCGCGCCGATATACGAGGTGGGCGCACCTCCGTGTTGAGCAGAGCGCGAAGGCACTTGATGCACTCCGCCTGCACCGTCTTCTCTTCCTCCGACAAGTCGCCGTCCCCCCCCGCTCGGCTTCGCATCGATCGGGTCAAGACGCTTTCGAGCGCATCAAGTCCTCCTGCGACATCGACGAAGTCTGCGGCCCAGGCGAGCTTTGCGGTCGACAGGCGGACCCGAAGCGCGATGAGGTGCTTGGCGAGACTGCGCGAGGAGATCTTGCTGTGAAGAGACGAGGTCAGTTATGAGGGAGGACGACCGCCTAAAAACTTCGCGACATACGTCGAACGTAGCTGATCTGCGTAGAACTGAGGCGAGTCTTTCGCGACATGCCCAGAAGACTGGCCTGTTCCAGTCGCGTTCGACGAGGATGACCACCAAGACGTCCAGGAAGACGAAGAGCCTGTAGGCTGCGTCTGGATGTGGGGCGAAGGGGTAGATGGCGACTCTTGGACGGACAAGCTGAGGTCGTGCGGCGGCGGCGAGGCGAGACCACCCCAGCCGACGCTAGCGAGCGAGAATCGCTTGACGTTCTCGAGCAGACCTGGCTCGGCAGCAGGACCTGTCTTCGACGGTCGAATCGGCGTTGGTGGCTGGTTACTGCGATGCTGGTAAACGAGGAATCGCTTGCGGTCTTGCGGCAACTGCCGCATCGCCGCTCGTTGCGCCTCCTTCATGCCGAGATCGTCCTGCGAAAGCGTTCTCAGCCATACTCAATGGACGGCGGAGGCGATGCCGCCCACCATCAGCCGTTCCAGCGCTATCTCCATGTCGCCCTCATCCACTGAACCCTCCGCATCTGGCGAAGTCGCATTTCTCTCCTCCGTGTCGGGAACGAAGCTCGAGAAGCGCCAACTCAGGTCCTTCGACATCGCGACGGGCTCGCCGACGACGCGAGCGTGCTGGCGACTGGGCGAGGCGGAGGCGTTCGATGCTTCTGGCGCGACCCAGTCGGTGAAGAGGGTCGAGAGTCGACTGCGATTGCCGGCGTTGGAGCGCACGCTGCTCATGTCTGCGCTCGCTGTCGCTGAAGCGCCCTTCTCCGCCTTCAAGGTTCCTTCACCCTCCTCCTCCTCGTCGTCGTGGTCCGGCGAAGCTGCAGTCGGTTGCTCCGACGAAGAAACGTTCGCGACATTCGACGAAGTTTCGGACGGGTCCGCCTCGCCACCCCAGAAGCCGCCGAAAAGACTGCTCGGACGCCAATTCGTGCCGTCGCGCTTCGCAATCGGCTGCTTGGTGTTAGGAGTCTCGGCGTCCGTCGAATCGGAGCGACCGACGCCGGGCAAGGCGAGAGCGACGGTTCCAGCCTTTTTCAGCCAGGAAGGCGAGACGGTGAATTCGGCGCGTAGCGGCGTCGCAGCGTCGACGGCGTCCCTCTGCAGGCGAGTAAGCAGTCGAATCGGTGTTGCAATCGTCTCAGGGACTGTAGAAGCGGGAATTAGTACGTTGCGGGCCAGAGGCGGAGGAGGCACTGGACGCACCGCCGGCGGAACCCGTCGCACGCAAGCAATACTCCACGCGAGCCGACTTGTGGCCCTGTACGACTACCTTCCGGACGCCCAGCTCTTCAATGAGCGCCTCGATCGTCTCGCCTGCCGTCATGTCGGCCGTCAGGAAAAGGCGGAACTGCCATCCTTCTGGAAATGCGGGAATGTGGAAAAAGGTGAAGACGGCGGCGTGCGGGACGTAGACGAGTCGGAGGGCAGGCTTGTGGAGATGGCCTGATAGCAGAAAGTCGCTGAAGTGCTCGGGCTGAGTAGCATCGGGAGGAGAAGCAGTCGAAGGAGTCGTTCCGAGCGCCTCGCCGACAGTGACAGTAGGGTCGAGCAGGCCTGTAGAGCTCATAGCGTCAGCTTGATGTCAAGGAGAGCAGGCTGGACGATGCAAACTTGCCCTCGTCATCGCTCAACCTCGTCAACTCATTGTCGCTGCGATCCGCATTCGGCGCGCTCTTGAGCACCCTCTGCACCCGCCAGAACTCGTGCTGCTGCGCTCGCGTGTCCTCTGTCCGTCCACACACGCTGCGCTGGATCTGCGGGCCATCCTCATCGAGTAGCTGTCGCACGAGGTCGTCGAGAGTCGCGGAGGAAGCGCTGAAGATCGCATGCACTGAGGAAGCAGGACCGGGTAGCGAGAGCTGCACAAGCAGCTTCTCCATGAGCAGTAAAAGCGAGAGGAAGCATCTCTAGCACGGAAGGGGCGCGAGCGGGGATCAGGAGCAAGAGGTTCGTGCGAGAGCGAGGCCAGGGGACGCGGGGGCGAGGACAACTCGCTCGTGTGAGCTGCTTTTTGTGGTCTAGCAGGACATGCGTCTACTGATCTAGGAGAAGGGATCGTAGGCGACCGGGTGGGCGTGCGTCTCTGGGTGATCCCGCTCGAGCTGGAGTTCCTTCGCCCAGTGCTCCGCTGCGACCTCCTCCGCTCCTTTCCGTCCTCCTGATCCTCCTGACGACGAGCGACGGAAGATGCGAGACGCCCAAGCCGGCATGCGAGGCGGGAAGAAGATGAGGAGATAGGTGATGGCGAGATTCGAGATGCAGTAGGCGGCGAGGATGCTGAGCGAGCGCCACCGGTCGCTGTGCGAGATGTTCAGGGACGCGAGAAAGTCGTCGCCAGTCGACATCGGGCAGAAGTCGCAGAGCGACGTCGAGGATGGGTTGAGGAGGTAGCCGGCGTGACGCGAAAGGTAGTCGGCGGAATACGCCTCGCAGGACAAGCCTGGCGGCGGCCTGAACGAGACCACCTCGTATTGGGCGCACCGCACCGGCGTGTCGTGCAGGAGGCCGCCGAGCATGCTGCGGATGTAGTGCTGGAACGGCGAGACGTAGTACAGCCAGCGCCAGGCTCGGGGCATCTGGGCGTACGGCATGAGCGATCCGTTGAATGCCTCCATGGCGACGAGGAAGAACGGGAGCAGGTTGGCGACGGTGCCGAGGGACTGCGAGAGCGAGACGATCCAGAGCGCCCATGTCGACTGGAAGAAGTAGAAGATCTGGATGAGGAGGAAGGCGAAGGCGATCGTCGACGCGTTCAAGGGGAAGCCGACTGCGCGAAACGTACGAGTCAGACGTGGTGAACGGCGGGAGAGAGGAGGCGAACGCACCGAGGAAGTACCACAGGACGAAGTAGGTCGTCGCGCAGAGCAGCGAGTAAGGGATCTCGCTGACGAGCAAGCTCGTCACGAATGCAGTCCGCCCATAGATCCTGCTCGGCCGCTCACGCGCCTCCCACAACCCGCGAAGCGAGTGAACCTTGAAGATGATGGCGTTCATCCAGACGACAGGGACGAAGAGGAGGAGGAACACGCTGAACATGCGGTTCTGGAACGAGACGATTGTGTTCTCGTGGCCGACGAGGAAGAAGGAGAGACCGATGATGGCGGGCACGATCGTCGAGGTGAAGAGCTTGGTATACGAGAAGGACGGGTCGCGGTAGTAGTGCTTCGAGACTCGCTTTGTCAGGAGGACGCATTGTCGCCAGACTGACGACGCTGGCGGAGGCGCCTTGCGGATGATCGCGGTCGCCTTTGTCTGTCGCAGAGGGGCGCCGAGCCGGACGAGTTCCGCCTTGACCGCGCCGTATTCCTGCGACGAGGTCCACTTCTTTGCAAGGAGATCGAGGTCGTGCACATCGCTGAGGTCCTCGTCAGGCACGTCGACTCCAGTCTTGGTGACGTCGAGGAGGAAGTCGGCTGGATTGACGAAAGAGTCGGAACCAAGGTCGCTCTTGGCTGCCGGGGTAAAGTAGCGGACGGCGTCCTTGCGCGGTCCAAAGTACACCTGCTTACCGCCTCGCTGGAGCAGCAAGACATCGTCGAAGATGCTGAAGGTCTCGGCGGACTGCGGGCGAAGGGAGGTCAGCACAAGTCTTGCGAGTTCGTGCGCGAAAGAGGTGCGCACCGGCTGGTGGATGGTACAGATGACCGCCAGTCCAGTCCTGGCCAGCCTCCGCAAAAGCTTGACGACCCTCAAGGCGCTCTTCGTTGGCAATCCCGTCGTCGGCTCGTCGCAGAACAAGATAGCCGGCCGACTGACAACCTCGACAGCGATAGTCACACGCTTGCGCTGCTCGGCGTTCAAGCCTGCCGAGGGGGTACCGATGATGGCGTCCTGGAGGTGGGTGAGGTCGAGCAGGTCGAGGACGTGGTCGACGTAGGCGAGCTTTTCGGCGTCGGGGATTGAGGCGTCTTGGCGGAGTAAGGCGGAGAATTCGAGGGCTTCGCGGACGGAGGAGCGGTCGTCTGCACGAATGGGATGTTAGCCTAGCGGTTCAAGCGCGTGTGAGGCACGGCTGCGCACCGTGCAGGTCGAACTGCTCAACATAGCCCGTCGTCCGATAGAACTCGGCGTCCGGCTCGCTCCCATCCACTCGAATCGTCCCCCTGACAACTCCAATACTCCGGCCAGCCAGAACATTCAGCACTGCGAAACGCTCGTCAGCACCTGAGTCGAAGACAGGAGGGAGCGCACGCACAAGTCGACTTTCCCGCACCGCTCGCGCCGAGCAGAGCGCAGACTCGCCCGGGCTTGATATAACCCGAGACGCGGTCGAGCAGTCGGCGAGTCTCGAGAGGCGTGTCGACCCAGAGCGAGATGGCGTTCCACTGTTGGCAACTCGCCTCGTCAGTTAGGCTCAACGAGATACGGGAGTGAACGGGAACGCACCGCAAGGACCGACCCCTCGATTTGCTCCGCCGTCACGCCGTTCTCGTCCTCCGCGTCCGAGCCGTACACAGGCGTCTCAATCACGCTCGACTCCTCAAACGCCTCTCCCTCCTGCGCCTCAACATCCCACGCGGCCTCATCGCCCGACTCGTCCACCTCGATCAACCTGCGCTCCTCCTCGCTTGGCCTCCGCCCTCCATTCACCGCGGCAGCATTCCCGTTCGCCTCCTTGTACTCGAACTTCTCCCGCTTCGCACCGAATAACCTCCGCTTGACAGCCTTAGTGCGCTTCCACACCCTCCTCCTCCCACCCTCCGCAAAGCTCAAAAACTCCGTCGCGACGACTCCAACAACGAGGAAGACCGCCGCTTGGAGAGCGAGGATACCGAGGTTTCGCCAGATACGGGCGAAGGAAAAGTCGTAGGTGAGCGAGAGGTACGAGTCGCCCAGGACGGTGAGTGAGCCGGGTTTCGACCCGGGCAGGGAGCAGGTCTTGAATGCTGCGGCGTAAGAGTCGTAAGATGGCCCGGAGGGGATGATATCGCTCGGGGAACACTCGAGTCGGAGTGCGTGAAACTCGTTGGCGAGGACGGCTTCGTACGAGTACGAAATAGGGTCGACGACGTAGTGGATCCACTTGAGCCAGGGGCGCATCGAAGGCGTAGGGATGAAGTATCCCGCGTACATGACGAGCACGTTGAGCGCGACTCCGCAGAAGCGGATCGCGCCTTCGAAGCCCGGGCTGAAGGCTGCGACCATCCGAAAGAGGCACGAGAGGTTGAGCGCGGTGGCGTAGACGAAGATGAGGTAGATGAGGAAGCGCTCGAGCGAGGGTTGTAAGCCCGCGAGGAGGTAGGTGATCGTGCCGAAGAGGAGGCACTGGACGCCGATGAGGGGGATGTCGCCCGCGACGCGTGCGACGGCCAGTGCCGAGGCAGAGAAGAACCCGTAGTCGCCCTGGCGCTTGACGATGTCCCGTCCTTCGATGGTCTTGCCCAACTCGGCGAGGGAGAGGTACGCGTTGAACATGATCGAGAGGAGGAGGAGCGAGCCGCGCGTAAAGGCGTGTTCGGTCACCGGCGGGAGGCGGAAAAAGAGCGTGCCGACCGTCACCGAGAGGAGGAGGTTGATCAGGGTCTTGGTGACGTAGGCGGGAAGCTCGGAGCGGATGAGGGCGTACTGTCGCCGGGTGAGGTGAACGACCTGGCGCGGGAACGAGACGGTGTAATGCGACGAGGCGGGCGTGAAGCGACTCTTCTCGTCCCGGAGAGCCTCAAAGAGCGGGTCGGCGCAAGTCGACAGAGGGTACCGCTGCGGGTAGACCTCCTCGATCTCGTGGACCAGCGCCTTTCGCTCTGTCGACGCCTTCCACCGCCGCTCGAGCTCGACATCGTTGTGCCTGCCCTCGATGCAGCCAACGAGGAACTCGGCGGTCCCCTCGCCCAGATCCGTCCTCCTCTTGAACCCGATCCGCTCAAAGTACGGCTGGGCGTCCGCCGTCCGCCCGAAGAAGACCTGCCGTCCTCGCGCATCGAGGACGAGCACCTTGTCGAACTCTTCGTAGAGCGAGTCGGCGCAGTGCGGAGTTGCGATGATGACCGAACGGCGCTTGCTGGTCGCCCAGGTGCGAAGATACTGCAGCATCGAGAGCGCCGTCGACGAGTCCAGTCCATTGAACGGGCCGTCGAGGAGGAGTATTGCCGCGCGGGTGAGGAGTACCTCTGCGAGCGAAGCGCGTTTCCGTTCTCCGCCGGACAAGCCGCGCACGAGCGGGCTTCCCACCGCCGTCGTGTAGGCATGACTCAAACCCATCGCCTCGACGATCGAGCGCATCTTTGCTTCGGCCCACTCGCGCCTCGTCGAGCCGTCTTGCCGGTGTTCGGGCGTCTTGGCGTGCGAGACGGGTTTGAGAGTCGCCTCGAGCGAGAGGGACGCAAAGTGTACGTCTCGGTCGTCCATGAACACGACCTGCGAGCGCAGGTTCCGCTCACCTGTGCCCGATCGCGCGAGGGACGAGGTGAGAGTCAGGCGATTCGCGTGCGAATGGTCGACGAGGCCATAGTCGAGGTGAGAGGAGGGCGAGAGGGGCAGGTCCGAGCAGCACGAGAGTGCGCGGACGAGGATCGAGGCGTTCGAGGTCGGCGGACCGATCACGAGCAGCAGTTCGCCCTGTCGACGCCGACGTAACCAGGAGCTTGTGAGCGAACGGAGGACGAGAGGACGGCGGCGGCAGCACAAGGGGCAGCGCGGGCTGCACAGTAGCTCTTGTAGTGCTCGTAGCAGCTCGTGACAGCGCCGCCCGCCCCACGCGAGCCCCTGGACGCACCTGGTGGACGACTCCCTCGACACCTCCGACGAGCACCTTTGCCCTCTCTGCGCCCCTGCCGCGCCCTCGTAAGCCCGAGAAAGCCCTCCTGAGTGGTCCGAGGGTGACAGTGTCGACGAACGAGTTGGCGAGGTCGTCCACGAGCGCGTCTCCGCCGCTGCGCCCGCCTGGGTCGGGGACGTCGAGCGAGTGGAAGCGGAGGGGCAGGCCGTGCGGGAGTGGGTCCATCGCCGATGAGCTCTGGCGGTGTAGTAGCACTGTAATAGCACTGTAGCACTGTATACAGCACTTTTAAGCGAGCTTGGGAGGTGCTCCACTTCGTCGTCGTCGTCCGAGACAAGAGTCCGAACTCGGCGAGCAGCCAGCGTCACTCTGGCTCTCGCTCTTCTCTCTCTCCCTCTTTCCACTCACTCAGTCACTCTGCACACTCTCACAATGGCTGCAAACAAGGTGCGCATCACAACCAGTCAAGCCGGCGCATCCATTCTCTTGTCCTCGTCCTCTTTCCCGCCATCCTCCACGAGCGACGATCTCTTCCCTCACGTTCGGTCGACTCCCGACGACGATGGAAGGACGCTGGCGATGTGCGCATGGCTGTGGGAAGACGAACGGGCGACAGAGCTACCAGGGAATCGAGCGAATCCGCTGACCTTCGCAAACGCCCGACCGCACAGAACATCCTCTTCGTCCTCACCTCGCACGACAAGTTCCTCAGCGGCAAGCCCACGGGATGGTACCTGTGCGTACAGCGCTCTAAAAGAAGCGGGCGGACGCTCCCTGACCAACTTTCGCCTCCCGCAGTCCCGAGGCCGCCCACCCTTACTACGTCTTCAAGAACGCCGGGTACAACATCACCTTTGCGTCGCCCAAGGGTGGAAAGGCCCCTCTTGACCCCTCTTCGGTCGAGATGTTCAAGTCAGTCCGCGGGCGTTCGTCCTCGTTGACTTTCTCCTCCTCACTGACGCACGCTCGCTTCGTAGGGAGGACGAGGAGGCTACCAAGTTCCTCAACGACCCCGAGGCCAAGAAGCTCTACGAGAACACCAAGAAGGTGCGTAGACGGCGCCAGCTCTATCCTGGGACGGCCGCTGACCTTTCCCTCGCCTCATTCAGCTCGTCGACGTCAAGGCCGACGACTACGCAAGTCAGATTTTTATTGGTGGGCACGGACCTTTGTTTGGTGAGAATAGCACCTTCTACAGTTCTACAGTATTGGCGTAGCTCGGAAACTGACCCCCGTTCGAGTTGTAGACCTGACGACGGACCAGGACAGCATCGCCCTCATCCACTCGTTCCTCTCGTCCAACAAGCCGGTCGCGGCGGTCTGCCATGCCCCGACTGTGTTCCTTGGTTGCCAGGACCCGAAGACGGGCGAGGCTCTCGTCAAGGGGAAGAAGGTGAGCCTTCTTTCCTCGTCGTCCCGCTCCTCCGCGCTGACCCCGCAACCATAGGTCACCTGCTTCTCCAACGAAGAGGAGAAGCAAGCCGGCCTCGTCGACGTGCGTCCCCTCCCTCTCCCTCTCCCAATCCAGCTAACCCCTCCTTGCGCAGGAAATTCCCTTCCTCGTCGAGACCCAGCTCCGCGGGGTCGGCGCCGACTTCCAAAACACCCGCCAGCCGTGGGGAGAGGAAGTCTGCGAGGATGGGCTCGTCATTACGGGCGCGAACCCCGCCAGCGCCGGAGCGATGGCGAAGAAGTTGCTTGCTAGGCTTGGGAACTAAATGCGAAGCGCGCTTTAAGGAGGAAAATGGAGGAGAACAGTGTACGCGAAGTGAAAATGCAGTGCCTTCAACTTGCATGGTTGCAGCAAGGAAAAGCGGGACTGCCGTTCCGCCTCCTCAGCAACGCATCTCTCGCTTCCTCCCAGGTTCTCGTAACACTCGTTCCCTCTCCCGTCTTTGCGCATCCCCATCACCTACCGCTCCATACCCTCCCCTTCGCGCACCACCTCTCTCCGCCCTCCGCTCCTCACTCGCAACCTCTTCCTCCTCAGGAATCGAATCCCACCCCGCTTCTTCGCTACAACAAGGTGCCGCGCAGGGACAACATGCTGCTCCACATTCTGCTGAGAAGACCGTTCCTGCGTACGACCCACGTTAGCTCTCTGTCACACGGGGAGAAGGGAGGGGGAACGGACGGGTGGAGGAGAAGGATGTGAGCAGGCCGTCGAGGAAAGTCCCGAGGATGTCGAGAAGAATGTCGGCCATCGCGGTCCTGAGTCAACCGAGGGAAGGAAGCTCGAAAGGGCGGGAAGGAGAGGAGCGAGGGGGGAGGCGACAATCGGGCTGGAAGGGGGCTCGTCAGCTGCCTTCCTTCGGTCCGTCATGGGAGCGCTAGACATACTTGTCTGCCTAATGCTCAGTCTGGACCCATTGGAGGTTCGCTTTGAGCCGTGAGAGGGCGATGAGGTCGTTCGGCTGATGAGGCTCGTGAGGGGGAGCAGATGGAGGGAGGCGGCTTCAGTGGGCGGTCAGGGTTTACTGATACACTCAATAGCAGCCTTCAGAGCAATAGCAGGGCTCAACAAGCCTTCAAGCGGGTCGAGGCTTCGTCGTTGTCGAGCAACCTCTCAACTCCCAACTCTCGCTCCTGCCATCCACTCGCTTCCCACGCTCGACCGCTAGGATGTCCAGCTCGTACGACCGGCGAGACTACGACCGCGACCGCGGGCGCGACCGGCACTCCTCCTCGCGCCGCCGCTCCGCCTCGCCAGACGACCGTCACCACCACTCCTCTTCTTCGCGGCGGGACAGGGACAGGGACTACCGCGACTCGGACAGGGACAGGGAGTCGAAGCGGAGTAGGAGGGACGAGCGGGACAGGGATGAGAGGAGGGACAGAGATAGAGACCGCCGGGACGGGTCGAGGGAGAGGGGGAGTAGTAGGCGAGAGAGGAGTGGGAGCAGGGAAAGGTCCTCGAGGGACAAGGACAGGGACAGGGACTCGAAGAGGTGCGTGTGGACTCGTCGCGGCTCTCCAGAGTGACGACGTTCGCCGTTCGTACTGACTCCTCCGTCTCCTTGTTTCGTACGCACAGGCACAAGCACCGCGAGACGTCCGAGGAACGCCGTGCTCGCAAGGCCGCGCGAAAGAAGGAGAAAGAGGCAGACGCCGCCCTCCTCCTGCCAGAAGAAGCCCGCCTCGCCGCCGCCGAAGTCGCTTTCTACTCGGCGCAGGATAACCCGTTCCACGATGCCAACCTCGGCGACAAGTTCGTTTGGGGCAAGAAGAGGGAGAAGGAGCGCAAGATGGGCTTGACGCAGGAGGAGGCGCTTCTGCGCGACCGTGAGCGGGCGATGGAGAGTCAGGTGCGTCGCTCGTCTTCCATCCCGCTGCTCCAGGCGCTCACACCACACTACCCCTACAGCAAGAGATTGAAAGGCTCAACCGACGACGTGCCGAGCGCGAACAAGAAGCCATCCTGCGCGAGCAAGAGGCGATGCGGCAAGCGCGCATGGCCGAGTCGGCTCAGATGGCCGCCTGGATCGACAAGGAGGACGACTTTCATCTTGAGCAGGCGAAGCGGCGCGCTGAGATCCGTGTTCGCGAGAGGCGGGCCAAGCCGATCGATTTCCTCGCGCTCAATCTCAAGTGGAGTCAGCCGCCGCTGCAACCGGGCGACGAAGGGTACGACGAGCAGGAGGAGGATGAGGGCGAGGGTCTCGAGGTCGACCTGGAGGAGCCGTACGCGATCTTTGAAGTGAGTCGGAGAGTTCTCCTTGATTCTCGTCAGCGAACTGACGCCTTTCTTCCGCAGCATCTCACGCTCGAAGACGCCGAGGAGCTTCACGAGGACATCAAGATGTACCTCTCGCTGGAGAAGATCGAGGCCCATCAAGAGTTCTGGCGGTCGCTTCTGATCGTCTCGTCCGCTTCGCTTGAGGCACTTCGCGAGGAGCGGCAGATGGGCATCACCGCTTACGCCGCCCAGACTCGCGCCAATGCCTCCGTCAAGGCCGAGATCACCCGGCTGCTCAGCGGCAAATCTTACGACCAGCTCGTACAGCTGCAGGGTCAGGTCCAGGCCAAACTCGCGAGCGGCGAGCCGATCGACGTCGACTACTGGGAAGGCTTGCTCAAGGAGCTCGTCGTGTGGAAGGCCAAGGCCAAGCTGCGCGACATGCACGAGGTCGTGCTTAACAATCGTCTCGAGCAGCTGCGGAAGAAGCAGCGCGACGAGGCGCTGCGGTACGCCCAGGAGGTTAAGAGCGCTCTGGTCCCTGCCGCGCCCGAAGTCGAGGAGGAGGAAATGGAGGTTGAGGAGGAGGAGGCGGAGCCAGAAGGACCTGCGGTCGAGCCTATCGTCGCCGAGGCGTGGAATGACGCCTGGGAGCCGCCTCTCATGAACAAGATCGCCGACGAGTTCAGGACCTGCCAGGTCCTTGACGCCGCGACTGACCGTCAGAATTTGGTGCGTGTCCCGTCTGTTCACCCGTCTCTCGCTGCGACACTGACCAATACGTCACGCAGTACTCGGCTCGTCGCGCCGTCGCTCAGGCTCGGTTCGTCGTCAAGCAGCGCGCCGGTCCGACCGAGGCCAAAGAGGGCCCCAGCAAGGACGAGGAGATCTACCAGGCTGCCGTCGGCCAAGGCTTCGACGACGAGGAAGAGCTGTTCAACATGGAGGCAGAGCTGTCCAGACAGTCCTACACCTGGGAAGACAAGTACCGCCCGCGCAAGCCCCGATACTTCAACAAGGTGCACACGGGATACGAGTGGAACAAGTACAACCAGACGCACTACGAGTACGTCCGGTTCAGCAGCGCTCGTCCCGCCCGCCTTCCTGACTCTCGCTTCGTGCAGCTCCGACAACCCGCCGCCCAAGGTCGTCCAGGGCTACAAGTTTAACGTCTTCTACCCGGATCTCATCGACAAGACGAAGGCGCCTCGTGAGTCAAGCATAACGTCGCCGCCGAACTCGCGCTGATTTTCCACTTCACCGCAGAGTACCGCATCGTCAAGAACAAGGAGAACCCGGACATCTGCACCATCGTCTTTTCAGCCGGCCCGCCTTACGAAGACATCGCCTTCACGATCGTCAACAAGCCTTGGGAGCACTCGCACAAGCGCGGCTTCAGGAGTTCATTCGACCGCGGTGTCCTCCAGCTCCACTTCTCGTTCCGCCGCACGTTCTACCGGTGCGCTGGCTTTGTTTTGCTCGTCTTGATCAACAGTGCTGACTATCTGCATGCTCTACAGCAAGTAACAGCCGGAAGGAGATCGCGCCTGTGTTTCGTCTTCTGGCAAACCGCTGCTCGCGATGCATGTCTTCGCCCGCCTCTCGTCGCCTCTGTTGTACTGCTATCGACGAGAAAACTGCAAACACTGGAAGAGGCTGCCGGCAACGAGAATGCGTTCCCGGACGAGGCGGTGTTCCTCTTCGTCTTGAACGCTTCACGCTCGCTCGACCTGGGCCGCTGCCCATGTGGTCAAAGGTTGCGAAGCTCGCTTCTCCCGCTCCACGCAAGACCGCTCCGCCTCGCACGCAGCTCACAGCTGAGGAGGTCTTCCATCAACTCTCGAACCTCTTGAACGACCCTTCCGCAACAACATCGCCAGACGCCGCTCGAGATGAGGCAGAAAGGCTGCTGAGTGCCCTCTTGAGGCAGCTCAAGGCGGAGGAAGCGGAAGGACACGCCTCGTCATCAGTGGGCCCCTCACTCGAGGTGATTCTTCGGGACAATCCTCTCGGTCAACTGGTCGAGCTGGCGAAGGGAGACGAACTGTCGAACGTACGAGAACCTCTGCTGCGATGGTACGGGCGAACTGCGACCGAGCTGGACGAGGCGTGGCTTACGCATGCTGCCGTCAACAAGCCGCTGTACGTTCGGTTCCACCCGCCGCCCTATACTTACCCGCTAACCTATTCTCTGACAGCGTGGCCCTCCTTCGTCATTACGTCGAGGCCCAGGAAGCGCTGGCTCTTGAGGAGGAAGTCTTGGTCGTCGAGGCGATGTCGAGCGTCGCAGAGCGGATCAGAACTGTGCGTGCAGCTGTGCTCTCCTCCGCTTAATCTCCTGCTCACGGTCGTCTTTCGCAGAAACCCGAACTGCTCGCCGTCTTCTTTCGCGACAAACCCACGACTTCGCGCCGTCCCGACGTCTCTGCCCGAATAAACGCGGCGATGAGCCGTTCTGTTATCGGCAGCCTCCCCGAACCCCCTTCTTCTCCAACACTGTCACAATCGACGATGAGCGACGTATCGCGAGCGTTCAGTGCATCAAACACATCGACCATGTCTCCCCGCCGCCGAGCCGAGCACGACTTCGTCCTTTTCTCATTTCTGCTTCGCTTCATCCATCGCGAAGGGCGACTCGGCGACACTGCGAGGTCCGGTATCCTTACTCTCGTCGGCATCGCCTTGAGCCTCTCCGCACCGTTTTCCGCCTCGTCTACGCCTCTCTCGTCGTCTATGGCGACGCTCATTCCGCCCGTCGCAGCGCGCGACGCGGTCCTGTCCTTTGCGGAGTACCTCCTCGAGTCGGACTTCGCTGAAGTACTGAGCGCAGGACTGGGAGCCTTGTACGGCAATCTGCCGGGCAAGCTTCTCGTTCAATCGGCAGACGCGGGCCAGGCGCACGCGACGGAAGGCGGTCCCTCAGCCAACGGCGGCATGGTATTGGGCGGTATGGGCGCACTCCATGACGAGGCGAACGCTGAAGATGTCCAGCGACGGAAGGAGGAGGAGGAGGCGCGACTGCGAGCGGAAGGGTACGGCCTCAGTGGCTCGACCGATTTTCGAGAGGCGCTCGACAACTTTCTCAAGTTGGTCGAATTCACGCAGGACGTCTTGCGCTTATGCGACAGCATCGCGGCATCGACGAACGGAACCATGGACGATGGCGAGGACGTGCGACAACAGCGGCTCATCGTCAACGCCCTCACATTCGCCATTCTCGACTCCATTCGCAAGCTCTTCCTCGAGAGCGTCCTCTATCCGTCCGTTCTCGAGTGCTCCGAGGCAGATGGCTCGGCAGTCGCCGTCCTCAGCTACATCGACTCGCTACTTGGCGCGGTCGACGAGGGCTCGAAACTCGAAGCAACGATACTCGCCTTCCTCTTCGGAGAAGACGACAGCCGACCTCTCGAGACTGCTTCGCCTACTCTGCGGGCTGCGGATCCGTCGCCGTCGCTTCTGTCGCCGCGCAAGGCCAACGTGAAGAGGCGGAAGTCGTCGGCTCTCCTCCTCGTCGAGCGCTCGACCAGACCCTCATCCGACTACTTCACCTCGGACGGCCGCTTCACCCTCCGCGATCTCTTGACCGCTCACATCGACTCGCCTTCGTCGTCCATCTCATCAGCCGCTCTCAAGCTCTTTCAGACCCTCCTCGCCGAGCACGACCGCTGGTCGCTCGCGCTGCTCGATCCGGTCCTCGATGCGTCCTCAACTTCTTTCCCGGTCGCACTTCGTCAGCATGCTTCGACGCCTGCCACCTCGGCTGAAGACGAGGCGGGCGAGTCCACCGCCGACCGTCCGGCCGCCGCGTCTTTCGACGACGACTCTGACGAGGAAGACTTCGTCTATTCAACCACTTCGCCGATCACGCCGCAGGCTGCAGGTCGACTGAGCATGTTCGACAAGACGCCTGCAGCTCTGCGACCAGTCCTCAGGTCGGCTCTCCCTGCAACCCCTTCCGCCTCTCTCCATCGCGACACCCTCGACACCCTGCTCTCGTTGATTGGCATCATCGACCCGTCCTATCGAAAAATGCGCAGCGCAGGCGGTGGTTCCGAAATCACGAAGACCGGTTTCGCGAACTACCTGCGAGACGCCGAAGCGAGCTTGGCAGCCGAAGCCGGCTTCCGTCGCGGCCTGATGGCGTCGATGGACGAAGTTCGGGAGGCGTCGGAAGCGTCCGAACGTCTGCAGTGGGATCGGCGGCGGACTGGCCTGTTTGGCGCCTCGAGGAGCGTGACTGGCCAAGAGTGCGCCGACGCGAAGACCGGCTATCGCCACAAGTTGCGACCCTCCAGCAAGCTCATCGCGCTGCTGCTCGACTCATTCTCCGCCTTCTTCTCGCATCCTCCCGACGTCAACCTCGCCCTCACTGCGGTCCTCGCGGCACTCGCACTCTCGCCCTATCGGTCCCTCGAAGGCTGGCTACTGCCCGTCGTCAAGCCGAATAGCCGTGCAGTATTGAGTGATCAACTCCTCCACCGCGACGGAAGACTTGGCGAATCGAGCCGAAGCGATGACGGTGACGACCGATCCGTTGACCACGAGCTCGAAGAACGCAGCCGACGCGACGCCCTTTTTGCTCCGCTCTCACCTTCGCCAAATGTTTTCACCGAAGACCCCCCTCCCTCTGCGACGCGAGCGGCACTCGCGACGTCAGACTGCCTGCTATCCATCCTCGATGCGCTCGCCAAGTCAATCGAGAGGTATCGCTCGACTATCCCGCAGTTCGACGACTACCTCTCTCAGCGTCGTCAGGGTCTTTTCTTCGCCGACAACCTGGCCGACGCGCTTGAAAGCGGTGACTTGGGCGGCGCCGCCGTCGAGGAGTCCGCGTTCGTCCCGCCCGCGTCTGACCAGCCGAGCTCACTACGTCCTACGGCGCCCAAAAAGTCGCCAGGACTCGGCTTCGGTGCATTCTTCTCTCCTCGACGTCCCGCCCACAAGCGTTCGCCTTCCTCGCCAAACGCTCTCGCAACGCCCACCCGGCCCAGCCAGCTGAGGCGATCGACATCTGAAGAGTCGCTCGGCGGTCCTCGGACGCCTCCATCCCGCCCGCCGGCTGCTCGGGTCTCAGCATCAGGTCGCGCGGACGGGCAGCAGGGCACCGCCTCGCCTTTCGCAGCGCACTATCGCGAGACCGGCGCCATCACGGTCAAGCCAGTCGTTGTCGCAACGCCTGCACGGACGCAACAGTCGAGATTCGCTTGGTCGACGTCAGGCGGCGACGAAGACGACGAGCTGGACTCGAACGGTCCGGCCGACTCGCCGACGAAGCACCTGTCTGGTCGGTCGCCAGTCGCCTCTGCCTCGCCAGGAGTGAGCTCGTCGTCCGCAACGAGCACGAGCCCTTCTGCGCCGCGACCAACCGCCAAAGACGCCGCAATCAAGCCCGTCTCGCTTTCGGCCATCCTAGACAATGTCATCGTCCTCGAGGAGTTCGTCAAGGAGATCGCCGCCATTGTCTACGTCCGTCGTGCGATTGGCATCGACGCCGTCACCTTCGTCGACTGAATGGACGCAGCAGGAGAGGGAAGTTGTCATTGCGGACGTTCTCTCAACCCCTCTCAATCCCCTCGTCCGCTCTCTTGCATATTCCCACGATCGTTATGATACCATCGCATTGCAAAGTACGCGCTGAACAGCTCTTCACGAACGCTTCGCTGTTCTGTTTGCCAGACGAGACGCGAGAAAGTGGGGCTGCCTCTTCCACCGCTCGCCTCGACTCTCGCTGAGCCCTGTCACTGGTCAGACGTGCTTGTACGCTGGTCTGAACGCTATCGAGCTTGACGGCGAACCTGCGCGACTCGTCGGCCTTCCTCTCGTCCCCGACGCACATCTCATCAACTCGCGACCCGATCTCAACCAGCACACGCGTCAGGCGGCTGCCGCGCGTGCCTTGGGATGGCAGAGGTCAGTAGCGAGGCGTATGGGCTGGCGGCGCGAGGATTAGATGGTGAGGCGGGAACTCGAGGTGAGTCCGAGGCGATGAGACGAATGTGAGCGAGGCGAGCGTTTGCCGGCTTCGTACGCATGCCGACGAGACATGTGACGAAGCCATCGAGTTTCTGGCGGGCCGGCTGGGTTGCTCTCCGGATGAAGCGCTGGAATCGCCTCATTCTTCTGGTCGAAGTCGTCGCGGCACAGCTGACCCCTTGCTCGCTCGCGCATTTGTTCGCCTCTTCAGGAGTCGCGAATGGATCTTTCGCAGCGCCAGAGAAGGCCGGCGTGGCGCAAGACGCGCTGCCGCCGTCGCCGCCGATGACCGACCAGGCTGCGACGTCTGGCGAAGGCAGTCCCAAGACGCCTATGATCGACCAAACGCCGAAAGACACGCCGCCGCGCTCGCCAGGTGTCGAATCGGAGCACAGCGGCTCGTCAGCGTCCTCGACGAAACAGGCGCTGTCTCCCCTTCCCGCCGAGGTCTTCCTCAACGTGCTCACCTTCCTCCAGCCTGACGACCTGGCCCGCCTAACTCGCGTCTCGTCGGCCTGGCGTACCGTCATCAATAACGAGCCGCGACTCTGGTCGACGCTTAGCGTTGCCCTGGACGACGACAAGGACATGCAGAAGGCCTCGTACACTTGCCTGCGCGCGTGCGGCAAGAACAGCGGTCGGAGCGGGGCTGGAGGCATTCGCAGCCTCGTCGTGCGGCTACGGTACATTGAGGATCAGCGTGGCATGTGTGGCGATATCATCCCATACGAGATGGTCAAGCTGCGACTTCGGGATCTCTTCAAGGCCGTGGCTTGGGCGTCTGTGCGTCGCCATGACCAGGTGCACGCCCTCATGCCGTTCGGCCCTCCTGCGACATCGACATCAACTCTACGGCGACTCCTTCTCCTCCTGCATCCGAACACCATCGCGTCCGCATATGCGCTCCACGAGGTCGCTGAATGGGCGGCTGAGCCTCTCTTCTCCGCCGTGAGCGAGTAGGTTGAGCCACTTCCTACTCTTGAAGCATAATGGCTGACATGCCGACCTCCTAGGGTGACCGTGCACGCCGCGCTACCCGACTTTATCCTCGGCGAACGGGTCCTCTCGATGTTCCCGACTGCGTCGACGCTCGACGTGACGGTCCGGATGAACGGCCGTCCTTGCCAGAGCGTTCCCGTGGGCGAATGGACTTGGCAGCCAAGGCGCAGCGTCCAGCCCGTTCAGGCGCTTCCTTCGCTTGAAGCCCTTCACTGGCGGAACCTCGTTGTTCTCGACGTCGCCATGCCTCGACTTCCGGCCCTGCGTACTCTCGAGCTGAAAAGCATCCGCTGGGTCGGCCGCTCCTTCTTCATGCTCCTCCGCATCGCACGCCGGACACTCGAGACGATCCACTTCTCCGACCTCGTCATCGAAGAGCCGGGCGATCCGTTCGAAGATTGGGGCGACTTTGTCGACGTCCGTGACCCAGAATTCGTCGACGACCCCGTTCCGCCTCTCGACGACCTTACCGTCGACGTCGTCCCCGCACCAATACGCTTCCCCGCCCTCCGCCACCTCTTCCTCAAAGGCCAGACGCCTCCCTTGTTTGCGCCGCCCTCGAGCAGCGAAGTCGACTTCGATCTCGACATTGAGCACTTCCCGACGCCGCTCTTCATCATGCCGGCCCTCGAGACCTGCGAGCTCGTCGAGACGTCTTTCGACGATGACCTGGAGTACGTAGGCGAGATCAGTCAACTCGCCGCGCTCGGCGCCAACGCTCCGCAAGTCAAACAGCTCATTCTCAATAGCATCATCATCGACGACTTGGCCGTCTGCGCCTGCCTCTCCAACATGTGCGGCGCCCTCACGTTCCTCGACCTGTCCGAGTCGAGCATCTCGGATCATGCCGTCCTCCAGCTACCAGACCTCGTGCCGAAACTCGAGATCCTCGACGTGCGGCTCTGCACCGAAGTCTCGTGTCAAGGCGTCGCGCGGGTCGTCGAGGTCGTCCTGACGCGCACCGACTCGGGCTGGAGCAAGATCAAGCAGGTCTTCCTCGATCCGCCGACCGACTCGTGGGCCGACTGGCAGGCGTACTACTGGCTCGACTTTGTCGGCGTCCTCGGTCGCGACGAATTCGACTTTGAAGGCGACGGGCCAGCCAAGCCGAATGAGCGAGATCAGTGGAAGAAGACTGGCAAGAGGGACCCGTTCTGGCAGGAGAGGCTGGCGTGGAAAGAGGAGCACGAGATGAAGATCAAGCTCTTCGCGCAGACTGCCGCGTACCGCGTCGCGAACGGCAGTGGGGGCGGGGCCACCAGCGCGACCGTCACAAGCCCTTACTTCCATCACCGCGATGCGCCCCCGCACCTCCCGCAGCCGAGCATCCTTCGCCTTCCGCCCATCCCTACCGTCTTGGCGTCGTCTGGAGCCTCGTCGGTCACGAACGCGCCTCCGCCTCAGCAAGCCACCTACGCCTTCCCTGCGCGCGCCGACTATCAGCCGCCGCCCATCGTCGTTCCCCAGTCCGTCTGGCGAAACGCGATACCCCAGCCGCATCCCGCTCAACCGCAACCGACCCAGCGGACGGCCGAAGAAGACGGCGACTACTCGTACCTCGACACCGACGGAGGCATCGACGGCATCGACCCTGCAGTTATCGAAGCTCAGCGCGCCGAGCTCGCGCGGATCTCGCAGCGACACGACAACCGCCTCGTGGCAGAAGCGGAGGCCTACTATGCCGAGCGCCGTCGCCAGCATGGGGCGGTCGAGGTCGTTGCGCCGCCCGCGGAAGAGGTCGTCGAGCTGCACCCGGCGCTAATCGCAGCTCGTGACGGCGACGAGCTGGCGGAAGACGAGCAAGTCGACGAGGTCCTCCTCGACGCTGAGGATGGGCCGCGACCAGATCCTCGCGGCTTCGCGGGCGACTCCACGGAAGAAGACGAGGACGAGGACGAGGAAGTCGGCGCCACCGAACTCGTCGAAGCCGTCGAAGTGATCCCTCGGGCGGAGTGACCGACAGCCTCTCGCCTCGTCATTGCCTACACATCCACTCGCTTCTCGTCAATCTCGGAAGTCCGACATCCGCAAAGTGTACAATTTCGCGACTCCAGCACGAACCGCACGCATCTCACGCCGCACACCTGTACGAACGACATCTCGCCTCATTTCGTTCTTTCGCATGTTCTCATCTCCCCGCACCTGTCACCATCCACGCTCGTCTCTCGTTCGTTCCGGGGATCTTTGCAACGTGTACAATTCTTCGTCTCCGACGCCGGCGAGTGAAAGCCTTTTCGTGGCGAGCGACGCACGCTCATTCGGCGCATTTGGTGACGATGGAGAGCTTTTTAGTCTGTTCAGCGTGTCTCTCGAGCGCTCATCGAACGTCGGTGAGCGCCTGCCAGCGTCCCTTCTCCTCCTCTTCACCTCTGCCTACTTGCTCACCTCGCTCGCCAGGAGCTCTCCGCCGGTACAGTACTCGCTCTTGCTATCCTGAGCGCCTGACAGCAGTCGCACCTCCTCAGTCGTCGCCTGTCGCCCGCCCCGCCTCATCAGTCTCGCCCCCGCAACTCGCTCCTCGCGCCGACCATGGACGAGCTGAGGTGCAACAGCCTGCGGTGCAGGAAGTCTCTGGCACTCGAGGTGCGTGTACGACTGGAGAATAGCCCCCGCGACTCTCGAGTTTGCGAGGCCGGCTGTACCCGTCCCGGGAAGGACTCGCTGACCTTGCAGCGACGCTTTGCAGGGATCGTGAGCGCACGCCCGCAATACTAGAGCCGGTGAGAAGCCTCGCTGACCCGTTTGACCTGGAAGCGCCGTCGTCACGACTTGGTGCGTGTCGCCTCAACTCGCTCACCTCCTCGCGAGACTCATCTCGCTTGATGCCCAGCTCCCACATCTTCTGCGTCGACTGTGCAAACGCGCTGTTCTCGGTCCCACAGATCTGCCCCGCTTGCGAGACGGCGCTGCCAGACGCGTAGGTTTCCCTTCCTCAATCCAGCACTTGTCCTCGACTCACGCTCTCATCCGCAGAGACGACGTTGTCCAGACGGCCCTCAACCCGCACGACTCGTACAAGACGTCAATCCTGTCCGGCTTGTCTCCCTCGGTCATCCTCGACATCGCCAGCCGCGCCCTCAACTTCTACACCTACCAGGTGAGCCCGCTTCAGCGTCTCCCTCGCGCCATTTCTCACGCTCTCGTGACTCGCAGGTTCAACAAGAAACGGCGTTCCAGGCGCTGATCACCAAGAACGCTCAGGAGGTGCGCTTGCTCGCCCACTCAAGCGAAGGCCTGCGCTGATTTTGCCTCGCAGCGCATCGCCGTCCTCGAGGCGCAGTGCAACACCATCATGCGCGAAGCGCACGCTGAGATCAACTGTGCGTCACCTCTATCGCTCTCTGCGTCCATCAGCTGACCCTGCTCGATCGCAGTGCTCAAGGAAAGACTGGCAGGTGAATCCGTCCGTCCTGCTCGGCCCATGCTTCGCGCTCACGCTCCCTCGCAGGTACGGAGAAGGACCTCGAGCTCGAGCGACGTCGCGTGCACGAGTTGCAGGAGACGCACAAGGCGAACGCGAAGGCGTATCAGAAGCTCAAGGTCAGCTGTCCGCCTGCTGTCTGTCGCCTTCCGCTGACAGCAGGGACTTCCGGCAGTCTCAGTACGACAAGACGAAGCAGCGCTCGCTGCTCAACCCGCAGAGTGCACCTCTCGCCGGCGACCAGTCCTTCGCCAACGCCCTCGCCTCTCCCGCCCTCTCCTCCCGCCAAGTTCCCGGCACGCCTCGCCAGACATTCGTCCCTGCACATGCTTCAAACAACGCAGGTTTCGGCATCCAGCGCTCGTCGTCGCGCGCGAGTGTGTCGTCGAGAGTCGGCGGGACTCGGCCCGCTGGCGGTCAGGCGGCCTGGTCTGGCTCGAGTGGCCAGCAAGGAAGGATGAGCACGAGCTTCGGAGGCGGAGGAGGTCAGCAGCACGAAGCGTCGAGGCGTCCGCTTGGCGAGCAGAGGACGAACGTTCAGTCGAGGGGGAGTGGCGGAAGCGGCGGCAGCGGCTTCGCCAAGGCTCCTCACCACGCTCATGAGGGCGAAGGAGGGATGCAGTTCCTCGGGCAGCAGCAGCAGCAGTCTGGCGGGATGGGCGGAGCGAGGTCGGGTGGCGGCTTCACGGGATTCAACCGCAGTGCGTCCGGATCTCCTCCCGGCACCTTCGCCCGTCTCTACTGACCTTGTACACCACACAGACACCGCTTTCCGCCCAGCGCAGGCCGCGTCGAGGGCCAACAGCGGCTGAGCGCACCGGCGTGATCCGTCTTGGGAAGGTTTCCGCTTCACTTTTCTCGATCGTTCTTGCAGGCGGGACAGGGTGAAGTCGCGGTGCATTGCGAGGCGCATTCCCTCGAGGTTGCGGCGGGCGGCGAGGACGAGGAGGCTCGTGTGGCGAGGAGAGGTCGGGCGGAGCTCGTTCTTGCTCGTCCGGCTTCGCCTGCGCGGGCGAGGACAGCGTGCGGTTCGCGCGAGAGGGTGCTCGAAAGCTGGAGAAGCCGCGAGCGTGCCGACGACGCTGGCGGAGTTCAATCGAAAATGGCCAAGTCCCGCGCCAAATGACCTCTTCGAGTTCGGCTCTCTCGCTTCTTTCCCTCGCTCACACCACTCAACTCACTCAACCCGTCCTATAGACACAAGCTAGTCTAGATGGACAAGCTAACCGACGCGGCAATTGCGTCCGTCCAAGCCGCCATCGAGCTCGCAAAGGAGAACCAGCAGGGGACCGTCGCTCCCGCCCACCTCTTCTCTGCGCTGCTCAGCCCGACGTCGAACGCCTCGGGCCAGACACAGCAAACACTGCTGCACTCGATCCTCAACAAAGGTGCGTTCGCCCGCCGTTCCCTCGCCAACCTGGTCCCCACTTGATCCCGTTCCCCGACCTTCTCTCGACCCTCGCACGCCGTACTGACGCGCCGTGTTGCCTGCGCAAACAGCTGGCGCACAGCCTGAACTCGTAGCCAGGGGACTCGCCAAGTTCATCGTCCGCTTGCCGTCCCAGGAACCCCCTCCCGACGATGTCAGCGTCTCGCCCGCACTCTCAAAGGTCCTCCGGGAGGCAGAGAAGCTCATGAAGGAGAAGGTGAGTACACTCAGCGATTGTATTAGGACCCAGCTGACCCATCGCGCCCGCAGAACGACTCGTTCGTCGCCCAAGACCACCTCATCCTCGCCTGTATCCAGGACAACTCGATCATCAACGTCCTCAAGGAGGCCGGCACGACTCCCGACGCCGTCAAGAACGCTGCACAACAGGTGCGCGGCGGCAAGCAGGTCAACAGCAAGGGCGCCGAGGAGGGCTTCGAGGCGCTCAAGAAGTACGCGGTCGACTTGACCGCCCAGGCGGAAGAGGGCAAGCTCGACCCGGTTATCGGCCGCGACGACGTGATTCGTCGCTGCATCCGCATCCTCTCGCGCCGCACCAAGAACAACCCCGTCCTGATCGGCGACGCCGGTGTCGGAAAGACGAGTGTCGCCGAAGGACTCGCCCAGCGCATCGTCAACCGCGACGTCCCGCCCAACCTCATCGCACGCATCTTTGCGTTAGACTTAGGGTTGGTGACCGCTGGAGCGTCTTACAAAGGCCAATTCGAGGAGCGCGTCAAAGCCATCCTCGAGGAATGCGAAAAGTCGGAAGGCTCCGTCATCCTCTTCATCGACGAGGTCCACCTCATCATGACCGGCCAGGGCTCGCCAGGCGGAGGAATGGACGCCGCCAACCTCTTCAAGCCCGCCATGGCTCGCGGCAAGATCCGTGTCATCGCCGCGACGACCCTCAAGGAATGGCGCATCATCGAGAAGGTGCGTTCCCGCTCACAGCGTCCTCTCGTTACTCGTTATATGATCGCTGACGACTTTGTGAGCAGGACCCGGCCATGGAGCGTCGCTTCCAGCAGGTCATCGTCAACGAGCCGTCTGTCCCCGAAACGATCAGCATCTTGCGCGGCATCAAGGAGAAGTACGAAGTCCACCACGGTGTTACCATTCTCGGTACGTTGCTTATTTTTTTGTCCCACTTAGACCGCGCCGAGACTGACCTTTTCGTCCCCGCAGACTCTGCCCTCGTTTCCGCCGCCACTCTCGCCCACCGCTACCTCACCGCCCGCCGCCTGCCCGACTCGGCCATCGACTGCGTCGACGAAGCCTGCTCCGCCGTCCGCATCGCCCGCGAGTCTCGCCCCGAAGAGATCGACAAGCTCGAGCGCCAGAAGCTCCAGCTCGAGATTGAGCTTCACGCGCTCCAGACCGAGCTCGCGCGCGACAAGAAGGACGAGGTGGCGAAGCAGAAGATCGAGGATACCAAGCAGGCCATCTCGAAGATTGACGACGAGCTTGCGCCCATCGTGGCGCGGTTCGAGGCGGAAAAGTCCAAGGGCGACGAGCTGAACCGCATTCGCAAGCGCATCGACGAGCTCACCGCCAAGGCTGCCGACGCTGAGCGTCGCTATGACCTCGCCACCGCCGCCGACTTGCGCCACTACGCCATTCCCGAACTCCAGACTCGCCTCACCCAGCTCGAGGAGCAGAAGCAGGCGGAGGAGCGCCAGCGTCGTGCTGAGGGCGCAGAGTCGCTCGCTGGCGACACGGTTACGCCTGAGGCGATCCAGCAGGTCGTCGCGCAGTGGTCCGGTGTTCCAGTCTCCAACATGAAGGTGCGTTCTCTCCCTCTCTGCTCGACTCGCTCGTACACTTGCTGACTCTCGCTCGCCCTCGCAGATGACTGAGAAGCAGAAGCTGCTCAAGATGGAGAAGACGCTCAGGAAGGAGGTCGTCGGCCAGGACGAGGCCATCTCGGCCGTCGCCAACGCCATCCGCCTCAACCGCTCCGGCCTGTCGAACCAAGACCGCCCCATCGCCAGCTTCCTCTTCGTCGGTCCGTCCGGTACGGGCAAAACCCAGCTCGCCAAGGCGCTCGCCAAGTTCCTGTTCGACTCGCCCGACGCCATGATTCGCCTCGACGGTTCCGAGTACTCGGAGAAGCACGCGATCGCACGCCTCATCGGCTCGCCTCCCGGCTATGTCGGTCATGAAGAGGGCGGCCAGCTCACCGAGTACGTCAGGCGCAAGCCGTACACGGTCGTCCTCGTCGACGAGATCGAGAAGGCGTCGCGCGAGTTCTGCCAGCTCTTCCTCCAAGTCCTCGACGACGGGCGCCTCACCGACTCGCAAGGCCGCATCGTCAACTTCAAGAACACGGTCATCATCATGACGTCCAACATCGGTTCCGCCTTCCTCAACGAACTTGGCGACGACGTCGAGACGGTTCCTCCCGCCACCCGCGAGCTCGTCAACGGCGCCCTCCGTGCCGCGCTCCCCATCGAGTTCATCAACCGCGTCGACTCGATCATCATCTACAATCGCCTGTCGAGGAAGGATGTCCGCGGCATCGTCAACATCCGCCTCGCCGAGGTGCAGAAGCGTCTCCGCTCAAACGGCCGCGACATCACGCTCTCGGTGTCGGAGCCTGCGATGGACTTCCTCGGCTCGATCGGCTACTCGCCCATGTTCGGCGCCCGTCCTCTCAACCGCGCCATCCAGACCGAGCTGCTCAACCCGCTGTCGAAGATGATCCTCGACGAGTCCCTCCGGGACGGCGAGACGGCACGCATCGAGTTCGACGACAAGCGCAACCGCCTCGTCGTCGTGCCGAACCACGAGCCGAGCGTCAGGATGGACGAGGACGAGGACGAGGACATGTCCGGCGGGTCCGACATCGAGATCGAGGAGGTCGACGACTGAAGGGGAGGCCAAGTCTCTCGAGGCGAGAAGAGGAGCGGGACGGAGGCCTCGAACGTGAATGGCGGTGACCAGGAGAAGAAGAAGAAGAAGAAGCGAAGGCGCGCATAGTCTCCCATTTTCCGTCCGCATACCTTCTTTCGCATGTAGTCAGTTGTTGTTCTGTCGCATAGTTTGCTTCTGTTCGCTGTGAATGCAGTTTAGTTCGCGCAACTTGTCGTCGTCGCCGTTCGCAGAGAGTCGGCCCCACCGCTGCGCCTTTCTCGCTCCATCTCTTCACTCGCATGGTCCGCCTGGCTACCTGACATGCTCTTCTCAGCTTTGCTAATCCTCAGCCTGCATGTCACACGAGCGGCGGCTCTCTGGCCTCGTCCTCGCTCTCTCTCGACCGGCTCATCCTTCATCAGACTTGGCGACTCCTTCGAGGTCGTGGCCGAGCAGGGCGAGCTTGCGAAGGAATTGGAGCGTAGAGTGAGCCTCTCTCTCCTACGTGCGAGCGTCAGAACCCAGGTCATTCGCTCACTGGCTCGCAACAGCTCGCAAAGGCGATCGCCCGCACCTCGCGGCACCTTCAGCACGACAGACTGAGGCGGCTCACTCCTGACAGAGGAGAGTCTGACCGGTCAGTAGAGCGTTGAGCTTGGCGCAACCCGCAAAGAAGAGCGCTCAGCTCGATTCCACAGCCCGCAGGTCGAGAACGCTCCGATTCTCTCGCGCCTTTTCCTTTCGCTCAACTCGACTGTCGTCGGTACACTCGAGGACGAGGTCGTCAATTTGTACACGCTCGACGAGTCGTACAGTCTATCAGTACCCGCAGCGACCGACGCGACTTCGCCAACGGCATCGGCGCACCTGTCCGCTCGCACGCTTGTCGGGCTTCTGCGAGGTCTCGAGACGTTCACGCAGCTTATATACTTCCTGCCTGCTGCGGACGATGCTCTCGATGGCTTGCGCTACATTGCCAACGTACCGCTTCGGATTGAGGATCGGCCGGCTTTCCCGTACAGGTTCGTTCCGGCGCAACGTCCCTTTCTGCGCCTTCTCACACTGTCCCTCCGCAGAGGCTTCATGCTCGACACGGCACGAAACTGGTACCCGATCGAAGGTGAGAAAGCCAAGCTTGCTTCCGGCAGGAGACTTACGCGAGTCCTCCGCAGACATCCTCCGCACCCTCGATACGATGGCCTCGACCAAGGTCAACACCTTCCATTGGCACATCACAGATCAGCAGTCCTTCCCGCTCGAGATCCCGACCTTTCCAGACCTCGCAACATTCGGCGCCTACTCAGCCGACCGAATTTACTCGACGGTAGATGTCGCCAAGGTCGTCGAGTACGGGCAAGACCTAGGTATCGCCGTCATGCTCGAGGTGCGTAAGCTCAAACTCCGCTTTCTTACATCACTGACGAATTGGACGCAGGTGGACATGCCCGGCCACACCGCCTCGATCGCGAACGCTTACCCTGAGCACATTGCTTGCCTAGACGCACGTCCGTGGTCCACTTACGCAGCAGAACCGCCTGCAGGTGCGCTCGCCGTTCAAGCTCGCGCGGCGGTCTTGACAGATTCGCTTTTTGACAGGTCAACTCCGCCTGGGACGTCCGGACACCCTCGCCTTCTCTAAGCGAGTGCTGCAGGATGCCGCCAAGCTTTCGTCCAGCGCTTTCTTCAGCTCAGGCGGCGATGAGGTGGTGCGTTTTCTCGCTTGCCTCGACCCCGGCCTTCCTAACGTAACCCAACATTGAGCAGAACAAGCGCTGCTACCTCGACGATCCCGAAACCAGCGCCGCGCTCGAATCTCGGAACTCCACCGTGGACGAGCTACTCGACGAGTTTGTGCGCGGTCTGCACGAGACGCTGGTCGAGTCGAACAAGACGCCGGTTGTTTGGGAGGAGCTCGTACTCAAGCATGACTTAAGCCTCGCGAAGGAGACGGTGGTCATGGTCTGGATTGACTCGGTACGTCCCGCGTTGCTGCGAGATGGTCCTGAGCTGATCGTCTCGACGAGCAGGCAAACGTGCGTGCGGTTGCGGACAAAGGTCACCGCATTATCCACGCTGCGTGCGTCTCCGCTATCTTCTTCGCATATGCTTTGCTCACGCCTTCTGTGCAGGAGCCACTACTTCTACCTCGACTGTTCGTCCGATCTTCCTCTCGCTCTTCTCGCACGGCTGAGCTCGTCTTGCAGGTGGAGCCGGCGCCTGGCTTGGTCGTTACGCCAACGGCACGTCGTGGTGCGAGTACCTTTGGCTCAGACTGCTACGCATGACCGACCGCTCATCGATCGCCTCTACAGCCCCTTCAAGACCTGGTCGAAGGTGCGCTTCGCAGTCCTCCGAAGGATGCGATAGCTCACCTCAGGTCCTCCAGAGCTACTCCTTCGACCCGCTCTTCAACCTGACGAGGGAGCAGCATGAGCTCGTCCTGGGTGGCGAGGCGCTCCTGTGGAGCGAGCAAGCGGGACCGGAAACTCTCGACTCGATAGCATGGCGCGTATGGCTCGTTCTGCCACGCTCGTAGCGTTCTGCTGACGATTCTTGTTCCGCAGGCCTCGAGCAGCCGCGGCAGCAGAAGTGTTCTGGACAGGCGGATCGGTGACAGAAGGGGAGAGGAGCGTTGGAGAGGCACTGCCGCGCCTGCACGATTGGCGGTGCGCTTGTTAACTCTCCCCAGCATCCGCATAGCGTAGGCTGACGGCACGGAAATCTCCGCAGATACCGCGCAGTACAGCGAGGTGTGAAGGCGATTCCTCTGCAGCCTCACTGGTGTGCGCTCCGCCCAGGACAGTGCGACGTCGAGCTGTAAGGACGTGTGCGACTGATGCTTTGTGACGCGTGTGTCGGATTCGCCGCGCGAACCTGTCCCCGGCAAGCTCTCGGGTCTTTCCGTGCTCGACAGCCGCTTGCTATCTCCGCTCTCCTCTCCTTTCTCCGTCGTCCGTTCGGAATCGCAACTCGGTAGCATGGATCACGAGTGACTCCGCCATTTCCGTCACACAAGCGCAGCTCCCGCCCGCCTTGCACGCCTAGCCAGCACACCTTTCTTTCTCCTGCCTCTGTTGGACGGTGCCGCAAGCAGGATTGTTCACAGGGAGAGGGCCTCCGGGATCTGGGGGATGCGCTTCAGCCACCAGCAGAGCTACTGTAGCGCACAGCTCGACGCACTGCCGCTTTCGTGGTCCTGATCTTGCTCCTCGCTCGGGCTCGCAGCTGCAGCCTTGGCCAACTTCTCAGCCGACTCAACGATCTCCTCGTACCTACGCCTAATCTGCTCCTCGCTCGGGTACGGCGAGCACAGCGGGATGCCAGAGATCGTGGCAAGAGCGAGAAATCCTCCGTCCCTCTCCTCACTGACACACGGGAAGATGCCCGCCGCTGCAGAACCGACAGAAGAGCGGTCAGCAAGTGAGCGAGCGCTAAGCTGATCCGTCGACGTGCATTTCTGCTCTTCCTGGTCGTTGTCGGACTTCTCGCCCTCCTTGTCCTCCTTGTCCTCCTTCGCCTGCTCGTTCGAGCTCGACGGCGAGGCGACGACCGCCTCTTCCCCGGCTGTAAGGGAGTGCACCGATTAGTTTGAGTCTCTGTGCAGCCAGCGCCTCCATTGCTAATCACAGCAAGAGGGGCGAGTGCAAGCGAGTGGGAATGAGAGAGCGGGGACGCACTGTGAGCGGCAGCGGGCGCCTCGGATGCTTTGGCGGTGCTCGTGATGGGCGTGCCAGAAGTAGCTGACATACTGGAGCAAACAGGTGAGCACGTTTCGAGTGAGTGCGTGAACAGTCGAGGCGAGAGAGCGGGTTGCGAAGGTCGAGGCGACTACGACGGCGTTCAACTCGCTCGGGACGGCTCGCGAGGGGGCTAGCAGCGTTTTATGGGTCCTACTGGTACTGGCCATGCTGCACACGACTCGCACGAAGCCTGTTGCGGGCGAGGGAGCGAGGGTCACCCGGGGTAATCGCACGAATACAAACTCGGGTGTAATCGGTTCGAATACACTTTCACGAATACAAACACGATTGTAATGGCTGAATAAGACTGAATACAACCGACGCCTTCCACGTCGAAGGTTCCACGTCTCGCTTCTTCGACACGCTCACGCCCGACAAGGGCACTGCTTGGCTTGGTTGACTGCTGCGTACAGACTCACACGCTCACGATGGACTCGCCAGCGACGACCCGCTCGAGGAAGCGCACGGCGTCGCCACCTCTCTCGCCCGCTTCCGCTTCACTCGTCGACGATGACACGGCGCAACCACTGGCGAAGAAGCGTGCACCGAGGAGCACGGCGGCAGAGAAGCACGCGAGGAAACAGGCGAGGATGGAGCGCAATAGGAGTGCGTTCACCGTCCTTCACTCTCTTCGCATCCCGCTAAACTCGCCTGTCGACGCCCGCAGTTGCCGCTCAGGTCTCCCGAGACCGCAAGAAGCAGCACACCGACTTCCTCGAGGCACGAGTCGCCGAACTCGAGGCGCAGCTTGCGTCCCAATCTCCCTCGACTTCCCTCACACCCACTCCCTCCAGCGTCAACCTCCCTCTCGCGGCCCTGCCCGCCCTTCCATCCGCGACAGACTCCCTCGTCGCCCAGCTTCGCGAAGAGAACGAGTCGCTCAAGACCCAGCTAGCCCTCGAGCAGCTCCAGTCGCAGTCGCTCCAGATCCGCCTCTCGTCCCTCGAGACCAAGTTTGGCCGACTTGAGCGCCTTCTGAGCCAAGCAGCGACGTCGACTAGCCCAGCCGCACAAGCAGTCGAGCCGGAGACGACGAACCAGACGATGACGACGGAGACGGACAGCTCTCGCCTCGTAGCACGCGAGGTCGACCTTTCCCTGCAGCGGAAGCTGTCCCACCCGTCGTCTCGTCTGGCGTCTCGTCTCTCGGCCTCGACTTCACCGGCTTCGACCAGCTCGCGTTCCCCCTCGACTCGTCCCTCCCGGCGCCCGACGCTGTCGGAGATTCTCTCGTCGATCCAGGTCCCGCCGTCGATGCCAATTCCCTCTTCGACAACAACGACCTCGTCGCGGCTTGGACAGACTGGTCGCAGACTCTCAGCGGTTTCGACGAGGGGACGCTTCCTGCCATTGACAACGAACCGGCGTCGGATTTCGACCTCTTCGACTTCTTGCGACAAGACGCTGCTGCGGGCACGGCGGCTGAGGTTGCGTGTTAGGCAGTAAGGACGAGTGTTTTCTAGGTGGTCTGCGACGAGTCTTCACCCAGGTCCTGTACGTGCCGCTGCCGCTCCGGCCTGGCGACATTCCGCTGACCGCGACTCTCTCGCAGCTCTCCGACTTCCGCTTACCACTCTTCTCCCACATCGTCACGATTCCTCCCCTTCCTCATCTCTTCTCTTCCTTCCCTCCGCCTTGACTCTCCTGATTCAGTTCGCTTTCGACCTTCGCCTCGCGCCTGCGTTCTCCTCCTCGTCGAGTGAGACCTTGCGCACTGGGCTGGTCGTACGGCTGCCGTCTCGGTTTGATGAGCTTGGCAGAGGAATGGGATGGAAGTCGTGCGGTTGCGGAGGAAGCGCTGGCGATGCGGATGGGGAGCGATCGGGGTGGATGGACGAGCGAGGGCCCGGCAGACCCGCGGGCTCTTTCGTGCTTCCTTTGTTGTCTCTCTTATGTAGCTTGCCTTGCTAATGGACACTGGCACAACCCTCTTTTTGCTAGGAAGAAAGGCTGAAGTTGCGAGTGTGAGAACGCGTCTAGTCATTCGAGCACCATTTCCCGCCCGCTAGTCTGTCCTCGTGCGACCCTTCCTTGTCGCCGGGAAGCGTCATGGCTCATGCGACGCCGCCGAGCCGGCGATCCCTTCTTTCGAGCCGTTCAGAGACGACGAACGCCCGACCTCTGCTTCTGCATCGCCGTTCGTGTCGTCTTGCCGCACGCCCGACGTCCGACGAAGGCGATGTCGGCGATCCTCGTCAGTCAGCGGCTCGACCGCTTGCAAGCCTCCGCCGGCAACGGCCGTATGGCTGCTGAAGCTCGTTCTTGTCCTCCGCCCGAGCTCGCCGGGAGCGTCTTCCCTGGAGTTGATCGAGAGCGTGTCGTCCCAATGCTTCTCGAGATCGGAGGGGAGGAGGACGGCGCGGTCGATGGCGATCGGCAGGCCGCGGTGCCGACCTCGAAGCATCACGGCGCACACAATGAGCTTCGACATAGTCGAGAGAACGCCTGCAAGCGAGGTGGCGGTCTGTACAAGTCATGCACCAGTCAATATCTAGCAACCGACAGCAACGAAGACTTCGACGCACTCGGTTGTTGCCCAGACTCAAGCCGACTGTCCCGTAGGCAGAGACGATTTCGAAGATGAGGCTGAAGATGGTGACCTCGCTGCAAGACCGAAGCGTCAGAAACTGGGTCGGCAAGGCGGAGGTGAAGAGATGCTCACGGCCAGTCCGTGCTGCTGATGCGATGCCGCTCGACGATACAGATGAGCCAAACGGCGAGCGCCAACCACCACAAGTCGAAAGCGAGCTGCTTGCGGGCGTGGTAGCCGATGTATTGCGTCGCGGAGTGCGACTTGTCGAAACGAGCTTCGGCTTCGTCCGGATCCTCCTCGAAGTCCTCGTCGTAGACGCCTGCACCTCGAGAACGTCAGGTCGCGCTTGGCGAGCGACGAGGTTCTGACACACCCATCGACTTCTCTTCGTAGACGTTCGTACTCCGGATGGACACCGCGATTGGGTAGACAGCCTGCAGATCGAGCGTGAGCGCGCAGGTTAAGCAGGACCGGCGAAGACGCCACTTACGATGTACATCATGATCACGTAGAGTAGCTACGGACAAATGTCAGCAAATCAGCGGAGTTTACGAAGCGAGCGGCGGACTCACCTGAAGGGCGGGAGCAACCGTCGACAGCGAGACGATGGCGAATCCTGCTGTCCGGACAGCAACGGCTTGGAACAGCCCGTCGATGACACGCTGCGCCGGTGTTCGTCAGCTCGCTTGCCTCTCGCCGCACGATGGAGCCGGACGCACGACACCCGTAGGCAGCGCTTCGATCTGAGGATTGCCGATGTCGAGAACGAGGAAGGACGCCCAGTCGATGCCGCTGTAGAAGCTCAAATCAGCTAGCGAACGGAAGCGAGGGATTTGCTAGCGTACTTGAGACAGACGAGCATGAAGACGAGGAACCAGGTTTGGCTGCAGTTGGGGCAGAGGATGTCAGCCTGGATCGATGAACCGCGCGCGAAGGTCACGCACTACGACGGGAATAGGTAGATGAAGCAGCGGCGCGGATGATCAAGCAGGAACTGTAGGGTTTCGCGAGTGCGGGACCGGGACGGCACCGCCTTGCTGACGATCCAGCTGCGAGCGCAGGCAAGCTCGTCAGTCTTAGCATGAATGCGAGGTAGACCGATATCGCCGCACATCAGGAGACGGAGGCTGCGCAACGCAAGAACGTAAGCGTTGTGCGAGCGCTCAAGGGGACGATGCGAGACCTACAAGACCGGAAACGCCGTATTGCCCGCGAGGATGAGCAAGCCCTGGACGATGACGAGCCCATAGGCCTTCTGGAAGGGCACCATCGAGGCATCGTCGAGACTGCGTACAGAACTCATTCGCGGTGAGTCGACCTTCGCAATCGGAGACGGCAAGGCAGGCGCTTCACCTCATGCCGCAGTTGCTGTACGCTGACCAGACCTGAAAGAACGAGAACCACGTCGGATTGGGGCCGGCAGCGCTTATCGTCGACTTCCATGGCTGGGTCGTGGCGAGCCAGGGCGCGACGGCGAGAACGGCGAGAAGCTGGACGCCGAGCCAGTAGGCGAAGACGATGCGGAGGAGGACGGTGAGGGCGCGATACTCGACGCCGCCGAGCTCTTCCTGCTGTGCGGTCGTCAAGCCGTGGAATTTGGAGTTGCGGCCGACGATGGCGTCGAACGAGATGTACGAAACGGGCTTGAACTCCCCGTCTGACTCTCGTCGTCGACTGGGCGACCGACCTTGCGAGTGTGTCGAGCGCATGGTCGTCGTTCGTGGCAAAGTCGCGGTGCGGTCCAGAACGTTGCGCAGACCTGGGATCTTGTCTTTTGCGAAGGAAGCGGCCGCAAAGAGCGGGTTCGGGAAACCACCGAAGTCGCTGTGCATGGCGGCTTGGTCAAGCGTGACGGTCCTGGTGAAGGCGCGAGGATCCGCATCGTGCAGGCTGGACTGCGACATGCGTCTTCGAATCGGGTAGTCTGGGTCGAGCGCTTGCGTCCTGTTCCGGCGGAGTCGCAGGTCGCCTGCGCCATCAGGATCACGGAAGTCGATAGTGCGAGTGCGCCCGACCTCCAAGTCCCGCTGTTGGCGAGCTGGCGAAGACGGATGTGGTTGGGCGGGGAGACTTGCCCCGACATGGCCGAGATGGCGGTGATCTGGAACGTCAGGCTTCCTCAGCGGATGAAGCTGTGCAGAAAAAGGAGTCGACGTACCGAGAGTGTGGGTACGAGGCAAACTCGCTCCCGCCGCGCGAGTTGGCGTCGCCGCTACCGAATCGCTATTCCGCCGTTCGCGCGCCCTTCGGTCCGGTCGTGTCGATTCGTCAATCTGGATGCTGCAAGCGACATCATAGTCAGACCGGTGGCAGCAGGCTCGTATGCGCGGAGGAAGAGACGCACGCTCGAGCATGTCCTGCGGCATCTGCGCTTCCCTCGTCGGTGGAAGCCCTCGCGGCCTGGACCGCGAGTGGCAGATTGCCCTCGCCACGGTCGACGCTGGGTTCGCGCGGAAGCGCGTGCGGCAAGCCTTGCGGACTTTGCGCCTCGCGAACCTCGTGGATAGGGTTTTTCGCCCGCCCGCCGTCTACGTTCGGGTCGTCCCTTCCTTCCTCTCCTTCCTTCGCATCACCAGTCTTCTCGCCGCCTAGCCACCCACTCACGCTCATCTCGTTGACCCGTACCGGCGTGTCGACACGCTTGATCATGTCCGTTCGCAGCTTCTCCGTCCGCCTCCGGCTTCGCTCGCGGTCCTTCGCCGTCCACTGCCCGCCAAGCTCCTCGCCGAGTGAGCCATTCGCACGAGGTGCGGCGGGCAGCTCGCCTCCTCTCCGCCCGGGTAGGAGATGCGTGTACCAGGGTCGGGTCGGTTGATGAGCGTCGTCGAAAGCGTGGTACGAGCGGCCGTGGCGAGCAGCCTGCATGGCTTGTCAGTGCGAGAGCGTAGCGGACGGGATGACGCAGCGGCGCACCTCGCCTTCTCCCACCTCGTTGACCCGCGTGCGCGCCTCCTCTGCGTCGATTCGCAGCGTTAGCGCGTTGTCGGATAGCCTGCTGACATGAAGCGTGACTTGCCGTCGTTCGCAACCATGTACTCGAACTTGTTGCGGAAGAAATGCCTGTAAGGAGAGTCAGCAAGCGCCATGCGCATGAGCCGAAGCGAAAGAGCGCACCGTCGAATGATGATCGTGATCATGGAGACGAACGAGGTCGAACCGATGCTCATGAGGAACTGCGACGGGGCACGCTCGAATGCTCAGCTTGGCGCTCGAGTGACCTCATCTCGCGCGAAGGTTCACGCACAAACAGGATGAATTGCTGCCAGACAGTCAAGTTGGCGAACAATGCAGTGTTCAGGCCTGTCAAAGTCATGGCTGACGTGCACATGAACAGCGCGTCGATGTAAGGAATCTGGTTCGCTTGCGTCGGGCCATTCGAGGCGAAGAAGATGCCTGAGGCGATGAGCGGGAGGAAGGTGAAGGCGAGGAGGTGGAGGCGGTAGAAGTTGAGATGGGCGGCTGCAGGCAGACTGAAGCTCGTCAGTTGAGTCGGTGAAGAACGTTCCGAGAGGAAAGACGCACAGCTGAAGGCGGATATCCGGTTCCACACGCTCGACCGCTCCAGGAACGGTGGAAACCTCGCAGCCGTCGAAGGATGTCGATCCAGCGAGAGGCGGCGACGCATGATGGGTTAAGTTGCCTGGGAGGAAGAGCAGGCGTAGGGAGGAGATGAGGCGAAGTAGGAGGTCGGAAGTCGGAGGGATGGAGGTGCTAGGCGCAAGCTGGGCCAGTGATTTCCGCTCCTACACTATGTAGCCCCGAAACCCCCTCCTAGCTGTCTGAGGAGCGGAAGTCTGAGTCGTCCAACTCGCGAGGGGAACAGGCGGGCGTGATCGGCTGCGATGGCTCTGTGCGCGCGTGCGGTGCTTGTATCGAGCAGTCAGGGCGTCTGTCGGTGCCGTCCTGTCCGCTCCCAGGTTCACGAGAACCGCCGTTGTCCGGTCGGATCCAGTTCGACGAGAAGGCGATGAAAGGTATGGGGGCGTGAAGACAGCTCGTTGGCGCTTCTTGGGGCGCAGAGAGCTCAAGCACAAGAGTCTCGACGGCCTCAGCCACCCAGCCGACAGTCAGAGTGCGAGCGAGAGGAGGCAGAGCTCATCTCCGTCTGCGAGGCCTCGATCGACACTGCGCACGGGAAGAACGTCGTCAACGTTCCGAATAAGCACGCTCAGTGACGACGGCTGTATGCTCGTGCAACGCTAGAGAGTGGGGCCAAACAAGCAGCGCAGCTAGCCATGAGCGCATGAGCTGCCCAAGACGAGGAGTTCAGCTTCTCAGGTGCCTCTGCCCCCGACACTACTCTCGAGGCAGGCGTATCGTGTCCAAAGGAGGTTTCAGATTGAACGAGTGTGAAGGGCGGCACTGGAAGCGATGCGATAGGAACGAAACAAACGAGAAATGCGAAGGCAGGAGGAGGTACAACATCAAAGGGGAACGCGTCGAGCGGTGCGGATGCCGCTCCAGACGATACTGCGAAGTACAGTCAGCGACTTCAGCTTGAGAGGAAAGGGAAGCCGCACGCACTTGTGCAAAAGACTGGCAATTCCTTCCGGCGCCATCCCGCTGTCTCCCATGTTCCCGACGGCGAGTCCTTCCCAAGCGAGGGTGTCGTGCGGCGAGAAGATCTCGAGCGTGTGGCGGTGAGTGAGAGGGAGGAAGCGACTTCCGCTCTGCGAGACGAGCCAGCATCAGTGAAGCGCCCCTGGAATCTGGGCCGAAACGAGCGCAGACTCACGATCATTCCGATGAGATAAATGGTGAAAGTGTACAGGAAGAGACTGACGCCCGAGTCGAGGACCTGCGCGACGTACGGGCGAGCTGAAGTTGGGAAGACCTGCAAGGTAAGACCGGTCAGCTCGGTACTCGGCCTTCACGTCGGCTTGACGTACGTTGATGAGGTAGGCAGGCGTCTGAACGATTGGACCAGGCGTGAAGCGCGACCGCCAGCGGCCAGGGCGACTTGGTCGCACATCGGCCATGACTGGGACTCCGCTGGTCTTGGTCGCGCCCTTCTGCGCCTCGACAAACTGCTTGATGGCTTCGACCTTGATGCCCAAGCCCTTCGCAAGCTCCTCCTGCATCTCGCGCTCGGTGCGAGCCGGAGGGGGCGGCGGCGGGACCTCGACGATCTGAGGCTTGACGTCGGATGCCTTGACGAGGTCGTCTTGGACGGCGACAAGGTTTGTCTGCACGTCTGACTCGCGCATGGCCGGGGTGTCGGTCTGGACGTCGGCATCGCTGACGCTGACCGAGGTCTCGACGTGCGTGACGACCGGCTCGCTGAGAGGCGAGCTCTTCTTGCCGCGCTTTTTCTGCGCGCGAGAGCAGCAAAGTCAGCTTGACGCAGAGCCAACTCGAGGTGAGAAGGTACTCACGATGCGGCGATGGGTCGTGATGATAATGTCGTCGACGTCCTCCTCTCCAGCCGTGCCCTCCTCATCGCTCGACTCGCTGTCCTGCTCCGAAAGCTGGGTCGCGATCTCGCGCCCGAGACTGCGATTAATGGAGTCGCCGAGGGAAGCCTTGGCGGGCGAGGCGAGAGCGGAAGAGTTATCGAGGAAGCCAGACTTGCGGCCGACGACCCGCATCTCCTCAATCTCGAAGCGAAGCTTGTCAATCGTCTCCTTGAGCAGGAGCTATGAAGACAAGGTCAGCAAGAATTGGATCGCAGATGAGCGCGCAACTCACATTCTCCTGCTTCTGCTCGTCAAGAGAGTCTTGTGCGCGCCTGGCGACGACGAGATCCTCCTCAAGCTTGTTGACCGCCTGTTGCAGTAGCTCGCGGTCGCGCTCAAATTGCTGGATCTGAAGGCCGTGGTTCTGGATCGCTTCTTCGGCGGCACGGTTCTCCTGCGACGGGAAGCGGTCAGAGAGCGAATCAGGCGGGACAAGCGGCGCGACGTACCCTCCTCGTCTCCGCAACCAGCGCACGAAGACGTTCAGCCTCCTCGCACGTCGCGGTGTAGTTGCGCTTCATGCTGTCGTAAGCCTCGCGGCTCCGCTCAAGACTCTTCGTGAGCTTGGTGATGTCGGCTTCGAGCGAGCTGATCTGCTGCAGATGCTCCTTCTCGACGCTTCGGAGCTCCTTCTCCTCGCGGCGCTTCGTCTGCAGCTCTGCACGAACCTGCGAATATAAGCGTCAGCTCGGAAACGGCCAAATCTCGAACGGCTGCGATCACCTCCTCGATCTGCGCCTCGAGATCCGACACCTCTTGCTCGTAGGCTGCCGCGCTGGCTTGGAAGCGAGCCTCATTCTCCTTAAGCTTGCGAGCGAGGCTGTTGAAAGCAGAACAGTCAGGAATGTTGAGGAGACAGATGAAGTGCTTGCTCACTCTTGTGCGTGCCGGACCAATTGCTGGAACTGCTCGGACGTCGTGCGCTCCATCGCTTGCGCCGCGGGACTGCCGGTCGTGAGGAGCGTGTCGAGGCCGCCTTCGCCGAAGAGACTCGCGGGGCGACTGCTGCTGGCGGCGCTCGAGGCGTTCGAAGGATCGCGGCGCATGGCGGTGAAGAATCGCTCGGGCGGGTCGGGCGTTGCGCCGGCTGTTGCGAAGAAGTCGCTGCGCGCCGCAGACGGGTCAAAAGCGGGTGGTGAAGCGGGCGGGGGCGTCGCGAGCTGGTCCGGGAAGAAGGACGAGGAGGGCCGGGATTCGTCCCGGATAGGCGAGAGTGGCGTCGTGAAGAAGGATGTCGTGTCGATGCTCGACGGCGGAGAGCCGAAAGCCGAGTCGCTGGGAGCGAGGGACGAGCGCCTTCCGCCATTCCCGATGCTGATGGACGCCGAACCGACTGATCCCGTTGAGCTGCCCAGCGAGATGTCGCCAGTGGAAGAAGCCGAACGCGACAGAGATGCCCTCGAGGTGGCGGAAGGCGTCGGACTGAGCACTCGCCCTTCTGTCGGGCTGAGCGGCTCCTCGCTCGCCTGACGCTCCTTGCGGGCAATCTCCTCACTCTGCCTGCGTTTCGCTCGAGACGGTGCGATAGGTCGAGCATGCCGCAGCGAGCTCGACAGCTTGCTACTGTCTGCGCTGCCGCCGGCCGAGGAGGGCGGTTGATGCGACTCGAGCGGAGTCGACCGCTGACGGTACGAGAGCGAGGAGGATGGTCGGTGGCCGTCGCTGCGGTGACTAAGCGCGGAGGTGGAGCGACTTTGATCGGGCGAGTCGGCGGCGAAAGGCATGCCGGGGGTCTGAGGTCCGGCCTCCGTTGGCGAGAACAGGCTCGCATCCGGCGAGGCGCGAGAATCCTCGACGAACTGGTCTGCGCCGTCGTCCGCAGTCGCCTTCATGGCGGTAGGCGGCGAGCGAGGAGAAGGCGGGTCGGACAGCTCGCCTTCCGCTTCGAGTTCGGCAGCTTCGGTGCCGCTTCGTCCTTCACCATCGGACGAACGATCGTCTGCCTTCTCCGAAAGGGCCGAGTCGACGCTGAGGAGACTCGTCGAACTCGTTGTGCGGGCGCGAAGCGAGTCGGGCCCGGCAGGGTCATCGACTTGGCCGACCTCTGCCTCGGACGGCTGCGGTTCCGGGAGCGCAGCCGATGCAACGAGACCGCTGGCGAGGTCGCGCAGAACACCACTTGGCAGGGCAGACTCGAGGCGGTCGCCGAGGGTCTTGCGGTACTTGGTCTTGTAGGCTTGTTGAACCGCGAGAAAACGAGGCCGATCGCAATGGGCACGGATGAGTCTGACAGAGGCTCACGGTCAGCAAAGGGTCGCTGGCTGAGGAAACGAGCGACGCACCGCCAGACGAGCTCCTCACGTCGCCCGCCCTTGTCCGCCTCCATCGCCTTCTCCAGCAACTTCGCGTCCCTCCACACGCCGACACCTGCACCCGCCGCTTTCCCCTCGCCCACATTTTTGGCGTTCTCGACGGCGTGGAGAAAAAGCTTCTGCAGCGTGCCGGACGGGATGCACTGCTTGATCGCTTTGGTGAGGGTCGAGTGGCCGGCGGTCGACTTGCGGTATTCGATGACGAGGGCGTGCATGTGTGTGGGAGAGCGAGCGAGGAGGATCTTCGAGCTGCATATACTGGTCGTCAGCAATGCCTCGGTGCAAAGGAGGATAGCGAGCGTACACGATCTCGATATTGCCGCCTCGACGAAGCGCAACCTTGAGCTGATCGAGGTCCTCCTTCAACAATCTCGCCTTGCGCTCCTCGCGCTCCTCCTTGCTGACCGGGCTCGTCGGCGCACTCGCTTCGCCCTCGTCACCCTCCTCATCCCCGTCGCAGTCCTCCCATCTCCCACGCAACGCAACCTCCCAGGCTTTCCGCAGGCGGACGTTGGCGGAGAAGGCTGAGAGGATGGCAACGTCGAGCGAACGGGTCGTTGAGGCCGAGCTGGGTGAGGCGGTTGCGCTGGAGAAGTTGCGGTCGGAGAGGCGGTGGGTGTAGGCTGCGCGCAGGAGCGTCAAGGCTGAGGGCGGGCGGCCGATGAAGAGGTCAATGAGTAGGGTCTGTAGCGGCGTGTCAGCAACTGGGAGAGATAAGGAGGGTCGGTCGAGGCGCACCTCGTTGACGGTAGCCGAGTCGAGCGCTTTTTGCAGCAGCCAGACGTCCCAAGCAAGCGGTCCCATCAACAAGCCCCTCAGCGCAAACTCGACTGGAGAAATCCATCGTCAGCAACCGGCTTGCTGTCGAGCGCAAAGAGCGAGGCTCACCGTTCCCCTTGAACGCTTTCTCCGCCGAGACCGTCTCGAGCAGCGTCTTGCCCTTGCCAAGGCCTTGAGCGGTCCCTGCCGCATACGCTTTGTCGAGCGCTTTGAGTTGCGGGAACGTGAGGGGCGTGAGGGAGGCGACGAGGTTGCGTTCGCGGGCCTGTATATCAAGGACGAGTGAGCGCGAGAGGATTAAAGCCGTGAAGGAGCGAACGCACCGGTCCTTTGCTGCCCATCGCCTCTCTCACTCTCGCCGCTACCGCACTCGCATCCCACCCTTCTCCCATCGGCCCTACCAGCTCAACACCAAGGTACGTTCCCCCCTGCGCGACGACCATAGCCGACAAGTCCTCGAACGTCCTCTTCTTCCTTAGGCTCTTTGAAGAGGAGGGCGAAGCTCGCGAGAGGGATGACATGAGGGAACGGCGGCGCGAGGCGGCGGTTGCTGCGGAGGCGGAGAGGAGGGATGCTGAGGAGGAGGAGGGGATGGGGATTTGGCTTGTCGAGGCGGAGGAGGGGAGGCGGCGATGGCGCGCGACGGGGGAGCCTTCGGCTGTAGCGAGGAACGTCGGGTCGATACGAGGCGGAGGTTGGTCCGTCAAGGCGGGAGGATCGCCAGCCGGCGTCGTCGACCCACTCACGTCCTCGCTCGTCCCGCTACCCGCTACGCCCATGTTGACCAACAACTGCAACACCTGTTCGACACCAAAAGGCTGATCCTCCATCCCCTCTGGCAACGCCTCGACCATCCCTCTCAACTGCATCTTCTCCTCGAACGTGAGGAGCTGGACCCCTCTCTTCTGCTCGAACGCAGCGAGGAGGTCAGGGAGTAGTCTGAGAGGTGCTGTGCGGGGCTGGTCGGGCGTGGGAGAGGGAGCATCGCCAAGGGTGGGGATGAGAGGGGATGTCGGACGAGAGCCGGACGGGAGGTAGTTGTCGAAGAGGGTGTTGAGTTGGTCGAGTAGCTCGATTTGCGAGCGTCGATGCTGCGAATTGGCTCGGGTAGAGTCAGCTGCTTGTTTGCGACGGAGGACGGACAGGAGGTGCGAGCGAAACAAGGACGGCGAGGCAGTGAGGGAAGACGACGCACCGGCGTAGTCGCTGCATCCTGCATGTTTCTCTGCTCACAAGACCCAGTCTGTCAGCTCGACTGGCCCGGCGATGCCTGCGCGAGGCGGGAAACATCGCTCAACTTACCGACGTCCGGGGTGTAGACGTCTGCTCGACAACAACTCCAGATCAGCTCGCTCTGCGTGCACACGAGAATGAATCAATTCCACGCACCATCTTGGCGCCCTGCGAGCTCCCCCGACGCGTTGTCGCCGAGTTCTCGCCTCACTCGACTTCGTGAACTGATGAGGCTGTGAAGGGGTCGCTTGTCGCGCAGAGAAGGGCGTCGCGGATGTGGGAGGTGTTGGGCCGTAGTGTACGAGTCTAGTGAGAGCCTTGCGAGCACAGCGAGCGGATACTGTAGCGGTGAAGTGAGACGAAGCGGTGCAACCCTTCCTCGACCAAGGAGAGCCTCTCGCTTTCGGCGACGGCACCTCGCACGAAGTCACAAGCGGGCGCCCGGTGTACAGATGCATTGCGAGTGGTAGAAAGAGATACGAGCGAGCGGAACTGCGACCCCAAGCATCAGCAAAGCGAAGGAAAGGAGGCTGACGAAGGAACGCACCGGATCACCAGCCCTGTTGGCGGAGACGCTCGACCTGCTCGTCGATGGTGTCGGCCTTGGCGTCGAGCTTCTCGCCCATGGCGCGCCTGACGTTCTTCCTGCGCTTGAGGCCGGTCGGCTTGCGCTCCGAGACGTTGTCGCCCGGTTCGCGGTACTCGACGTCGTGTCCTCCGTTGACCGAGACCAAGCGAGCGCGCTCCTGCTCGACCCTGGGCTTGTCGGCTCCGCGGTAGCGGTGCGACTGCCTGCCCCAGCCCTTCTCGCCGCCGAGCTCGAGCATCTTGCGGTCGCGGAGCTCCTCCATCCTGTCGCGCTCAAAGTGCTCGTTGAGCCAGCCACGCGTCGGCTCCTCGGGGTACCAGAAGGGTTCCTTGAGCGTGACGAGGACCTTCTTGTACGTCTTTTTGCTGTCGCGGACGGTCCCGCCGCCGGCCGAGCGCTTGAGCGGCCCGAGGTAGTTCATGGTCCGGACGCTCGTGACCTCGAGTCCGTAGATGTTGCGGAGGTAGTTGACAATGTCGGGCTTGGTGAGCTGGAGCGAGGTACGGAAGGTCGCGGTGAAGGGGTCGTCGGCGTACTCCTCCGTGTTGCGGACGAGGCGGACGAAGACGCTCGGGAGGTACAGGTCGACCAGAGCCTCGTCCTTGGTGGCCTGCTCGATGTACCTCGGCGCACGCTGCGGCCCGCGTCCCCTGATGCGGGACGAATGCCGCGAGTACCGGGGCGATGGCTCGGTGGGCTTGTTGAGCTGGCCGGGGCGGGGGATGACGATGGCGGGGTTGTTGGGCAGGGGCATGCTCGTGTCGACCTCGCGGGGTGTGCGCGGAGTGCGTGCGCGGGTGGACGGGGTCGGGTCGAAGTCGGCGAAGGGGACGTTGGCGACGGTCGCGAGGGCGCGGCGCGAGGTGGATGCGGCTGCCGTTGGCTGTGGCCGTGCTGCTGCGAGTGCGAGCTGGCGCCCTGCTGCCCGGATGGCAGACTGCATGGCAGGACGGGGTGGGTGGTGGTGTGGTAGCAAGCAGGTGTGAGGGTGAGCGGTGAGCAGCGGTGTGGTGTGGTGTTGTGTGGTTGTGTTCTCCTCGTTCTCCTCCTCACTCGACGACAGCCAGTTGGAGTTGGAGAGTTGGACTTGGGCGCGGCTCTCTCTCTCGTCCTCGCTCCCTCGAGCTCATCAGCCAGCGACGCATACACCCAGCCTCAGTTACCTCCGATAGCAGCTCCTTGCTCTCCTCTCTCTCACACACACGCCTGGACGGGGACTGGCCACGGTGGACCCGCTCATCCACCCACGCTCTGCTGCCGCCGAGTCGACTCGCTCGATCAGGCGCAGGCAGCGCACCACCACCGCTGCCATGGCCCACCGCCTCTCGCGCACCTGGCAGTCCATCTCGTCCCTCGTGCCCTTCCTTGCTCCGTCGCCCTCGCCCTCCCACTCCCAAGCACACTACGCCGCCATCCCCCTCACGACGACCACCTCGTCGAAGTCGAATGACGGCTTGCACGGAGTGGACGACGACGAGAAGCTGCTTGGACTCGGCGCAGGCGTACAGGTCCCGAGGAGGCACTGGCTCGTCCTCGCGTGGACCTACCTCTCGCCCTTCCTCGTCCTCCTCCTCGCGGCGTCCATCTACGTCGACCGGAAACGGACCGCTCTCGCGCGCATGACGGTCGTCAACCCGTATGCGTGTGGGCCCAAGAGCAACTTTACCACGCTCGAGGCCGTGTGTCGAGCGGGAACGGGGCCAGAGAGGCAGAAGGTGAGTCGTCGAGCGCAAGACCGCGTTTCGCTCGAAGGAAGGCGACCCTTTCGTTCCTCGTTGACTGCGATTCGAGTTCCTCGTCGCGCAGGCTGAGAACTACGAGCTCGCCCTCGACCGACACCTGACGCAGCAGCAATGCGACGCCATCTACCCAGGTCTTTACCTGTCCGTCCCCTCCTCCTCCTTCCCTCCGCCTTCATTACTGATCTTCCTCCCCATGCAGAGAGATTGAGCGAGCACGGGACTACTGGAAGGCGCGAGGAGGAGTGACGGAGAAAGACCTGGACGAGGCGGAGCAAAAAGGCCAGGCTCGGGTGCAGATTATCAACAACCGGGTTCGTCGTCGCTCCCGGCTTCTAGCCACGAATGTGTACGTGCTGATATGGAGTTCGTCGTGCGCACGCAGATGTACGTCAAGAGCTACTCGAATGAACAGCCGGGGACGAGGACCAAGGCGACTTTGGCGCTCATCAGTGCGTTCCGCTTTCCTCGTTTTTGCGCCGCCTGCCCGCTCCTCATCGGTTAGAAGGGAAGACGAGGCTGACTGACACACCTCTCCTCGCGCGCAGACGAAGCCCTCATCACCTCTCCCGAACCCGTACCCGACATCGAGTTCGTCATCCAGACGGGCGACAACGGTATACCGCAGGGGGCGCCGTGGTCGTTGGGGAGGAAGGAGAAGGAGGAACAGTTGACCTTGATGCCCGGTGCGTCTCCCTCTTCTCAACCAAACCCGCTCCGCTTCCACGCTCTCACCCCAAACTAACGTTCCCTCCCACCCCTCGCAGACTACAGTTTCTTCTCCTGGCCTGAACCGCAAGTCAACTCGTGGCAAGAAGTTGCCGACCACTGCCGCGACTACGAGTCGCACCTCCGGTGGGAAGACAAGGTCGACCAGTTGCTTTGGAGGGGCGCGTTCTTGGTGGATATCAGGAAGGAGTTGTGGGAGATTGCGAGAAAGTATCCGTGGGGTGCGTGCAGTTGCTCGAGCCCGTCCTCTCGTCTCCCTCAACTTGCGCCCGAGTCGCGGCAATTCGCCCGAGCCTTCGAGCACTTTCCCATCCTACCCCCTCGCACTCGCTTCTACGCGTCTGCTAGAAGCCTTATTGACACTTTCCGGCCTCCGCGCGCACAGGCGCCGTCTCCGACCTCGACTGGGGCGACCGCGACTCGGTCAACAAGCTCCTCCTCACGCCCGAGCAGCACTGCCAGTGGAAGTTCCTCGCGCACGTCGAGGGCTACGCCTACTCGGGCAGGTTGAAGTATTTGACGCAGTGTCGGAGCGTGATTGTGGTGCGTCGGCTTTCCCGCTTCGAAGAGCGATGAGTGGGTTTCAGGGGAGTGATTCAGGCTGATTCACAGGGTGCTTGCGCAGGCCCACAAGATGCGCTACGTCCAGCACTTCCACCACCTCTTCAACTCGGACCCTACCTCCCCCTCGCAAAACATCGTCATCTCCCCCGGCCGCAATTTCGACAACATCGCGAGCGTGATGTCGGACCTCCTTTCGGACGATGCCAAGGCGAAGAAGATTGCCGACACGAGCTACGAGTTCTGGCAGCATTGGTTGAGTGTGGGTTCGGTGGCGTGTTATTGGCGCAGGCTGTTTAGGGAGTGGAAGGAGGTCATGGCGTTCGAGCCCGTATTGAAGAGGGATGTGGCATCGTACAACTCATTCATGTACGTCCAGTCCAGCTCTTACTCGCTCGACCTGCGCTGACCGGGTGGAGCTGACCACTCGCTTCCTTCCTCCGACAGCTTGATGGGACAGGTCCACTGGGACGCTCGTGCGTGCAGCTCCTCTCTCGCCCTTTCTCCACCTCCGAAATTGACACGCACCTCTGCTCTCCTCGCGCAACAGACTAGCACGTCGCCTTTCCGCAGGCGAGAGATACAGACACTCTTCGTTTCCCGCCCTCGCCTTTCGACTTCCGCCTCGCGCCAGATACCCCCGTCGTCGTACTCGAAGCTGGGACTCGACGTATAGACACACGCGTAGAATACCATCAACGGCCGTCGGAACTCTGTAGGACTACATACGGATCTCAACGAGCGAGACGAGGAGAGGAGAGCGGAACGAATAGCGGCTCCTTCCTCCTCGCCGCAAACTTTCTCGCCAAGACTGCTCTCCCAAGACTCACGACGGGCAGAGGATTCCGTCTGCAAAGCTGAAAACTTTACGAAATTGGGAGCCGCTCTCGTCGACGTCGTTTCGCGGCGAAGTCCTCGACGGAGAAGCCTCGCTCACCTCGACTCTCCTCTCGCTTTTGCGCTTCCTGCTGCTTCGCGAGCTGCGCTAGCAAGCTCTCGTGCGCGCTTGCTGCGCCTGGCGGTCCATCTCGCGCCCGGCTTTCGAGCGTTCGTCGTCGGTTCCTCGTCCGCTGGAGCTTTCGATCCGAACTCGCCCACACCGCGCCTGGGAGGGACAGGGACTTGCGTAACGAGCTGGGGCTTCACCAGGTGAGCTCTCAGCGCTCTTATATCTCGCCAACGAGGAGCGACGAAGTTGACGTCCCTCTTACGCTCTTACCCGCGCACTGCCACTCCGAAACAGCGGACGCTCCCTCACGTTGCAGCTCGCCAAGTAGCCGCCAGATCGTGTACCAGTCGCCCTGCAGCTCGGTCGTTGACCCTCTGCGAGCGCGCTCGAGCGGCGACAAGGCGTCCTCGCGCTTCTCGACACCTTCTCCTCGTCGTCCCGGACTTTCTCGCCCAAGATGCGGAGACGTGTTTCCCTGAATCGCCATCCGTCGACCGCACCGCGAATCCCAGGGTTCCTGCAACGGTCGAGCGTGTGGAGCCGGATCTCTGCGTTCAGCTGTTCGTCCCTCCTTGTCGGAACGTTCTTCACCGGCTCAACTGACGAGCTTCCGTCTCCCTTCAGCCGCGCATCTCAACTTCTACCGCCTCCACCTCCTCGTCTTCACCTTCGTCCCGCTCATCGCCTCAGGCATCTTCTTCGCCTCGAACGGACCGTCGAATGAGAACCAGATCTCCTACGTCGACGCGCTGTTCATGTGCACGTCCGCGATGACCGTCACCGGCCTCAACACGGTCGTCCTGTCCGCTTTGACTGTGTGGCAGCAGGTCATGCTGTTTGTGCGTCACTTTGGGCCCGTAAAGCGAGCGAGTACTGACCTTGCGTCCTGCTTCAGCTCCTCATGACCATCGGCTCGACGTCGTTCGTTTCCATCCTCGTCATCGTCATCCGGAGGTGCGTCAAGCTTCTGTGTCGAGGAGACACCACCGGAGCTCACCCGTCCACCTGCGCAGGCAATTCTTCCGCAACAAGTTCGAGTACATGGTTGCGAACGATGGTGAGCACGGCCGCGCTGATGTTCTGTTCGCACTCGACTGACTCTTGTTCTCGTGCAGCGGAGGCGCGGAAACGTGTCAACGAAGTGGGCGAGCAAGAAGTGAGTTCCTCCTGCCCGGCTGCATCGTCCGCAAGCTGAGCATCTCCCGGAACAGGCCGCTCGAGCTGGTCGAGCGTACCGTGCCTTCGATGCAAGCCATCGCCCAGGCCACACGCCGTGGTACTCCGATTTCCTGCCCGGCCAACACTCGGCTGTCCCCTCCCCACGTCCGTCGCCGTTCAACAGCGCCGCGCCGACTCGACAAGACGGCGAAGACGAAGAGCGGCAGCGCAAGAAGAAGAAGAAGCGCAAGGTGGCGAAGCTGCGGACGGACATGATCAAGCGCGTCGATGTGCCGGTTCGGGTCAACAAGATGAACGTGAGTGGCTGGTTGGGCGACGAGAAGCATGAGGGGGAGGAGCGGATGGACGAAGAGGTGCATGAGATGAAGAAGGTGAGAGAGGCGCATGCGGCGGAAGAAGAGGCGCCAGCGGAGGCACGAGGGGCGGAAAGGACGCAGGATCTGCCAGAGGTGTTTTCGGACGACGATCAGGACGAGGAGGAAGTCCCTCCTCCGGTTCAGCGGCACGACGGCGAGCTGGCGGATTCCCCTCGTCCTGCCAGTCCTGAACCGGTTGAGCGAGCGAACGGGGTTGCTGGGCATACTCGAGCGTGAGTCTTTCTGCATCCTCTGGACCGATGCTTGCTGACGTATTGTTGAGCGTCCCAGCATTCAAATCGATACTTCGTCGAGGCCGGACCGAGGGACTCGAGGAAGGCGAAGCAGCGACTCGGTCGCAGCGGCGGCCTCTCGCGCGCCGGGCGCCGGCTTTCCTCGCACGCGCACGTTTGGTGAGTCCTGCTCGCCTAGTCAAAGCTCTCGAGACCGCGACTGATGGCCTTCTCGCAGACCATCGACACCTTGACGGGATCACCGAGTCGCCGTCTCCCCTTCAATCGCCTTCTTCTCCTACCTTCCGCAATCGCGACCTCGATGTCGGCCGCACCCGCACTATCGAATTTCGAGACCCGAGCGAAGCAGGCGACCTTCGTCTTCGCCGGAACAGGATGCATGCCGTCGACCCCGACTACCCGGTAACCCGCCGCATGTCGCAGTCGAACCTCCGTGACCGCACCTTCATTCGCACAACAACGGTCGACCAGGCCGCTATGCACAGCGGCTTCGGCGGTTTCCCCAACCCGATCTACGCCGCCGCCTCTCTCGCCAAGTCGAAGATCCCAGCCCTTCGCAACGCTGTCGAGCGGACTTCCACAATGCCGCGGACGACGACGATGCTCTCCACGCATTCGCATGGTGGCACATCGTCGGGAGGCGTTAAGCACGAAGGAACCGGCAACTTCAAGCCCGTCTCGTACATCACGTTCGACGCCGTGGTCGGCCGTAATTCCAAGTTCCACGGCTTGACGACTGCTCAGCAGGAAGAGCTGGGAGGCGTCGAGTACCGTGCTCTCACCGTTCTCCTCCGCATCGTCTTCGCCTACTGGCTCGGCGTCCAGCTCCTCTCAGTCCTCGTTCTTGCGCCGTGGTTGTCAACGTCGGAGCGCTGGGCACCCATCACGCGCGAGTCGAATGCCAACCCGACGTGGTTCACGTTCTTCCAGGTTTGGTCCGCCTACAGCAACTTGGGCATGAGGTGCGTTATTCCCCTTCGTTCCAGCAAGCAGGTCACTTTCTGATCCACTTGCGGACGGCCTGCAGTCTCGTCGATACCTCGATGATCCCCTTCCAGCGAGCGTATTGGCTCATCATCGTCCAGGGCTTCCTCATCCTCGCCGGCAACACGGCATTCCCCGTCTTGTGCGTCGCTCGTTCGGCTTCTCGCGAAGGTCCGAGGCTAACAACAGACTGTTGCGCAGCCTGCGGCTGCTCATGTGCGTTTCGAGGTCGCAAGTCTCGCGGCACTTTGCTGACGACCCCCTCCCGCAGCTGGACGGTCTACAAAGTCATGCCTTCCCGATCGCGGACGCGCGAGACGTTGCAGTTCCTGCTCGACCACCCTCGCCGCTGCTTCATTTATCTCTTTCCATCCCAGTGCGTCGCTTTACGAGGCTGACTATGGCTGGAGCTGATCAGTCGCCTCGGCGCAGCCAAACCTGGTTCCTCGTCTTCATGCTCGTCTGCCTCAAGTGCGTCGCCTCTTTGCCAATGATGAGCGTTTCCGCTGACAATGGCGCGCAACAGCGGCATCGACTGGGCGTCCTTCCTCATCCTCGACATCGGCAATCCCGAAATCGAGGCTCTGCCGACTCGCGTGGTGCGTTCCAGCGAGTAGCCGCCCGCGGCTCGTCACAACTAACTCTGTCTCCTCGCAGCGCGTCCTTGACGGGCTCTTCCAAGCTTTCGCCGTCCGCGCGGCAGGTTTCTCGATCGTCCCGCTCGCTTCCGTAGCGCCAGCTCTTCAGGTTCGTCTACCTTCTGTCCTTCTTCCTCGACAACTGCTGATCGTCACCGCCGCAGCTGCTCTATGTGATCATGATGTACATCGTGCGTCGCCTTCGCCGTCCTCTCGCTCTTCGCCCTCGCTCAACGCTCACGCTTCTTCCGCAGGCCGTCTACCCGATCGCCGTTTCCATCCGTAGTACAAACGTGTACGAGGAGAAGTCAATGGGTGCGTCAGAACCTCGTCGCTCGTCGAGCGCGACCTGACGTTCTCGATGTGCAGGCGTCTACGACGACGACTTTGACGAGGACCCGGACCTAATGGAGGCTCGCTTCGACAAGTCGCATTCTGCGACGGAATATATCAGCTACCACGCCCGCAAGCAGCTCGCCTTCGACTTGTGGTGGCTCGGTCTCGCCGTCTGGCTCATCTGCATCGTCGAGCGGCATCGCATCGGCAGCACGGATTGGCCGTGAGTCCGCGCTCTCAGCTCGCTACTCCTATCCTCGGCTGATGAAGAGATCCTGCAGCGAGGTCACCATCTTCACCCTGATTTTCGAGATCGTCTCGGCGTACGGCACTGTCGGACTGAGTCTTGGCAACGGCCGCGTGCGTCGCTTCTTCATCTCCTCGCTTGCGCATTGCAGCTTCTTACACCACTTCCCGCAGAACAACGCCTCTTTGGCCGGCGTCCTGTCAACGTTATCGAAGCTCATCATCTGCGCCGTCATGGTGCGAGGTCGCCACCGCGGCTTGCCCATCGCCATCGACCGTGCTGTCCTCCTTCCTTCAGACTTGGAGAAGCACGGCGACGACACCGCTACAACCTTCTCGTTCGACAATCTCGCGCGCGAGCCTAGCCTGCGCACTCGCTGGACGCGTACCAGCTTCAGCAGCCACACGGCCGTGGCGGGGGGCGGCTTGCAGGCGGTTGAGCCGCTGACCGACGAGCATCGCTTCGAGCGGAGCAGGCGCTTCTCGGACGACCAGCACGACGTCGGGAACGGCGAACTCGCCCCTGGATCATCGCCCAGCGACTCGAAGGATAGCGCGCTGGATGGGAAGGAACCGTCGCTTTCGACTGCGGACGACGCGCCGCAGGGGATGAAGGGCGAAGGACCGCCAATCGATCGCAATCAGACAGGATGGGTGTAGAAGTATGGGCGAACCATGTACGACTAGAACTCGCAGAACTCGCATTTGCAAGCACCTTATATTTGCTCGTCTCACCCGCGCCATTGGAAAAGCTGCACGAGTGTCCATTGGCGAGGCAAGCTACACAAAGAGAGACAACAAAGGAAGCACGAAAAGCCCGCGAGTCTGCCTAGTCCTCGCTCTGCCAGATGCGCCAAACGCTCCTCATCCATGGCCCACGCTTCCACCGCAACCGCACAGCTTCCATCCCAATCCTCTACCAAGCTCATCAAACCGAGACGGCAGCCGTACGACCAGCCCAGTGTGCAAGGTCTCACTCGACGAAGAGGAGAACGCAGGCGCGAGGCGAAGGTCGACAGCAAACTGAATCAGGAGAGTCAAGGCGGAGGGAAGGAAGAGAAGAGATGAGGAAGGGGAGGAATCGTGACGATGTGGGAGAAGAGTGGTAAGCGGAAGTCGGAGAGCTGCGAGAGAGTCGCGGTCAGCGGAATGTCGCCAGGCCGCAGCGGCAGCGGCACGTACAGGATTTGGGTGAAAACTCGTCGCAGACCACCTAGAAAACACCCCACCTAGAAAACACCCGTCCTTACTGCCTAACACGCAACCTCAGCCGCCGTGCCCGCAGCAGCGTCTTGTCGCAAGAAGTCGAAGAGGTCAAAATCCGCCGCCGGCTCGTTGTCGATGGCAGGAATCGTCGCCTCGTCGAGATTGCCGATACTTTGCGACCAGTCTGTCCAAGCCGCGACGAGGTCGTTGTTGTCGAAGAGGGAATTGGCATCGACGGCGGGACCTGGATCGACGAGAGAATCTCCGACAGCGTCGGGCGCCGGGAGGGACGAGTCGAGGGGGAACGCGAGCTGGTCGAAGCCGGTGAAGTCGAGGCCGAGAGACGAGACGCCAGACGAGACGACGGGTGGGACAGCTTCCGCTGCAGGGAAAGGTCGACCTCGCGTGCTACGAGGCGAGAGCTGTCCGTCTCCGTCGTCAACGTCTGGTTCGTCGTCTCCGGCTCGACTGCTTGTGTGGCTGGGCTAGTCGACGTCGCTGCCTGGCTCAGAAGGCGCTCAAGTCGGCCAAACTTGGTCTCGAGGGACGAGAGGCGGATCTGGAGCGACTGCGACTGGAGCTGCTCGAGGGCGAGCTGAGTCTTGAGCGACTCGTTCTCTTTGCGGAGCTGGGCGACGAGGGGGTCTGTCGCGGTCGGACGAGCGGGAAGGGCGGCGAGAGGGAGGTTGACCCTGGAAGGAGTGGGTGTGAGGGAAGTCGAGGGAGACTGGGACGCAAGCTGCGCCTCGAGCTCGGCGACGCGTGCCTCGAGGAAGTCGGTGTGCTGCTTCTTGCGGTCTCGGGAGACTTGGGCGGCGACTGTGGGCGTCGACAGGCGAGTTTAGTGGGATGCGAAGAGAGTAGAGAACGGTGAACGCACTCCTGTTGCGCTCCATCCTCGCCTGTTTCCTCGCGTGCTTCTCTGCCGCCGTGCTCCTCGGTGCACGCTTCTTCGCCAGTGGTTGCGCCGTGTCATCGTCGACGAGTGAAGCGGAAGCGGGCGAGAGAGGTGGCGACGCCGTGCGCTTCCTCGAGCGGGTCGTCGCTGGCGAGTCCATCGTGAGCGTGTGAGTCTGTACGCAGCAGTCAACCAAGCCAAGCAGTGCCCTTGTCGGGCGTGAGCGTGTCGAAGAAGCGAGACGTGGAACCTTCGACGTGGAAGGCGTCGGTTGTATTCAGTTCTATTCGAGCATTACAATCGTGTTTGTATTCGTGAAAGTGTATTCGAACCGATTACACCCGAGTTTGTATTCGTGCGGTTATCCCGGGTGACCCTCGCTCCCTCGCCCGCAACGCTTTCGTGCGAGTCGTGTGCAGCACCGTGAGCGCCAAAAGGACTCATTGAGTGCTGCTGGCCCCCTCGCAAGCCGTCCCGAGCGAGTTGAGCGTCGTCGTAGTCGCCTCGACCTTCGCAACTCGCTCTCTCGCGTCGACTGTTCACTCGCTCACTCGGAATGTGCCGAACTGCTTGCTCGACCATGACAACTACCTCTGACACCCCCATCACGAGCACCGCCAAGGCGTCCGAGGCGCCCGCTGCCGCTCACAGTGCGTCCCCGCTCTCTCTTTCCCTCGCTCGCTTGCACTCGCCCTCTCGCGGCTGATAGCAGTGAAAGCGCTGGCTGCACAGATCCAAACTGATTGGTGCACTCCCGCACAGCCGGGGACGAGGCGGCCGCCGCCTCGCCGTCGAGCTCGAACGAGCAGGCGAAGGAGGACAAGGAGGACAAGGAGGGCGAGAAGTCCGACAACGACCAGGAAGAGCAGAAATGCCCGTCGACGGATCAGCTTAGCGCTCGCTCACTTGCTGACCGCTCTTCTGTCGGTTATGCAGCCGCTGGCATCTGGCCCCTCGTTGGCGAGGAGGGAGGAGGACCATTCCAGGTTTTCGCTACGTCCGCCGGCGTGCCTCTGTGCTCGCCTTATCCGAGCGAGCAGCAGATCAGGCGCAGGTACGAGGAGGAAGCTGAGTCGGCCGAGAAGACGGCCAAGGCTGCCGCTGCGAGCGAGAGCGAAGAGGAGGAGCAGGACGAGGAGGAAAACGGCTGTGACTTACACATTCCCTCGCTTCTTCGGCGTCTCATCGCTGACTGTAGCGCTTCTACCGCAGCCTTCGACGCTTCGTTCCCTTCAGCCCCGGCGAGCCGTGGGCCCAGCAAGATTTCCCTCCTTACTGGCACGAGCGATCTCAGCCCGGCGGCTTCGTCGTGCCCACCCGAAGAGCAGCGTCGTCGCCGCGCGGAGGACAAGGCGGAGACCGAGAATGAGTAGGAGCTTGTGAGGCCAAGGTCGAGGATTAGCCGGGAATGTCGCTTTGCAGCTTTGATCGCCCTCGCTCTTCAAGCCGACTGGATAATGCAGAGTGCGAGTTGCGAAGAGAACTTGTACGACAGGGACGAAACCAACGAGGAGACCCGAAACGAATTCAATGGAAGGGTCCGAATGGCCGCACAGGCTCCGACACCCTCAGCCAATCCACCCGCATGTTGCGAACCGAGCAGGGATGCATCCGCGGCGCGACCATCCTCCTCTTGCGCGCTAGGGCCTCCTCCCCTGCTACCGCTCCGTCCGCCTTTGCCTTGCCCTTGTCCAGCCGCCGCTCTCCGCCTGCCGCTCTCGACGCAGCCGTGCACACATCGCGCCGCCATCGTCCAGGGCATTCCGCGCTTGCGCAGATCTTGCAGCGTCGATGACGCTTGCCGGTCGCGTTGACTGGCGTCGCCGACCTGCTCGCAGGCCAATCTTGCGCGCCATCGTCCTCATCAACCGCGAGTTTAGCGGACGCAGCGTCATCCTGCTTGCCGGCGAGTGCGCCAGGTACGACGGCCTTCGCGGCGGCGGAGACTGCTCCGACTGTCGCTCGTAGGACTGACCCGACAGCGGACGCAACGGCTGATCCGACGGCCATCGCGGCGCCTCCTTCGATGAGCGCTGCATCCGTACCCGACTTGCCGACTGCTGCGATGTTCGCACCTGCCGGCGAATCGACGATGACGCCGAGAGCCGTCGAGCCGGACGGAAGGGGAGGTTCGACCGTGTCCTGCCTGGCGGTTTCCGGGCCGTTCATGATCGAATCGCCCGCTTCGTCAACGCCATCGAGAGGCATTGGCACGAGCGGCGGAGAGGCGAGAGCGGGCGATTTGCTCGAGCCGATGCGCGGAGAGGCGGTAGACAGGCCGTTCGGACGCAAGGCGGGGATCCTCGACGTTGCTTGCGCGAGGGCGCCGGCAGTCGAGTCGCTTGGGACGCCTCGTATGTCGGCCGACATGTCGCGAAGCTGTTGCCGCATCGCGCCGGGAGCTTGCACGTAGTACTGGGCGAGGGGATGGACATTGGCACCGCTGACAGACGCTCGTCGTCGCATGGCGCCTGTTGAGCCTGCTCGAGGTCGTACAGTCGGTAGTGCAGGAGTAGAGCTCGTGCCAGCGGAAGGAGGAGGGCGGACTGGACCAGCTGAGGACGCGGTGCCGACAGCGCCTGCAGGGCGTGATGCATTCTGCGAGGGAGCAGACGAATCAGTGCTCGTTCGTACAAGTAGAAACGGAGCCAACATACCTCGCTTGACTTGGTCGACGTCGCATCGTCGACTTGCGGATCTTGGTCGTCCACCAGATCGAGCACGACCGATTCCTTCCTTTTGCCCGAAGCTGTAGCAGACGACGCTATGCTCCTGACCATCCGCCTCGTCCGCTTCGCCAGCTTCGGCTCCTTCGCGTCGGGCAGAGGCTCCATCGAGGCCCCCTGGACAGCCTCCCGCACCATCGCGCCCAGCTGAGCCTTCTTCGCTCGCTCGAGCTCGTCGCCGTCGAGCGCCCTCCCTGTCTGAGCCGCTGCATCCTCAACAGACCGCTTCGCCGCGTCGCCGAGACCGAGCGCCCAATCCCACAGCTGGACACGCTTGGCGTCGCCTGGCGGGCGCAGACAGCTTGGGTAGGTCAAGAACGGCTGAGGCGCGAGTGAGAACGCGTCGTCTGGTCGGGAAAGGCGCGGGAACGGCTGACTGGTGATCTTGGCGCGAACGGGAGGGGGAGGATTGCCGGGGAAGGGAAGGAGGACGTTGAGCGGGTCCCGGGAGGTATTGACTTTGACGATGCACGTCTCAAACGCGGTGGGCTCGGAGGTCATCGTAGGAATGTAGTCGCCGAAAGGGGTCTCGAGATCAAGACTGGCGGCTGAGGCCGCTGTTCCAGTCTCGGGTCTGCCGTTCCGCCAAGGACTGACGCGAGTGTGAGCGGTCTTCTGCAGATGAATGGCGACGACGAGGGCTTGATGCTCGTGGCGGTACGAGTTGATCGCGCTCTGCACCTCGCTGACGGCGGCGTAGAAGTCGTCCTCCTCCGCTTCCTCCTCCTGCGGCAGTGACGGCCGTTTGCGCCTCCTGCGCCGCTTCTTACGCGGGGGCTCGTTCACGTCGACGATGTCGGCAGGCGTGTGAGCTACCGGTGCAGGAAAGGTGAATCTCGATAAAGGCGGAGGAGGTGCAGTAGGCGGTTGCGCTGGAGTCGCAGACTGAGCCGACGTTGTAGTCGGTGGCGAGGCGGCAGCGTTCGGCGGAGGGAGAACTGGAGGCATGGACGGAGGTACCTGTTGGTGTATGGACGGTTGGGGAGGGCGAATCGACGCGTTCGGCACGTCTCGTCGATATGGCTGGTAAGGCTGAACCGATTGAGGATAGGCCGAAAGGTTCGGGACAGGCTGCTGCGGCGGCGGAGGAGCTGCTACGGCAGGGCTTGGCGGGTTGGATGCTCGCGCTTGAGGCGGGAGCGGCTCGTGAGAAGGAAACGCACTGGAGCGCGGCATGTTTGGGGGCTGGAAGTGGGCGACTGAGGGAGCGGTCGGCGTACGCGGATTCGATGAATGAGAATGCTGAGACGACTGACTTCGTATAGGCGGAGCGGGATGGTGCGCGGCGTTCGTAGGTTGCGGGTAATAGGCGAGCGTCGAAGCTTGGGCGGACGGCGGTACTTGCGTTGTCGAAGGATTGGACGGAGTTGGCGGTGCAGTCGTCAAGCCTGATGCACTCGAGGGCACTGTTGCGTACGGCTGAACGACAGGATAAGGGGGAGGGGGGTAGAACGTGACTGAGGGCCTGTAAGGTCGCGAGATGTCAGCGCAGACGGCGGTGAAGCGAACGAGACGGTCACCTACGGAAGAGGCGCTCCCTGTGGTTCTCCAAGTCCGCATACCTCGCGGACAGCGAACCACTCGTGCAGGCTGATTGTCGCCTGTTCCACAAAGGGGAACCACTTCGCCCAGTCCGACTCCTGCCAGCTCACCGCGAATTCCGACTTGGTCTTTCCACCCAAGGTGAGGTGTACGTCGATCGTCGCCCGGCGGTACAGCTCGAGGACCTGGACGATGCGCTCCCGATCTTCGGGGCGAGAGATGCAGTCGATAAGGAAGTAGACAATTGTGGCGCCGGTAAGCGGGAGAGTCGGGATGCGCTGCTTGCGAGCCCAATCCTTGTATTCGTCGAAGAAGGCGAGATAGTCCTTCGGGCGACAGCCGTTGATGACCAACATGTCGGCTGCGAACTCGGCGAGCATGCTTTGCGCGGTGGGCAACTTCGCCTTGCTGAGGCAGCGCAAGGCGTCCTCCTGCAACGCAATTTCGATGGCTGCGAGGAGGACATGTCAGCAAGGACAGACGCAAGCAAGAGAGAAAGGCAGTACACACTCGAGGCGCCATGACAGAACAACGTCGACAAAGTCTCGAGGTAAGAATCGCGAGCTTGCTGGACCATGTCGAGGGTGTAGAGGCGCGGGTCTACTGGCCCCTGAGCAGGCGAGACTGGACCCGCTTGTTGCGGTGCTGGGTGAACGGCGGCAAAGTTGGCGGAAGCGAACGCCGGCGCGGCTGTCGTCGATACAGACGACGGTCTCGACGGCTGCGGAGCTGGAAAGACCGCACTGGAAGGCGCTGTCCGCGAAGGATGAGGAGGAGAGATGCGGGTGCCGCCTGGTCGTCCGGTTGCGGGGCTATGCGACGGCGCCGCCAGTCCTGGCCCACTCTGAGTCCTCCTGTGCGCCATCTCGACCGCTGCCTGGCCCCGCCCGACCGCCTGCTGATCTACCATCGCACCCGAGCTGGACCGCCGTCGATCCTGTCCTCCGCTGCTCGCACCGGCCACAGGCGCGGCGGGGGCTACCGGTGCAGTCGAGGACGAGGGTGGAGCGGCGACATCGCGCTCAGTTGGCTGCATCCACCGCGAGGAGCGTGTTTCCCCCCCACTGTTGTCAAAGCCTGTCGAGCGCGCAGAGGGCAGCGGAGCGCTCGGGGGCGTGTCGGCGCTGCAGCTGAGGTGACGCGTAGCCGAACAGAACCAATTGAGCTTGGAAACAAGCGTGCAGAGCGAGGTCGAGAGAAGCGAAGTGTGCGGATACCAACAACGGGAGGACGACGAAGACTTGGTCTGCTCAACAAGCTCGAGGGAGCTCAGTCGCGAGACTGGACTCATCTCGAATGCAGGATGATGCCGAGGCTACAGGCGAAAACGCAGAAAGTCCGCCTAGTCTATCCCTGACCTCCGCCAATCTGTTGCGCTACCACTCCATGCGTCGCCCTTCTCCCTGTGCCGGCTCCGAGAATCGTTCCCTAAGCTTGATGCGATACATGAGCGCGCCTCAGTGAAGAGCGTGGGTCGAAGGTCGGCAGACAGGCCGGGTTTGATCTGGTGTCGACCCTGCTCCTTCGGACCGACCCTTGTACCCGGCACTTCGTACAGAACTGTCGAGCCGTAGGTATTGGCGATTGTCGGTAAGACGCTACATGGAGTTGCTCCCAATCGCGAGGGGCGGCCTACCGGGACGCTTGAGCGAATCTCGTGTCGAGCGGAGCGCTTCTGCTCGCTGTTGCGGCCAAGCTCGTCAGCACGCAAGTCGGTGAGCGTCCTTAATTTTGCAGTACTCACCTCGTAGTCCTGGATCGGCTTCACATGTCCCCGTGCCGCTTCTTCGTGACCCGTCCGAGCCAGACGTTTCCAACGTCGCCCTCGACCTCCCGCCACATGCGCATCAACCCCTGGTCGATCGCGACGGACATGGCATACGTCACATCCTTCTGCTCATTCTTCCGTCGGTTCTCCCATGCCTTGGTGACCTGCATCGGGTCGGACGGCTGCCAGACGATAGGCTTCGGGAGATGCGCGAGGCGGTTCGAGTTGTTGGCGTGCGGGATGTGGTACGGCGTGTGGTGATAGGACAGGCTCGAGATGTTCCTCGTCAATTTGCGCGACGAGTTGAGGAGAGTGAGCGTGCGAAGCACTGTCCGCCGAGGAGAGCGTGGGTCAGCGAACTCTCGAGAGCGCAATTTGGGGCAGCTTGGGGACGCACTGTTGATTCGAATCGTGTTCTCGTCCGTGGCGCTGTCTAGCAAGGCCTCCCTGATCTGTGGACGGTACAGTCGACGCAGGTTCGCCAACCGACCCATGTCGCCGCGAGAGACGTGCCACAGCCCGCGCCAGAACGAGCGGTAGAGCGAGCGAGCTTGGAAAGCAGTCGACATGGGCGTTAAAACCAGTCACAGCCCAGCAAGCGTATGTGGGCGACGTCGTCGAGGGCAAGGTCGTCTCTCGTCTCTTCATCAGCGAAAACCGCTTCGTGCTCGTCACGCTTCCAGGATGGATTCGCCATCGCCAGGGGATTCTACAACCACCAACGAGTCATACGCCACCGCCAGCCAGGCGTCTGACGACTTTGCGCTCGCCGAATCGCTCCTCTCCTTGTCGCTCAACCATGGCACTCAAGCGGGGGCCATCGCGCCTGTCGTGGCTGGAGCAGCACTTGTGAAGGAGGAGGAGGTTTCTGCAGAGCTGCCAACGGAGCCGCCGGCCACCGCATCCACTGTCGACGCCTCCTCGCCCTCTGTCGCCCCACCTGCACCTCGCCGACCTCGAACAGCCGTCATCCTCCAGCCAGCTTGCGCCAACCACCGCTACATCCGCAACACCGACATTGGAACGATCGTCGAGCGGCCAGAGCGGTTAAGAGCGGTCAAGGTCGGTATCGCAGCGGCTTGGGCGAGGCTGGAGGAGCGTGAAGTCATGCGAGGCGGTGAGCGGTGGAAGCCGATCGAGGCGAAGGAGGCGGATCAAGAGAGCGATCTGGATGCGCTCATGGGCGGCTTGAGCATCGGCGGAGCGGGAAAGACCGGCGCAACGAAGCGAAGGAAACGAGAAGTCGTTGGCGGGCCCTTCGACATCCTAGAATCTTCGGCGGTGTTGGCGCTGGACGACTCTGCCCTCCAATACATCCATTCGAAACCGAATCTGTCGCCGGACGACGAAGCCGACGAAGCCGCCTGGACCTCCGCCTCTTCCGACTCCTCCCCAGACCCTCGATCTGCACCCGCCGCCGGTCCGACGCCAAGAGCTCCCGCAGCCCCTCCCGCATGGCCAGTCCAGCTCCAGCGCCTCTGCCGACAGTCAGCCTCGGCAGTTCAGCAGCCTCCTCATTCCGAGATCCCCGCCCATCTCCCGCAAGGCGATCTGTACCTCTGTCCCGGCAGCGAAGAAGCGATCTTCGGCGCTCTTGGAGCTGTCTGCGAGGGCGTGGATCGTCTTGTCGCCCGCGAACCGGACGCTGAGCAGGTTTACGACCGGGCCTTCGTCTCGGTAAGACCGCCAGGTCATGTACGTCCCGTCCATCTCCGCTCGTCCGACGAGACTGACTCCGATTTGAGGGCAGCACTGCGGCGAGGCGAATCCTCAGGGCTTCTGTTTCGTCAACAACGTCGCGGTTGCAGCTGCTCATGGTGCGTTACACGGTTTCATTCCCTCTCCCGGCCGCTCTGACCTCGCTTCTCGTGCAGCGCACCTGAAGCACGGCATCAACCGCGTCGTAATTCTCGACATCGACTTGCACCACGGCAACGGAACCCAGGAGATTGCTTGGCGGATCGGCGCGGAGGCGAACCGAATCCTGACCGAGCGACGAGCGAAGACGCCTTCTGCGTCGCCTCGCAAGGGGACAGGATCCTCGCCGAAAAAGACAGCGGCGCCTCTTCCTCCTCCGACAGCTCCGCCTCGACCGCTTCAGATCATGTACGCCTCCTTGCACGACATCTGGTCTTACCGTGCGTCCTGCCTCTCTCGCCTAGGTCTTCACGCTGACCCTTCATGCTACAGCTTGCGAGGACGGCGACCCTGGCCTTGTCGCAGCCGCTTCGACAAATCTCGCCGGCGGACACGGACAATGGATCTCGAACGTTCACCTCGAGCCGTGGCGCGACGAGCAGCACTTCCACAACGAGCTGTACCCGGGGTATCGCGAAGGATTGCTCGGGCGAGCGGAGGAGTTTTGCCGGAAGGTTGAGGAGGAGGGACGAGTTGCGGGAGAGAAGACGCTCGTCATCGTCTCTGCCGGTGCGTCGCCCTCTTTTCGCGCTTCCTGATGCACTAACCCACCTTTCCTCGCAGGCTTCGACGCATCTGAGCATGAGTCTGCCGGCATGTCTCGACACCTTCGCAACGTCCCAACCTCGTTCTACCGGCGCTTCGCCCGCGACACAGTCGACTTTGCCGCTTCCTTCGCTCGTGGGAAGGTCCTGGCGGTCCTCGAAGGCGGTTACTCGGATCGGGCGCTGGCCAGCTCGACCGCGTCGTTCTTGACAGGTCTTGTTGCGACGTCTGGCTCGTCCGCATCGCAAGGCCCGCCCGCGGATGTCGAGGAGGATGCATGGTGGACTGAGGCGACGCTCAAGAAGCTCGAGAAGGCATGTTCGGTCGCCAAGACTCGTCGTGCGGCCGCTCCGCCTAGCCTCGTCGGTGTTGATGCATCCGCAGAAGCTTGGCTCTCTCGGAGTGTCGACATCTTCAGCCGACTCGAAGACGTCGCTGCGGCGTCAAGTAAAGCATCCACAGCGGCCGCTACAGCAGGACAGGCGGACAACTCGCCAACCACGTCCCGACAGCTGCGCGAACGTCGCGCTCGCCCGAACTACGCCGGTCTCGACGACGGGTCGACGCCTCTCCCATCTCCCTCGCGCTCGACTGCGTCCCAGCCTCGTCGAATGGCATCTTCGTCGCGCTTGAAGGCCGAGAGGAACGCTCCGCCCGTCCTTCCGCCTGCCATCCCGACGCTTCCTGGACCGCCTATCACCAAAGCCACGATCTATCCTCCGCCGTCGGCCGAGTCGACAGTCCCCGACGCGCCAACGACAATAGCGCCGCCACCGCCTCCTTCAAAGCAGACGATCCGTTTCACGTGGAAGGAAGGTGGTTTCAGCGGTCCGCCACGGATGTAGCGCTCTTGGCGTGGTCCTGAGCGTTCGTTCGATTTCTGCGAATGTACGTCTCGTCGTCTCCCCTGCGACTTCGACCTGCAGACCGTTCAACGCGCTCGACTACATAGCCAAGAGGCGACGCATCTTCGTTGGTAGGCGCTCCTGCGTCCCTGCGTACGCCCAGTCTGCTGACGGCCGATTGCGAGTGGCCTGGTGTGAGACGCTGGGCAGAACGAGATCTGCTGCTGCGTTCGTGGAGAAGCTGGGAGGAGGCTCAAGGAGGCCGCCTGCTGTCCCGCTTCGCCCGCAGCGCGTTGTTCTGTCGGAGCCTGCGCAGGTTCCAGAGCTCTGTCTCAGGGAAAGGCGAGCGAGAGCGAGAAGAACAACTCTGAATCCCTTTCGAAGGCGATGCGAATGAACCGTGGAACACCTCCCTCCTTCCCTCGTCCCGCTCCGGTTTGCCCTCGTCGGAATTGCATCGTTCCCGTCGACCGCGGCATGCTACCGAGCCGGGCGAGTGGGCGGGCAGATGAAAAGCCCGATATGATATGGATTTGCCTAGAGGTGACAAGCTACAGCTGCGAAATGTTACGGCGGAGGAGGACCAGCTCCCGTGTCGTGCCATATCTGCATGGCTGGCGGCGGATTGGGATCGTAATAGGGCTGCGGAGGCGCAGATGCGAGGGTATTGGGAAGCGGGGCTTGCGGGAGGCGATAGCCTGTGAGAGGCGGGGGAGGAGGGAGGTCGGCGAGCGGCGAGGGGAGCTGCGACGTCGTCGACAGCGGCGAGGTCTGCGACGACATGAACGACTCCATCGAGCTCCTGCGCGACCGCGCCGTCGATCCGCTCTGCGACTGCTTCTCGAGCTTGCGCATGATTCGCGCTCGACTGGGTCGCGGTGCGAGAAGGTGAAGCGAAGTTGCTCCGCCGCGCCGAAAGTTGGGATGCGACCAGCCCGAGTACTGGCTCGAGACGCGGCCTTCAAGGTCGAGACCGGCACGAAGCTGGGCGACGGTCATTCGCTGGAAGCTGTAGACCTGCGTGCGAGCGAAGATCAGCAATGCGTACGGCAAGACGGCTGCAAGATTGCGCACATTCAGCTGGCCTGCAAAGCGCGATGCATCAGCCCACTGCAGTCTGAAAGAGAAAGAGGGAGTCGGCGTACGCGTGAACGAGTGGATGTTCTGGTGTCCAAAGCTGGCCGGCAAAACTTCGTTGATGAAGCGGTCGTTGTGCGCGACGAAGAAGGCGTCTCCGGTGTGGCTGCACGGCGAGAGGTTCAGCTCAAAGACGTCATGAAGCTGTCGGCACACGTACTTCCAGAGAATCACGTCTTGGTATAGCTGCGGATCCGCGAGGAGGTTGTACAGCTTCTGCACGAATGGCTTGATCTCTGGAGGGAGCGTCTCGTTGGCGACCTGCATCGGCGCGCCAGTCAGCATCATGCCTTGAACGAAAGGTAAATCGCACGCACCTCAGGCAGAGCGACGACTCCGCCAGCGAGCGGACTGGTCGTGTACGAGTCTCCGCTCGTGCTGCTCGCGGTCGAGTACCGCCGCCCATCTTCCGTCCAGCTCGTCGAGGGTCCGAGTCCGAGCGAGTCGTGCCGGGAAGACGAGGACGAAGGGCCCGCTACCGCCGGAACCCACGAGGGATCCGGCAAAGCGTTCCAGCGGGCAGACTCGACGGACGCAAAGGTCGTGTCGTGTGTGTAGGCGGGCGGGACGGCGAGCACAGTGTGTTCGAGGGGAAGTGGGGGGCGCAGAGGGAAGGGCGCGAGGATAGCAGGGCGGGGAGGATCGTCTCGGTCGTAGGGGACGGGGACGGAGACGAGTTGAGGTGCTGGATGAGGGACTGGCGGGGCATACGGCGCTGGCAGGACGGCCTGGAGAGTCTGCTGGCTGTGTGCGTCCGTCGACGGAGCGGTTCCCGCCAGGGACGCGCCAGTCCCTTCGTCGGGCGGAACTTGGGAAGGTGCAGCTGATCTGTCTCGAGGGTCGAGTTCGCGGCGAGCGTGGGCCTGCCAACCTTGCCCGCCGTCGCTCGGGTACATCTGGCACAGCAACGTAGGCAGCGCTGGTCGCCAGGCGAGGCGGAGAGGTAGGCGATAGCAAGCAAGCGGGAGCGAGACGGCGGGGCGGAGAGGACCAACGAACGAGGTACAGCACGCAGCGAGCAGCCCGCCGGGCCTGCTGCAGATGCGCGTTCTGCGATTGGAGAATCAGGCCCTCCAGGGCACGGAACACTTCGTCTGAGGGAGACCAACCCGAGGATGGTCCCGGTTCTCGCCAGCAGCCCAGCGCGCTTCTCTCGCGGGCCGGACAGCGATCGAGTACTGTATTTACAGTGAGCGGCAGAGGCAGGTCACTGTCATCGTCGTCCGCGCTGGGCAAGCCAAGCGAGCGAGGAGAGACCGTATGTACCCTTCGCGCGCAGTTGAGAGAGCACCCACCCGCCCGGCCGTCTGAGCTTCCTTCGGGCGGAGGACCCGGCATTCCAGAGGCGCAAGGAAGCGGGTTTCCCCTTCCCCTCCCCTTCCCTTCCCTCCCTTCGAGAGCATCGACTCGCTCGATCACTTTCGTTCAAGCTTTTGAGAGCTCTTGCGACGAGGGTCGCGGTGTGCGGGGGGCAGGAGAGCGGGCCGGTCATCGAGCGAGTGGAATCGATTTGTGCTCGGTCGCTCGGCGAGAAGGGAACTGTGCTGCGAGGGAGACGAAGGAGGAACGAGCGAGTATTGAGAGTGCGACGATGTCGTGGACGCGGAGAAGGCGGAAGCTTCTTCGACCCTTCTATGATGCGTGCTCTGTCTCAGATTAGTTAGCGCACTTCGCGGGCTTCCGTCAATCGCGAGGAACGCGAGTCGCGCAAGCTTCCGTCCCGTCCGCCGGCTCTCCCTTCGCTTGGTACAGGCTGCGATGACGAGGTTTGCAGGCTACAACAAGTGGCGAGGAGACTGCGAGCGATGGGTACGTATGAGAGGGTTCCGGGGCACGGCGGGAGGGGGAACAACAATGCGGCGGCGGCGGTGACGAGAGAAGCTGGTGCGTGCGGCGTCAAGAGAGGTCTAGGGGTAAGGCGAGTGCGAATCGAGTATGTACAGCTAGGAAGACACCTGCGTGCGAGAGAGAGAGAGAGAGGTCAGCGGAGGGCGGAAAGCGAGATCTCGAAGAGAGCGGGACGCACATGGTATGGTACGGGAGAGAGGCTATGTACGCGAGGAACAAGCGTGTCGCCTTTTTCGAGATAAGCCGGGTAAGGTCACCAGCCGTCCATGCCAGACTTGATGGGCGGCATCGGATACGGCTGGCCCTGCCAGAGGAAGCCCAAATGGCTCGCTTCAGGCGTGGTAGGCGAGTCGAGGCTGGACGCCGAATCGGTCGACGAACCCGATTCGCGGCGCGCCGAGTAGTCGTTGACGAGTGCGTAGCCGGGCGGTGGAGCGGTCAGGGTCGGGAACGACGACGAGCCGATCGCGCGCGCTGCAGCGCTCGCCGCCGCCGCCGCCACCTGCTTCGCCTTGCGCTCCTTCTCGTGCTGCTCGTGCTCGAGGCGCTCGTGCTTCTCCGCCTTCTTGAGCATCCGCGCGCGAGAGGGACGAGGGTTGAGCAGGTGCAAGGACGACTTGTCGTCCCGCGTGAAGAGGGCGTGCGACCACCCGCTGTAGCCTTCTTGGGACTTGACGTCCATGCGCGACATGAGCTCCGAGTTGGACAGGCGGCGGAAACCGTAGACCTGCGGATGGAAAAGCGCAGAGTTAGCCTCGGAAAAGGGAAGGTGGAGGTACGAAGAGCGCGACGGACGTTGAGTTGGCCTGCGCGACGAGTGCGAGTCAGTCTACGCGTACGACAGAACACGAACGAGATGGACGCACGCGTGAAGCTGGCGAGGTTGCGGTGCCCAAAGAGGCGCGGGAGGACCTCGTCGCAGAAGCGCTTGTTGGCGTTGACGATGAAGGCCTCGCCCGTCGAGTCCCACACGATGCAGTCCTGGTAGCTCTCCGGGTTGCCGAGAAGGTGGTTCAGCTTGGCGATGAACGGCTTGACGCGCGGAGTGAGGCCGATGGGTCCCTCGACGACGTTCTGCACGGCGGAAGGGTCAGCGAACGCTCGACTGAGGGCGCCATCCTGTGCACGACGCACATCTGCCTCGAATCCGCCACCGAAGCCCCTGCGAGCGGCGAGCGTGCCGGCAGGGAGCGGAGTTGCATCGTCGGCGACGGAGGGAAACGCGCCGAGGACCTCTCCGACGGTGACGGTCGGGGACGCTGCGAGTTGCTGTGCGATGACGGGCGAGGTGCTGGCTGAGAGGAGCGGGTGGTGCGGGGGGTAGGTCGGCGAGGTGGGCGAGAGCGGGAGGGAGAAGGCGGCGGGTGCGAACGAGGGCAGCTGGGTTGCGGTCCATCGGCTGCTCTCGACGGCGCCGAGGAGGGCGGGGCTGTGGTCTGGCGGGAGTGTGAACGGGGTGGAGAACGTCGATCCGTGAGCTGGGCCCATTGCGAGAGAGCGCGAGGAGCCGTGGTGCGGTGCGAGGTCGTCGAGCGGGAGCGAGAGCTGCGGGTGTTGTTGCGGGTCGAAGGGCGAGCCCATGTGAGCAGCAGCGATGGAACGGGCGTAGGAAGCGTCGAACGTGGAACCGTGTTCGTCGACAGAGGCCATGACACCAGACGAGGGTTCGGAGAACAAGTTGGCGCAAAGTGGGGAACGGCGGCGGCTGCGGGTCGACTGTGAGCTGGGCTGAGTTGGCTGGGTGCTGTGTGTGTGTGGGAGTGAAGCAGACGAGCGCAAGAGTGCACAGCTCGAGCAGACGGAGAGCGAGTGAGAGCGGGACGATGAGGGCGTGCTGCTTCAGGGCAGCGAGCGAGCGAGGGCGAGCGAGGGGAGCCTTGCGCAGGAATGCGAGACCATGCTCGCATTCTGGCCAGCGAAGCACACTCGCCTGCTCACCCAGCACAGCACTCACAGGAGCAGTCCAGCAGCAGCACAAGCAGCACGGAAAGCAGAAGAGAGCAGCGCGAGTCGCTCCCTTGCAGCTCGTTCTCCTCGCCGGCGACGATCTTCTGGATGCCTCGTCGCTCGGGCACATCGAGCAACCCGATCGACCGCAGAAGCGCCGCAACTCGCGCCTTCTTTTCGTCCCCTTCCGCTCCCTCGTCGCGCTGCTCGACCTGGTTAACCTGGGGATGCTCGAGCGGGTGGAGTGGCAATCCATGGTTCTCACAGGACGAGGGCAAGCGCAATCAAGCTAGCTAGCAAGACCGAGTTTGCGAGCCTGTCCTCCGGGAGTGTTCGCAACAGGGCCGCTCTTGGGGCCGCTCGAGCGAGAGCACGCATAACAGTCCAGCAAGCAAGTCATCGTCGAACACTCTGCGCCGTACTTGCTGTCGAGGAGCAAGGAGATTGAAGCAAGTTGAAGGTTGAGGAGAACTCGAAGTTGGAAGGACGACTCTGTTTCCCACTCTTGCGCCCGGTCTGTCCCCCTTTCCCGTAGCAGCACAGCCCTTCGCCGCAGTCCGGGATGACGTCGCGAGATCAGCAAAGCGAGAGCAGGCAGAGAGAGAGAGAGCGCGCGCCTAGCGATTTTGGCAAAGTCCCGCTCGACCACAGGACGGCGCCAGGATGAGCGGGGTCGACAGCGCGCCCGACAAGCTCCCGCAGATTGACAAGAAGGCGTACGATGCGCAGATCCACTTCCCCGGCGAGGGGTACAGGTGCGTCCAGCAAGCCCCACTCGTCGACGACGAGCGCATTCAAGGACTGACACGCATCCCGGCTCTCCTATCCTCCTTGGCGCGCAATGCAGCGGCAAGAACAAGGTGTGTGCTCGCGCTCTTCGTCGCTCTCGTCCTCCCGCTCACCCTGCGCTCGTCGTCGGCAGGTCCCGACCGTCTCTGCCTTTCTCGCGCGTCAACAGGTGAGTACCCAAGATCGTATTCCGCAGTCCCGCCTACGACTCGACCGTGCAAGTTACTGAGCGCTCGGTGCGTCTCGCAGGCCATGACGGAGGACCACTCGGCCGAGGTCGACAAGCTTCGTGCGTCGCGGGCACAACAGTCTCAAGCCGAGCAGGCGAAGCGCGACCGCGAAGGCGGAAGTGCGGCGGACGTGAGTGACGGAGCCAAGACGGATGCGGCGGCGCAGGGAAAGTCGGCGGGACAGCTCGAGAAGGAGGAGATGATGAAGAAGGCGAGGGCGAACCATCAGCCCAATGCCCAGGACTTTGAGGCCCAGGGCGAGCGCGAGGTGTTCGATCCCGTCACGCACAAGATGGTCGTCATTCGCGATGCCAAGCTTGAAGGTGCGTCGCGTTGAACGAGGAAGAGATGTTGGCGACCTTCGCAACGTTCGCTCACCCTTTCCCGTCGCGCCGCAGACTTCCAGAACCCCAAGCTCTTCGACCCTCAGAACCTCGACCCGTCAAACCTCGGCACAGGCGGGCCCTCGACGAACCCTCCCTCCAGCGGCGGGGCGTCAATCAAGCACACGACCCCTCTGCCCGTCGAGCCGTCCAACATCAACTTCTTCCCGTACCCTCCTCCCGTCGACCAAAACGGTCTCAAAGCCATCACGCGCACGATCAACTCGTATGCGCTCGCGATCCTCGGCGGACTAGGCGTGATCTGGTTCTTCACGGCTTGGAGGGCGGGATGGGCCGCGTTTCTCTTCCGCTCGCAGGTTATCGGCGCAGTCGCGTTGTGCGTCTTCTTTGCGCATGGCATCGTCGTGAGGAAGATCGAGAAGGAGCTCGAGCGCATCCGCCTCGAGATGCACAAGCAGCGCGGGATGAAGTTTTCGCCCCCGACGCCCGAGTCGGTCGAGTGGCTCAACGCGTTTACCAAGGTGCGTGTGCTGTCGCTGCTTGCCCTCGAAGACCGGCGGGTCCCGGCTCGCTAGTCGACGAGGTTAGGTCGGTCGTGTGGTCATGCTCACCCTCCGTTCGTGCGCAGGTCATCTGGCCGCTCATCAACCCGGATATGTTCACCTCGATCGTCGACATGATTGAGGACACGCTCCAAGCCTCGTTGCCTGGGTGCGCTCGCATCCCCGCCTCCTCTCGCCGCCTCAATTCCCCCCTGATAATGCTAACGAGCTTTGCCTCGCAGCTTTGTCGACGCGGTCAAGATCGAAGACATGACTATCGGCAAGAACGCCTTCCGGATCCTCAACATGCGTGCATTGCCGGACCAACCCACCGACCCGGACTACCCGAAAGAAGAGTGGATCGATCAAGGTGACCGCGAGGCTGCGCTCGACCCGAACAGGCGCATCAAGAAGGAGAAGAAGAAGGAGGAGGAGTCGGATGAGGTTATGAAGCAGGAGAATCCCGAGGACGAGGACCAGACGGGCGACTACGTCAATTACGAGATCTCGTTCGCCTAGTGCGTTGCTCGCCGTCCTCTGCCGCTCAACCTTCTATTGGAGTACACTGACGCCAAATTCGCCCGCAGCTTCGCCCCGCCGGGCAAGGAAAAGCTTCACGGCGAGAACATCTCGCTGATCATCAAGTTCTTCCTCGGCATGCACGACCTCTTCCACCTCCCCGTGCCCATCTGGATTGCCGTTGAGTCGATTGTCGGAACCATCCGCCTCCGATGCCAGATGGTCGCCCAGGCGCCGTTCATCCGCAACGTCACGTTCACGCTCATGGGCGTTCCGGCTATCGAGGCTGTGCGTTCGAGTCGCTTCCTCCGCTTCACTTGACGATGCTGATGGGTTCCCGCATAGTCTGCCATCCCGCTCTCCCGCGCTCTGCCGAACGTCCTCGACCTCCCGCTCATCAGTGGCTTCGTCAAGTCCGCCATCGCCGCCGCGTGCGTCCCACTCCCCTCGCTCTCGCTTTATCTGCATCCTCAGCACTGACACGACGCTTGCACGCAGGTCCTCCATCTACGTACGCCTTCGTATCGTCATCGGCAACTTGGGAAGGTCCCGCTGACCCTCTCTTCCTCCCGCCTCGCAGGTCGCTCCCAAGTCGATGACTATGAACATTGTGCGTCGCGTCGCTCTGTAGCCTAGACTTGCGGGCTGACGAGGCTGAGGGACAGGCGCAAATGCTCGCCGGCGACGGAGTCAAGCGCGGTACGTCCTCCCCGTCGCTCTGCGACTTCGCCAGACGGTTGCTAACGCTTTGATACAGACACTTCGGCGTTGGGCGTCTTTCAGATTACGATTCATCACGGCGCCGGTTTGTCTGCGCAAGTACGCCATTTCGACCGAACTCGCGCTCTAGAGGACCTCGGAAAGCTTACCTTCGCTGTCTCCTCACAGGACGACAACGGCTCGAGCGACCCGTACGTCGTCATCGCCTACAGCAAGTTCGGAAAGCCTGTGAGTATCCGTGAGCGGAGCGTCGTCGTCGCCAGGACTTACGCTTGTCACCCTTCAGCTCTTCTCGACGCGCATCATCCGCGAGGACCTCAACCCAGTCTGGGAGCAGACTGCCTTCATCCTCGTCTCGGCCGACGAAGTGCGCGCAGCCGAGAACCTCTCGATCCAGCTCTGGGACTCGGACCGCGTCTCGGCAGACGACCTTGTCGGCCGCATCCAAGTTCCCATCACGGAGCTCATGCTCAAGCCGAATGAGATGCAGCACCGTACTGATAAGCTCATGGGCTTCGAGGGTGGGTCGTGACCGTCCCCCGCCGACCAGCTCGCTGCTGATGAGCCGTACTTCGCAGATGCCGACGAGATGTCCGGTACCTTGACGTGCGTCCGCCTCCACCGTCCATCACAGGCACTCTCAACGCGTGTACTGACGCGCGAAGGGGTGCAAACGCAGCTGGTCGGTCGCCTACTACGAAAAGGCCAAGCTCAACCCGGACCTCAAGAAGGAACCCGGCATCGACCACTCGCTTCCCAAGGAGCTCCAGGACCACCCGCAGCTCAAGATCGAGGAGAACAAGCAGGACACGCCCGAAGAAGCCGACGTCGAGCGCACTCCGCCCGACCCTCAGTACCCGTCTGGCATCCTCTCGGTCATCATCAACCAGATCCACTCGCTCGAGAGGCAGAATCTCACCGGTGCGTCCGGCAAGAACCGAGAAGGCCAGGCTGGACAGGACACGGACGAGGCGTCGGAGCAGAACGGCAACTTGCCGTCGTCGTACTGCGAGGTGCGTCTCCCTTCTCCTCCTGCCGCTTGCCGCCCATCCTAACGGATCTCCTCCGCAGATCGTGGTCAATGACGACCTGTGCTACCGGTGCGTGACCGTTTCCGACGCTGTTGAAGCGAAACTCGGGCGGGATCGGCCAGGAGGCTTCCTCCTCCTCCTCGACTACTTCCCTCCCTCCATCTCCCGCACTGACGCGCTCCTCGTCACGTGAAAAAGCACGAGGGTCAAGCAATACACCCAAATGCCCTTCTTTTCCGCCGGAACGGAGATGTTCGTCCGCGACTACACCAAGACTTCGCTTCGGATCGTTGTCCGCGATGCCCGCCTCCGCGAGCATGACCCGATCCTCGGCATCGTCGACCTGCCTCTCCAGAAGACTCTCGCACACTCTTCGCAGGTCACGCGCATGTACTCGCTCCAGGGAGGAGTCGGATGGGGCAAGGTCAGCGTCTCGATCCTCTTCAAGGGCGTACAGATGAGTCTTCCGAAGGAGCTCAGCGGCTGGGAGACGGGTACCGTCGAGATCAAGGGCCCCATCAAGGTCGAGGCGGTCGCCGGCGCCGACTTTGACTGGCGCGAGAAGAAGCTCGTCCTCTCGACGTCGGAAGCCAGCACGAAGATCTCGGCTCGCGCGGCCAACTCCAACGGCGACGGCGCTCTCGAATGGGACATCGACCACGACATCCGCCTTCCCGTATACGACCGCTACTCGTCGGCACTGTATCTCGACTATGGCGGCTCCTCCGTCAAGGTTGGCCCGCTCGGCTCGAAGCGCGACGCCTTTGCTGCTCTTTGTGCGTCCGCTCTCGCCTTTCTGATTTCCGGAGGACGCCTGTCTGACCGCCTCGCCACTGTACAGGGCTCGCTGAGCTCATCGACGACGAGCCGAAGGAAGTCCGCTTGCCGGTCATCGTCGCCAAGTCGCCGGCGGTCCGCTTCAACTACATCAACGACCAGTGCCAGAAGACGCACGACTACGAGATCGTCGGTTACCTCACCACGACGGTCGTCCTCGACTCGGGACTCGACGCCGATCACGAGAAGTGCGTGCCTCTGCCTCGTTTCTCATGCTGACCTGACACCAACGCATATTCCCCACAGGTACGCCACAACGCAGACGGCGAGGCACGAGTTTGAGCAGTACGACCGCGTCGTGCGTTGTTTCGGCTCGTCCCTTCCTCGCATCCCAGATTAACCTCTGCTTCGCTCGTAGGAGGGACAAGCCGCGCAGGCCGAGACCAATGCTCACGCCAACGATGACGGCGTTATTGACAAGGAGGAGCAGAAGCAGATCGACCGCGCTCACAAGAAGGCGCTCGAGTCTCGGTGCGTCCACCTCGTCGCGTCTAACGCAATCTGCTTCCCTGATACCTCTCTCCAATCGCAGCCACCGCGGCAAGATGCAGTTCCGCCCGTACCGCACCGCTGTCTGGGCCAAGGACGGCCTCAAGGACCGCGCGAGGGGCCTCAAGGACAAGCTCACCGGCGGCGGCAAGAAGGAGGAGACGATCGCGACTGAGGGAGCTTGAGTCCGCTCGTTTGTCTTTTCCACTTCGCCTGTACATACCTGCATTAGTTCCCTGCTATCGTCCATTCCCACACGCTCGCCTCTGTATATACTCAACGCCCCGACCGAATACCTCTTGCAATACACTCCGCCTTGCTTCCGTTCTCGTCAGGGAACAGCGATCGTAATCCTCAGAGGGGCAATTGCATCAGCGCCAGTGCTACGCGACGGGAACCGCCTGCGGCGGCGCCTGCTGCTCCCTCTTCCTCCTTGAAACCGGTCGGCCTTTCTCGCCTCCTGCCCTCCGCACGCCCATCCCGAACCTGGGCGTCCACTCGCCCAAGCTCCCATCCGCATAAAAGTCCATCGGGTAGTCCTCGTCGCCCTTCCTGCCATTCTCCAGCTCTGCCCGTCGCGGCGCAGGAACATCGTCAAGACCCATGTGCTTCCAGCCTCGCGCGCCTTGTGCGCCTAGCGCGACGGAGGCTTCGTACGACGAGAGGAGCGGGCGGGGGAAGGCGTAGCCCCAGTCGATCGAAAGTCGAGGACAGGAGGTTTGGACGAAAGTCGAGACTCCGCGCAAAAGGGAGAGCTTGGCGGGCGAGAGTTCGGAGAGGAGGATGGGGACGAACGGCGTCGAAGAAGAGAGTGAAGAAGGAGAGGAGGGAACGAGGGCGGTCGAGGCGGAAGAGGGGGGGCCTTCGAGATGCCGGGTGACCGACTGCGAGTGCCAAGGGTCAATCAAGTGCTCGGCAGTCAAGTCAGTCTTTGTAGCGCACCTTCAGCACTCGCAGGTTCCCTTGCCGACCAAGCGTGCCCAGCACAACTGCCCAAGCCTCCTTTTCGTCCTCCGCCTGCTGCTTCCCGTTCTCCACCAGACTCTCCCTTGCTTGCGCGACCGCCTGTCCGCGCACCCGCCTCATCTCCTCGTGGTCATACAGCTCGCGGGTAAGTCGCTTCGTGTACGGGTCGTAGCGGAAGGCCGGGACGGTAGGGTTGGCAATCATGATCGACTCGAGGTGGAAGCGGCCGTCTCCGACGTAGCTGTGGGAACCGCATCAGATCAGCCAGTCGCTCCGAGTGAAGATGGCAGGAAAGCTCACAGCAGAGCATCGATATCGCTTGCCAGCCGCGGCGCCGTGCAACCGAGAATCTCGCCAGGACTGAGCGGCTTGACCTGCGGCACAACGATCTCAAACCGGTCCTTCTTCGGCTGCTCAGCCTGCGCCGCCTTTGCTTCATCGTCCGATGAGGGCGCCGCCTCAATCGCCAGCCGTTCCACCTGCGCCGCCTCCTCCGCCTCAAGGTCCGCCTTGAGACCCTGCACAGCAGCGACGAACTGAATCGTGCCGACCACAGCCAGCTTCGTCACGCCGTCCGCCTTCTTCTCGTTCGTCGCAGGTGGTGCGGGAGCGGACGAGCTCTTCGCGCAGCCGCATGACCCGCAATCTGCGGCCGAACAGCCGGACGAGGAGGGTGCCTCGATCGCAATCTCCAGTTCCGGGCCTTTGCCCTTGGCTGATCCAGAATCGGGGAGCGAGCGAGACGGGATGCAGTGCGGGAAGTTGAGGCGGACGGTCGCTGCGAGGTGAGGACGGTCGACGGAGATCTCGACAAAGACGTAAAGGGTCTTGATCGTCGTCGTGTCGACCGGGACTGCGAGACGGCCTGTCAGCAGGGGACGCACTCCAGGTGATCGAGCGCAACGCACCTAAGCAAGAGTGGCCGTAGTGGATCATCATGTCGCAACCGAGAGCGCGAGCGGTGTAGTCGTCGATGCAGCACGCGCCGTAGGTCACGTCGCCCATAATGACGCACTCGCACTCGGCGAAGCGCTCGATGATGTCGACGAGGGCACATCCATACATGGCGAGACCCTCTGGCATCTGCAGCGCAACCCGTTTCGCTCCATTCTTGCGGATCTGGGCGACCGACTTGGGGATCTCGAAGTTGTAGTTGGAGGGGAGGAGGTGCTTGATCGCTGCTTGAAGAAGTGGGTCGACCTCCTGCTGCTGCTGCAGGACGGACGCAGCGACGACAGGCGTCGCCGAAGAGGTCGAGGGGCGAGGAGAGGCGGTCGAGGAGCGTCCGACGAAGCGCTTGCGCGGGAGCTTTGGCGCTTCGCTCGGCGTCCCCGTTATAGCAGTATCGGCGTTCCTAGCAGGTTCAGCAGCCATTTTAAGCGACTCGAGTGTGGTGGCTCGGAGCAAGAGAGGGTTGGCGAGCTCACGAAGCGACAACTCGCCGCGATCCGCTTGCTGGTCAGGCTGGACTAGCTAGAAAGTGTTCTGCTGGTGTGCTATGGCCCCTGCACAGGCTGGAACAGGCGCCAACCCAGCTCGTTCCGCCCACACCGCTTCATCAATCCGCGCTCGCTCGAGGCATGATCCGGCAGACCCACAGCGCAAGACGGTATACAAGCCTGTGCTTGTCAATCCGCTGGCGGTGCAATGGTCAGTCCGGTTGTTCAACGGCGCCAGGCTGTCGCGAATTGACGACTTTTCCCTCGCTCAATCAGGCCTCCCCTCCCGGCTCCCGTTCGCCAGGCAATTCTCGATGAGCTGCTGGCTCTGCTTGACTCGGCGAAGAGTGAGAATGGCAAGGGCATAGCGGAGTGGAGGTTGGACGGGCATATGAGGCGGAAGAACAACTTAAAAGCGGTCAAAGGGAAGGGAAAGGCGAAAGGAAAGGGCAAGGTGCGCGCAGGTGCGACGGTGACGGGCGTAGAGGCGAGAAAGGACGAGGGCGCGCCGTTTCGCGAGACGCACGACCTTACGACTCGCTCCTCCTCAACCTATACCATCCCGATCTCGACAACTCACGCGTCCCCCTCCACCTCGACTTCGTCCGCGGTGATGTCCGACTCCGCTGCTCCTTTTCTCGACAACCTCGTCATCGGCATCAACGAAGTCACTCGCGCTCTCGAATCTCGCATGCGCTGGGAACGGTGGGAACTCGGCGACGACTCCGCCGCGCCGCCTTCGTCCTCCAGAAATCGCGACGGCGCCGTCGAGGCAGACGAGTCGGCGATTCGCGGACGCCAGAGGCGGCACAAGTCGAAGGCGGAGAAGGACGGCGGAGAAAAGACGGTTCCCTCGGCGCTGCCCTCGAGCGACAGGCGTCTCGCAGCACCGCCGACTTTGAGAGATCATCCGGCGTACGCTTTTGTCGGCAATGCGGGAGGACGACGAGTTGCTGAGAAGGAGGTGAAGCCGGACTATCTCATGAAAGGAAGGGCGGAGGGCGAATGGCGGCTGCTGGTCAACTCGGAGATGCGGAGACTGCGAAGTTCGCCCGGCGACTCGAGCTCGACCAGATCGCCGAATCGCGAGACGCAGAGCGCAGCTTCGGCCGGTCCCGCCTCTTCCGCCCTTCTTCCCACTCAGCCTTCCCAGCCCACCGTGTCTGCCTCACTCGTCCTCGACGAAGCGCGCTCCAGTCTCGCTCGACCGACAGTTCCTCTCATCGACCTCGTCTTCGTTTGCCGGCCCGACATCAACCCTCCCTCGCTGGTCGCCCATCTCCCTACCATGGTCGCTGCCGCGAACGGTATTCAGGAGGCGCTCGACTCGGTTCACGCCTCCTCTGATCCGGCAAAAGAGGCGATGGTCGTGGAAGATGACGAGCAGCGTCAGGGGAAGAGGCCAGAGATGCGGAAGGTGCTGCTTGTCCCGCTTGACGTCGGTGCCGAGAGACGGCTAGCGGACAAGCTGGGCTTGCGAAGGGTTGCTGCGATTGGTCTTTCGGTGCGTCCTGCTCCCCTCTGCCCTGTCAATCGCGCCTGCTGACGAGCATTGTCGAAACAGTCTCTGCTGCCGTCCGCCGCTTCGCTTTTCGCCCTTCTCTCGTCGACGCCGTCACTCACCACTCTCTCCGCGCCCTGGCTCGTACCCCATCTCTTGCACCCCGTATCTTCCGCCTCGCCCGCCAAGTCGCTCTACCAGCCCACTACGATCAAGCACCTCAAGACGTCTGCGCCGCTCAACCCGCGTGCAGAGGTGACGAGGCGCAAGGAGGAGAAGCGGAAGAACAAGGGCGAGAGGAAGGAGCGGCGAAAGAAGCGGAGAGTCGGAGAGGGTGAGGCGGAAGGATTGTATGTCGCCGAGGACTGATGCGCTTGCAAATGCGGAAGAGTCTCGCAGACTCGGCATTCGCGAGATGTCAGAGAGAAAGCAGTCGCTCTAAGAATGCTTTGCAAGGACTAGCGAGAGGCGGCCGTGAAACAGACGGGTGCATCGGCATACAACAACAGCTGAAACGGTACATGCACGGCCGCTTGGTAGGTAGAAGGAATGACGATGTAACCTGCAGGCATCGGCCACACGAAAGTGTGAACGAACGGTCTGGAGGGCGGGAACGGCGGGCGCACCGTGTTCTCGCGGATCCAGTCTGAAGAGCGGCGTGACGACGCCGCAAGGATAGTCGGCGTACGATCCCGACGTAGCTACAAGCTTGTCAGGCTCGCCGTCAGAACCCACCGAGTAGACGAATAGCGAGACGAGCTTCGGCTCAGTCGGCGTCTGCAAGCGGATCCTGTTCGGACGAAACGTCAGCGCGGGACAACGCGAAGCCGCCATGCTGGCGCACTTGACGTTGGTAGTCGTCTCAAGTCGCAGCGTGAACCTCGGGTTGCGCAGGACATCCTTCGAGCCTCCGTCCGCGCCGGGTGTCCAGCAGCCCTTCGCTTGCCGAGCATACATTCCCGCGCCTTCCGGCGGGATAGGCGAGAGCTCGACGATGAAGTTTGACTTGACGGAGACGGAAAAGTCGGCGAGATGTTGCGGCTGGAAAGACGAGACGACGAGAGTGTACGAGCCGGCTGCACGCTCTCGGGGTCAGCCTGATGAGAAGGACAGCGAGCACTGTACGCACCCGTAGCGCGAGCGCTAGAGCAGGAAGATCTGCCATAGCTATAACTCGCATCTCCCGCGAGCAGGTCTCGGTCTTCCATCCTGCATGTTTCGAAGTCGGTCAGCCCGTATCCGGCTGTCCTGCACTGGCAATGCGTACCGGTCTATCCGTTCGCCCTTTCCAAATACCACTCTCGCATTGATTGGCGAGTCCTTGTCCGTCTCTGCGACGACGTGTAGCTCGGCAGTCCGGGTCGACGAGCCAGGCGGCGGCGACAGCTTGAGGCTGTACTGCGGGTTATTGAGGAACGTGTAGCACGTGTGGTTACCGCCGGCAGTAGACGTCGTCCACCCGCCGCGAATCTGCAAAGGCAGCGTGAGCGACGGTTCGAGCGAGAGGGGCGATGCCATGCTCACCTCGCGGGCATACGGCAGAGGTGGTGGACCGGCAACAAAGTTGACCCTGTCGTTGCTATAAGCGCGCAAGGTGACGGCGAAGTCGGCGGCGGAGCCTTCGTGCGTGACGACGAGATCGTAGGTATCAGCGCCAGACTCAGGAAGGAAGCGGTACTGCTCACGGGAGCTCGTCAGCGACGTTACTCGAGCGTGCTGATCAAGACGCACCAGGTCGTAAAGATTGTCCGACAGTGACGACTGCCAGAGAGAGATTAGCGAGGCACTCAACGGAAAGAAACGACCGACGCACCGCGTCGTCCAGCCTCAAATTCGCGTCTCCTGGAGATCCGCCTAGGGATCGCGAAACAGTAATGCCCATGCACTCTCCCTTTTCGAACGGATTAGAGGTGTGCCGAGCCGCGAGAAGCCAGATTTCGGATGAGGCGCGGGCGCCGGATCCCACGTTGAGTCGCAGGCAGACAGCGTGTCGATAGGCTACGGGTAGCCGAATCAGTCCCTGAGCAGGCGAAGAGTCTCCTCGTCGCGCACCTGGTCTCGTCGACGTTGAAGTAGAGGACGCAGGCGGAGCGGAGCTATCGAGGCGAGGTCAGCGAAGGCCGGCAAGAAGTGCTGCGGTACGCACACATGGGCCGTGCATGACGCTGCGAAGGCGCTAGGGTCCCAGTTGACATGCAGCGAGGCGAAGTGTGCGGACAGCGCGTCCCAGTCGACGACGAGCGTAGCGGGCCCTGCGAGCAGCTGCGTGAGCGCATGCGAGGCGTTCATCGGTGGACGTGGACGCGACGCACCATCCGAGTCCAAGAGCGCTCTGCGGAGACCGGCGGTCCAGCTGTCGGGTTCTGTCGTCTCCGCTGGTTCGGTCGACCGCCAGGGATTCACGAGGACGAGCACACGTCTGCCAGCTTCTTCGCGAACGTCTGTCGGGCATCCTATCAGCTCCAAGACGCGTGAGAGGAACGAAGAGGCGGGCACCGATCACGGCGTAGTTGTGCGAAGGAACGAGTCCAGCTTTGACGAGCGCGGCGTCCGTCGTCTTGCCCGTGCCGACCGTCAGGACGCACTTGCCTGTGGAGTGACCAGTCAGCATACGTCTCGCGGCGTCAAGCGCGACTTACCAGCCTGGAAGCCGTCGCGAAGCCGTATCCAGGTCTTCTCGCTTCGAAAGGACGATCTGCGGGCGGCAATGGGTGAGTGGCCATCCCTTCGAGGTTGACGCGGTAGCTCACTGTAAGGAGATGTACTCGGGTATCCAGCCAGATAGTGCGCTGCGGACAGAGGTGAGCTTGCGCAATAGCAGTCGTAGGAGGGACACGCACTAGAGATCGTTTGCCGAGTTGCTGGACATCGCAAGGGATTAGAGGTGGAGGAGGGCGAAGCCACGCGAAGAGTACTCACGATCCAGCAAAGTCGTAGCCGCCCATCACGGTCAGGTACTGCGAGCGAAGAGTTAGCGACAGGGCAGCGCGGGAGGCGAAGCAAGACGGACCGCTTTCTCGACGAGAGCCGGCCAGAGCTGGTCGCGTTGGCGAGTACACGCGAAGCTCGGTCGGCCATCCGCTGTCACCGGCAGCTTGTCGTCGATTGCTGCGTCGCAGAAGAAGATGAGGCTGGGAAGGTCGATCTGGCAGGTCGAGGAAACTTACGGATCTATAGGAGCACCAGTCAGCGTAACATCTCGAGATGGGAGAAGGTACTCACAGAGCGCCAGACACCGTTGACGAGAAGGCGCGCGCGGTACATCCCATTAGGCGATTCGACAGGTAAGCCGGTCGCATCTTGAGGGTAAAGGCAGGAGAGGGCGAGCTGGTGAGCAAGCGTCAGCTACTGAGCGTACTGAAATTGGTGTACCGGCGCACCTTCGAGCCAAACCTGGCCTGATGTTCACCCGCGACGATGAGAGCAGCGACAACGGAACAGTCGGTGATGTTGTCCTGCACAATGTCCTGTCCTCGTATTCGCTCGTCCAACAGATTTGAATCCGGCAAGATGTCGGTGGCTCGTCGATAGGTACAGCCTTGAGCCTGCTGAGCTGGTGCGAGAGGCGGTTGCGGCAGTCTGCATGAAGTCTCGTCAGCCGCGAAAGCAGTGTGAGGAAAGGCAGCGAATCGTACGCCGACAGTCCCTCGTCCGCCTTCCATCTAGCCAGCTGTAAGCCGTTCACGAGTGAGCCCTTCTCGAGCACAGCGTCCTGTTCCTCTGTCGCGAAGAAGCTATATCAGCCCGACTCCGCATCCGCAAGACTGCACAACGCACCAAGCGCCAGGACATCCCGCTGCACGGGCCTGACCTCGCTCTTCCGCGCCTGCTTGATCCGCTCAGCCCGCTCTACCAACCTGCTCGAGACCGCCCTCAACTTCTGCTTCGTCTCGCCGTCGCTCGTATGCCGTATGAGGAAGAGATAGGTTTGCGCTGCGCTGATGTAGGCTGAGAAGGCTGCATCGTACGAGCCGGCGAGCTCGAGCTTTGTTGCGCGGGTGCCGGTCGTCTGAGAGGGAACCCGGGTGAGGTGGGGAGACGAGGGACAGGAGGGCGAGCTGGACGTACCTGCGCCTCCTGGTACTTGGCAGCCCAGTCCGCCTGTGTGATCTGCTGAGCCAGCTTGTCCGTTCGAGCGTGTGAGCGGTGGATGTTGACGAAGAGCCGGGACGAGGAGGAGGTTTGGCTTTCCACCGTTCGCTTGCCTGGCTACATCCGCTGGGAAGGGCCGCGGCGATGCGATGTGCTATTCGCTGTGCGCATGACCGCTTCGAACCGAGCGCGACGCTTCGAAGCTCCTTCACCCTCCTCACTCGACCTCTTCGCCTCGTAACTGATGAAGCCGGAAGCTGCTTTGTCCATCACCGCTGGGAGGATTCAGCATCGTTCAAAAGGTGAGGAATGGTGTTGGCTTTGGGCTAGCCCGGACACGGACGAAGCGTCGGAGGAGAACGGCAACCTGGAGGTGCGTCTCCCTTCTCCTCCCGCTTCTCGTACCAACGTCTCCTAACGCCATGCCTCGCAGATTGTGGTCAATGATGACCTGTGATACCGGTGCGTGACCGTTCCGACGCTTTCGCAGCAAAACTTGCGGCGGGAAGGGCCGGGAGGCTTCCTCCTCCTCCTCGACTACTTCCGCTGCTCCGTCTCCCGCACTGACGCGCTCCTCGTCACGTGAAAAAGCACGAGGGTCAAGCAATATACTACCTTCCCGTTTTACGAAGCCGGAACGGAGTTGTTCGTCCGCGACTACACCAAGACTTCGCTTCGGATCGTCGTCCGCGATGCCCGCCTCCGCGAGCACGATCCGATTCTCGGCATCGTCGACTTGCCCCTCCAGAAAACCCTCGCACACTCTTCGCAGGTCACGCGCATGTACTCGCTCCAGGGAGGCGTCGGATGGGGCAAGGTCAACATCTCGATCCTCTTCAAGGCGCTTGCACATGCCCGGCTATCTTCCTGTGTTTCGGTTAGCTTCCTCGCTGGGTCACACGCTCGGCGCTCTTCGGAACCGGGATCAACTCCCAAGGATCGCTTCTCTTCCAAAGCTCGCTCGGAGACCTGCACCCTCGCGGTTGCCGGCTGATACTGCTCAGGGCGCTACTTGCATGCTCTATACAGACCAAGATGTCTACTCGACGCCGAGGAACTCGCACGCTCCTAGCGCCATCACCTCGATTGCCTTCCGCAAGTCGTCGAGGAGGAGATGCTCGTCGTGGTTGTGGACTTGCTTGATGTCTGCGCAACACTTGCGTCAACTCGGCTCTTGCGTGCAGCAAGAAGGCTGGAGTAAAGAGCGGGACACACTGCCGGGACCGTAGACAATTGTTCGGGGGATCCCGCCTCGAACGAAGAAGCGTTGGTCGCTGCGAACGGGCGGAGATCAGCAATTGCGAGGCTTACGCCCCAGCTGAACTTGACGCACTCTGAGCCTGGGCTGCACACGATTCCCGCCTTCTGACCGACCACCCGCTCGACCGAGTCCGCCCAAATCCGACACAGCTCCAGCTCTTCATCCACCCACACCGGCTCCGTACTGTAGTCCTCCTTGTAGTCATACCTAAACACCTCCGGTCCACCCATCTGCGCCTGACACTCCTCCAAAACCTCATGAATCTGCCTCCTCGCCTCGTCCAAAGTCTCGCCGGGTACGAGCCTTCGATCGCATTTGAGCGTCGCGAGGTCCGGTACAGAGTTTTGACCTTTGCCGGCGTTGAGGACGGTGAATGTGAGTGAGGCGGTGCGCGCTTCGGAGGGGATTACGCGGGTGTCGAGGAGAGTGGACAGGTGCGGGACGATCTTTTCCTGCGCGCGGACGATGAAGCTGTTTGGCAAGGGCTCAGCTCAATGCAAGGAGGGCGCCAAGCTGAAGCAGCGGAAAGACGAACGTAGCGGCGTGTGTGAGGGCGTTGACGCCGCGCTGCGCAAGACGAGAAGCGTGAGTAAACAAGCGAGACGGAGAGAGGCGGCCAGAGTGAACGTACTTGGGGAGTTGCACCGTGAGAAGCGACCTGAAACAAGAAGAACGTCAGCAAGAAAGGGAGCAAGGGCCCGCAACCCAGACGCACACCGTGAAAAACGATAGTCGCCCACAACGCGCCTCGATGACCCAGGCAGACGTTCTGAGAGGCATCGCAGATTAGTTGCGATACTCTGCAGCATGCTCACGCGACAAGCTGAGCTCACCTCAACGTTCAGAGGTTCCGTGATGACGACTCCGTCGACCTTCTCAGGCGAGACGTGACCCTGCTCAACAAGCCAGCCTGCTCCAGCGTTTCTGATGCCTGTACTCTCCTCGTCTACCACGCCAGAATGCTCGACCGTCCCGCGAAGCTTGAGTCCCGCGCGCTTCACGGCTTCGACTGCCCAGATTGCTGCTGCGATCCCTCCTCTGAGCACCGAGAGTGCTGACTCAGGCTTTGTTGGCTGCTAGGAGAAAAGTGGGGTCCACGCACTTCATGTCGCTGACGCCCCGCGCAACCATCGCCCTTCCGCCTTCGACCTCGACGATTTCGGCGCCGAAAGGTGGGTGAACCCAAGTCGAGGCGTCTGCGAGCGCAGGTTCAGTCTCGTCGCTTGGATGCAAGCGAGAGGAAGAGTTCACCGCCGATCGGAACGACGTCAAAGTGGCCGTCGAAGTGCAGCGTCTTCTCCCTCGTCTTTCCCGCAACCTCGACGAGCGTCGGCTCCTTCGCCTCGCTCTTCCTTCGGCCGATAACGTTGACTCGCTCGTGTCCTTCGGCATGCGGAGCGAGAGCGGGCAGGTCGGCTGAATCGACGAGGAGGAGTTCCGTCTCGTAACCGAGCGAGTCGAGGTGTGAAGCGATAAGGGTCGCGCACTCGCGGTAGTTGACTCCAGGCGGGTTCCTGCCGTGTAGTCCCCGTCAGCTCAAAGCTCCGGCGAGTCCCGCGATAGAAGTTGTCGTGCTGGCGCTGCACTCACGTTGTGTCCAGCTGGCAAAGTCGCGCGAGGAAGGCAAGGCAGTCATCCAGAACCTCGTGTGATGCTCGCTTGACTGCTTCGAGCTGCTCAGCCGTCAGAGCCATTGCAGCAGAACACTCAGCGTGGTCCAAGGAGGCGCTCCACCTCGGCGAGCAACTTCATCGCGCTCCGTCTGTCGTCCGAGAACTGTGGTCGCTTTGACTGGACTGGCTGGAGTGATGCTGCTCTGAAGTTGCTCACACACACACAAACAAGCCACGACAAGTCGAACGATCCGCGCCTCGTCTGCACGCGACCCGCTCGACCCACGGCCGTCCGGCATTCACTCAGCGCCGGTTAGACGAGTCGTACGAGCGGGCGAGGGGAGTCAACGCGCGCTGGGTGACGACGACCTCCTTCGCATAGCCCTCTGCGACTCGCTTGTATCCCGGCGCACTCGCACACGGCGCAACATGGGGTTTTGGGGAAAGATTCGCGAGGTCGCATGGGTGCGTAAAGGATCGAGACGGGCTGTTGAGTGGGCGTGCTGACCCTCGCAACTGCAGGGCGTACCCCCAGCGACCAAGGCGGAGCGCAAGGTGCGACTCGTCCTCTTTCACCTCGACGCCTCGAGGCTAACCCACTCTTAACTTCGCAGCTCCTCGTCAAGATCGACTGGTACATCCTCTCGTTCATCTGCCTGATGTACTTCTCGAACGTACGGCGAACCTGCCCCCGAAGAAGCGACTCCTTACTGACCCTTGCTTCGCAACAGTACCTCGACCGGGCAAACCTGTTCGTCCGAACTCCTTTCGCGTTGTAAAGGTGAATGTTTCTGAACATGGCTCCTTCAGCTCGAACGCCTACGTATCGGGCATGAAGGAGGCGCTCGGAATGAAAGGGAACGACCTGAACAAGGTGCGCCCTTCGTGACCGTTTCCCGGTTGACGCATTCGCTGACCTTGGACGTCTGTTATGCAGGTCAACACCTGCTTCACCGTCGGCTACACGATCGGCATGCTCCCGCAGAACCTCCTCCTCCAACTCGTGCCCGCCCGCATCCTCTTCCCGCTCAACACTGTCACATGGGGAGGCTTGACGATGGTCACCGCCGCCGCCAAGAGCACGAGTCATCTCTGCGTGATCCGGTTCTTCCAGGTAAGCGGACACGAGCTACTCCCTCCTCATCGCGCGAGGAAGCTAACGGCGTTTGTCGCAGGGCATCGCCGAATCCTCGACGTTCGTCGGCGCACACTACGTGATGGGCTCGTGGTACCTCGAAGAAGAGCTCTGCAAGCGCGCAGCCATCTTCTCCGCCTCGGCACAGATCGCAACCCTCTTCTCGGGAATCTTGCAAGCCCGGATCTACAAGACCATGAACGGCTTGCATGGATTGCCCGGGTTCAGGTGGTTGTTCATCATCTGTGGAGTCATCACGGTGCCGGTGCGTTCGTGCGACGTCAGTGTGCGGCGGATCAAGCTGACGTCCTGCTCTTGCGTATCCTCGCTCGCTTGACCTTCTTTCACTCGATCGACCTCACTCACCTCGCTCGCCCAATCACTCGCCCTACGCATCGCCAGATCGGCCTCTACGGCTACCTCTTCTTCCCCGACACCCCCTCACGCAACCGCTCACTCGTCTTCTCCGCCTCCGAACGGCAGCTCGCCCTCTCCCGCCTCCCGCCTCGACCAGAAACAAAGCTCGATAGGACGGTTGTGAGGAGGGTTCTGGGCAAGTGGAGGTGGTGGTTGATGTCGATGATCTGGTGCGCGCGCGTCTTCGTCGCAACTCGTCGACTAAAGCCGCGTCTCTCTCTCGCTGTTGTGGATGTGGACTCGCGTTCGGACAGACGAGCACTGACGGATTTTTCCGCTCCTCTGCAGGATCGTCGGCGGCGAACTCGAATCCATCGGCTCGAACGCCCTCATGGCCATCTGGATGAAACAGCAAACCGCCGCGGGCTTACACTCCTGGACCATCTCCAACTTCAACTACTACCCAAACGGCGCGACAGCCGTCTCGATCGTTGCGCTCTTGACGACGGCGGTGTGGACGGATTACACGAAGAAGCGGTATCAGGTTAATTTGGTTATCGCTGCGGTCATGGTTGTCGCGGCGGCTTTGATACTCGCGCAGGATCGGATCGGTACAGGCGGTGCGCTCGCATCCCTCGTCCCCTCGCGCGGACTCGAACCTGACCTGACACTCCCTCGTTCCCCTCGCACAGCCGTCTTCTTCGCCTTCTACATTGCCGGCATTTCCTACGCCGGCCAAGCATCCAACTTCTCCTGGGCGAACGACCTGACGCGCGACGACGAGCAAGAGCGCGGGATCGTGTTGGCGAGCATGAACATGTTTTCGAACGCCTTCAACGCTTGGTGCGTCTCGGTTGTCTCTTCTGAGGAGGATGGTGAGCTGATGCGGTGGTTGTATGGGCGGGGAAAGGTGGAGTATCGTCTTCTTCCCAGCGGACCATGCGCCGTACTGGCGCAGAGGAATGGTCCGTCCCTCCCACTTCCTCTCCTCTCTCCTTCGCTCTGAAGCCTGACCCCAAACGTGGTGTTGACCGTACTGTAGGTCTCGCTCATCGTTCTCGCGCCCATCATGGTTGTCCTCACGCTGGCGGCGCGGTACCTCCAGCTGCGGGACCAGCGGTTGGCGGCGCGGGGGAAGGCTGGAGCGAATCCGGACGGGCCGCGACGAGCAGACGATGAGGATGTCGCGGAGGAGATGGGCAGTGCGCGGAGAGAGGAGGGGAGAGTGGCGGAGGGGAGGATGTCGAGCGACGAGGTTGAGGAGGAGAAGGTTTGACGAGTCTGTTTTCGGGTTGCTAGACGCTTTGGGCTTCTGATAGAGGGTTTGTAGGATACACTGCATGGTCGTTTGGCTTAGACCAGCTCAGTCTCGTACCAGCAACTCGCAGCGAGACGAGGAAACGAGTCGACCTTCTCACCGCTCGCAATCCCTCCTCGCTCTCACGTCCTCTCACCTCTCAATCTTCTTCTGCACGCACGACCGAGCACGTTCTCTTCGCAGCAACACTCGCAGAAAATTCTCTCTCACGAGTCGATGATGCGAGAGATGGGCTCGCGATGCTTGCCTCTCACTTGGGCGCGACGAAGAAGGGTCGTTCGGCGTCGCATCCGTTTCTAGAGACGAGCGTCGGCGCTTGAGGATCTGCAGCATTGATGAGGCGGCTGTTCTTCTTCTCTGCGAGTGGAGGCGAGTTTGCCAGCTGGCAGGACGACGAGGAGAGCGGACTCCGCTGGTGGCTCGAGTGAGTGCATGCGCTGTGCACTTTATCAAAGCCAGTCACGTCGTCCGGGACGGGGATCGACCCGTTAGCCTCTGGAGCACCGTCCCACTTCGACTCCACTTTGCAGGAAAAAAAGTCGCTGGCGAGAGGGCGAGCGAGGCGGTGCGGAGGGTGGTGGAACGAGGCCGGAGGAGCGGTGCAACAGCGTGGGCGTGCAGTGCGAGTCACAGTAGTTCTAGAGTGTGCACAGCAGCCTTATCGCTCGAGTGAGAGAATGGCGAGCGAAGGCGGCACGCACGAGGACAAGGGGCACCGGTCGGCGGCTCTCCCTCTCTCTGCACTCGCTCACCGCTTCCTGCTACAACGCGAGTCTGTCGAGCAACAACACCACGCTAATCGCACCCGCCGGCATCGACAACCCCCCAGCCAGCCCAACTCGCACTCCTCCACACCCTTCCTCCGGACGCACAACCTCGGTACCCGCGCAGATGTCGTCGTACGGCACCAGGCGCAGCTCGGCACAGGCGAGTCACACTCCAACACGCTCACACACACTTTCTACGCGGTCCAACACGGCCACCGACGGATCCGGCGCATGCTGACCATTCGACCCCCCCGCGCCCGCAGATGAGTCCGCCGTCGTCGACCATCCCCATCCCCATCGGGGCAGGCGCGCCTCTCGCTGCGTCCGCCTACTCCCCTGCAGCCTACTCGTACGGTCCGACCCTCAGCTCGAGCGCCGGAAAGTCGAAACGGCCGTCCTCTATCTCCAAGACCCGGCGCCTCTCCACCTCGAACCAGCTCCGCGCCGGCGCGTCGGCCCTCTCCCAGTCCGTCCCAGTCGGTCCCTTGAACAATGCAGGACGCGCCCGGAGCACGAGCCTGTCGACCGTGCCCCTTCCGGACGACGAGTTCGACGAGGCGGGCCCAGACGGTCAACCTCTCCCGCCGGCGTCCGGCGGCAAGCAGCGCAAGGAGAAGGGGCAGACTTACGAGTGCGAAAAGTGCGCCAAGGTCTACCGCCACTCGACTTGCCTCACCAAACACCGCTGGGTGCGTTCCCCACCCGGCTCCCCGTTTCTTCGACATTCGCATCCTGACCTTCTCGCCTTCCATTGGCCAGGAACACACGGCGGTGCGCTGCGAGTCTCTTTCTCTTCGCATTGGATGCCTTGCTGACGATGAATGACGCCGCGCAGCACTGGAAAGAGGCGAGCAAGTTGATGTTGAGCAAGCACCAGCAGGTCCAGCTCCTCGAGGGTGCCGCCATCCTCGCAGCTGCGTCTGCTGGGTCGTCTCTTCCCGACGAGAAGTCTTTCTGGTGCGTTCTGTCCGGACTGTGAACCCGATGTACCGCGCTGACGGTGGGATCCGCCCGCAGGCCCGCCGCCGTCTCTCCCCCTTCGTCCGGCCTGCTCGGCGACGCCGAGTTCGGCATCAACATCCACGCGCTCACGAAATCGTTCGGCTCTCCCCGCTTCGCGCCCTCGTCGCTCCTCTCGGACGCAGGCGACTTTGACACCTCGCGTTCCGAGATCGATGACGACGAGAACGACGACGACGACCAGTCTCCTCCGCCGCGTGCGGGCTCGGGCGGACTCGAGGACGTCGACGAGGACGAGCAGATGATGGAGGACGGAATGTTCGATCTCGACCTCGGAGGGTCGGGCGAGCTTCCCTCTCCGCACGCTCAGCAACAAGCGACCGTCTCCTCCCTCGCCCCTCCTCCTCCGGCCTTCCCTCCCACCTCCTCAGCAGTCTACACCCCCGACTCGTCCTCCTCGCGCGCCTCGTCCCGCCCCGGAATCCGCTCGAACGACTCCGGGTTCGGCTCTCTCTCGCGCAGCGGAACACTCAAGGCCGCTCCGTCGCCTGCACAGACGGCCGCCGCCGCACTCGCGGCTTCAACGCCCAACTCGCTCGGGATGATGCTTGATCCGGCGGGCTCGGGCGCGGTCGAGATGAAGAACGCGGCGCCGCAACCGGTCAAGGGCTTCTTCGTTCCCCAGCGGTAGCCTCGCGCGTGTCCGTCTCGCCCTTGTCCCGCCCTTTCCATCCGCTTCGTCTTGCGCCTCCCGCCACTTGTCGTCATCTCTCTCTTTCTCGCGCCATGATTCGTCCTTTTCAGCAGTACCCCCCTTCACTTTCCTTCGTCGAAGGCGCGCGCAGAAGCAGATACGAGGTCGATTGTCGCGAGGAGGAGCGCCCCTCGTCGCCGTCGTCGGTTCCCCTCCCTCCATCCCCTTACTCAGGTTCTCAAGCTCTCCTTCGCATGGTTCCACTTTGTCCCAGAGTTCTCAGCTACACGCGTGTCTCTCTCTTCCCTCTTTGCGCATCGCCAACTCGCATCAGTACCTTCTCCGCGCCTCCTTCTTCGCATGTACGACTTCCCCTTCCTCCTTCGCTTTCGTCACCCAAGTTGTTTCTTTGAGCAGTACCCCCAACCCTCTTCTTCTTCTGCTTCTTCCAGTTCTGTGTTCGCTTCACAAGTAGTACCTCCTCGTCTCGTCTCGTCTCGCTAGTCTCGAATCTCGCATCGTTCTCCTGCAAAGACTCTGTCGTCCAGATCCTTTTCGTCCTCTCTTCCGGGAGCCATCGCGCACCGGAGACAATAGACAAAACAGAAGCCTTACAAACCATCCCAAACCGAGACATACGAAATCACCAACACCCCTCGACCTCACTGACTCTTGCCCTGTCCAGCCGGTCCAAGTTCCTTCTCAACCTTCTTCTCGAGCGCCTCGGCAGCGTCCTTGGCGGCTTGGGACTTGGCGCGTGCGGCGAGCGCGCGGCGCTTGACCTGCCACCATTCACAGCCGTCAGCAGGGGAGGGGAGAAGGGAGGAGGGGGAGAAGGAGACGGACTTGGATGTTGATTACGCAGCCGACGGTTTGGCCGACGAGCTGTCGCGCGAAGGAGATGTCAGTTCGGGACAACGGAGAGGGAGGGCAGGGGAGGAAGGAGAACGTACGGTGAAGAACGGCACTGTGGACGTTGGAGAAAAGGGAAGGAGCGTCAGAGCGAGGAAAGGCGAGGAGGAAGGAAGCGGAACGCACCCCACAACTCGGGCGCGAGGAGCTTCTGCGCGAACGCCATCGAGAGGGTCGAGACGACCCACGAGAGCTGCACCGTACGCGCAAGTCAGTAACGAGCGAGAGGGAAGAGGCGGAGGGACAGGCGCACCTTCATGATCTTCCAGATGCTCATCTTCCAGGCGTTGATGATGGCCTGCGGAGTCGTCGCGCCGTTGATGATAGCCATCGCGGCAACTGCGCGCACAATCAGCGTCAAATGGTGCTACAATCCCAAGCGGACCGACGCAGCGCACTGTAAACCGACTGCTGGATGGGCGAGACAAAGAGGTTCGAGGCGACGATCATGCCGAGCTTTGCGCGCGCCGAGGTCTTGCCCGCAAAAGCCTTCTGCAAGATAGCGAGGAGCGAGTGTCCGAGCGGGGCCGAGACGAAGAAGCCTGTCCGTCCGTTCTTTCGTCAGCCGCGCTTCGAGGGGGGAGGAGGGAGAAAGGGACAAACCATAGAGACCGAGCTTGAGGGCCTTGTGGTTCTGCTTGAGGATGTCGAGAGGGAGGATACCCGTGCGCTCCTTGGCGGGCAGGGGAGGCGGAGGCGAGCCCGCGACGTGGCCGGCAATGATCTCGGAGAGGATGCTGCAGGTGAGGGAGGGTCCGGGTCAGCGGCCGCGTCTCGCAGGGCGGCGATAGCGACGCACGAGAGACTGCCCGAGGTGAGGGACTTGGTGAGCATCGGCCGAGTCGCGAGCGACTGCAGGTACGCTGTGGAAGGGCGCGTCGAGGGGGACAAGGAGGTCGGGTCAGCTTGTCAGGGTCGAGCAAGACGCAGGGATGGCAGGGAAGGGCGCACGCACCTGCCAGGAGGGGGTTGATCTGCTTCGAGGGGGTCACGACGGCGGTCGACATGGTGTGCGAGTCGGTGTGGGCTTGGAGAGATGAGAGAGTGGGGAGGGTCTGCTGGACAGCGAGGAGCGACGGGGCGGCGGTCTGAGTTGACTGAAGTGTCTCGAGTGTAGCCTGTGAGCGCGTTCCGAGCTGTGGCAGTCTTTGTGAGCGTGTGTGAGTGCGAGAGCGGGTCGACCTTGGTCCGGGCGAGCAATGCCGGCTCCAAAGGCCTCCCGACACACCTCACCGGCTGAGTAGCTGGCACACTGACAATTCCCAGCACACCGTATCACATTACTTCCAGCTACTGGCGAAAATCCAGGAGCGATGTGAAGGGAGACTGTGAAGTGACGCAGGAGGAGGCGAGCAAGGTCGCGCTCCACTTCTCACCGCAACCGCTCGACTGGCTTGCTTGCTTGGACTGAACGGCTCTACTACGCTTGGAATCGCTTGATCACGACTCGACCGGGCGAACGGCGGCGCAGCTATGGTGTTGGAAGGAGTCCTCGCGGGCATCCTCAACCGCACTCTCTCCGCCTACGTGCGTCCGCATGTCCAGTCTTAAGCATCGAATCTACTCCTACTGACACTCTCCACATACGCTACGCCCATCTCACGCCGCCCTCGCCGTCTCCCTCCTCCTTCCCTTCCCAATCCCTCGTCATCTCCTGCGAACTCGCATCCGACTCGCTCTTTCCACGGGTTGACAGGTCGACAACCTCAACACCAGCCAGCTCAACGTCGGAATCTGGTCGGGCGATGTCAAGCTCCGCAACCTCCGCCTCAAGAAGGAGGCGCTCGACAAGTTCCGGTTACCGGTCGATGTGGTGGAAGGCTATCTTGGCGACCTGACCCTGTCCATACCTTGGTGCGTCGCGAAGGCGCTCGGGAAGGCGAGAGGCATGAGCTGACACCGCTCGCGCGCAGGTCCAACTTGTCGGGCAAGCCCGTCCGTGTCCTGATCGAGAACGTCTACCTCCTCGCCGTCCCGACCGACTCGTCGAAAGCGACACCGGAAGAAGATGCAGCTCGAGCGCAGGCGGCGAAACTCGAGAAGCTCGAGAACGCAGAGATGCTCACGACGCATCCTGCGCCTGGGTTGAGCGCGGAGGAGGAGCAGAAGAACCAGTCGTTCACGACGAGCTTGATCAACAAGATTGTTGACAACTTGCAGATTGAGGTGCGCGGCGGGAGAAGCGTGGATGAAGAGGAGCTGACCGTTTGCCTGCGCAGATCCGCAACATCCACATCCGGTACGAGGACAAGCTGTCGGTCCCCGGCCACCCCTTCTCCGTCGGCCTCACCCTTTCCCGCTTCTCCGCCGTCTCGACCGACGAGAACTGGCAGCCAACCTTCATCACGAAGCACGCTGGCCCGGTGCACAAACTCGCGACGCTCGACTCGCTCGCCGTCTACTTCGACACCGACTCGCCCTCTCTCGCCGGTCACGAACTGAGCGACGCGATCGTGAAGTTCACCGACTTGATCGCGCGCGGGGGTCACACGCCTTCGCACCAGTTTGTCCTGAAACCCGTTTCGGGCCAGGGACGGCTCGTAATGAACAAGAAGGTGGACGCGCACACGCCCAAGACGGACGCCGAGCTCCTCTTCCAGGAACTTGGCTTCGTGCTCGATGCGGACCAGTACCGCGACGCGCTGTCGATGGTCGACTTGTTCCACTTCTACATCCGCCAACGCGAGTACCGCTCGTTCCGACCGCCGCAGGAGGAGTTTGAGAAGAACAGGAACCGCGCGTTGTGGAAGTTTGCGACGAGCGCGATCAGGAGCGAGGTCCATGAGAAGCATAGGCAGTGGAGCTGGGAGTACTTTGCGGAGCGGAGGAACGACAGGAAGGCCTACGTCGACTTGTTCAAGAAGAAGACGCTCGGAACCATCGACGTCGAGGTGCGTCTTACCTCTTCACCTTCCCATCTCACAGGCTAACCTTCGCTCGCACCGCCAGGAATCGCAAGAACTCGTCGACCTCGAGGTCAAGCTCGGTTACAAGGACATCCGGTTCTACCGCTCGATCGCACGGTCCGAGATGCGCAAAGACCGGATCGAGCACCCGCCTCCTCCAAAGCCGCAGACGACCACGGCAAAGGCGACTTCGTGGATCGGATCGTGGGTCGGATGGGGCGGCGGCGGCGGCTCAGCTGCGGCTGCGGACCAGCACGAGTCGGACGACCCGTCGTCGGGACTGAACGAGGAGCAGCGGAAGGAGCTGTACAAGGCGATCGACTGGGACGAGAAGGACGCGGTCGCCAACGCCGTCGACTACCCCGCCGATACGCTCCTGCTCCGCGTCAAAGCCAAGCTCGAGACGGGCTCGTTCGCGCTCCGCACCGACCCGCATGGTACGGCAAAGGATCTCATCGCGCTCAACTTTGACGACTTGCGACTCGACATGGCGCAGCGGCCAGAGAACCTCGAGGCGACTCTCGCGCTCGGTGGGTTGCGCGTATTTGACGGGACGTGCGAGAACACGCTGCATGAGCAGGTTGTGCGGGTCAAGGAGATTGCGGCGGATGAGGAGGAGCAGCGCCGGGCGAAGAAGAAGCAGCGCGCGAGGTTGCCGCCGCCCGAGGAGCGCGAGGCGGACGACGACGTCGGGCAGTACGACGACGGCGAGGAGGAGGTCGAAGACGAGATTGCGCGAGACGGGGTTGGCGAGTGGGCGATGCAGGAGAACCCCTTCTTCTCGCTCAAGTTCGAGCACAACCCGCTCGACAAGCGCGCCGACAATGCCCTCGCGGTCCGACTGCGACACACCGAGATCGTGTACCACCGAGGTTACGTCGAGGCCATCTTTGCCTTCTTCCAACCGCCGGAGAGCCAGCTCGAGTCGGTCGGTGCGCTCATCGACGTCGCGAGCGAGACGCTCGAGGGCATCCGCAAGGAGACGAGGGCCGGTCTCGAGTACGCTCTGCAGCAGCACAAGACGGTGGACGTCCAGCTCGACCTCAACGCGGTGCGTCTCGCCTGGCTACTCGTTTCTCGAGAGCTGGAAGCTGACCTTCACTCTCACCCGCAGCCGATCATCATCATTCCGGAGAGCATGACTCAGAAGGACTGCCAGCACATCGTCCTCGACGCCGGCCACATCTCGGTCGTGAGCGAGTTGGCGGACCAGTCGGCCATCGACGCCGTCAAGGCCAAGGAACATCAAGAGTATCAAGAGGAGGACTACAAGCGCCTCGAGAGCCTCATGTACGACAAGTTCTACGTCAAGCTCGAAGACGCCCAGGTGCGTGAGACTCTAGTCGGTCTGCCTCTGACGACTCTTGCTGACCTGGGTCGCTCCGCAGCTCCTTATGGGACCCTCGCTGCAGACTTGCCTTGACGCTCTCGATATCAAGGGCGACCATCACTCCAGCTCGACCGGCGAGCTGCACATCCTGGAACGGACGTCCCTCACCTTCCTCGCCCAGAACTGCATCCTCGCTCAGGCGCCGAACCTCACCCGCTTCAAGGTCTCCGGTTCGCTGCCGACTCTCCAGCTCAACTTCTCCGACCGCAAGTACAAATCGCTCATGCGCATGATCGACGTCGCGATCCCGCACTTTGGCGACGAGGACGTCCAGGTGCAGCGACCGGGACCTCAGCCCAATCAACGGGGCACGTCGTTCGCCCAATCTCGATCGAGGGCTGCGACGCTCGATGATGACGACGAGGACCTGCATGTCGGGCACTATACCGACTCGGAGAGCGCCGAGGGCGACGCGGGCGACGACGAGGACGACAAGGATGGCGGCAAGGACGAGTTCTTCGATACCCCCGACATTGCCGACGGCAAGCAGAACATCCATCAGAAGACGTTCGAGTTCAGCTTCTCCGTCGACCGCGTGCAGGGCTCGATTTACCGCTCAAACGCGGATCCGACGAAGCCAGATCGGCTGCTCGTCAACGCCGTCCTCGAAGGCTTCAAGGTCGGCTTTGAGCTTCGTCCGTACGACATGAGTGTCGACGTCGTCCTGCGCTCGCTCTACCTTGAGGACAAGATGACCGCCGCTCAGAACTCCGACTTCCGGCACCTCTTGACAAGCGAGAAGCTCGAAGGCGGCCACGAGCATGATCTCGTCCGTGTGCGCTACCAGGGCGTACAGAAGAGTTCGCCCGAGTTCATGACGGTCCACGAAGGGTTCGACAAGTCCGTCGACGTCGAGATGTCCACGCTCAACCTCGTCGTCACGCGGAGCAGCATCCTTCTCCTCTTCGACTGGATCATGACGACGTTCACCGACCCGGTCGACGCACCGGCGCCATCATCGCCGCAAATCGAAGGCGCCGAGAACGAGATGCAGGTCGAGGAGGCCAATACGGACAAGCTGCGGGTGAAGGTCAAGCTCACGAGCATCAACCTCATCCTCAACGAGGACGGCTTGCGACTGGCGACGCTCTCGTTGTCTGCCGCCGACGTTTCCGTTCTCCTTCGCGGCCCGACGATCCGCGTTGCCACCCACCTCGGCAACCTCTCGCTTCACGACGACTTCAGCTCGTCGACGCCGCAGGAGATGTTGACCATCCAGGGCGACGAGTTTGCCGACTTCCGCTACGAGACTTACGACCCGACCGACAAGACGACGTATCCCGGCTACGATACGAGTGTCCACCTGCGAAGTGGCTCGTTGCGTTTCACCTTCCGCTCCGAGCCCGTCCACCGCATCCTCGCATTCTTCACCAAGTTTGGCCGCATGAAGGCCGTGTACGATGCGGCAACGCAGGCGGCGGCGCAACGAGCGACCGAGATGCAGACGATGATTCCGAAGATGCACTACGACATCCTCGTCAAGACGCCGATTCTCGTGTTCCCACACGAGGAGGCGAAACGTGCCGACGACACGATCGTCGCCAAACTCGGGGAGCTCAGCCTCAAGAACGACTTCGAGGTCACGGACGAGGTCGTCAAGACGAAGATCAGCTTCGGCCTGCACGAGGTCGGGCTCGAGTCCACGCTCTACCACGGCGGCGAGGCGCATTCCCTGCCCGTTCTCGACGGTGTCCGCATCGACGTCAACGTCACCCTGCACGAAAGCGTCGATCCAGCGAAGGAGCTCGAGGCGCCTGGCACGCTCGTTTCGGCCAAGATGTCGGACATCAAGATGAAGCTGACCCAGGCGCAGTATGGTCTCCTCATCCACCTCTCACAGACGATCCCGTCCGCGTTCGCCTTCGATGAGGAAGAACTTGACGACGAGGCGTCCGCAATGATCGAGGCTGCTCCCGTTCCTCCGCCGCCAAAGAGGGTTGTCGAGGCTGCCTTCAAGGGCAGGAACGACGACGTCGTACGCGACGCACATGGCGCCGAGGTGGTCGACCTTCTGCCCGAGCTGCCAAAGTCGGCCAAGACGATTGACGGCGAGCAAGTCCAGCTCAAGTCGACCCTCGAGGTGGACTTTGCTGTCAACACCGTCTTCCTCGAACTCTTCACCGAGGCAGCGACATCGACGGAAAGCCTCGAGGAGGCGAGCCTGGCGCGCTTCGCCCTCAACGACACCGCCGTCAAGTACAAGATGGTGTCGAACGGGTCGATGGAAGCCGAAGTCGCGATCCGCTCGTTCACCATCCACGACACCCGCCCCGCCCGCCTCACCAAGTTCCGCGAGATCATCCCCGCGACGAAGCATTCGGGTCACCAGTTCATGGTCCACTACACGCAGTCTGGCGGTCTCGACAAGAGTGCGATCGCGAACGTCACAGTGGACTCGCCCAAGATCATCTTCTCGCTCGACCCGCTCTTTGCGCTCGTCGACTACTTCTCGAGCGCTTTCCCGCAAGCTCCGAACGCTGGACAGGACGAGAACGACATGGACGAGGGCCTCAAGGAAGCGGACGAGCAGAAGGTCGACCCGTCGCCGGCGACGGAATCAACCCTCGCGTACCGCATCAATGTGGTCTCGCCGACGATTATCCTCCTCGAGAATCCGGCAAAGGCAGACTCGGAGGCGGTTGTTCTGTCGCTCAGCCAGGCGCAGATGACGCAGCAGGGCACGCTCGCCTTGACGATCGCTCGCATGGGCATGTTCCTCTGTCGCATGGACCGGCCGAAGGAGAACATCCGGGTCCTCGACGACGTCGACGTCATCCTTTCGATGGACAGCAGGACAGACGGCGGACGGCAGGTCACCAACATCGAGGTCGGGGTCCAGCCGCTCATCCTCCGCGTCTCCCTCCGCGACATCTTCCTCATCAACTCGATTATCAACCGCGCCATCGAGCTTTCGAACCGCGGGTCGTCTGCACCGGAAGAGCAGCCAGCTCGACCAGACCTCGAGTCGCTGCAGTCCGGCAAGGTCCGCACGCGCAGCAAGAGCGACGCCGCGACTCGACGACGATCCGTGTCAGGCGGCTCAAGACCAGTCCGCGAGGACATCGTGAAGGCGCAGGTGATCGTCACGAAGGAGACGGTGCGTAACCCTCGTCTGAGCGGGATTGGGCTGGCAATTCACCCGTCTACGTCTCGAGCAGCTCCGCGCCACCTTCGACGGGCTCCAGCTCATCATCATCGGCGACATGCACGACCTTCCGCTGCTCGACCTCAAGGCTGGCAAATTCACGGCCAAGGCGAAGGATTGGTCAACAGATGTGCGTGCACCCGCTCCTCCCGCGGAAGACGGCTCGCTGACCCAAGCTCCTCCGCCGCAGCTGGACGCGAGCGTTATGATCAAGCCGTTCATCAACTACTTCAACCTGAAGGTCTCGCACTGGGAGCCTTTGATGGACCCGTGGGAGTTTGGCGTGCACGTGAGCTGGGCACTCCTGCCGTTCCGCCAGCCAGTGCTGACCACCGGCGCTCACAGGTGACGCGCTCCGTCACGACCGGCCTCCTCGCCATCGACGTCTCGTCGAAGAAGCGCCTCGAGCTCAACGTCACATCGACCTTCATCGAGGTCGCGATGACCACGATGTCGATCATGGACCGAGAAGGCGACAAGGTCTTCAAGAAACCGCGCGGCTCGAACGCTCCGTTCCTCATCAAGAATCGCACCGGCTACCCTCTCTCGCTGTGGAGCGAGAGCGCAGACGCCGGCGCGCAAGGTCAGCGGCTGGATGACGGCGACGATGTTCCCTGGCGGTTCGACGACTGGCGGACGGCGCGCGAGAATGTCTCTGCGAGCACGCACAACTCGCTGACGGTTGCCTTCGACGGCTTGGGCTGGGAGCGACTCAAGCACGTGTACGTCGACCGCGAAGGCGAGCACATCCACGCTCTGCGGCCGAAGATCGACAAGGTCACGCACCGCCTGCTCTGCGACGTCAAGCTCGTCGACAACGTCAAGGTCGTCACGTTCCGCTCGACGTTCCTCATCGAAAACAAGTCTCTCGTCAACGCCGAGATGGTCATTGTCGACGAGCACGGCAAGAAGGCATCGCAGGTCTACAAGATCCGTAGGTGGCCTGAGATTGGGATTGCCGTTCTAGTCCATGGCTGACGAATCGCCTTCTCAGCTCCTGGCGGCGAATGTGCCGTCCCCATCCTGGCAGCCTACCACAACCGTATCAAGCTGCGACCCGATCGCAAGTGCTGCTTATCGCCTCGTAAGTGCTTCGCTTGCTGACTTTCTTGGTTTTCGCAGCCGGCTTCGGCTACAACTGGTCGAGCGACAGTCTGCACTGGCAGGACCTCGTCAAGCGTCCAACCCGCGCCATCGTCTGCAAGTCGCAGAAGGAGGCGGCTTTCCGCTTCCAGGCTTACGCTTTGCACGACAAGTCCGACCCGCTCGTCCGGTGAGAGAGTCTTTCTTGCGTGGCGACAGCGAGTTCTAACAGGTTGGACGACCGCAGCATCTACCCCAAGATCACGCTCCGCTTGCGAGCGCCTGTCGAGGTGCAGAACCTGCTGCCGCACGACATTCGCTACCGCGTCTTCGACAAGAACCTCGAGCACAACTGGACATCTTTCCTGCGTGCAGGCGGGGTCAGCCCTATCCACGTGGCCGAGCTGTCGCACTTGCTCCTACTCAGCGTCGAGGTGCAGGATACGAGTAAGTTGGCCGCCAGCTGTGTTCGCCTCGCAAGCTGACAGTTCCCACGACCGCAGATCTCGGTCGAAGCGAGTTCGCGATTATCAACACCGACAACCCGGAGGACCTGCCAGTCGAGGGCGACCTTGTGTTGGCGGACAAGGAGGACCGCAAGCTCAACTTGCGCATCCACTACCAGTACGTTCGCGCCCTCCGCTCACCACGATTTCGTCGCTGACGCAGCTGCATCGTGTGCAGAAAGCACCCAGACTCGGGCGGCGCGTTCAGGGTCCAGGTCTACTCGCCCTACGTCCTGATGAACAAGACTGGCCTCCCATTCGCGCTCAAGACCAAATCGTTCTTCGGCTCGGCCAAGAGCGTCGCAGGTCTCGACGAGTTCTCCTCCGAGGCGGCCAAGCGCAAGCCAGAAGATGCGTTCATGTTCTCCTTCCCGACCGACGACCGGCGAAACCGGGCGCTGCTGCGCATCGGCGACTCGAACTGGTCGGCACCGCTCAGCTTCGAGACGGTCGGTTTGACGACCGAAGTCGTCCTGCCGTCGGCGACCGGCAAGGAAGAGGTTCGGGTTGGTCTCAAGGTAACGGAGGGTCTCGGCGACGTAGGTCAACAGTCTCTTTTCCCCTCGCACAACCGTACTGACACAGGCTCTCGCTCGCAGTACAAGCTCACTCGTGTCATCACCCTCTGCCCTCGCTTCATCGTCAAGAACAACTTCGACGAGCCGGTTCGCATCCGCGAGTTTGGCTCAAGCGAAGAGTCACTGCTGCAGGCCGGAGAACGACACCATGTCGGCTTCCTGCGCTCGGGACAGTCCCCGCAACTCTCGCTGTCCTTCCCCGGCAGTCACCACTGGTCGGCGCCGTTCAAGCTGCAGGACGTGGGACAGAACTATGTCCGCGTTCCCACCAGCTCGAGCGACGAGCGTCTCGCCCGCATCGACGCCGTCCTCGAGGGACCATGCATCTTTGTTCGCCTCGACCCAGAGCAGGGCGCCTGGCCGTTCCTTCTCCGGAACGACTCGGACTACCCGATCGACTTCTGGCAGGCCGAGCACGATGGCGTACAAGGCGACGGCGAGCAGAGCAAGCGACGGCGGTACAGGCTCGAGCGAGGTTCGAAGCTTCCATACGCCTGGGACCGCCCGGCGGACGACATCCGACAGTTCCGCATCTCGTGCGGCGGGCGGGAACGGGCAGTCAACCCTCTCGAGATCGGCGCCCTCATTCCTTTCCGCTTCAATCACGAAGGACACACCGCCGTCATCTCGATCGATGTCCGTGCCGAGGGTTCGACACAGGCCGTCACGTTCAGCAACTATGTTGAGGAGGACAGCGTCTTCAAGCTGCAGCGGCGCAATACGGAGACGATCTCTCGCGCCGAGTCAATCACGAGCAGCCGAGACGCCGTCTTCGAGGCTGTCGACGTTGACGTCGTGACGACCTTTTCCCTTAGCGTCAGCCTCGAGGGTATCGGCATCTCGATCGTCAACCGCAAGATGCAGGAGCTCATCTACGCTTCGTTCCGCGGCGTCACGGCCAAGTATGCGGACTCGACAACGAATGTCGCCTACGACGTCGGCATCAAGTGGATCCAGATTGACAATCAGCTGTTCGGCGGTCTCTACCCGATCCTCCTCTACCCGTCGGTCATCCCGAAGGACAGCAAGGAGCTTGAGGTGCACCCGAGCTTGCAGGTCTCGGCGATCCTACTCAAGGACGAGGGTGCGGCGTTTCGCTTCTCGGTCTGCCACACAACGCTGATCACATCTTGCATATGCAGCGCACGGCGTCAGCTACTTCAAATATGCCTCAATCTTGCTGCAGGAGATGACGATCGAAGTCGACGAAGACTTCCTCTTCGCCCTCCTCGACTTTGCCAAATTCTCCGGTGCGAACGGAATGGCCGAGCAGGAATCGTGCGTCCGCCCTTTCTTCGGGCTTGTCGCAGTCTGCTGACTCCTCCGCATCGACAGGAAACTCACGGAAGACCCGGAGGAGATCCCCGAACCGACAGCGACATCGAAGGGCGGCGATCTCTACTTCGAAGTCCTGCACCTCCACCCGATTCAGCTCGACCTCTCCTTCATGCGGACAGATCGCGTCAACGTCGAGCAGAAGTACGCCTCTCTCGACCGCGGTCTTCTCTTCAGCTTTAGCTGACCTTGCTCGCCGGCAGACTCAACTCTCACAACCCGCTCTACTTCTTCATCAACGCCCTGACGATGGCTCTCGGCAACGTCAACGACGCGCCTGTCCGGTTGAATGCGCTCGTCATCGAGAATGCCCGACTGTCGCTGCCCGTCCTGCAAGAGCGGTTGACGGTGCACTACAGCGACGAGTTCTTCGGCCAGCTCTACCGAGTGCTCGGAAGTGCCGATGTCCTCGGGTGCGCACGATTCATCCACACCTTCACCAGCCCGGAGCTGACCTCCGCATGGGAACGCAGCAACCCGGTCGGCCTCTTCACCAACGTCTCTTCCGGCGTCGCCGACTTCTTCATCCAGCCGTACGACTCGATCATGATGAACGGCAACAAGGACCTCGGTATCGGCATCGCCCGTGGTGCCGGCAGTCTCGCCAAGAAGACCGTCTTCGGCCTTAGCGACTCGCTCACCAAGATTTCCGGCAGTATCGGCAAGGGTGCGTCCAGTCCGCTGCGTTCGTAGATGCCGTCTGCTGACAAGTATCGCACGACCAGGTCTCTCGGCTGCGACGCTCGACAAGCAATACCAGAGCCAGCGACGAATGCGCCAGTTCCGCAACAAGCCCAAGCACGCCTTGTATGGCGTTACTGCCGGAGCGACTTCGTTCGTCACCAGCGTCGCGAGCGGCTTCGAAGGTCTCGCGACGAAACCGCTCGAAGGAGCGGAGAAGGGTGGCGCAGCAGGCTTCTTCAAGGGCGTCGGCATGGGTCTCGTCGGGTGCGCTTCTCTTATCCCTATCGGACGTGGAGATTCCTACTGACTGGATGTGCTACCACAGCGCCGTCACCAAGCCAGCCGTCGGCATTTTCGACTTCGCCAACAATGTCACGGAAGGTACGCTCGAGCCGTTTCTTCGCTGCTTGTTCCCTTAGCTAACTTCCTTGCTCGACGCAGGTATCCGCAACACGACAACCGTCTTTGACCAGACTGGTATCGACCGCGTCCGCCTGCCACGCTTCACAGCAAGCGACGGCGTTTTGCGACCGTACTCGGAGCGAGAAGCACTCGGCCAGAACTGGCTCAAGAACGTCGAGAACGGCCGCTACTTCTCGGAGACGTACGTCGCACACCTCGACTTGCCGTCATCTGACGACACGCTCGTCGTCATCCTCACCACAACACGCATCCTCCTCGTCCGCGTCAACAAGCTCAAGGTCGGCTGGGATGTGCGCCTGACTCCTTCCACCTTCTCCTGAACCTGCACTGAGCTGTTTGACTCGTACAGGTACCAATCTCGGACCTTGCGACGATATCGCTCGAGGCCAGCGGCATCAGTAAGTGTTCCCTCGATCCTCCTGCATGGCTCGCCGCTGATTGTCCTTCCTCGCAGCCCTCGTCCTCCGTGGCTCCGTCCCCGGCCCCTTCCTCGCCATTCCCGACCAGAGCGCACGGTTGTGGCTCTTCCGTCACCTCGAGCGCATTGGTGCGTCTAGTCCACTCCTCTGTACACCAACTTCCGTGACTGACTTGCCGCTTCCTCGGCTCTCCTCGCTTCGCAGTGCAAGCTCAGTGCGTCTCCAGCTGCTCACTTTGTCCACTGCGTCACTCGCTGACCTTCATTCTCCGCTCGCAGCAACGCCCGTCGCCTCGTCGAGTAGACTCTCGGAAACGCATCGCTCTCGCCCATTCCCTCGTAGCTCGTGTATACATTCTGTGCGCACTCTGGCAGTAATCCTAGCTCGCGTCCGTCTCCCCCCTGCACCGCTTCCGCCCCACATCCGACTCTTTCGCTCTCGCCGCTCACTCACGCTGCTGTCATGCCGACCGACGACGCTGGTGAGGCGCTATCCGCTCAAAGCGAGCTCAGACATCGCGCGACTGCGCCTGCGAGCTCTCCCGACGACGACACGTCCACAGTCACTCCTTCGGCATCATCAAGCGCTCACGGTTCTTGGCAGGATCAGCTGGCGCAGGCGAGGCGAACAATGGCGGAGCGGATGGAACATGAGTGGGACGAACTCAGCAAGGAGGTTAACATCGAGGGGCAGCGGGGTGAGGCAGTGTCGGGAGCAGGAGGAGTTTCCGAGGAGGCGAATCTGCGGGCACGGCGGACAAGCTGGGCCAGCAGCGAGGGAGACGACGACGCTGTGGTACAGCAGCTCCTGCGGCCGATCCCGTCGCCAACAGCCGAGGCAGTCGAGGAGGAGAAGCAGGACGAGGAGACCGCTTCTCCAGCGGACGAGAAGATGTGCCGGATCTGCTTTGCGGGTGAAGACGAGGAAGAGTCGGGCAAGCTGTTCAGTCCGTGTTTGTGTCGGGGAACGGCAAGTTGAGGTTGACATTTCTCCTCCGCACCACTTCTGACCTTCCTCCCCTTGCAGTCTCGCTACGTTCACACCAAATGCCTCGAACAATGGCGAAAAGCGGCACCAAACTCAACAGCCTTTTATCAGTGCCCTTCCTGCGCGTACAAGTACCGCTTCCGCCGAACGACTGCCGCCCGCCTTCTCACCAACCCGCTCACCCTCACCCTCTTGACGAGCTGGATCTTCGTCTTCCTCGTCTTCCTCTCCGGCTTCCTTGCCAACAGCCTCATCTCGGTCGTCGAGACGCGCAACGCTGCCATCTCAGGCAACGTGTTTGACGGTGCGTAGCGAGCTTCTCCAGCCTTCCATTCGCTACACGCACCGACTCCTGCTTGTGCGACAGATTGGTTTGTCGGCGACCACATCCTCGTCGGCGAAGGCATCCGCGAAGCCGTCTCCTTCATCGAACACCGCCTCGAGGAGAGTCGCTGGACAGGCGGGCGCTCCCATGCCATGAACCGCGCGCTCGAGGGCTTCGACGGCTCGGAGGGCGAGTCGATCTACCGCTTTGTCAACCCTCGTGCGGCAAGAAAGGCGCGCGAGAAGAAGCAGGAGCCATCGTTGCTCGTGCGCGCCGTTTTGCACTTTACGAAGGGCTCCGCTCTGATGGGCATCATGAGCGTATTCTACTCCTACGTCGGCAAGTCGAGTCCAACAATCCGATGCCGTCCTGTCGCTCACTCGCTCGTGCCTGCAGCCGCAACCTTCGTCTCTCCCCTCGGCCGCACCCTCTTCCGAGCGCTTCGACCAGCTGGCGGACGACGACGAGGCGCCGAGAACACAGGTTCAGTCTCGCAGCTCGTCATCGTCGTCGTAAGTCTCGCATTCGCTCTCTGCGTGAGCCGTGCGCTGACTTGGCCCCGTTGCAGCTCGTCGTCCTCGGGATCATCAAGTCCGTCCGGCAGGTCTACCGTGGCGTGAAGTGGCTCACGAGGAAGGGTCTGTCGCGCGTCGAGGACCTTGTGATCGAGGTTGGTGCGGCTTGAGCCGAAGTAGCAGTCTTTCCCTCGTTTGTATCTGTACCTCTTTCGCTCGCCAGCAACTTCTGCAATGACTAGAAACCGAAGGATGTCACGCCACTGCAGAGCGCCTTTGAAAGAAGAAGGGCGAGCAAACAGCGGGAACGAACTCTCAAGCAAGGACGAAAGACAAGGCGGATGGACCGGGCGAGGGAAGGATGGGTAACGACACGGTCATTGCGCTTAGGGTTCTGCATGCGATTCTATACACGATCTACACGGCAAAGGGTAATGTGAGCTCGTCTACTCGAGCGAGATGACAGCCTGCGGAAGAAGGACGGGTGAGCTTCAGGACATTCGGAGCGGAGAGCAGGACACAACGCACCTTGCCGAAGTTGCTGTTCTGGCTGTCGAAGAGGGAAGCGAACGCCTCGCCCTATAACGCAGCAGGAGAGTCAGCACGACGAACTTTGCGAAGGTCGAGCCAAGAGAGGGGGAGGACTCACGTTGTCGAGGCCGTGGAAGATGTGCTCCTTGGGCTTGGCGAACTCACCGCTCGCGAGCGCAGGGGGGATCTCGGAGTAGAACTCCTTGAAGAGCTCGGGAGTCATGCGGTTGAGAATGATGAAGCTGTGGGTGTCCGTAAGGTCAGCAGGCGCTTTCTCGACGACGCTGTTTGGATCGAAGAACGCACCCCTCGTAGCGAAGCTCTTTGCCGACGACGTAGAAGATGTTCTTGATGCCGTAGGGCTCGCCGTTGTCTGTGAGAACGAGAAGGTCAGTATCGGGTGCTTCAGTCGGCTCTGCGAAGCTCCGCGGGCAGAGAATGCCGTTCTGATCGCTCAAATGCTGCATAGATACGGGGCGGGGCGGACCGAGAGTACACGAAGGAGAGGAATGCTCACAGTCGTTGATGGCGCCGATAGCGACGATGCGACCGCGCCTGCCGATGTGGTTGAGCGCCGCCTCGAGCTGCGGTCCAGCAACGTTGTCGATGTAGACCTCGAACGGCTTGCCCTGCTCCTTGTTCCACGCGGCAAGGACCTGGTTCGGGTCTTCCTCCTTGTAGTTGAAGACGCGCTCGACCTTGAGCTCGTTCTTGAGGAAGTCGCACTTCTCCTTGCTGCCAGCGGACGCGACGACCTTGGCGCCAATCTTGTGCGCGAGAGCGATGGCGAGCTGGCCGACGGGACCCATCGCGCCCGAAATGAAGACGGACTCGCCCTTCTTCAGGCCGCTGAGCTTCTCGATGGCGTACCACGCAGTCTGGCCGGGCATGCCGGCTGCGCCGACCCAGTTCGTCCAGGGAAGACCCTCCTTGTTCTCGAGGACGCGAAGACCGGCAGCCGCTTCCTTCGAGACGACCTGGCGAGGAGAGCAGCGTAAGCGATTCAATACGTTCAAGAGTAGGAGCGTGAGAAGCGACGCACCTGGTAAGTCTGGAACTTGAGGTAGCCGTAGACGCGCTGGCCCTTCTGGAAGTTGCTGTTCGACGACTTGACGACCTCGCCGACGCCAAAGTTGTCGATGGGCTGGCCAAGCTTGAAGGCGGGGACGTCTGGAGGTCATGAGGAGGCGTTAAGAGTCGAAAGGCGGAGGAAGGAGAGCGGGTCGAGGGTGACAAGATGCTGGTCAGCGGAGGACGAGACGAACGGTGGGACCGCCAGAACGCACAGGACTCGACCTCCTCTGGGCGCATGCGGCCCCTCTGGTACGGGTCAAGAGAAAGGGCGGTGGTCTTTACGAGGATCTCGCCATCCTGGAGGGAGGCATCAAGGTCGAGCTCCTGCTGAACCTTCTTGAGCGTCTGGCCGGGGACGGGCTTGCCCTTGGGGATCTCGTTGAAGATGAGAGCGTCGATTTGAACCATTGTGTGTCTAGTGAGTGCGAGTCTAGGTGCGAGTGTAGCAAGTGAAAGAGTGAGGAGAAGGAAGAGAGTGAGGAGGACGACGACACTACTCCGAGCTTTCGCTCGGTCAGAGCATCTGTCCGAACAGCGCCACAGCGCGAGGAAAAAGCTTCGCTGATGTCAGCGAGACGGTCGCTCGCCGAACTGGACCCAACCGAGCGAGCGGGCGGATTCGGAAGGACGGGCGGAGTCCGCTTCAGCTGTTCTCGAGACGCAGCGACGACGGGTGAAGCGTTGGCTGTACTGCTTCTGCTTATTGCACATCCGAGGAGACCTTTCTACTCTTACGCCTCGAGCTGGGTGACGAGCTTGCCCTGGTTCTGGCCCTGTTCGCGCTCACAACGCAGTCAGCCACGCCTCATCCTGCGCCGAATAGCTGAAAACGAATCGAACGCACCGAGAAGAGCCTCTGCCAGACCTGCGGGACGTCCTCGAACTTGGCCTTGACGAGCGTCTCGGTTCCCTCAGTCGTGAACTTGCCCTCCTTGATCGCCTTCTTGACGGCTTCGATGGCCGCGGGCCATTGGGCCATGAAGTCCGAGACAATGAAGCCTGCGAGGAGTCGACAGAAGTGGGAGAGTCGGAGTCAGCAAGCGATCCAAGGGCGCGCAGAAAGCTGGAACAGCGACCGCGACGCACCCTGCATCGTGATGCGCATCGAGATGACCTCGAAGATGTTGTTCATGTTGACCGTCTCGCGCGAGTTGTAGCCCGAGATGGCTCCGCACGCAATAATGCGGGAGAAGCGCTTCATGCGCTTGAACAGGGCGTTGAGGATCGACCCGCCGACGTTGTCGAAGTATACGTCGACGTAGCCCTCCGTAGCCTTGACGAGATCGTCCTCGAACGAGGGCGAGCGGTAGTCGAGGCACTCGTCTGCGCCGAGCTGCGAGAGAAGGAGATGAGTCGACTGTTCTGAGCGAGCGAAATGCGAGCCCGGCGCACCTTCTTGACCCAAGCGCACTTTTCCGGTCCACCAGCAATGCCCACAACGCGCTTGCAGCCGACAATGTTCTTGGCAATCTGGACAGCAGCGCTTCCAGTCGCGCCCGCCGCACCCGAGATCACGACCGTATGCTCAGGCTTGATGTGGCCGACCTCGTGCAGGCCGCAGTAGGCCGTGAGAGTGGTCATGCCGAGCGCAGAGAGGGCGATCGAGGTCGGGTAGCCCTCGAGCGTGCGAGCTGGGAAGACGGCCTTTTCGTTCAGGACGAGGTATTCGGACCACGAACCGAGGCCGTTGACGAGGTCGCCCCTGCCGCACGAGCATCAGTACTGGAGAGCGCTCCGAAAAGGGCGACGGCAACGCACTCCCTCCACAAGGACGACTTGGACTGGACGACCTTGCCCACAAAGCCAGAGGGCATCGCGTCTCCCTCATCGGGCGCAGGGCCATATGCGCGCTCCTTGACGACCGAGGGGTCGATCCAGGTGCGCTGAGCGGGGTCGTTGGAGAGGTAGACGAGCTTGACGAGGATCTCGCCGTCGTTGAGCGGTCTGAGGGGCCTGTCCTCGAGTGCGAAGGTGTCGGCTGCGACGGGTCCGCGTGGCTTGTGCTGGAGAGTCCAGACTTTGGTCGTCGACGGTGCTGCCATGTCTGTGAGCTGTGCGATGCGTGAGAGGAGGAGGGGAAGAGACCGGACCCGGCTGCTCGGTCGGGCAAACGCCTCGGACATCTTCATCTCCGAAGTTGCTCGCCGAACACCGCGTGCACCTTCTCTCCTCGCTCTCCTGCTCTTCCTGACCTTTAGCAAGTAGGACGACGATGGACCCTTTAAACATCGAACAGAACCGACTCAGCCACCCCAGGGGAACGCTCGCCCCTCCGCGGACTGTCCGGCGAGACCTCCTCTTATCCATGCTCCCTTGCGATTCTGCTCGCTCGTCTCTTGCTCTCCCTCACGCTCTTCGACTTATCTAGGCCATGGCACGCGCCCCTAGTTACCGCAGCTCGTACCACGACCCGTATGACGAGCTCGACGAGCTACCCACGTATCCAGACGAGCAGGCGCCCTTTCCTCCTCGACCCAGGAGTCTCAATGTCGAGGCAAAGAAGGACGGGCTCGCAGCTGGCGGACCGATGACAGTCGATCAGTTCGCTTATGAGGTGCGCCCGCCTCTCCAGCTGACTCTCCGTCTGATATGGCTGACCTCGCTCGCCTCTTGTCCAGATTGGCCGCCTCCGTAACGAAGTCGAGAAGCTCCCCTCCAGCACCGCTCGCACCGCAGAGCTTCGCGCTCAAGCGCTCGCCCTCGATCCAGCCGACAACTCGCTCGTCGCCCAGTCGCTCCTCGCAGACCTCGCCGTCCAGACTTCCGCCGTAGTCGACGTCCTGCCCCCTCAGATCGCCGAGACGCGCTCGTTGGCAAGCAAGGTAGCGGTACTGAAGCCTGCGGCGGGAAGGTTCCTCGTCACGGCGGGCGAGACGGCGGAACTCAAGGCTGAACTCGCAAGATGCGCTTTGTCGCTCGATTTGGCTATCCAGCAGATCAGCGACGGCGCCAAGACTGAGGAGAGTGACAAGCAGGAGGCGAGGGTGAGGCTGTTGAAGGTGATCAAGGCGAAGCTGGGCGACCGCGGGACGGACGCCGAGCAGATGAGCCTGCTTTTGACGGCGGAGAGGGAGGGCAGCGCGGCAAGGCCCGAGAAACTGAAGGCGCGTCGTCCTCGCCGGGGTATTCCAACGGCCTCGCTGACGTTGTCTCGCAGCCTGGCTCGTTTGGCTGGCGGTGGACTGTCGAGCATCCCTTTACCCGCCTCGAACAAGCGTGAGTCCGGATTATCGTCGACGGACGCCCCTCAACTGAGCTTCCGCTACTCCAGCGTCAAGAACAGCGGCGACGTGTCGTTCCTGTCGTCCCTCAAGAGCGCACCTACGCCCGCACCGTCCCTCTGGGCAAACGTACGTTCCTCGCCCCCTTCTTCTGACAATTTCCGCTGACCGCCCCCTCAACAGCCCCTCTCCTACATCCCCTCCTTCACCTCAGCCGCCAAACAACCAACAGGCTACGTCCCCCCCTCCGCCGCCGACACCAGCCTCACAGCAGCCGAAGAAGGCTCCTACGGCTCCCCTCTCGTCCCGCCTGCGCAAAAGCCCTCAAAGAGGTGGATCAAGTGGGTGTTCTTGCTGTTGCTGTTGGCGGTCGTTGGGTTGGCGGTGGGAGTGACCGTGTATCTGGGGAAGAGGGTGGACGAGCATGCGAATGGGGGAGACGAGACGGCGGCGGCGGTGCCGGCGACGCCGACAGTCATTCTGGGTGCGCCGGGTCATGCGATTCCGCTCATGTCGTAGATCTTCTCATGCTAGAGTTTGTCGTGCGTGAAGCGTAGCCCGGTTCATGCGCAGCGAAACGCGACTTGGGAAGGTCCCGCTCTTCAAGAGAGACCGCGCTCGAACCATCCGTATACGACCCCGATGCATCATCCAAGCTACAACTCCACCTCCACCCTGATCCCCAGCCGTCCCAAGTCCCCCACCCACTCCAGCACAACCGTCCCAACCTCCCCTCTCACATCCCCACCTACCGCTCCCCCCAAAACCGCGACTAGGAACGTCCCTGTCGACTCGAGGAGGACTTCCCATCGCGGTGCGGACCAGGTTGTGAGTGAGGGAGGGGCGGAGGAGAGGTAGGTTACGAGAGTGGGGAGGGAGGAATGCAGGTCCGAGAGCTGCCGGTCGATCGAGGGTTTGGGGCGTCGTGGCGCGACTCGCTGATTCGTCGGTGCAGGAGCGGGCAGAGGAGCGGAGGTGGTAGGGGTGGCCCATCGCGAGGAGCCGGGGGTCGACTGTCGCGGCGGAGCTTGCGCGCGCGGAGGCACAGGCGGCTCAAGAGGCGCCGTCGACGCATGCTCCAGCCCGACGCGACACAACTCCCGCACTTGTCCATCCTCCCACCATCGCTTCGCCCGCTGCGCGCACTCGGCGGGAGACCAGTACCTCCAGTCTCCGAGTTCAGGCTGCCACTCATGCTGCTCGTTCGGGCGTGTTGCCCGGAGATACTGATATGCGTGTCGGTATAATGGTAGGGCGACGAAGTGGCCGATGAGTAGGGAGAGGTTGTAAAAAACGTCGACGGGCGATTCGACCGAGACGAGAGGCGGAGGAGGGAGGTCGGAGTGTAGAGGCGGTGTGTCGATAGCTTCGGCTTCCATTGCATGATAGGTAGGGAGAGGGACGGATGTGGGTGGATCTCGGCGTTGAGTCGGTGCGGCGGGTGAAGGCGGGACGAAATGGCTCGGTGACGGGCTCGGCGAGGGGTACGAAGGCGAAGGTGCGGGCGGCGACTGTCGCTTACGCGGTGTCTTGACAGGGCTAGACCCACCGTAGCGTGAGAAAGAAGGTTCTCGAGGTCGAGGAGGAGGAGAGGGAGGATGTGACGGCCCTGGCGGAGGGACAGTCCTCGACAGCAAATCGAGCAGCGATGTCGCATCCTGCCCAGCTTCAATACCAAAGGCTTCGACATGCTCGACCGTCGCGCGGAGCTGGAGGTTGCGGTCGTCTGTCAGGAGGATGACCCGACTTGCGGCCCGCTGCTCCCGCTGGTAGAGGGCCGCATCAAGGACGAGCGAGTCGTTATTCTCGCCAAACGGCTTTCCTCGCTCGTCCAGCGGAAGAAGCGTCTCCGCCTTGCGCTGGCCTCGTACGACACCGTTTTCCCGCGAACCGCTCAACTCGCTAAGAAGCCAATTTGTCGCCGAGCGAGCGAGGGTGGAGATGCTGGACCGGGCCCGCGCGGCTGAACCGTTGTTGGAGTACGTGTCGGTCGAACGAGAGGAAGTCTTGAGCCCATCGAGCTCGAGAAGAACGATGTGGGGGACGAGGAGGACGGGTCGGGAGGTGGGTGGAAGACGGGCAGCAAGCTCGACGAACTCGCGCAGCAGGGCGAGATGGCTAATGAGTACGTTTGTGTCTGTGAAAACTCTTCAGCCGTGTCCTCAAGCTAAAGGAGGAGAGCAACGCACCGACGACAGCCAACGGACCTCCCTCAGACCACCAGGACCCGTCCAGCTCCCAGGGCATGTCAATCTGCATGCCAGCGTGTCCATCCTCGCTGCGCAAGTGCCGCAGGGCGTCCAACACCGTCGCAGATTCCGGCACCTCGACCTTGTCCCATTCCATCAGTTCGCTCGTCTCGTCGTGCGGTCCGAGGGAGAGGACGATGCTGACGGGCCCATCGCTGCGAGGGACATCCGCAGGTGGTACATAGGTAGCTGCGAAGGGCGCCAGCGTGCGAAAGCGGGTGTCAAGCGGGGACAGAGCGGATGGAACAAGGAAGAGAGTCGTCCGCTCGCAAGGGAGCTTCTTCGCCAGACTCTCGAGCAAAGTGACAAGGACGCAAGGTTTGCAGCGAGATCTACCATGCATCCCAGTCATCCTCGTCCTTCGACTTCGGAGGCTCCGACTTCTTCTCGACCGGAACCCTCACCGCCTGCAACTTCGTCCGTCCTTTGGGCTTCGTGCTCGAGGCAGGCGGGACCTGCCGCGCCCTATTCTGCACCTTAGCCGGCTGAGACATCTGCTTGACCGGCGCAGGCTCGCCCCTAGCCTCCCTGACCTGCTCCTTCTGCCGTTCCCGCAACTCTGCTTCCTGCCGTCTCCGCTGCTCCTCCTCGTACCGCTTCTCCTCCTCAAGCATCTCATCCGCACCTATAAGCCACCCGACGCCTGCCGTAAGTCCTTTCGACAGGCCTGAGCGCAAGCCGAACCCGCCGAACCCTCCTTCTGCACGCGGAGGCGAAGAGGGCGAAGGTCGAGGTCGGTGGTCTGCGAGGTTCTCGAAAGCTGAGGCGAAACGAGAAGGAGGGGAAGGCGACCTTGCGGGCGCTTGGGGAGGTGGGCGGGCTTTGGGCGGTGGGGAAGTGACAGAGGCGGAGGAGGATGCAGGCGATAGAGGCGTGATCGGACGGGCAGCTCGAGCTGGCGAGGTCGACTGTGGCCGGTTACTCGAGTGATCCCCACCGAAGAACGCAGCTGCTCGTCGCAGGGTGTACGAGGCGGCGGCAGCCGTCTCATGCGCGAGATGACCCGCCGCTGCGGCGGACGTAGGGAAATGTGCGCTCTGCGGCGTGCCCGACGACGGCGACTTGACGGGCGTACCGGAGCGCGGGGACTCGGGCGGCACAGGCGAGGAGCCGGCTCGCGCTGCGGCGGCAGAGAGGAAGTTGGCGACCTTGGCTGCGCCGGCTGCTGCAGTTTCCGCTGCTGCCCGTGCCGCTGCTTCCGCCGCGTTGCCTCCGGCCGCGCCAGGCTTCGCACCATTGGCCTCGTCCTGCTCCTTCTTCAGCGCCTCCTGCGCGACTTCCCGCTCAAGCGCCGTCCAGGTCGGGAGGATGTCCTGTATCCGCTCGGGCGGGCACAGCGTGAGCGCCTGACCGAGCGCCTGCAGCCTCTTCTGGCTGTCTCGCCATCCCTCGTGCTTGCCAAGCTGGAAGCACGCCTTCCACGCGTATTCAGCCGCCTCATCCGCATCCCGCTGCCGCTCCTCTTGACCCTCTTTCGCCGGCCGACTCGCCTTCTTCCGCAAGCCTTCGACGACCTTGACCGCTCGGTCGCACATCTCGGACGCGCGAGTCCAGTCCCCAGCTTGGACGGCGGCGTCGCTAAGCATCGCAAGCGTGCGAGACTCCTCCTTCCCGCCTTCGGGGTAGCCAAGTTTTCGCACGAGCTCGAGGACCATTTCGGGGTGGCGATACGCCGAGTCGTTCGATGAGAGGAGACGCGAGACGTAGAGAAGACGGTCAGGTGCGTGGCGGAGCTCGATCGGAGTGAGGGGGATGCCGGGTCGAGAGTCGAGGCGGAAGGAGCACAGCCGCGAGGTCGCTTCGATGAATGCGCGCTCGGAGCGGATGCGAGGGGTCTGCTGAGGTGCGGCTGAAAGGCTGTGGCAGCAGAAGAGCAGTCAGCTGCCTGTTGTCGCTGCGGTAGCATCCTGAACGCGCACGCACCAGTCGAAAGCCATCTTCATGTCGCCGCTGTGCAGATTGCCTTCCTCCGCGTTATCGTAGAACTCGCGCGAGGCGGAGATGACGAGATCTTCGACCGCCTGCGGCTCGAGAGGCGGCGAAGTCGAGGATGGCTCGAGCAGCGAGCGGGCGAGGGTGAAGCCTGCGCATTCCGCAGAAGACATGACCACCTGGTCAGCACAAGGCGTGGTTCTAGATCTGCAAAGAAGCGTAACGCACGACCAGCGCCGAGCACCCCGCCAAAGAAGATCTTAAGCGCTTCCTCCCTGCCCAACTTCCAGAACAACCTGCCCAGACCCTTCTCGATCCGCTCCTCGTCTGTCCCGCTCGGCTCCTCACCCGCAACGCCCGTCCCCTCCGCCATGAACTCCATCAATTCGAGCCACATGTCGGCGCTCTCAAACTCTCCCTCGTCGCCGTCCGCTCCTGCGCCGTTGCTCGCTGCAGTCCGCGCGAGACGGGTCGCCCAATTTCGCTGGGCGATTTCGGAGCGGTACGACGAGAGGAACCAGAAGAGGCCGGTGTTTGGGGCGGAGTGGTAACGCAAGAGCGACTCGAGTTGCGAGAGGTGCAGGTCGAGTGTGTCGAGGTGTGCTGAGAGGGCGGTTGGCGGAGCGAGTGAGAGGGCCGTGAAGAAGACGGAGGGAGAAGGGGACGGAGAGGGAGGAGCAGTCGAGGCGGGACCGGCCGGTCGAGCGAGGTCGGCTGTCGACTCGGACGCAAGGTCGAACAAGTCGGCATCCTCCCCTTCTTCCGCAGTCGAGCTCGATCCATCGAATGCGGGCAAGCACTCGAAAATCTTGCTCATGACCGCCGCGCCTCCCTGCGTGACGCCCTGCTTACCCGCGCCGTACAGAACCGCGATCGCCAGCCGTGCAAGGTCGGTATCCGACTTGACGATGCGCTGCGAGACGGGCAGAGTCGGCTTCGACGCCTCGAAGATCGGACGAAGGAGGTCGAGGCCGGATGAGGAGAGGGGCAGGGCGAGGATGTAGTCGTAGAGAAGGCCGGTCATCTTGCCGGCGGGATTCGCTTCGCCGCGACGCTCGAGGCGGGCCTCAAGGACGGAGAGATACGGCAAGACGAGCGAGCGGAGAGTTTGTGCGATCGTGGCGGGTGTCGAGCTCGACGTGTAGGTCTCGATGACCTGTTTCGGCGACAGCGAGCGCCAGCGCTCGAGCGACCAGTCCTCTTCCTCCTCCTCGCCATTTTCACGGGATGGCCGCTCGTACACTGCCTTGGCCAGCAACGTCAACTCCTCGCCCACTTCGTCCAGTCCGCCTCCCGCTTCTCCCGCAGGGATTTCAACGCCCCTCGCCGCTGCATGCTGGACGAGCGCGAGTGCCGTGTCGACGTATCCACCTTCGACGAGACTAGACACGCGGGAGAGGTACCACGCCGCGACTTCGGCTGCCGAGCGGTACTCGGGAAGGTCCGTAGACGGTGACGGAGGCTGGACGAGGTCAAGCACGCGCTCGCTCCAATCCTGCTCTTCCCGCCAAGGCAGCACATCCTCCCACATCGTCTCCTTCGCTCCTTGCGCGTCGACAGCGGGCAAGAGGTCGACGTAGTCGGTGGGGTCGATCCAGCCGGGGATGCATTCGAGGATTTGCGACCGGTATGGCCAGAGCGAGCGAGTGTGGAGGGACAGAAGGAGGTGGAGCTCCGGTAGGTGCGAGGTCGTCGCTAGTGTGAGCGCGACGAGGGGAAGGGGAGTCGACAGGAACTGCGAGAGCGGGAGGAGGGGAGCGGGTTGTGGAGTCGAGGGAGTTCGCGGGATATCGTTCTCGTCGTCTGGCAGATCCAGCTCGCCCCATCCATCCGCCTCAACCTCATGCGACTTCCCAGGCTCGCCGTCGGCCTTCGCCTCGCCTCCTCGCGCCCGCAAGTCTGCGGCCGAGCTGAGCGTCCTCCTATGCGCGGCTCCACCGAGCTTGGGCGTGCTCGGGTCCCTAGTCTCTGCGTCTGCGCCAAAGAGAGCCTCCCAGCTCGTTGCCCTGTCCTGCAACTCGAGCAATGCGGCCCTCGCCCGCGCACACTTCGCCTCGTCGCCCTGCGCTTCACCCTTGACAATTTCGGCCGCTTTCTCCCACTCCCGCTCTGCGATCGAGTCCGCCAGATCCGCGAGCGACGCACTCCACCGCTCTGTCGCCCTCAACCCGCACTCGAGGGCCCGGAGAGCGACGACGACATCATCCGTCTTTCCCTCCCTCGCAACCTGTAGTGCCGCCGCGCAAATCCACTCGCACTGGTCCTGTGGGAAGACCGCGAAGAGCCTGTCTGCATCCGAGGGCGAGAGCGAGCGGAAGCGGTCCGAGGCGATGAGCGAGAGGAAGTGGTTCTGTGCGGCGTGGTGGGCGAGAGGGTGGCCGGCGAGCGAGAGCGCGTGCGAGAACGCCTGCTCCCAGTCGCCGCCGCGCGCTGCCTCGACAAGCTCGTCCAGCTTTGAGAGCGTGTATCGACAAGGGATGAGGAGTTGTAATGAGCAATATAAAGCTGATTAGGCGAGAGTAGTATTCAACTGATCAGGACCGAGTTGTGATGCTCAAAAGGTAATCGACTGATCACAACTCGACTTCCTCGCTCTCTCACATCTCCGGCGCATTCGCTAGACTGCTTCACTTGCTAGACCGCGCACTCTAGGCGCATGGCCTCTCAGACGACGCGGCATACGCCCGCCGCGCTCGTCCAGCCGCACTTCTCCCCGCCTGTTCACTTGTTCGCAACTCCCGACCTGCAGGCTTCCCTCGAGCGGAACAGGGTCCCGTCACTCGCAGCCTTCCTCGAACCGTTCCTGGGCAACGGTCTCGAGCGAGTACAGGTCCGCAAACCGTCGAACTACGACCAACATACCCTCGACCGCCTCGGGACACACCTCGTCAACCGCCCTCTCCCGCCCAGCTTCCTTGCAGCGAGTCAGGGAACGCCAGCAGTCGGCTCATCGAGGGCGAGGAGCGGTTCCGTCTTCTCACCCGCCGTCCAAGCGAGTCTCGCAACGCCCTCGACACCCTTCGTCTACCCGTCGCAGGCAGAGCGGGATGCCCTCTTTCTCGATTCTTTGGGCGAGAACGTTGCGAGGAAGGTCGACGCGTGGGTCGGCGAGCCGGGCAGGCGAGAATTGCGGGTCAAGGCGGGCGTGCGGATACCCAGGTCTTTCGCAGATGTGGAAGAAGGCGCGGATCCTGTACCGAAAGAGGCCAACGATGAGGGCTGGGAAGGAAAGACGGCGGAGGAGCTTTGCCCGTGGTTCGAAGAGGTGAAGCGGGAAGTCTATCGCCGGCGCGAGATGGCCGAATGGGAGACTTTTGGCTGGCCCGTAGCTTGTGCGTTCGTTCCTCCCCGATCTTTTGCACAACCTCGCTAACAATTCCCACGCGATGCAGGCATACTCGCCCTCTCGACCTCACACCCAGACCCACTGAACGCCCTCTCCTCCCTCTGGGACCTGACTTCCCCCGCCTCGCTCTTCTCCCCCTCGTCTTACGCGCCTCGATCAGGCGCCGAAGAAGACGGAAGACACGAGTGGGCGAATGCGGGAGACGTCTTGCGGTTCGTCGTGTTGGTGCACGATCAAGGTCGTGGCGGAGGGAAGGAGGAATGGGATGAGTGAGTTGCGCACGTCGGCCCGTCTGCCTTCTCGAGTCTGAGCGCAGTATAGCTGACTGGAGGCGTACGTGCATAACTCGCAGCGCGCAACGACTGCACGAAACGATTCGCAAGACCTACGGCCTCCATACTGCCCTCGTCCCGCTCTTCTCCGCCTCGCCCGGCGCGCAGAACCCGCATCCTCCTGCAGCAGCAGCAAGCGCAATGTGGGACTTCCTCGGGCCTGTCGGCGGCGCACCACGACAGGCGGAAAAGATTGTCGGGCTCGGAGTGGACGAAGGATTCGACGTCGAGCCGACAGCACCACCTCCTGCATCCGACTCGCTTCCTCGCGCATCCGAACTCTCCGACCTCGACATCTCAGCTCTCACTTCTTTCTCGCGCGAGTTTCTCCTCCAATCCCTCGTCCCGCACCTCGAACGCCTCGCCGTGGTTGGTCACGAGTCTTGGCAGCAGAGCCGGAGAGGGTTCTTCAGTGCTGCGGCCGCAATCGGGGGAGGAAAGCTGTGGGGTGCGGTGGGAAGGCGGTTAGGAGGGGGAAGTGGAGAGGCGAGTCGGGCGGGAAGTCCGGGTCCTGGAGGAACGGCCGGGAAGGATGGGTACAACGCTGCGAGGGCATAGTGAGTCGAACGGCGAGCTTCTCTCTCGCGCCGACTGACGGGGACGTGGCGCAGCTATCATCATTCATCGACAATCTCACAATCCCGCCGTCTCGCCGACCTCGCTTTCATCCTCGAAGACTACAAGCTCGCGCAGCAAGTGTACGAGTCACTCGCGAAAGACTACCGACAAGACAAGGCGTGGCGACACTACTCGGCTGCGATGCGTATGGCCGGCTTGTGTCAGCTCCTCCAGCTCTCCCCTCCTAATTCGCCATCCGCTCCTCCGCCCGCTCTCCCATCCGGCTTCAACCCCGACCACAACCTGATACTCGCCCTGCAAACTCCCCTCGCCGCTTCGACACCCGCAGTCGGCGACTTCGATTCCCTCCGCTCCACGCTCCTCTACTACGACCTCTACCGCCTTCTCAACCTTACACACTTCGCTCCGCATGCGCTCGTCCGAACGGCGGGAGAAGTCGAAGAGGTTGTCAGCGCGGTCTTGCTCGAACAGGCGGCGCTGGCGGAAGTGATGGGCGGCGGAAGGAGGCGGCGAAGGAAGCATGCCTTCTGCATGGCTATGGCCGCCGCCCGCTACGAGAAGTGCGGTATCGTAAGTCGTCGCGCTGGTGCTCTAAGGCCTCGAATGTCGCAAGTTGCAAACCGCTGACGCCCACGCGTCGATCGCAGAAATCCCTCTCACGACGCTGCCTCTCGCAAGCCTCTACCGTCTTCCGGCCACCGGCCTTCTACCCCGAAGCGACAAAGTCCGACTCGACTCCTCCGCCACCAACGCTCACCTCGCTCCTTCCGCCCCTTCTCCCTTCGCCATCCTCTTCTCCCGCACCATGGCTCGCCATCCGCACGCACATCCATCACTCGCTCGCTCGACAGGCCTACACCGTCGGCTCCGCCCTCGAAGCGATTGACAATTTCCTCCAGTTGCTCGTCGGTGCCGACTCTCCCTCAACAGCCGTGGGCGATGCGGGCGGCGATGGTATCGACTGGCTCGACGACTTTGCGCTTGCGTTCTCGCTCCTCGGTGAGCCCGAGGAGGCCGCACGGCGAGTCAAGGAGCGGGGGATCACGTTGCCGGTCAAGCTCTTCGATGCGCAGGAGGCGAGGGTCAAGGTTGGGAGTGTCAGTGCGGCGGGTGCGAGTGCAAGCGGAGGTGCCAGCGCGGCGGAAGATGAGGAGGTCTGGAAGGCCATGACGGACGAGATGCTGCGGCTGGGCGGGTGGGCGCCAGACGAGGGAGTGAAGAAGGCCCGGCCTCGCGCGCTCGTCTACCGCGGTGAAGGCTTGTCGACGAGTCGGGGTGCAGCAGGCGAGGTTGAGGCGGTCGTTGGCGAGACGATCTACCTCGAGGTGCCGGTTCGCAATCCGGTCGAGGCGTTCTTGGCGATTGGTGGATTGGAGGTTGAGGTCGAAGGAGACGCGCAAGTTGAGGTCATGGCGCCGCAGGAGATCGAGTTGGCTCCGTTGGAGGAGAGCAAGGTACGTCGGCCCACTGAGCCTCACTGCTCAGCCCGGGCTGATCGAGCTAAGCGTACGGTCCGGCAGGTCTTCGTTCCTGTCAAGGTGACAAGTCTGGGATCCTTCACCTTCCGCTCCCTTTCCTACCGCTTCAGCAACCTCCTGCCCGTCACCGAAACCCTGCTTGCGCGGTACTCGAAGCCTTCGCCTCCTGCGCCAAACAAGCCGTCCTCGCGAACGCAGATACCGCTCAAGGTGCACGTCCGCGCGCCTGTACCCGTCCTGTCGGTCGAGATGGACGCGCTGCCACAAAAGCTCTTTCATGGCGAGATGCGAGACGCGCAGATCAAGGTCGTCAACGCCGGGCAGGTCCCGCTCGCCGACCCCCATCTCGCCTGTTCGCATCCCGGCTTTGTCCATCTCGACTCCGCAGCATCTCCCGCCATCACCGACAGCCTACTCGCATGCGACAACTCCCTCTCGCCTCTCCCGCCTTTCTCGCTCTTGCCGAACAGCCGCACCCTCGCGCCGGGCGAGTCGCTCTCCATCTCGCTCAGGTATCGCGGCGATCTTCCCGGAGCACACGCAATCCGCTGGCTCTTCGCCTTCCGCTCGAGCGAGCAAGATGCCGACGAGTACTTCAGTACGCGGGTCGTGCGCGAGCTGGAGGTCTACCCGAGTCTCGAGTTGCGATATCAAGTCCGGTCTAATGCGAAGGAGAAGGACGCACCATTCGTACTGGGCATCGAGGTGAGTTGCGAGCAAATCACCGCTGCGGAACATTACCTCGCTGATGGTTGCTTTTCTAGGCTTCCAACTGCGGTCTGCCTGCCGACGACGTCCGGCTCGACTCGCTCTCGCTCATTTCGCCTCTGTGGCGGGTTGCTGCGGATACGCCCTTTGGTTCTCAGGAAGACCTTGCCAGCCAGACGATAGGTTGGCAGCAGTCTACGCGCTTCTCGCTCGATGTCGATGCCGTCAACAACCAGCAGCGAGATGCGGCCGAGCAAGTCGACAATTGGACAGTCGGACAAATCGAGGCGCTGCTAGACGGACGCGAGCTCAAGGCGGAACGACCAGCAGCGATATCACTCGTTGTGTCCGGCTTCTCCAACGTGCGTGGCGACGCTCCCGCATAGCTTCTAGACGGCAGCTGCTGACAAGTCGAAATACAGTCCGCCATGTCTGCTCCCACCTCTACCTCGGTCCTCTCCTCATTTGCGCAGTACCGAAGAGCGTTCCTCGTTCCTCGCTTTCCGACTGTCGATCCCGCCTCCCACCCAAACATCTTCCCGCTCTTCTCTTCGCAATCCGCTCTCCTCGTCGTCTCCTATACGTCGGCCAGCCTGTCGGTCGGCCCGCAGACGGCGCATCTCGCGCTGCCGCTCGAGGCGCCGTTGCTCGGTACGACTGTCGGCTCCGCTTCGACCGCTCGCCTCCTCGCCAATCTCGAGGCGGCGGAGCGAATCGCAGGCGGGCTGTACGAGGAAAGTCAGCGGGAACGGAGTGCACTGTTGTCCTCGCTGCGGCGAAGCGAGCTGGCGGGCGCATCTGGTGGAGCGCCGATCGCGGTCGCAGTGCACGCGCGAGCGATTGTTGACCACGATTTCGATCAAGGGTGCGTCGCCCGACCGTAGAAGCCTGGGATCCAGGGCTGACTGTACTCCTCACAGGCCGCTCAGCCTGCCCATCACGGTGGTGCTGCGGAACCTGTCGCCCTTTGCGTCCTTCGACTACACTCTCCAGCTCTCCAGCGGCGCACAGTGCGTCTCAACTCCGTAGATCCCCATACGAGGGAGCGTCGCTGATCCTTTCCGATTGCGCAGCGCGGTCATTGCCGGTGCTCTCGTTCACTCAGGCAGTATCGGGCCCTTGCAGGCGCGAGCTATCCAATCGCAGCTGTGGCTGACGCACGAAGGCGTTCTTTCGGCCGCCGCCTATCGACTGTCGGTACGACTGGACGGCGATGCAGACGTGCGGTGGATGGTCGAGGGACCAGCGCGGGAGATCACGGTGCGGCACACGGGGCGAGCTGGTCTCGTCGACGGGTCATTGGCAACGGCGCAGCGACCTCTCGTAGACGTGCGGTGAACAACGAACGACTAGTTATGCGATTGCGGTAGATGAACAACGACAATGTAGAGAGACGGATGACTGCTGCTGGCGAGTGCTGTAGGGATGCGAAGGTACTGCTGGAGGATAGGGAAGTCGAATGGAAGCGAGGCGAGGCGAGGCGGGAAGAGTCGAAAAAGAGGGAGAAAAAGGCGAAGAGGGCGAAGTCGAGCGAAACGGCCAAGTCCCTAGGTGAGGGACTCAGAAAGTGCGTGGTACTGCTCAGTACCAGGCGGAGAATCCTCCACCAGCACCCGCACCGCCATACGAGGGCGCCTGGTAGAACCCACCGCCCCCTCCGCCCATACGAGGCGGGCCGTACGACGAGGCAGCCGGCGCGCCCCATCCGCCCGACGCCGCACCGCCGAAATTGTTGCCGCCAGCGAAACGGTCGCCGCCTCCGCCTGCTCCCGAGCGGAAGTCGCGAGTCGGTCCCGAACGACCACGTCCTCCTCCGTGTCCGCGTCCGCCCTCCAATGCCGGTAATCTAGAAGACGAGGGTGGAGGTGTCTGCCAGTTTTGCGAGCTCGTTGCTGTTCCGGACGCGTAAGTAGAGGTTCGGACAGTCGATTGAGTCGCAGGCGATGGCTTCGAGGAGCGGATTGCTCGAGCACGAGACGCAGATCTGGTGCAAGGCGCGCTGACGCTGGAGGAGCGCCTGCTTGCGGGTTGAGAGCGAGTAGACGGCCTCCGTCGGGTGCGCTCGACAGTCGGGACAGAGTCCTGCCAAGGACGGTCAGTTGAAGCCTTTCGCGAAAGCAGCTTCGTCTGAACGCACCGTCTTCGCCGTGAGGACCGTCGCATGCGACACATCGGTTGCTCTTGAAGTGCTGCTCGAGCATCGCAGCGCGACCGCCCTTGCCGTCGGCAATTCGGTGCACTCGCTTCGACTTGGCCATCTCGCGGTACCAAGACGTGACGTCGGCGCCCATCAGGTTGAAGACGCGCTCGAGAGGCGGGATCATCATCCTCTCGATGTAGTGAGTTGCGTCGAGTCGGAGCCGCCTGTACTTCTCCTGTCAGTGACGCTTGGAGGTCGACTTGACGAGAGAGGAACGCACGGGTCGGCGAGAAACTCCTTCGGCGCGATGGCTCGGTGGACCTGCTTCTGGCCGGGCTCGGCCTGGAACATGACGTACGGCACGCGCTCGCCGTACTCCGGCTCGGCGCGCGGATCCTCGAGCATAGCGCGAGCGGCGACAGCTGCCCCAGGCGGCGGAAGACGCCCCTCCCTGTAAGCGCAGGCGGGTCAGAATGCTGCGGCTTTGGATCAGGTGAATACGCACGCATAGCTGCCGAGTTTGACCTTCTTGGCGATGACAAAGTCTTGAGGCGAGATGTCTCCGGCCTGCAGCTTCTTCCATTGCCGCTGGCAGTACTCCTTGACGAGCGAGAGGTCGGAGGTACGGAACAGGATCCTGCAGGACACGAGGGTCACCAAAACAAAGCAGGAGGAGCAGCGAAAGAGAGGACTTACTTGAGGCAAGTCTCCTGCATCTTCTGCGTCGCCGCGATTCCGTCACGGCGGACCGTCTCGATGCCCTTGGCGTCAAAGTCCGGCTCCTTCTGCGCCTTGTACTCGTACTTGAATCCGACGTAGCGCTTCTTGGCGAGGAGTACGCAAGGAAGGTAGACCTGGAGGGTTGTCTTGCGTCAGCTTTGCCTTCTCGAGCTGCTTCGCCGCGAGCTCACCTTCTCGAACTTGAGCTTGATGGGCCGAGGGTTCTGCGACGTTACGACGTCGGCGATCTCGTTGCCGATGCGGAAGGCCTCGTCCTTGGTTTTGCCGGGAAGATAGATGAAGAGCGAGTCGGTGTCGCCGTATACAACCTCGGCGCCCCACTCTTTGACGGAGTGAATCGTCTCGAGTGCCTGCACGAGGCGGACGCGGGTGAGCCAAGGGAGACGGCTCGCGTGCCTTTGGACTGACCCTCTCGAGCGTCTCGCGGCCGGTCTGGACGATCGCGTCGGCAATTTCGACGGCGGGCATCCTGCCGGAGAAGGTAGCGGACGTGTAGCCGTACGTGACCTGCAGAGGCGAGTCAGCCTGGTGTCCCAATGACGAGCGAGCTTCAGACGCACATTTGCGAGAAACTTCAAGGCGAGCTGGCGAGCATTCAGAAGCTTTGTCAAAGCCTGCGAGCATTCATCGAGCATTAGCTTCAAGACATCCTCAGGCCAGCAAGCTGACGGGCGCACCTTGTCGCCTTCGACGCCTTTCATGCTGGACTTGACCATCACGCGAGTGTCGAGTAATTCGCTGAGCATCTTGGCGAGGAGCGACTTGCGGATTCGAGGCTTGACGAACATCATACCGTTCGGCGAGACTGAAGAGCTTCCGTCAACAGATGATCTGCGTGGTAGATTTCGCAAGGCGGACGTACTCGTGATGTCGTCCTTCATCAGCTGGAGCAGTCCGGCCGGCAGGTTCACCTCGCTCGTCCCAAACTTTGAAGATCCCTTGAAGTCATGCACGCGGCCGAGGCATGTCCTGCGCGAGAGAGAGAAAATCGTCAGTTCCTTCACGTCGAGTCTGACATTGCGCGAGCCACGCACGAGTAGCAGTAGTTGTAGGCGATCATGACCGACGGGTAGAGCGACTGGAAGTCCATGACGAGGAGCGGTCCCTTGTAGAAGGCCGACTTCGGCTCCATGATGAGCGGCTGGCATTCGGCGGCGTTCTGCTTGCCGACCTGCGAGCCACCGCGAGTGAGACGGAGCACAGGAGGAGACGAAGCGAGCGAGCGCACCTGGACTCGGTTCGGAGAGAGGAGGAGGAAGCTCTCGGGCTTGCTGATCTTGAACATCACCGACTCGACCTTGAACTGGCTGCCGCGCGTGCGAACCGAGTTGAAGTCGACGCCGAAGACTCGTGCCGATTCGCTGTGACGAGGGATTGACATCAATGGAGGAATGAAACCCGGTGGCGAGGCGGACTCGCCAGCACTGGTCCACGACTTCGGCCGCGTCGATCATCTCGATGTTCATCTCGACGCGGTTTCGCCAATACTGGAAGACTTTGGCGATCTTGGCGGGGTCGTCGGACGTGTACCACTCGGTGAGTACGCGGAACGACCAGCGCGGCGTTCTGTGAGATCCGCATCAGCGAGAGGCGGCGGATAAGGAGGAAGCGTGGTGAGCTCGCCTTTCGCGGAGGACGTGAAAGGCAATGTGCTCGAAGCTGTTCTGCTGGAACTTGTTGTCGGCTTTGAGAATGCGCCAGATCGGAAGGACGTGTCGGCCGGTGAAGTTGAGCGTCGACGACTGATTGAATCCCCAGCGGTCCGTCTGCGCGTTGCCGAACCTGCCGGTGTCGCCGTACTTGACCCTGCCGAGCTCTGGCACGAGGTTCCAGCCTGCGGACAGTAGACTGTGAGCGGGCGCTTCCGACGCAGGCTGGTGGGCGCGACGGACTGAAACGGGCTTCGGCTCGTTCCAGCAAGTAACCCCAGGAAGCATGGTGCACCTCGTACCCTGCGACGCATTCTGGGTCCCACTCATCTCGCAGCTTGTCTAGGAACGCGCCGATCAGCGTCAGTTCGTCCTCGACAAACTCGAGCGCATAGTCGGTGATGCCGAGTACGCGGTACGAGTCGTCGGTGCCGACTGCGATGACGCCGACATGCGTGTTAGGCGAGCGACCGTTGGCGTCGAGATCCTCGTTGTCGGACTGCAGGCAGTAGAATATGGCCTCGATCGCGTCTTCCTTCGGGTCGGGGAGCAGGTCGTCTCGAGTGTTTACTGTGCGCTCAAGCTGTTAGCGCGAGCGGACACGAGAGAATTGAGCGACGGACCATGTAGCTCCATTGACAAGACGGCCATGTGCTGCTTCTCGCGCTGGGTTGCAGCACCCTTGGTAGCGGTGAACTTTTCGCTCTTCTGCGTCGGCCCTTCGATCTGCGGGATAGAGCAGCGTTTGTATCGCGCTGGTCGTGCGGGTCAGGCTTAGCACACCTGCGACTTGATCGGGTTGAAGCGCGGCTTCTTCGCTTGCGCCGATGCAGCACCTGCGGCGAACCAATTCAGCGCATCTCTTGGGCGCCGGAGAAACCATGAGTACGCACCATTGGCCTCGAGCCACACCCGAGCATCGGCGAGTGTCGGCGGTCTTTTCGCGGCCTCCCAAGTCTTGACCTTCCTGATCCTCCGCTTCCTCCTGCCGTCCTCGTCGGAGGGCACTCGGCGGTCGCCATCGTAATGCATGAAAGGCGGGAGCGACTTGATAGTCGTGCCGTAGAGCCTGAAGGACCGTCCGCCGTACTCGCGCGCCTTGCGTGGGACGTCGGCAGGCTTGCTGTAGTGCGGGTCCTTGTACCGAAACGCGGGCTGCCCGTACGACTCGATCGTCTGCAGAAGCTGCGAAGATGCCGGTGGTGGTGCAGAGTAGGTGAAGGTGTGCCGAGCCTGCGGGTAGTCCTTCCGAGGCGGAGGAGGAGGTGCAACCGTTGTCGAATCGGCTGCGAGTTGAGAAGCGTCAACCACCTCGCCCGAGCATACGCAGCAGTCAACCTACACTCGCTCGTTTGTTGAGACGTGTGATCGGCCGAGCTCGGTTGCGTTTTCGCGGATTCGGCAGTCGAAATGGCGGGAGTTGCCGTCCGTGGTGAGGACGCTGAGCTGATTGGGCCGGCGCGCGGGTCGGCGAACGCGACGTGCTTCTTAATCGGCTGCTCCACCTCAAACAGCGGCTTGACGTCCTCCTCCTGCTCCGACTCGCTAGCCTCGAGCGGATCAGCTCGAGCCGAGCTGTTGCTGCCGTTCGCAATGAGACGAAGTAAACCAGGAGACGATCGCAGCTCGAGCGGTACCTGCGAAGGGACTTCCTCCTTGATGGTCGGCGTCGGCTGGTACTCCTCGTCGAAGGCATCGTCCGGCAAATCCGCCAGCTCGGCGACTGCTTGCGACGGCGTCCCTGCTGAGCGCATGCGCTCGGGAGGCGTAGGCGAGCTGTCCTGAGCAGACTCTGCTGACGACTGGAGGAAGTACTCGAGGGGCGGAGCCGACGACCGCGTCTCCGACACATGCGAAGCGACGATTGGCTTAGATGGCGACTCATCGCCCACGGCTGCTGCTGCTCGAAACGTGAAGAGAGCCTCTGGACCCTCTTCTGCAATCGGAGATGCGTTCTGCGGGCTCGGCGCATTCGAGGCCGACTTGGCGATGCGCACGACGACCCCTTTGTTCGGACTCGCGAACGGGTTGTGCTTCGTCCTTTTAGACGGTGAAACAGCCGGAGTCGAGCCGTCGCGCGAGGGCGAGCGGGTTAAGGGCGGCGACCGAGCTGGTTGGGCAGACGTGGCGCCTTTAGAGGGCGAAAGACCGCGAGGGCCGATCGGTAGGAAGCTGGCTGCTTGACGACCGAAGGAACCGCCGTTCGACGCGAGACGGGCGAGTGCTGGAGCCGCCTCGTCAACTTTGCGCTTCTTGGTGGGCGAAGCGGAATCGGAATCGTCCGTCGAAGCGGCAGCGACGCTGCCAGCGCGACTCCTCGCCTGCTCAGGCGATGCGAGCGTGCGCTTCGTCGGCGACACGCTAGGCGAGACCGAATAAGCGCTTCGTCCGTCGAGCGAGCCGTCGACGGGCAGACGATCGGTGCCGGCGTTGATTCCCCAGTAGTCCTCCTCGTCGTCTTCCTCGTCCGGATCCTTCTCCCACTCGCCTTCCTGCACCGAGTCCTCCCTGCCGCGCTGCTCGGCACGATCCATCGTCCGTCGCGAACGAGCAAGCGCTTCGGCCTGCGTCGCAGGCGGCTGACGGCCGTCGTCAACGTCCGAACCGTCTGCATCCGGGTCCGAGTCCGCCTCCATCCCGTCGTCGTCGTCCTCGTCGGCGAGTCTCGGGTCCTGTCGCCGCCGCCGGGCTGCCCGGGCCGCAAGCTTCGCCGCAGCCTGCGAGGCCTGCAGCCGGTTCATGTCGACCTCGGTTCGTCCAGCATGCAGCCAAGCGGCTTCTTGAGCCTCCGTGACATTCAGTCCAAAGCCTCGAACAGCCCAAGCACCGAATGGGTAGTTCTTCTCCTCGTCCTCGAGGAAGCGCTCGATGTAGACGGCGTCGACCTGCTCGAACGTCGTCCTGATCCGCTCCATCCACCAGCTGCTCGACTTCTCGACCAGTTTCTCCTTGTCCTCGACGTACGTCTCAAACTCGGGAGCGCCTCTGCCCTTCGGTCCAACCTTCTCGCGGAAGGCGCGAAGGTCCTCCTCGACACGCGCCGCCACCTTCCGCCGAAACTCGGGTTCTCGTCGCCAGATCGGATCGGTCGGCGAACGCTTGTCGAAAGCGCGAGGTACGTTGTCGACGATGTCGAAAGGGCCGCTCTCGCCCTTTGCCGCCCGCCGACGCTGCTCGTCCTCCCACAACTCGCGCACGCTGCGGACGTTCTTCCCGCGCTCGACTCGCTCGGGGTAGAGGAGCTCGATGAAGTCGTGATGGAGGTTGCGAGGAGTGAGGCGGCGGCGATTGAGGATGGCAGAGATGGGCAAGTCGAGCTCGAGGGCGCAATAAGAGACTTTGACTGGACCGCCGGCGTCTGGAGAGGGGTGCATGCGAGACGGCGGGACGGTCCGGGTCGTGTAGGTGCGGAAAGCGTACGGGCCGGAGCAGGAAGGCGGATTGTACTCGTCGGAGGGCGTAGGTTGGTGATCTGCGGGCACGAAGGGTGAGTTGGTGACATAACTCAGGAAATATGAAAACGCACCTGGCAGCTCTTCCCTGAAGGCGCACTCTCCCGTCTCGACCCATCCGCACCCAAACAAGTTGGCGTCGAGCATGAACTGCAGGAGGAAAGGAATGTGCGCCTCGTAAACGTCGAACTGGGTCTGGAGGACAGCGCCGCTCCTGAGCAGCTCTGAGAGTCGGTTCTTGTGCCGCGGGTTGACCATGTAGACCTTGAGAAAGGGCTTGTAGCCGACCGAGTAGCCGTAAAAGTGCGTCCCTTTGCAAAGAACGACGAAGGCGACGTATTGAGGCGATTGTCCCTTCTTGTGCTTCGACGGGAGGGACAGCTCCATCGCCCGATTCAGCGCCGAACCGAAACGCCGAATGTAGTCATTGACTGGGCGAAAGAAGCGTAAGCTCGTGAGTCTTCGTGAACTTTGGAGGAGGAAGGACACACCCGACTCGGGATCCAGTTTGCCCTTGTAGTCGACATAGACGTAAGGGTACGCTCCATGCACGTGCGCCGTCACCCTCTGCCCTCTGTCCGTCGCTCCCCAGATCCGAATGACCGGTACAGCGCGCAACTCGTCCTTTGCGAACGGCGAGCGACGGTTGTCGTACTTTGAGCGGTCGGGCGCCTGGATGTAGTCGATCGCGCTCAGTCGGAAGCGAATGAAGCAGTCTTCCAGCGGGACTGTCGGCGCCGCTGTCCCTCCCGCTTCCTGAGCCGTCTCAGTCGCTTGTTGTGGGGTCGCTGCCGAGGCGGCCGCATCGTCTGGCGGATCTGCGGTCGCGCCGGCCATAGCGAGGGCACAGTCGAGCGCACTTGGATGTAGCAGAAGCCTTGCAGCGGGCACAAGCCGTGAGGAGCGGTGTTTGAGGCGAGATGTCAACTTCGAAGAGGTGACGACCAGAAGAGGGTCGTCGAAGTCTCGCTCGCTCCCGTTCGCGAAAGGCTGGGAACACATCTGTATAGATAGCATTGCGCTCTCTATGTACCGAAAAACGAGCCGTCTAAACTTTGGCGAGGATCGCCTTGACTTCCTCCTTCTCCTTCTCCTTGTCAAAGACGGGGCGCTGCGAGATTGTCCGTCACAGTCAGCGACAGACAAATCAAAAGGCAGATCAAAAGGCAGAGGGCATGAGACGCACCGGCATCTCGTAAGCCCTCGTGGTTCGGCCGTACGTGATTCCACCGAGCCTCGAGACGGGCTGGAGCTTGCCCGTGTCGACGAGCAGCGTGTCGTCAATGATGTCGTCCCTGACGTGGAAGAGCTTGACGCGGCCGAGGACGACGGTGCCGGTTCGGACGCCAGCGTCGTTGTGCAGGTGGTAGTGGTGTTCTGCCGAGAGAGAATGCTGTCAGTCGCTGGAGCTCACGCGCTGAAAGGGAGTGTCGCGCACCCAGCACACACTCCATGACGAAGGCGCTCTCGCCGACTCGAGCAGGCTTGACGAGCTTGCTCGGGACGGGCGTGAGACCGCTGAGCGGCCACTCGCTCACACCCTTCGGCGCGTCGATCGAGGTAAAGTTGGCAGCCTCGACGAAGGGCTCGGAGATCCTGCGACGTGTTCGGTCAGCAAGGAGCGATCGGAGCAAGGCGAAGCGCCGGGCGTACATGTTCGCGACAAACTCTTTCGTCTCGAGGATGTTCTCGCACGTCCCCTTGAGCTCCTGGCCATTCGGATGCGTGAAGGCAACCATGACGATGGGCGGATCGTGGCAAGCGATGTTGAAGTAGGAGAACGGCGCGAGGTTCGTCCGTCCTTGCGCGTCAACGGTAGAGAGGAAGCCAATGGGACGAGGCGTGACGGCCTGCATAGCGCAACTCGTCAGCCGTCGCGCGACACTGGAGACGTCGTAGCGGTGCGAACCGAGATCATCATCTTGTACAGCCCACCCTTGTTCTCCTTGGCCGGGTCAACCTCCCTGAACTTGGCTGCCTCTTGCTTCTTGCCATCCCACAAGCCCTCCTTAACGCCGGGCAAATCCTGACGTCCGTTCGCACCGGTTCCGGGGGTCCAGTCGGGAGAGACGGTCTGTACGAGCGGAGGGAGAGACGGTTGAGGTGAGCAGGTGGAGTGGGAGGAGGATGACGAGGTGAACGAGAGACGCACCTTGGTGACCCTCCACTGCTCGTCTGCGTCAAAGTCAGGCCTGGAAGCTTCAACCTGCGAGCCAGAAGCCAGTGCCCTGCCGTGTGAGCGAGAGCGACTCGCTTCCTCCTCGCCGAACTGACGACCTCGCGAGGAGAGGGGCTTGCGCGCGTACCTGCTGGAACGGGGGGTGGTGCGACATCCTGTACTGTTGTGGTGTGGGTCTAGCGTGCGAAGCGAGTCCAGCGAGTGTTCTGCGAGAGCAAGAGAGCATGCGCTGAGCGAGACCCTCCTCCACCCGGCGGGTCGTCGGTTCCGCCGCTGCAAGTCGTCGTCGAGTGGGTTATACAGTCTTCGACGAGCCTTGTTGAAAGAAACGGGTCCGAAGCTGCGAGCAGACGTCTCTCCAGGACGAACAGGAGCGAAGGCAAACGACGACAATTACAGCATGGGAGGGTTACAGCGAAGGGTAGGGTATCCTCAAAGGCCCGAGGTATCATCTAGTGTTGATGCCTGGCCCGAAGAGGAGACGGGGAGCAGCAGGCCAACTGGGGGGGAATGCATCTTGAGAGGGGTCGAAACGCGACGAGGGTGGACGACAAAGTGTATGGGGACGGACGGCGAGTTCTAGTGTATGCGATGTGGTTGGAAAAGCGGTCGAGGTAGGCGGCCAGTGAAGGGCTCCTCGTTGTACAGGTAGACCCGTCGAAGGGAGGGAAATCGTCCATGATTGTCGAGTTTTGGGTAGATGCAATGCTGACTGCTGCTGGCGAGTGCTGTAGGGATGCGAAGGTACTGCTGGAAAGGTAGGGAAGTCGAACTGAAGCGAGGCGAGGCGGGACGAACGAGTCGAAAGGAGGCGAAGAGGTCGAAGTCGGGCGAATTGGCCGAGTCTCTAAGTGAAGGACTCAGAAGTGCGCGGTACTGCTCAGTACCACGCGGAGGATCCTCCTCCGGCACCTGCACCGCCATACGAAGGCGCCTGGTAGAAGCCGTTGCCGGTCCCGCCCATGCGCGGCGGGCCGTACGACGAGGCAGCCGGCGCGCTCCATCCGCCCGACGCCGCTCCGCCGAAACTGTTGCCGCCAGCGAAACGGTTGCCGCCGCCTCCTGCTCCCGAGCGGAAGTCGCGAGTCGGTCCCGAGCGGCCGCGTCCTCCTCCGCGTCCACGTCCGCCTCCAAAGCCGGTGCTCTGGCGACCCATCGCGTCGAGCCACTGCGGGACCTCCTGCTTGGCCTCGCGGAGGAGCTCGATCAAGTCGCGGACGATGTTGCGGTTGCCGCCGTTGATGAAGGCCGTCGCCTGACCCGTGTTGCCCGCGCGTCCGGTACGACCGATGCGGTGGACGTAGTCGTCGATGTCGGACGGGAGGTCGTAGTTGATGACGTGGGTCACGTTGGGGATGTCGAGACCGCGCGCGGCGACGGCGGTCGCGACCATGATCGGGGTGCGGGCCGAGCGGAACGTCTCGAGGGCGTACTCGCGCTCGCGCTGCGAGCGGTCGCCGTGGATCGAGGTCGCCGCAAAGTTGTTCTGCGCGAGGAAGCCCTCGAGCAAGTCGGCCATGCGCTTGGTCTCGACAAAGATGAGGGTGAGGCCGCCGGCCGGGATCGCGTAGAGGATGTCGAGCAACACCGAGCGCTTGTCCTCGTCCTCCACGTACTCTATTTTTTGAGTTATATTCTCCGACGTCGAGCCGACGCGACCGACGGAGAGGAAGATGTAGTCCTTGAGGAAGTCGCGGGCGAGCATCTGGATTTCGCGGGGGAAGGTCGCCGAGAACATGAGCGTCTGGCGGTCCATGACGTCCGGCATGTCGGCCTGCTGGACGATGCGGCGGATCTGGGGCTCGAAACCCATGTCCAACATGCGGTCAGCCTCGTCGAGAACGAGGTAGCGGACGTTGGCGAGCGAGATCCTTCCGCGCTCCATCAAGTCGACGAGGCGGCCGGGGGTGGCAGAGAGGAGGTCGCAGCCCTGGTCGAGCTGGCGGAGCTGCGAGCCGATGTCGGCGCCGCCGTAGACGACGGCGGGGCGGACCCACGAGCGGTAGGCAAACTTGCGGGCCTCGTCGTGGATCTGCGAGACGAGCTCGCGGGTCGGGGCGAGGACGAGCGCGGTCGGGAACGCCTTGCGGCCGCGGCCGAAGCGGGGCTGGTTGTCCGCCATGGGGTTCGGGCGCGGGCCGTACGTGAAGAGCGCCGAGAGGATGGGGAAGAGGAAGCCGCCCGTCTTGCCGGAGCCGGTCTGGGCGCAAGCCATGAGGTCGCGGCCGCCGGCGACGATGGGGACCGAGTACTTCTGGACGGGCGTCGGGGTCTTGTAGTGCGCGAGGGCAATGTTCTCGAGGAGGTGGGCGTCGATGGGCGGGAGGAACTCGGTGATGGGCTCGGGGACGTCGGTGCCGGTCGCCTCGACGGGGATGTCGGCGTAGGCGTCAAAGTTGATGCCGGTCGTCTGCTTGGTGCCGTCGCCGACCTCGCCAAAGAGCTCCTTCTCGAGGCGCGCGTTCGACTGGCCCGGGACGTGCTTGCCGCCCTGCCACGAGCCAAAGCCGTCGCGGCCGGCGAAGGCGCTGCCGCCGAAACTGCCGCCCGAGCGAGGTGCGCCTCCGCCGAATCCTCCTCCGCCGCCCGTGCGCTGGCCGGTGCTCCAGCTGTCGGTGCGAGGGACGAACGCGGGCGCGGCGGGGTTGCCGCCCCATCCGCCGCCCCCGCCAGCCGCAGGGGGAGCGAGTTGGGCAGGCGCGCCGCTGTCAACGAGGGGTGAGTTCCAAAGTCAGTACAGTTCCACAGTACAGTTCGCGAGTCTGGAACGCGTCGCAACTCACACAGCGGGAACGGGGGGCGCGGCACCCTCAACGCGAGCCTTGCGGAGGTGAGGGGGAACGTAAGCGGCGCGAGGAGCGGGAGCGCTTCCGCCGTTGACGTTGAGGGAGCCTGTGAGTGTGGGTGGTGTGTTGGCGAGGAGAACGACGGGGCCGAGGCGGGTGCGAGTGGCGGTTTTCGCGAGGTCGAGTCGAGGGCGGGAAGGACGTGATTGCCGTGCGAGTTGCGTGCGAGCGCGAGTGAGGGGTTGTGGCGGTGGGCGGGTGGAATAGGGAGAGTCAGGCAGTCCTAGTCAACGTGTTGCTCGTCTCTGCAGCGGTTCGAGGAGGGGTGGACGCACTCATCGAGCCCTCGAGACCGGTGTGTCCATTCTGCGTCATTCGAGTTGGAGCGAGAGAGTGTGTGTGTGGTGTGTGTAGCTGTTGGTTGACTGTGTTGTCTGATGCTCTGCTAGCGTGAGTGCAGGCGAGGTTGTGTGAGGTGGAGAGGGAGAGAAGCGAGGCGAGCGCGCGACTTGGTGGCGTCCAAGTTCGCAAGGCTCGAGCTCACCCTCACTTCCTCGCTTCCGCTCTCTCCTTCTTCCTGTGGCTGTCGTGGCGCAAATGACACTCTCGGAACACTATGAGCACGCTCTCGAGAGAGCAGCAAGCGGAGCGAGTTGGAGCGGGCGATAGGCGACCTTCTCTCCTAGCTTCGAGAGGCAAAGCAGCGACGACAACAGCGCAGGCGTCGATTCGAAGCAAGCGCCAGCTCGAGAGAATCGAGAACATGTAGTAACCGAGCGGAGAAAGCCTAGAAACGCGAGGGAAGCGAGAAGGCCAACCTCCTCCTCGACCCCCTCGTCCTCGTCTCACAGCTCTCCCAAACGTCCGATAGGCGCGAATCGCTCGTCGTTCGACCCAACACGTTGCAGAAGACACACGAGACCACCCGGAGGCCGTCCCTTACTTCTTCTTGCTGTGAACACGAGGATTGTCAGTTTCTCGTCTTCCTGTGGCCCAATTCGCTCGATATTGGAGATTCCCGCTCACCTGACACCCACGGTCTTTCCCCTCCTGCCAGTGGTCTTAGTCTGTGTCGTTTTGGGAGGGTTTGGGGGAGTTTTGAGGTCAGCGCGAAGGAAAACGGGTGAGGGAGGAGGAGAAGGCCAAGACGCACGTGCTGGCCGCGAACACGGAGGCCCCAGTAAGTACGGAGACCACTGTAGAGCGCAATGGAGCCCGTCAGCGCTGGTCAGAGGCGGAAAACTCGCGAGCGAAGTAGGGAACAAGGTCCGAGACGAACCGGTGGTTGCGGATCTTCTTGAGGCGCTCGAGGTCCTCGCGCATCTTGCTGTCGAGCTGGTTCGACAACAAGTGCGTGTACTTGCCATCGACGATGTCCCTGCGCGCGCCCGAAGCGTGAGCAAAAGCGAAAGGGGAGCAAGTGGGGGGAGAGGGGAACTCACTTCTGCCTGTTGACGAACCACTGGGGGATCTTAAACTGAAGGGGGTTCTGCATGATCGTGACGATGCGCTCGAGCTCGTCCGGGTTGAGCTCGCCGGCACTGGTGAGGCGAGCGCAAGTCGCGAGGATGAGAGGGAAGGGCAGAGGGCATCGTCGTCAGTTCCCGTTCATCCTGCTCGATCCGACCCGCTCCAAGCAGCGCCAAACTAACCGCTTGCCGAGGTCGACGTCGGCCTTCTTGCACACCAAGTTGGCGTAGCGGCGGCCAACACCCTTGATCTCGGTCAAGGCGTACTGCGCGATCCCACCGTCAGCGCCCGTTCTCGCGCAAAAGAGAGACGCGCCGAACGAACCATGATCTTCCGCTTGCCGTCAACGTTGGTGTTGAGCAAACGGAGGATGTGCTGGAACTGCACGTGAGCTTCGGGGACGACGAGCGACATGGTTGCTGCGGTTGGCGAGTCGGGCGAGGTCGAGAGGGACGAGAGAAGAGGGTCAGTGATGCTCTGGTGACCGCCAAACTGGCCCCGCGCGAGTTTGTCGAGACGTCGTGTGCCACTTGGGTGCGAGGAGGGGCAGCGGTTCCCGACCGTCTCGCGGCGTCCACAGCGCCCGCCTGACCCGCCTGACTGCTCCAACCTGCTCTCACACGCTCGTTCACACCCGCCGCACTTTCCCCAGCCCACACCAACGCACCCTCGCCCCGCTGCTCCGCCCAAGCGCAAACCCTCCTGCGAGCCCCTCCTCGCGCTCGTCTCACACCCCTCGCGCGCGCTCGATCCGGTGCGCAGTCGATCCAAGTAGGGCAATGTACCTCTGTCGACGTGTAGCGAGTGGTGCAGAGCGGGTGTGTGGGCGAGCCGGGAGGGATTGAAAACGGCGAGAGATGCGGGCGATGGGAAGGGCGAGACGGCGGGCGGCGGTTCGAACGGGAGTGGGCGGGGCTGCGTGTCAGCTTGCGTGCTAGCTGGATGGGCGCGAGACTGCGTGCGCACGTCTGAAGTTCGCGCGGGAGGAGTGGCTCGAGGGAACAAGCGAGCTCGTGCGGTCGCGCTCTCGCCCTCGTCGCTCCCCTCAGCTTTTACCACTACCCACCACTCGCACGGGGCTGCGTAGACAGGCTCGCAAGGGACCGAGCACACTCTCAGCTACACGCCTGGCCAAGTCGCACCGCTCGCCGTCGCCTGCCGCCGCCGCACCACCCTCCTCGACCCTCGACCGCTTTTCCTCGCCATCTCGACACCGCGCACGGGATTGACAGACCGTGCATGCACTGCTGGGCACCTCTCTCGCCGGCTCACAGCTGAGCGCGAAGTCGAACGGCGCCATTAACGACTCGCTCCCCCTCGCTCGCTCGCTCACGCACGCACGCATACACGCACAACCCGCACACGAAACAGTTCAACCATGATGACCCAAACACTCAACACAATTCTTATCTACATTATCGGACCCATACGGCGGAGGGTTCTGCCTTTCGTCGTCGGGGCTGTTGAGAAAAGAACGCCTGATTCCTTGAACTGTTTTCGTTCGTGCGGGTTGTGCGTACGTGCCGTGCCGTGCGGTGCGTGACGGAGATCTTGGCGTCGTTGCTACGGTCGGTGGAGCGCCTCGCTCTGCGCTGGCGGGCGCCCGCTGGACGATGCCCAAGCCTTTCCTGCTTCCTCTGGCTCTGGCCGTTGCTTTCTCTTCTGCTCAACGACGCTCAGCACGCTCTCAACTTCGCCAGGCCACCGACGCCCGCGGCTGCGCTGAGGAGAATAAGTTACTGCTTTGGCACACCTCGCTCGACCGGCTACTTCGGCGTAATGACGACTGTCGCATCCTTCCCGCTCGCGGTCGTCTTGACCCTCACGACACCCTTCCCATCATCCTCACACTCCACTCCCTCTCCCTCAACCCTCACATTCACACCACCACTATACATCCTCTTCGCGTCATAAACAAGCTCAAACCCGTCGCCCACTTGCGAGCCAGTCGTCACGACGCAGCGGTACTCGCGGACGTGCTCGTCTGTCTCGGGTTTGGCGGGAGGGTCGGAGAAGTATTCGGTTTGGAAGATGATGGAGGTTGAGGAGGTTCCGGAGGGAAGACGGATGTAGGGTGCGTGGCCGTCTGCGAGATCCCTCCAGCCCATCAGCGTGGTCTGTGTGAGGAGGAGAAGAGGATGGGAGACGCACACTGGTAGTAGACGTCGCGTGCGCGACCGGTGCACAACGGAGTCTCGGTCGCGACCATCGAGACCATCGCGATGGGCATCGAGCCGTTCAGCGCAATCTTGACGATGTAGCTGTGGCGCGTCCGAGCTAGTCAGCAAGAAAGCAAGGCGAGAAAGCGAGGAGAGAGAACGAACGTGACTTTGAGGTCGTCGCCAACCGGGCTGCGAGCGAAGTAACCCTGTCAATTCCGTCAGATCAGGCGCGGAGGGAAGCGACTCGAACGCACGTGAAGCGCCACCCAGAAACAGTAAGCGTAGCCCTGGTCTTCCCCTTCTGTTCCGGCGCCCACTGCTTCTCCTCGATCGTGGTCTGTACAATCATCCTCTCCCCCTTCTCGCTCCCGTCCTCGGGATGATAGTTCTTCTGGATCCCGACAATGTCGCGCGGGTAGACGAGCCAGCCCATCCCTTTCATGACGGTGTAGAAGGCGAACGAGGTGCGGTCGTAGCGAGCGAGCATGTGGCCCGTCTCGAAGCGCTCGTCCCAGAGCTTGCGCATGCCGGGGAGCTGGACGACGCCGCCGAGGAACTGCGCAGGTGGACACACGTAGTCAGCATTCAGGCGGGGAGTGAAGGACAGGAAAGCGAGCGAACCGCTTCCGAGTTGGCGTTCTTGACGAGGGTCTCGCCCTTGACGGTCGGAACAGCGTCTGCGAGTTCGCACAGTCAGCCAAATTGAAACGCAGTCGGAAGAACATGAGGGTCGAGATGTTGCGCACAAGGGTCCTGAGGAGAGCAGGCCGGTCAGCAGCGACCACAGCGGACGGCACGCCCGCACACGCACCTCGGGGTCCTTCTTGCTCCACAAGTGCACGTCCTCGCGCTCGCCCTGGTCCTCCCACTCGCTCTCGGGCGACTCCAGCTCCTTGAGGAAGAACGCCTTCGCCGCCTCCAACTCGGCCTGGTGCGCCGTCGAAGTCGGGTAGTCTGCGACAGCGGGTTTGTCTGGCTTGTGTACGCTCATTGTGCAGCTGTTTGCGCGGTCTGTGAGAGAGAGTGAGAGCGAGAGGTCGAGGTGGGGCTGCCCCGGCGAACTTGCGCTGGCGGAGAAAGGACGCCACCGACTTTGCGCTCGTCGCCGGTGCAGGGTCATGCGGGCGCAGGCGGGGACTGCTCGTTCTCACAGAGCTCAGCGAGCCAGGGCAGCATACGGGAATCGCTCTCACGGCTTGCGCGAAGTTGCGAAGGTCAGCTCGTCGAGCGGAGACATCGAGGGAACGGCAAGAACAGGGTATACTGCTCGCATAAGGACTGTACTGAATGGAAGAGACCCGCCTCGGATTATGGCGCCACGTCAACCGCCCTCCGCCTCGTCCTGCGCTCCGCAACCTGGTCCTCCCTGTTCACCGCCCACTGCGCCCGCTGCGCGCGCTCCTGCCGCTCCCAGCGCTCCTCAAGCTCGCCTGACGCCGCGCAGACCGCTTCTCGTCCTCGCTCGAGCTGAACAGCGACCCGTCCGACTCGCTCCCGGACGCTGAGGAGAGGAGACCGTGCCGGCTGCGACGGCGGGAGGGGTGGCCGAGAGCGTTGTAGCCCTCTGCAACAGGCGTGAATTAGTACGAGCACAAGGAGATCGAGAGAAGCAATACGCACGAGCAGGATTGCGGTTCGTATCGGCAGCAGTCGCCTCCTCGTCGCTTCCAGGAGGCGGCTTCTTCGAACGACCCTGCGCCTGAGCAGGTGCACCCTGCGCCGCCGCCGCCGCATCCTGCCGGTTCTTGCGACGCGAGATGAAGCAGACGAGGACGACGCCGACGACTGCGATGAGGACGATTCCGCCGCCGATGGCGAAGATGACGGGCTTTGAAAGGCCCGTAGGACTGGAGGTCGTGGCGCCAGCTGAGGTGCTTGCGTTCGCTTCGTCAGCGGTGGCGGACCCGACGGGCGTCGAGTCGGCTACAGTAGCGTCGGTAGCGGTGTGTGCAGCCGTTGCGCCCGTGTCGCTCGCCGAGCCCGACGTCGGCGAGCTGGCGGATGCAGAAGCCGTGCTGTTGGCGCTCGCGGCGCTAGTCGAGATGGCGGACGAAGCGGACTGTGAGGCGGACATGTCGTTCGTGACTGTCGTCTGGCCTGGGTTACCGATCCTCGTGGCGTCGCCTGAACGTGTCGCTTCTCCCCCAGACGAGCTGCAGAGCGAATGTCAGCGCGACACTCAACCAGCGCGAGCTCAGTGTAGGAGCCGCACCTCGCCTTGGTAGTCTTGCCGCCCTTCACGCCGGCCGAGTCACCGTCTCCTTCGGGACAGAAGATGACGGTGAAGCCGCTGTTGCCGTTGCTCTTGCAGACGAAGCCCGTCTCGTCGCCTCCCGCAGGCGAGTCTTGCTACTCAGCCGCAGAGGAGGTCAGGAAAGCCTCATCGGACAAGAAGGGAAAGGAGGACGCGCGAAGTAGGCGTAAGCGTTCTTGCAGCCCGCCTTGAAGTACGAGTAGAACTGGATCTTGTCCGGCGTGCAAGCCTGTGGCGAGGCGTAGTCGCCCTTGCAGCACTGGATGTTCGTGTCGCCGACGCCGGCATAGCAAGCGCTGTTGCACCCGAGGATCTGGCCGTACGAGTCCTTGAGCATGAGGCGAGCGTCGGGGCACGTCGAAAGCGTCGGCGTGCACGAGATGGCGTCGCATCCGCCCTGTTGCGGCTTGATACCGATCGGAATGCCCCATCCTCCACCGTTCTGCAAGTCGTACATGTCGACCTGTCCGTTCGCTTGGCTCTGGAGACGGAACTCGGCGGACGTCGCTGCTCCTCCCAGCTCGCCGTCGCCGCACTGCACCTTGTTCCCCGTGCATCCCCCCGTCACGCAGTTCACGGTCGCTCCGTCGCTGGACTTGACGCATCCGTGTCGGCCCCAGACTCGACCCGCCCAGGCGTTCGGAACAGAGATACTTTTCGTTGACCCGGAAGGCGATTCCCAACCGTGCTCGCCGTTGTAAGCTTCCGTACCGCCTCCGAGAGACGAGATGGCTGGGAAGACGGTGTAGGAGCACGCATTCTGGATCTCGATCGTTCGAGCGGCGAGACTGTCGGGCGGAGAATGCGTCAGGAGTTGAGGGAAAGAGGGAGGGAGGAAAAAGAAGGCACACCTGGTTCCCGCCAAGACACCCACCGCGAGTCCAGCAGATGTAAGCAACGAGCGCATGGTCGGTGAAGCAAGCGAGTGGTAAGAAAGAGAGAGAGGGAGAGCGAGCGCCGCTGGGTGGGATACTCCGCGGACCCTCCGAAGGCGTCCGTGCCAAATCACCGTCGTCGTCCAACCAGAGTCCAACGATGCCTTACCGAACAGAACTCAGTACGGCATCAGTCGTCGCCTCTCCGCTAGCAGCTCTTCTCCCGCATCCTCCAGCATCGGCCCCTCTCCCTCCTCCTCGTCCTCCATGTCGGACGTGACCACTCCTTCGAGGAACGGCTCGAAGTCGACGCGTACGCGAAGACCCTTCTCGAGAAGCAGGTGGTGAAAGTCGCGAAGCTCGCGGGAGCGGTAGACGGAGCGAAGTGCCGGGGAGAAGGGGCGGAGGTAGAACTCTGCCACCGAGTTCCGTCAGCATTGCCCTTCGCCAGGAAGAACCGAGCGGACGCACCCTTGCACCAAGGACATTCGCGGATAGCCCGATAGATGAGCGACTTGGCGCGCTGAAGCTCGCCGTTGCGGACCTCGAAGTCGATGTACAGCGTCCAGAGCGAGGGCGACGACTTCGTCCTGCAGCGAAGCGAGTCAGCTAGGTAAGCTACCTCAATATGTAGCGAACGCACTTGGGGTTGTCCAGCGCCCGGTCGAAGAGGTTGCGGACCGCCCAGATGTTCGGTCGCCGGGCGTCGAGGTGCAGTTCGGCAAAGATGGCGAACAGCCAGCCTTCGCTCGTCGCAGCGTTCTCCTTGAGCACCTTCTCCTCCATGACGAGGCGGAAGTGATTTTGAATCTTCATGCGGACTGCGACAACGAAGGTGAGCCATTGTGGGCTGGGATTTGCGGCGGGACTCACGCTCGTTGTGGTAGGCCAGCGAGAGGAACAGCGAGTTGTTCTTGTACTGCTGAAGAGCGCGGTCCAACAGCTCTCGCAGCTGACCAGGCTTGTAGCCCTTGCCACGGCTCGAGTGTCGGAAAAGCAGCTTGGCGTAGAGGACGAACGCCTCCTCGTGCTCGGCCGTACCGCATGCACCGGCGCCGTCAAGTCGCAGAAGATGCTGCTCGAGGATATCGACGGCTGTCGACAGGCCGCGCGAGATGTACTCGAAGAGGGCGAGCGAGAAGGCGAGGTGATTGCGGTTGCGAAGGAGAGCTTGCGTCGCTCGTGGCTGGAAAGACGCTTCGAGCTCGCGAGCGTAGTACTGACGAGCTCGGAGGATGGTGGCGGGAGATGGGCGGTCGGTTTCGGTCGTTGCGGCGAGCGAAGCTGGAGGCAAGACTGGTCAGCATCTCGGATTACACGAGCGAGAGGTCGGTACGCACCGAGGTCCACCTTCTCAGCACTCGTTGCTGCAATGACTATCCTCAATGCCAATGCCGGCCGACCTTCTTCCCACTCCATTTCTGCCCAAGCTCGCCAAAGAAGGGGACCGTCGACCTGATCTGGCGGCGCGAACGAGCGATACATCGAGAGCGCCGTGCAGTAGACCTGCCGCGCATCGGCAACTTTGCCGCGAGACCGCTCGATGCGGGCGTAGCCGTCCCAGAGTGCGAGGTCCTGGCGCTTGTCGCGGAGGACCTGCTTGGCGAGCTTGACGGCGCTGCTTTGCGAGATCTGTCAGCCACTGCTTCGCGAGCCATGGACCGTGCGGACATACCCCTTCGGACTCTGGGCACTCTCGAGCGAGAAGGCGTCGAGAATTAGGAAGACATCGGGCGGAACTGTCCGGAGGAGATTGAGGGCGTTTCTGCAAGATCCGTTCATCAGCGATGAGTAAAGCGCACTCGAATTGGGAGACCTCACTTGGCGAGCTCGACATCGATGTCCTGCAAGTCCTCCGGCACGAGCGTCCTGAACCACCCAGCCTTTCCCGAGCCAAAGAGCAGGTCCGCCATCGCCGGCGCCGCCTTGAACGGCGTCTGCCACGGCTCCTTGATGTCGCTCTTCCTCTCGAGCTCCATCGGCTCGCCGTCTACAAGGCCGTATGACTGCTTCTCGCTCGAGTCGGACGGCCAGAACCGCTGGATGAGCGACGGTCGTTCGACAAGGTCGGAGTGAATGAAGGGGTCGGTGGTGAAAGGCGTCGAGGTCGGCACATCAGGCGGAACGAAGGGCAAGCCGAGGAAGGTGAGGAAGGCGTAGGCAAGCTGCAGTCGCGAGTCGGGCGAGTCGACGAAGAAGAGGAAAGGTCGGATGTCGCCAAAAAGGACGACTCGGTACGGGTCGTCTGAGTCGTCCATGCCGGGGTCGGTCGTCCGTGCGGGACGATGCGACTCGGATGCGATCCGCTCCGCCCTCGCCCATTGCTCATGCGGTCGCGCTCCATCCTCGCGCTGCGCCTCGACGATCGCAACATCGCTCGCAGGGACCGCTTCGAGCGGCATGTCCTGGTCCGTCGTCGACCGCCAACCTTTAGCATCCGTCTCGCCGATACGAGGCGCTTCGGTGTCCCAGAAGGACTCGAAGGCGGCGAGAACGCGCTGCTTCCACGGCATGAAGCGTTCGTACTGGAGGCGGTCGAAGTCGGCAGGTCGGAACAGGTTGAGCTCGACGATCGCTTGGAAAGTAGCGAGGGCGCGTTCGGAGAAGCCTGCGATCGGTTTGACGTGAGCGGGCATTCAATCCGAAACAATATAGACAGGACTTGCCGGCCTGGCGCAGCATCAAGCAAAAGCGCAGGAGTAGGTAGACGGCGTTCGCTTCGAGCATCTCGCGAGCTGGCGGAGATGCAAAGTTAGCACTCGCCGCTTCCGGAGGAGGAAGGCAACCTACCGCTGGAACCAGGCTCTTCCCCGCTCATGGCGTCAGCGAGGACGACAAACGACTCTTCGAAGACGTCGACAACGTCCGTGACACTGAAGGTCGACCACGTCGTCTGCCGCCAGCTGACGTACTCGATCCAGAGTCCCGTCAAGTCGGGATGCGCCATGAGCGCCTCCTTCCATCGCTGCAAGACACGCTTCGGATCCTCGATATCCGACGCCGCTCTGAGCTGTGCGAGGATGAGTTGCTCGGACTTGGCGTTGCCGGGATGAGCGAGTGCGCGCTCGAGAATGGCTAGCTTGATCTCGCTCGTCGAGGCTCTTTCCGCCTTGCTCAGCGCCCGCTTGGCCGCCGACAAAGCCGAAGCGCCGACAAAGCTTGACTGCGCCACCTCGTCCTGAAAGTCGACGAACTCGATCCACTTGTCAACGTTCGACGGGTGGTCTCGCAAGGCGCGGTCGAGCTCGAGGTTTTGGCGCTTGAGGTAGTCTGCGTGCGACTCGCCGCCGCTGATGCCGAGTCCACCAAAAAGGTCGTCGGAATCTTCATCATCCGAGCTCTCGGCGAGGTCGGAAGCCTTGACGAGACCGGCGATCGAGCGGTAATCGGTCCCTTCTTCGTGCTCGAGCTTGTCGAGCTTTTGCGCCGTAGTCCGCTCGCGTTCAAGAGCCACGTATTCGGTCGTAAGGCCGTTCTCGTCGACAGACGGCTGGAAAGGATCGAAGGCGGCGCGATGAGTTCCAGGTTCGCCAAGAGCCCGCAGATCCTGCGGCTGAGCGGGACGGAGGATGAGACGTTTGGCGTTCTTGTCGGTAAGGTGGCGCAGTGATGCAGGGTCGACGTAACGAGGCGTCTGCGAGGGCAGACTGATTGGTGGTCTGTTGCAAGGCAGGGACATGAAGACGCACCTTGAACCTGTTCACAGGCGCAATCTCGACACCCCTACCCGAATACGCCGTCTCCCTAGTGATGCGCAACCCGTCATTGAGCCCGATCACCTTGCCAGCGCCGACCCGCCGGTACTTCGGGACGTCCCCTCGATGCAGTCCCCCGTAGCGCAGGTTGTTCGGATCGCCTCGTCGCGACTCGTAGAACACGGGCTTGTCTGTGTCGCTCGCCGGCGGGTCGGGCGGCAGAGACGAACCTGATGCCGTTTCTGCGGAAAGGGTCGCCAGGACAAGGTCGTGTGGCGTCTTTCCCTGCAAGGAGGGGGAGGTTAGCGGTTGTGCGCGCGACTGCAAGCGACGGCTAGCACACCTTCTCCGTCTTCCTCCTTTCTTCCAGATCTTCCCTCTCACTGCTTCGTCTTCGCCGCGAGCCGTCTTCGTCCCGATGCCGCCGTTCCCGCTCTTTCGAGCGATGTCTCCGGTCGCCGTCCCTCTTGCGATCCAACTCGCGTTCGCGCTCCCGCTCCTTTCCCTTTCGCCGTGCCTCCCTGCCCTTCTCGCCCCGTCTGTCGTCCACAGAAGACCGCTCGTCCCGCTCACGACGCCTTGTCGACGTCCTCTCCTCCTCCTCAGACCGTCTGCTTCGAGTTTTCTCCCGCTTCTTGCCCTTCCTGTCGTCGCTAATGCCTAGCTCGCCTCCAAGCTCATCGAGGAAGTCTGCTGCGCGCGGTCGCTTGGCCGGCGGAGGCGAGTCTTCCCTCGAGGTCGATGGACGAGGTGGGGAGGGGAACGAGGAGAAGGACGGTGGTGGGCGCGGCTTGTCCGGGTCGGGGAAGGACGAAAAGGATGGTGGAGGAGCCCTCCCAGCCATACTGAGCCGAACAAGCGTGTAGAAAGCGACAGAGAGTGAATGTTAACGGCAGAGAGGACCCTCGTCTCTTGGGAGACGACACCGCGCGCGCTATGGCTGTACCGGCTGGGCAGAGACCGCGGAAAGCGCTCGTGATGTACCCAGAGTCGCAGCGCTACGTCGTCGACTCGCTTCGCTCAGCGTTCGCGCAACGCTTGCCCGACTGGACTTTCATCTCTCAGGAGGACGAACTCGACGGCGACAAGCCAGACCTGCAGTTCTGCGACTACGATGCACTCAACTTTGAATGGGCAATGGTTGAGCGCACCCTGCTCAACTCGTATGTGATCAGGAAAGGGTGAGTGCGCGGTCTTCCTCCTCGAACCCTCCTTGACCAGGCTGATCCGCTGTTCTTCACGCCTTGACAGCCTCATTCGCAAATCCAACCTCGCGCACACGATCGCCCTGTACCTCTCGAAGAAGCCTGACTCTCCCCTGCGCCAAGCTACGCCCAAAACTTTCCACTTTTCGTGCTCGTTTGCCGACGAACTCGACGAGCTTCTCATGGACGACCTGTACGAGGTCGAGCAGTCTTTTGCCGAGGCGGAGAATGGCGGAGAGGAGAAGTGGTGGATCTTGAAGGCGGCGCTGGCGGACAAGGGCAACGGAATTCGGCTGTTCTCGTCACGGGAAATGCTCGAGAATATCTTCCGGGAGTTTGAGCCGGAGAGCGATGATGAGGAAGACGAGGAGGAAGAGGGGGAGGGGCAGACCGAGGGCATATCGCGAGCGGCGATGTTTGGTGCGGACACTCGGGTGGATGCGACGCAGCTGCGAGAATGGGTCATCCAGGTGCGCCGCTCTAGCTCGACTTGGAGGCCTCGCGCTGACATTGCACCGTAGGAATACATCTCCTCACCATTGCTGCTCGACCCCGCGCCCAACTCGAACGAGCGAGGGACAAAGTTCCACCTTCGAGTCTACGTTCTCGCCGTCGGCGGTCTCACCGTCTACGTCCACCACCCTTTCCTCGCCCTCTTCGCCTCGTCGCCCTATTCTCCTCCTTCTCTTGACGAGGAAGCCGAGCGAACAGGCGAGTTCGACTTGTCGGCACACCTCACGAATACTTGCCTCCAGACGAGCGTGCTGGGCGAAAAGGCACCGACGGTCTCGGTCAGTACGCTGCAGGGCATGGCGGACAAGGTCATCCTGGGCGGGCCACACGAGGGCGAGAAGCTGGGCGAAGAGAGGATAGCGAAGATTGAGGAGGACGTGCGAGAAACGATCGCTGAGGTGTTCAAGGCGGCAGTCGGTGCGGGCTCGTCTTTCCAGGTGCGCGCCGCTCCTCTTCTCAGTGATATGTGCGCTCAAAATGGGCGAACAGGTCCTTCCGAACGCCTTCGAGATCTTCGGTGTCGACTTGCTCGTCGACGACCGTTTCCAAGTCTCGCTTCTAGAGATCAACGCCGTCCGTGATTTTCTGAACTCCTCTAGTCGATAAGCTGACGTTGCAGCTCGCAGTGTCCCGACTTCAGCCAGACCGGCTCGGAGCTGCAGAGCATCATCGACCACCTCTTCGCCTGCACCCTCGACATCGCCGTCAAGCCCTTCTTTGCTCAGCAAGATTCGAAGGCGTCATATCAAGACGAACTGGTAGACACGTTCGAGCGATTAGACGTTGGCGGGAGTCGTGGGCTGAAGGAGGTCTTGCGAATGCAAGTCAGGAAGGCTTTCTGAGCCTTTTTCTGCCTCTTGCCTCGCCTCTCCCGCCTCGCCTTAGGGCACGATGCCTTGCTCGCTGACATTTGCATGTCTACGCTATCCGTCCAAGCTACTCTTCACCGCCCATCGCGACATTCGTCTCTTCGTCGGTACCTCCGCGCCACTCGACTTCGGCTCACATTGACATTCCCAAAATCAAGGTTCGGGCTCAGCAGAACGCTTGGCTTGGCTCGACAAGCTGGAAATAGTCGACGCTAACGGCCCCTCCGTAGCTTCGGACGGCTCCTCGCTCGGTCTCTCTCGCACGAGAAGAGGCTGTGTCCTCGCCGCGAGGAGGAGGTCGAGGATCCGCTTTCGCTTCTCTCTCTTCTTCCTCACACTCTTCCTCCGCGCTCGCATTCGCAGTCACACTCTCTCGACGCATCTCACCCGCTCACACCGACTCGTGACTCGCCATGAAGTTCTCCCTCGCCGCTCTCGCTACTCTCCTCGCATCCTCCTCGCTCGTCGCTGGAGCTCCTCTCGCTCGTCGTGACGTTTCCTCGACGCCCAAGTTCACAGGCAAGCTCGTCGAGCCTTCGCCTGACGGCACGACCGTCGCTCTGAGCGAGCCGTTCTCGTTCGCTTTCGACGGATCCGTACGTTCTTCCTGACTCCTCCTCGTCTATCACCTTGCACTAACTCGAACTGTTCCACCGTCTCACACAGGTCCCCTACGACCCTCACTACCCTGAATCTCTCCGCTCCATCGACATTGGCATCTTCGACCCTCGCAACACCTTCGAGCCCGAAGGGGTTATCGACGTCAAGAGTGTCGAGGCGGGTGGACCGGGAGGCTGGCTCAACACGACTGTGACGCCGAGTCAGTACATCTCGGAGCCGGGGCAGTACTGTGCGTTCAAGAGTCCATCCTCTTGACGAGATCCGTTCGCTGACTTCGCTTCGTTGCGTCCTGCGACAGACCTTATCATCACGGAGCACCAGCTCGACGTCTACACTTCCCCCGGACCCGTCTACCGCGTCCAGACCTACAACGTCTCGCTCACCGTCACCGCCTGAGCCGCGAATGGCGCTGTCCTCCCTTCTCCTGACCCTCTCGCATGTAGCCTTTCCCACGCCGTAGACACTCGCACCGTGCCCGTCATTTGAGCAATTCGAAGCTTTCGTCCTCACGCATGCAACGCGACACGAAACGAAAAAGCTCGAGATGCGGGTTGCAGGTAGAGAGAATGTACCGGACGCCGCCTCCATCTCCTCCTCCAGAAGGCGAGGTTAGACATGAAAGTTCTGCTAGTAAGGCGTGCACGAGGCGTCCGTGGGCCCGCGTCGACCCGGAAAGGAAGACGCGAGCCCGTCGCTCTGCCCCCTCTTTCCCGCCGCTCAAGTCGCCCATACGGACACCTGCCCCCTTGTGAGGGACAGGGCCTGTGGGCGCGCAGCATGATAAAGGGGGCGTCATAGGTGTGGGAGAGGTAGCAAGAATGGGGACGTTCAGGGTTCAGCAAGTCTGCGTGGCGCGAACGAAGGGTCAGCTCGAACTGGGTGGCTGTGTGGGTGGTCAGGCGTACTCACCAACGATTCCCAGCCCATCTCGTCAGCTCAATCCGTGGAAAATCGAGCAAGCATGCAAAGCTTCACGCCGCGCTCAGCGATGAGCACACCTCGCGCGGGCGCTGCTGGACGGCCAATCAGAGTAGCCAGTGCCGAGTCGAGTCTAGCAGCGCATTCCCACAGCGATACGAGCGATGTTGTGCGCAGAAGTGACAAGTCGGAGGGAGAGCCTTTTCCCTCGCTCGCTCCTCGACCTGCTCACGTTGCATACACCCGCTCAGGATGCTCGCCAGCTGGATTGGACCGCACATCACCGGACAGTACGACCTGACGTTCGTACCCGTCGCCCTCCCAACCGCTCTCGTTCGCGCTCTCCTCCCCGCCGAGTGGCAGCGAGACGACGCCTTCTTGACGCCAGAGGAGCTCGCGGGACATGGAGTGGACTTGCCGGTGCTCGAGGGCAAGCAGTGGGTCTGCATCGAGGCGGGCAAGCAGCTCAACAGCGGCGTCTCGCTCCCTCTGGGTCGTCGCTCCTTCCTCGTGCGTACGCCGTCATCGACGTCCTCTTCGCCAGGCTGACCGTTCCTGTGTGTCTCTGCAGGAAGCGAAGCTCGAGATCCCCTTCCTGCGACACCCAGAGAAGCAGGACAACCTCCCCTTCACCTTCAAACAGACGATGCTCTTCTCCTCCCGCCTGATCCAGTTCTCTGCCGCACACTTGACCGGCCTGCGCTCGCACCACGTTGTCTGCATCACAACGGAGGACTCGTTCGAGGCGATGGACTTCATGAAGGTCACCGTCAACGGCGAGGCGGCGGTTCCCGAGGGACAGAGGTGGACGGAGGATCTTGCGAGGAAGGTCATGACGGGCTGGTGGGTCGGCGACAATACTGGACACGCCGCGACGAAGGTGAGATACCGACCTCGTCAATGAGATTGCTGAATGCTGACTGGGCGACCCGCAGTTCGTGATGTCGACGGTTACTCCGCCTCATCCTCGCCCGCAACTCTCTGTCCGTCTCAACCTCCCCGCCTTCACGCAGCTTCCCCTCGACAAAGCCAAAGAGCTGTGCGCGGGCACGCTCGACCTCGAGGAGAACGGCTGGGTCGAACTCGCCGCCGCTGGATTCGCCATGAGCGAGCAGACAAAGATGGAGGTCGTCTCGCTCGCTTCGCTTTGAGGTCTCGTCTCGTCTCTCTTGTATAGTTTGTGCTTGCAGCTCCTCGTTCGTGCCTCGTTGTTGTCTCCTCTTTCTAGTTGCAATCGTCACCTCTGCGCATCCTACAGAGCCACCTGATCCAGCGTCACGTTCCGCTGACCTACCTCGACACGACAACCTTGCAGCTCTGGATGTGTCGTTGCAGCTTTCGCCAGTCGAGCGCGGAGCTTGTTCTCGAGCGCCTCGGCAATGGCCTGGGGCGGGATCGAGGGAGCGAGTCGAATCGGGTACGAGAAAGCCAATAAGCGTTGCCTGCATGGCGCCAGAGTTCAGCACCGCTCAGATCTCTGACGAACGAGAACGCACCTCATCTCGCCGGGCCCGACAAGCTCCGCCTCCGTCACAACTAGCTCCTCCCCTCCCAGACAGTTCCTCCCGTCTCCTTCGTGCGAGAGGCAGTATGCGACGGGGTAGTCGATGAGGAAACCGACGAATGGTATAAGGTCTGTCGGGTGGCCGGGCGAGGGAAGGGTGAGGGAGAGGAAGGGAGAGGAGGAGCGATGGGCGGCGACGGAGGTCAAGAGGGAGCGGAACGAAGGAGGCGGGCCGTCGAGCTGGAGCGCAATCTCAAGGCCTCTGCGAACCGTGTAAGGACGGGCTGGACGCACCAGGACCGCCTCACGCCCGCCGACATCGATGAAGGTAACGTCCTCGACGACTCTCTCCGCCAGCAAGTCCCGGTTTAAGACTAGGGTCTGTCCCGACACGGGTTCGTGAGCGACGCTTAGGTTCTTCTGGAGTGCCTGCGTGCAGACGACGGGCCTGTCAGTACTTCTGTGCGGAGTTGAGGGAGGAGAAGCTGTCGACGGCACCTGGAGAGCCCATCCCAGCGCAGCAGCCTCATCCTCCGAAAGCGAGCAAGTATCCAACAGCACTGCCGTCCTACTCTCGAACCTTTCAGCGCTACGTGAGCACTCTAGAAGCGAGATGAGCGCACCTGAGTCCCCACCAGAGGGTCGACAATTCCCCGGCGAGTGTAGCACAGCGGCGACGGTTCCATCGAGGCAGCGCGCGTTGGACGGCCTTCGAAAGCGTTTCAGGCAGCGGCACAGCTGTGTTCATCGCATCCTGAGCGTGGTCGTGAGCGGTGGGAAGCCAACTTCCTCCTCATCACTCTTCTCACTTTGACATGTCGGCTGCTCGCTCCCGCTTCTCTCTGCTGTCTTCTGAGCGGCTGCAACGGTTACGAAGAGCTGGCAAGTTTACGGTCGCGACTGTCCAGGTGCGCCAGGAGCTCGTGTTCGTCCTGTTGATCTCGCTCACCTTTCCGATCCCAGGTCCTCGTCGCCGTCCACCTCTTCAACCAGAATGTGGCCGAGATCCGACCCGTCAGTGGTCCTCATCTACCCTAAGAATACGGTCGAGCTGATCATCGCTGTCCTACAGTGCGCCGGCGCCTCGATGTACCCAACTCTGAAAGACCAAGGAACACTCGTCCTGCACTCTCCGCTCGCTCTTCGCCTGTTCCCGATCGAGCGAGGCAACCTCGTCACCGCCGTCTCTCCCAACGACCCCGCACACCAGATCCTCAAGCGGGTCATTGGCCTGCCAGGCGACACAGTCTGCGTCGACCCTTCTGGCGAGCGGAAAAAGACGGACGCAGAGTGGCGCAAGACGCCTGTGGGCCGAGTTAAGGGCGATGTGGATCCTGCGGGAGAGTGGACGAGAACGGACGTCGAGTGGTGTACGGTTCCGCCGGGTCATGTCTGGATCGCCGGCGACAACACGTCCAACTCGACAGACTCGCGCGACTATGGACCCGTACCAATCGGTCTGTTGAAGGGCAAGATCATCTGCAGAGTGCGTGCAGCTTCAGTCTGCGTACAGGCAACACACCACTAACGTCTTCCCTCGTCCGCAGATATGGCCCAGTCCCGGTCCGCTCAACACGACCTTCCACAAGGTCACTAGGGCATGAAGCACACCACGCATCAAGACCTCCTCGCATCAGCATGGTCAGTCCGCCTTCGCGAGTCACGGAGACTAGGGATTGACCAGACCTGCTCGCAGTTTCTCCTTGTTGTCACCTATAGCTCGCATCGAAGGCAATCAGAAGTCGTTGCAACGTGGCGGAGAAACGGGGTATGCGGTACTCGAAACGGATAAAGAGAGAGAACGATGCGCGGTGTACAGAACAACAAGACCCTTGCGCCTCATACGCTGACCCAGTCGCGACTCTTGCTGACGAGCCACAGCGAGTTGTCCGCCCGCCACATCAGCCGCTCAGTTGCCGTCTTGGCCGTCCACGCCCGCTGATCCCGCAAGACGACGGCCTGCTGAGCAGCGAGGTATCGACCTGTCGTCTCGAACAGCTCGCGATCCGAGCACGCCTCGTGGACAACGTCGACGTCCTCCGACAGCGCCTGGAGGGTGCAGTGGACGAGCGCCTGCGAGGCGAGCGATCCTCGACGAGTCTGCCCGCGACCGGTCGATCCGCCTTGTCCAGCCGCCGACGCGACGAGCGGCGACGACGAGACAGCAGCGATGATGCGCTTCGTCTCTTCCAGCAGGCGAGCGGCTTGAGCATCGTTCCGCCGGGTCATGAGAAGGAGGGCGCGGCTGAGCATGTCGGAAACGAGGAGCTCCATTCGTCGACGGACGATCTCGGGCGCTGCAGGAGGTTGCTGCGAGCGAGGGTGCGATGGCGGAGGGTTGACGGTGATGGTGAGAAGGACGGGCGTCGGATTAAGGCGCGAGATGTTCTTGCCGGCGGCCGGATCACGGTACGCCGCGTTGACCTGTACGACTGAGTGTCAGCGCAAATCCGCGACTGCGTGTCTGAGTGAGTGCTCACCTCGAACAACGGCGCCTCATCAGGCATCGCATCGTACTCCTCGTCGTACAGGCTTGCCGCGCTGCTGTACTCGTCGAGCGCTGCCGGATTGATGCCCGCCTTCGAGAGGAAGAAGGCGTCCGTCGACGTCGAGAACTCCGGCACCTGCGGCCTCTCTCGCCGCTGCTCATGCGGCTGGTCGCCGAACCCTCCGAGCGACATCTCCACCTCGACGATCAAGTCCTTTCGCTCGCCGAACCGCAGCTCGCCAACTTCGATGTCGACGTCTGTTCCGGTTCGAGAAACGATGGCGCCCGGTGTACCGGAGACTTTGCGGATGCGGAAGAGGCGACTTTCGGGGACCTTGATGTGCAGGCGGACGTTGGTGGCCGCGATCGAGAGGATGCCGCCGACGATGCCGGCCAGCGCGTCTCGCAGGTCGTCTACAGATTTGAAGACGTCAGTATCGGCTCGATAAGAAGAGCGTGACTTCCGAACGTACAGAAGTCCTTCACGAAGGTGTAGCTACCGTTCGAGTGGTTCGAGAGAAGCCAAAGGCTCGCCGGGTCGTGCGTCTTGCCGTAGCCGATCGTGTGTATCGGGACGCTGCGGAAGAGGGATTTGACAAGTCAGTCCCGTGTCGCGAGAGACCGAAGGTTGCGAAGGTCAGAACGTACTTGGCTGCCTCTGCCCGTGCCATGACAAGGTCCATCTGCTGCTTCTGCGCGCCGTCACGACCGTCGTTGACGATGATCATGCCGGTCAGGGCGGACTTGGCCTGCAAGGAGGCAAAGTCAGCTTGCGACTCTGATGGCGACGAGGGGACGGGAGCGCACCGTTCGCTGCAAGACGACATCAAGCGCGACGTTGGTCGCCGTCACGACGTTGACTCTCTCCTCCTTGTGCTCAATCATGCTCGTCAAGTCCTCCCCCTCGCAGCCCAGCTCCTCGACAACCTTCTCGAGCCGCTTCTTCCCCTCGGCCTTTCCAACCGCAATGAACGGCGTTTTGCGCAACACGCCTCTCGAGCCTTCGCCGACGGTGTAGGTGACGACACTAACGCGTGTTCGAGGTCCGACGTGATTGATAAGAAAATCGAGCGAGTTCTTGAGGATGTCGGTCTTGAGGTTTCCCGAGCCTGGCGCAGGGACAGAGATGATGAGCATCAAGTCGAGGGGCGTGAAGTTACGCGGAGGGTCATGAATCGTGCTGGAGGTCGTGACGGAGCCGGATCGACCGAGCGAAGATTGCCCGTAGACGACCGACTTGAACCCTGACGAGCCGTACGCCGCGTTCTGCGCGAACCGACCAAACTCGTCGCCCGTGCCCGACTCGTCGACCTCGTAAATGACCGACGCAGACGGGCCGATACTGGTGCTCGTCGTGCGGGTGTAGCCCGAGAAAGCCGTCAACCTCGACGCATCCGAACTCGACACCTCGCTGATGACGTCCCGCCTGTCTGGCATCCGCGCCGACGCAGGCGTCTCCGGATATCCCGAGTCGGTCGGCGAAGCGTGCACCTGTCGAAGGAGGATCTCGATCTGCGCCTTCCAGACCTCGAGGCTCGTCCGCTCCTTGAAGAGCATGACGAACTCGGCGACGGCGTCGTCGTTCATCGTGATCGTGAGAGACAACTCGTCGCCTTTGGACGAGTCTGCGACGGCGCGGATGTGGCGGATGTAGACGCGGCCTTTGAGGCGGAGCTTGTCCCCCTCGCCGCCGGGCGTAACTGCGTCGACCAGCTTTCCTGCGATACCCTTGCGCTTGTCGTCGATGACGCACAAGATCGCCTCCTCGAAGAGATAGACGATGAATTCGCGCGTCGCAGCGTCCTTGCGGACGTTGACCGTGTCGTACAGGCGCAACTGGCCGAACTCTTCGGGCGAGTGGCCCTTCCAGTCTGCCATGCGCTTGAGGAGGTCGTCGACGACGGTTGCGAAGGGGTTGTGCTGAGCGGGTGACGGTGCGCCGGTCGCGCCGAAAGCGTAGGCGGAGTAGACAGAGGACGAAGGGGAAGACGAGCGAGGGAGGGAGCGAACGGATCCGGGAGGATTCGACGGCGGTCGATTCAGGGGCGGAGGGGGAGGAGCTCGACCGTTTGAGGGGTCATTGAGAGGCGCGCTGTCAAGGTTGGCGAACTGAGGGGGAGGAGGATACCGCGACGGCATGTGAATCGAGACCATGCAGGTCAAGTGCTGCTTCTTGTCGCGCTCGTAGCTGCGGTCGACAGAGGTGTGCTCGGCTCGAACAGCCACGACGGGCTTGACGATCTCGACGGTCGAGGCGACGCCGTTGTCGCCGCTCCCTCGTCGTGCGAGACTGCCGCTGGTCACGGTGCTCGCCGTGCCGGTGCTCGTACTCTCGCGGATGTTCGAATGCGGCGCGAAGGGCATGTAGGCAGAGGACAAGGGGAGCGGGTACTGGACGAGGTCGTCGTCCTGGATCTCGGGTCGAGGAGGGTCGTCGTCGAAGAGAGGGTCAGGTCGGCTTCCTCGCATGCTTGCAGCAGGACCGCCGCGGGAGGAGGCGGCAGCTGGCAGACCACTGAGCTTGGCGAACTCTGCGAGGAGTACTGATCAGCGAGCAAGACTCCCTCGAAGTCTGACGGACTCACTGTTGCCCTTTCCTGGCGCCTCGCTCCCGTCTCCAATCTTCATGTCCCTCCTGCAGACTCCGCACAGTCCCAGACTCCCGCTCGTCCTTGCCTTTGCAGCCCTGACATCGCCGTAGACAGCCTCGAAGCACGAGTGATCTGGTCCAGGCAAAACCGCGAGCTCCGTCAGTTCGTCCCAGCTCGTTTTCCGCGCTAGTGAGGGAGAGGCGGGCAGGACGCACGCAAGCGGTGACCGCAGACTGGGACGACGTGAGGCTTCTCGCCTGCGAGGCGGAGGCTGAGGAGTTCGAGGCAGATAGGACAGGTCTCCTCGTCGACTGCGGCGTCGACGATGGCTGCAGCCATGAGTCGCGAGTCGAGCAGGACCGACGCGCGGTTCCCTGCGCTCGTGCGTGGCGGCGAGGGCGGCGGCGAGGCCGGGAGAGGCTGCTTTGCGTTGCGAGAGAAGGAGAACGACGGGAAGCGTGAGCGCGCAGGGGCGCCGGTGGACGAGGTCGAGACGGCGGACGAGGTTCGAGGGCGACGGTGTGTGCTCGTGCTCGTGCTCGCCGTCGCTGGGCTGAATGCGCTCCCTCCCTGGCGCGAAGAAGAGCGCGGCGAGCGAGGAGGAGGAGGAGCGAGTGGTTCCTCCGTCGACGAGTGCGAGCTGTCGGGCGTGAGTGGCCAGCTCGACAGCGGCGCCTGGCTCGTCGTCGCCAGTCGCATCATCCGCTCGTCCTACGGGCTCAGACGGGGTCCGTGAGCGAGAGACGAAGGCCCGAGCGAGAAGAACGGCGGTCAGGACGGCAACCAGCACGATTGCGAAGAACGCTGCGGCTCTTCCTGGCGAGAGAAGGTCACAGTCAGCGCATTCGACCACGAACACGGCACTGCAACTCGACTCACACGCTGCGATGCCGTCGTTGGCGAGCTGGCACGGCCTTTGTTCTTGAGGCGGACAGCGAGAGGAGGAGCAAGGCGAGCCCGACACGCTCTCGGGACGGACGGCGCAGTGTCAGCAGCAGCGAAGAGTACGGTAGAGTGCAATCCAGCGCATGCCACTCATCCACGCCGCTCCTCGGGACACCCATCGTTGCGAGAAGGCGCACAAAGGACCGATGAGACTCGGGAAGCGAAGAACACGCTGCGTGTCGGGGTTCCCTTTGTCCGCGTTCGATGCCACGCGAGGGGCCGTTTCCTCGCGCGTGCCGTGCCGGCGGAGCGCGGAAGGGGGAGGAGGAGGTGGAGGAGGAGCGTCTCTCGCGTCGGACAGGCTGCTCGAATTGGTTGCTACAGTGTGTGAAATGCAGGTGGTAGAATGCATAGAGTAGGGTAGGGCAAAGCGGAGGGGAGAAGCCAGGGAAGGAACGCGCGGAGGAGGGACGATGGAATGCAAAGCGGATCCTCCTCTTCTCCTCCCCTAGACAGCGGCCACAAACGCCTCAGGCGGGATCGAGCCCTGCGCTTGGAGTGCCTGGAACTGGCTCAACGCCTGGTGCGGGTCCCACCCGTTTTGCGCGAGACACATGTGCGCAAAGTGGTAGGTTAGGCGGGTGACTTGCTGCAGCTGCAGGATGAGCGCTTGTTGCTCGTCCGTCTGCGAGCAGTCGTGAGGCGGTCAGCGGGCTGGAAGAGGAAGTTCAAGGGTAGATGAACGCACAACGCCCTCGGCTCGCTCCTGACCTGGTGCTCCTGGCACAGCGACGACGGGTGGTGCGCCGGCGACTGGAGGTTGTGCGGGCGAAGCAGCGGCGGCGGCAGGTTGCTTCGGTTGCGGAGGCGGACGAGGCTTGGAGAAGGCGAGGTCCGAGTAGCCGCGGAGCGTGAGCATGTCGGAGAGGATGATGCAGGGCCAGCCGGCGGCTTGTGCGCTGCGCAGGTGACGAGCGTCAATAAAGCATAAGGGGGTGGAGGACGAAGAGCAAGACTCACGGAGAGACGGCCGGCGCGGGTGCGAGGATGAAGTTACGGTCGAAGGAGAGGACGCCCTTGCTCGGCACTGCGCGAAAGTGCTCATCAGCATCACTCGATTGTCAGATCGGGACAAGCAAGTGTCGCACATTCGGTAAACTCGCCATGCACGCTCGCGAAGATGACCGTCTCGCCCTCAGCTCCGGGTTGTGCAGGCGGGAGGAGGTTCGGCAGGGTCCACGAGTCCCACACGAACTTGGTCGAGTCTTCGAGCGGGTGCTTCGTCTTTGGCAGCGCGTTGATCGAGTTGACAACGTCGGCGGGCGTGACCTTGAGGGTCTTGACGCGTTTGTCTGCCAGTTACCGCGGACTTGTCAGCTCAGGCTCTTCTAACGCTGCTCCGCGCAACGAGCGAAAGCATAAGGCCGCGGACGCACCTGCATTCTTGACCCTGTTCAAGTTCCTGCTCCCGTCCGCCGTCAAATACTGCTTCCAGTCGAGCTTGTGCTGGTTCGGGAACCGCTTGTCGCCCTTGTGACCGATCTTCTTCGCCCTTGCTCGCGCAGGATGTGCCGTGTCGGCGTGGAAGGAGAAGGTGCAGATTGGGGCGTAGGCGGCGCCCAGGGCGGCGCGATCGTTGTCGTAGGCGTCGAAGAACCTGCTCGGGCTGTGTCAGCCATGCGCGACGAGGAAAAGAAGAGCGGGACGCACTTGAGGAAGAACTGCGCGACAAAGTCCCTTGCGCCATCGCTCTCGAAGAACCCGCTCGTCGGCTCAACAGGGAAGACGACCGGCTCGCGCTTCGCCGCTTTCGCCTTTTCGCTCTTAACGCGCGAAGAGAGGCCCGGTCCGTCGAGGACGCCCGAGTCGGGTCGGGCGGAGAAGGCTATTGACGGGTCGAAGGGCTTTTGATCGAGGGTGCGGAGGGAGGCGAAGCGGCGGGCCATTTCGCTGCAAGTCGGACCGGTCAGCTTGAAGCGTTCAGCCTCGACGACGGAATCGCAACGGACCGCTGGTAAGCCGTGTCAGTCCCGGCAGAAAGCACGACAGGGTTGCCGGTCAAGACGAGCTCCTTGAGGTTCGGCCAGCCCTTGGGCTTCTTGTCGTTGCGCTGCTTGCCGACGATGGGCGAGAACGGATCCATGTCGCGGAAGTTGGCGAAGCGGTTGTTCGCGAACGAGACATTCTCGATATTGGGGAGAGAGGTGCAGAGGAGGTAAGGGGAGAGGACGAGGGGAGAGGAGAGGTTGTTGTTGGCGAGCGAGAGCGAGATGACCTGGCGCGGCGTCGCGAAGAGGCGTCGTCGAATCGATCGGCGTGAGCTAGGCGTCTTCAAGCGAGACGAACGACTCGATTCTCGATACTCACGTCGGGGAACATCTCCTTCGCGAGCTTCCAGATTGCTCCTGCCATATTTGCCGGCGCTCCAGGCTGCCCAGGCGCCAACAGCTTGTGCTCCTTCAGCACAGGGTCTTCCGCCATGTTCTCCATGTTGAGCATCCGATCAGGCTGCGAGTATCGGGCAAGGAGGAAGAGGCGGAGGATGTCGATCGTGTTTTGGGTTGGAGGGTCGGTCGACTTGGGTTTGCTGGCGGTAGGGACTGAGGAGGAGCGTGCTGGCTTGTCGGGCAGCACGGCGGGCGCGTTGCGGGAGTTGCGCTGGGTAGGCTGCGGAACGAGGTGCGGTCAGTGTCGGGTCGGGACACGGACGGCATTACTTGGAGCAAAGAGCAGCCATGCTTCTCCGCTTGAGAGGATAGCAGGCGCGCCCAACAGAGCAAACGATTCGACTCACCCTCTCGCCCATGGGTCCTGACCTCGCCTGCCTCCCTCGTCGCCGCACTTTCCCCTCGCTGCCGTCCGACATGCCGATATCCTCGTCCATGTGAGCCGCCCCAGCCCCTCGCGTCCGCCCCAGCCCGCCGCGCTGTCCGCCCGCTCGTCCCTTTCCCGCGCTGCCACTCGCACCCGCTCCGCCCGAGCCGCTCGCCTGCGGGAGAGCCTTGGCGAAGAGAGCTGCGGCTGCAGAGGGCGGCATCGTGCTCGTTTACGGGGTCGCTGGGTGTGTGTGAGTCGGATACGCTGGGTCGAGTGAGGCGGTAAGACTGGGAGAGAGGAGAGGTGAAGCGGGTCGGACAAAGCGTGTGCGGAGGGGTGTGCTTGGAAGGAGAGTGCTGCTCGGCAGTCAAGCACAGTCCAGCGGATGCACAAGCTGGAGACGAGCGATGAGAGCGATGTCAAGCGAGTCGAGCTGGTTCGGGTGCGAAGTCACGGCTTTGTTCTCAGCACCGGCTTGCCTGGCGCGTGCAATTGGGCGAATGGAACGGGTAGCAAGTCAAAGGATTTGTCCGATCCAGACCGAGCCATTCGGAGCCAGTCGAGCCAGCGGCACGCACGAAGGGTCGAGGAAAAGAGGATGCCATGGTTGCAAGTGCGAGAGAAGGCGCTCAGGAGGGAATAGATACGCATGAAAGGCAGAGGGTATCGCGCTCAAGACGAGAAGAAACGAGGATCAGTCTAGAAAGTCGAAAGAGGGGAGAAAGGAAGGGATGGACAACGACGACTGCCGCTTCTACCGCCAGACACCACTTGGCGAATCCTTCTTCGTTGCGCCGACGATACCAGCGAGGAGAGCGCTCCCACTCCCGCTCGTGTTGGCACCGCTCGAGCTGTTCCCGCCCGACAATCTCGACTCGCGCCTGGCCGCAATCCTCGCCGCGCTCTTCGCGCCGAACATGACAGGCGCCGGTGTCGTAGGCTGCATACCTGCAAGAGCTGCTGCGCCAGATCCGGCTGACGGAAGTGTCGAGAGGCGGCGGTTCGTCGGCGGCATGAGCGAGACGCGAGGACGGAGAGAGGGCTTGCGAGGTGAGCGGCGTGCGCTGCCTGGCGGGTGAGCGAAGGAGGGAGGAGCGAGTGCGGGAGCGCTGACGATGCGGCCTGGTCGCCGGAAAGTCGAGGGGGTCGCCGAGGGAAGCGAGCCGGCGGAAGAGGAGAGAGAAGTGTCGGCGGCGGCTGGTGCGAGCGAGAGCGACGGTCGAGGTCGCGAGCTGAGCGAGACGCGGCGAGCTGCCTTGTCGGAACGGACGGGACCGATGTGCGAGTTGCGGCGGAGCTTGAACGAGGGAGTGGGAGGAGCGGGAGACGGAGGGACGGGCTTCGAGACGACCGGTGCGACGAGTCCCGAGGCAGTTGGCGCCATCGAGAAGGACGTTTCGCTGAACATGGAGTTGTTGGCTAGATCGGCGAAGGGCGGGCGTGAGCTGGAAGACGAAGGAACGGGGCGAGGCGGCATGGACTGGTCGCTGTGGAAGGAGAAGGGCGAAGGCGACTCGGTAACAGTTGAAAGCGTCGTCCGCAGACGAGTAGCTGTCGGCCGCTTCGCACGAAGAGCAGACTGCATCTCCTCGGCCGCCTTGGCCGCCTCGCTCGCCTCCGAGTAGGTTGACGACACGGTCCACATCTGCGTAGACGACGAGAGCCTCGGGCTTGTGACTGCAATCGCGGGCGTGGAGGACGACGAGCCGGAGTCAGTCGACCCGACCGGCGAGCCGTACTTGATGTCCTCGAGCCCCTCCTCGCCAACCTCGTCGCGCCACTGCACCTTGTTCTTCTTCGCGCTCGGACTCGCTACCCGCTTCGCGCCGGAAGGGAAGGACACGCCCTTCTTCGGACTGCGTCTCGCCCGCGACGGCGAAGAAGCGTAAGGACCCGTCGGCGCCGAGCCAAAGCCCGTCAAGGCCGACCGCGGGACCTTTCCGTTCGTGTCGAGCAGGAAGGGAGACCGGGCGCCTGCGTCGCGCTTGATGCCCGCCGCGCCGTAAGACGGGTAGGTCACGCTGCTCGACTCGCCGGCGAAAGCAGCGAATGCCTCGTTGTTCGCCTTGTCGACGCTCTGTGCGAGACGGACCAGCGCCCGCACGGCGTTCGAACCACCCTCTTGCGCCAACTCGAGCGCGACGCCCACCTTCAACCGCGCCTCGAGCATCCGCCTCATTGCAGCCGTCTGCACCGCCAAGCTCTGCCGGAGACCTTGCGCGCGAGCATCCGCACAGGCAGCGTCGAGGTGCGCATCGAGAACCTTGGTCTCGGAGGTGAGGACGGAGAGTGCGGCTGGTCGGTCGCGCAGGGGAGCCGAGACGGAAGAGACGGTTCGCGAGTAGGCCTCCATGGCCGCAGGGCCGCCCTGCGAGACTTCGAAGGCGAGAGAAGCGGTGGTGCTAAGCAAATCGGCGATAAGGTCCTGCGATTCCCTCTTGAGCAGCGAGATGGTGGAGTCGGCGGCGATAGCGGATGAGGAGGCGGCCGGACTGCCGACGTCGACGTTTGCCGTCGCGCTAAGCTGCCATTGCTGGAGTACGCGGAGAACGTTGTCGAGGACGTCCTTTTCCGCGCTTGCGCGCGCTGCCGCAACACGCTTCGTCTTTCCAGCCTCCCAGGGCGCCGCGACCTGCCTCAGCGCCGACTGGACGAGCCTGTCGTCCTCAGCCCGATGAGCTGCCGTCGACCGCGTCTCCTGCTCGCTCAGCTTGCGCTTGAGGTCGGCGATCATCGCCTGCTGCTCCATGATCTGCTGGCAGTACTGCGCGACGTGACGATCCGCCGTGAGGGTATTCCGCACCGCCTTGGTCTTGATCTCCTTGGCGCGGTTGGCGTACTGCAGCGTGTTGTGCGTCTCGTCGTAGTGCACGCTGGACGGGCTAACGCAGACGATCATGACCGTCTTGCAATTGCCGCCGAGCGATTGCTTGAGGAGGCGCGTAAGCTTCGAGTCACGGTAGGGGACGTGGCCGCGCTTGCGAGGGTCGCAAAGCGCGTTGATGCAGTTGCCGAGGGCGAGGAGGGAGCGGTTGATGTTGGCGCCTTCGACGGCTCGGTCGCCGCGGTTCTTCGTTGCGCTCGCTCGCTCAGAGCCGGCCAAGTCGATGACGGAGAGGCACGCAGTGGTCGACGTGTCGGTCAAGCCGCTCGCCTTGTTCTTTTGCATGACAGTGACCTGCAAGACGGCGTGCGAGCGAGACGACGTCGCGTTCGCTTCGGTAAAGTTGACAGTGCGGTTGTTGTTTCCGAGCGTGATCCACTCGACGACATCTTGCGGGCACGTCGGTTCCTTGGTCGTCAAGTTGGCAGGTGTCGCCGTCCCGTCCGAGCTGTCGCGAAGCTGGAGGACGCCGTTCTCGGGTGCGAGAAGGTCGCGGATCGTCTCGTTGTAGATCTCGAGATACGAGACGGTGAGGGAGAAGTGGATCTCGTCGGAGGCGGCAGAGATGCGGTCGAAGAGATCCTTCATGAGGAGGAAGACGATGCCGGGTTGGGTGGAGGAGCCGGAGATGGTGTGGGTTTTGCCGCAACCGGTGGCCTGCGAAGACGTCGAGGTCAGCTCGGTTGCGAGGGCACAGAGAGGTCTTCACGCACGCCGTATGCGAATACCGTCGAGTTAAAGCCGTCCATGACATGCCCGACGAGTTCCTTCGCGCTGCCATCGTAGACCTCCTCCTGCCCGCAGTCCTCATCAAACACCCGGTCAAAGCAGAAGCGGATGTCCTTCTGTTTCTTTCCGAAGACGGGCATGTTCGCTCGCTGCTGAAGGGAGGCGACGGCGTTTGTTTCTGGCGGGTCAAAGACGAGGATCCGGTCGTCGAGGACCTTGACGATCTTGCGGATTCCGCCGGCTCCTCGGGAGGGTTGCGGTGTAGAGAGTGACGATGATGATGACCCAGAAGCGGCAGAGTCGGCGCTGAAGAGGGTGGGTCCGGCATCGTAGCCTGCGTTGACAAGCGAGCGCTCCTTGTCCGAGAACGGCCGCACGCGGACTATGGATGCGAGGGGGGTCAACTGGCATTCCTCCAGCTAGTCTCTGAGGTCTGGCGCACCTGCAACCGAGATGGACGACGACATCAGCCGAGAGGAGGCCGATGTTGATTGATTGTCGAGGCGGGTCGGAGTGAGGAGGGCTGGAGGTGGCGCTTCGCTGCGCTGTAGCGTTCACGGCGTGAACTGAGCGCTTAAAGCAGTCTCAGCGCAGTACTCAGCGAAGGTGAGGGTATGGGAGATGAGGGAGGAGCGCAACCCAGGGTCTGCGTCCTCCTCATCGCACTGTCACGCTCACAACGCTCGTCTGGACATGCTGCGTGCTCCGCGTGATCTTCTCAACCCTTGCTCTACCCTCTCATGCTTGCGCGGTGCTCGCGACGAGGACGCCGTCCCCCGCTCCCAGCCGGCAGCGAGCGAGGCGACGAGGGCGGATGTAACGAGGCGAGCAGTGCCGGAGGATGCTGGTATGTCGGATCGCTCACTCCTAACCTGTCGTATTGCTTACCTGTCCGCCTCAGGCCGCCGTCACCGAGTGTCCAACCTCCTCGACCTCATCCTGCGCCTCATCCTTCTTGAGCTGCACAACGGACTGCTTCGGTCTATCGACAGAGAGGGTGCACGACAAGGAGCACCGTCGCACTACCTCGTCATCAACAAGCGCCTTTATATCCTCGCCCGACCAATTTCCTCCGCAACCCGCCAAACTCGGACCCTGCTAACGTCTTGCTGCGTACGCTGTCTTCGACACGAGAAGCAGACTGGATTTGCGAGGCCGACCTCGTGTTCGCAACGCAGGAACCGGTCCTGTACCTCGCCCTGATCTCGCAACTGCGCAATGAGCGGCTGGAGCTGGACATGGAGGTGTCCTGGACGCAGGGCACTGCCGAGCATGCGACTGCGGTAGCGGTTGCGACTGATGCGCTGAGTCACACACTGCGCAACTGAAGCTCCTTGTGAGCCTGACGCTCTACGCTCCAGCTTCGGCTGACGACCCGCACTTCTCCCTCGACCGCGATGTTCCATCGCTGCGGATCCTCCGCCTCATCAGGGTCCCTGGTTGACGGGGTTTGTCAGCCGTTCAACTACGTCGCACCTGTTGGAGCTCATCAACGTGCTGGATCCGTCGCCGCTTCGCGAGCTTGTGGTCAAGGCCGGCCCGAACATCGAATTGCCGACAAAGCTCCCGGTGGCAGTTCTCCCGTCCCTCGAGTGTCTTTCTCTCTTTGGTCCTGTCAAAGTTCAAGTAGGTACCGAGATCCCTCGCAGATTGGTACCGACCGCAGATCTCCTGACCTGCAGGCGAATCTTGCCAGTCTTTCGACCCTCTTGCGGATGCTCCGCGGCCTCAAGGAGTTTGTGCTCGTCGGAGTAACCTCCGCCGATGCGCCGTCGACCGTTGACGTACTCGCGAAGCTTTCGCCTGGCGAGCGCGCCATTCGCTTTCCTCACCTCACCGGCTTACTCGCATACCTCCACCACTCGACGCAGGTAGTCCGCTTCACGCGCGAGCAGATGCGCTGGACACGGTCGTCGGTCGATGAGGTTGGATGAGGAATTTGTCGGCGAGCGGTGGACGCTTTTCTGGATTAGCAGGACCGCCTTACTGCCCTTCTCGGTTGGTCCCGTTCTCGTCGCTCCAGCCGTACGAGAGGACCACCGGTATTGCCAGGCGACGGTACGAAACCCCCTTCGGCACGTTCCCCGTCCCTCGCCCTCGCTCGCGCCTCGTCTATCTTCGCTCTGTCCCCTTGCTGTTTCCCAGTCTCCTCGCCCCTTCGCTGACCTGGCATGTGAGGCCACCGAAAGAGCGAGATCTTTCGCTCTCTGACTAGCGTTTTTGTCCGCCAGGTCGCAGGCATCTGAGGATGCTTCCCTCGAGGAGAAGGAGAAGCTGGATGAGGACGAGCTTGGTGAGGATGCGCTGTCGGTCGTTTCAGATGGTGCGTACAAACTGCCCTTTCCAAGCCTTCGCTCACTCGTCGACTTCCCAGACTTGCGACAACCTCGAGGACTCCTGGACTCGCCGGACGAACTTCTCTCGCCAATCTTCTACCAAGTGTACGAGATCTTGCGAGCGTCGCGAGCGACAGACGGAACTCGCCAGCAGATACCGACGCACTGTCTTGCACTCAACAAACGCCTCGCCGCCCTCGTTCGACCCATCTGGTGCCGCGACCTCTTCTCGCCGCCGTCCGCGAGCACCGGCAGCTAGCTCAATAGGGTGCTTTCAGTCCCAGGCGTGAAGGATCTTTTGCGGACTGTCGACATCGTCATCACTTCGCCCGAGCCGACACTCTACCTCACGCTCCTTGCGCACTACGCCGGGATCGCCTCGCTCACGCTTGACATCGACCCGGCGGCTAGCAAGGATTCGTCCAGAACCGTCAGCAAAGCAATCACTCGACTACTTCGCCGACTCCCGCGACTCTCGTATCTCGACCTTCGGCGCTGCGCCGACACAGACGACCCGGACCTCGATCTTGCTGTCGATGTTCCCGCCTTGACTTCGCTCGCCGTCAATGCGGGAGCATGGTATGACGGCAATATCCAGCGAGGTTCAGAGAATATTCGCTTCCTGGAGTTGCGAACGTCGACCCTCGCAGGCATCTGCATCCCTCCGTCGGCTGAACATCTTCGTTTTCGACCAATGCTAGGCCGTTCTCGCGACGAGAGCGTCAGTGTCGTACCCCTCAAGGGCTTCTTGAAGGAGGTGCCGGTGCGTACGTTCTCTTCGATAGCCTGCCCGCCCCGATTCTGACGCACGAAATCGCCTTCGCCGCCAGACACGTCGTTTGTCGCTCGATTTTGCCACTCTCGGTGCTACACGGGACAGAATCGATCGGGGTTTCGAGCTATTGGACCTCCTCGAGGACCTTTCCGCCAGCAAGATTCGTCAACTCGACATCAGAGCAGCCGCAAGCTTTAAACTACCGGAGGAGTTGCCGACTAGACCTTACCGCATGCGTACACTCACCATCACGGGAGGCCTCAACGTACACGTACGCTTGTTGCCTGCTTCACCCAGGCTTCTTTGCGACGGTTCGCGCTGACTCGCTGCGTCAATAGACCTGCCTGCCCACCCTGACATCGTTCCTGTCACTCTTCAGCTCTTTGAACGCATTACATCTGCGAGGGGCGCGCTTCGGCGACACCGAAATGTCAGCAGCTGCGATGTCAGAGAGGTCCGTCGGCGCACTCGCAGTCAAACTCCCTCACCTTGCCGCCTTCATCGTCTTCTTGCGCGCAACAACCCGGATTCTCGACTTTCGGTTCAGGCTGGAGGGCGAAAGGACGGAAGTGCGGTGGAAGAGGAAGTCGAGACACGAGGAGTTCAAGCGGGAAAGTTGGTCGTGGTAGAAGTTCTTCTTCCGATAGTTCTGCACTGTTCTGCACTTGTTTCGCTTCTCCTCGCGCAGTACGACGGGGCAGAGGACAAGAAAGACTGCTTTTGCACGACTTCTACGGCGGCCGGCCTTCGCAACTGCCGTTTCTACAACGATCCTCACTTGACCGCCTCGCTAACCTTGCCATCCCCCGCCTTCTCGACTTTGTCAAGCGTAACGTCGTCCGTCAGCCTGACCCACTCGAGCCCGAACGCCACAATCAGCCCAACAGCCGCCAACGCCGTTCCCGTAATCGACAGAATGCGCTGCGTCTCGCCATGCGCACGCGACATGGCTTCGCGCACGGGCGTGCCGGGAGGATACTTGGCGATGAGGCCGATCGGGTTGGCGTAGGCCTGTGCGGCGAGGGTCGAGTTCGAGATGTAGGACTGCATCTTGCCGGGGACCGAGTTCGACCAGATGCCGCCACCGATCGCGCTGCCGACGCCGCCAGCGAGGTAGTAAACGGTGAGATAGCCACTGTGAGAGGAGACAGCGGGCTGTCAGGAAAGAAGGCGAGAAGAGACGGAACGAGCGACTCACGCGGTGATGGCGCCGAGGTCTGCGAGCGATCCACCAGCGATGTCAGCGTACTGCTATCACTTACAAGCTGCTAAGCGACTCACGCTCGTGCTTCGAGACAGACTGGATCGCCGCCTGCACAGGGAAACCGATGCACCCGACGCCGAACCCACGAACGAGCTGGACGACCGCCAAGTCGCCCTTCGACGCACCCGCGTCGCGGTAGCGAATCATGAGGCCGAAAGCGAGGACCTCGATGCAGAAGCCGAGGATGATGATGGGCTTGAGGACGCGGACGTAGCGGACGACGATGCCCATCACGGCTGCGGTGAGCGTGCCGGTGAAGGAGGCGATCGAGGTAATGCGCGTCGCGGAGAGGGTGGTCTGGTCGCCGGCGACGAGGAGGTAGGTGTAGCTGCGGAACGGAGATTCGTTAGTTACGGCTGATGCGAGCGAAGGCATGCAACTCACAAGTAGGATCCGATGACTCCGCCTGCGGCAGGGTGGATGACGGCGAGGAAGAAGCAGACGATGACGGTGCGGTTGGTGAGGAGAGTGAAGGGGATGAGCGGGTGTCGGGCACCAAAGCGTTCCCAGAGGACGAAGCCAACGACGAGGATTCCGCCGACGGTGAGGAGCGCAATCGAGTGGGCTGCATGGCAGAATGAAGGCTGTGAGCCGGAGAGCGCGAAGACGAAAGAACGAGAATAGCTGGATGACAGGAGTGAAGCGAGGCGAGGAAAGAGGGTACTGACCGTCGCTCCAGTGCGAGCCTTTTCCGTTTGCAATGGTGATGATCGTAAGGAGCATGCCGAAGCCGCCAACGAGGAGGAGAAGACCGACGATGTCGAGCGACCAGAAAACTGAGACGGTCTTCTGCCAGAACGAGCGGTTCGGTGCGCCGTCCGAGACCGGCACGGGCTCGACGGCTTTCTTCGACTTGCGCATGCCGATGCCGAGCGTGAGCATGACGGGCACCGCAAGCGCGGGGGTCAGGATGCAGAACATGCCTGCGAAGAGGACCCTGGTCAGCGGAGACCAATCGAAGAGGGCGAGTCGTTGCACTCACCGATGCCCCATCGCCACATGCTTGCGTCCTGGTTTGCTCTGCCAAGCAGCGACTGCGCAATGTTGCCGCTGACCCAGACGTTGATAGTCCCGGGAATTGACGGAAAGATGGACCAGAAGAGGCGGTTTCGGAGAGACGAGATGTCGGCGATGATGATGTTCTGGAGGAGGAAGAGGCCGGTGATGCCGAGGACGTTGATCGAGGTGCCGGCGGCGTAGGCGTAGATGTTTTGTGCCGAAGCGACGACGATGTAGCCGAGTGCGTAAAGGAAGACGCAGAGCGCGTAGCACTCGATGCGGCCTGCGACGTCGGCGATCTTGGCAATAGGAGGTTGCGAGACGGCCTGCAGGCGAGCGAAGGATGATCAGGACGCTCTCGTCATCTCGTCAGGAGGACCATTTCGACGACGGAGGAAAGCGCACCTGGAAGACGGACTTGAGCGCCGAAATAGTCGTCAAGGTCGAGTGCGCGGCGAAGGAAACAGACGTAGCGGCGCTGAGGTACGAGCGATTTGTGTACTGGTCGAGCGACATCACGTATGCGAGGAGCGCGAAGCCACCGTACAGCAGGACGCGATACGTGAGCGACATGCGGTTGCTAAGCGCCTCCATCTGTCGTACGCCGCGGCTCTTTGCTGGTACAAGAGCTGCAGCGGCGACGTCGCCTTGCTTGAGAGGCGGAGGTGCCGATGCATAGTCGGCCTTTTCCTCGTCGATGATCTCGTGTGAGGGAGCACGAGTCGATGGCGTAGACGACATCGTGCTGTGCGAGTGTCAGAGAAGCGGGGAGTAGGCGGTGGTGGGAGAGCGAGGGCGGGAGGAGTAGGGAGGGAGAGGGAGGGAAAAGAGGGTGCGGTCGGGCGAGTCGGGGCGAGGGCGACGAGCTTTTCGCATCAGATAAACGGGTGCAGCCGGCGAGACACGATCACGCCGGGGCCAAGCACTCGGCGCCGACTTGGGTTGGCGCTAACCCGCACTCAAAGGCCGGGGAAGGGCTCGTCGCGGCAGAGACAGCGAGCGGGCGGGCGAGCAGGCAAGCGAGCAGCGACGTCGTCCAGTTGTGAGCATCCAAGCACGCGTGCAAGCCTAGCGAGCGACGTCGGTATCGCCAGGAGAGCCCGTCAATTCGGCGGAACTGATGAGGGACTGCAGTCGGAAGACGGGCGTCTGGCGGGTGTGCTGAACGTCCAGTCGATGGTCAAGCATTGTCATAAATCGTAAGTACTCCTCAACAACCCGCTCGAGGCTGTGGTAACTTAGCCGTGGGACGAGGGAAAGGAAGGAGAACGGTCGACTTCGCAACGAGGAGGAGGAGGAGCCGCTCAGCGAGCGTACTGGCGACGAGCTGCGATCTGAACTATCTTCAGAGTACGCTCATAAGCTCAATATACGGGTCGCAGAGGGAGAAAGTGACGAGGAGAAGAACGACGCCCCCTGTCTGCTCTCGACCAGCGACCCTTCACTGCTGCTCGCTTGACTTGTCGCTGTTGCTCGTCCGGACAGAGTTTGTGGCTTGCTTGAGCGCATTGACAGGCAGCAGCGCCACCCTGAGCGGACCCTCGCCCTTCTCCCTCCCCCTCGAACCCCACACGTCCCGACCTCGCCTCTCGTCGTTCTCGCTCGACTAGGACCTGCGAAGCCGCCTGAACGATGGAGGAGGTCGAGGCTAAGACTCCGCCTCCGTTGCCGCCACGACAGCCTTCCCCCGCAGCTGCCGTATCGTCTACCAGCCTCGCTCCGCCGCGACCGTCAATCTGGGACAGGGCTCGCTCGTCGACTATTGGAGCGCTCGATGCGGCGAGGACAGGATTATTCACGAGCAAGGCTGCAGAGAAGGTGCGCCGCGCTCTCTCACGCCTAGAGCCGAAAGTCGTCACGCTGATCATTGTTCCCGTCTCTCAGGCTCGAAACGATTCTCTCGGTCCCCTATCCCTTCCCGACGAATGCGCACGAGCAGCCCGGATAGTCCGCACCTTCACCCTCGACGCTGCCGACTTGCCGACCGAGATCTCGCTCGACGAGCGACGAAAGAGCCAGGTCATCCTGCGCAAGGTTCCGACAGAAGTCGTTGCAGCGGCTCAGGGTCTTGTCGTTTTGACGGTGTTGAAGAAGTCGGGAACGGAGGGAGAGGCCGCTGGAAACGGTGTCATGCTGGCGAGGTCGCAAGACGGGCGTGCGTACCGTTCTTGACAAGTAGCGCGTCTCTACACAGGCTGATCCCGCATCCTAACAGGCTGGTCGCCTCCTTGCGCGGTCGTGCTGGAGAAGTTGCTGCTCGGCGAGGAGTTGGACAAAGACGTGGGCGATCCTTCGCCTTCTGCAGTCGCGACTCGTTGCTGAGTGGTCCTTCTGCGCAGGTCTACGATGTGATGCTCGTTCTCCGAAGCAACACGACCGTCCAGTCCCTCTTTGACCTACCCGTTTTCTTGGGCGGCGACTTGAGCGTCTCTAGCGGTTCGTCTTCTCACCGCGTCGCTCCTCATCTTCCCGTTCACCAGCTGTCTGTTTGCAGGCCCCGTCGGCAACGGCATGATGCTCGAGGAAAAGATGCAGGCGGCGGCTATCTGGGTATACGCGAAGAACAAGGCGCTGTATCAGCCTCTTCAGCTCGAAGGCGCCGTTCTCGAGCAAAGATCGGAGGACAACTCGTGCGCTGTTTCGCCCGCTCGCTGCTGCGTTCACGCTGACGGTGGCTTCTCTCCCAGGTCGGCCTACGGCCGGCTCGTTTCGCCGCGCGAGGTCCTCGAGGGTTCGGTCGAGGCGCCAGGCTGGTCCGAAGGCTTGCATCACACTGTCGCAGCAGCAGAAGGTGTGTCCTTCGCTGGTCGACTTGTGACATCGCTGACATCCCTTGTGCAGGCCTCGACTTCCAGAACGACCTCATCCCGCTTGGCCCCTCCTCGAGCGAAACCTTCCTCTCGCCCGACCCAGCCGCCGCCTCTCCCGCTACTTCTCCCACTCTCGCTTCATCCGCTCCTTCGCCACCTCACGTCTCCCCTCCCCCGCTCGTCACCCGCTCGACAGCTTCATCCGGCACCTCGTTCCTCTCCTATTTCTCCCGTCCACGCGCCGGCTCATCCTCCCAACCCAACCAGACCTCTCCCTCCGCCACGTCGCCCTCGTCTCGCCGTCGACTGCCGAAAGAAGAGCTCGATGACGAAGACCTCGCTGCGCGGCGAGAGATGGAAGAGGCGATGCGGTCTTTCGGCATCGAAGATCCGTCTATCAACCTCAAGTCTCGCGCGGAGGATCCGCTTCTAGTTGTTGATGAACGGTATGGCGAAGGTGATCCGGAAGAAGCGGAGTCGACTGCCCAGACGGGCGGGACGGGCTCAGCGACGCCAGAGTTGACGGCCAGCCCAGGCAGTCGCCCGAGCTTATCGCTTCTCTCGATTCAAGCAACAAGCGCCGTCTTGAGCGACGAAGTCGAGCACCCGCCCGACTCGCCCAGCGCGAAATTCGCGTCACCGGCTCTCAAGCAAGTCGAGGAGGCGAGCGTGAGCAGGCGGGGCTCGACGAAGGGTAGTCCGAGGGTTGGGCAGGGGGAGAAGCCGCCTGTGCCGCCGCGGAGGACGCCGAGGATTGGGACGACGGGGAGCCCGAGGCCGGGTAGTCCTGCTGTGCAGCAGGGAAGCGAGGAGACGAAGACGGCGGAAGAAGGGCATGAAGATGGAGAGGCCGCACAAGGTGAGGCGGAAGGTTCGCCAGCTGACGAGGAACAGGCGAAGGAGGGTGAGGGTGACGGAGAGTCCGAGTCGAAGGGCGACGAGGAGAAGAAGGACTGAAGCGGCGCTAAACCAGACACTGGGACCCCTTGTAGCTCGAGCAGACCCGCGCATTGCATTGTGACTGTTTAGACTGAGCAGGTTACGCTCCAACGAGCCGAACAACGAGCTGAGGCAAATGGAGCGATTCGCCTATAGTCGTCTCCTTCTCGCGACGGCGAGGAGAACAATTGCTAAGATCCTGACTGCGTTGCGATGGTGAGATAGACCGGACAAGGTTCGAGTGGTGTGTAGGGATCGTTCGGACATCTAGCGAGACAGGTCTACGTGCAAGAAGGCCGCTTCTGAGCGAGCCCGAGGAAACGCGAGGGAATGGAACGTAACGACAACCAGGAGAAAGGGGATAGGTACAACGAGCGGAAAGAGAGTGAGAAACGTCTATGACTTGCGGCCAATGAAAGCGCGGTGAGCGGCCTCCATCTCCTTCTGGACGCCGGGCTGGACGGCTGCGTGGCGGAGATACTCCATCGCTGCGAATGGAACATCCATTAGCGGGAGGACGACTGCCAAGGAGGAGGTAGCGGACGTACAGAACTCTCCCTTGCCCTGTGTCATTCCTCGCAACTGGCTGGCGTAGCCGAACATGGCCTACGAAGCGGGTACGTGTCAGGTCACAGATGGACAACGAAAAGGGTGGAAGCGGCGCACGTTGAGCGGGACCTCGCAGATGACGGTGAATTCCTCATCGCGAACCTCGGTGTCGACGATGCTGCCCATGCGCTGGTTGATTCCGCCGATGACATTGCCCTGGAACTCGGCAGGCGCGATGATCTCGACCTTCATGATGGGCTCGAGGACGACGGGTGCAGCCTTGGGGAAGGCCTCGCGGAAAGCGCCCTGCGCAGCGAGACGGAAAGCAAGTTCGGACGAATCGACCTGGTGGGCGGCTCCGTCCTCGAGGACCATCTTGACACCGCAGATCTGGTGACCGGTGAGGATACCGCGCTCGAGAGCGTCGTTGAATCCCTGCAGACACAAGCAAGGTCAGGCGAGTCATTCACAATCTAGAGGATTGCCGCAACGCACCTTCTGAACGGCGGGGATGTAGCCAGTCGGGATGTTTCCACCGATGACGACACTCTCGAACGCCGTGTCCTTGCCCGTCTCGGGGTCCATCTCCATCGGCTCAAGGCGGCCGACAACCTTTCCGTACTGTCCAGCACCGCCCGACTGCTTCTTGTGGGTGTAGTTGAACGGCACGGCCTGTGTGATGGTCTCGCGGAAGGCGACGCGAGGCTTGCCGGTGATGCACTCGGTGTTGTACTCGCGGCGCATGCGTTCGACGTAGATGTCGAGGTGGAGCTCGCCCATGCCGGAGATGATGGTCTGCGCGGCGAGAGGCGGTCAGTCATCGAGAGGCGCAAGATGCGGTAGACAGCTGCTCACCTCCTGCGACTCGGCATCAACGTGGACGCGGAAGGTCGGGTCCTCCTTCTGGAAACGGTTGAGAGCGCGCGAAAAGTTGGGTGTTTCCTGACCCTTCGGGCGGATGGCGAGCGAGATGACGGGCTCAGGGACGAACATCTGGGTCTATTCACGAAGAAACAGTTCAGCAAGAAAGACAGCTGCATTGTGAGGACCGCGACGCACCATAGTGAAACCGCCGCCTCCAGGCTGGTCCGAGAAGGTGTCGCCCGACGAGCACTCGACACCGAACATGGCGCAGATCTCGCCAGCACCGATACTGTCGACGTCCTCCATCTCGTCCGAGTGCATTCGCACCAACCGGGGAACCTTGACCTTCTTGCCGGTACGGACGTTGGTGATGACGGCGCCCTTCCTCAGCGTGCCCTGGTAGACCCTGATGTAGGTGAGCTGGCCGTAGCGACCCTCTTCGAGCTTGAACGCGAGCGAGACGAGCGGCGCCTTCGAGGTCGGCGAGAGAGTCTGAGGCGGGTCTTGCGGCGCCTCCATGTTGGTCGCGACTGCGGGGACCTCGTTGGGCGTGGGAAGGTAGAGACAGACGCCGTCGAGTACGGGCTGGACGGACTTGTTGGCGAGTGCGGAGCCAGTGAAGACGGGGGTAAACTTGAGGGCGATCGTCGCGCGGCGGACGGCGTTCTGCGCAAGGAGCCCCGTCAGCGTGCGGATTGCAAGCCTCGGAAGCTCGGAAAAACGTACAGCCATCTCAACCGGCGTGATTTCCCGCTCCTCGAGCCACGCATCCGCAATCTCGTCGTCCACCTCGGCGAGCGTCTCAACAAGCTCCGCACGCTTCGCCTTAGCCGCCTCGACGTACTCTGCCGGAATCTCGTCCTGGCGAACGGTGATACTGTAGGGAGAAGCTGTCAGCGAGAGATGATCTGTCTGAGAACTGCACAACTCACCCCTTCTCGCCCTCGTTGAAGACAGCCTTCATCTGAACGAGGTCGACGACGCTGAAAAGGATTCGACGGTCAGTCAATGCAGCCAGACGAGCGATCGAGCGGGAGAAACGCACCCAGCGAAGTCAGCCTCAGCACCCATCGGCATGGTGACCATGGCCGCCTTCATGCGCAGCTTCTGCCGGATCTGGTTGAGCACTCGCTCAGGGTTGGCGCCGGCGCTGCGGAGCAGGCTAAGTCAGCGGCTTTCCGACGCGATGGAGGAGAAATGCCTCGCACCGGTCCATCTTGTTGATGAAGGAGAGACGAGGGACGTTGTAGCGACGCATTTGGCGGTCGACGGTGATCGTTTGGGACTGGATCACGGCGGAAAAGGTCAGCAAGAGCGGAAGGAGCCAACGAATTGAGTAAAGAAGCGGCAAGGCGCACCTGAACACCCGAGACCGCGCAGAGAACGAGGACGGCTCCGTCAAGGACACGAAGAGCACGCTCGACCTCGATAGTAAAGTCGACGTGACCTGCGAAAGGCGGATCAGCATAACCTCCAGTGCAAGCGAAGGTAGGAGGACTCACCCGGCGTGTCGATGATGTTGATGCTGTACTTGCCCTCCTTCTCCTTGTCCGCCGCCTGCTTGACCTCCCAGTCTGCGAACGTCGCGGCACTCTGGATAGTAATGCCCTTCTCACGCTCCAGCTCCATCGAGTCCATCTTGGCGCCGACACCGTCCCGACCACGGACCTCGTGAATAGAGGCGACGCGACCGGTGTAGAACAAGATACGCTCCGTCAAAGTCGTCTTGCCTGCGCAGAACAAGCCACCGCGAGATCCCGAAAGTCAGCCCGACCGTCCGAGAAGGATCCGCCCGACCTCGCAAGGACTTCCGACGCACCCGAATCAATATGAGCACTAATTCCGACGTTCCTCAACCTCGTCAATCGAGTCCTGTCCTCGTCGGAGAGCGGGAACTTGGCCGCGAGAGGCTGCACCGGTTGAGGCTTCCCTCCCTCATCGCTCCTCAACGCCGAGGCGGCGAACGAACGGCGCTGGAGGGCGACCCGAGGCGTGCGAGTCGACTGGGCGGCGAGCGAGCGCGCTGCGGCTGTGCGGGAGGGCGCGAGCGAGCGAGATGCTCGAGGGAGTTGAGCGCGGAGGGAGGAGGCGGCGGATCGCAGCATAGCTCGCGCGAGGGAGTGGGTGCGCCGGGATAAAGGGTATCTGGGTATGGACCAGTCGACCTGGCCTTTTAGCGGAGCGCAGCGAGCACAGTGGCGAGCGAGGCGGGCGTCGAAAGAAAGTCGCGGCGGAGTCCTCCGGCAAAGACAACTTGATCTCCTCCAATACTCGCTAGTAGGAGCTGGTGACAACGGGTATGATGGCACGACACGACTACAAGCAAGCGGAACTGCAACCGAAACCAAGCGGGGGGTATCGACCTCGTCCGTCCTCCGTCCTGCGCCTTTACTTGCGCTTCTTGCCCGGTCCAGCGGCTGCGGAAGGCTTACAGGTCAGCACAAAGTGTCGATAGCAGCGAGGAAAGAAGGAGACCCACCTGCGCCGCCCGCCTTGCGCTTCTTGCCCGCCTGGACGGGTTCTTCCTCCTCCTCGTCTTCCGCAGCAGCAGCGGCTGACGGTTCAACGTCGCAGTCCGGGCAGAACCACTCGCCTGGTAACGGAAACGTCAAGGGATACGCCGATGGAAGACTGAGGAGACGGGACGGACCGTCGGGAACGCCTTGCAGCGGCGGGTTGAGGCAGCCCGCATGGAAGGCGCCTTCGCACTGTGAGGAACGCTCGTCAACCGTCAGTCCCACAAGCAGTTCCAGCGGCACGGAAAGGTGAACATACCTTCTCGCACTCAAGAATCTCGCCCTTGTCCTCATCCGCCTCATACCCTCCACACACCCTACAATTGTCCGTCGTCTCGAGCACCATCGGCCACCTCGCCAACTCCTCCCAAGCACCTTGCTGCGTCCTGCTGATCCCCGCTGCACGCTTCTTGCCTGCCGCTGAGTCAGTCGGTGCGGGAGAGGGAGGTTTCGAGGGAAGAGGGGAGGCGGAGGAGCCGAAGGAGAAACCGAAGCCGGAGATGTCGAAGGTGGGCTTGATGGCGGGTGCTGGGGCTGCTTCGGTGGCGGGAGCTGGTTCGGCGGCGGGAGCAGGAGCGGCGGGAGGAGGCGTCGGCGCATCAATGATCGCTTTCGCTTCGTCCTTCGCAGCCTGCGTAGGCGGCGGACGCGCGATGAAGAAGGTAGTCGACTGGCCGGCAGCAATGTCGAGCATCTCGATCCCGTCGAGGTACTCGATCCGCTGCGGCTTGGTCGCGGACTTGGGCTGCTCGCGTCGTTGCCTGCATCAGCTCCCACCTCTGAAAGATACAGCGAAATGAACGCACCGCCCCTTGCCCGAGCGCCAACTCGCCATACTGCGCGTTCTGGCCCCAACTAACCGTGAACTCTCCCTCCTTCGGGTCGTTGGCATGTACGAAGAGCGTCACGCCGCCGGACGAGATGAGCGTGCATTTGTAGCCCATGATGTCCTGCACGTAGCGAGGTTGCATCCAGGGCTTCGACCGACGACTCCAGTCAGTGCCGCCCGAGCGTCGAAACGAGGCGAGCGAACGCACCTGCCCCGCACTCCCATCACCGCTCGTCTTCCACTTCCCGCAAAGCAACACGCCCTCCTGGTTGTCGATGAAGAGCGTGTTGGTCGACCCTGCCGCGATCTTCTTGCAGCGAGTGAGGACGTTCGAGCCGGAGAAGTAGGGGATCAGGGAGGGCGTGAGCGAGTCGATCTGTGCGCCGAGTCCGAGGCGGCCGAGACCTGCTCGACGCGCTTCATTAGCTCACATGGACGCAGAGGACATAGACACAAGAAATAGGACGAACCGCCAAAGCCCCACGAGTATGCATACCCGTCCTCATCAAGCGCAACGTTATGCTGCTGTCCGCTGGTGATCTGAACGATCTTCTTGCCCTTGATGGCGCCTTCGACGAGGAGCGGCTCGCTCTGGACGATGAAGAGGACGCGCGAGCCGGTGATGTGCTCGCCTGTCTGTTGGTGCGGGAGGTGCGTCAGCTTTAGGTTCACTCATCGCTCAGCGCCAATACAACGAGCGCGACGAAGTCGACGGGGTCGAAGCAAAGCGGTCGAGCGAAGGGAATTCGAGACACACCTTTCCATTCCCAAGCACGCCCTTCTCGCCCGTCCCAACCGCAAAGACCCTCCCACTCTCCGCCAACAAAAGCGAATGGTTCGTCCCCGCGCTGACCTGCACAACCTTCTCCTCCTCGATCCCACCGCCCTTGATGCGCCTCCACGAACTGACGTGCTCGCGCTCTTCCGAGTGCCCGCATTGGCCTACTACGTTCCATCCCGCGGACCAGGCCTCGCCTGAATCAGTGACGAGGAGGGTATGTCCCCTCCCGCACGCGGCGTGGACGATCTTCTGCGCCTTGAGAGCGGGAGGGGCGTTCGAGTCGGGCAGGGAACGGAGGGGGAAGGGGAATGGTGCGGCGGGTGTTGGGGAGGGGATGTCGTCGGATCCGAGTTGCGGGGTCGTGAAGGAGGCGGGGAGAGGGTGGGAGAGTTGGTGGTGCTCGTTCCGGCCGAAGAGGTAGGCCTGGCCGTCCACTGCGGGCGCAAACGGTAGGTGGGAGGAATTCGCTGATTGTCAGTGAGAACGTACGGGTCAATGCGACGGCATGAGCACCCGAGTGCGACGTGAAGACGCGAGTGAATTTGACTGCGAGCGACAGTCGAGGTCAGCCGCCGCGCCAAACTCGACCGGATGGCTGGCGACGCACTGTTGGCGACATTGCGGACGATGTGAGCCGCAGGGAGATCAGGCCTGTCCAGCAGGCGAAGCGTCAGCGAGTTCAAGGGGAGTGCGAGCGGAGCAAGACCAACCTGAGCGGGTTGACGACGTTCTTGCCCGACTTGTCCTTGCGTCCGAGGGTCGCAAAGTCGGTTCTGCGGCGTTGGGAAGGGCGCAGGACACCGCAGGGGACGGGAGGGAGCGTGTCGCAAATCGAGTGGGAGGACGAGGAAGGTCAGTTTCGTTCAAGGTGACGGAAGGAGAACGCGGCGCACCCTCCTGCAATCAAGACTGCAGTATTGACGAGCAGCGAACAGCCAGCAACGAAGCCAGTCAGTCCGTGAAGCGGGCAATGAGCGACGAGTGCGAAGCGAGCGGACGAGCGGACGACGCGGAGAGGGGAAGTCAACGTCGCGCGCGCCTGTCCTCGTGCAAGCGTCTGGGGCTGGTAAACGAGGCCGCGTGTGTTGTGCGCGGCGCGTTGTTGTGCGAGTGTGACAGGCTGCGCAGAGCGGCACGACGAGGACGAGTGGAAGCGGAGTACGTACGGCGACCCCAGGGGTGTTCGATGCGAGTAGGCGCTGCCATACTGAGCGCGGTAAGCGGGTTTGTAGTACTGCGCGCGGGTTGGGCCAGACGCCAAAGGCCGCGCGGACAAGTTCGAATCGCTCGCACGCCAACAAAGGCTTACCGCGACAGTAACTCGCTCTGTGTGCAGCAGGAAAGGGTCTCAAGGGTGTATACACGGTCACTGGACACGGACGCTCTACACACGCCTTCGAACGACCCGCCAGCGACACCCGCAGCCTCCAAACTCGCCTCCCCTTCCTCCAGGTCGTCACTCGCTCGAAACGGCCCCTCGAGTCGCCTGCGACGGGTGATCGTACGCTGGGACGAGCCAGACACGCCTGCTAGACCGACTGAGCCCCCAAAGGACCGCCCACGATGGACCGCTCGTTCGGGTCGTCGACCAGTCTCCTCCACACCCCCTCGCCTCTCGACCGGCGCTCGTCCCCTCTCTCCTCGAGCACCTTTCTCGGCACGGCCCAGCTCGCACAGTCCATCCCCGCATCCTCATCCACAACAACCACCGTCCAGCCTCTCTCGTTCAACCCGCAGAACGTACCCGTCCGCACGACAACCTCTGCGTTTGGGTCCGCTGGCAAGGCAGTGAGGTTCTCCCCTGCACAGACGAACGCGGCAGGGTACTCGTCTGCCCCGTCGAGCCGGATACAGGGATGGGCGACCCCGCCGAGGAGCCACGGCTCGCCTTCGTTGCTCAAGACGGCGGCGGCCAATGCGAGCGGCGGCAGCGGATTCGGGTACGGGAAGGGCGCAGTCGCGACTCCTCCGCGACAGCAGGACGGCGGTGGGAGTAGCGCTTCTGGGCAGAGCCAGGGCCAGGACCAGCAGCGACCCGCTCAGTTGCACTTTCCCAACCTCGCTGCGACACCTCACAAAGTCCAGTCCGCCCTCGCGCACACGTCCTCGTTGGCCGTCCACGCCGTGCAGGATCGCGTCCACCACGCCGAAGCGGTCGCTCAAGACGTCAAGAAGAAACTCGAGACTGTTCCTCTCGGTCGGGGCGAGGCCGCGCACCGGTTGCGAGTGAATGCCGTCCTCCTCGTCGCGTGGTGGGTCTCGAGCCGGACAACGCTCTACCGTTTCGCGGCGGGCCACCTCGTCGCCTTCGCACCCGGCCTTGACACCCCGCTACACATATGCGAGACGGTCCTCCTCCTCGTCCTGTGCTACAACATCATCGACTCGCTCAAGACTCTCAACACGCTCTCGTCCCTCCCCGCATCGACGACCGTCGCGCCGTTCTCGTCCCCCGCACGACCAGGTCCCATCCGTCCTTCGTCGTCCTCCGCATCGCTTTCCTCCCCCGCCCGTTCGTCGCCCAAAACTCGTCCCTCCCCATCCGTTCTCGAATCCCCCTCGGCAGCAAACTCACCCACCACCTCCCGCCTGCGCACAAACCTCTCCACCCCTTCCTCGCCCTTCCGTTCCTCCGCCCTCGCTTCCCCTCATCCACCAACTCCCCAAACTCCCTCTTCAGCACTCAAGCACTCCCAGAATGCAGCAGCGGACGAAGCAGCCTCGATTTTGAGGCGGTCGTTTGGCGCGCACACCCCTACGCAGGGAGAGGCGGGAGCGGTTAAGGATCAAGTGCAGGGTGCGTTGGTGGCTTACGAGGCGAGGCATAGCGTGCAGGAGAGTCCGAGTGCGGGGAGGAGGGTCAAGGTGGAGAGTAGGGAGGACGTCGAGAGGTTGTTTGAGTGAGCGGCGGGAGGACGGTTGCTGTGAGGTCGGTTGGCGTGAGGAGGTAGCGTGGTTTTGCGACAGACAATGCAGCATATACGGCCGTTGACTTCTCTCTCTCGGTGCGAGCGAGAGACCCATGAGCGCATGGGCGCAGTGCATCCCAACTCTACGCTTCTACGTCTCCTCCTCAGGCCCTCCCTCCGCCGCTCGCTCCCGCCACCCAACCCAAACCACATACCGTCCCCCTCGCAACTCGCCCCCCTCCCTCCCGTCCTCCTCCCAACCCACCCTCCAAACCCTCCACCTCTCTCCCCCCTCCTCCTTCCAAGCCCTCAGAAACTCCTCCAGCGGTTCTTCGTCCCGTATTTCGCTGGCTACGAGTACGATAGTGTCGGGACCGGCGTGGCGCAGGATGGTCTTGGCTAGGGGTGCGGAGAGGGAGGGGTTGTAGATGCAATCTGAGGCGAGGATCAGGGAGGGAGGGGAGGGGAGCGGTGGGTGGGCGGCGTGAGAGGCTGCAGGGGAGGTAGCCGAGTATAGAGAGTGAGGGTGTCGGTCCCATGCGGCTGCTTCGACGAGCCAGTCTAGCTCCAGCACCTCAACAGGCGCTTGCTCCGTCTTCGGCTTGCGAGGTGCATGCGAAGCAGACGTAGGGCGCGTCGAGTGTCGCTGAGAAGGAAGAGGTGTCGCGCGAGAAGGAGGCGAAGTAGGCGGATCCATCAGCCCTTTTGCGCGCAAGTTGCGCACGACGAGCGGGAGGTTCGCCAGCTGGTCCGAGAAGATCCATCGGCCTTTCGGCGTCGATTGCGAGTAGATGTCACGCAGTGCGATTCCGAGGAACCCAGTTCCGGAACCGAGTTCGAGGATGGTCGAGGAGGAGAACGAGGGGAGGAGCGGAGGATGAGAGGGGTGAGGGAAGTGGTGTTGCTGGAGGAGATAGCGGGCAAGGTGCAGACTGCGAGCAGCACAGCTTCTCCATCAGCTCTTGCGGTGTCCAGACCTGAAGAGCCGAAGGAAGTACGCCTCGACGCACCTGATGCGCCAGAGAACCGACCCTACCGCAGCGTAGATTTCGTCAGCGCCTGCGCGAGCACGAGGGACTCAAGAGTGCTCTCTCTGACGCACCTGTATCGCCCTTCCTGTTGCGCAAGTCGCCCAAAGATTGATGCACCTCTACCTCGACAGTCACTTCCTGCCTCGCCATGTCGCCCTTTCGTCCGGCCAAACCTTTCGCAGCCTTCTTCACCCTGCTCTTGACCGCATCAGACCCATTCGCGTCCGCCCAGGGGTTGCGGACGGTGAGAGAGAGAGGGAGGACCTCGTCCTTGGAGGAATGGAACCCCAGTCCTCCTTCAGACGGCCGCTCTTCGTCTTGCGCTGTAGTCCCTGGCGCATAGGAGAGCTGCAACTTTCTCGTCACGAGCGCAAAGATCTGTCCAGCGCGTGTGAGAGGCGGGTGAGCTCGCCTCGGGTTCGGTGGGGAGGAGAGGGCGTACTTCTTCGTCTACGTCCTCGACGAGCACCGAGCCAGCTGGCAAGTTCACAGAAGGGCGTGTTCGAGTCATCGCGAGCGGTCGCAGCGGGGTCGGACGAGCATGGTGTGATGGAGGAGTGAAAGGGAACTCCTCGGGCAAGGCAGAGAGATGCTGGATGATCTGCGAGTTGCGCTTCTACTACTGGAACAACGACTGCCCACCTCGCTCTACCGGTCCTGCCGTTCTGCGCGGTACCGCTGCGCCGCTGCTTCCCGCTTGAGCCTGTGAGACGTGCAGAGGTAAGTTGCGCGTTCTCGCAGGAAAGGAACGAGTCGAGACGCACCTCGCCTCCTTGGCCGCCAACCCGTCCTTGCCCGCCATGCCCAAGATGCCTGCAATCAGCTCGACCGCCCGAGGAGAGTCGTCGTTCGCCGGAATGGCATACGTGACGATTCGGGGGTCGAGGTTGGTATCCGTGATGCCGATAGTCGGGACCTCGTTCTGCGTCGCCTCGCGGATGGCGTGCTCGTTCAGGGTAGGCGAGAGGAGGACGAGGAGGTCGGGCTTGAACGAGAGCGGCGTGACCTTTTGTGGTGTCAGAGGGCGTCCGGGCCGTCCTCCCCTCCGCTGCTCGTGTGCCCGCTGCTGCTCCTCGGTGACTTCAGGCTGCGGCACCGCGCACCACTTGAAGACCTCCCGCGCATTCGAGATCGTACCGGGCAACCACTTCGTGACACCGTACCCGTTCTCCCCCAGCCGCTTGGCGTTCTCAAACACGGCCTTCTCTGTTCCCTTCAAGCTCCCGACGAAGACGACCCGTCCATCACGCTCGACGACGCCCTTGAGCACCTGCGCGGCTCGACGAAGTGCAGGGAGGGTTTGTCGGATGTCGATGTACGACAGGCCGGCTCGGGTTCCGTAGATGAGGGGGAGGGAGGCGCGGTGTGTGTTGGCTTTGGAGTGGCCGAGGTGCGCCCCTGCGGCGACGAGGTGGGATGCGGTAACGGAGACGGGGGTAGGCGGTCGGGAGACGTTGTGATGCGACTGGTAGGTGTTGTGGCGGTTCTGAGTCGACCCGAGCTTCTCAAAGACCTCGGCTGTGCCATGCGGACAACAAACAGGTCAGCCCGAGACCTGGTGAATGCCGATGCGATGGGGGAAAATCGCAGGATAGGCGATGAGAGCGAGTGAAGCGACACGCACCGTTGTAGCGCTGGACCCTCCGTTGCTGAACCTTTTCGAGGAGCGCCTTGTACGCTGCCTCGTGCTCGCGCTGGCTCCGCGAGACGAACGCCGGCTGGTCTGGTGCGGGTGCGGGCGAAGAGGGAGCGGCGGCGTCTGTCTGCACCGCGCGGCTGGGCTGCGCGCGCGATGCCCGTGTGCACGCTGACGCTGCCCGCGCGACCGACGCTGCTGCCCGGACCATCGCTGTGCGCGCAGAGAGAGCGGTGAGCGAACGAGATGGTCGAGCTGGGCGGAGCGAGGCGACAACGGCGGAGTGCTCGCTTCGACGGCTCTCGGGACGGCTTGCGACTCGACAGAAAGTGCACAGAGTGCTCTCACATTGCAGCGGGCTGGCCAAACTACCGCAAGAGAGAGAGGGAGGCTGCTTTCTGAGGGCGTCCGAGTCGCGCGAACGCCGTACCGGCCTCGGGATGGGCGCGTTCTAGGTTCAAATGGTACGTACAGTCGTAAGCAGTCCATGGAACAACGAGGCAAGCGTCCGCTGGTGGTGAGGACCGGATACAGGGGAAACGAGGCGAGTGAGCGGGTTCGGCGCGCCCGCAAGAGCCTTTCCGGGATACGCCGGTCGTAGATCGTCGTGACGGCTAAGCAGCACAACCAGCAGAGAGAAAGCCTCCGTCTGCGGTTGGAGAGAGGCTTGGGGAGCAGTTCCAGTGAGGAGACGTGAACAGTCCGCCTGCCCACAACCGCCTGAGTCCGTGGTCGGTGTGGAAGTCATTCCATCGTGCCGTCTGCTCCCGATCAGACCAGGATTCAAGCCAGCCACTTCGAGCCGGAGGAGATCAAGCGAGTCGCGGATGCTGTGTGAACTGGGTCGTCGAGCGCAAGCACCACAGCTCGGGAGGGGGCGCCAGTTGGTAGACCCGTCGAGACAGTAGCTATGTAGCCAGCCAGGCAGATAGAAAGCAGCCTGGCGTTGTGAGCGTGTGTCGACGAGGTCGAGGTGTTCCCTGACGAACGTCTCGCACCAACTGCTCGCTCGCCGCTGCTCAAGCACGCTTGCAAGGCTCTCCTGCTGCTTGTGACTCTGAACAGACTCGTTTGAACACCTACAAATCCCTTGCCTCGCTCCCCATCGCCAGTCCCGCTCGCCCTCCCTCCTCCAACGACACCAACCCCGCGAGCTGCCACCTCGCGCCCCTCGACTCGCACAATGTCGAACTGGCAGTCAGACCCGCTGCATCCCATCGCTGTCCTCCGTGAGTACCTTCCCGTCCCCAGCGAGCGCTTGTGGGCACCGCGCTAACCGTCATCACCTTGCTACTCCTCCCCCGCTTACTCTCCGACACACTCAGTCGACGAGCTGCGAGCAGAAGATGTCGCGCTCCGACTGAACGCCATCCACCGCATCTCGACCATCTGCCTCGCCCTCGGCGCCGAGCGAACCCGCACCGAGCTGATCCCGTTCCTCCAAGAGTCGCTCGACGACGACGACGAAATCCTCCTCGCACTCGCTGAAGAGCTGGGCGGCACGTTCGTCGAGTACGTCGGCGGACCCGACTATGCGCACCTCGTCCTCCCCATCCTCGAGCACCTTGCCGGAGTCGAGGAGACGCTCGTTCGCGACAAGGCTGCCCAGTCGGCGAACCAGATCTGCGACGTCCTGAGCCAGGAACAGGTCGAGGAGCACTTTGTCCCGCTCGTCCGACGCCTCTCGACCGGCGAGTGGTTCACCTCGCGCACGTCGGCCACCGCCCTTTATGCCGCCGCATACCCGAAGGCGACGCCCCCCGTGCAGGAGGAGTCGATCAGGATGTACTCGAAGCTGTGTGAGGACGACACGCCGATGGTCCGACGAGCCGCGGCGAAGGAGCTCGGCGGTTTCTCGAAGCAGCTCGGCCACGACAACCTCGTCAACAGCCTCCTCCCCGCCTTCCGCAAACTGTCGGGCGACGACCAGGACTCGGTCCGGCTACTCACCGTCGAGTCGATGATCGCGATCGCCGAGCAACTGAGCGAGGACGAGTGCAAGAACCTCCTCGGGCAGACGATGAAGTCGCTCGTCAACGACCGGAGTTGGCGGGTGCGGTACATGGTCGCCGACCACTTTGTCAAGCTCGCCAAGGCGGCGGGTGAAGACATCGTTCGCGACGAGCTCGTTGCGGCGTACGTTGCGCTGCTCAAGGACCAGGAGGCGGAGGTTAGGACCGCGGCGGCTGGGCAGATCCCCGGTGCGTCCCATCGCTGCCAAGCAATTGATTACCTGCTCACGCTCCTCGTGTACCGCAGGCTTCGCCGAGCTTGTCGACCGCGACACCATCCTCAACCGTCTCATGCCCTGCATCCGCGACCTCTCGACCGATGCTTCTCAGCACGTCCGCGCCGCGCTCGCGAGCCAGATCTCCGGCCTTGCTCCCCTCCTCGGCAACGACGCGACCATCGAACACCTCCTCCCCCTCTTCCTCCAACTCCTCAAGGACGAGTTCCCCGAAGTCCGGCTCAACATCATCTCGAAGCTCGAGGTCGTCAACAACGTCATCGGCATCGAGCTCCTCTCGAAGGCTCTCCTCCCGGCCATTGTTGAGCTCGCCGAGGACAAGCAATGGCGCGTCCGACAGGCGATCATCGAGTACATCCCGCTCCTTGCCAAGCAGCTCGGCGTCGCCTTCTTCGACGAGCAGCTCGCCAACCTCTGCATGGGGTGGCTCGGCGACCCCGTCTTCTCGATTCGCGAGGCGGCAACGATCAATCTCCGCAAGCTCACCGAGGTTTTCGGCGTCGATTGGGCCAAGGAGACGATCATCCCGAAGGTCATGGAGATGGGGCACAACGTCAACTACCTCTACCGCATGACGACTGTCTTTGCCATCACCGCGAGTTTGCGCTCCCTTTTCTGGTCCACAAAGCGGCTCGACTAATCCCTTCCTCCCGCAGACTATGGCACCGGCTCTCGACATTGACTCGATCCGGTCCTCGATCCTTCCCACCGTCGTCTCGCTCTCAGCCGACCGGATCCCCAACATCCGTTTCAACGTCGCCAAGGCGTTCGAGGTTCTGTCGCAGTCGCTCGCATCGCAGCAGGGCGGACCCGACCTCGTTTCGAGCGAGATCATCCCGGCGCTCGACAAGTTGAGGAGCGACACGGATGCCGACGTGCGCTTCTTTGCGGAGAAGGCGTCCGAAAAGGCGAGGGAGGTCGCGAGCGGCGAGGCGCAGGCTGTCAGCGAGGAGGTCGTCATGACCGACGCTTGAGCGGCGTGACGAAGACGGTCACCGGAGCCTTCTCGGCGGATATACCTCTCCCTTTCTCTTCGCTCACTCTAGTCTTACGCCATCCGTGTATTCTCTCCGCACCCGATTTGTTCTCCTTTCCAGACTCGCCTCCCCTCGCCCCAAAGAAGGTTGGTAAAGATCCAATGTGAATGCAAGAGTGCCGCCATACTACCGATTGCAAGGGTATGAGAACATTCCCTCGTAGTCGATCGCGTCCTTCACGCCGGCGAGAACAAGCCGAAGCTCCTTCATCTCGAGTGCGCGGTCCCTGGCGTCTGCCTTCCTCGCCCTCCCGAGGTCAATAAGGCGCAGACCGTCCGGAAACTGGAGGACGTTCCTTGCAGCGAGGTCGCCGTGGATATAGCCGGCATCGTGCAAACGAGAGACGACGTTGATGATCTTGTCGCTGCGGGCAGAAGGAAAAGATGGTCAGCCGTATGACAAGCGCGAAAGGATACCGTGTGAGAGAACCCACCTGTGCTGCCGCCATTCGCCTACCTCGGCTCCCGATCCCGTCACGACCGCGAGTCGGATGCCGAACCATTCATACGTCCCGACGTACGGTGCGAGGAAACGCGATGCGGCGGGTAAGCGATAAAGCGCTTCGTAGATCGCCGATTCGTGCTCGAGCTCCTCAACCTCGTCGTCTCCATACCAGGCCAACTTGAAGACCACGCCGAGCTCGGTGCACTCGCAGATGCGGAGATGGTCGCGAGAGTAAACGAGCGTGTCGAGCTTGACGAGCGGGTATTGTGGAGGGGAGGGCGCGGCACTGGACGGAGCAGAGGTATCGGAACGAGGAGGAGTTGAGGAAGCGCGTGATGTTGACGGAGTCGGAGAGGTGTTGGTGTCCGACATAGAAGTCAACGTTGAGTCAGTCTGCAGAATGACAGTCAGCGCGACTAGGTGGAAGCGCAGCAAGACGCACGGAGATGCGCTCGTATATTTGCCGTAGGAATGGGTTGCCGCCGTTGTGGACGAGCTGGAAGATGTCCTGCCGTCTTGGATGTCAGCCAGTCCGTCCAAGAACGGAGGGCAAGTACTATGCACCGGTAGAACCTGCCATGTTGAGGGTCAGTCGTTGGACCAGAAGGAGAACAAGAGAGTAAGGCGCGCACCGCGTGGTAATCCGTCCGCCTCGCGCCGCTCCCGCCGACATTGGTTGTGCTTGCCTCGTTCGTGGACGTCCTGCTCCGCTCAGCCCTTTCGCCCTTATCGCACGCTGATCCGCTGGTCCTGTCCCTTAGGCCGGGACGCTGCCTCGCCCGAAGACCCGCAAGTGCGGCCTTCGCTTTATCCGTCCAGCCAATCTCGTCCGGCATGACGTCCGAGTCGGCGGCGATTGCAGGGTCGAACAAGTCAGGCAAGCGAAGAGGTTCGTGGGAGATGTTGAGGAGCGATACGGCGGCGAGGATCTTTCGAAGCGGGACACCGTTGAGGTCGTACATCTGGGAAAGACAGAGCCGAAAGTATTCGACGCCGTCAATGTCGACGTCATACCCGCCGGCGAAGAAGAGGAGGGAGCCGGTAAGGACGGGGAGGAGGATGACGGGGACCTTGACGCCAAGAGCGACGGAGCGACGTGTGCGCGTTGAGATGATGGAGACGATCTAGGGGCGATGTCTCGTAAACGTCAAGCCGGACGAGGAGACGATGGGGACGTACTTGTAAAGCCAGCTTCAAATCTTCTGGCACCGTAACCCATTCTGCTCGGTCTGCGTCCCAGCACGTCACAGTGCCCCTTCCCTTCGACTTTCCGTCGCCTCCCTTATCCGGCTCGTCAACGACCGCAAGAGGCGGCCAGACTTTTCGAGCGGCCATTGAGTCCCGCACGCTTCGGAACGCCTGGTCTGATATCGCCTGCAGTAATAGCGCTCCTCCCTCCCACTCTCTTCCCTTGATCGTCGCAACGATGTCTGCGGCCACCGTGGCCATCTTCGTCCCGCTGAAATCGCCGCAGACATCCCAAACTTCGTCTCCTTCATCCGCCCGCAAGAGCGAGAGGCAGTCCGCCGTGATTGCGAGTTCAGACATCAGCTTGGACCGCAGGTAATCCACGTCGACGTAGCTGCAAACGCGCGTGTCCGGTCGTCGCGCATGAAAGTCTGGCACAGGGCCGGTTGTTTTTCCCGCCCTCGCCCTCTCTGCCGTCAAGTCATCGACCAGACCAACGAGCGTATCGGGCACATTTGAGCTCGCCACCTCGTCGAACTCAACAGTGGACAAGGGGATTCCATTCGCCCCGCCCGACCCGCCCATGGTTTCTGCGAGGCGAGCGTGACGCTGGGTCGATTCGCTGAACGGCCGGCTCAAGCCTTGGGTCTGCTCGGATGTAGTCCACCCTGGGTCGAAGGGGCGAGCCGGAAAGGGCTGGGAGAGGATCAATTCGATGTCTTCGAGGTTCCGGCGCGAAACCGATCTAGCGCGAGCACCGGTAACTGCTGATCCGCCTCCCTCCGAGCGAGCCATCATGGCGTGAAGGGGCGAGGTGAACGCGCGCTGAGGGGGCGCAGAGTTACGAAGAACAGAGGGTATAGCGGAGTGGGGGGACGGAGAAGACGACCTCAAGGTCGAGGAACGCGGTACTGGGGCCTTAGACGAGTGCACTGATAGGGCGCTGCTCGCCTCCGAGTGCGCAGACAGCGTATGCCTCGAGCTCGCGGTGTGCGATCCTCCGTTGACTGACGAAGTTGATGAGGTCGTGGAGAGCGTGGAGAGCGAGCAGGACGAGTTGCGGTCAACAGTGTGGTGTCTGGAGGTCTGGCGACCTTTCTAGCCGAGCGCCAAGCGCAGGTAACGCAGCGGTGGGTGCGAGACGAAAGAAGGAGAGAGTGCCGCAGACGAGTAGAGCAGTCGACAGCCCGCCCGACTGGTTGAAGTGGCCTAATAATCACAACAGAGTGTACTACTGACGAAGGCAACCGCGAGTCCACTCAGGTTCACCACTGCGAGACGTCCTTGAGGCGCCTACGACCGATCCACCCTCTCCACCACCAGCCGCTCTGCCCTTCCATGCCCCGCCCCGCCCAGTTCCCTTCAGGCTCCTCACCTGTCTCGGGAGGAACTCGGCCGGCGTTGGGAGACGCAGTCGGTCGCGTTGGTGGGTACGTGGCCGCTCCTCCTTGAGGCGAGCGAGCTGTTCGACGGTCGGAAGAGGTGGCTCCAGTCGTCGTCTCGGCAGTCGACACCGTCCCCTCATCCTCCCACTCTCCCTCGACGTCTCTCGCCGCACCGCCTTCGTCGCCTAATCGCGCACCTCCATCAAGCTCGAACCCAGCTCTTCGCTCCGCAGCGTCCATCTCCGCGCCTGGTCGTACTCGCCCTCGCGCAGCCTGACGTCGCTCGCCGCGCTCCTTCCTCCCGCGCATCATCATCGCCCTCATGCCCCACCCTCGCCGTACATCCTCCGGAAGTCCTGGCGGTTTCGCAGCCTGTGCGACCGCCGCTGCGTCGTGGGCGAGTCGTAGACGCGTGAGGAAGGGAACGAAAAGGTTGAGGAGCGGGTCATAGAAGTGCTGGGTGGAAGGCCGTGATGACGAGAGGGTTGACGAGTTCGAGTCGCTACTGCGGCCGTCGCGGTCGCCCGGCGCTCTTCGTCGTCCTTCGCTCGCTGCGCCAGTCGGTGCCGCGCCTTCCGCTGGACTCGCCTCCGCGCCTTCCGCTGTCGTTCTCCCCAAGTCCCGCAGCTCAATCGCCGCGCCGCTCGCATCCGTCGCGAGGGTGTCGGTGCGAGCGAAGCGCCTCCGCAGACTGCTAACCGTGCTCCTAGCGCCCGTTCCTTCGCCAGTCTCACCAGCCGCTCGTCGCTGCTGCTGCTCCTTCTTCCGCTGCCGCTTCTCCTCCCTCCGCCGCTGCTTGTCCCGTCTCCGCTCGACGTCCTCCGCCTCCCCAGCCCACATACCCGCGCCAACCCACCACCAGAACCCGACCCAGCTCTGCCAGAGCAGGATGCAGGTAACGACACCCGGCAGCCACCGCATGCGGTCCTCCTTGATTTCGACAAAGTTGACGGCCGTCCCGAGGACGCCCAAGACGAGCGCGACGATGCCGAACGAGGCGGTGCCGCCCTCCGTCCGCCATGCACGAGATCTGTTGAGTGTCAGGCCCCAGATCCACAGCGCGAGAGTGTAGAGCAGGGTGAGGGACGAGTTACAAGTGTTGCGGATTGCGTCGCCAAGGTCGTTCACGGCGGGGTGGACACTCATCGTCGTGTAGACGAGGCCGGCTGTGGCGAGGGCGAGCGGGCCGAGGAGGACGAAGATGAGGCGGACTTCGAGGGCGGAGGGGAAGAGCATGGTGAGGAACTGGATGTGGGTGGCGTGGACGGCGAGTGCGTTCAGACCCTGCAAGAGAAGCCACGCGGCGCGCTCGGCGGTCGACCAGGAGTCTTTCGGAAAGTTGACCTCGACTGCGATTAATTCAAACGTCAGCCTGTAATGACATGTTGAGGAGTGGTGTGACGTACTGTAGTCGAACATGAAGGGTCGCTCTCGGCCAGTCTCGTGCACGTCGTGCATGACGATACGTAGCTGCGCCGCGGTGTTGCACAGCGAGAGGACGGCAGCGGTGGTCTGCGCAAGCCAAGGTCAGCCTCAGTTGCTCGTCAATGGTTCCGTCCGCTTCGACATACCTGGAGAGCGTAGTTTGCCTTGGACAGCGGAGCGTGATATCGGATCGTGAAGAGGAGATGGACAAGAAGCATGGCGAGGAGAGTAAGGGTGACGCCGAGGATGACGACCTGAACGGGCATGGCGTAGGTGAAGGCGGGTAATGCGGCTGTTGCGAATGCGATGACCGTCAGCACAAACGCACAGCGAGAATGCGAGGCAGGCGTCCCGAAATAGGACGAACCGAGAAGGGGGTCTTCAAGCTGGTCTGCAACGTCTGTCGCGTTATCCGCAACGGCCGCCTCAAAGAGACTGCACTCTCAATCAGTCTGTTAGCATTCGTATGCCCAGCGAGCGACATTTGTGGAGGCTCACGCAGCTAGCGATGAGAGTGCGGGAGAAGGAGTCGCCCCCGCCACCCCCGTTACGAGCGCGGACAGTAGCGCATCCTCCGCTGTCACTGTTCCCATGCTTGGTGAAGTCTGTGCTATCGCGTCATGCGGGTGCGGTCGAGGCGAGCTGAAGGCGATGGCTGCGGGGGAGGATTTGGCGGGCGGGAAGGGGCAAAGTCGAGTCCAGGAGAGTGTGGTCGAATCGGAGTGGTCGTGTGAGATGCTTCGGAGCACTAGCAAGTCTTTTTCGGCGCAGCAGGTGCGAGTCGGGTGTGTGGTTGATTGGCAACACTCTCCTTGTCCTCGTCCACCGCACTTGCACCACTTAACCCAGCTCGTTCGCGCGCGCTATAGTCTCAGAGCGCTATCAGAACCTACTGCTAGAGCCCCCAACCCGCCAAACACCCCTCCACCCGCTTGACGACCAGCTTACACCGCCTTCCGCTTCATCAGCGACCGTCAAATCCGCTCGCACACGGCGTACAAGGCGAGTAGTACAGTGTAGGGCTCAGGATGAGCGATCCGACACCGCCTGGCTACTCGACAGCCGGGCAGACGGGCTCAGTCCTCATCAACCTCGCCCCCCCTCCGGACTCGGGCGCGACGTTTCAGGTCGGCTACCTCGGTCACGGGCAGGCTTCTATCGAGGGCGAGGTACAGATCAAGTATGCAGGCGGGGAGGAGGAGCGGCGGCCCGCGTTCAGCCGACTGGAGATCGAGTTTAGGGGTGTCGAGCAAGACGGTCAAGCCGAGGGTATCGAGTTATTCGACTCGAAGAAGGTCATTTGGGGCGTAGGAGCCGCAGGGAGCTCGTCCGAGGGCGACACGGGGTCGTTCCCGCCGAGTTCAATCCCCTTCAAGCTCGACCTCACTCCCGACCTCCCGAAATGCCTTCACGTCGGGACTTCCTCGCTAGAGTACACCCTTACTACGACACTCTACTCCTCCAATCCCGACGTCCTGCCTATCCTCCAATGCTCGCCAGTACATCTTACCCGCCGCTCCCCGCCGGGCTCGTTACTCGCGAGCGGCAGCGCCGCCGCCTTGGTCAACCCTCCCGCCTCGACTTCGCCCGTGACCGTCTCCGCACAAGATCCCCTCGCCTTCTCCCTCCGCCTCCCGCGCACCGTCTTCCGCCAAAGCGAACCCATCGAGCTTGTCACTCGCATCGAGGTGCCCGACTCGAAGCGCGTTGGCGCTGGCTTGCGCTTACGCACCGTCAGTGCCGAGCTCGTCCGGACCATCACGGTCTCGCCGGCGACACGTACGAGTCGAGCGCTGGAGGAGGATGAGGGAGGAAATGTTGAAGACGAGGCGGGGAAAGTCGTCCATCGCACCGTACTTGCACACTCGGGCAAATCGGCGCGCTTCTCGCCTTCGCGACCGATCGTCATTCGCCTCGTCCTACATCCGCCCGCCGAGCCAAGCTGCGAGACGATTACGCAGGTATGCGGTCCTGACCTCCCTCACGGGCACGCGAGCTGAGTCTTGCGCTCCCAGGCGACCATCCTACATTCTGTCGACTTCAGCGTCGTCGTAACCGTCGGTTTGGTCAACATCTCGACAGCATCCAGCTCGAGCGGGACCTCCGCGAGCACTTCTTCCGCTCAACCGGCGACAATCGACGCCGTCCTCTCGCGCAACATCCTCATCGTGCCCGACACGCCATCAGGTCGATCCGACAAGCAGAAGGAGGTCATTCGGGATCTCGCAGAAGACGCGACCGAGTCCAGCGAGTCGTGGAGGCAGGTGGAGGCGCCTGTGCCGACCTACGTCGAGAATTCGGAGCTGGACGACGGCGTACCTGCTGCTTCGGGCTCGCGGTGGCCAGGCGAGAGCGTAAGAGAAGACAATACTAGGCAAGTGCCGCTCGCGTACATCGAGACGGGCGACGAGGAGGAGTATGACGGCTACGAGGACGTCTCGCTCGCTGCGACTCTCTCGGACCGACCGCCTCCGCCTCGCATCGACGACGACGTCAGTCCGCCGTCAGTCGGCGAACCATCAAGCTCGCTTGGCTTGCAGATCGCCGCTGCGGCTGGCGACGTGATCAACGAAGCAGACGAAGGCGACCCGCTCACACCCCCTCCGAACGACTTTGCCGCCTACCCACTCCCTCCACCTCCGCACTCGCACGCCCCCTCAACTCGCCACTCAAGCATCTCCTCCCCTCCCCCGCTCTTTCAATCGCACGCCTCGCCCGCCTTGCTCGAACCCGCCACCCCTCCTCCACACATCGACTTCCCCCCTCTGCCCTCCCTCGCAACAGACGACTTCACTTCGACCCCTTACGACCCTCCGCCTTCTGAGCCTGCGTCACCGGCATCGGGAGATCCTCCGCCGTTGTCGCCCTTCTCGCAGGGATTGCAGGGACTGCCGCCGCCTTACTTTGGAAGTCCTGCGCGGACGCCGGATGCAGTGCAGGGAGAGGTGTCGTACGAGGCGATGGAGCGTGGAGGAGGAGGAGGCAGTCTGTCGGGTGGGAGCGAAGCGTCGGTCCGAGATCGGTCTGTCAGCGCTGAGGAGGAGGCGGCTGGAAGGGCGGACGAGGATCAAGGTCGGCCGCCGCCTTACGAGCAGCGGCAGGAAGGCGGATACGAGGAGGGTGTGCAGATGTTGAGGTATGGCGTCAACAGGCGAGGCGAGGTGGTGCTGTAGATTCGAGGAATCTGTTCGCAACCAGTTGCAGCCACTTGTCGCTTCCTCTTAATGTCCTGATGTGGGGTGTTCTTCAAGCATCCCAGGCAGCTCTACGCTTCCCCAACAATCTACACCCCCCGTCTACGCCTCGAACCTCTTCTCAATCTCGACCAACGCGTCCACCGTCTCCTCGAGCGTCTCCTTCCACCCCCTGAACCCTTCGAACCCAAGCACCTCCTTCGCAGGCGTGCAGTCCAATCGCGCGAGTGGCTTGCCGGCGTCTTTGTATTGCGAGGGAGAGGCTGGGAGGGTGGGCAGGCGCGGGGCGAGAGAGGGACGGACGGAGGCGAGGTGGGCGGTTGCCTGCACGAGCAACATGCGTCAGGAATAGAGAGCGCGCAAAGGAAAGGAACGGGACGCGCCTCCTCCCAAGTGAACGATCCGCCGCAAATCAGGAACCTCTGACCCTTGACCTTCTCCGCCTCGACTTCGACTGCCCTCACATGCGCCAGCGCCACATCCACCACATGCGCGAAAAGCGGCAAGCGGTTCCAGGGCACTTCGCGTCCCGGTTCTCCATGAATCAAGGCGTAGATCGCGCCTGAACTCGTGTTGATCTCCGAGCGACTCGCGACGCGCTGCAGAGGCGGTCCATAGATCATCGGCGGATTGATAGTGCAGAGTACGAGGTCGTTTTTCGATGCATAGTCGTGTGCGGCCCGGTCGGCGAGCGTCTTCGAGGCGGAGTAAACGACCGGTCCGGGCACGTTCGGGACGAGGCAGTCTTCGACGGTGAGGGGGTTCCAGTCGGAGCCGGTGTAGGTGTAGTTGCGCCACTGTGCGCACAGAGACGGTGAGCGGGCTTTGAGGGAGAGCGAGAGGAGGCAATTCTTACGGGTCCGCCTTCCTTGAAGTTTGTCACCGCGGCGAAGGACGAGGTAACGACTACGCGCTTGACGCCAGCGTTCTGCACACTCGAGCCATCAGTGAACGGCCCAATGCCGACTCAAACTGACGGGTGCGGACCTTTGCAGCCTCGAGAACCCCGATAGTCCCCTTGACGGCCGGGTCGATAAAGTCCTTGATCGGGTCGGTGTACGTGAGCGCATCTGCGAGCATGGCGTTTGTCAGCGGAGCATGCAGAGAAGGGCAGGACGAAAGCGAACGCACAAGGACTGGCCGTGTGCGCGATCGCATCCACGCCCTGGACCGCCTCCTCCAATCCCTCGCCGGTGACGAGGTCCTTGACTTCGACGAGCTCGATCTTGTCCGCATGTTCGGGATAGCGCTCAAAGAGGTGCTGCGCCTTTGCCTTTGAGCGAACGGTCCCGCGGACATTCCAGCCGGCTTTGAGGAACTCGGCGATGACCTGCGGGTAAATTCTCAGTCCTGGAGGACTGTGCAGTGCTCTGTGAAGGAACGCACGTAGCTGGCGAGGAAGCCAGAGGCGCCTGTTCGGACAAAGTTGCATTATCAGTCCGCGAGTTGAGCGAGGAGGAGCGCGGCGACGGCGGCAGGCGAGAGGGTGCGCACCTGTGACGAGGATGGTCTTTGCCATGATGCGTGCGAGTGTCCTGTGCAGTCAGCGAGCGCCACGAAGCGAGATGCGAGCGGGTGAGCCGGAGTCGTCCCCACCTCCGCCCACCCGTCGTCTCGCTCCGCCGCCTCCCCTCGAGTGAGCGTGGGCTGGGCGAGATGAGAAAGTCCAACGACGAGATGAACGAGCCGAGTGAGGCAAAGATGTCGTCCGAGGGAGACCAGCCCGCAGCCAAGCGCCCTCGCCTCGACACCACCGCCGACTCGCCCTCGCTCGTCGAGCACGCGTTCGCCTCGAGCGCGAGCGGGCTGTTCAGAGTGTTGGCAGACTCGCTCGGGAAGCGCGCAGCGACAGAGGACGAGGTCGGGATCACGCAGTATGTCAGCCCAGAGGTAGACTCGTTCTCGGGCATCATCAAACACAGGTGCGCACCCATCCTCGAGCTGGCAAAGGCGAGGGAAAGCAAGCTCATTCGGACGCGGTTGTACGCCCCGCAGGTTCACCGACTTTCTCGTCTACGAGGTCGGACTCGATGGAGAGGTCGTGCGGCTCAAGGACATTGACGGGCCGATGGGCAAGAAGGGAAAGGGAAAGCGGGACGAGGAGGACAAGGGTCAGATCAGCGCAAAGGCGGCCGCTTCGGGCTCGCAGAGTGCCGCTGCAGGATCCACCGTGTCGGGAATGAGCGTCGAATCGGTCGGAGACGACGTCGACGGGAAAAAGAGCGGATCCGCCGCGAAGGACGAGGTGCGTTTCGCTTACTACCTCGTCCCGCGCTGTCTTTTCTGGCTGACTTGACGTCGTGGTACCCGCAGACGACGCCTCTCTGGACCGCCGACACCGAGACGCGGCTCTCGCCGCTCTTCACCTCCTCGCCCGCGAAACTCGCAGAACTGAAGAGCTTCATCGAAGCCGGTCCTCCCTCAGGCAAGAAAGACTCGAAGCGTACATTCGTGACCGACGTGCGTTCCTTCCTTGTCCTCTCTAGCTCACTCACTCATCAGTCTTTCGTTGCAGCCCATCCCGGACAAATCCCTCCGCGGCAGATTCCACCAATCCATCCGCGAAGCGTTCTGCTCAAAGCTCGTTTCGGCGCACAAGGAGAACGAGGGTGGCGAGCCGTCGATCGAGGTCTCTTGGGCGACTGGGGGTGCGCAGGGGAGGGGAGGAAGGGGAGGGGCAAGGGACCGTGAGGGTGGTCAGCGAGGTGCGCGCCCTTCCCTTGACGCACTGATAGGGTCTGGAAGCAGACGTCGAGACTGAGTCGCTGACGGCCGTGCGCTCGCAGGCGAACGACCCGACTTCTCCGCCCTCCCTCCCTTCATCCACTTTACCCTCCTGAAGACCAACAAGGAATCGCACGACGCCATGACCACCCTCATGCGGTACTTTAACCTCTCTTCTTCGCGCGACCTCGGTGTCGCCGGTACGAAGGACAAGCGCGCCATCACCGTCCAGCGGGTCAGTCTGAAGCGCGGGAGGACAGTGACGGTGGAGGATGTTTGGAGGGCGGTGAAGAATGGTGGGATGGGCGGAGGGGGAAGGGGTGGACGAGGGGGGAGGGGCGGGAGGGGAGGGAGGCAGGGAGGAGGGAGGGGATTCGTCGATTATGCAATCAGGATTGGGGATGTCGAGTACGCGGATGAGGCGCTCGAGCTCGGCAAGCTCAAGGGCAACAAGTTCGTTGTCACGCTGAGGTGCGTTTGATCCCTTCTCGCTGGCTTTGCGCCTGATTGCGAAGGTCGAGCTAACTCGTCTTGTCTCGCAGGGACGTCAAGACCCCCTCCATCGCGACGATCCACTCATCCGTCGACTCGATCCGCTCTCACGGTTTCATCAACTACTACGGCATGCAACGCTTCGGCACCGCGCCTATCCCAACACACGCAGTCGGCCTCGCGCTCTTGCGAGGCGAGTGGGCGCTCGCGGCGGAGATGGTCCTCATGGAGCGCGAGGGAGAGAGGCAGGATACGGTGCTTGCGAGGCGGCTGTTCAAGGAGGGAAAGGTCGCGGAGGCAGCGAGGGCGATGCCGAGGAGGGCGGTCGCCGAGAGGGCAGGTGAGTACTCGCTTGCGGAGAAGGAACAACGGACGAGGCTGACGGAGTATTTGCAGTCCTCGAGTTCTACAACCGCCACGGCACGTCGAACCACCTCGGCGCCATCTCCTCGGTCCGTCCGCGCCTCTCCCGCCCTTCTCGCTCAAAACTGACCTTTCACCGTTTGCAGATCCCGAAGAATCTGCGGATGATGTACGTCCACGCGTGGCAGTCGTACATCTGGAACCGCGTCTTGAGCGAGCGGGTCAAGCTGTTCGGCGCCAAGAAGCCGGTTGAGGGCGACCTAGTCTACGCCGATGAAGGAGGAGACGACGATGTTGTCGTTGCGGAGGACGAGGAGGCGGTCGTGGCGGAGGACACGGCGGCAGACGAACCGGCTGCGGCGGAGGAGACCGGACCCGCCTCGACGCCTGCGAATCCTCAACTCGCCCATTGGATCGCCACCTCGAAAGTCCGCAAGGTCCGCGCCCTCACCGCCACCGATATCGCCTCGGGCAAGTATAGCATCTACGACGTCGTCCTCCCCATGCCCGGATTCGCGGTCGTCTACCCCGCTGGCGAGCTCGGCGAGGTCTACAAGCGTGTGATTCGCGAGGACGGGATCGACCCGGATGACATGTGGCGCAAGCAGAAGGAGTACTCGCTCGTGCGTCTCGCTCCTCTCTCGTAGAAGTCCGTACGGCGTGCTGACTGACTTTGTGAACAGGGCGGAACCTACCGCAAGATCGTCCACCTCCCGCAAGACGTTTCGTACCGCCTGCTCATCTCGACCTCGCCGAACGAAGACCTCGCACAGAGCGACGAGGACCGCATCCTCGGCAAGCCTGCGCCGAAAGCGAGGGAGTACAAGGAGGGCGACGGGCCGCTCAAGGAAGGAGAGAGCTTGGCGCTGCAGATCGAGCTAACGCTCGGGTCGTCTACCTGTGCGTGCGATAGCTCTGGCGTTTTGCTCCAATCGCGATGTTGACGGCTTGCGAACAGACGCGACCATGGCGCTGCGAGAAGTCCTCAAGTCGCGGACGAGCGCAGCGAACCAGAAGTCGCTTACGCAGGAGATGGAGGCGCGCTTGCAGAACGACGCGGAGAAGAGGCTCGATGGCGCGCAGTAGTGCTTGGTGCGGAATAGATACTACAGAGACATGATAGATGAATCGGTACAAGACGAGCTAGAACGTCGTTCGAGGGAGCGCGTCTGCGACAAAGGGAGACTCCTCCTGAGAGCCGAAGAGGGATACGAGGTCCGCTTCCATGCCCTCGAGGATGTAGCTGCGAGTACGAGAGACGTCAGGCGCCGAGCGAACAGGGGAGAGAGGGAGGGGCGCACGCGATGGAACTGTACGAGGTCATGAAATGCCAGTATCGCAGGAAGACCTCCGAGCGCAGGATCTGCTGGCCAACTTCCGTCTTGGTGAGCCGCCTTGACAGGACCAGGGCGTCGTGTTGGATGTTTGACGATGTGAGCGTCATGCGGGGCAGATCAGGCGGGAGAGGCGCCTTGGTTGACAGGCTCGTCGCGACGAAGTAGAAGAGAGCCCTCGAGATGCGCTTGCCCTGTCGCCGGTACGGGACGAGGACGTCGGAGAAGTTTCTGCGGGCGTTCCTTACGGTCAGCGCGACGCTTTTGCTGCGTCGAGGAGGATGAACGGACCTTCGGATCTCGGGAGAGAAGCCATCCGCACCTATCGCCGAACGCGCCTCGCGCAGCCGGTCCAGGACGAGTTGGTGACTGCGAATGAGGCGGCTGATCTCGGGAGCACGGAATGGAGCGCCAAACGTCGGTTCGACCGAGGCGAACCTGTCGGCATGTGCGCGTGAGCATCGAGGGACCGCCAGCGAGAGTTGGCGCACTCACTTCATGAGCGGCATAAGCGCAAGCAGCTGGCCTTGCGTGTCGATCTCGCGCTGGACGAGCTCGTTCCGAACAACCTGGACGGCATCCCAATCGGGCGGAGGCGAGTCTGTCGAGTCCGCTTGCATGGGCATGACCGCCTCCGTCAGGTATGAGAAGAGAGCCGAGTGGGCGTTGAGAGACCAGGAGACGTGGGCAAGCTTCTGTCGCAGGTTTTGCCGGGCAGGCTGGCGGAGAATGAAGATCTGCGCGAGGCCGAGTGTCAACGGACTTGCGGTGAGCCGCAGGAACGTCGCAAAAGCGTACTTGGACTATGGGAGGCGATCATCGTCAGTCAGCGCTCATCCTCGCAGTCCTGAGCGAGCATTGAGACGCACAGATAGCAGCAATCGCAAGCGCAATGCACATTGCGACAAGCTGCTTAGAAGCCCTGTACGCCGGCGAGTCGAAGCCAGGCCGAATCTGCCCAGGCACCTCGTTGTACGTCCACCTGCACGGCCAGAAAGGTCAGCGAGCTGTCTTAGAGAGCCAGAGAGCCGACGCACTCGGTGACGATGAGCGTGCCGGCGCTATTCATGGCGAGTAAAGCGCCAGCAAAGAACATGGGCTTGACGTAAATGATAGCGCTAAGAGGCAACCCGAAGATGAAGCACAGTGCGGCGAGACCGTACGGGTTGAACTTGTAACCGCCGACGTCGAGGAAGATTCGCAGCATAAGAAGGCCGATCAGACTGCCCATGCCCGTACCGAGGATCTGGAGGAAGAAGGTGACGAGGGATTGGCCGAGCGTAGGCGAGACGGCGACGACTGCGAAGGGTCAGACGGGTGAGCGAGCTTCAAAGGCGAGACGACGTGAGCAGCTTGACGGACCAATCGTGATGATTCCTCCGGTCAAGCCATAGTTGATGAAGAACGTCTGTGGAAGTTTTCCGTCAGCCTCCTGTCGCTGGAGTGAAGGCGGGGACGCACATGTAGCGAAGGAGCGAGGAGGAAGACGGCAAAGACGGCAACGGCTGCGGCAGTCTTGAAGGCGTAGATGGAGTCGGGCGACCTGAGCATACGTTCGAGCTCGGCAACGCGCGTCCAGAAGTTCTTCTTGATTGGGACAAAATCGCGGCCGCTAAGACGGGCGAGCGCCTCGCGCAAGGACATCTTGGGAATTTTGTCTGCTCGCGAAGCTTTCGTGCGCCGACGTTCAAAGATGTGAGCCCGGAGCTTCTTCCGTCGAGGCGGCGAGTCGGGCTTGGGGACGATGTGGTCGTAGCTGGAAATGCAGAGTGTCAACAACAACATCGTATTGAAGCGTTTTGCGGAACTTACAGAGAGGCGAGCTCGTCAATGACGCTACCCATGCCGGCGAGGAACGCGAAAGTCCGCATGACGGCTGATCCGCAGATCTGGTCGGACGTAACGGCAGCAGGCATAGCGGGAGAAGCGTCCTTCTCGTCGTCGCTCGACGCGCCCGAAGCAGCGTCGGTTCCCTTCGTCGTGGTGCGCTTACTGAGTGCAGGCGTATCGCTTCCAACAGCCGTCGACGATGCAGCTTGACGACTGCGATGGCGTGAAGGCGCGTCGGTGTATTGCTCGAAGACTGAAGGACCGGGACGATGGAGGTGCAACTCGTCGTCCTCAGGCGCTCCGTCCTCGAGGATCTTCTGGATGCTGGAAAGCTGAGACGCTTTAAACGATGCCCACTGTGTGTAGGAAGGTCAGCTTGGGGACCCCAGCACAATGCGACGACGTACGCATTTGCGCAAGGTTGCAGCCTTGTCCAGCTTGCGCTTTTGCCCCTCGCCCGCGGCAGTCAAGGCTGCAGCAGCCTGAGCAGCGAAGCCTGGGTCGACAATCGAGTCCGCCAGACCGCTCATGCTGGGCCTCCTACTCATCGCCGGTGTCGAGCCCGCAACCTCGCTTCTCAGTCTTTCCCGCATTGCCGCCATCCGTTCCTGCATCTCGTCTCGCCGCGCAACCGAGAACGCCCGTTGTCGTCCACTCTCCGAGCGTCCCGCTTCGACGTCGCCAGCGTCGTAGTCGATGTCGCGGAACTCGTCCCACGACCGCTCACCTGGCGCGGGAGAGTGATAGGTCACCTTGCCGACAGCGAGTTCAGCGACAATGTCGGAGAAGCTCAGGTCGGCGCCGCGACGAAGCTTGCTGAACCACTTGTCGGCGCCGCTCGACGTCAGCTCTTCTTTGACGAGCTCGAGCGCACGCGGATGGAAGCGCTCCATCGAGACGAGCGAGCTGTATCCTGCGATCAGGCCGAGCTGCATCTGACGGAGCTTGCCGACCATGAGGTGGTAGTCGGTCATCGACCACCGCGAGTAGTTGATTTCGAGGCTGGTGTGGGCGAGCTTCTGGTTGAGAACGCCCATGTCGGCCCTAATCGACTGCGAGAGGTCATCGCGGACGGCTCGCTCGTCATCGGTGATGTCGAGGCTGTACGTCTGCAAGGCAAAGCATCAGTTGTTCGTCCTCGGCATAGCTGTATCGTACGAATGCAAAGCACCTTCGCCAGCAAATGCGAGAAAGTCGAGATGTGCTCGAGCGAGATGACGAGAATTTCGCGCAACTCCTTCTCCGACGAGTGCGGAAGGACGACCAGGTTGACGACGAGGACGATAGCAAATCCCCAGCAATCTGCGGGACAGTCGTGAGCATCCCATCGAGTGGAGGTGAGCGGGAGACTCACAGGATTCGAGGTAAGCCTCTAGGTAAGCCGGGACGAAATTTCCGCGAGAAAGGATGCTGGCATAAATGCCGCTGAAGGCGAGGATTATGAAAAGAAGGGAGGCGCCGAAGTAGCGGATCGATTGAGCCTTGACGAGCGCGGCGAGGTAGACGAACACGGCGAAGACGAATCCCTGCGCGACTTGCGAGTGACCCAGTTTGGCGAGGATGGCGAAGGCGGCTCCGCCCAATCCCACTCCTAGCGCTGCAAAGAACGCCTGATCCCAACATGCGCCGACACTGAGACCAGGCTGGCCGGCGATAGTGATAAGAACGGCGCCTGAAAGCGTGACGGGGTAGGGATTGAGTCGAGAGAAAGGGTGCAAGAAGATGAGGATAAATGCGAGCGTGTACGCGATCGCTCCTGATCATATAAAGCGACAATCAGCTCTGCAGGACGGCGAAACGATCGTCGAGAAGAGCGTCTTGCACAGGCGACCGCCCGCCCCTCGCAGGAGTTCCGACCGAGCGTGTGACGCACCTTTGAAGGCAGCAATGCCCTGCCTGGTCGAGATGCGCGGCAGCAAGCCCATGCTGATGTGTCGAACCCGGGAACTGATGAAGTTGGGCGAGGCGGGAAGGTCGACGACAACGCTCGCTGGCGCGCTGCGAGTTGCTCACAGCGCTCACGCCGAGCTTATCGAGGCCTGATGGTACGCTCAAGCAAGTCCAGCGATGTTGCAAGGCAAGCGAGGGAAGGCGCAGCGGTCGAACCCTCGGAAGCTCCGCCTGGCAGGACCGCTCCCGAACAGGGGACGACGCTATGCAGAGCCGATGTCGAGAACAAGAGTTGCAAGATGCGATGCGTGTCCAGAGGAACAAGAAAAGGATAATCGGGAAAGAGAGAAGAGGCGAGAGAATTCGCTAGAGGGCGGCGGGATTGACAGGAGGAGAGGCTGGATCGGGCGGCACGGCAGCGGGAGCAGGCGAGGCGTCGTTCGCTGTTGCTGCTGGGGCTGGTGTCGAAGTTGTCGTGGCGGGAGGCGCACCCTGCGCGGCCTTGGAAGCCCGTTCGCGCGCCTGCTTCCGCACCTTGAGGACGCCCTTCCTCTTCCTGACCGCCTTGAGGAGCAACGGCTCCTCGCCATAGAACAGCTCGTACTCGCAGAAAAGGCAGAGCCACTCGTCGGGTCCGCAGAAGTGGCCGCCGCCGCATGTGCCGGCGTACGGGCCCGCGGACGCCAATGCTTCGTCCGAAGCCGGCCATGAGAGCATATGCGCCGACGTCGAGCCGTCGTGCGTCTGCTGCGGCGTCGAAGGCAGGCGCGAGGGGACGTAGTTGTCGCGGTGGTGGACGTTCAGGGCGTTGGCGTGCGCCGAGCGTTTCTTCTTGCCCTTCTTCTTCGTCGCGGTGCGGACGGGTGGCGCTGGCGGCGCAGGCGGGAGAGGCACGGCTGGCGGGGGAGCTGGCGCGGCAGGCTGCTCGGCGGGAGGAGCTGCTGCAGAGGCGGGAACGGGAGGCTGAGCCGGACGAGCAGGCACGGTCGTGTTGCGCTTCGGCGTGGCATGCGGTGTCGGCGGTACGGCGGGCGGAGGAGCAGGCGCCGATTTCGGTGCAGGATTGGCAGCCGCAGCAGCTGCATCAGCGCGCTCCTTCTCCTCCTTCTCCTTGCGCCGCCTTTCCTCCTCATCGCGAGCCTTGGCTGCCCGCTCCTTCGCCGCCCGCAATCGCTCCTTCTGGTCGTTGAGAGCGGTCCAGCGCGACTCGATGACCTCGGGAGGGTACTCGACGAAAGTGAAGAGGTCGAGTTGTGGCGGAGTTGAGGGGATCGGCGGAGCGGACGCGTCGACATCCTCGCCCTCGTCGGACGAGCCCGGTGGAGTAGGATAAGCATCGGTGTCTACCTTGCCTGGCTTGCCCTCCTTCTTGCGCCGGTCGAGATCCGCTTTGATGGCGCGTGTAACAACGCTCGGCGGCGGATTAGCCTTGCCCTCGGGATCCAGCAAGTCCGGCACCCTGACATGCGCAAAAAGCTGGCGGATCCGCTCCTTCTCCTTCTCGCGCTCCTTCTCGGCCTTCATCGCGAGCTTGATAGCCTTGCTGCCCTTCATGCCGGGCATGGGGCGCGGCCCTTCACGAGGCATCGCCGGCGGGACGAACGAAGGAGCGGCAGGAAGAGGCAGAGGTGGCTGCTTGGCCGCGGAGGTGCGCATGCGTTTGCGGCGATGGCGACGGCTGGAGGAGACAGAGTCGGAGAGGGAAATGTGTGGAGGGCGAATGCGTAGCTTGGCGAGCGCCGCCTCGACAGTCGTAGGAGGGTTGGCCGGAGCGAGAGGACCTGGAGCTCGACAAAGTCAGCGCCGTGCTCATGCTCGCGCCTAGAAGGGCGTGCTACAGGACGACAGTCACCTCTTGATGATCTGAAGGGCGCGGGCGTGCCTGGAACCGGGATTGAGACTTCTTGCGTCGACTCGACCGGGGGCGCGTAGCCGTCCGAAGCATCGTCCACGTCGTTGTTCTGCGCCGCAAGCATTCCAGGAATCTTCCGCTTCTTCTTGTTGCTGCCGCCCGTCACGAGAGCTGCTGCGCCGGCCTGACTGACTGGAGACGGTTCGACCGGGGGGCGCGAGCGGTCGACGATGCCGTACGTGTCCTCGTCGCCGTCCTCGTCTTCCTCGTAGTGACGCTCCGCCACCGCTGGTGCGAGGGCGGGATGCAGCGTCGCCAATCCGAGACCACCGAAGAGGCCGGCCGAAGAGAAGGAGGATGCGGTCGCAAGCGAGTCGACGATGCGCTTGCCCTCGTCGCCGAAGAGGACGCCCGTCTGTGCGTACACCGGGAGCTGCACCGACAATGCGGACGATGTCGTCGAGGCAGGCGATCCAGGCGACGACTCGTACTCGCTTGCGTCGTCCCTGCCTGAGCGATTCGGGTCACGCGGTACTACCAACGGCTCGTCCTGGCGAGGCCAGCGGTCGTACGGTGCAATGATGACCTCTCCGTCGTCGTAGCCATCTCCTTCCACGCTCCCCGCGTCGCACGCCGCTGCCTCCTTCAGCGGCATCGGCGCCCGTGCGCCCTCACCCTCGCTCTCGCTGCCGGATCCAGCCGAATAGTCACCATTGATCGCCACTGCGTCTCCGTCGGCGTGCGCTCCGTGCTGGACTGCGGCTCGAAGTCGTTTGTGAGGGAGTGGCCTGATCGCTCGTTTCGCTGGCGGCGAGACCTGCTCCGGCTCGTCCCAATCGTGCCGCTCGCACCCGCATTGGCACTCGTAGTCCATCGATGCGCTGCCCTGAACCCCGCTCGTCGCGCTGCAAGCGGTCGTGGCGGATGTAGCGACCGGTCGAGGGGGATTGCCGAGAGAAGACGGGTCGAGGGCGAGGCGGGAGCGTTTGTGCGCTTGTCAAATAGCTCTGAGTACGCTGTCAGAGAATAGCTAGTGTCGCAAAGTTGTGCGTCGAGCAGGGAGCAGATGTGGACGAAAGAAGCACCCCTTGTCCTCGACTTGGCCTCGTCAAGGAGCAACGAGCGGAACCGCTTCCTTCAGCTCTTTCGTGGCGCAGAGCAGCGCTGTAAAGCCAGATAGAGACGAGAAAGCGTACAAGTGCCTGCGGAAGCAAGGACAACAGTTTGTGATGCAGGAAATCGGAAAGGACGAGAAACGACAACAACGAAGGGAAAGATGCTACACGGGCACGACAAGGACGAACAGAGACGAAGCGGATTAGAGGTGGCCGGACGCGCGGTCCTTTGCGCGCTTCTTGGCTGCCTCGTCGCGCTTCTTGAAGAGGTTGTGCCGGTTCGACTTGGCCTCCTTCGACAGCTGCTTGTTTGCCGACTTTTGTCGCTCGCTGTAAGCCATGCTCTGACCACTATGTGCGAAAGAACTATCAGCTGAAGCACGAGGAAGGAGAACCGGAGGACGCGCCCGCTGAGAGCCTGCAGACTGCCGGCGATCCTCGTCGCCTGCGGTGCACCATCCCGCCGTCCAGGCGCAGGGCTGTTGTAGCCACTCGCCGCTCCGCTCGGCGCCTTCGAGACCTCGTCACCGCCGACGTCGGCATCCGTCTCGCTCGCGAGGAGAACGGACTGGAGAAGCTCAATCTGCTCCGCCTTGGTCGGGTAGACGAGGTTGTCGAGCTGATCGAGGCCGTCGAGAGAGGTAATGACGCGGAAGGCGTATCCTTGGCTTTTATGGAGAAAGCGTCAGCGAGAGGCAGCGGGAGAAGGAGCGGCTTGACCTACTCGACGAGGAAGCCCTGGCGCTTCGACGAGTAGTACATCTCCTGTGTGCTGTGAAGAGCTCTGTAGATTGGCACACTGCAAAGTCGCGAGACGGAAGAGAAGGACGCACTCCTTCGAGACGAGCGAGTAGAAGAAGGCGTTGAATCCCTCGTCGTTCCTCCTCTTCGCACGCAAGATCCGGCCAAGCCGCTGCGCCTCCTGCCTGCGTGAGCCAAAGTGACTTGAGATCTGGATTAAGCACGTCGCCTCGGGCAGGTCGATCGAGGTGTCGCCGACTTTCGAGAGGAAGATGGTGTTGACGATTGGGTTGTGCTGGAAGTTCTGCAGGATGCGCATGCGCTCGACTTGAGGGGTCCCGCCGTGGATGTAGAGCTTGCCGAGCTTCTTGGCGTAGGCCTGAGGCAAGACTGGGTGAGCGGCAAGACGATCTCGAAGAAGGCGAATCAGTACGCACCTCGAGCGCGTAGACGTTGTCCGAGAAGACGATGATCTTGTCGCCGCGGTTCTCGTGGTACTGGATGAGGAACTGGCACGCCTGGAACTTCCGCGGGTTCATGCAGTAGAGGAGCATCTTCTTGCGCGACGACTCGCGCAGGTACTCGCGGTAGAACTCGGGCGTCATGTCGCACCACACCTCGGCGCACTGGACCTTGGCGATGTGACCGTTCTCGGCGAGGTCCATCCAGTTCGCCTCGTACAGCTTCGGGCCGATGAGGAAGTTCAGGTCGTCGATCTTGTCGTCTTCGCGGACGAGCGTCGCCGTCAAGCCGAGCTTGGTGTGCGCCTTGATCTTCGTGACGACGCGACGGAACATGGCGGCGGGGACGACGTGAACCTCGTCGAGCAGGATGAAACCCCACTCGCGCGAGGTGAGGAAGTCCATCATCTTCTGCGAGTCGTGCGAGCGCTTCTGCCGGTTTGCGACCATTGAGTAGGTCGAGACGACGATTCCCGCTTCGCCCGTGAACTGAGCGAGACAGAAAGGTCAGCGCTAACATCGAAGGGAAGGAGAGTTGCAGCGACGCACCTTCTCCTTCTGATCCGCCGTGAAGACTGAGATGGCCGACTCCTTGATCGTCGACCACTGCAGGAACTGCTGCCGCCACTGCATGACCGAGACGGACGAGGTGCAGAGGACGATGCACGACTTGCGAATCGTCGTCGCAGCCGTGATTCCGACAAGGGTCTTGCCGGCGCCGCACGGCAAGACGATGATGCCCGAGCGAGCGCGACTATAGCGACGACTCAGTCAGCATGCGCAGAGACGAGCGAAAGAACCCGGACGCACCCGTTACCGAACATCTTGCCCAGACTCTTCTCCTGATATGGCCGCAACGCCGCAGATGGCTTCAAGTCAATTTCGAGTGTCGGGTTGATCTCGTCGTGCCGGAAATCGTACTCTTCCATCATGCGGTAGTCGAGGTCGAGGCATCGACGCTTGACCGCCTCGATCTCCGACTCGCGCACCTCAAATGAATGCACCTCGTCGTCGTCGTCCATGTCGTCTTCCTTCTCGAGTCCAACGACAGCGGTGAAGAGGTCCTCCTCCTCCTGCGTTCGCTGAGGCTTGTCCTTGCCAGCTTCGCCGTTCGCGCCCGCCTGACCGTTTTGCGGACCGGCTTTCGACGTGCCGGGAATGACGAGTCCGGCCTTGGTCGGTGCCTTGGCCGTCTCGAGTCCAAACGTCGCAGTCGGCGCCGCGCCGTCCTTGTCCGCCTGCTGCTGCTCCTCGGGCGGCACTCGCGCCTTTGCGATAACCTCGTCTCGCAAGAGGATTCGCAACGTCTCCGGGTCGGACGACTCGACGTAGTGACGGTTCTTCTTGAGGACCATCTTGACCTTGCCGTACGAATGGGTGCACTCGCGGATGAACTCGCACAGCTCGTCCGGGACGGGCACCTTCGACATGCGGTTCAACACCTCGATGATATTCTCTGTCTCGAGACCGACCGAGACGGCTGCGTAGAGCGAGTGCGGCGTGAGCTTATATTCGTGGATGTACTTGGGTCGGGATACGGGTTCGGCGATGGCGACGAGGAAGTCGGTCGCGTACTTGGCGAGAGGGTGGAAGTTCTCGAGGATGATGTGGCCGGTGGAAGGGACAATGTAGAACGGACGAGAGGCTTGATCGGGGCGGAGGGGGAGGTAGCCGTAGTCGCGGTCCTGGCGGAAGTTGCTACTGACGAGCGCACCGGCCGCGTCGGACGCTGCAACACCGGGCGTCTTGAGCGTCGGCATCGTCGCCGACGTGCTCGCGCTCTCCGCTGCTCCGCCACCACCAAACTTGAACTTGATCTTGGTACCTCCGCTCGACGCATCGCCAGGCGCTGGTACGGGCGTTCCTCCCGCTCGTGCCTTCCCTTTCCCTTTCCCCTTCCCAGCCGGCTTTGGCTTGGCCTTCGCCTTGCCCTTTCCCTTTGCAGCCGAGCCAGCACCTCTCCGCTCTGGCACGAAGTCGTCCTCCTCTTCCTGCCCCTCGTCCTCGACCTCGTCCACGTCCGCATCGTCGATATCGTAGTCGCTCTCGTACTCGGCCGCCTTCTCCTGCCGCGTGACCTTGTAGCTCCTGTCGGGGTTCTTGCCCTCGTCAGACTCTTCAGAGTCGGAGGAACCGAGTTCGACGGTCGCAGAGGTCGAGGCGGCGGCGGCGGCTGCTGCTGCTCGTCGAGCTCGCTTGGGCGCGGGACCGGAGGCGGTAGAGTCAGAGTCGCCTGTGTGGCCGATCGAGAGCGTCAGCTGAGTCCGCAAGAGGCGCTTCAAGCAGATTGTCCCCTCCGCCTGGGTGAAGTCAGCGAGAGAGGTGGCGCCGACCTCGTCGCCCTCCAGCTTGGCGAGGCTGGAACCGTGCCAGGTGCATCAAAGATACAGCTCATCCCTGACGAGACGCGCTCCACCCTCCCACTCGCCGTTGCGCCCGCTGGAGAACCCCTCGGACCCTAAGAAGCGATGAGGAAGCCCGACTGACTGTAGCCCGCGTCCTGGGCGCGCTTCGAGTTCATGGCGGGCTTGTCGAGGAGCGTAGAGACAGGAGAGCAACTCAGCGAGTCCTCCCGAGCAGCAGAGCGCGGTGAGGGTGACAAGTCCTGGCGAGAGGGGTGTTGACGCAGGTTGGCATCAAGTCGTGCGCTCGAGATGGCGTCTATCGCGCAGCTGATAGGGTGGGACAGCCGGACACACTCTGCACAGGTGCCTAGAGCTTTCAGCGGCGCATCTAATGCTCATGGACGACTCGCTGACCCTCCTCCCCACTCGGCGACAGCACGCTCTCGCTCACCTCGACACGCTCGACCCAGACAGTCAGTGCGACTCGTAGAATTGCTTGCCGACAGCAGGCTGACGATTGAACCCGCAGACTACCCGGCTTATGCGGCGGACGCGCGGGGCTTGAGCGACATCCGGACAGCCTACGCAGACGAGCTCGCTCGCACGGAGGAGCACGAGAAGGAGCAGGACAGGGCGTGTGCGTGATAGTGGCACTTGCTTACGCGCGGATTTGGCGAGCTAACCTTGTTCTCTTCACTTCGCAGTCCTCGAGCGGGCGCGGGAGTTTGTCGAACTGAATGAGCAGGTCGAGGTACGCTCGGAAGGTCCTCTGCGCCGTCATGTACTCCTTCTGATCACCTGGATGTTCCGCAGACGAGCACACAGCTCTTGACGGAACTCTCGGCGTTTCTCTCGACTTTCCAGCACGACTTGTCCGCTGTTTCCGGCCACATCTCGGAGCTGCAGGGCCGAAGCAAGACGATCGAGGCGCGACTAGAGGCGCGGAAGGTGTGTGAACAGTGCGGTCTCGCTTCGGGAAGCCCGCTGATTTCGTTCACGCTTCCTCAGGCCGTTGAGCGATCCCTCCATCCCTTCGTCTCTTCCATTGCCATCTCGCCCTCCCTCATCACGACTGTCCTCGAGACCGATGTCATCGCCGAGACCTGGATCCCCGCTGTGCAGGAGCTGGACGCCAAACTCGGCGCAATTCGCGGCGGTGCACGAGTAGACAGCCGGAAGAGTCTGGACGAGGCGGCTGAGGCTTTGCGAGTCGCGGTGCGCTAGATTCACCCTCCGAAAGTCTGATGGGCGAGACTTATGCGTTGCTATCGCAGGCATCGAGCAAGATCCTCGCCCACCTAGTCTCGCTCCTCAAGCCGTACACGACCTCCGTCCAGCCTTCTCTCCCATCCCTCCACACGACCCTTCTCCGCCTCAAACCCCTCTTCGACTTTCTCCGCCGACACGCAGCCCGCCAAGCACACGAGTTCCAGAAAGCTTACGTGCAGACGACGAGGTGGTTCTACGAGACTGGGTTTAGGCGGTACGTGAGGGCGTTGGAGGGAGTGAGGACTAGCAAGGCGGCGATTTCAGCGGCGACGAACGAGCCGATAGGAAGCGTGTCGTCGAGTGCGGATGCGTTAGGTGAGTTGGAATCGCTCGCTCCTGCGAGTGCGCTTCTCTCGAGGTTGACAATCCGCGCGAATTCTCGCAGCCCTGCTCAATCAGCGGAGAACGGCACCTTCTTCCTCGTCTACCTCGCTAGTCCAGCGGACACCGACATCGGTCGCGCTCGAGAATGCCCAGGTCGAAGGACCGCCCATTATCGCCGCTCACATGGTCAACGATCGCAACCTTGTACGTCTGGCCGCTGCTTTACGGTCACGCGACAATTATCCTGATGACCACTGACCTGGACTTGCGGCGCTGCTACAGCACCCTTCGCCCGAATCGCTCTTCCGCTCCATCTCCCTCGTGCTCGCATCGAACGCCTCATCCGAACACGCCTTCCTCGCCTCCTTCTTCGGCCATCACTCCACTCTCGACTTGCGATCAGCTATGTCGCGCGCCGGCACGCAAGCGAGCGAACGGACACTGCGGCGGAGCACGACGAGCGGGAGTCTGGCGTCCGCTACTTCCGCGGCGCTGCCGCAAGGCGCGGAAGGGGAGTACAATCGAGGAGAAACGCCGTCGGTGGCGGGAAGTCTGGCGACGGCTGCGAGTCGTGACCGACAGCAAGACGAGAAGGCGCAGCGGGCAACGGTTGATGCGCTTTGGAAGGGCGTGATGGATCCCGCTCTCGAATACAGCAGGGTGCGTCGTCGTTTTAGCGATCTCAGCAGCTCTCGTACTTGGCTCGAAGCTGACTTTGCGTGAGCGGCGTCGCACAGAACTTCGTCAATGCCATCCTCGACCCGACACCTCCCTCGCCCATCTCGCTCTTCTCCATGATCCGCCTCAATGACCTCCTCCTCTCGCTTCTCGTTCCTGCGTCATCATCTACGCCGGATACGCCTGCAGACTCCTCCCAACCGCCCTTCCCGCCCTGTCCGTCAATCGAGCCGCACCTCATCGCTATCCGAATGCAGCTCTGGCCATCCTTCGCCAAAGTCATGTCGCACCAAGTCGACTCTCTCCGACGAATTAACGGTTCGAACACAGCCGCAACCGGGGTAGGCGGCATGTTGAGTCGAGCGACGGGCGGCGGAGGAGCAACTGTCAAGGATTCGGTGGTCAAGGTCATCATCGGGCGGTACTGCGAGATGTTCAATGCGTTCGTGGCGCTTGTAAGCGTCGGACACGAAGGTGAGGGCGCGGCAGGGACGGAGAGCGACGACGAGATGGCGTTCTCGAGGTGCGTTCGGCGCTCCAGCTTTCGGTCAACTGCATCGTTCGGCAGTGCGTTTTTGCTGATGCCGTCGGGCTCGTGATTCGCGCAGCCTGCTTCGCGTCCGCCAAGAGCTCGACAAGCTGCTCTCGCATCAAGCCTCGAAAATGCCCGATCCCGTCAAACAGCGCGCCTTTCTCCGAGCGCACTACGAGGAAGTCTTGCAGGGTCTCAGCGTACGCGCGGTCTCTCTTCGCTCTTGGTCAATGCCCCCGCTGATCAGCGCTACGACTTTTTGCACAGGCGGGCATGTCGAGCCATTCGCGGACGCAGGCGGAGGTCGCGCACTACCGCGAGTTGGCGCGTAAGGCTACGTAGATGTGATGCAGTAGATTCCGCGCTTTAGGCTTCCCAGCGAGAGGAGAAGCAGAGCGAGCTGGTCCCCCTGTCCTTCGAGTGGGACGCTCGTCGAGGAGGAAACACTCTCCGCCTCGCACCACGACCTCACGAGGCAGCGCCAGTCAAAGTGAGTGCGTGCAGAGCTGCTCTATTCGACCGTAGAGCTGAACCGCGGATAGCCTGCCTTCGAACAGCTCGCTCCCGCTCCCCATCTCTCGCCGCACCTCTCGTCCTCATCGCAACCTCGCACACCGCTTCCGACGCCTTCCGACGACGTGCAGACGACGTGAAAAGGCGTGAACAGCTGCCATACCATCCAGCGCGGAACGCACATCCCTAGACACCCCCAACTCGACCATGTCCCCTTTCCTCCCCATCGCCTCGACCTCGCGCATCCCCTACACCGCGCCCAAACCCCTACCGACCGTCCCCTCACGCTTCTTCAGCACTACTCCACCCTGTGCTTCCCCCACCCGCCGCACCTCACACCTCATCCATCCCCTACTCCGACAGCGCCTCACGAACCTCACCTTCCTCCTCGCCGGCACCCTGTCAGTCTTGACCGTCTCTCTCGGCATGAGCGGGACGTTTGGGGAGGGCGCGGCACCGGGATGTCCTGCGCGGAGTCGGGCGGGAGTCGCGTTGGATCAGGAGCGGGTGGAGAGGGTTGCGAATGAGAGGGAGAATGCGCCAAGGAGGGAGAAAGAGTCGTGGTGGAAGACGAAGGGAAGGTTCTTGGACGACCCTGTTGTGGCAGCGCCACCGGTAACAGCACCGCGGATTGTGCAGGCGCGATCAACGAGCTTGGCGGATCAGGGCGAGCGGAGTGAGGCGGACGAGCGAGGATGTATGCGAGACGACTTGCAGAAGCAGGACGAGCGGCAGCCTAGCCCAGGGCGGGGCGACAGGCGGACTGGGTGGACTGGGTGGCTAGGGACGGGCGAGCGGGTCGTGTAGTTGCTTCCCTCGCAATCGTACGCCCGTGAAAGCAGCATTCCCGTTAAGAGTCCAGCGGCTCATCGAGGGGAGCCACGAATTCCTGACGATCTCTCGACTGCCAGCTCCTAGCGAACCACGAACAAGAGACCGTATCGCGTGCAAGAGAACGAATGCATTGCGAGAGGGACCTTCTAGTTGTGGCCAGGGATGGAGACACCGAAGTAAGGAGCCAATCCCATGCTCTGTAATGTGAACACAGTTGTCAGCCAGACTCTCAAGCGACATGCAATCGGCAGGGGAGAGCGATTCTTGCTCGCGAGAATGGCCGGGCGTCGAGCGCAACTCACCCTTGCCCGCTTGATCGCCTTGGCGATCTTCCTCTGACTCCGCTTCTGCAATCCCGTCTTTCCTCGCGGCTTGATCATTCCCATAGTCGTGACATACTCGGCGAGCACGGCAGGATTGAGGCTCGCATCCCCGAGCGGATCAATCTTGTACCGAAGGAACGGGTCGTGCGTCATGGCGAATTTCTTGGGAGGGCCGAGAGGGTAGGCGAGCGAGAAGTCGGGGCGGGGGAGGTAGGGGATCAGGAGACGGCGGGGAGAGAGTTGCTGAGGGGCGATGATGGCGTTCGGCGCGACATGTCGCAGGACCGATACATTGTCTGAGAGCGAGTACGCGCATCGAAACGGTCAGCAGCGAGTCGCAGACAGCCTTCACTAAGGTCGAGAGATGAGGAGGAAAGCGTGAGGACGCACTGTCTGCCGGCATAGCCGTATCGTTCTGGTCGACCTCCTCCAACAGCTGCAACAGGCCAGATGTCGTGTTCCTTGGCTTCTGCGCACCCTCGCCGGGCGCTGCTGGTGTAGACGACCCGGGAGCAGCGAGCGAGGTCGAGGTGGTGAAGGCGCGGCATGCGGCGCACGCAGGTGGTGCTGGCCGTGCTGAGGGTGCTCGCTGGAGCAGTGTGCGCGCTTGTCTGAGCATCTTGGCGATAGTTGATGGTGAAGACGAGCGAGAGGTGCGCGAAGTTGCTCTTCGCCGCAACTAGCTCACGGCGACTAGCTCTGAGGCAAGCTATGGACCACACAAAGTACTGAAGGGACGATTCGAGTTCACAGTGAGCAGCTGCTGCTTCCCGCAGGCCGAGACGGAGATCTGTCCTCCTTGCTCGCGATCTCCCTTCTCCTCTTCCCGCTAGACTGGAGAGTCGCAGAAGCGAGTGCACGGGCTGCTGCTGCTATCGACTTGCCACGTCCGTCAAGCATCCACCGGATTTCGGCTCGAAGTCGTCGGTCTCCGCTCCGTCTCGCCATTCTCGCCTCACCCCGCTACACTTCCATCGAGAAGTCTATCGCTCCTACATTGCCAGGATATTTATTTACTCGGGACGGGTACCGTGGTAGGCGTTGGTAAGCAGCTGGAGGAGCTTGGCCTTTTCCAGCGGCGCAGGGTTCGGGCTGTGACAATGCGAGGAACCGTCAGCTTGCTATTCCTGCCCGGTTGCGCCGTTCGATTGAGGCGAGACGCGAGACGAGGCTTACTAGGGCGCCTTGGCAGCGATGTCCGCCGCCTTCTCGAGATCCTCCTCCTTGAACCCAAGCGCCTTCAACGAGTACGGCGCGCCATTGTCCTTTGCCAAGTCGTACAAGCCCTGCGCGGCATTCGAGACGCCGAGCGCCTTAGCAACGCGCGAGACGGCGTCTTGCGCGTACGGAGCGTTGTAGGCGACGGCGTGAGGGAGGATGACGGTGTGGGTCTCGGCGTGGGGCATGCCGAAGGAGCCGCCGAGGGTGTGGCACTGTGCGTGAATGTATATCGTCAGCGCTGATCTCCCGGCGAAAGCAAGAAGAAGGAAAGGAGAAGTTGCTGCGCGGCGAGACTCACGAGCTTGTCTGCGAGAAAAGCGATCCATCAGTCTTAGAGATTGCGAGCGAATCAGCAGTCGGTACGCACGGTGCAAGCTCATGCCGACAGCGCCCAAGCAAGTCCCGCAAGCCCACGCGCCAAACAACGCATCCGCCCTTCCGTCCTTCGACTGCGAGTCCGCCTTGATGAGCGGCAGCGAGCGGCCGATCGCCTCAATACCTTGGATTGCGAGGTTCGAGATGATCGGGTTGGCTTCGACGGCCCAGAGGGCTTCGACGGCGTGGGCGATGGCGTTAAGGCCGGACGTGACCTGTTTCGAGGCGGAACGGAGATGACAGACGGTCAGCACGTCTCCTGAATTCCGCTCGACCTCCTCTGCGTCGCTATGTCCTCATGAGCTGGGTAGCGTACTGTCATTTGGGGCGGAAGAGTGAGAGTCAAGTCGACATCGTAGATGATGACTTCCGGCAAGACCTGCGGGTGGTCGAGCGTCAGCATGTTCGACCTTGCGCCTGACCTGGCACGACAGCGCACCTTCATCGTCTTCTGCGTCGTCTTGAGCGGCTTGCCGTCCTTGTCGTTCTCCGTCTGGCCGATGATAGGGGTTGCTTCGGAGCCGGCGTCTGTCATGTCAAGCAGGACCGTCAGCCGCTAGCTCGCTTCAGCTGCTAGGAGGAGACACACAGGTGGTAGGAATGACGATGTTCTTGATCTTGGCGGCGTCAGGCGAGTGCAGCGCGAGCGCCTTGCCCAGTCCGATAGTCGAGCCTCCTCCGACCGAGACCTGCGAGAGCAGCCGTCAACCGCGACTCGCCGGGATGTCGGTACTAGAATGTCAACGCACGCAGCAGTCGACGTTCAGCTCCTTTGCCTTCGAGAGCGCTTCTTGTGTAACATGAATCGGCGTGTGCATCGTCGCGTTCGTGTAGATGCCGACAGCAAGGTCTCCCTGTGCGCGATTCTTAGGTCAGCGCTCTTCTAGCTTCGAGGCAAGGAAGGAAGGCAGCCCACCAAGTCGGCCTTGACCTTCTCGCCCGCCTCGACTTGATGGGGAGTCGTCAAGACAAGGGCACGGGACTGCAGTCGGCGTTGCTCGTCAGCTTCGCCCGCACCGATAGCGTCTGCAGGCGAGAACGCACGCAGCCCAGCCGCTTGACTTCCTCCGCGACCTTGGAGACCGTTCCCCACCCGAAGATTACGCGGGCGGGTAGGGCGTTGTAGACGAAAGGCTGCATCTGAAGGGCTGTGGAAGGGCGAGCGTTCAGAGTGAATGTCTTCCGCAACCTTGACGACGAGGGAGAGGAACTAACTGATGAAGTTGGGCAGCGAGTGAACGGCGAGAGCGGGAGTTGCGGGAGCTGGACAGGCAGCACGGAGCAGTATCCGCGAGCAGTGCACGGGTAGTCAGTTCCCCTTCGAGTGCGGTGATTAGCGAACCGGGGAGGAACAGAGCTTCCGGCGGACGGGTGCGGGGGTGGACGTCGTGCGTGGTCGCTCTTCTTCCCTCGAGCTCACACGGCTAGAACGGCAACGATGAGCAACGCTGCAGACCAGATCAACGACTCGACGCCCCGCAATGCGCCCAAGGCAAGTCCCACCGCTCCGCTCCTCGTCCTCGTCCCGCACCGCGGCTGACCTCTCGCTCTCTCACTCAACCATGTGCAGGTCGGCAAGGCGGTCAAGACTGCTCTCGAGCAGGGCGCACAGAACATCGACCTGGTGCGCAACGTTGTCGCGGCGGGATCGCTCTCCTGCTCCTCGAGACCGTCTCACTGATCTTGACACTCTTGCACGCACGCAGAGCAAGCTGCCCAACTTGACGGACATGTCGCCCGAGAGCATCACGCAGAACGTCCATGCGATCAACTCTCTTTGCCAGGACCCGAGGTGTGCTCCCCTCCGGGACTCTCGCCCGCTTCTGCTGTACTGACCGCTTTCGTGCGCATTCGACAGGCAGAAGTTCGTGTTCGAGAAGCTCGTCACCCATCTGCACGACTTTGCTCGCGAAGTTAGCTTGACGACGGACGAGTGGATGTGCGTCCGCTTGCCTTCCTTCTGCTCGTCCTGCAAACTCACGAAACTACTCGCGCAGGAATGCCATTCAATTCCTCACCAAAGTCGGACAGATCTGCTCGCCCATCCGCCAGGAGTTCATCCTGCTCTCGGATGCTCTCGGTCTGTCCGCCTTGGTGGACTCGATGAACCATCCGACGAAGCCGCCTGCGACCGAAGCGACTGTTCTCGGGCCGTTCTTCACCGAGGATGCGGCAGACGTGCGTTTTCGAATTGACCTCGACCAGCAAGATCAGGCTCGCTGATGCTCTGACTCCTGCAGCTCTCGCACGGCGACTCGATTGCATCGGAGGGCAAGGGCGAATACATGTATTGCGAGGGACGAGTGCTCGACGTCGACGGCAAGCCCGTCGCCAACTGCACCATCGAGACGTGGGAGACGGACGACGAGGGCCTCTACGACACGCAGTACTCGGACCGGTCTCACCCTGATTGCCGAGGAAGGCTGCACACGGACGAGAATGGCTACTATGCGGTGCGTTGCCAGAATCGTGGAGTCCCAAAATCGCACGACTGACCTTGTGCCGTCGTCTCGCAGTACCGCCTCGTCAAGCCCACACCTTACCCTATCCCCTTCGACGGTCCCGTTGGACAGTGCGTCGCAATTTCCCTGCCACCTTGTCTCCTCAGTTATTCCGAAACGGCCGCTCTTGCGCTTAGCCATCCGCGGAATCCGTCCGAGCCTCGCTGATCTTGGCCTGCGCTCGCACAGAATGCTCAAGTCGCTCAACCGCCACGTCTTCCGCCCCGCTCACCTGCACATGTGAGTCTTCGCAGGCTCTTCGCACGTCGGGCGTCTCGGGCTCTGGCTGACAGCATCGCGGACCGCAGGATGTTTGTCGCCGAGGGATACGAGACGCTCATCACGGCGCTGTACTTCAAGGGCGACCCGTACCTCACGAGGTGAGCCGCTCACAATCCGTGCTGCCCCTTTCGTCCTCGTGCTCACTCGGATCCTGCGCAGCGATGCCGTCTTCGGCGTCAAGTCGAGCCTGATCGTCGACACCGAGTTGATCGAGGACGACGCGCGGGCCAAGCAGCTCGGCTTTAAGCACGGCCCCTTCCACTACCTCAAGAAGGACTATGTCCTGATGACGAAGGATCAGGCTGTGGAAGAGAAGAAGAAGTCGCTCGCCAACTACTACAAGTCGATCCAGCCTTGAGCGGGCGACAGCGGGACGGGCTGGGGTGTTGACTTATCGTGCATTGCATTTAGTATTACCTGGGTGTCGCAAAGGAGACGCGCCCAGTGAGCGAGCCGAGTCAAGCACGAGCAGAAGTCGACATCAGCCTTCTCACCTTCGAGGCTCGCGTCTTTCTCCTGCTTCCCGGCAAAGCTGGTCCTTCCCGCTTCTCCCCCTCCGCGTCGACACTATCTGGGCAGTGCTCGACGCCGCTTACCTCGGCAGGTCACGTGCCGCTTGAACTTCGGCAATCCCCACCCTCTTCCCTCGCCTTTCGCTCCTGTGTCCTCCTCCTACCACTCTCCTTGGCTCGCGGCTGCCGTCTACAGGGCCTTGAGGCTCTTAAGTCTGCTCTGCGACTGTCTGTCTCCGCTGCGATGGCGTCCACGACCCTCGCTCGACCCGACGACGAAAGGAACTCGCTCGCCATCTACGGCTACCCCGTCGCGCAGTCTGTCTCGCCGAAGATCTTCAACCACTTGTTTCCACTCCTGTGCGTCGCTCGACTCTTCAAGCGACGACAGCGGAGGCGTACTGACTTTGTCAAGGACAGAGGTCTCCCTCGACACAAGTATAAAGCCGTTGAGTGTCGCTCCCTGGACGAATCAGGGAACGCATGGGAAGAAGCAGTGAAGCTGCCGGACTGCTTGGGAACTTGCTTGACGATGCCGCTCAAGGTGCGTGCCGTCCGCCCGGTCCCTTCGCCCGCCAAGCTGACCTTGCTATCGACTCCAGCTGCAGGCGCTGCGAAAAGTCGACGAGCTGACACCTGACGCGCGAGCAACCGGCTGCGTTAACACCACCTTCTTCCGCCCTTGCCCGACCTCCTCTTCCACTCTCCTTTATGTCGGCACAAACACGGACGCAGCCGCCGTCTCGAACGTCCTCCTCTCTTCCTTACTTGGCGTCTCGACTCCTCTGCCAGCTTCTGCACCTCAGCAGTTCAAGCACGGGACGGCAGGAGCTTTTGTCGTAGGCGGAGGAGGAGCAACTCGAGCAGCCATCTGCGCGCTCTCGCGCCTCAACCTCTCGCCAATCTTCATCGTCAACCGCGACCCATCCGAGACCGACAAGGTCGTCCAGGGCTTCCCAGATGTCGACCTGCGGCCTTTACCGACAGTCGAGCATGCGCGACGGGAAATGGAGGATCTGCGGAAACGAGATTTGCGGCTAGTCTGCGGTGTTGGCGCAATACCGTGCGAGCCGCCCACAAGCGAGGAGGAGAAGCGGGTTTACGAGGTTGTCATTGAAATTTTTGCGCTGGCAGGAGGAAAGGGACTTGAGACGGAGCGGATGGAGCGGGACAAAGGATGCCTGGCGTTGCCAATAAAGCCTGTCTTTGTCGGTGCGTTGATCTCCTTCTCACTGCAAAGAGCGATAGTTGACGAGTCCTGCGACGGACAGACATGGTGTACAAGCCGCCCATGACAACACTTCGGATACTGGCAGAAGAGCGTGACTGGACGACCGTCTGCGGTACAGAGGTGGTGCTTGTGAGCCAGCGTCTCACCTCTGTCAGAAATATCACAGAGCAGCTGACTCTCAGGAGCGTCCGCGATCCAGGAGAACTGCTTCGGTTCGTTTCCTTCTTCGGCTGCTTGCTCGCTCGTCATTGACCGCTTCGAGCTTGCCGATGCAGAACAGTGCAAGCTGTGGACGGGCAAAGATGTCCCTTCCGAAGCGAGGGAGAGCGCCAGAGCGTTGCTGGCTGAATAGACGGACTTCTCGCGGGTAGATCCCACGCTATCTGGTCGAACGACGTCTGCATTACTTCTGCACAACAGCAACCACAACGATGATGATCTGCGAGAATGATAAGCGTGTCATCGGTCTCAACAATTGCCGAGAGATGGAAAGAAGCGAGCGCACAATGACCACCAGGATCACAAAGACTGCCGGAACCCAGCTCATCTTGTGCCTGCCGTCGAGTTGTGGATCGCTATGATACCAGCCGTGGTCGGAATGATGAGGCTGAGCTTCTACCACGTTGGGCTGCTGCGCGCGCTCGTCTTGGTGCGGATAAGAGGGTGCTCCGCCCGTCAAGATAATCTTCCTTGACGGGTCCTTCTTTGTCTGTCGGCCGGAATGAACGGTCAATAGGTCTTTACAAAAGCAAGTTCACCAAGACGGACCGTCCTCATCCAGGAGCTGCCGGGACTGTACAAGTTGGCAGCCTCCGCTCGATCGTGCTTCCTCGTCCTGCTGCGCCTCGGCAGCTCGAATGCCCGCTCGTCGGCGCTATCTTCGACGTCGCTCGAGTTGCTCGAGTCGTTGTGATTGGCGACGGCGGCACTGGACTGGCGCGATTGGCGAGACTTCGAGGAGGAGCGAGCCATAGCAGCAGAGTGTCGGCCGCGAGCGCAGTAACGCGTGCGAGGATATAGGCGAGCAGGGAGAGAGCAGGGAAAGAAGCGGAGCAGGAACGTGTTCGGAGGATCCGCGGACTGAGGGTCGAGGAGGAGCAGGACGGGGGAACGACACGCGGCATCTGGGGGCGCGACGGCTCTGTGATTTCGACAATATCGACTCCAGCGCCCTGTGCGGGCATCCCAAGCGCCTCCCGAGAGGCGCAACGCAGTATGTACCCATCTCCCCTTCGCAAACTGATGAGGATCTGGTAGCGAGTGTAGGCGTCGAGGGAAGTCGTAATGAGTCGAGACGACTTGTAAGTAGCGTCAAAAGGCTGGGGCAGGCGTGCAGCGCTCCCCAGCGCGAGAGCGAAGAGCCCACGAGTGAGACGCCGAGGACGAACCCTCCTTCTCGCTCAACCACGACACCGCGTCCTCGTTCAACGCCGCTAAGATGGCTCAGACTGTACACAACGACCGCCCAGGCATCTTCGCCGACCTCGTCAACTCGATCTTCACGCCCGGGACGAACTCTGGCCTTGTCGCCGCGATGAACTACTCGTTCTACGCCCTCTTCGCGACGCTCTTTGGGATGCTGGTCTTGACGAGGGGCAATGGGCACGTCTTGGCGATGCTGGGATTGAGCGTGGCACTTTGGGCGAGCATCTGGTGGTGAGTTCTGCTCCTCTCGACAGTCCTCGCTGTCCTTCGCCGCTCACGCCGTCTCCCCCGCAGGTTCCTTATCGCCATTGCAGACGCAGAAGAGCAGCAAAGACGGGAGCGACTGGAGAACGAACGGAAAGAGGTGTCGAAGGGCGGCGGACCTGCGGAAGTTGCTGGAGGCGACGGCAAGAAGGATCGGTAGGGTGAGCTGTTGCGCTTGTCCTCTCTACGGAACGTTGTAAAGATGGAGCTGACGTAGCGACCTCGATGTCATCCGCAGGCAGCAGCAGTAACGATTCCCCTTCGCAATTCGATACCCTCTTGCCGCGCCAGGCAGCGCTGCATGACGCCTGCGCTCGCTTGATGTCACAGGCGAGCGTGTGAGCGAGTCGAACGACGGGCGAAGGCCGATCGTCAGACCCGCGCGAGCTTCAGCCCTAACTCACCTGCTCACTCCGTTCTTCGTCTTTCCTCGCTGTCGGGCTGCTCGTAGTGCTCTCTCGCGCTGCGGTGACGGTACGAGAACTGTATGATATTGAACGAGACTTGCAGAGTGCTGGGAACGAGACGGAAAGGGAAAATCTATTGGCTACAACACGAGAACCGCTCCAACCGGCCTCCGAAAGATGTCGTCGGCTGCTAAGCTAGCTGATCAGGCTAGCTACACGCGACGTGCGCTTGATCTCGACCATCCGCTCAGGCGTGCGAGCCGATCCACTGGCTCCAGGGCTGGACTTCCGAGGGAATCCGTCCCTCCTCGTAGTTGTTGGCCTTGCCGACCTCGCCCTTCTTCATCTTGCGGCTCAGGGCCTGAACGTAGAGCTCTGCGAGAAGCGGGTTGTTGATGAGGGGGACGCCGAAGTCGACGGCGTTGCGGCGGGCGACGTAATCCTCGTCGACGGTGTCCTTTCCGCGCGCCTTGGCCAGGTTGATCACGCTCTGGATCTCGTACTCGTCAAAGACCTCGCGAAGCTGGCGGACGAAAGCAGAGTCAGCGTACGCTCAATGTCGGGAGAAAGTGCCGGCGAGCGCACCTTGCGCTTGTCCTTGAGCGGGAAGAAGATCTTCTCGGCCTTGACATGCGGGAGGGCGTTGAGGTGCTCCTCGACGACCGACGACGAGCAGTAGAGCTTGAAGCCGAGCTCGGAAAGACCCTTGGCGACAGTGGCGAGCTGGGGGCAGTTGACGTCGCCGCCGAGGAGGACACCCGAGTTGGCCTGGGGAACGCGGAAGCCGTTGGTGGACGCGAGAGACGCCCAGTACGCCTCGGCGAGGTCGGTACCGAAGGCGGCAACTTCGCCGGTCGAGGCCATCTCTGCGGGGTGAAGTCCTATGTCAGCGATGTCGCCCAAAGGACCACGACAAGCTGCTCGACGAGCCGCAGCTAAGAGAAGAGATCGGGAACGCACCGACTCCGAGGTAAGGGTCCGCGCCCGCCAAGCGCGTCCAACTGAACTGGGGAACCTTGATTGCGACGTAGTCGCGCTTCTCCTTCATGACGTCGATGGGCGCAGGCACGTTCTCGCCGACGATGGCGGCAGTGGCGTAGTCGATGAAGTTGACGCCGAGGACCTTCGAGACGAAGGGGAACGAGCGCGACGCGCGGAGGTTGCACTCGATGACCTTGAGCGTCGTCTCCTCGCCGGGCGTGGCCTTGCGGATGATCTGCATGTTGAAGGGACCCGAGATGTCGAAGGCCTTGGCAACCTTCTGCGCGATGACCTTGAGGCGCTCCATGTCGTCGTCGGCGAGCGAGAACGGCGGGAGGACGAGCGTCGCGTCGCCCGAGTGGACACCGGCGTTCTCGACGTGCTCCGAGACGGCGTGGATGAGGAGCTCGCCCTTGTGCGCGACGGCGTCGACGTCGATCTCCTGCGCCCCGTCGATGAACTTGGTGATGACGGTCGGGTGCTCGGACGAGACCTCAGCGGCGGCGGTGAGCGAGTGCTCGAGCGTCGACTCGTCCCATACGACGTTCATTGCCGCGCCGGAGAGGACGTACGACGGGCGGACGAGAACCGGGTAGCCGACCTTGTTGGCAAACTGCTTGGCCGACTCGACCGTCGTCGCCTCGACCCACGCAGGCTGGTCGACGCCCGACTTGTCGAGGATGGCCGAGAACTTGTGGCGGTCCTCGGCGTTGTCGATCGACTCGGGGTCGGTACCGAGGACGTTGATGCCGGTCTGCTTGAGGCGGAGCGCAATGTTCTGCGGGAGCTGTCCGCCGACCGAGACGACGACGCCCTCGGAGCCCTCGAGCTCGTAGATGTCCATGACGCGCTCCCAGCCGAGCTCCTCAAAGTAGAGGCGGTCGGCCTCGTCAAAGTCGGTCGAGACCGTCTCCGGGTTGTAGTTGATCATGACCGTCTTCTTGCCCATCTCGCGGACCTTGCGCACGCACGAGACGGCGCACCAGTCAAACTCGACCGACGAGCCGATGCGGTAGACGCCCGAGCCGAGGACCATCGTGCCCTTGTCGTCAAACTCGATGTCGTGCGACGACGCGTTGTAGGTCGTGTAGAGGTAGTTGGTGTGCGCCGGGTACTCGGCCGCGAGCGTGTCGATGCGCTTGACGAACGGCGTGACGCCGAGCGACTTGCGGTGGGCGCGCACGGCGTACTCGTCGGTCGCCTCGCCGCCGTCGCGCACGATGAGGTCGGCAATCTGCTTGTCCGAGAAGCCCATGCGCTTGGCCTTGCGCATGAGGTCCTCGTCGACCTCGGCAACCGACTTGGTCTTGCGGAACTGGTGGTGGACCTGGACAATGTTGTCAAGCTTGTAGAGGAACCACTTGTCGATCTTGGTCAGGTCGTGGATCATGTCGACCGTGTAGTCGAGGTTGAGCATGGCGTGCGCGATCGCAAACAGGCGACGGTCGGTCGGGACGGTGAGGGCGTGCTCGAGGTCCTCGGGCTTCCAGTACGCCTCGAAGCCGGTCCAGCGCGGGTCGACCTGGCGGATGGCCTTCTGGAGCGACTCCTCAAACGTGCGACCGATCGCCATGACCTCGCCGACCGACTTCATCGAAGAGCCGACCTCGCGGTTGACGTGCTGGAACTTGGCCAAGTCCCACTTGGGGATCTTGGTGACGAGGTAGTCGAGCGCCGGCTCGAAGCACGCCGTCGTCGTCTTGGTGACGGCGTTGGGGAGCTCCGGGAGCGTGTGGCCGAGGGCGATCTTGGCGGCCGTGTAGGCGAGCGGGTAGCCGGTCGCCTTGGACGCGAGAGCCGACGAACGCGACAGACGCGCGTTCATCTCGATGACCATGTACTCGCGCTTGTTCGGGTTGAGCGCGTACTGGACGTTGCACTCGCCGACGACGCCGACGTGGCGGACAATCTTGATCGCCGCCGAACGGAGCATGTGGTACTCGTCGTCCGAGAGCGTCTGCGACGGCGCGATGACGATCGAGTCGCCCGTGTGGATGCCGAGCGGGTCGAAGTTCTGCAACGGAGAATCAATCAGTACGAGAGTAAGCGAGGAAAGCGACGGGCGGACGCACCTCCATGTTGCAGCAGATGATGACATTGTCGGCGGCGTCACGGACGACCTCGTACTCGAGCTCCTTCCATCCCTTGAGCGACTTCTCGATGAGGACCTGAGGCGAGAGCGAGAGCGACTTGGCCGACAAGTCACGGAGCTCTTCCTCGTTCTCGGCAAAGCCCGATCCGAGGCCTCCGAGGGAGAAGGCCGAACGGAGGATGACGGGGTAGCCGATGCGCTCGGCGGCCTCGAGGGCGTCCTTGACGGTCGAGACGGCCGTCGAGGTGGCGGCGGGGATGCCGATCTCGTTCAAGGCTTTGACGAACAGGTCGCGGTCCTCCGAGACCTCGAGGGTGCGAATCTGGGTGCCGAGGACCTTGACGCCAAGACGCTCGAAGACACCCATCTTCTCGAGCTGGACGCCGACGTTGAGGGCGGACTGACCGCCGAAGGTGAGGAGGATGCCGTCGGGGCGCTCCTTCTCGAGGACGTAGGCGACGTACTCGGCCGTGACGGGGAGGACTGCGGGCGCGCTCATCAGCGGCTGTCGATGTGGATCGCACGAGTGCACTCACAGTAGACCTCGGAGGCCATCTGGTGCGAGGTCTGGATGGTCGCGATGTTGGGGTTGAGGAGGATGCACTCGATGTTCGACTCCTTCATGGCCTTGATCGCCTGGGCGCCTGCAAATCGCACACAAGGTCAGTCACGAGTCGAGCATATCGAAAGGGTCAGCACGCACCCGAGTAGTCGAACTCTCCGGCCTGGCCGATCGAAAGACCTCCGGAGCCGACAATCATGACTTTCTTGACATCGGGCCTCTCGAGCTTGGGCAAGACAGCCTGCGAGAGCCTCCTGGCGAGGTCAGACGCAGCCGACGTGCCGTCCTTGGTCTGGATGTGCTTGAACTGGGACGAGATGTCGACGAGGTCCTCGTTGGCGGTCGGGGCGATGGACGGGTCGGGGATCGACGCGCGGCGGGTCAGGTCGACAACGAAGGAGCGGCGGGGAGTGGTGTGGAAGGCGCGGAGCGGGCGCGTCGAGGGCGCGGTGCGGATGCGCGAGGAGAAGGTGCGGAGCATGGCGGGCAGATAAGGGTGCGGTGGCGTGCGAGCGGGTGAGACGAGGATGGGGCGGAATTTATTCAGTAGCCGATGGCCTTGTAGACGATGTTGTCAAGGCTGTACGTGGGAAGGCGCGGCGAGATAAGGGTCGGGCAGGAGAGCGGGAAAAAGTACCAGGCCGTCAACGGGCTGTTTCTGGCCAAATTGGCTCGAAATTTCACCCACTAGTCGAGGCGAGTCTCAGCACCCGGAAACCAGATGCACCTTCGATGGTTAAGGGGGTTCCCGAGGAGATATGGGCGAGAAACGGGTCAGCGACGGGTCGGCGGGCTTGACGAGGAAATGGACGGCTGTGCGCACATGAACTGGGTTGGGTGGGTAACCTGGTGGGTTTAGTGAGGTGTGTGCTTGTGTAGCAGCTGTGCGCGAGCGGTTCTGAGCGGTGTGCGAGGAAGCGAGGGAGCGACGAAGAGGAGAGCGAGGCGCCCGAGTCAAACTCGGCCAATACAAACGCGAGTTGTATTCAGTTTGTATTCCTCCTGCTCGTTGTGTTCATGCAAAACTTTCCTCCACGTCAACGGGCTTTGCTGCAACGGTGTGCTACCTGCTTTCGTTCGCTCCACCTGACCAGCTTCACCTGCCATTGCTACAAGACGGACGAGGGGAGGTTAGCAGAGAGCAACTCGAGGGGAGGCGGGAGGCGGGAGGGACTTAGCGAGGGCGGGCTGCGGTCGATCGCTCATTGCGGCCCGGGTGGAACTCTCACTCAACTCGTCGCTCGCTCACTCTCCTCACCGCTCCCTGACGCCCGCTGTACATACCATAGATTAGCAGGGGACCGTATACACCCAGCACGCCCAACGGGACCCCGCCGTACGTCCCCGCTCGCGCAAATCCCGCCCTCATCACCTCGCTCACCCTCCAACCCTCTCCCGCTGCAGCTACGCCTACACACGGCTCGAACGACCTCGCAGACGACAGTCACGACATCGACAGACCGCCACGACCCACCGCCGGCACCGCTTTCACCCCGCGACTTCACATTCCTCGCCGTTGCGCACGCTGGCTCGCGTCCTCGCACCTCCCGCTCCCGCTTCCGCAAAATCCACCTCATCAGTCCTCATCTGAGGCTCGCCAAGTCTCGGTCTACGGACCTGCTCACGCTCGTTTCACCCACACACTCGTTTTCTGGTACCCCTGGAGACGTCCTGCGCGACGAGGACGGCTCGCGAATGTCACATCTCGACGCGCCGCTCCGCTCGCGGCGACAACACCCCTCGAGCGACGTCTTCTTGCGACGAGAGGCGGGCGTCATCACGTCCGAAGACACCTTCCCACCTCTCGACCTCGACGACTCGTCCTCCCCTTCCTCGTCCTCGTCTTTCGCAGCCAGCACCCGCTCTCTCAGATCCCTCCTCCTCCCCGCCCAGGTCGAGCTGAGACGTGTCTTCCACCGTCAACGACGACGAGACCTCCCCTCGAACGAGACAGACACGGACGAACGCGCCCCGAAGCGGTTCAAGACCGACTCGTCTTTCCACATCCACCGCGTCCACCACCTCCACGAGCGGCAGACTCGCACCTCGACAACGACTGCGCAGCTCGGAGCGGCCCTGTCGAATGTCGGAACTGGGACGGACTGCCAGGCTTTCGCGGATCGGTATGGAGACGGACGGAGGACGCAGGTCTTGCTTGGGTGTGCGAGGGCGAAGGCGGCTGCGGTAACGACGTCGCAGGAGGCTAGCTCCAGTCGGGCTGCGGCCGCTGCGTCGACTAGCACGTCGAGGCGGATACGAACCTCGACGACTACCTCTCGACGCTCGACTCGAACTTCCACCGCACCTCGAGACGCAGCAACACCCCGCCTCGCAGCACCTGTCGCGACACCCCTCTCCCCAGCACAAGCCTCTGCCCTCTCTCGCTCCGTCATCGGCTCAGTCGTGAGCGAGCAATTCAGCCAAGCCGCGTCGGTTGTCGCCAGCCGCGTATCGGTCGCGAGCGCCTCGAGGGCCGTCCTCATGTCGAGCGTCGACTCGATCTTCTCAGAAGCGGCGAGCGTCGTGGCCAGTCGGCAGGGGTTGTTGCCGACTGTCACGTCGGCTTCGTCCGCCTCCACGGCCTCTTCCTCTTCGACATCCTCGTCCGCTCCTTCTTCCGCCTCTTCGATCTCGTCCACCTCTTCATCCAGCGTGACTCCGTCTTCAACAGCAAATCCCGCTCGCAGGTACGTTCCCACCGCTTTCCGAGTCTCTCCCCCTCCTTCGCGCCTTCTCTCCCGCCTTCTCTCCTGTCTTGTACTGACGCTCATCTACTTCGGACAGCAACCACAACCGGATAGCCAAAATCGTCGGGCCCTCTGTCGCCGTCCCCCTCGGCCTACTCCTCCTGGCCCTCCTCCTTTTCTGCTGCCTGAAACGCCGGCGACGAAAGACCGGCGCAGGCTATACTACCTCAGGGCGGTCGACGCCTGGCGGACTAGGGCCCATCTCGCATCCTCAGCCGCTGCAGCCTGCGGCGGGAGGGGCGATGAGGGAGTATGGCGCGATGGGTGCTGGAGCGGGGTTGGCGGGACTTGGTGCAGCAGCAGCAGCGGGAGCAGGCGGACGGACTGGCGAGCCAGGCAGCTCGCAAGAGTCGCTCGGTCCTACACCGTCAGCTATCGGCGTGGCTTTCTCCGAGCCTCGAACAAAGTGGGGACGCCGGTCGCTCGTTGATGTCCTCGCCGGCGGCGTGCGCGGCGCCAACAGCGGTTCGAACACGCCTGAAGGATCGGCGGGCGACGGGAGCGGCGGCCACCAGCGGGGCTTGTCCACCTCGTCCTCGTTCGGCGGTCGTCAACCCTCCATCCGCAGTTCCGCCTCGATACCGAGCGAGTTGCGCGGAGTTGGAGGCTACAACATCTACGGCTACCAGCCTGGCCAGCCCCGGCCCGTCATGAGCATGACCTCGCCCCTCTCGTCTCACTACGACCCCTTCGGACCGGGCGCGATCGTCCCTGTCCCCGAGTCGGCGACAAGTATGCATCCGGTCTCGTCGGAGGAAGGGTTGATTAGCGGGTACAGCGAGGGTCCTGGTGGGAGTGGCAGCGGCGGAGGGAGGTCCGGCTCGGGCGAGTCGTTCACGGCTGTCCTGGCGCCACCGCTTGCGGCGGGCTACGCCCACTCGAGGCAGGCGCAGCAGAGCCGGACAACGCAGCAGACGAGCGAGGGGGAGCAGGAATACTGGACCGCCGATGCGGGTCAGAGCAGCGTCGATACGCATACGCAAGAGGCGGGCGATTACGAGGAGGCGGAGGAGGAGCTCAGCGGGTCGCCGCAAGAGGAGGCGGTCAACTTTGGGAGTGGGAGCTCGAGCAGCGGGAGCGGGGCGGGGAGCAGGATGAGCGAGGACCCGAACTCGACGCCGAGGTTGGGCGGGAGCAGGACGTCGACGCCGCGGCTGGGGATGGGGCACGGCAGCATCGGGTCGAGGAGGAACGACGGGACAGGCAGCTGGTGGAATGCCTGAGGAGGCGTTTTGGGTTCTTTGTAGCGAGACGGGCAGTCTCTTCCTAATCCATGCCCGTCCCAAGCAGTCTCGCCTCGCATGCTCTGCCAGCGTCGAAAGGAGTCGCTGCAAGTGTCTGTCCGCATTGTGCAGCGAGTGCTAGGGCTCGCCGTCGACGTGATCCCGTCGCCATGCCTCGACCCACGCGACTATCCGGCCGATATTCTCCTCCATCTCCTCCGGCGACTCGCTCCGCAACTCGACCACAATCTCCTCCGCGTACGACTCCCGCGCGTCCTGCAGAATGACCTCCATGATCTCCGCCTCGTTGTTCTCCTGGATCTTGTTGAGTGCGTAACCGCTACGGCCAGTCCGATTGCTGGTCAGCTCCTGCCGCAGGCTTCGGGAGACAGTAGAGGGGACGCACCGCTTTTCTAACCGGCTCCACAGCTGCGAGTGGTCGCACCGGAGGACGACGATTAAGTCGATCCACCGTTCGGGGAACATGTCGCACGTGTGCCAGTCGAGGATCTTTGCGCCCGGTTGCTGCACCACCTCGAGGGCATCTAGGAGCTGTAGGAGCCGAGCAAGCGTGCGTCAGTCCCCCAAGTCGCCGCAGGAAAGCCTCATCAGTGAACCGAGGAGGACGGACCTTGTCCTCGTCGACATCCCAGCTCTGCCACTCCTCGTTCCAGCCCGAATGGCACTGCTTCTCTTTCACGAAGTCTCCAACGTTGACATGCTGCCACGGTGCGGTCGACGTCGAGGGCGCAGCCTGCAGAGCTTCGAGGAGTTGAGCAGCGTGGGTTGTCTTGCCGGTGCCGGGCGTCCTGCGGGCTAGCGGGTCAGCGCGGAGCTAGAAAGAGGTTTGGGTTGTCTGCGCACCCGGTGATGAGGATGTTGGGCCACTGGCGGGTCGACATGGCAACGCGAGTTTGTGGTCGAGGGGAAAGCGGTGCAGAGCGAGATGAAGGCGTCCTCACGCCTTCGTTGGACGAGCAGACTCGCTGGCGTCGTCACTTGCTTGTGTGCAAGTGGCCGGTTCGAGCGAGAAAGAAGCTCGAGGCGGAGGGAGGCAGAACTACTCGTCTCGTCCTTCTCGCCCGGACCCAACTCGAGACGTCCAGCTCCGGCGACGATGCGAAACCGCGAATGCAATGCAGAACAGTAGACAAACAAGAGAGAAATGCCTAAGGGGAACATGCGGAAAGGAGAAGAGAAGCGAGAGTGTCCGTTCTTTACAATCCGAGGACGTCGAGGGGCGTCTCGGTGCCGTGCGCGCGGGTGACGTACATGGCCTGCGAGATCTCGTCCGACGCCATGTTGTACGGTCGGACCTTGGTGTTGTACAGGCCCTGGATGAGGCGGAAGTGGATCTCGCGGACGGCGCCGCCGGGGTGCATCAAGCCTTCGGCGCGCATCTCGGACGGCAGGCGAAGGCGAGCACGATTGGCGACGCGGTTGACGAGCCGGACATCGTCGAGGAAGGCGGCGAGGGCGGCCACCTTGGCGTCGTAGAAAGCGCCGTCGTCGGGCGAAGGAGGCGATTGCGCAAAGCTGAGTGCTTCGGGCGCGAAGAGGAGGTACGACAGGTGCGAGTTGACCATGGGCGTGATCGCTTTGCGGGAAGCGATGCTGCCCTTCTCGAGCTTCGGGCCGCTTGGGTGGTTGAGGAGGCGGACCGCGTCGAGAAGGAGGAGCGGCTACGGCAAGCGGAAGTGTCAGCACCGGTTCCACCTCAAGAGGCGCCCGCAGACTCACGTCAAAAGTCATCGGATCGAAGGGCAAGCTGGGCGCATCGGGCTCCGACAGCTTGAGGCCAAGGCTGGCACTCCAGGTGCCGGGCTGGCCAGGGTCCTTCGGGAATGGCGGGAAGGCAAAGCCGTTGACTTCGCGGTCGTCGAGCAACGCCGCCTCCTCCTGCGCCTTGCGATTAAGCTGTTCCTGCTCGCCGACGCGATGGTAGAAGAGGGGCGTTCGTCGGATAAAGCGCTCAGCGATGAGCTCGGCTGCCGCATTAGAGTAGCTCGAGTTGCCGGTCAGGTATCCGGCCATGGCGAGAAGAGAGGCGCCAGTCGCCGCCTTCTGGGCGTGCAAGTCGCGGAAGGCTGCCGGATCCTTGAGGACGTGCCGGACGTCTCGCAGATTCGGGACGACAAGGCGCTCGAAGCGCTCAATCTTGACGACGGCGTCGCGGCGGTTGAGCTTGAACTTCTGCCGGAGCCGCTCGACGTCGAACATGTCGAAGTTCCAGAGGCGATCGGGGTGGAAGCCGCAGTGGAAGGGGTTCTCCTCACCGAAGCACCCGTGTTCGCCTCGTGCGACGAGCTCGTCGAGCCGCTCGAGGAACGCGACGATGCCGCGGATCCGATTCGTGTTGCGCAGAGTCGCGGCCTCGGTCGAGTGCTCCTCCTGGCTCTTGAAGCCGGAGAAGAGGCGGTAAACCCAGCCGGCCTTCACGTAGGCGAGATGACCGCGAGGCGGGTTCGGTTCGCCCCATGGGTCGTGCTCGCCGTGAGGAGCGTGAATGAGCGAGTCCTTGGTCACCGAGCCTTCGACGCCGGGAATCGAACCCCAGGTCTTCGCCGTGATGTGCGCGCGGTCCGTGACTTCCCAGGGAAGTGTGCGTCGGTCGAGGCCGCGAGAGTAAGGGATTGCTCCGAGTCGCCAAAGCAGCTCGAGCTTGCTTCGACGGCCGTACCGCATGGCTTCTTGGAAAGACTCGGTCGAGTCGTAGCGGAAGCCGATCTGCGGCTCTTCCGGCGTGTCGGGCGCGTTGGCGGGGCGGTGGAGGATCTCGGCGTCGACGATAGCTGAAGCGCCTTCCTCGATATCGAGCGGGACGAGGTCGATCGTGTTGTTCTTCCGGACGTCCTCGTTGTCGGTTAGGCGAGCCATCGGGATGACAACGTAGCGAGATGCGGCGGGACCCTCGCCGGCGATGGAGAGGGTGCGCACGACCGAGAACATCGCTGCGGGCGTGAAGAACGAGTTGCCGTCGAGTGGGAGGATCCAGCGAGCGTTCGGGAGCGAGCGGCCGTGGTGTAGAGCAAAGTTGCGACCGCCGTTCTGCCGGTCAAGCGTGATCAGCTGTGGGGGATTGGCGAAGAGTGGAAGCAAACGCACGTTGTTCATCGCGTACAGGTTCTTCTCGTGGTAGGTAAAGTCGAGGGCACGAAGGCGACCCAGCGTCTCTGCCTTGCGCTTCTTCGCCTGCAAAGCGTCGACAGTCGCCCTCGCCTCGTCGCCGTCGGCCTCCTCGAGCAAGACAGAGAGGTCGCCCGGGATCTGGACATTGTCGGGGACCTGCGTCCAAGTCGGCTTCTTCTTCGTCGGCGCAGATCCGTCGCCAATACCCCATCCCCTCGCATGCTCGACACCGCCGTCCCAGCGGAACTCGCGCCGCTGGTACTCGTCCCAGTCGAACGGAATGACGATGATGCGCGAGTCGGGTACCGAGTACATGTGAAGGAGGCCGATGATGGCACTGACGAGTTCGGGTTCGGCGATGCGGTTCAAGACGAAGTACTTGTCGACCCGGAGACCGCCCATTTGGGTGTGCGCCTGCTGAGCCTTCGTGCCAGAGCCGTAGAGGTCGGCATGGTGGACGCCGTGCGGGCCGAGGGGAGGGAGTACCGAGAAGTCCGACTCGTGCTGGAGGAGGAAGCGGAGGTTGCGCAGCGTCTGGCCGGGCGAGTGTCGAGGGGGAAGGTCGTTGCCGAGGATGCGATAGAGGACGAGCGTGTCGCGTTCGGGAGCATCGCCGTGCTCGACGGGAGGCGGAAGCGCTTCGTGGTCGACGAACTCGACATGCGGGCGGGCGACAAAGACGTTGTGCCGCTTCTTCTCCTTGACCTCCTTGTCTGTCGGCTCGGGCACGGCAACTTCCGACTTGCGCGGCATCGGCGGCTGGCGGTACTGCGGCGTTTTGCTCGGCCCGTCAACGACAAAAAAGCGGCGCACCCATCGGTACGGCGGGCCAACCCAGCTTGACGAAGGTGCCTGCTTTCGCTCGACGACGTCCGGGTGGATGAAGTGGCCGTTCTCGAGCCTGGCGCGGGTGCCTGCCCCTTGCCAGGTTGCCCGCCCCGACTGAGCGCTCGACTTTGCCCGCTGCGAGAAGGTCTGGCGCATCGGGACGTTTGACGAGCTACCGGAGCGGTAGTAGGCGATGGCGAAGCCGACGAGCGAGACGACGAAGAGGATCAACAGCCTTCTTCGCCATCCAGACTTGGCCGAATCCGCCCTCGCTTTGTTGAGATGCGGGTCGTCCGGCCGGACTGCCCAGCTGAACCCACGGTTATGCTTGAACTTCTCGATCCGCTTCTTCTCCTCGCGATCCTTTGCCTCCTTCTCCTTCTTGCGTTCCTCCTCCCGAGCAGCACTGGCGAAGCTCGTTCGTCGAATGGGGCCCTTCGGGACGCCCAGAGACGGGCTGAGGGAGGGCGAGGGAATGGAAGGGGCCGTGGGCGAGGTGGGCGCCGGCTTGATTGAGGTAGGGAGCTCGGCGTTGAGCGAGCTGGACGAGGTGCGGCGGACGAGGCCGGATGCGAAGCCGGTCAGGGAGGCGAGGCGAGGGGAGGAAGGAGCGCGCTCCATCGAGGAAGAGCCTGGGAATGCCGGTCCGGCCGCCAGCAGCGGACTCGGGAGGGCGCCCAGAGCAGGCGAGTTGAGCGGACTGGTCGAGAAGTATGGCTGCATGGGCGATTGAAGGGGCGAAGTCGAGCCGGAGAACGATCGCTGCATGAGAGGTGCGGGCGCGCCGCCGTCGCCCATGTCGATGCCAATGGCGAGGCCTTGAGGCTCCTCAGTCGGCGCAGATGTGAGGATCAACGACGGTCGCCGCTTGGCAGACGGGTCCTTGTCGTCCCGCAAGTCTTCCCCGAGCAGGATCGAAGAGGAACGCGAGTTCTGGCGCTCGATGCTCGTAGAGGCACTCGGATTGATCTCAAGGGCTGCAGTATGAAATGTGAGCTAGGACTGCGCGGGAATGTGCAAACGAACGAGACGAACCCGCGTCGAATCCCTTCGAGCGAGAGCGCGCGCTTCCTGGCGCACTTGCGGGCGGTGTCGGGTAGCTTGCGCCAGATGACAGCCTCAGAGTGTTCACAGGCTTGCCATCGGCGGAAGGGACGATAGGGGGAGACGGCGGGAAGGACGAAGGAGGAGTAGGCGGGAGAGTCGAGAAGTGGGCGGGCGAGACGAGGCCGGGCGAGTGGAAGGCTGGCGAGCGTGGTGACCGTCCGTCTGCGCCGTGTGTCGAGACTTCCAAGCGAGGCGAGCTGTCGCGCAGATCAAGAGCAGGTGGACGCGAGGAGGACGACCGGCGAGTCCGCGCGTCCGCCGCCTGTCCCGTGTGCAACGGCAGGCTCATATGCTCTCCTGTAGGCGTACGAAGAGCGCTGTCAGCCTGAACCACGCGCACGAGTCGGCGCACGGGCGGGAGGCGTACCTTGTCGAGCGCGTCTGTCGGTAGACGAGGCAGACTGAACGAGCGAGAGTGGGACAAGTCAAGGTCCCCAAAGCGTGTCAGTCCGAGTGTCTGTGCGCTGCAGCCAGTGCAGTCAAGCCGCGAGCGAGTGAAGTTGGAGGAAGAGGAGTTTCGACGACGCGCTCGAGTCGCGACCAACGACGAACGCGTCTGGCTCGACTCTTGAGGGCCTCTCCTGGCGGGCTGAGACGTCCAGCGTAGTCTGAGCTGTCGTAGCAAGCAGGGCAAAGCTTACGCTGGTCGTACGGAGGCAAGGGAGGCCGTCTCTCACCCGGACAACTTCGAATTCTCTTCCCTTTCTTCTCCTTGGACAGCCAGTAAGTCGTCCGAGACGCACGCAAGTCTGCTCTTACATTCTGTGCTGCCGGCGACTCCCGCCCGGCCGAATTGAGCGAACCTCCTCGACCTGGCCGTCGTCCGAAGAGCCTCCGTTCGTCGAAGAGTCCTCTTCGAAGCTCATCCTTCGACCTTTCCGCCTGCCTCGCCCCGTCATACTCCCGACTCGACCACGGGACCTCATCGACCCGCGCCGCTTAGCCTCCTCGTGCATATGCCGCTCGAGCGAACTGTCCGAGTCGCTGTCGAAGAGCGACAGAGACGAGCGTCGCCTGCTGTGCCGGCTCTTGGTTGTTGGCGAGGCGAGCTCAAGTAGGCTGCCGCTATCGTCGAATTGCTTGCCGTACTCGCTGCCGCCTGTTGCGGCGGAACAAACGGACGGTTAGGAAGGTCGTCAGGAATACTTTTGGTTCTTTGGGCTGCACGCACGGGTGTAGCGGTAGACGGGGAAGCCCAACGCGATGTGAAAGACGAGCACAAGGCTGAACAGCAATCAGTGAGGCCAACATTGATGCTGAAAGCAGGCGGGCTGGACAAACCTGACGGCGAGCACGACAACCCAGTTCCGACTCCACCGTGACATACAGTCCTCCGGTGTGGTCGTTGGTAGATTCTTCATGCTGCGGAACAGTTTCGGTAAGCGGAAGGAGATTAGACGAACGAACGACAAGCGCACCAGAAATCGACGAAGGAGTCCTGCCGCTCGAGTAGCACGTAGAGGATGATACCCGCTACGCACTGCAGCACGGCGAGGAACTGCTGACGACTCGGTCAGCCGCATTTGCGGTCGGCAAGAACGGGCAGCGTACGAGAGAAGCGAGTGCGGCTGAGCGAAGCAACTTTGGGTGCGGCGGCGGTTCGTCCTTGGCTGGCTTCTTCCCGAACAGTATCAGTAGCGCGGCAGCCCTGCAGGAGGAGATGTCAGTCGCGCCGGCTGCGAAGGCAGAGATAGCGACTGACCAGCTCGGGATGCACGCCGCGCAACCGTTGATCATGAGCATGAGCAAGACCGCCGTACTGCTTGATGCGTAATCCTTTGGTCGTGGCGGTCCTGTGACATAGAGGGAGATGACAAGAGCGGCTGTCGAGAAGGCAGATTAGCGAACTCGAGAGCCTAGGAAGAGAGGCGGGACGCACAGCCGATGCACAGCGCGCCTGCTCCTGCAAACTCGAGCACCGTGTTCATCCGTCGCAGCGGGTCGACCGGGTCTTCAGGTGGGGCAATAGGCGGAAGAGAGGGTTCATGGTCACCGGACAAGTCGCTCTCGTCGGAAGAGGTGTCCGGCGAGACGGTCGGTGGTCGCCGTGACTGGGAAGCGCGGCGAGGCTGCTTGAGCTTGATCGTCGTAACCATCGTTGAAAAGCAGTGAAGAGGAGGAGGGAGAGAGGGAGCAAGTGGCGTCCGGATGTTCCGCGGACTGCTGGCGGGCGGCGACGGGCATCCTTCCGTCGAGTGTACCTCGGTGTCAAGAGCAGACGCAGCGAGAGCAGGTATGCGATTGACGGAAGTTGGCGCGTTGGATTATGCGAGACGATGCATGCGACGAAATAACGTTACAACGAACAAAAACTGCAAGCGAGGTACGGTACATGCGCTGTGGGTCGCAAAGTCAGCGTACAAGATACGATGGAGAGACTAGATCACGCACAGAAACCCAAACAATGCGGAACAAGCGCGCCCCCTTCCTCCCATCGCGCTTCAGTCGAGCAGGTGGATGACCATCTGGCCGTTCTCCTTCTTGATGTTCATGCGCAGCGGCTCATCCTTGACCTTCGGCTTCTTCTCCGCCTTGACGCCGCCGCTCTTGAGCTTGGCGTTCTCCGCCTCGAGACGAGCGACCTTGGCGCGAAGGTCCGTTTCGTCGTCGTCGTCGTCCGAGAGGGTGATAACGTCGGTCTTGCGCTTCTTGCCTTTGATATCTGGCGACTTGAGCGCGGCTTTGGGCGAACGAGCAGGTGACGCGGGTGCAGGGGAGGGCGACGTGCGAGGGAGAGCTGCGAGGACACCGTCAGCTTGCCGACAGTCGCTGCCCACGATGTCGCAGGACGCACGCTCGACGATGTCTTCGAGCTCAAGCAACGCCCTGCTGCGGTACTTGAACTCGAGCACGTAGAAGGGAGAGTCCTCCTTGTCGACGTAGGTGACATGCACCGGGTTGCCTGAGATAGCCGCGCTCCGGACGGCGCCAAATCTAGTCGTGTACGCGTCAGCAAGCGAATCGGAGGGTTTGGCGGTCGTCGGGCTCACCCAGCCTGGTGCGAGATGGCAGCCTTCTTCGAGCGCTCGTCAATGGTCTGCCGGGACAAGGATTTAGTGGGACTAGGCGAGCAAAGACTATTAACGTACGTGTTGCTTCGCGTCATCCTTATAGACGTTTGGAGCCGTTGAGTCTCGGATGTTCAAGCAGCGCAGGACCGGGAAGCAGATCGTGCCGAGTTTCTTGATGACAGCCTCGCTGGTCGTGGCAAGGTTCGAGTCGTCCGTTAAGCTTGTCTTGGCGAAGGTGAAAGGGCGAACGGCCTGGTCTGAGACGCGTTTGCCCTCCCACGTCCACGGTGTCTCCGTGCGGAACACCACCCCGTTCATACTGTGCCAGGAAGTGTCACCTACAGCGTCAAAGCTGTGAGCAACAGCATGGGGACGCACGCCATGCCGTCGACTTCCGGACAAACTCGTGCCTGGGTACCGTCGCCAGCCTTGTTGTGGGCGGCAAAGACGAGCTGGAACTCCTCGCCCTCGACCGCCTCGATGTAGCAAGTCGACTTCTTGCCCTCGTGCGCAACCTTGTACACCTCGACAGGCTTGTCGTCGATCGTGACCCACGCCGACCAGCGGTTGAGGGGATCCGTCCTGTTTCGGAGGAGCAGTCGAGGTCAGCTTGACTCGTTAGTCGCGTCAGCAGGCTTTGAGCGACGCACAGCTTGGTGAGAGGTTCTGCGGGACCGAGACCGGCGCCGGGTGGCGCGAGGGGAGCCATAGTCGCGATCCTGTGAGCCGACGGAGCAAGAGGGGAGTGAGCGTGCGCCCGCCTGGCCTTTCAAGCTGTCCGTGCGGCGCGTGCATGCACTAGCGAGCTGTACGCATCCTCCAGTACCCGTCGCAAGCCCCATCGCCCGTTCGCCCTCCTGGTCTGAACCTCTTCGCTTCATCGCTCGACTTGGGCAAGAACGGGACGACCAACGCACCTGGGTGCTAGGCGCAGCGCGCCGGGCGAAATCAGAGACTGCTGAAGCACGCAGCGAGCAAGCACAGGCAGCAGCAGCTAGTCTTGAGCGTGAGAGAGGCGGGAGAAGTCCAAGTTCGCTTCGCGCGGCGCGACGCCAAGGTCAACATTCGACCCAATACGAGTGAGTGGGAGGGCAGAACGGAGGCAGCAGCACACTCGTACAGGATGAGAACTCAGAACGGGTGCTGCAAAGCGGGACCGGGATGGACGACGACAGGATGCTTTGCGAAAGATGCGGCATGAGGACGGCAAGAATGGTACAACGAACACGACAGCAAGCGAACTACGGTATATGCACTGCGAAGCTCGATGTCAGCAAGTGTGCACACGCAGCGCAAGAGAGGTGACGCACCAGAGTTGACGAGATGCGAATCAAGCGGCTCCTCCCTCTTCCTCCTTCACGTCGAAGCTAGTCGAGCAGGTCGATGACGGTCTGGCCGTTCTCCTTCTTGACAGCCATGCGCAGCGGCTCGTCCCTGACCTTCGGCTTCTTCTCCGTCTTGACGCCGCCCTTGTTCTGCTTGCCACGCTCAACCGCATCGTCGTCTTCGTCATCGGAGATGGTGATGACGTCCGTCTTTCGCTTCCTTGACGAAGGTCCGGCGGCAGGAGAAGATGCCGGCTCGAGTAGGTTCGGCGGCGGGGTGGCATGGACGATAGCTACGAACGAGGTTTCAGCGGGGCAGCGGTGAAGTGCCAGGCGGTACGACTCACGCTTGACGATGTCTTCGAGCTCAAGGAGCGTGCGACTGCGGTAACGGAAAGCGAGGGTGTGGCAGGGTGACTTCCACGGATCAATCCATGCAATCCTGTCGCGGGCGCCGCTCTCGGGCTGGTATTTTGCTTCCCCGTAGCTGCGGGAGAGACGGTCAGGTAAGCTGGCGGTGAGAGAGAGCAAAAGCGGCGCACCTGGTCGAATGGCTCATCTTGGCCTTCTTGCTGCGTTCGTCGACGACCTGGGTGGCGCCGCCAAGGGAGTCAGCGCACGACGAATGGCTTGGATCAAGGGCAAGTGTACATGCTGCTTTGCGTTGTCCTTATACTCGCGGTTGCCAGCTGAGATGCCGAGAATCGACGTGCGGTAGATCTCGATTGAGATGGTCCCGAGGTTCTTGATGACCGCCTCGTCTTTCGTTGCAATGTCCGCGTCGTCCGTCAGAGCGATCTTTGCGAAGCTGTAGGGGCGGATGGAGGTGGCCGAGACGCGCTTGCCGGTGAAAGCTGCGGGACGAGTATTTGAACGCTCGATGGAGAAAGCGCCAGCCCTGCAGGGTGACCGCGTTCAGTGGCGAAGAGGAGCGTAATGAAGCGACTCGCACGCACTCGGTGCCGTCCAGCTGCAGGTAGGCAGCGTAGTCGGTCGCAGTGAACGTTCCCTTCTTGATCTCGACCTTAAATTCCTTGCCCTCGACCGCCTCGATGTAGCACGTCGACTGCTTGCCCTCATGGACGACCTTGTACACCTCGACAGGCTTATCGTCGATCAGGACGCTCGCGGACCAGACCTTGAGAGGGTCGGACCTGCTCGAGCGAGGAAAGCGAAGGTCAACTCAGCTCGTTTCCGCTGCGAGGCGGGCCGGAGACGTACAGCTTGGTGAGAGGCTCGTCTGGCCCGAGTCCTGCGCCAGCAGGAGGGAGAGATGCCATGGGGGAGGTTCTGCGGGAGGGAGAGTGGGGAGAGGGTGAGTGCTCGTCCTCGGCGTATCCTGCAAGGGTGTGGGCCATTCGAGCGGCATTGAACAGCCCACTAACACTCCCTCGCACTGCTCACGCATCGCCCAGCGCGCTCCACCCGTCCCTCGACTTCATCGCTTCGAGTCGCTCGACATCCTCCCACACACGCGCAAGCTCACCAGGTCGTGTGCGCCGGTCACAGCAAGGTCAGAGCAATTCGAGAAGCAGCGCGAGAGCAAGGACAAGCTGCACGAGCGCGTGCGTGAGCGGGAGAGTGTCGCGGTCGAGGGAACTTCGCCGTGGGCGGCGCGACGCTCGTTGAAGTCGCGCGAACGTCAACAACGAGGTCGAAGGTCAAGGACTGAGGCATTGCAGAAGTGTAACAAGGTCAACGAGATAGGAAAAGCGACAAGGGGCGTTCTGCTGTGTATCGGGGACAAGGTGTATCGCGGGAAAGTGGAACGACAAGCGAGGGCGAGAGACTGTACAGAGAGGTCATGACGAGAGCGCAAGTACTGTACACGGAGAGATAGAGAGGCGATAGGAACTGTAGACGGTCTCGAGGGGAAGGCGTCTAGCTCTAGAAGAGCGCAGGCTTCTGGCGGTCCTTGCGGTCCTTCTTGCCCTTGCCGCCCTTCGGGTCCTTCTTCTCGACGCAGCGCTTCGGGACGTCGTAGTCCTCCTTGCGCACTCCGCCGCCCCACGGCGTCGAGCCGACGAGCGTCGCGTCAGGTCCGAGACCGCGCTTGGCAAACGACTGCCAGATGATGCACTCGTTCTCGCCGCCCGTGAGCGCCTTGTCGGCCTGTGCACGGTGCGTAACGTCAGTGTCGTCGCTCGGAAGAAAAGTCTCGCAAAGGCGAACGCACCGTGATGATGGCGTCGCGAGCGTTCTGGAAGGTCGGCCTGCACGGCTGGATCTTCATGCCGTCGATGACGAGCTGGACCGCGAGCGTGTTGCCATGCGCAGGGACCTTCTTGCCGCTCTGGACGAGGTGGCGCTCCGAGTAGAAGCCGGTCGAGTCGGTGCCATTGACGGCGGGCGGGAAGAGGGTCGGGTGGAAGCCGTGCTTGTCGATGAGGTTCTCGGCGAGCTCGAAGAGCATCTCGGCCCAGACTTCACCGATGGCGTGGACGCCTGCGAACGTACCTTATCAACCGTGTAAGCGAGTCAGGCGGAGAAAGTGGACGCACCCCAGTAGCCAGGGCGGGAGAGGAAGTTGTACGTCGAAGGGTTCTCGGTCATGTTGCGCGAGTAGCCTGTACGACGCGATTGCTCAGTACATCTTTGTGGAGACGACGAGGGCAGACTCACGGTAGTAGCGGATACCCTTGGCGCGGTTACTCGCCCACTCGCCCATCGAGTAGTCGGTAACGTTCGTGTCGTGCAACCTGATCATGGTCGCAAGGAAATCTCCCCAGCCTTCTCCCATTCCGCCTGCCTCTCCCCAACCAAGGCAGCCAGAGTTGGCAGGCCCACCGGTGAGGCGCGTCGAGAGGCCGTGCGAGTACTCGTGGATGACGATGCCGGCTTCGAAGTCGCCGTCGCGGTACGGCTGCTGGGCATTCCAGACGTACATGCGCATGCGAGGGCGCTGGCCGTCGGGCGGGGTTGCGAACTGCGGGAGCCAGGTGACGAGAAGGTCAGCACGAGTCTAAGGGTTCAGTGGTCGCGGTCAATGAAGGTAGTAGACGCACGTTGGCGTTGTTGTAGCCACTGCCGTCCTGGGCGTTGGCCTGCACGGCGTCTCCTCCGCGCCCACCACGCCCAAAGTTCTCCTCCTGGAAGTTTCCGCTCTCCTCGTCGAACCCGTAGCGGTAGTAGAGGTCGTGGATCTCGTTCGAAGTGTAGAAGAGCTCGGTGACCGAGGCGTTGATGTACGAAGTCGGGTCGAGCGGCGTGCCAGGCTTGGTCATGTGGATCGGAAACTTGAACGACATGTCTTCGCCGCCGTTGGCGCGGAAGCCGTCCATCGAGTTCCCGCCCGAGGGGTTGTCCTGCGCCAGAACGTTGTTCCCGCGCGTCTCGAAGTAGAACGTGTCCTTCGAGTGCGACGAGTAGTCCTTGCCGGCGGGGACGGTATGCCAGCCGACGGGCGACGCCTCAGAGTCCATCTCGACGAGCGTACCGGTGAGGAGCGAACGCTTGCCCTCGTCCGGAGCGTTGACGCCCCAGGGGAAGACCTTGTACGCCGGCTGGACCTTGCGCATCTTGGCGACGAGCTTCTCGTCCGTCGTCGACGCGGTGGGGTGGGACGCGGTCTTGACTGCCGCGGCGTTGACGACGGCGTCGTCACGGAGGAACGCGCGCGAGCCGACGAGGCCGGCCGCCTCGATGCCGAGTTCGCCGCCAGTCAACTTGAAGTCGCGCACCCAGTCGACGACGAGCAGCGGCTCCTCGTCGCCCGCAGCGACCGACTTGTCGCTCGACATGTACGCCTCGTACATGTTGTCCTGGGTCTTGAGCTCGTACTTCCACGCGAGGCGGACGTCCTCGCCATCGTGGACGTAGCACATGGTCGCCTTGACGGGCTCCTCAACGCCTGCGAGGTGCGTGTCGATCTCGAGATCGTGCGCCGAGTCGCCGCCGACTTGCTGCCGGATCGTCATGGCGTCGACGAGCTGCGGGCGAGGGGTCGACTCGAGCGCCTGCGCGAGCTGAACCGTCGACGACTGGATCGCGAGGAAGGTCAAGAGCCCCTCGCGCGGGTCGGCAGCGTCGGCATGCGACAGGAGGCGCGAGCCGGTCTCGTGACTGGGAGCCGCACCGCCAAAGACGACCTGGTTCGCGCCCGAGTCGACGCGGTCTACGACGTCCGACGCCCACGACTTGACGCGCTGCTTCCAGTCAAACTTGCGTCCGCCCGAGCGAGCGACGGCGGGCTTGTCGGCGTGCGAGGCGGCGAGCGACGAGTCGCCGTACGAGAGGACCTTGCCGGTCGAGAGGTCGACGTTGACGTTGAGGTTCCCGTTGGCGACGGGGATGCCGTCGACGACCTGGGTAAAGTGGGCGTGGACGACGCCCGAGTGCTTCGAGAGGAGGGCGCTGTCGAGGCGGAAATCGGCGTCGGGGTGGAGGTGGGCGACGAAGCTCTTTGCGAGTTCGGTCCCGATGCACCTGCCGAGGTCGACGGGGGACTCTTGCACGTCCGACGAGCAGTGCGCGGCGATGGGGTGCTTGGCGGCGAAGTGGTTGGCGTTCCAGACGCTCAGCGCGGGCGAAGGGTAGACCTCGTCATCGTGCGTGCGCGCGTGGACGGTCGGTCCAAAGTTGATCGACTTGCGGATGCTCGACTCGCCTGATGCGCCCGAGAGCGAGGCGAGCGAGGCGCGAGCGAGGGCGTCTGCCGATGGGGGGACGACGAGCGACGAGCCGAGCGAGACGAGGGAAGCGAGCGATGCGGTTGCCGCGAGTCTGTGCGAGCGAGTAGTGCGATGCGTGCGAGTGCGTAGAGTCATAGAACAGTCTGTATCCAGCTGCGAGTGAGCGAGTGAGGAGATGGCGAGAGAGAGAGGAGGCCTCGCACGCGACCGACCACGCCCCACTCGGCTGAGATAAGGACGGGCTGAATACAAATTCCCCCTAATGAACTTCTAACCCTTCAAAGCATACACTCAGCTAATGCCCGCCTTACAACTCCGCTTGTATCCCTCTCACTCCGCAACCATGTCCTCGTGGTACTCGGTGACAGACTTTCTCGACGACGCAACAGTCAGTCACTCCCACAAAACCCATCCAACACGCGAACTCACCGTCGTCGAGTGCACGCGCAGAAACTCCCGTCCAAGGTGCTCCTCGACATCCCCAACGCAGGACACCTCGAAGGCGGCACAGACAAGGACGTGCGTGTAGCTCTCCCTCAGTCCGCACACTCACTCGAACGGTCGCGCGTTGACGACGGGGAACGCCTTGTTGTGCGACTTGGACGCGACATCAGTTGCGGGCAGGGACCTCGCTCGAGCTGCCGTTCTGGCTCGCGAGCAAGCTATCAGAGCAGTGCGTCCCTTCGCCCTTCACTCGCGACGCCCGCTGACCGAGTATTCGCCCACAGAGACACCATCGACCTCACCCTCCCTCGAGCGTACTCGCCCATGGTCCGCAACGCCTTGTCTGCTTCGCCCGGGTCTGTGCACTTGCGGAATCTGGGAGGAGGAGGAGGCGCGTTCTATGCCGGCGGAATGCGGTTGCTGAGTCTGTGAGTTTCGCGGATCCTCCCTTACCCTCCCTTGCTGTTCTACTCTCGCGTCATTTCGCCCGGCGAGACTCTCCACAAATTCACTGACACTCCATTGACGCCATCGACGCGCACACAGCATCGAAGACCCGACCCTCTCCACCATCCTCGACCACTCCTTCAAGACTCGTCTCGTCCAGATCATGGACCAGAGCCAGCATTCGCTCGCGGATCATGGTGGAGAGGGCGCGGCGTATGAGTTTGCGCAGGGACTGGATCTGTGGGAGAAGGAGTGTGAGTTGGGCGCTCTTTTGCTGGATCTGCTCGAGAGGGATTGCTTTCGAGCGATCTGGAGCGAGTTGCCGAGAGGCGGGCGCGTGACTGACATTATCGCCTCTCTCGCAGTGTTCACAGTCGGCGAGACCTCCGCAAAGCAGATGAAGACCTGGTTCGACACCAAGGCGAAGAAGCGGTAGCCGTTCTCCCATCCTCTCTCTCGGCATTCTCTATCTCTCGCATCGCATCTTTGTTCGTTGTAACACCACTTGCAACCCAGTCTCTTCTCCCTTCTTCCCTTCCCCCTTGAGAGCCACAGGGAGCAGTCTACAACCCCAACCTCCTCATCTCCCCGCCAACCCTCCCATCCCACCGCTTCACCTCCTCCGTCTTGCGGGCGCGGCGCTCGGTATCCCATGAGGCGAAACGGGATTCGAGAAGGCTGGAGGGGAGGAGCGGGTGGTCGACCATTCCGCAAAAGGCCTCCTCGGAGGACGTGGAGGATGAAGAGAGAGGAGGAGGGAGGGTTTCGTAAGGCGGGGGCGGGGACGAGGTCCTTGGTGCGTAGCCGTACGGTGGTGAAGGTGCGCGGAGGGTGGGTTCGAAGGACGACGAGTCGGTGGGGGCGACGAGCGGGTTCGACGACGAGATGAGGACCGGTCCGGAGATGCTGATTGCTGCCTTTGAGGAAGTGGCAGAGGGAGAGGGGGAGGGCTTGCTCCGCTTTGTAGGGCGAGAGAGGCGCTTCGATGAGGAGGAAGAAGTGGAGTCGCGGGAGAAGAGGGATGCGAGGGTGGTTGAAGAGGAAGGCTCGGCGAAGTGCAGAGGCCCGAGGGGGGAGGTGAACGCGCTGGGGGTGGTGAACATCTTGCTCGTGAAGGGTTCGAGGTAGGCGCGAGGAGGCTCAGGAGGGCGAGAAGGTACTTGAGTGGAGATGAAGGAGGAGAAGGAAGCGAGAAAGGCGAGCGCGAATCTCTGTACGCGCTCATCGTGTCGGCATCGACTTCTCGTCGTCGGTTGTGAGGAGGAGGAGGCGGAAGCGAAATGAGGCGGTGCAGAGGCGGATGCGAAGGCGAGGAGGAGGCCTGAACGTCGGACGGGGACAGAGCGAGATGGGCGGGCGACGACGGTCGAGAATAGCGACGTCGACGAGCTTGCGGGACAGCGGGATCGGTCCTGGGTGACAGGGCGCGAAAGGCAGTCGAGCGGGCGGAGAGGGAGAGGAGAACGAGGCAAGTGAGGGTATCGAGTTGCGAGGGGGTATACTCGAACTTTGCCGCTGCCTGCGAGAAGCGAGCGAGGTCAGCATGTAAGTATTACGATTCCAGAGAGGACAGTCGCAACAGCTCACCCTACCGGTCCTTCTTGCCGTCGCCTCCAGCAACTTCCGCAGGTCCGCCGCCCTTCGACACCTCTTCTCGCTCCTCCTCTACTCGCTCCCGTCGTTGTTGCTCTTCTGCGTCTGCAATAGCGATGAGGAACCTGCGGGAGAGACGGCGTGAGCAGAAGAACAAGCGAGGATGGTCGAGAGGAGGACCCGAAACGCACCACCGTATGCTCGCCCACAGCGCCACGCTCAATCCCAGCATCGCCAAGACGTGCCCATTGCCCCTTGTCAAGACCAGCATCCCGAAGAGCGTCGCAAAGAGGGCGTAGAACGAGTAGTTCATCGCGGCGACGAGGCCAGAGTTCGTGCCAGGCGTGAAGATCGAGTTGACGAGGTCGGCGAAGATGCCTGGACGGTCGTTGCGAGCAGTCTGAGCCATCCTGGCGGCAGTCAGCGGAGTTGCAGCGTCGTGGTCGAGCGAGAGGGAGGGTTCGTCGACAACGGCTCACTTGCAGGCTCGCTCTCGCGCTGAAGGGCTCTGCGGCGCTCGCTAGACAGTACCAAAGCTCTGACGGAGGCACTGGCATCGCTTGGGCTGCGCCCCAGCCGACGCTCTCGCATCCTCGATTCTCATCACCTCAGGTGTCGCCAGAGAGACGGAGGCAGCGTGAGGGCTTAACGGACCGTCAGCGTAGACAGACTGATGTACAAAAACCGTGGCCACCTTATGTAGGCCGGGACTTAAGCTTGGGAGCGTCTTGAATTCGCTTCTCTCGTCCTCCAAGTCGTCTGTCCTCGGCTCCATCTGGCTTTACGACTTGCGCGATGCTCGCTCCGAGGCTGAATCGGACAGCGTCCTTCGTAGCGCTCGACATGTCCTCGCCTTTTGCTCGCCTTTCCCGCTCTCGTCGACCTCGAGCCTCGAGACCCCTCTCGCCCGCTGCGTCCGCTCAGGCCCCCTTCACCCGCTCATCCTTCCATACGCTCATCCAGCAGTCGACGAAGAGCTGACGGCGATGCCTGCTACCCGCTCAAAAGGGCGCGCTCCTGCTCTCTCTCGCTCTCTTCACCACTCTACTCGAACTCCCCTCAACCCTCAGCCTCCCAAGCCACCCCAAAGCACTCCAAGCTCGCCAGCATGGCCTCTCCCATCTCCTCTCCTCTCGGCCCGCTTCACCTCGCGCACCCCGCCGACCAGGCGCAGCCCATCCGAACCCTGCTCTCGCTCTTCCGCCGCTCCCGCACGACGTCGAACTCTGCCAACCCTAAGGCGAAATCCGTCTCCACGCCGCGACGCCTCGAGAAGGCCGCCAACCTCCTCTGCCACATCGACGACACTTGCGGGAACACCTTTATCGCTCAAACGGCAGAACCGTCGTCGCCTCCTCCCCCTTACTACGTCGCCGCGGGACAAGAGGAAGATCTCGTCTGCCTAGAGGTTGGAGAGGTCGTCGAGGCCGCGAGGAAGCAGGACGAATTGGCGAGGCAGAGGCAGGAGTTGTTGGAGCAGGACCGACGGATGGGCGAAGAGTTGGCTCGTCTTGGTTTCTGAGGGGTGCTTTATCGCCGTTTGTCAAGAAGCTGTTGTTGTCAATATTCACCATTTCGTCGCTCGCTCATTTGCGAATCGCTGCGTGCGAAGTTGCGAGTGCGATTGCGAGTAGTCTATCCGAGTTCTGCTTCGACCGTCTCCCGCTCAACCCGCCAACCTTCCCTCGAGCCGGTTTACAAGATCCTCAATGAGCAGCGGGTCGACCTTGGACGAGTCGAGCCACTGTTGCCGGAACGCCTCCTCGCCGCCGCTCAAAGCCTGCGCCTCGCCTAACTTCTGCCGAATCACCATCTTCAGGTTGCTCGCTCGGATTGGGTCCCGCCGTTGCATCTGCGCAGGTGAGCGGAGCGTCAGCGCAGCGCGTATGGGGGAGTCAGCGGACTTGCGCACCTCCTGCCGCCGCTTTGTCTCGAGCGTCTCCGTCCAGTCCTGCTCCACGTCGCTCTGGTAGTCCTCGTAGTGATACAAATCGGCGCTGTAACAGGCACAGAGGCGTCAGTCAAGCTGTGAGCAGGATGGCTGAGCAAGGACAACCCACTCCCCGCTCTCCGACTCTTCCGTCTGTGCGAGCACGCTCGACCATAGCGAGACGAGGTCGGCCATGCGTCCAAGAATGACCGGATTGGTCGTCGCGACGAGGTGCGCGAGAGCGAGGGCGACAAGCTTGCGCTGCGCGCCCTGCGACAGATTGTCGAGCTGCGAGCAAAGCCAGTCAGCTACGGCGCTTCGACAGATCTGCCGGCACTTTTCTCACCCGCTCAATGAACTGCGTCATGACGAGCTCGACGATTTGGTCGGGAGTGGCGCTAAGGCGAGAGGCGGATGCCGCGACGAGGGTGTGGAAGGTTTCGGGGCTGGCGAGGATGATGCGCGAGATGGAGCAGAGGTCTGCGGATACAAGGCGTCAGCAAGGCGAAGCCACGACGACCGGGAAGCTGGACCAACACTTTGACACGATCAAGGCGGAGTGATCCTGCGAGCATTACGAGGTACGTGGTGAGCGATCGAAGCGGGAGCAAGAACGGTGCTTCCACGCACGTTCGCCGAAATAGCCTTGACGAACGCAGCGAAGCAGCCTGACGCATCGAGCGGACCCGCCCACATGGCAGGCGGAGCAAGCTGGAAAACCGTGTTGAGGGCGTGTAGGATGACCTTGACGGCTTCGAGCTTGAGTCCGTCGAGAAGATCTTGCACGGCGGTGAAGACTTCGTTCGCGCAGAGCTGAAAGAGGCAGCGGCATCAGCTCGGGAAAAGGCGCAAAGCGGATGAAGGCGACGCACCGACAGGACCGCCGTGGCGTCAAGGAGGAGATAGGACTCGAGAATGAGCAGGCATCGTGGCAGGATGTCCATGCCGGTACCGAGAAGCGCGACGAGGATGGGGAGGAGGCCGAGCATATCGGCGGAAAGTGACGAGGACCGGCGAAGGAGGATTTGCCAGAGCTCGAGACCGTCTTCGTTGAGGTAGACGTGTGCGGGCTGCGCAAGTCGGCGTCAGCACCGAGGCGAGTCTTGTCAAGTGAGCGCCATGCGCACTTGGGAAGGGTCAACACTGTGACGGATGATTGGGCAAGCTTGCGACTGCAACACCTGCGATCCTGCGTCAAGCGCCTGCGAGCGGCAGATCAGCGCGTGGCTGCATGGCTGCAAGCGAGGGCCGCACCTCGGCCAACTTGGTAAACGTGACCAGGACGGAAGCCTGGAAGTGGTTCTCGTCGGCGGCCTGCCAAAGCTGCGTCAAGATGACGGCGAGCTGCTCCGCGTAAGGAGCGATCTGCGGGCGCCTAATGATCAGCGCTCTACTTGGCTGCCGACGAAGCAGAAGGCAGCGCACCTCTGGACCGACTCGGTCGATGACCACGCCGAGAGTCTCATTCAAGCGCATCTTTGAGTCAGTCAAGGAGACCTCGCTCAGCAGCTGGACAATCTCCTCAATCGCCTTCGGCAGCAGCGGGACAAAGACGGTACGGTCAAAGTCCCAGGTGTCGCACTTGGCGAGACTGCGGGCGGCAGTGAGGCGGATGGCGGTGTCGGTCGAATCGTTGCGGCCGAGCAGGTGAACAAGGAGGCTGTAGATCTGTGGTCGAGACGAGCCAGCGATGTCTTCGCCGACCCATTGCCCGAGCAGCCAGGCGACTCGGCGGCGAATGATTCGGTAGCTGTGAGCGAGACTGTCAACATGGGAAGTTGGCGGGGGTTAATGCGATCAGCTCACGTCAGGTCGGTGCCAGCGCACTCCGCTGCGAGTGTATTCCGCAGCCAGTCTTCGAACGGGATGTACGGTTCGAGCTCGCTCGGACTCCGCCCGACTGCGGTGTAGACGGCCTCCTTCAGCAGCAGCTCGTCCATCGTCTGTGGGTCTGTGGAAGTGATTCGTTGATGTCGAAGCTCGGTTATCACCAGCGGCGCAGGACTCACTGGCGACGCTTTGCAGCAGCTGGACAAGGATTGGGCCGACCTTCTCGCGCTGCACACTCGCCAGCGCCTTCAGCACGTTCTCCGCGCACGGCTGCGGCTCAATGTGTCAGTACCAGCTCATTCAGTCACATGCTTTGTACGTACCCGCAGGTCGAACTCCCACCGCTCCATCTCCTCCTCATTCATCCACTCCTCCGGGTCTTCCTGCCACTTCTCCAAGTCATCCTGCCGCAGCGGGAGCAGCTGCTTGACGAGAAGATCGGTGAATTGCTCGACGAATCCTTCTGGGGGGTCAAGGGGAGCTCGGCCGTCCCAGTCGCCGAGGAGCGACTTGACGAGGAGGAGAGCCTGGACGACCAGGCGAGTTGGGTAGAGCGCCGTAACATCGTCTGTGTCCCCAGTGTTAACGCGAAGCATGCGACGTTCTTAAGTGAGAGCGCACCTGAGACGTTATTCCGCACATCGGCGACCGCGCCAAGCACAATCTGGTAGTACAGCTCGAGGATCCGTTCCGAGGCACCCATGTCGGTGAAACGGCCCGGAAAGTCTCTCAAGAGCGTTCGGTGCATTTTGCCAAACTTGACGACGTGCCGCGTGAGGAAGGTGAGGCGAGGAGAAGCGGAGACGGTTTGGGATGACTGGAGGCGCGTGAGGCGAAGGGTGAGGAGAGACGAGAAGGTCGAAAGGCTGGACGTGAAGAAGTCCTGCAAACGAGACGTCAGTCGAGAGGAAAGGCGAGCGAGAAGCGAACGAACTCGTGCTTCCGCGGCCACGTGCGAGTCGGTGCATCCGTAGAGGAGCAGGTACTGCAGCGTTTTGAACGCAAGCATGGCGCTCTCGATCTCCTCCGGTACTCCTACGTCACTCTCAGACGCCGCCAAGCCCTCCGCTTGCAATCGCTGCACCGCTTGCTGCAGGACTTGCTCGTGCAATTGTCGAAGCGGAGAGAAGAGCAGCTCGGCGAGTCGCATTATGTTTGCGCGTCCGCGCGGCATGCGCTTGGCCGAAAGTGCTTTGATGACGGCGTGGAGAAAGAGGAGCGTGCGTGCGAGGACGAGCCGGCCGGTCGCAGGATCAGGATGGGAGAGGCCGGTTTGAAGGGAAGAGAGCAAGGCGTGCGGGAGGACCTTCCTGTGAGCAGTACGCCGTCAATACGTCTTCGCAGGACCTCGTACGATGAGAGGCTCGCCAGTCTTGGTCGTAATCATAGCCTGCGACCTTGGCTATGGACGAAGCGACGGCTACCGCGAGCTGTGGACGAGGAGACGGTTTCAGTCCCGTCCTGCGCAGCGAGCATAGGCGCACTCACGACGTGATCTCGCTCATCGACCATCTCAAGTAGCCGTGGCCGGATCGACTCCTTCTCTTCCGCCGAGATACCGCTGGATTGAGGAGAAGAGAGGTCAGCGTGAACACCCCTTCGCACCGGGCGCCCTCCGCGCATCTTGAACCACTCGAGCAATACTCTGGACTCGAATGAGCGTACTTTGGAGCACCCCTCCGCCAGTACTTGTCGAGGCCGTTCTTGAACTGCACCGCAGCCTGCAACCGTATCTCGCGCGGAACGCCTTCCCGCTGCGCGAAGACGCCGACCAGAAACGAGTAGTAGCCTGGCATGGTCGCCCATCGCTGCAGGAGGTCGAGCGAGTGCTGGCGGTGCGTCGGATCCGGCGAGAGAGCGTGTGCGAGCGCCTGAAAGACCTCGTCGCTCGACTGTGGCGGGTGGGCCATCGTGTAGCAGAGCTCGTGAGACTGTCTACGAGCTTTTGAAGCAGATCAAGCGAGCGAGAGCGGGTGCAGGTGGAGATCCAACAGTTGCGACGTTCGCGAAGTTCCCCTCGACCTCGTCCACATCGCTTGCTACAGCGCAAGTCGCATGCTAGGGCGCTTTTCTGGCTTCAGCAGACTTGCAATCACCCGCTCAGCCGCCACAACCTTGGCCCACCCGCTCTCTTCCACTTCTCCCCGTTTCATCGCTTCCACCGCCATGTCCGCCTCTATCACGATCCCCTCGCCGTTCGACGCCCATGTGCACCTGCGACAGGGCAATATGATGAAGCTCGTCACGCCTCACGTCGAGCAGGGCGGAATCAAGATGGCCTTCGTCATGGTGCGCCTGCTCGACTGTTCCGCGGCAATTCTCACGAGCTGACAGTCGCTTCTTTGGACGTACAGCCCAACCTGATCCCTCCTCTCACTGTCCCCGAGCACACCTTCGCTTACGTCAAGGAGCTCCAGGCTGTCGCGCCAAACCTTCACATCCTCCCATCCCTCTACCTCACCAACCAGCTCACACCCGAGCACATTCGCCAGGCAAAGGCAGGCGGCATCGTCGGTGTCAAGAGCTACCCGCGAGGAGTGACGACTAACTCGGAAGGAGGCGTCGGAATGGAGGGATACGCCGTCTATGACGAGGTCTTTGCCGAGATGGAGAAGCAGGATATGGTGCTCAACTTGCATGGCGAGGTGCCGAGCGATGTCGACGGCGACGTGAGTCGAACTGTCTTGCGTTGCGTTCCTTGCTGAGGCTGACGCTGAACTTCCCGTAGGGCACTTGCGTCCTCAATGCAGAGGAACGCTTCCTCCCTCACCTGCGGGAAATCAACCGCAAGTTCCCCAAGCTCCGTATTGTGCTCGAGCACTGCACGACGGCTGCTGCAGTTGAATGCGTAAGTCCTGCGTCGTCAGCGAAAGACGCCTTGAGACGCCCACTCACGTGCCTTCGTTTCAGGTCAAATCGCTGCCAAGCAATGTCGTTGCGACCATCACCCCTCACCACCTCGCTCTGACTATAGACGGCGCATGCTCGACTTCGCTCGGCTTCTGCAAGCCGCTCGCCAAGTTCCCCTCGGACCGCAACGCCCTCCGCGCCGTCGTCCGTGAAGGCAACCCGAACTTCTTCCTCGGCTCCGACTCGGCTCCTCATCCTTCCTCGTCCAAGCTCCCCGCGCTGCAAGTCGCGCAGGTCAAGGGCGCCGACGGCTCGACCGAGGAAGAGATCACCCTTCCTTCCCCTTGCGCCGCTGGCATCTACACCTCCAGCAACCTCATCCCCCTCACGGCCGAGATCTTCGAGCGGTCCGATATTCCCCTCGAGCGCATGCAAGGGTTCTGCTCGAAGTTCGGACGCGACTTTTACGGGTTCCCGGCGGAGGATGGCGAGGAGGTCACGATCAAGCGGGTTGAGGGCAAGAAGGTGGAGAAGGCATTCAAGTACCAGACGGACAAGGGCGAGGACGAGTACATCATCCCATTCATGGCGGGCGACAAGATCGGCTGGGAAATTGTCGCGTGAGTCTAGCTGGTGACCTCGTGTTAGCTGGGGCAGCAGTAATGCAGTAGGTGTTGTACATCAAGCACTCGAGTGCCCGAAGACGTCCAGCAGTTTTTCGAGCGAGCTTCAGGATACCAGCAAAGCCAGACGAAGCGTCGGTAGCCGCTTTCCTGCGTCCCGAAGCCACTCTCGGCTCTCCGCTTGTCGTCGAAAGTTGGTGTTACAGCTGCCGTTTTGCGGCAGTAGAAGGGACAGAGATGCGAGATGTCGACAAGGGGAAGGAGGGTATCGAAGTCGGCCTATGCTCGTGATGCCATGAGCTCCATCGATGAGATGCTGTTTCCTCGGACGACCTATCGAACAGTCTTCTCGTCAGCTCTGGCATTCCCAATCGCTTGAAAGGAAGCGAGAGGACAGGGTACTTACGACGGTTCCGCACTCGACCTTGTCTGCACTGCCCTCCTCACGCGCTTCATCCAGCACCAGGTTGAGGAAGATGTCGAAGCCGCGGAGGTAGCCCGAGATCTTGCGGTTCCCCTGCAGGTTGACGAAGAGGAGCTTGTCCATGTACTGGTCGCGAGGAGGACAGCGGGAGTGTCAGCACCGTCTGGGCCGCTGGAAGACGCGCTGCTCGGCCCACGCAGCCTTGTAAGGCCACGTATACTCGCGGTCCCACGCCAACCCGCCGCACTCCGTACCCAGCCACTTCCCTCATCTCATCTGCTCGTGAGGAAGGGGGCGTCCGCAACACGACCTGCCCGCGCAGACAGCCGGCGCCAAAAGTAGCAGGTCAGCACGCACCTTCTTGAGTTCGGGCGCCTGGACCTTGGACATGCTGGGCGTGTGTGGTGAGTGCTGGATGAGGTTGACCTCGGGTCGGACGAGCGGGACCAGGTCGACCTCCGCTGTCAACCTCACTCGCCGCTAATCGCTGACTTAGGCGCTGTCATGCTCTTGTTGCATTGCTAGGGACTGCCCGCACACCGCTGGACGCACCGCACAGCGCGCCGTGTCCAGTTCGAGTCTCCTCCGTCCCCGCTCCCGTATCGACATCAACCTGCAGCACAGGCTTGCGGAACTTCGGTCCGGCCGAGTGCGTTCTCTCTCTGCTTCTGTCTGAATGAGGCGGACTGACCCGAAGCCTCCTCGCCGTGCCCCTTCCCGTCGTCCGTCAATTTCAGCCTGAGCCGCCTTGATCCAAGGCCAGCATTCGTCCTATTACCGAGTACTCCTTCCCAACGACTACACTCCATCACCCATCCGAGCCCACCCTGCCATGCCGTCCGCCGACTCTGCCCCGTCACTCCTTTCTCGCCTCTCCCCCGCGGTCCCCCTCCCAGGCGACTTTAGCAGCCCTTCTCCCGCCCAGCCTATCGCCAAGTCTCCCACTCATCGACCGACCTACCTCGCGTCGCCTCCAGCTCCGTCCTTCCTTGCCGGCACCCCGCCCAAATCGTCCGTCTCTCCTCGAAAAGGCGCAGGCTTCTCTCGCTCGCCTCATGCTCCGCCGCATATACCTGCACTCCCCGCGGACGTGCTGAGCAAGGCGCAGCCTATCCCGGCGAACCGAAGCACCCGCAGCTCTCGATGGGCCGCGTCGCCGCCTTCGTCTCCGCCGTTAGCGCGTTCGCCTCTTTCGTTCGGGAACAGGGCGCAAGCATCTGGCATCTCACCAAACGGTAACAACTTGTCATCTTCGACTGGCAAGACGCCCACAGCCTCGTCACCCGCACTCGACCAGATCGAAGCGATGCTCTCGCAACTCCGCACGACGAATCCGTCCTCATCGCCGGCCAAGTCGCCGACTATACAGTCTAACTTCTCTCAATCGCCGGCACCAACCATCATCAGCCATCTTACGCCGTCGCAGCCGGAGACGCAGCACGAATCGCCAGCCGCTGCTCCCGCCAATCCTTATCCGCCTCCGCCTGCTTCCGTTCAGTCAGCTCAGCCTGAAGCGCCGAAAAAGAAGGTCCTGGGTGGCAGGTCAAAGTGGGCGCGCGCCGGGGACGACGAGCCGGACGAATTTGCATCGCTCGCGGAGAAAGAGCTGCATTCAGGTTCGAAGAGCAAGCAAGAGCAGGAGCAGAAGCCTGTGGTGCCGTCTGTGCAGGGACCAATTGCGTCAGTAGCGGACAAGCCAACGGCGCTCGCTCGATCGCCCTCCGTCGATACGACCGCTCCTCCTCCCGTCGCTGAGAGCGACTCTCAAGCGGATCCACCGGACCAGGCAGACCCGTCCTTCTCCGCCTCACCTCAACGTCGTCCATCCATCTCCTCCACGAGCAGCTCGTCGGCGTCGCAGAGCCACCACATCGACTGGGCGGACGACGACGACGACGAGTTGCCCGGTCTCGACGACTGGGGCATCGAGACGACGCCGGCGACGTACGACGTCTCGACGCCCTCTGCCCCAGCTATACCGTCAACGTCGCTGCCTCCGTCGATGCCGCCTCTGGGCGCTCGACGCCGCTCGACCGGCCGCTCGCAGAAGAGCCCGCCTCAGCCTTCGCCTGCCCCTCTTCCGCCCGTCAATCGCTTCACTGCCCCTCCTTCGCCGACGAAAGGTACTCCTCGCACCCCTCGCGGTCCGCCAGCGAAGCCGCCTGCTCGCCTTTTCGCCTCGGCTCGAGCGGCAGCGCTCGCGACGCCTCCTCACCTCGCTGCATCAGCCTCGACGCCCACTACCCCCATGGCGTTGGCTCCACACGCAGCACAGACCGAGGAAGGGTCCTGGCGCGACCGCAAGCCTCGCACGCCCGGCGGACCAGGCTCCGCGCTCTTCTCGCGCGCATTCAGCGGGATCAGTCCAGCTGCCGGCTCGCCTCCGACGCCGGTGGCTGCGCCTGTCAGTCCTGCGACGGAGGCGGCGAGTAAGGGTCGTCGGTCGAGGGGAGGGAAGGCGAGGAACAAGGGAGGAGCGGGAGGAGCTGCAGGAGGGGGAAAGGCGGGCGGGGCGGGTGCAGGTGCTGGTGCACAGGCTAGCAAGTGGGCTTAAGTCATGTGTCGGTGCGTTGCGCGATTGAGGACGTCTAGGACCGCTCTCTCTCTCTCGTCGTTGGACTCTCTTCGAGGTTCTCCCTCTCCCGTTCTTGTATGATCTCTCTGTTGTAGCTGCCGTACACATATCTATTCCGGGCATTTCAGCTAGTTATTCAAGTCAGCGGCACTCGCAGTGCGCACTAACTTAGCTGCTGGAGAGCGTCGCCCCAAGGCGAAACCTTGCTTCACTTCGCCCGTTACGGTTCGCCCTTCTGTCCTGCCGACGCTTGGCGGCAATTCTAAGGGTTACACGGCAACCGAGCAGTCCAAGGGCGACAAGGGAGAGCCAAGCATCCAGACGAGCGACGATGGACGTCGCCGGAGCTGAGAACCACAGGAGGTTCGCAGAGGGTTTCGACGCTCTCACGCTTCGTCGGCGCCTCTTGCGGGGCGCGAGTCTAGTTTGACGTCGTCGTTGAGACTTTGCATTGACGGCGGGCACCGTCGAACAATGCTGCGTTCCAAGCGGGGACAAGCAGACCGTCGCTCGCAGGTGAGGAAGCGAGTTCACCGTTCTGCCGACGGCGTGGGGACAGCCGACGTCCGCTTGAAGGGTCCCGGGCGTCGCCCTTTGACGAACGCGCATCAGGGCAAGGGCGACAAGCGAGGTGAACAAGCTCTTGCGCTAAGCCGGCGACTCCAGAAACACCCTTGTCCTCCTCGCGACCCGTCTCTTTTGACGGCGGAGGTGACCAGAACGCCTGTGATGTGTCAAGACGTGCGTGAGGCAGAGGACGAACCGCTACGGGCTGCGCACCACCGCTCCGCTGTCGCAGCATGTGAACGTGCGGCGAAAGAGCGGGCGAAGTGACAGTCGACTGTCTCTCTGCGCAGAGGCTTCAGCGAGGGTTCAGTGTGGACAGCAAACCTCTGTATGGCACAAGAAAACCACTTGCAGCGAAAGAATGAGAGCATGAGCGAGACAACTTGGTGAGTTGCAAGACTCGGAGATTGACCACTTACGCGCTGCACGCTCTGCAGAAGCGAGGACGTGCTTGACCGCTACGACGAGCACGACTGTCGACCAGCAACCCGCCTGAACGGGACCCGCATCTCGTCGTGCACGCAGGGTTCGTCGCGAGACTCCTCTCTGAGATCATTGACCTCGTCGAACTTCGCTGACGGGCACCTTGCTGTGTGCTGCACTGACAGGCCCTGAACGACAGCTTCAACATACGCCAGCTCGACCCAGCCTAGCCAGCACGCGAGCGAGCTACCACCAACCCTCACCTCGTCGCCCTCCCCACTTCGACGCGAGGCCGCCGTCGAGGGCGGACGAATGTCCCAGAGCGTGCGTCGGGCGAGATATGGAGACGAGCGAGTGATGACTGACCGTGCAACCTCTGGCCCTGGCAGGACTCGCCTCCCTCGCGACAGACGACCCCCCTCTCTCGCCGAACTTCAGCAGGATCGTCCACGAGCGGGACGAGCAGCAACTCGCCGCCGCAGGGCTCACGCGCGGCACCACCGCTCTTCACGAGCCGCACCGGCCCGCAGGGCTCGCCCTCGAGGCGCAGCGCCGTCCCCGTCTCCTCGTCGCCTCTCAGTTCAGGCAGCTCGGCGGCTCGCTCGCGTCGTCGGCAGGACTCGATTTCGTCCAGCGTCTCCAACACCACCGATCCCACCTCGTACGAAGAGAGCGGCGAAGAGTGCATGGGTTCAGATGGCGGCGACAAGGAGGCGGCGAGTCCGCCGAACGGAGCTCTTGCGCCAGGTTCAGGCGGGAGCGGGCTCGCTCAGGCGCGCAGGACGGGCGGGAGCGCATCGCTGAGCGTGCAGGACTTGATGGCAACCGTCCCTGCGGCGTCGTCGGGCGTTTCCTCCTCGGCATCTTCTGTCTCGATACCGTCATCGTCGACTTTCCCCATCCCTATCGCTACGTCGATCCCGCCGTCGTCCGTGCGCCTGAGCACGACACCACTCTTTCCCTCGCCGCTCGCCCAGGCCTCAGCGCCGCACGACGATCACAGCCGCGGCGAAGATGGCGACAGTGAGGGAGAGGACGAAGAGGAGGAGGACGATCCGGTTGACTGGGCTGAGAAGATGCAGCCGGGGCGGCCGTCATCTCGCGGAGCAGCTGTGTTTGGAGGTGCGCTCTCGTGCCCGATAAGCTCGCGTCGAAGCGCTTTCTCACAGTCTTCCCTTCCGCAGACCTCGAGCTTTCGCCTCCGCCCGGCAGCATCGATCTGCCAGAGTCGAGTCCAGTTGCATCCACGTCGAGCGAAGCTACTCCTCGACCAGCAGTGCGAAGTCGTCACCGACAGATGGGCGGCGACACCCGCGACAGCAGCCCCGAAGTCGACTCGTCCCGCTCTGCTCGCTCGCCGCGCGTGCGGTCCGTCGGTAGGGCGAGCGGTCTCTCTGCCGTCCTCAACGCGTCGCCGACCAGCGAAGTCTCGCCAACGAAGCGGAAGTCGCGCGACTCGGGCAGCTTGGCCGGGCTTGGCGTCGATATCCGAGGCGCAGGATCACCTCCATCACGTAGCGGGTCGATGTCCGGTAGCTTCGTCTCGTCGGCCTCGCCTCCCTCACCAACATCGTCTCTCAGCATCTCGCCCTCATCGGTTTCTCGCCGCGCGTCTCTCGCCCTCGTCTCAACGCCTCGTCCTTTCCAACCCGGCTCGCCCACGACAAGCCGACTCGCACGTACCTCCGCTGCTCCAAGCGGGTCCATCATCTCGGTCCCGTTGCCGTTTCCCGCCGCGCCTCCGCCTTCCGAGTCGATCAAGCTGCAGAAGGTGCCCGAGTCGGTGCGCAGCGCACTCGAGTTCCGTCAGCCAGCGTCGTTCTCGGGCGAGCCGATGAGCCTGCCCAACATCCACGGCTTCGGCCCCTCTACCTCGCCTCCCGACGTCCGCGTCCCGAAAACCCCCCTCGCAACGCGTGCACCCTCACCCGCCTCGTCTCCCTCGTCCCGCTCCTCGCGCAATTCGCCAAACACGTCTCGCACCCCGTCTCGTCTTCCGTCCCGACAGAGTAGCTCCGAAAAGCTGCAGGGCATCAGCATCTCGCCGCCTCCCGATCGCAGCACATCCTCGATGGCTTCTTCCGCCTTTGCGCCTCTCTTCCCTTTCACAACGTCTGCTGCGTCGCCCGCGATCGGCTCGACGAGGACGCGAGACCGCTCGAGGAGTATCAGCGTGTCGACCGAACAGGCTGCTCTCGGCACCCCTTGGCCGAGGTCTGCAGTAGAAGGCAAGACCGCGCAGTTTCCAACGAAGGACCTGCCTGTCTCTCCGCCTACGGACCTCCTCACACCGTTCGAGGGGTCGAGGCGGAAGCCTATGCACACGCCCTCGGCTTCCATCTCGAGCATCGGCGGCTTCTCGCCCTCCTCTCGCCTCGCCACACACCGCACGTCGATTGCACCTGCAGGTGTCGGCGTCGGGAACGACAGCACGGACGAGTACGCCCAGATCATCCTTTCGACCCGCAACGCCAAGGTGCGGAAGTGGAAAACGTCAGGTACTTCGGTCTCGACGCTCGAGGCGGGGACTGTCGGAGCGGGCAAGACGTGGACGAACCTGGGCGAGACAAGCGAGGAGGCTGTCGAGTCGACTGCGGACGGCCAGGCTGTTGCGAAATACGAGGTGCAGCCCGAGACGAAGGAGATCGAGTGGGTCGATTGGCTGGACGAGTACAGGAAGATGAAGGAGGCGAAGCTGAAGGCTGATGAGGCGGGAGAAGGGGACAGTGACGAGGAGGCGATCGAGGAGGACGAGCGAGGGGAAAAGGCGGAAGAGGCTGGAGATGCGCGAGCTGCGGCGCAGAAGGGCAAGGCGGTGCAGACGAGGGTCACGACGCCGAGCCCGCCTCGACGGGAGGATTACAAGCCAGCGGAGCCAGCTCTCACTGCCGCTCAGAAGGGCAAGGCGAAGGCGACGAGTGAGTCTGACCCCTCTCGCTTCACCTTGTTCCCGCATGGCTGACCGTTCTCCTCGTCACAGCAACCGATTTCAACTCGTTCGAGGCGGCTACGACACCAAAGTCGTCGGTCGTCACGACCGGCTTCCTCACGCCAAGCGTCCCGCTGAGCCAGCAGAGCTACTTCCCGCTCGCGGCTCATGTCGGCGGCGCGAGTTCCGCCGGCGCCTCGTTCCAGCCCATCACGACGGCTACGCCGATGACGATTGCCGACCCGTTCGATTTTGCCCCGCTGCGCAAGACCGTCTCGACAGCCGGCAGCACCGCGTCGGGTTTGGGAAGCTCGCCAGGCGGGAAGCGACGGCGGAACTTTGCCAAGCTCGGCAACAAGATAGACGCCTGGTGGAGCGCTGTCAGGACGAGCTTTGCGACGACGCCGGACGAGCGAACACGACATCGCCGTACCTCGACAGACCATCCCGCATTGTCGAAGATGTCGACAATCGAGCCCATGGCGTCGCGTACATCGTCGCAGTTCACGCGACCGAGCTCTCCACCCGGCTCCGCCAGGCTTCGGAATGTCGCTTCAGCCCAAGATCTCTCGCGCTCGTTCGCACCGCAGATTCCGCCGCACATGACGAACCCGTTTCACGACCGCGTTCCTGCTGGCGCACTCGCTCCCGGCGCCCGCATCGACTCGTCCCGCCGCAACAAGTCGCCTGGCTCGGTCCGGTCAGGGGAAGAGAGCGACAGCAACGCGACCTCCCGTACTCGCCGCAACCCGCACCTCTCGCTCAACCTCGGACCCTCCTTCAATCAGATGCTGCCGCCACGCGTCTCGCCGAGGAGCTCGCCATCTCCCCACTCGACACCTGGCGAGCGTCCTTCCTCTACCGACAGGCAGCAGCCGGCGGGTTCGTCGACGACGGCACAGCCGGCAGCTGCAACGCCTACGTCGCCGCCAGACGAGCCGAGCCTGACGCCTGGTCACTCGCCCATGTGGGATCGTACCCCAGGACTCGTGCCGATCTCGTCTCATTTCCCGTTACGCGAGCGCAAGGTCTCGACAGCCACGACGTCCCGCCCAAAAGTCTTGAAGGACGGCAAGGGGTCCTCGTCTTTCTCCATGCAAACGGTGCAGCAGCAGATCCGGCAGCGCCTCTCGAGCGCGAAGGAGAACTGCGACAAGGAGCTTCGGCGCATCATCGCCGGCATCACCAACTACGTCGAAACCGACCTGCACAAGGATGTCGGTACGCCTCTGCCGCCGGCTCCCGCCGACGTCGGTGCACGCTTCGGCCAGCTCGTGTCGGAAGAGGGCGGTAGCGGGCGAGGCTACGGGTCGCCGGCAGAGTTTGAGGACTCGGGAAGCGAGGCGGTGATGGACGTCGACGATGAACCGGTCGAAGAGCTCGCCTACACCGACTCCGACGGCGCAGGGACCTGCATCCCGCCTTCGCGACTTAAGACGCCGCACATCTCGACCGACACTCCGACGAACGACGGCCGCCGGCGCTCGCTCGTCCCACGCACGCGGTCCAAGTCGCCACGTCGCGCTTCCCTCGCCGCCCGCCAACGTCGTCTGACGAGCGTTCCGTGGGACGCGAGCTCGCTTGGCGAGCGCAAGACTCGCTCCGCATCTGGCTCGAACGCCTCGTCGCGCTCGAACTCGCAGTCGCGATCCCATTCGCCCATGCCACCGGGTCGTCGTCACGTCAGCGGTTCTCGATCCCCTGGTCACTCGAGTCTCGGCCACCAGCCGTCCAGCCACACCAACCTCGCCGAGTCGGCCTTCATCGTGCTTCTCCAGGAAATCATCACCGTCGCGACCGAGATTCTCGACACTCCCATCGCCAAGCTCACCTCCAAGCCCGGCTCGTGCGCCGAGTACATCGCGCGCGTGCAGCAGATCGGCGAAGCCTGGAACGACAACCCCGAGCTGCCCTGCCGGGGATGGTACGTTCAGCTGCTGCTGGCCGTCGCAGGCCTGAGTCGCGTGGTCGAGTGGTGGGAGGCGGAGAAGGGCTTCTGGTCCTTCGAGGACGGCGCCGACGACAACGGCGAACCGATCTTGTTCGTCGCAAAGCCAACGGTCGAGGACTCGCCAGAGGTGCGAGCCCGAGGCGAGAGCCTGTCGTCCGTCCGCACCTCGTCGCTGCAGTCTCCACAGCCGAAGTGGTCTCCTCTCGGCATCGATTTGGGCGACCGGGCAGATGCGATGAGCGAGGCGGGTGGGAGGACAAGGGAGGTCTCGACAGCCGTAGGCGAGGACGACTCGCAGCAGCGCGTCGAAGACTTGCACGAGGCGGTCGAGACGATCCGCTCGCAGACTCTGCTCATGGAGCTCAGTCTCGACGGCCAGCTCTTCCAGTACCTCAGTTCCGCCTGGCAGGATCTCGTCGGGTACGTCTCGAGGCCGTTCACTCCTGAGCTGTTGCACTAACGCTGTTCCCTCGCGCAGCATCGAGCCGGAAGAATGTCTCGACACGCCCATCTCCGACTTCCTCTACCCCGACGACGCCGCCGTCTTTGCGGAGGCGACCCGCCAACTCGAGGCCGACGACTCGCACACCGTCGAGGTCAGCTTCCGGTTGCGAGTTGCCTCCGCGTCGCAGACATCTCAAGACGACTCTCCGCCTGAAGACCTCTTCGAGGCTATGGAAGGGAAGGGCATGCTCATGCTCGATGGCTTGACCGGCAGCCCCTCGCACACCATGTGGGTTGTCCGGCCAGCGCCGTACTCCGAGGCCGTCGACCAGTCGAACCAATCACTCGGCCGCTACGGGCTCGACGGCGTTCAGTGGCGATCGACAAGCGATCCGTCATTCTTCCTCTCGCCGGGTCGTCTCAATCTCGAGCCGATTCTGTGCCGCATCTGCGAACGTCCGACTCCGGCCTGGTTCTTCGAGAAGCATAACGAGACGTGCAACGAGGTCCACCGACTCGAAGGCGACATCTCTGAGTGCAACGACCGGCTCAAGGAGCTCCTCCGCACGGTCGACGAGCTCGTCGCCCACCTCGACCATCGCCGCGAGCAAGGCGCAGGCGACTCGAGCGAGGACGGCGACGGCGAGGATGACGATGCAGTCGAGTACCGAGGGATTCCCCTGACGCTGTCGCCTGCTGCCACGCCGCCGACTTACCTGGAAGGCCTGCGTCCGCCGCTCGATGCGAGACACAGCCCCAGTCCGTCTCAGCAGGTCAGGCGGTCGCAGCAACGCGTCTTCGAGCACGTCCGCGAGATCACCCAGATCGCCTTGTCCATCTCGACGCCATCCGTCTCTGACGAGACTGGCGAGATTCCGATCCAGGAGCAGCGCTTGCTCAGCCCGAATGTGAGTGTCCCGCCTCGTCAAGCGGTGCTCGACAGCTGACGCACTTCTCATAACAGTCCGAGAACAATCTGGCCGCCGTCATGCGCTGGCAAAGACCGTCGACGGAAGAGGCGGCGTTGACCCGCCTTGTGTCGGACACGGAGGAGCAAATTCGCTTCAAGCTGAACAGCGTCAACCGCCTGCGCAACACGATCTTGTACGCCGAGAAGGTTCGCCAGGAGTGGGAGATCAAGGCCCGTGAGGCCATCGAGGCGTTGCATGCGGCGGGAACCACGCAGACCCGCCAGCCATCGCCGCTTCCCTTCGACTCGCCTCAGCTTCAGCCCTTGCAGTTCGACGACGACTCACCTCGCCACCTCGATGCTCTCGACCTGCACCGCCCGTCGCAGAACCTGCGCCGACAAGGCTCGCAGCCCCTCAGCCTGCTCTCGCCCAACCTAGTTCCAGACGACGGATCCGGCCTCTCGTCCAGCCCGAGCGCCAACCTCGCCTTGTCCCCTCGCATCCCTGCCGTTGTCCCGTCGTCGCGGACGAAGCCCTCCTCGATCAAGGACTTCAAGGTCATCAAGCCGATCTCGAAGGGAGCGTTCGGATCCGTCTACCTCGCCAAGAAGATCACGACGGGCGACTACTACGCGATCAAGGTGCTCAAGAAGTCGGACATGGTGGCAAAGAATCAAGTTACGAACGTCAAGGCGGAGCGGATGATCCTCATGACGCAGACCGACTCGGAATTCGTCGTCAAGCTCTACTACACCTTCCAATCGAAGGACTACCTCTACCTCGTCATGGAGTACCTCAACGGCGGCGACTGCGCCGCTCTCGTCAAGAACCTCGGCGGCCTGCCAGAGGACTGGGCGAAGCGCTACGTCGCCGAAGTCGTCGTCGGGCTCGACCACCTTCACTCGTCGGGCATCATTCACCGCGACCTCAAGCCCGACAACCTCCTCATCGACTCGAAGGGCCACCTCAAGCTGACGGACTTTGGTCTGAGCCGCATCGGTCTCTTGGGCCGCCAAACCCAGCTGCCGAGCGCGCGGGACCGCCGTCCGCCCATCTACGGCCGCTCGAGCTCGGGCGCTCTCTCCAATGCGTCGTCACCGCTGCAGACGCCCGCTCTCGCCGCACAATCCCCGGCCGGTTACTTCGGCAATGTTCCCATCACTGACAGCTTCTCGCTCGACACTCCGTCCGAGTCGAGCGGTTCGAGCCTCCCACCATCATCCCATGCCCGCGCCGTTTCCGCCCGAAGCCCTCAAGTATCGGCATCGCGTCCTGTCGGCGTCGTCGGTCCACCTGGAGCCGCCGCAGAGACGCCCAACAAGCACTTCGTCGGCACGCCCGACTACCTCGCCCCGGAGAGCATTCTCGGCGTCGGCATGGACGCTTGCGTCGACTGGTGGGCCCTCGGAGTTATCTGTTACGAGTGAGCATTCCGCTCCTTCCGAGCATGGCCTTGTACTGAAACTCGCGACGCGCAGGTTCCTCTACGGCTTTCCGCCCTTCCACGACGAGACGCCCGAGAAGGTTTTCGAGAACATCTTGTCGCGCCGCTTTGAGTGGCACGAGGACGCCATCGAAATCTCGCCAGCGGCGCGCGACTTCATCGACAAGCTGCTGGCGCCGGACCCGGCTCGACGTCTCGGCACGAAGGGTGCTGCAGAAGTCAAGGCGCACCCGTTCCTCGCCGACATCGACTGGGACAACCTGCTCAAGCAGCCTGTCGACTTCGTCCCCAAGGTGACGGATCCCGAGTCGACCGACTACTTCGACCCTCGGGGCGCGACGGAGCAAGAGTTCAAGGAAGAGGACGGAGCCGAAGACCCCGCGGTCGCAAACGACCCAGCCGTCGCGCAGATGCAGCAAGAACCTCCGACGCCTTTCAGGCCGCCCAACTTCGGAGACGCTGCTCGAACTCCACGGGAGCGAGCTGGCACTGCGCCCGTCCGCCGCGAGACGGACGACTTCGGCACGTTCAACTTCCGCAACCTGACGGTCCTCAAGCAGGCCAACGACGACGTTATCCGCAAGCTCAAGGACGAGCAGCTCCTGCCGCCCTCCTCAGGACTGCCCTTGTCTTCGCTCAAGACCTCGGCACGCAGTCGCGGCGGCAGCATCGACATTCGCGCAGGCGGGTTCGCCCCATCGTCACCCTCATCCGCGTCCATCAGCTCCAGCAACTCGGGTCTGCTGCGGGGTCAGCCTTCTTCCTCCCCCTTCGGCGGCCCAACACGCTCGCGCGAGCCCTCAGAGTCGGCAGACATCAAGATGTCGGTCTCCGTTTCGCCAGGGACGGAGCGCTTCCGCGCACGACAACCGAGCTTCGGCTCCACCGGCGGCCGTCCAGGCGGGCTGCACCAACGACGGAACTCGCTTCCCTCGAGGTTCCGCAAGGTGTCAGTCTCCGAGCCAACGTTTGAGCCTGAACATCCCGCTCTTCCGCAAGATTGGGCAACCGGGTCGGGCCGACGAAGGGTGTCGGTCGCTCAGTCACCCGCCCCGTCAACCCTGTCGTCTCCGTTATCCGCCATCGAGCCTCTGCCGCCCCTCAGCATCCCCGAGCCGCAGTATGAGGACGTCGAGTCGCACTCTGCGCCACCCGTGCCAGCACCCATCGACACGGCCTTGCGCGCCTCGCCCTCTCCCGCCTCGGCCGGCCCCGCTTCAAGCAGGCTCGCCACGATCGACTGCCTCGTCGCCGGAAGGAACCCTATCGTCACCAAGGTCCTCGAGACGATGCTGCAGCGACTCGGATGCCGCGTTGTTGTCGTGCCAAACGGAGCGGAGGCGATTCTCGCAGCCGGCGGCATCCCCTTCGACGTCTTGTTCTTGGGTTCGTCCCGTCTCCATCTGCTGGTCTATGCCTTTTGTTGACACCTCGCCTTTGCAGACCTCGCGATGCCGGTCGTCGACGGCGAGAAGGCGGCTCGAATGATCAAGAGTACCGTCAACCCGTCAACCAATGCGCCCATCGTTGCGGTTTGCTCACAGCCGGCCGCCATTGACGATGCCGTCGGGACGCTCTTCGCTGCCACCCTGAGCAAGCCAATTGTGCGTCGAGCGCCTCCAAGACTGCCCGGAGGCTTTCGCTCACCTCGCCTCTTTCCCGCACGCAGATGAAGGCGGACCTCCTCGCAGTTCTCGCCCACCTCGGCTTCAAGGTCGAGGTCAAGCAGAACGAGGAGCGTCGCAGTTCGGACGGCAACGTTTCGGTTGGCTCGTCGACGCGGACGAACGAGGAACGGCGTGGCTCTGCTTGAGCGACCCTCCCTCACCTCTCTATCTCTCGTTTGCGGCTTGTGAAGATCCCTTTCTCACTCTTTCATCAGCATATGCATTCGCTCGCGCGCATCTTCCACCTGTACTACCAACATCAGCCGTCTCAGCGTTCTGTTTCTTGCCCTGTTGATGCCTCGCCCCCTCCTCGCATGTTTCGTTCTCCTTTCGTCTGGGACGTCTGCTGTAGATTGCTGGAACATCTTCACGTCCCCAGCCTATCCGACGAGCGTGGTTTGCCGCGAGCTGTTGCCAGCGAAGTTGCGGAAGCCTCCCTCCTCACGACTTGTCACTCTGCTTCACATCCACACACCTCTCATGGCCTCGATCAACCTCTTCGACGACGACCTCGACCTCAACGGCGTGCCCGCCGCCGTCCCACAGGACACGCCCGCCGCCACCGGTACCGCCGCCGTTCCCGCCGACATCCTCATCGTCGCCTCGCAGCAGGCGGCGCAGGATGGGTCGTACCAGGCGCTCGTGACGGAGTTGGCGGGGAAGGGCAAGGTCGAGATGCAGATGGTCGACCGCGTCGTCGAGGGAGGTGAGTTGGCTTCGTTTCCGCTCGCGGCGATTGCTCGAGGAGGGAGAGGGTCCACAGGGTGCTACATGCCGGCGATAGCGGATGCAGAGGTCTTGTCAAGCGTACAGACGCTTTTCACGGAGCTGCAGCAAGTCTCACGGCCACACGAGCGCTCGCTGACATGCTTACTCGACTCCCTTGATTCCATCAGCAACCTCGCTCCCGACCTCGCAGTACAAGCAAATCGCCGTCTTGCTCCCCGCGACGATGGTCACGGGCTCTCTGCTTGCATTGCTCGAGCCGGCGCTGGCGGCTGGCGGGTCGTTCGAGGTTCGCGGCGAGGCGAGCGAGAGTGAGGAGGTGCTGGGAGAGTTGACGCTGGTTGGGCTGAGCGGCGCGAACAAGACGGACGGTGCGGTGAGTGATGCTCCGTGCATCAGTCCCGGTGTGCTGCTGACAGCTGCTCGTACAGATCCTGGCGACCAAGCCGGCCGTTACCTCCGTTCCCCTCTCGCTCAAGCGACCCGCCTCCGCCCTCGACTCTTCCGCCGCCCCCGCTCCCCTGCCAGTAGACGGCGCAAGTGGAGTCGTCCCCCTGCCGACCCGCAAGTCACGAGCGGCCAAGGCGTCTCTCTGGGCTTTCACGACCGCGGCAGCTTCCTCCGGCGCCGCGACACCCACCATCGACGAGTCGACCCTCTTGACCGAAGCCGACCTCGAGCGACCAACGCTCGTCAAGCGCGAAGACTGCGACGTCAAGCGGACTCGACGAGCGTGCAAGAACTGCACGTGCGGGCTGCGCGAGATCCTCCTCGACGAGAAGGAGCCGGACGACCTTGTCCAGGCGGGCTTTGCGGCGCAGCCGAATGCGACGGCGAACAATGCGAGCACGGCGGGAGGAGCAAAGGTCAGGACGATCCAGAGCGGCGTGACGAGCAGTTGCGGAAACTGCTACCTCGGCGACGCCTTCCGGTGTGCGAGCTGCCCTTACCTGGGTGCGTTCTTGACTCGTCTTCCGACGGCTGTCTTGCTCTGATTGACGCCTGCGCCTCGCAGGGATGCCCGCTTTCGAGCCCGGCCAAAAGGTTCTCGTTGGCGGCCTCGATGACGCCTGATCCCGCTTGTCGTCAGGCCGTGCGCTCACGTACCCACGTAGCCATCTTCTCTCGGTCTCTGCCGGTACATCTGAGCCCTGTAATACTGTAGCACTTCCGTTGGCTTTCACCCGCGTGCGCGTGCCCCCGTCCGTCGGTCTTGCGTCGTCTCGCTCTTGCAGCCTCTCCCGGCTTTTGCTTAAGAGTATGGGCAGTTCCATGAACACTGTCGAGCTGTTGACGCACCGACCATTGGGCAGCACGAGGCGCGACTCTTCGGTGGTCGGTTCAAGTTCTTGAGGCGATCGAGAGTCGGAGCCGGCGGAGTGACGTCCTGCGACGTTTACGACGTTTGCTCGAGCTGCACCCGTCGCTCGTTCTTCTCCTGCTGTCGACTCTGACAACAAGAACCGTGCGTCGACGCCCCCGAAGACTTTGATCCTCTCCAGGCTCACCGCTCACCCGCCATGTCCACACGCAGCGACCTTCGCAACCTCCACACCAAACACACACACGCAGCGAACCATTCGCCATGAACGCCGCAGCCAACACCCTCGAGAATAACATGCAGAGCCCGCCGACGGGCATCCATGCGGGCATCGCGAACCCGAGTTTGCAGAAGGAGGGCGCCGACTCGAGTGGTGACAAGATGAAGGTCAGTCGGCGCTTCCTTTCTCGGTCCAACGACGTGCACGTCCTTGTGAGATCGTTTGTTGATGCTTGGTAACTCCGCCGCGTCATTAGGCCCTCGTCTGGGAGGGCAAGATGAAGGTCAAGGTCGAGGAGGCGCTCAAGCCCAAGGTCGTCGACGCCAAGGACATTGTGATCAAGGTCACTGGCTCGACTGTGTGCGTGCCAGTCTTCTCGATATCGCAACGACGAGGAGATGTTGCGGCGATGCGTCTTCGCGAATCCACAACAGACGAAACTGACCTCCCTTCGTTCACAGCTGCGGCTCCGACATGCACTTGCTTGCGTACGTATCACTGCTTCGCTTGTACGACCACTTTGAGAGCGAGACTGACCTACGTCGTCCTTCTTGCTTGCAGTGGCGCTATCATCGAGCTCCGCAAGGGTGACATGTGAGCCCCTCTTCTTCGTTCGAATCAATCTCCCCAAGCGACTCTCCTGACGTTGAGCTCTTACAGCCTTGGCCACGAGTGCATGGGTATCGTCGACTCTGTCGGCCCGGGCGTCACGAAGCTCAAGGTCGGCGACCGTGTGTGCGCCCCGTTCTTCCCTCCTCCTCACAAACTCCTTCCTGACGAAAAGTGGCTCTCAGCGTCGCCGGCTTCAACATCGGTTGCGGTGAATGCTTCATGTGCCAGAAGAAGCTTTCGTCGGCTTGCCAGATGACCAACGACTCGGCGCTCATGAACACGATGTACGGCGGCAGGACTTGCGGCATGGTGAGTCGAGCTGTTCAGGTGTCAGTTGGTGCTGGCGAGAGCAGGAGGCGTTGCCATCCCGTGATCCCGTCTCAAAGCGCCTGTCATGGTCTCGACTTTGGGACATCTCGCTAACGCATCCCCCCGCCCTTTCACAGCTCGGCTACTCGCACTTCACCGGTGGTTTCGCCGGCGGTCAGGCCGAGTTTGTCCGTATCCCTTACGGCGACGCCAACTGTGTCAAGGTTCCCGAGGGCGTCTACGACGAGGATGCTCTCTACATCTCCGACTCGCTGTGCGTGACCATGCTGCGACACATCAGCACCGAGCTGACGTCTCGCCTCCCAGCGTCACCTCGTTCCACCAGGTCGAGGACACCCGCGTCGACGAGGGCGACATCGTCGGCATCTGGGGTGTCGGCGTGATCGGTCTCCTCGTTGGCAAGTGGTCGATCCTCCGCGGCGCCTCTCGCCTCATCGCCGTCGACAGCGTCCAGTGGCGCCTCGACTACTTCAAGGAGAAGCTCCTCAAGGACCACCCGAACGTCCAGATCGATCTCGTCAACTTCTCCGAGCACAAGAACGTCGTTGCTCGCATTCACGAGTTGACCAAGGCTGGCACGCGCGGCTTGCCCGACACCAGGCCTGACGGACTCGATGTTGCGTTTGAGTGCGCGGCGGGCGAGTACGCCAAGGGTTGGGCGCACAAGCTCGAGATGGTCGCCGGACTCGAGACCGACACCAGTGAGATCCTCAACGAGATGATGTGCGTTCAGCTGTCTCGTCTAGTCCGTGACTAACGCTGATAAGCTCGAGGTCCGCAGCGAGAGTACCATTGGCTTCGGTCGCGTTGGCATCACGGGCGTGTGAGTGTTTGCTTCGCCCTCTTGTCTGGACCTCGCTGACACTACGACGCTCTCAGCTACGCAGGATACACCAATCACCTGAACATCGGCTCGCTTATGCAGCGTGGTATCCGGTAAGTCTCCTCGAGATCCCTTTCCTCCCGACGACATTCGCTGACGACGCTCGCGACCTTCAGCTTCATCGGCAATGGTCAAGCACCGACGCACAAGTACATGGACCGTGTCATGAACGACTACATCGCCACCGGAAAGGTCAAGCCGCGCGAGCTCTTCGTTACGCACCGGTGCGCCTCCTCGTTGTTTCCTCTCTTCCGCCTCTTCGGTCCTGACCGCGTCCCGCCTGCAGCGTCCCCATCGAGGACACCGACAAGGTTTACTACCACATGCGCGAGCACTCGGAGAAAACCAAGATCATCAAGGCCTTCGTCGCGACCGCCGCTTCAGCTCCTCCCGCTCCGGGCGCTCCCCCTCTCACCCGCATCGAGTAGGCCCTTCCGGTGCTCTCGTACTCTTTCCTCTCGTCCTTGTGTATAGGTCTCTAGCGCGTGCAACGCAGTAAATCAGTGCCGTTTGTCCTTACGACTTCGTCTCGCGGCTTCCCTCGCAAGTCGCGAGTGAGGCCGTCTCTCTTGAGCTGTCCCGGGTCTGCTGACAGTCCGAAGCGACCCTTCAATGCATTTCTAACAATCGAAGGAGGCGTACGAAGCGCTCGCCGCCTCGTACCTGCCGCAACCCACCTCGCGAACAGCCCATCCCGCCGACCTCGCAGCCCCATGACCCTCTAACCTTCTGCGCACGACGCCTCCTGCTTCCTGTCAACCTTTACATCCTGGTGAATCCTGATTGGAGCCCTGCAAACGGCGTGAGCCGGGGTTGTCGCGCAAACTGATGAGGATGCGGAGGGGGAGCAAGGAGTGGGAGAAGCGAGCTGGACGGTCTGACGGGCGTCGCAGTGGCTTTTGGATAGTGTACTCGATAATTTCGAGCCTTCACTGAGCCCACTGAGCGAGAGGTGTCGCCGGTACAGAGCCAACCCTCTCCCCTTGCTCCTTGGCCTCCTCCCTTCCGCTTCGAACACCATGCCAGCAGCCGCCCAGCCTCCACAGACACAGCAAGACCTCCACGCAGCCTTACGGACACGCATGATCCAGTCGGGCGAGTACAGCCGGTGCGCTTCCCCTGCTTTCTTCACGAACCCCGCACGAAGCGAGTTCGGCTCGTCTCGACGGGTAGCTGACGCCGCTTCGGAGCGCACAGGATCATGGATGCGCTGAGGGCCAAGTTGGACGAGTCGGGCTGGGAGGATCAGGTCCGGGATGCGGCGAGAGGTACGTTTCGGCCGTCGTACTCTGTTTTGAACCGCTGTCCAGGTTCTATGCGTAGCCTGTGTCGAAGGTCCAGCCATAGTTCGCAGCTGACAAGAGATTGATGTCCGCGCAGAGAAAGCCCGTTCGCAAGACCCGCCAAACCTGCATTCGCTCGTCAAGGACCTCGAGCCGACCGCTCTGAGTGCGTCCGCTTCCGCTTGCTACCCGTTGTGCGGGAGGCTGACGAAGTCGTTAATGCAGACATGATCCCGCAAGAGGCGCGAGCAGAAGTCGAGGCGATGGTGCGGGCCTTTGTCGAGAAGAGCGTTGAGTAGAGCATCCGTTCATCCCAGCATCTTCCGTAGCTCGTCTGTTGTACCCATACGCATCATCGTCCACGCTCACATCACAAGGTCGGGGCCGTTAGGAGGATGTTATGCTGTACAATCGCGTGGAGAAGCTACACCACCGCCTGTCGCGCTCAGTAGTGCTCGTCCGAGTTGCCGTCTGCATGACCATCAGCGAAGCTCATCAGCAAAAGGGCTCACAAGAGTCGCAACCGCCTGAACGAGCGAACGGACGACTCACACCCTCGCAAACCCTCGGCGAAACCCCAGGATGTCGGTGCTGATTGCGGCTCGCCGATCGTGACGCCCTCCGCCGTGACCGTCGCAATTTGGAACTGCGTGGCGAAGCGGCAACGATTATGCAGGTCAGCCGACGCTCGCGCTCAGCCCATCATCGGTATCCTCAACGCACCTTGTTCAAACTCCTTGCGTCGCGGTAGAACAATACCCTCATCGCGTTCTCGAGGATCTTCCTCGCGTCCGCCTCCTCAAGCTTCTTCTCGCCGTCCGGACCGAGTTCTTCGAGCGAGCGGCGGAGGAGAGGTTGGGCGAGGTGCATGCCGAAACCGGTTGCGATCGAGGGGGAGGAGTAGGTGACGCCGAGGAGGTCGACGTGTGCGAGGAAGCTGCGGTGGGAAAGGAGAATTAGGCGGGAGTTGTGAGAGCGAGGGGAAGGGCCATGGACGCACGGCTCGCCCTTGTCAACGCCCGCGACCAGCACCGCGTTCCAATACGGGTCGAACTTGCTCCGCCGCGAGTACATGACGTTGCTCATGTACTCGAAAACCTGGCTCGTCGACAGCTCGTGACCGTCCTCAAGAATCGACTCGTCCGTCCTGTGAGAGCGAGAGTCAGCTTCGTTCTCGCTTCGAGTGACGGGGCAGGGGCGGAGACGCACATCAGGCCCTGCAGCATCCGCTTGATCTGCTGAAAGTCCGCCATGTCGCCCGAAGCACCAATCATGGTCGAGTTGGATACCTTGTGCAGCCTTCGGACGTCCTTGAACCGCGCGAGCGAGCCGTAAGACGCTGTGCGGGGGTCAAATTGGGTCAGTTCTCCGGCAAGGGAGAAAGGGACGGAGCTGGATGAGTGCACCGAGGCAGTCGGCTGCCAGCATGACCCCGTCCTTGTACTTGAGCCCGAGAACCGACGTTCCCGTCATGATCGGTTGTCTACGCGCGCAATGCAAGATACTTCCAGTCAGCACGTTCAAGCCAGACACACCCAGCTGGCCCACGGAGAGACTCGAGCGACGGGGCCGCGCAACTCACTGAGTGTGCTGGACGCCCTCTGCGAACTTGTCCTTGCCGCCAGCTGCCGCGCCCCTCCCCTGGTGGATGGGGAACGTCGAGTACGGGTCGAGTGTATCGTTGCGCGGCTTGCCCCTGCGGTGAGCGAGGCGTCGTCAGTTGCGGGGCGTGGTTGCGAGAGCGATGAGGACCGTTCGAGGCGGGACGAGCGCGTGGGAGCGTACCAGGATGTGCTCGGGAAGTGGTTCATGGTCAGCTGTGAGCTCTGGCGGGTCTAGCGGGTCAGATTGAGCGAGAGAGTGGTCGTGGTCTCCTCCAGAGAGGGAGGGACCTTCGTCATCCTCGTACTCTTCACTCGCTGTCGACTGGGCTGCATGGGACTCATCGTAAACTCGCTGCCCAAGTACTCGGGCCCGTATCCTGTAGCAACAGCCGACCTCGAACTCGCCGTCGCCACTCCTCGCTCGTTTGGCCATGCTGTCCTCAAATCGACGAAGCAGCCCGCTCTCCAGCTCGATACCGTCCTCGTGACACTGTTCTATCCTGCCGACTCGACGCAGCGGGGATCAGGGAAGAGGCAGCACTGGTTGCAGCGGCCTTTGGGACAGACGGCGGAGGGTTACGCACGCTTTCTCGGCCAGAAACCCTGGCTCGTCAAGGCGCTCTTCTGGCTCGTCGGAGCTGGAGTTCGTCTCCCTGTCCAGGCGGACAGGCCGCTCGCTCCGAAGAAGGCGGAGGATGACACGACGAGCGAGGGACGGTCGGCAACCTCCTCACACGACACGGTGGTCGACGGCGCACTGGCTGGCGAGAAGGACCGCTTCCCTCTCGTTGTCTTCTCGCATGGATTGAGCGGGACTAGAACGACGTACAGGTGCGCGTAATCGAAAGCTTCGTTACCCTCGATCGTTACTCACACATCCTATCTCCAGTCAATGGTGCGGCGAGATCGCGTCGAAAGGCTACATCGTCGCTGCTATCGAGCACCGCGACGGCTCAGGCCCAGTCTCGGTAGTCAGGTCAGGCGACGGAAAGGAGCGGATCGTCGACTATATCCGGCCAGAGCACCTCGAGTGCGTATGCATTGCCTTCAATTGACAGTCAGCTCGCAACTCACACCTTCTGGTCCCTCAGGTGGCCAGCCGGACACTCGCCTCAGTCGGCGATGCAGTTCCGCTCGTCGCAGCTCTCGATGCGCCTCGCGGAGATCACATCCGTCCTCTCGCTCATGCAGCGGTTGAACGACGGCGACGGCGGGGCAGTCGCGAAGGAGAACCGAAGGAAGGAGTATGGGGAGGGGAAATCGCTGGAAGGATGGAAGGGCCGGATTGACATGGAGAAGGAGGTTACGATGGCCGGGCATTCTTTCGGCGGCGCAACGACTGTAAGCGTTTTCAGTCCTTCTTTAGCGGCCAATGAGTAGCTTCTGACGGTGTCGGCTGCTTGCAGATCCAAGTCCTCCGCGCCGGCGCGACACAATACCCGTTCAAGCGCGGTATCGCCCTCGATCCCTGGGCAGACCCTATCCCTCCCGCTCCTTCGCCCGCCCCTCCTTCCTTCTCGCCACTCTCAGCAAGCGTCTCGACCAACACGACTGGCTCGAATCCCGCTCCGACAACTTCGCCTTCGAACGGCAACGGCGGAAAAGTCCCGCTCGACATCAACGTCCCGCTGCTCGTCGTCAACAGCGAAGCCTTCACGCTGTGGCGGCAGCACTACTCGCTTGTCAGGTACATCGTCAAAGCTGTCGGAGGAGGCGCAGAGCGGTGGCTAATGACTCTTGGTGCGCTTCGTCCTCCGCTCGATTCGCCAGGAATGCTAACGATCCGTCTTTTCGCAGTCGGATCGATCCACATCTCCTTCTCTGACCTCCCTCTCCTCCTTCCCTCGTACCTCAACCCGCGCGCCGGCTCACGCGTACCCGCCCGCCTCGCCACCTCCCGCGTCGTCGAAGCCTGCGGCGAGTTCCTCTCCGGTCAGGGAACGTCGGGCGAGATTCTCGGACAGCGTGTAAAGGAGGGAGACGAGGATGGAGCGAGAGATGGAGAGGGTGGGAAAGATGCGGAGGGGAACAAGCGCGTGATGGAGGGCGAGGTTGGCAGCATGCGGATGCATATCGCTGGAACAGCTTAGACGCCTGTGGAGACCCTCACTTGACTTATTCTCGAGCTTTGAACCTGTCGTTGTACCTTCGATTCAGCCTTCATCCTTGTAGCGACTCGGTCCTGCATTCTGTAAATCATCGACTCTTTTGCAGCTCGTCTAGGACTCTAGCGGGCTTTTGGCAAGACATGTAACAACAACGAAGCGGTAAGCGAACGGGTATCTAGTCGGCCAGCGACGAAGTTTGCGAGTGCGGAAGCGAAGATTAAGGGTTGTAGTGCGCGGCGGTCGTCGGGCTGGACGCCTCGTCGAAGCCGTATTGCGTCAGGCGGATGTCGCCAGGTCTGTTCGGCTGTCCGCCTCGCTGCTCGTACAGGCCGACGATGTTGGCGACCCGAGACGAGAACTGCGAGACGCCCGAGGCGTAACGGTCGGAAGGGTGTGCGTCGATCTGAACGGCGAGCAACGGTCAGCAATATCGAGAAAGAGTGCATGCTGAGATATGACCTACGGGAACCTCGGCGTCCGGCTTGGGCGAGTCAGGCAAGGACTCGTGTCGCGGTGGTCGTTGCTGGTGCAGTCCGCCCGCTTCTGTCGCGTACTGCGCTCCATCGTGTGGCTCTGTCGCGTCGGAAGTACGACCTTCCGCTTCGGCGTCGAGTCCTTTGGGATAGGAGCGCGACCCTCGCAAGAGGACTTGACCGTCCTCCGACGGGCGAGTATCCGCTGAAGAGTCGAGGCCGTCGTAGGGGTCCTCTTCTGCGACGCCGGCTGGCGCTTCGACAGGCTCGAAATCCGGAGAGTGAGGTCGAGCGCCGGCGAACTCCTTTGGCGGGACGGGCGGCGACTCGTAGGAATCGGCGAGCGTTTCGACGGGAGGGCCGAGAGGCGGCGCTCCGCGCTGCAAGCGTACATCATCAGTTACCTTCCAGCAAGCCAGCGGAGTATCAGAGGCCGGTGCGCACAAGAGTACCGTTGCCGTAGCTCGGAATCGCGGGAGGGAGCGTGACTCCCGCAGCATCCGCTCCGCCACTCCCAACGCCAAAGAACTTCCCCATCTTGCCACTGCCGCCCAGCCTGCCGCTCATGCCGCTTCCGCCGCTCATCTTGCGCGAGCCGATACGGGCAAGGAAGCCGCGCTTGTCGGAGGCCGGCTTGGTGAAGCCGACTGGAGGGGCAAGGAAGGCGCCATTCGAAGGGACATTGGGTGCGGCTTGCGGACGCGACGGGTAAGGTTCGGCTTGAGGAGGAGGAGGAGAGGGCGGGCGGAAGCTGGTCGTCGGCTCATCGTGGAGGTCTAGGGCCGAGTGTCCGGCCGTGTGACCGTCCGCAGCGCGTACGGTGGAGACGACGGAAGGTGCGTAGGCGGACGATGGCGCGTAAGAGGTCGTCGCACCATACGAGGCGTAGGTGTCGCGAGGGCCGAGGTGGACATTCGAGAGCGACATCAACTTGGTCTCGGCGTTGTTGTCGGGGTTAAAGACGTTCTCGTCGATCGGTCGAAGGGTGCTCTCCTTGCGATTGTACGACGAGCTGAGCGGAGGCGAGAGCAGGCCACCGAGGTTGCCGTGCCCTGCCGATGGCTGCGAAGCTCGAGGTGAGGCAGAGTTGCCGCCACTCCTGCGTCGAACCGCTCGCAGGAACGAGACCCGCTTCGCCTGCTTCTTCGCCTGCGAGCTCGATAGTCATTGACTGCAGGAAGCGAGGGCTCGATGAAGAAGCGCACCTTCGGGTCGGCCAGCAGCGCCTCGCGGTATTCGCGCGGCACGAACTCCTCAACAAGCACCCATCGCTCCTCCGTCCTTGGGTCATTCCCAATGACCTTGCCTCTCGCGGCTTCGCCGGCCCTCGGCTGCGCCTTCCATTGAATAAGCGCGAAGCTGCTCTCCTTCAGCTCGTCCCGAGCCCAGCCTCCACCGACAAGCACGTCCGCGTAGGCCTCAAAGAAGACCTTCTCGACGACAAGGCGACCTTCTTCTCGCGGTGTCGTGTCGTAGGGGAAGGGCGGAAGGTGCTTCTCCGTCTCGCGGAGCCGCTCGTTCAGCTTCTGAGCGGACGATGGCCAGGTGTTGACGCGCTGACCGATGCTTTGGTGGAAAACAAGGTCGGTCGGGGCGAAGATGTCGCGGCCAGAGAAGCCAGTCGTCTCGAAAGTGGACTGCACAGGCAGAGTTAGCTAGCGCTGGGACTCGGAGGGAACGAGGAAACGCACCCAGTCGAGCGTATCCCGTTTCCGCTTGACCGCCTCACGCTCGCCCTCCGTTAAGTCAAACTCGAGCTTCTTCGCATCCACATCCTGGAAGCCCTTCTGCCCGAACTGCGCCCACTCCTTGTCGACCATCGAGCGGAACCGCTGCATCTCGAGCGCGTCATCCTCCTCGTCGACGAGACCATCGCGGATGTTGAGCAAGTGGCGATACGAGGGCGCGTAGACAGGCTGGTCGGGCGACGTCGAGGTCGTGGGTGCGAGGAAGAGCTTCCAGTCGTTCGAATAGGGCACTTCCCATGTCGCAGCTTGCTGGATCAGATTGCGCGAATGGAAGCGCGTGACCCGCTTGACGCGCATGACCTCTTCCACCGGCGCGCCCTTCGGGACGTGCGGGCGCGAGTTGTCGTAGGAAAGGCCGAGAGTTTCGGGATAGCCGGTGATGAAGCGTTCGAGAAAAGTTGGTAGAGCGCCTTCCGCTTGCTGATTCCGGATCTGCGACGCGAGAGATGTCAGCTCCAGCAAGTCTGGCAGAGACAAAGGAGGCCTACAAAGCTAAGGAGGATGTGCTCGAGAGCTGTTGTCCCACGCTGCCACTCTTCGTATGTCTCGTCAAAGGAGCCGTCGTCGCGCAGGCCGAAGACGTATGGGGAGAAGAGCGCGGCGAGCTTGCGCGGCGACATGCCGTTCTTGGCTGAGTGAGCGGAGATGGAGGAGAAGAGGGAGAGCAGGCTCGAGCTGCGAGCGGTATGAGCCTAAGCGACATGCGCGGTGAGATTTTTCATTTGTGTACGCACAGTAAGCGGCCATTCGAAGCGGCGAGGCGCGAGACGAGGTGAAGAGTGCAGGATCGAGGTTGATAGCCCGTTGCTGCGAGACTAGAGTCAGCGCAAGCGTCTCCTGCTGGCGAAAGACGCAGCATACCTCGCTCAGCCTTCTTGAACTCGTTGTACAGCTCCCAGCTGACGAAGCCGCGCCCTCCGCGGTCGTTGACCAGGCGCGCTAAGCTCCACTTCATGAATGCTCCGATCGAGCGCGGATTGGCGAGCTCGAGGTCTGCCAAGTTAGACGTCAATGCACCGTTTTTGAAGGTCGGGGAGAGCGCCAGACGAACCTTGCGGCCAGGTCTCGTGGTCCTCGAGGTACGAGCGGATGAGGGAGCAGACGCCGTCGAGCGAGATGTCTAGCGCCATGCTCGACAGAATCAGCGGGGTATCGAGACCTGTCATCGAGCGGATCAGCACTGTCACACGCCCCGAGAAGAATGAAGCGCGAAGAACGCACCTCGTTTCCGAATCTGCTCTGCGCAAGCCTGCACGATCCGCTCGACCTTGATGATCCCCAGCTCTACCGTTGTCGCTATTGGCGCGTAGCCGTAGAGCAACTGCATCTCGGCCGGTTGCACCTCGTTGTCCTCGCCAATGCCGTACCCACTTCCAAAGCCACTCGAGCCCGTCGCCTGCGCCGCGAAGGCTGGCCGGTCGGTCGTGATGGGTCGGCCAAAGTCGTCGATCCGCACGGGGAAGCTGGTGTCCTGCGGCGGCGGCGAAGGGAGAGTTGGGCCCGATGGGCGGGTGGGGAGGTTCGACGAGGGGTTCGACGACTCGCTGGACCCGGGTCTGAGGCGCAAGAGGCTCTTCTTCTTCTTGAACATGCTCATCGCGCGATACCGCCCTCGTCAGCGCGCCGTGTCGGTCTGAAGGTTGTCGAGAACAAGCCGCGAGGCGGGGGACAGAGCGGCGAGACGAGGGCGCAAGCGGACAAGCGAGGGCTGGCTGGACGTGTACAGCGAGCAGATAGACTAGCACAGCGCTTCAAACGAGCAGCGAGACGTGATAAGAAGGAGCCAGCTCCCCACCTCGTCGCCTCGTTCCCCTGTCATCGCTCAAGCAACTCTTCTCTCGCCAGGAAGACGGCGTGAAAGCGGGGTAGTCATGACACGGCATCACTGCTCCATCGCGTCCTCGTCACTCGCGTCCTCCCAGCCACCGTCTTCACCCTCAGCGCCGTTACTCGCAACGATTCCTGCCGCGTCAAGCTTGCCCATGAGCTCCTTGACGTGCGACATCTGCTCGGGGTCAGAGCCGGTCGGGTCGCGCTCCTCAAGCTGCGGGCGGGGACAGTCAGTGATGGGGCAGGGCGAGAGGGAGGAAAGGGAACGCACCCTGAGGTAGTTCTCCAAGCACAGCTTCGCCTCGCTCCAGCACTCCTCCTTGCTCTCCTCGTCCTCCGCTCGAGGCTTGTCCCCTCGCGCCTCTCCAAGCAGCCACCAAGCCCAGCCGCTCAAGTACCACACCTCCGAGTCCTCGTCGTCCTCGTTCTCCAGTCGGTTCAGGATCTCGAGTGCCGGGACATGTTCCGACAGCTCGAGGAAGAGCTTGGCGCAGGTCAGGCGAGAGGGCCGGGGAGGATATATGGGCGAGTCTGCGAACAATACGAATGAGAGGAAAGTTGGCTGTGAGGGCGACCTGAGAGAACGCACCGACTTCCACGTTCCGCCAGATTTCCCAACCCTTATGCAGCGCCTGCTTCGCATCCTCCTCTCTCTGTTGACTGAGGCGTACGGAAGCGAGTGTCTGCGCGACGGAGTATCGTGAGCAGGTCTACGGTTGGAAGCAATTGCGGGACGCGCACCTGGTACACCTCTGGATCTGACGGATCCAGCTCCGCCGCCTGCTTCAGATACTTCTCGCAGTTCTGCTCCGCTTCAGGCTCAAAGCTGCGCGGCGGAGAACCTGTGTCAGCGGGAACGAACTCGCAGGAGTCGAACTCGTCACGCACCACAAATCCGTCAAGTACAGCTCCGTCATCCCAACCAGCGCACGACTCGCACTCCTCCTGATCTCTCCCTCGTCCTCAAGCTCTTCCTGCGTTCCAGCACCCCCGTCCACACCTAACTTGGCTCGCTCGAGCGCTGCGAGCTTGGCCTGCAAGATGCCGAGCGCGTTGCCGAAATGGGTGAGCGACTCTTGAGGAGTATCGGAGAGCTGCGCGAGGTAGAGGTGCGGGGCGGGCGAGGGGTCGGGAGTAGCAGAGGCGAGTTGGATGCTCGCGGCGAAGTGCTGCGAGCCGATGCGACAGTCAGTCTGAAAGCACGGCAGGATACCCTCAGAGCCAGGACGCACTTCCTTGGCCTCTGTGATGTCTCCCAGCTCCAGCTCGACCGTTCCCAGGATCTCGAGAGCGTCCCTCAGCATCCTCGGGTCCGCGCCGTCCCCCTTCTCCTGCAGTTCCCTGTTTGCCAGCTGGACAGCCTGGAAGCAAAGCTTCTTGGCTCCATCGTAGTCGAGCGCGGCGATGCGTTGTGCGGACTGGACGAGGAGCGCCTCGACGGTGACGGATGGAGGAGCCTGTGCGGAAGTCGACGGCGCGGGAGCGGTTGCGCTGGACGGGAAGTTGTCGGCCTTGCTGGCTTGTTTCCGGCGAGCCTTTGTGCGTCCCATTCTAGCAGAGCAAGCGAGTGTGAGGCGTGCGAGAGAGACCCCACCGCTCACCATTGCCCAAGCTCGCCTTGTGGGGGAAGCTCTCGCTTGCAAGGACAGGAAGCGCAGTAGGAGTGAAGGAATATGCAATGCACGTCTAGATATGGAACGGGGAATATGCGATGCGGGCGAGGGCGCAAGGACAACACGATAGAGACGGGCGGAGGTGAGGCAGTCTATAGTCTATGAGATGTACGGGTTGGAGACGTCGGGGTCGCCAAATAGCTGCGAGATCGAGAAGCGCGTGAGTGAGGTGGAGCGCAAGAGGGCGCAAGAGCGAGGAACGGGAGAAAGAGGCTCACCTCGCCCAGGTGTTTCTCGAGCTCCTCCAGCTCTGTACTGACGGAGCCGAGCGAGACGAGGTAGAACCAGTAGCGAAGGAAGCCAGGCCGCTTGAGCTCGCGCTCGCCGCGGGGCAGCCTGCTCATGCGGCGCGAAAGGACGAGCGCGTCGTGCTCGAAAGATGCCCATGTCGGCTTCGACGAAGGCACGTCTCGCGCGAGCTGGGTTTTGCTGAGGAGAGAGGTGGCGCCGAGGTAGAAAAGTGTGCGGGCGAGTCGCTGGGAGTGGAGGCGGTAAGGGAAGAGGACATTCGCGAAGTCGTGGTGGATGGTGGGGTTGAAGCCCTTCATGCCAACAGCCGTGCGAGCCTCGCGCAGGCGGTCAAGTATCACTTGCTGCGCGCGGATGATCTTGAGAAGCGCTGGGGAGGGAGCAGATCAGACGAAGTAAGGCAGCAGAAAAAGGGAAAGTAACGCACTGTCGGCCTTGAACGGCGCCCACCACTTCGGCTCGACCTTGGCGAACTGGAACGTCGGAGCAAGCGCAAGAATCGACGCCTGGATCTTGGACTCGCGCTTGATGAGCTCGTGCTGGACCTTCGCGAGCGCTTCTTGTCGGGGGACAGGCGCTTCGTCGGCGGGCGCGACGAGGTTGACGAAGCACTGCAGCATCGTGTTGTACGATGACAGGGCAAAGAGGACGTCGGCGAGCTGGAGGCGCAACCGTCGACGTGCGGGTTGGCGGAAGACGAACATCTGGAAGACGGCGGAGATGGCCATGCTGATGCCCAGACTGGCGATGGAGAAGCCGAAGCGAAGCCCGGGCGAGTCGAACGAGCGACGAACGCTCGGCTCGTCGTTGTAAAGGTGCTCCTGGATGACCATGGCCGAGTATCCCGTGACGTAGAGGAGCGACTGCGTGTATTTGGCGGGGTGCTGAAGGAACTTGTAGGACGACCAGGCGTACCACAGCGCACCGAAGGCGACGAGGCCGTACCTGTTGCAAGCGAGGTTAGCTAAGGAAACGGAGGACTGTTGTGAGAGGAACGCACGGGTTATACTTGTACCCTCCGACGTTGTGAAAGATCTCGAGCACGACAAGGCCGACGAGCGCGCCTGCACCTGTCCCTGACACCTGCAGGAGCCATGTCGACAACGTACCGCCCAGAGTCGGAGCGACAGCTACGATCACGGTGATGAGTGCCGAGACCTGGCCGATGCGGAGGAAGACGTGCTGCTGGAGTGTCGGAGCGAGCGCAAAGACCGAGTAGACGGTCGTTGCCATCGACACCTTGGCCGCATAGATCGACCGTTGCTGCCAGAACCAACGCTCAATGCGCGCGATCTTCTGAACAATGGGCTTTTTGACGGGCTTGTACTCGACGCCGTGCAGAGTCGCGAGGGCCTCCTGCAGGTTCATGTCCTCCTTGGGTCCCCAGAGCTTCTTGACGCGGTCAATGAGCATGCCGAAGAGGTACGGCCGCAGCTTCTTCCGCTGATTGGCGCGAACGATGGTCGAAAGGATTGCTAGCTCTTCGGTGAGCTGGCCCAGGCCGAAGAGCAGGCTGTAGGCTTTGGTGAGAGCGTCGGAACAGGGCGCATCCTCCTCCTCGACGACAGTTGTCGCAGGCGAAGTGCCGTCGCGGGACCGGAGGCGAGCGAGCGGGGTCTGCGATATCAAGGAGGACGTCCACGCTTTCGGCAGTCGGTGTGCGTACCTACCAGTACTCGAGATTTAGCGGAGAGCTTCCGAGGATGGGCAGAAATTAACGCACATCTCCTTGATGCTTGGCATGCCCTCCTCGATCCGGAGAACGTCGTCGACCTGAATCGACCCGTCCTTGATGAGCGAGACGAGCGCGTCCTGTTGCGCCCGAGCGAAGGCGTCCCAGGCTTTGCGGAAGATCTGGACGACATCGGTGTGCGTCTCTTCCGCCTTCTCCGGGTCTGTCGTCGTTGCAGGAATGTCGGAAGGCCGGTTCGCTTCGCCGGGTACTGCTGTATCGTCGAGCGGTCGTTGTTCGCTGCGGCCGCGCGGCAGGTCCGAGGTCGACTCGCGCGGTGACGGCAGGTTCGAGTGGCCCGGTGTCCCTGGTCTCGAGCTGGCGTTCGAGTTGTCGCCGCGACGTGAGGCGCTCGCACTGCGGAGGCTCTCCTCCCTGATCCTGCGATGTCGCTGCTCACTCTCCAGGACCTCCTTCTTGAGCCTCGCAGCGACCGTCATCATCTTCTCCTGTACAGCCGTGGGAGTTGGCGAAGTATGCAGGGCGTGACCGAGCTGCTCGTCCGAGTCGACAGTCGCTGGCGCCTGGCTCTGGCCGCTCGTCTGCCGCTCAGCCATCGTCTCATTTTGAGGCGCGAGCTCGGCATCCGGCTCGACGTCAACCGCAACGGGGCCGACGAGTTCGTCGATGATTTCGGCGATGACGAGGTCGATGCCGTGGCGGAAATCGGCGAACGTCTGTGCCGCTTCGGAACGAGCGAGGAGGTGCCGGCTGTTGATGCCGCGTGGGTCGAGGGCGCTGATGAGGTCGATGGCGGAAGACGATGTGATGAGGGCCTGCTGCAGGCCCTGGACGGCCTTGATCATGTCGCGGTAGTGTTTGAGCGACCAGCGCGAGAAAGTAATCTCAAAAGACGTCTCGTCGAGCCTGCCGTTCAAGGCGAGGTAGTCGCTCCTGAGCGCCTTGACGAGCACCTGCCGCACGTCGACTTCGTCTTGATCAAGCTCGCGCGCGTAGGTCTTGCAGGTGAGGTGGGCGAGAGTCGAGACGTGCTGGAGAGAGGTGACGAGGAGCTGTCGAAGTTCGGCTTCGGCGGTGAAGGGCCAGACGATTAGGTTGACGCCCAGCGAGATGGCCATGCCCCACAAGTACGCGACGGCGTTTGCGAGGAAGAACTGCTTGTTGAAACCGCCCTCGGTGATCGAGCCGTAGATGCCGTTGAAGGAGAAGAGCACGCCGTACTGGGGAGCGAGGTGGTCAGATTTGCGCTACTGAAGAGCTAGGGAACGACGCACAAGATAGAAAGATATGTATTTCGGTCCCCCAAAACGAACCAGCGCAGCGAGGTACACCCAGATTGCGAAGACGAAGCCCTGCCCGGTTGGCGAATCGGCTGCGTGGGAGCACAAGTCAGTGGGAGCACAAGTCAGTCGGCGTGCCCCCCTCGATGCAGAGAAGTAGTACGCACCCAGTTCACCCAGGATAGCGTAGACCAGCACGCCCAGTCCGAAGCCGACACTTCCAAGGAGGAGCGCCTCGAAGCATTTGCCCATCGTCCCGCCAGGGTAAGCTCCCACAATGACCAGTACGGCGCCATTGAGGGCAGTCGGATAAGGTGTTGTCTCGGCGAACCTGCGGGAGAGGGATCAGCGAGGAGCGAGGGAAGAGAGAGCGAGAAACCGGGGGACTCGCCGGTTCGAAAAGGTCAAGATCAGCAGCAGGCACAGTGCGAGCGTCTGCTTTAACACGCCCAGCCACAGCGTTGGAGGTCGCTCCTTCAGGCGAGCCCATGACAGCTGCTCGCGAGCGTCAGTCCATTTCGAGTGCGTCCACTTCGACAGACGGTCTGGGACCATGGATCGAGTCTCTGAGCGTATTACGGCCGGTTGAGCGGGCGCATAAGCTATCCTGAGCGTTTAAGCGAGCGACAGTGAATGGAAGAGGTCCGAGAGGCGCTGAGGCGCTGAGGATGGGTTGGACTCTTCACAGTCACCGACAGCGGTCAGACAGGATGGCTTCCGGTGAGAAAGAGTCTCCTTAGTACAGGCTAGCCCAGGCTGACAGCTTGCACCTCGCAGACGCCGTCAATTCCCTGGCTTCAAGGCTCTCAGCCCTCGAACCGAAGCAGGATGGCGCCGCAGCGGCTGAGAAGGCTGCCGAGTCGCCTGCAGAGGCACCACAAGCGCAGGAGGAGCAGACGGAGGAGCCTTCACTGCCCCAGGGTGCGTCTCGCTCTTGCTCTCCCCCTCGAACTTCCGCTGAATGATGAAGCGGCTGCAGCTTCGTCGCTGCTCGAGAACCTGAGCCATGAGGTCCAGGTGCGTCCAGAAGAGTCCAAGTAGCAGCAACGTACTCACCACGACCCGCTTGCAGGTCACCCTGGCCGACCAGCAAGCCGATCCCAACTCGCCCCTCTTCTCCGCCAAGTCCTTCGAGGACCTGAACCTGTGAGAGCCTCACTGAACCCTATAGAGGACAGGAGCTGATGCATGGTCCTCTCAGGCATCCGGATCTGCTGAAGGGCGTCTACAAGATGGGTTTCCAGAAGCCTTCGAAGATTCAGGAGAAGGCGCTCCCTCTGCTCCTCCAGAACCCGTGAGCAGCGCTTCTTTTCAGCTTCTGTAGCTGTCTGACGCTTTCGTGGTGCAGCCCGCGGAATATGATCGGCCAGTCGCAGTCGGGAACGGGCAAGACGGCAGCTTTCGCTTTGACGATGCTTTCGCGGATAGACATGGACCTCAAGGTTCCTCAAGTGCGTGCGCTTTGTCGCTTTCACAGCCTTTGTCAGCTAATGCTCGCTATGCAGGCCATCTGCATCGCGCCCTCTCGCGAGCTCGCCATGCAGATCCTCTCGGTCGTCCAGAAGATGGGGCAGTACACGCCTGTCGAATGTTTCTTCGCGGGCAAGGACTCATGGCAACGAGGGATGCCCAAGTTGACGCAGCAAATTGTCATTGGAACGCCGGGAACGATGATCGACGTGCGCCGTTTCCCTGCCTGCGAGCTGCTCGCGACTGACCCGCTTTCTCTCTACCCGCAGATGGTCACGAAGGGTCGGGTGCTCGACTTGAAGGAGGTCAAGGTGTTCGTGCTGGACGAAGCGGACAACATGCTCGAGACCGGCAGCATGGCGGATCAGAGCATTTCGCTCAAGAAGTGCGTACCTCGTCCACTTCGCGCTGGTCCATGCTGACTTCGTCTTGCGCAGCCTCATCACGAAGATGGCCAAGAAGCCTCAGATCGTCCTTTTCTCCGCTACTTTCGCCGACATCGTCCGAACATTCGCCGAGCGGTTCGCTCCCGGTGCGAACGAGATCCGGCTGAAGCAGGAGGAGCTGTCGCTCGACGCCATCAAGCAGTTCTTCATGGGTGCGTACCGAGCGAGCTCCGCCTGCTCATACAGCAACTTACACTTCCGCTGCGCAGACTGCGACAACGAGGGGCACAAGTACTTGGTTCTCGTCGAGCTGTACAACCTGTTGACCATCGGCCAAAGCATCATCTTCGTCAAGGTGAGTGCGTTCGTTATTCGGTTCCAACGCGTCCACTCACCCGCTCCTTCGCAGCGTCGCGACACTGCCGACGAAATTGCTCGCCGAATGACTGCCGAGGGGCACAAGGTCGTCTCGCTGCACGGCAAGCTGGAAACAGCGGAGCGTGACGCGGTCATGGAGTCATTCCGAGATGGCAAGACCAAGGTCTTGATCACGACGAACGTCATTGCGCGAGGAATCGACGTCTCGCAGGTCAACATGGTCGTCAACTACGACCTCCCGCTCGACGCGCAAGGTCGACCTGATCCGGAGACGTACTTGCACCGTATCGGTGCGTGACCAGCTATCTCTAGCGACGCTCACCGCTCACGCTGACGCTGGTCAACGCAGGACGAACGGGTCGCTTCGGTCGCCAGGGAGTGTCGATCAACTTTGTCCACGACCGCCGCTCGTTCGAACACATGGAGGCGATCCGCGCAGCGCTCGGCAAGCCCATCGTGCGCGTCGACACGTCCGACTTTGAGCAGATGGAAAAGGTCCGTCCGCGAAGTTGTCCTCGTCTCGCAGTCTCGCTGACTTTGCCGTCTCGTCGCTCGCTCTCGCAGACGCTCAAGGCTGCGCTCAAGTCGTAGAGGGATGCAATGCGAGTCCCCTGCCGCTGGACGAGGTTAATCAGGAGGACTCTGTCGAAAGCGGAAGGCGAACAAACCGCCTCGACTTCGCCTTGATCTGCAACGCCTCTTCTCTGTGTTGTACACTCGCGTGCTGGCTACGTAAAGACTCGAGAGGGCGCTGGCTGCCCGCGACAGGAGCTCAGGCCCCGGCTGAACCGCTTGTCGTTCGCTCTCGCACCTCGCGCCAAACCATCAGTCGACCATCTCTCCTCCTCTCTGCGCTCGCCCAGGGTGACGGACAGTCCGCATAGACCGACAGAGGGACTCGCGTGGACATGCCGGACAGCAGCAACCGTTTCTCGACGCAGTCCGCCGCCTCGACTTCTTCATCGGTCGGGGGTTCGTCCTTCCGACACTCCCTCAGTTCGTCCAGCAACGGCCGCCTGACTCCCGCGTCGGAACGGTTGAGCATCCGCGTCCCCGACAACAAGCGCTACTTGCGAGGCGCGACGTCAGTCGCTGGACGAACCAGCGAGGAGGTGGGGGAAGGAGACCACGGGGAGACGTGGGTCGACGCGGACGAAGGGGAACACGCAGGAGGGCAGCATAATGCGCAAGACGAGGTCGAAGAAGCAGACCGGGGAGTCGGGTGGACGGGAAGCGCTTCCGAGGCTGTTGGAGTCGGGCTGGGACTGGGTTTCGACGTTGACATGGGCGCCGTCCGCGCTGATGCTCTTCGTACGCCTCCGCGGATTGAAAGAGAGGTCGGCGGTGTGGACACGGGCGCATCAACGATGCTTCGTGACCACGTTGACGGCGAATTCGCTCCTTCCGCCGGCGCCGACTCGATCTCGCATACTTCCGAAGCTTCGACATCGAGCACGGCACTCTCGACGCATCAGTCTGTCGCTTCGTCCGACTCGTCAACCCTGAGCCTCCCAACCGCCCCTCCAGTCGACCTCTCTCTGCCCAATCGACCGAACGCAAGCGGTCCGTTCGTCAGCGTTGCGAGCGGTCCTATGGGTCGCCTCGCGGCAGAGAATGCCTCTACGTCGCGACCAACGGTTTGTCAGACTTTCAGACCGCGTTGTGACATCGGACTGACTCGCCTGTTCTCGCAGACCTCGAGCAGCGCACGCTCCTTCCTCTCCAGCTTGCTCAACCGCTCACCCCGCTCCAGCGGCCACTCTCCGCGATTCACCACTCCGAACACCTCGTCATCTTCATCGCCGAACCCTTCCATCCCTCGCTCTCCTTCCGCACCTCACGGCTGGCAACCCCATCCAACCGTCGCAGCGCTTCAGTCGAACGATGCCATCCATTCTCGCTCGACTAGCATGCCGGCGATCGCCGGCGCGCCCCAGCCTCGGTCGTCGAGCGACTTGTTTCGACCCGAGTCGGTCGCTTGCAACGCTCCGCAGCGACGCACGCCCCGATCTATCGCCGCAGCGACTTTCGCCGGCCTTGCGAGGTCCACCTCACTGCGCGGCACGGCAGACTCGAGCAGTATGAGCAGCGGCTCTCACAGGCCCGCTCCGCCCGAGACACAGTCGCCTGTACCAACCATCGGCCTCTCAACGCCGCCGCCGCCTCCCCTCGTTCCGTCGCCTCCCACCCTTGCATCTATCGGCTTGACCGTCAACCCGCTCACGCAGCAGCTCTCCCTCTCACGCAACGCCCAGCCGCTCTGCGGAGCTCTCTTGGACAACAAGTACCTCCTCATCGGCACGACCGCCGGCCTCGACTTCCTCCCTCTTCCGCTCCCCGGTTCGCTTCCGATGAAGCATCATGGCCTCAAGAAGCGGAGGGAAACTCGCAAGCCTATTCCGCTCATCAAACGGACGCGGTTCAAGGAGCTGGCGGTTCTCAACGAGCGGTCCAACATCTTGCTTGCCATTGCCGGCCGAAACGATCACGTCCGAGGTTCGTCAAATCTCTTGACTGTCTCGAACTTGCGCTGACCTCGGTCGCTTGATAGTGTACGCTCTCGACGGGATCAGGGCGATGATTGAGCGAAAGATGGCCGAGATCGACATCAAGGACGGCTACCCGATCATCCAGGATGCCGCCATCTTCGACTCTGCTACGCCTACGCCTCGCTCTACGGCAGCGAAAGGCAAACAGCGGGCCGAGCCGTCGGATGCCAGCTCTTCCTCGCACGACGCACCTCTCGCAACGTTCCCCCGCCCTTCGCAACTCGCGCCCAACTCTTCCTACCAGTTCCCTTCGACTTCCCCGTCAGATCCGCAGGCGCCTACTCCGCGCCGACGACCTTCTCTCGCCCGGAACCGACCACCTTCATGGCATCGCCTCTCGAACCCACTTTACTCTGCCGTCTCGCCCACCTCGCCCATCCGCATCTCTGGCCGCCAGACTCCGTCTTCGACCTCGGTCGTCCGCACTCTCCCTACGGCGACTCCCCGCGGCTCCGTGTCCAGTCAGGCGACTGTCCAAGCCGGCACGCCTCGCACCATCCGTCCGCAAAATTCGCGCGACTTCGTGGCGGGCCGACGCGGATCGACCGCGACCATGCAGCGGCGATACAGCAGGGCTGACGGCGGAGCTTCGTCGCCCGGTCGAAGGTCGAGCGCGCCCTCGCTTCACTCGCGCAGGGCGAGCACGAGGTCGGTCAGCGGGCGGAAGAGCTCCGCTGACGGGTCGAGCGATGTCCCGCCGGTTCCGTCGCGACGTTTCGAGCCGCGGGCGCCGGTCAAGCCCCTCAACACGCTTGAGCGCTCGCCAACATCCGACTTGGCCGAGTTCCTCGCCACGACCGGTCCCGACCTCGACTCGCCCGAGCTGGATCGCGTCCTTGCGTCGAGTCGCGAGCGTCGCAGGTCGTCGATCGCTGAGCAGGTCGCGCAGACGGAGCAAGACGCCCAGCTCTTTCCGGCAGCCAAGCGTTTCGCACGTTCGACCGCGTCGTCGCACGCCGCAGGTCTCGCGGCTTTCGGAGCGAAGGACGACAGGACCTTTGTCGAGCATCTTGACGTCGGGGACACGAATAGCTCTGAAGCCATCACGGACGCACCTCCCCCTCTCCCGCCCAAGCCGCAAGCCCGTCGAGCTTCGACACCCCTCCTCACGCCAGGTCAGAAGTCGCCGTCCATGAACCTCGCGGAGTGGATCAGTCAGACTGGGCCCGCGAGCGACCAGCGGCTGGCGACGACTCGACGACCTCCACCCGATTTGTCGAACGGCTTTCGCGATCCGTTCAGCGAAGCGAACGCTCCATCGCATTCGCCACAGGTCCCGTCGGCTTCGTCGTCGCCCACAAGCCAGGCCACCAGCCGTTTTGCCCCTCGCTCGCCCGTTGTCAGCAGCGAGCTGGACGAGGGAGCGTCGGCGAGCCCGCGAGGAACGGAACTCTCGCTTGCCGAGATCATTCGAGACGGCCCTCCACCATCTCCGTCGCTCGCTAACACGTCTCCAGGCTCACGCGCCGGCAAACGGTGGTCGATAGGCGGCGTCGGCGCTAAACTGATGAACAAACCTGCGCCGAACGATGGCGGCTCCCCGAAGCTTGCCAGTCGTCGCAACGACCGTTTCTCTGCGGACAGCCCCAGGTCGTCGAACGGCTGGGAGCTGGTCTCTGAGCCGGAACAAGCCGTCGACGAGCAGGCCCAGCCGCTTGCCTCGCAGCCTCTTCCGTTCCCAACTTCTCCGGCAGCTCAGAACGACCCGTCGCCCGCTATCAGGAGGACGGCCAACGACCAGAAACGCCGTCCTCTCTCGTCCTTCAACCAAGGTGAACCGCTCATTGTGCCGGCTTCGGCACAGGTTCCGCCCCCGCTGGACGCGCATCCAGCCAACGTGCGTAGCCCTTTCATCCCACTTTCCTTGAGCGTCCGCTGACCCTTCGTCCCCACGCCCAGAGCCCCGTCGAGTACGTCAAGCTGGCGCGGACGCGCGGCGCCCGACTGTTGCGAGCCGTCGAAACGAAGAAGCGGACCTACCTCGCCGTCCTCTGTGGCGAGGAAGGCGAACGCATCGAGCTCTTCACCGGCTCGCGGTCGATCTCGCTCAGCCTGAATCGCACCTTCGTCTTGCCGGAGACGCCCAAGACGATTGAGTTCCAGCTGCAAGGGGACGACCTCGTTGACATCTATCTCGTCTACGGCGAATCGATCTTCGCGCTCGAACCGGCGACCGTTCGGGTGCGAGAAGTCGGCGTCGGCAGAAGCGAGCGAAGGGCTCGTCGGGAGCGCGAACGGCGGATGCGTGATTTGGCGACCTCGACTCGCGTCGATGCCGCTACCGACCAGCCGGACGAACTCGCCTCGTCAGGCCTGCATGCGGCGCTTCATCCCGCCGATCACGTCCTTCGCGAGACGGAAGAAGCATCGGCCCGTGCAGGAGCCGGCAGATCCCGTTCGCCTTCGCCCGTCCCGCAGGCGGAGTCAGCAGCCGCAGCCGAGCACGACGAGCCTCTGCCGCCTCAGTACACCGTTCGCGAAGCCGACCACACCATGGCACAACTCGAGCCGGCTCCTTTTCCGACAACGAACGAATCGCCTGACCCAGAGGCCGCCGCAGCGCCGAACAAGCTCGCCGAACCCTACACGAGCTTTCAGCAGCTACCCTTCGTTCCGCCTGTCCCGTCGAGCGTTCTTTCATCGGCTTACACGATTCCGCCCCTCTACACCGACGTTGTCGGACCCGCAGCGCCGTCGCCTAACTTCCCCCTCCAGCAACCCTCCATCACCGTCACACAGGAGAGCGGAACAGACGAGGCGAACGTCTCGCCTCCACCACCCCCGAACGAGTACGACCTCCCGCTTCTCTCGCCAATCTCGCTCCTCGGTGGGCAACGCCAGACTGGTCCGCCTGGCCTCTTCTTCGTCTCGAAGGGCGCCAACTTGACTGGCATCGTGACTGCCGACGGCAAAAGCGGTGAGTGCTCCCTTACCTCTATTATGCCGACTGGCTGACCGTCCTTCCACAGTCATCAAGCGGCCACTCGTCTGGGGCAATGACCGAGCAGCCATCGACACCGTCGTCGATGGCATGCAGCGCATTGAAGTTCTCGTCCTCCACGGCAAGCGCACCGCCGTCGTTCGCGTCTCGCCGCAGGACGTCAAGGTCATCTCGGTCGACGGCGCCTCCCCGTCCCAGCCTTTCACCTCCGCCATCCCCGTCTCACCTGCACGCTCTCGCCCTCGTATTCAGTTTCTCGCTACGCACGCTGCTGGCCAGCAGCTTGTCTACTCCCAAACCGTCGGATCCGCCTTCAGCATTGTCTGCCTTGGCCCGTCCGCCCTGTCGTCCTGATACCTCGCAGCTGGATACCCTGTATGGCCTGGAACTCGCACCTTTCGTCGCTTCAGCGTGTTCCTGCGTTCACTCGCTTCTCCCTCTGGCTCGCACCTTTTGCTCGCGTCGCGGCACCGCCGTTCGACTTCCTCCTCACTTCGCTCTCCTCTCACTGCCCTTGCTGCTACTGCCACATGAGCTTCGACTTTGCTGCTTTCAGGTGCGTCGGCCTCGCGCGTCCCAGCCTCGCTCGCTGACCGTCTCTATCCTCTCACAGACTGCAATCCGAGAACGCGAACGCCGCGCTCCTCACGGGCCTGGACGTGCGCTCCCTCAAGGCCGTCGCTGCAGAGTACACTCCAGAACCATCGCTCAAGAAGCCTGCCACGCCTCGCAAGCCCAAGGTGAAGGCAGCGCCGCTCGTCTCGAAGGATGTTGAAGGACAGATTGCGGAGCGAGAGGCGCGAGGGCTGCGAAGTTCGTCACGCGTACGGGACAAGATGATGGGTGTTACGCCGGGCAGAAACGAGCGGGGTGAGCAGCTCGACTCGGGCGACGAGGAGAAGGAGTACTACGAGGGTGGGAGAAAGGTCGAGACGCAGGCCGCTTACGGTGCGCTCGTTCTTGTTCTGATGGGCCGCTGCACACGAAGATTGACATCTCGAACCTCACGACAGTCCCAAACCGCCTCGGTAAGCGTACTGAGACGCCGAAGAAGTACGGCCCGATCCGAGGAATCGCCGTCGGCACACTTTTCCAGTCTCGCATGGACGCCAGCACGGCCAGCGTTCACGGTCCCGTCGTGGCCGGAATTGCGACGGGCCCGGGACCCGCCGGAAAGCGGTCGGTGGCCTCCATCTGCGCTTCGGGAGGCTACGTTGGCGACATCGACATGGGCGACCGCTTGACGTTCTCGGGATCCGGCGGGCGCAACTTGACGGGTACGAAGGACCAGCCGAAGAACCTGCGCACGGCACCGCAGTCCGCCGACATGCGGTGGGATGAGAACGAGCGCAACCAGGCGCTCCTCTACTCGGTCACGTCCGGCAAGCCCATCCGCCTCATGCGCGGCTTCAAGAACCAGTCTGCTTGGGCGCCAGTCGAAGGGTACCGCTACGACGGGCTGTACCAAGCTGTCAAGGCTTGGGAGGACACCTCGCCGGAAGGTTTCAAGATCTGCCGTGTCGCCCTCGTACGACTTCCAGGACAGCCTCCCCTTCCCGTGCATCCTCGGCGCGCGCACCTCGTCAATAACAACGAAGCGAAGGCGGATGGCCCGAACTTCGCATCCGCCACCGCACTCTCCCGCGCAACATCCGCCTCTTCCTCCTCGGCGGAAGAGTCTGTCGAGACGGATCTTACGACGCCGGAAGTAGAGAAGAGCGAGGAAGAGGCCAGTGTGGAGCGCAAAGCAGTCGAAGAGGCGTCGATGAGCATGAAGCGCGAGGCGGAAGACGAGGCGCAGGACTCGCCGAAGCGCAGGCGGACTTCGCGCGTCGCGTAGAAGGTTGGGGCACAGACTTGTTCGGGTATTTCAGTCTTTCCATACTTTGTTCTTGTATCGGGAATATACGGCTTTGACGAGCTTTAGGAGCATCGTGCGCTCACTTCGTCTTTTGCTTCTTGGCTGCCGGGGCCTTCGACTTCCCGCTGGCCTTGCCGCCCTTCTGCGAGTTGGCGAGGCACATCAGTGTGATCCGGCACTGGGGAGGAAAGCAAGGGAGACTGAACGAACCCGGCCTCCGGCGCGCTGCTTCTTCTTCGACTCGGGCTCGTCGTCCTCGTCAAAGTCAGCCTCGTCATCATCGTCCATTTCCTCCTCGTCGAACTCCTCGTCATCGTCGTCCGTGACCTTCTTCTTGTTGGCGGCCCCACGAGACGGGTTGCGGCGACTGCCTTCAGCGGGTGCGGCGCGCTTCTGAGGCGCCGTCTTGCCGGTGCCACGCTTGGCGTTGGTCTGCGAAACAAAGCAATCAGGATCAACCTGCTCACGAGGAGAGCGCTGCTGGAAGTGCTCACCTTGGCAGCGCCCTTCTTGCCGCCCTCGCTCTGGCGCTGCTTGGCCGACTTGTTCTCGTCATCGTCGCCCTCCTCACCGTCCTGCATCTCCTCGTCTTCGTCCTCGCCCTCCTCGGCGTCGTCATCCTCCTTGTTGTCCTTTCCGGCGCCGCGCTTGGCGTTGGTCTGCGAAAGCGACGCTGTCAGCGGATGCGCGCTTCGAGAGGGAGGAACTCGACGAACCTTGGCGGCACCCTTCTTGCCTCCCTCGCTCTGGCGCTCCTTGGCGGACTTGCCCTTGTTGTCGTCCTCGCCGTCGTCGGCCTCAGCAGTCTCCTCCTCGCCGTCATCACCCTCCTTCTGCTCCTTGGCATTGCCATTCTTCTTCTGGGTAGCCTTGCCGCTCTTCTGCAGTCGCGAAAGACGAGTGTCAGCGAGCCCGTCTGACGGGTACGCCAGGGAAGGAAAGCTCGACAAACCTGACCGCCCTTCCTCTGCGCCTCCTTCGCGTCGTCCTTACCCTCATCCTGCTTCTCACTCTCTTCCTTGCGCTCCTCAGACTTGTCCTCTCCAGCGTCCTTGTCGCCCGTCTTCTCCTCAGCCTCGCGGTTCGTCTTGGCGTCTCCGCCAGCCGCTTCCTTCGCGTACGAAGTCTTGTCGCCCGTCGACGACTCGTCGACGTCGTTCAACTCGTGGGCAAGCTTGATAGCCTTGTTCTGCGGGCGATATCGCGCGTCAGCGAAAGGAATGGGTGGAGCCTGGGAGAGGGAGGAAACGCACGCCAGAGTCGGCCTTGAGCTCGACAGCGGGGTCCTCAGCGGCTGTAGCGAACCGGATCAGTCTCATAACTTCTAAACAACGGAGAAAAGACGTCGGAAACGCACTGCCCTTGCGAGAAACCTCTTTGCCGCCCTTGGTCTCGATGGTGTCGTGTTCGGGGACGACGGCCTCGACAGTTCCAGTCGGCTGTCCACCGCCGTAGTTCCAGCTGTTTTCCGTCGAAACAACCCGTCAATGTCAGCGACTTTGCCAGGACGGGAGCTTGAAGGATGACGTGAGAGGCTGGATCGCGATGCGACGGAGGTGGGGACGAGGAGCGGAGAAGGGAAACGGGAGAGAGGGAGAGGACGCACGAGACGCGGTCGCCTTCCTTCAAGTCTTCGGGCTTGGTCATGATGTCTGTTGTGAGTAGTCGTGTGGTGCGAGAGGGAGGAGGAGAAGGGAGAGCGAGACGGCGAGCGAGAGAAACGATGTCAGCGATCTGGGAAGGTCGACCACGTCAATTTCCGGCCGAAGCAAGGAGCTGTCTCACCTTTTCGTCGCTTGATGAGCGAGAAACCCCTCGCTAGGCGTTGCGTTCGTTGCGGAGCATTGTTGCGAGGCGGCCGTAATCATCAACGAGACGAGAGGAGGGGAGGGAGCGACGTTGACGGCGAGAGGGCGGACCGCGCGGGAGCGAAGAGACGCACGGCGGATGTGAGGCGGGCGAGGCGTAGTCAGACCGCATGTTCTGCTGGCGAGGAGGTCGGTGTGTCGCGTTGTGTACTGCGGAGGGCTTGACGACAAATCCCGGCTCGGGCGGCTGCGTCGTAGGAACGGTGGGCTTCGTGGAACGCAGACAGTGGACGAAGTATGTAGCAGTCGGTCAGCGGACGTTGACAGACAGTTGAGGAAGCAGGTAAAGAGGCAGTGACCGCCATCGAAGCGAGAGGAGCGAGCGAAGTAGCCGCGGAGCGGACTCGGACTACGACTTCAGGCCAGAAAGCGTCACGCATGAGCAGGGCACGCGATCGCGCAGGCCAGTGACGAGCGTGCATAACGGTCGTCGATGAGACAGAGCAAGGCGAGCAGGACAAAGAGGTTGGTTGTAGCGCACGAAACTAAGAAGAACGAAATGCGGTTGGCCAAGATGACCCCGCCGTCCCTCTCCCCGCGAAGGGAGAGGGCGCCCATCGACCTTCAACTCTGAGTGCGACCCTGAAGCGCCATCCCGGCGGGGGACGACGCCTGCCCCGTGACCCTCTCGGATGCCTCCCGACCTCGGATCCTCCCCGCCATGGGATCCAACTCGCGCTCTACCTCGCCCGGAAGCGAGGCAGCCCTCCTGCCGCGGACGACAGTTGAGAGAGGCGAGTCGGGACGGGTGAAGACGAGGCTGGAACGGGAGGCGAGAGGGGAAGAAGGAGCAAAGGTTTATCTTCCATGAACGTAACGGTTGATCGCCATACGATGTCCCTCTTTTGCACACGGAGGTGCGACGAGGTGGCGAAGAACCTGACTGCCATGGTGGAGCGCGGGTGGAATTGGAGGAAAGCGGGCGGAGCAAGCTGACCAGCGAAAAGCAGAGATCGGGCGGGCCGCATGGACAGGAATGGTGGCGAGTGCAGCAGTGCCCTGTAGAGATGACGCTGGTCAGCTAGTCGTCCCTCGTGAGACCTCCACACTCAGGCGGGTACACGGGCGGAGAGGGGTGAAGAGTAAGCTCACTAGTCGCAAAAGCGCGTTCGCCGGCCAAGCAGCACCCTCCACCCAGCTGCAGCAAGTCTGATCCACGCTGACAGCTGTCCATCACCGCTCAAACGAGCTGGCGAGGTCGCGTCGGAACTTTTGCACCGAGCGCTCGAGGCGTATCGGCAAGCTCGGGCGAAGCGTGCGGCGGTAGGCCGAGCATCGTAGCACCGAGCTGAGCGCTTGAGAGCACGATTCAGCCAGCCCAGCGGGTGACTTTGTGCGGTCGAGTGAGGTGAAGGAGGGAAAGAGACGGACTCGCGAGTTGGCGCTCTTGAGCTCGCCGCAAACACTCAACACCGCTCGATGCTACGCCGTGCTGCTTTGAGAGCGTCGCTGTACGCTATACCGCCCAGGGCAGGCGCAACTAGCGCAGCGGTAGCGCGCCCGCGACCCGCCACAACCATCCGCACTCGCCTGTTCGCGACCGAAGTCCCCTCGATACCGCTGAACCCGGATGTGCAGCCGTATGAGACGCTTGTAATCGGAGGAGGTCATGCTGGATGCGAGGCGGCAGCTGCGAGTGCGAGGGCGGGCGCGAGGACTCTCCTCCTCACCCAGAGGTTGGATACCATCGGAGGTGCGCTCCGCGCTTCCTACGTGCTTCTCCTACTCGCATTGACGCTTCTACGTCTTTCTGGCAGAGATGAGCTGCAACCCGAGCTTCGGCGGTGCGTCGCCAGTCTCCCAACTTCGCTTTCGAGCTGCGAAACTGACCTTCCTTCGCACTTCCCACAGGCATCGGCAAGGGTACGCTCGTTCGCGAAGTCGACGCTCTTGATGGACTGTGCGGGAAGATCTGCGGTTCGTCTAGCTTACAGCGTTTGCAGCGCTGCGACGAGTTCTCACGATTCTGCTTTCGCTTCGCAGACAAGGCCGGCATCCAGTTCCACGTCCTGAACAAGTCGAAGGGACCCGCTGTCTATGTGAGTCGTCGCAAGGCGTTGTCGAGCCTGACGTGTTGGCGACTCCAGCGTTTGCAGCCATACTGACCTTGGCTTTCCTCCGCTTCTTTTTCCCTGCAGGGCTACCGCGCGCAAATAGACCGCAAGCTGTACAAGAACGAGATGCAGGCGGTCCTCTCGTCCTACCCGAACCTCGACATCCGCAAGGCTGCGGTACAGGACATCGTTCTTTCGCCTCCAGTTGAGGGAGAGGATGCGAGGACAGGGCGGAAGATTATCGGGTTGCGGCTTGGTACGTTCGCTCTACTCTTCGCTCCTTGGTCGCTAGGCGCCGTGACGCGGTGTTCGTACTCGAAAGGCGGCTGAGCTGATCCGACACTCTGGCTGCGCAGATTCCGGCGAGGTCATTCCCTGCAAGTCAATCGTCATCTGCACCGGCACCTTCCTCGACTCGGAACTTCACATCGGCATGGACATCATCCCGAAGAAAGGCCGAATCAACGAAGCCTCAACGCACACCCTCTCCGACTCGCTGCGAGAAGCGGGCTTCGAGCTCGGTCGGCTCAAGACGGGAACGCCGCCGAGGTTGGCGAAGGACAGCATCAACTACGAGGGGATGAGCGAGCAGGTTGGAGACGATCCGGCGAAGCCGTTCTCGTTTTTGACGGACCGGGTTGCAAACCAGGTGCGTCTCTGCTTCTGTTGCTCATTCCCTTGGCTTCGCTGTGGCTGATCTCGCTGTGCTGACGGCTCACCCCTACAGGACAACCAAATCTCGTGCTTCCAAACGGCGACGAACGAGGCTTCGCATGCTATCATCCGCGACAACATCCACCGAACCGTTCATGTGCGAGAGACTGTCAAGGGTGCGCCTCTTTCCGCTCGTCTCCACCGCTCGCGGAGTAGTAGCTGATCCAAGTCGACTCGCAGGTCCTCGCTACTGCCCATCGATTGAGTCGAAGGTTCTTCGCTTTGGCGACAAGCTTAGTCACGTCGTCTGGCTCGAGCCGGAAGGTTACGATTCGGGTGCGTCGATTCGTACACATGACGAACCTCGGACCAGACGAGTTGACTTTAAAGCGTCTTACAGACCTGATCTACCCGAACGGCATCTCAATCACCCTTCCCGCCGAGCAGCAGCTCGACTTCCTCCGCACAATCCGTGGTCTCGAGAACGTCGAGATGGTCCAGCCTGGCTATGGCGTCGAGTACGACCACATCGACCCTCGCGAGCTTAAGCGTGCGTCTTGAGCGGTTCCTTCGTCTTCCTCGCTGGCGGACCGCCGCTCAGCGACGCAGTAGATTGACTCTCGTCGGTGTGGACACAGACACGCTCGAGACAAAGCGCATCTCGGGTCTCTTCCTCGCCGGCCAGATCAACGGCACGACAGGCTACGAAGAGGCGGCTGCGCAGGGCGTCTTGGCCGGCATTAACGCTGGTCGAGCGGCGTTGGGCGAGGAGCAGCTGATGCTCAGTCGAGCGGATGGGTTCATTGGTGTCATGGTGGACGATCTCGTGACGAAGGGCGTGAACGAGCCTTGTGAGCAGTGCTTCCTCTCGCATGAGCAATGCGCTCACACACTGACGTCGCATCTCGGTAGATCGCATGTTCACCTCGCGCTCCGAGTATCGCGTCTCCTTGCGAGCGGACAACGCCGACCTTCGCCTGACGGAGAAAGGTCGCTCGGTCGGCATCGTTGGCGACGCGCGATGGGCCACATACCAGAGCACCAAGGCGGACATCGAGGAGGGGATCAGGATGATGGAGGAGCACAAGATGACGCCGGACTGGTGGTGCACGCGTGGGTTTGACGTGAGCAGGGATGGTCAGAGGCGGAGGTGAGTTTCCGCTTCCTCTTTCTTGGACCGCCCGGATACTGATAACGCGCGCCCCCTATAGCGCCTTTGAGCTGCTTCACTACAAGGACATCGACGTCGAGCGGTTGCTTCCGCATGTCCCCGGCCTCGAAGCTCTGCAGCCTCGCATCCTCGAGCGCGTCGGTATCGCCGGCAAGTGCGTCGCAGACGTCCCTGTCCACCGTGAAGCTGCTTGCTGATAGCCGATGCGTGTCCCTTCGCGCACTCGCAGGTACAAGCAGCACATTATCCGCCAGATGCATGAGATCTCGCTGTTCCTCCGCGATGAGAACCTCGCCATCGATGAGAGTGTCGATTACGACACGATGCCTGGGATGAGCAGCGAGGTGCGGTATCGACTGAAGATGGCCAGGCCAGCAACTCTCGTACGCGCTCTCTCTCTCTCTTCGTCCTGCCATTCTTCGCGGTCGCTGAACATCGCACGCTTGCAGGGCCAAGCGAAGCGCCTCGAGGGCGTCACGCCAGCTTCCCTGGCCAGCCTGATGAAGTACGTGCGGAATCGCGCTGCGAGGAAGGCGCAGCTTCAGCAGGCAACGGCCGTTGTCGACTCGGACCCGTCCGTACGAAGCGAGGCTGGCGCCATTCTTGGCATGTGAGGGGCGTTGCGCATGTGTCGGAGTGCTCCGTAGAGGCCTGCCGTTCACCTAGACCGTGTTTGTTGTACCAGGACTCGCAACTTGCAACTCGTTTCCTGCTCTCCTCTCCGCCTCCTCTCTCCGCGGGCTTCCCGTTGCATCGCCTCGCCCTAGCCTCTGTCGTCGACGATCGCTCGCTGTCGATTTCAGGCGGAAAAGCGTACCAAGTCAGGCCGTGAACCCCCTCTCGCTCGAGGACGACCCTCGATTTCTTTCCCTCCTCGTCTTCCTCCAACAATTCGAACGATACTTGCCCCGGCTTGATCCAGTCGTACGCTTGACCGGCTCACGTCCTCCTGCTGCCCTTTGTGAAGCCCCCTCCACGGCTTCTCCGCCGGTTGGCCAACTCTCCCTCGAACCTCGTCGTGTGAGCGTCGCACAAGGTGAGTAGCTTCAGTGGGGCTCACAGGCGATTCACAGAGCAGTACTGAGCGCTCTGCACCCGCCAACCCACCCGATCCCGCTCTTCTCGCCGTTGCTTCGCCTCCCGCAGTTACGAACCGTCCGCTCGCGCCTCGCACCTCGCCTCATCGAGCTTGCACCGGCTCTCTACGACTCGGTGCGTACCCTGTGATCCGTACTGGCATGAGCAACGCTCGGCGGGCACTACGAGCGGGCGAGGCGGGCGGCTGACTTGGCTCCATCCCGACAGTCGACTCGACGCGTCCGCGTGCACGAAACCCAGCGACTGTGACTAGCGGGACAGACGCTCGCAGACTCGCTCGCGGTACCCTACACCCACACCGAGCGCGAACCCAGCCAGTCGCGGCCCGATATCGCCCATCTCGTCTCCCATTCATCCCCGTCTCTCAACCGTCGATCTCGCTCTCGCGACTCGCCAGCCTCACGCTCGCCCCTCGATGCCCGGCGAAGAGTCGACTCTCTACTCGTCCTTTCCGCCAACCTCGTTCGCCGCCGCTGCTGCGGGAGCAGGTTCCAACTCCTCCAACCCCACCGTCGCTCCGAGTGGGAGCCAAGCCGACCTTGGCGTCAACGGAACGGCCGACTTTGAAGCAATGAAGCGTTCCTTCGAAGGCGCTGGGAGAGCTTCCGGACCCGCCGGACCCGTCCCCGCCGTCAACGGCGTTGCAGCAGTCCCGAATGGCGCCCCCAATCCTTCGGGAGCTTCTTATCAAGACGTCTACGGTGGTGCGGCTCCGGCAGCCTTCGCAGCTGCGAATGGCATGTACGGTGCACCCTACGGCGGCGCGCCCCAGCCTTTCATCCCCGGACATCAGGCTCAGCAGGCGTCGACGAGCGGTGCGGCCATTCCTCCCGCAGGCGCGCAGAACGGCGCAGCCGTCCCCGCGAACGGCACCTTCTCCAACGCTACGTCTCCCTACCTCGCCGCTGCTGGCCCGAACGGTGCTGTCCCAGGCTCCCTTCCCTTTGTCGCCGCGAACGGCGCGCCTCAACCTGGCGTCGCAGGGGGCCCGACCACCGCTCCCTACGCCGGATCCGCCTTCGACCAAGCGCCAGGCTCTCCCAACCCTTACGGCGGACCTACGCCTGCTCCTGGCAGCGGTCCCGCGCCGTTCGGCTCACCTGTTCCCGGCCAGTTCGGCGGTCTCGGTATCGGCAGTCCCTTCATGGGCATGATGTCGCCGATGCTGGGCATGGCAAGTCCTCAACTTGGCGGCGGAAACGGCTTTGGCATGCCCTATCCGATCGGGGGGACTCCGCAGCCGGGAATGGGCGGGATGGGTGCAGGGATGGGCGCAACGCAGACTCCGACCGTGCGTCCCCTCGCTCTCCCTCCTCCTTGACGCGTCGCATTGACCTTCGACTCCCGCAGACTCGCACCGTCTACGTTGGCAACCTTCCGTCCGATGCGTCGGTCGACGAGCTTCTCTCGCAGGTCCGCTTCGGTCCGATCGAGAGCATCCGCATCCTTCCCGAGAAGAGCTGCGCGTTCATCTCCTTCCTCGACCCGACCACTGCCGCCGCCTTCCATTCTGACGCGTTGATGCGCAAGATCCGCCTCCACGACCACGACCTCAAGATTGGATGGGGGTGAGTTCGCCTCTTCCCTCGCTTGACTCCGCTTTCTCTGACCTTCTCCGCCTTCGCAGCAAACCGAGCGCCGTCTCTGCGAACGTTCTCGCCGCCGTCCAGCAGTCGGGCGCAACCCGCAACGTCTACATCGGCAACCTCGACGAGTCGGTCACGGAGGAGACCTTGCGCGACGACCTCTCTCGCTTCGGCCCGATCGACCAGGTCAAGATTGTCCGCGACAAGAACATCGGCTTCGTCCACTTCCTCTCGATCGCGACGGCGATCAAGGTCGTGCAGAACTTGCCGCAGGAACCGGCGTATGCGGGCAGGCGTGTCGCGTACGGCAAGGACCGAACGGCGTACGTCCCCAAGAACCAACATCAGCAGCAGCAGCACAACATGGCGGCTGCGGCGATGGGCAGCATGGCGGCCAACTACGGCGGGTTCGGTGGCCTTGGTTTCGGAAGTCCGCAGCTTGGTGCGTCCGCAATCTTTCCCTCAATAGCGACATCATGCTGACTCGTCTGGGCTTGCAGGCTTCGGCCAGAACGGCGACCCGAACGCGCAAATGGGCAACCGCACGATCTATCTCGGGGTGAGTCTCCGCTCCCCGACTCTCTCGCTGACGGAGCTGACGTCGACGACGTGCCACAGAACATCCACCCCGAGGTGACGACGGAAGAGATCTGCAACATCATCCGCGGCGGCATCCTCGAGAAGATCCGCTACATCCCCGACAAGCACATCGTGCGTTCCGTTCTTCGAGGAACGCCATGCCTTCCGGCACTGACCATCTTTGACGCTTGCAGTGCTTCGTCACCTTCGTCGACCCTCACTGCGCGCTCGCCTTCTTCCAGATGGCGTCGTTCCAGGGCATCGCCTTGCATAACCGCAGGCTCAAGGTCGGATGGGTGCGGCTTACCTCGCTAGATGCTCGAGTATGACCCGCTACTGAACTTGTCGCGCTCACGCAGGGCAAGCAATCAGGACCGACGTCGCCTGGCATCGCCATGGTCGTTCAGGCGGGCGGCTCCCGCAATGTCTACGTGCGTTCGCCTTGGCACGCTTCTTTCAGCATCTCAGCTGACTTATCGCGTGCTACAGGTTGGCAACATCGACGACTTCGAGACGTACAAGGAGGAGAAGCTGCGCAAGGACTTTGGCGAGCACGGCGAGATCGAGCTCGTCAACTTCCTCAAGGAGAAGCAGTGCTGCTTTGTCAACTTTACCAACATCACGAACGCTGTGCGTTACCTCCGGGCGCTCGTCTTATCGCCGCGGAACTGACCCGTCTCGCTCGCGCAGATCAAGGCGATTGAGGGCATCAAGCAGCACCCCGACTACCAGAACCTGAAGGTCTCGTACGGCAAGGACCGCTGCGGCGGCGCACCACGAGCGTTCCGCGGCTTCGATTTGCGCAACCAGCAGCGTGGACCTCGCCCGAACCAGGACGGCACGAACGGCAGCGCGCCCTCGAACGGCTACGCCCGCTCGCCCTTCCCCGACGTCATGTCGTCCTTCCCAACGAGCCCGCTGCAGACGGACCAGCTGCGCATCGCAGAGGGCGGCGAGACGCACACGGCGTCGCCGCAGCTGCCCGAGATCGGCGCGCTCGTCCTTGACGAGGAGGCGGCCGCTGCGGCAGGCGCGACGGCGGCCGGTCAGGTGCAGGCTTAGAGCAACTCATAGACTCGATGTACCCGATTCTCTCGTCGCCGCATCGCATCGCTTCGACTTTCAGCATCGCCCATACCTTGTCGCCGTTCCCCTTTCCGCCAGCGCTCCTCTCGCCGCCTCGCCATCATCCCCATCCGTACATCGCAATCTCTCGTCGTCTTCTCCTACTTCTCTACTCGCAACATACACTCGGCTTTTACCACCAAGGACACTCCGCCTTTCACCCTTCGCGCCTCGCTTCCCCCCGTTTTCCAGCTCGTCTCCCTTTCCCTCTCGCCCCCCGCCTCGCCTCTCATCTCGACTACCCCCAGATTCTGCCCACGCCTCTCGCCTCGTCGCCTCCGCCTTTCGCCTCCTGCATAGTCTCGTTCCGATTTTCCCAGGTGTCTATTTGGCCAACCTCGCCGCCAGTTTGTGCGCGGGGTATACACGGGGCTGTAACGTAGACTGGAGTGTGCGCACACGGCGTTGTCCGCGCAGAACGACGGTCCCGGGCAGTTTGGCTCGTTCGTCGCTGCCCCCACCTTCGGCCGCTCTTCGGCTCGTTCGCTGCTCTTGAACTCGCTCGCAACGCTCTCTGCTGCCTGTGCTGACTGGCGTACGCTGACGAACGATGACTGGCAACGCGACAAAGCCGGTGCAGCGACTCGAACAAGTCGCGAACCATTTCAACGCCTCGCCGTCGACTTCATCTCGAAAGCCTGTCCACGCCCACCGCTTCCGCCCTGCGATCCCGAAAGGCCTGCCAGTAAATTACACGCCCCTCAATCCGGTCTCCTTCCTCCTCAAAGCGGCCAGCATCCGCCCTCGCCATCCCGCTATCGTTTACGGCGAGAAGGCGTGGTCTTTCGAGTCGTGGGCAGAGCGCGTCGCCAAGCTCGCATATGCGTTCAAGGCGAGAGGGCTGGAGGAGGGAGACAGGGTCGTCGTCCTCGCACCGAACGTCCCCTTCATGTCGGACGCCCTCCAGGCTCTTCCCGCCGCCAAACTCGTCATGGTCACCGTCAACACTCGCCTGAACCCCTCCGAAGTCGCCTACATCCTCGAAGACAGCGGCGCGAAATTCGTCCTCGTCGATTACTCGCTCGCGCACCTTTTGCCGAAGGACTTGAAAGCGCAAGTCGTTATTTGCCAGGACTCGTACGACGCGAGCGACCCGTACGAGCAGTTCTTGGAGGAGGGTGCAGCGTACGACAGGAAGCTGGGCGGGAAAGAGTGGGCGGGACTCGAGGTTGTGAAGGATGAAGAGGCGCTGTTCGCGATTTCGTGTACGTTGTGGTCCTTTCCTCCGAGTCTCCCTTCTCAAGATGCTTACTCTGGTCTCCTCCAGACACGTCGGGCACGACCTCCAAGCCGAAGGGCGTCATGACGACCTTCCGCGGCACTTACCTCGCAGGCATCGCGAATGCGGTCGAGGCGCGCCTAACCGACTCGTCTCGCTTCCTCTGGACCCTGCCGATGGTGCGCACACAGCCTCCTATGTCTATTGTAACCCTTGCTGACGAGAATTGCGCGTAACAGTTCCATTGCGTCGGCTGGTGCTTCCCTTTCGCGTGCACCATGGCCATGTGCACACAATTCTGCCTCCGCACCACCACGCTCAACTACGACGACATCTGGACGCTCCTACAGTCCGGCGTGACGCACTACAACGCTGCTCCGACAGTGTAAGTCGCCCCAGTATCGCTTGGGAAGGTCAGAACTGACCGTCCTCGTTCTTGCAGGCAAATCGCCCTCGTCAGCCACGAGAAAGCTCAGCCGCTGCCACACGACGTAAGAACCATCATCGCTGGAGCGGCGCCAACAGCGAAACTGATCGAGCAGCTGGAGAAGCTGAACATCGCGGTCGTGCACGGTGAGTCTCCCAGCTCTTCGTTCCAGACGCTTGCTAACGACGTCAAACAAGTGTACGGTTTAACCGAAACGGAGGGTCCCTCTACGCGCACTGTGAGTGTCCAGAAGGGCGCACAAGGCTTTCGTGGATCTCCCGAAGGTCGCGCGGCATCCTAAGCCGTCTCTGACGCGTTTTCCGGCGCAGTACTACGTCGAGAAGTCTTCTCCAACCTACTACCGAGACATGGCGCGCCAGGGATTCTCCTTCCTCACGGCCGACGACATACGCGTCGTCCGCCTCACACCCGAAGGATCCTCGCCGCCGCTCGACCCGGAGACAGGCGACTTGCAGGAGGTCAGCCCGAATGGCGAAGAGGTTGGTGAGATTGTCTTTAGGGGCAACATCCTGATGCAGGGATACTGGAGGAAGGAGGAGGCAACCCGCGAAGCCTTCGCAGGAGGATGGTTCCACACGGGCGACCTCGCTGTGCGCTATCCCGACGGGACGTTCGCCATTGCAGACCGAGCGAAAGATGAGTTCTTCCCCCCTGCGAATTGCGCAGCGGCGTCCTGACTTTGCTTCTTCCCCTCCTAGCACATCTCGTCATTTCCGGCGGCGAGAACATCAGCAGTCTCGCAGTCGAGAACGAGCTAGCAGCTCACGACGACGTGCACGAGTGCGCTGTCGTCGCACGTCCGCATGAGAAGGTGTGCCTTCCTCCCTTCTCTCTCCTCGGCTACGAGCTGACCTCGCTTCCTCACAGTGGGGCGAACGACCGCACGCCTTTGTCGTCCTCAAGCCCGGCTCGAAGTGGCACGGAAAGCACGCCGAGTTCGAGACGGAGCTCAAGACGTTCGGGCGGAAGAAGCTGAGCGCGTTTGCGGTGCCGGAGTGGATCGAGGTCGTCGCGCCGGAGGAGCTGCCCAAAACCTCGACGGGCAAGAGTGAGTCTCCGCTCTCTGTTCCTCAGGAGTAGTGCTGACTTGCTTTGACCGCAGTCCAGAAGGTCGCGCTGCGGGAACGGGTGAGGAAGCTGTCGCAATAACGCTGTGCAAGGAAGTGAATCTACAAGGTCTCTATCGCTGCGACTCTAGTACGGCGGGCTGTCGTGCTTCGAGAGATCCGTCCGCCCGCTGAAGACCTCGTAGTACGGCTTGACATGCCGCTGAGAACGTGCGACCGCCTCCGCCTTCTCGAGAATCCGCAAGAGGTTCCCGCTCGTGAGGCCCATAATCTCGCTGTCCGACCACCCACGCTTGATCAGCTCAGCGACGAGCTTCGGGTACTTGGAGACGTCCTCGAGTCCGCGGGGGACCGCCTCGATCCCGTCAAAGTCGCTGCCGATACCGACGTGCTCGCGGCCCGCAAGACGTCCGATGTAATCGGCATGGTCTGCCATGGCGCTGACGTCGGCGTCGGCACCGACAAAGCCTGGCGAAAAGTTGAGCATGACGATCGAGTCGCCTGACGGGATGGGCTTGTCCACCTCGCCTGTGTCGGCGCCCCAGCCCTTTCCGCCCTCGCCGTCGTCAGAAAGGTTGAACGTCCCGCGTCGAGACTTGTCGATCGAGCCGATGCGGCGCAGGATCGAGTCGGGGACGTTGCGAACGACGTCGAAGACGCCTCGAGCGTTCGAGTGGGAGAAGATGGGTGGGGCGAGCGAGTGAGTGAGGACGTCCGAGGCGGTCTTGGGGTGCGTGTGCGAGATGTCGACGAGCATGCCGAGGCGGTTCATCTCCTTAATCGCGGTCAAGCCGAACGGCGACAAGCCGTCCCAGCGCGGCTTGATCGGGTCCCGGCCGGGAAGACCGCACGAGTCGGCAAGGGGCGAGTGGCAGGAGTGTGTGAGGGTGATGTACCGCACGCCGAGGTCGTAGTATGCCCGAATGGCCGAGAGAGACGAGCCGAGCTGGTGACCGCCTTCGACGCCCAGCATCCCGCCAATCTTCCCCCTCCGCATCGCCTTCTTCCAGTCCCGCGCCGTCTTCGACAGCTCAAACGTGTCGGCGTACTTGTCGATGATCAATCGAGCGGTGTCGATTTGCTCGAGCGTGTCGCGCACCCGCCATGTCGCGGCGGTGAAGTTGCCCTCGTTTTGCGAAGGGTAGCCTGCGTCTTCCGGGCAGGGGACGTAGACCGAGTGGAAGCTGTGTCGCAGCCATTAGCGTGGCTTGGGAGGCTCAGGAAGAGCGAGGCAACGTACAACCCGCCAACCTTTCCCTTCTTCAACCTGGGGATATCAACCTGGCCCCTCACCTCCTTCCGCAGGTCAAAGCTGGGGTCCTCGACTTCGTTGGCGTAGTACCACCTCGCCAGGATCGGGAGGTCGATGTGTCCGTCTGGGAGGAGATGCCGGTCAGCATCCGCGAGGAGGGGCAGGAGGAAGGACGAGCCGATCACAGGTGCTCTGTCCATCAGAGCCAGCGCCCGCCTGTGTGGGTCCTTCGGCAGCGGTGTCACCGACCACCTGACGTCCCTCGCAACATCCGCAATGTCCTCGAACGAGACGGAGGAGAGTCGGAGCAGGAGGAGCGAGATGAGGGCGGCGAAGGAGAACTGGCGCAAGGGGCGGTGTGCGCGGGTGTGAGTCGAGCTTTGTGACTCCAGCGAGTCCAGCGGCAACCCTTTCATGGCGGCTAGCGGGAAGCCAGGAGAGCGATAGCGCTCAAGAGGTGCCGAGGGCAGTGGGGCCGACGGCAAGCGAGGGCTGGTAACGAGCAGCTTGAGGGAGCGTTGCTTGGATATGCAGGAAGACTCGATTGCAGGAGGAGGACCAGCCTTTGACATACGAACGCGAACGAGGAGGCAGACCGGGAGAACGGACTCGATTACTGCCAGGAGGACCAACGACGGAACGCAGAACTTGCGAGGAGAAGAGAATAACAGCGCGTGAAAGGGAAGATGACTGTCGAGCGAGTGAACGAGATCAGATGGTGAAGAAGGGTTGCTCGTTCTGCGCGGACGACGGAACGGTCAATTCGTCTCGGAGACTGAGTGAGGACCGGCACGCACATCCTGCTTTTGCTGCTGTTGCTGGAACCCAGTCGGCTGGTTGAACTGCGTCGGCGCCTGGTAGTTTCCCGTGACGTTGCCAAACGGATTGAGCGGCTTGGCCAACCCCGTCGTCTGCGGCGCGAGCGGTCCCTGGCCATTCGCGACCTGCTGCCCCGTCTTCTGCTGCCAAACCGGCACTCGCGCGCTCCCGATGTTGCCAAACGTGTCGAGGCCGTCTTCGCGACCTGCGCCGAGCATCCGCGCGAGGTCCGCGTGCTTGTCGTCGCCCGTCGCTTTGAACCGCCCGCCTCCCGTTCGCTGAGGCTGTTGAGGCTGCGGAGCGGGCGAAGGAGCGGCTGGTTCGGGCTGGAACGAGTCGCCGAACGCAGACGAGGTCGAAGCCTGGGATTGTGGCGGCGCCGGGGACGAGGCGGGCGGAGGAGACGCGAACGCCGCGAAGGGGTTGTTGGCGCCGAAGCCGGTCGGTTGCGGCTGGATCGCCTGTTGCTGGGGCTGCTGAGCCTGCTGCTGCATGTACAGCATCTGCTGTTGCCGCATGTAGTCCTCGTACGCCTGCTGCTGCTGGTACTGCTGCTGCATCGCCGCCTGCTGCTGCTGGTACATCATCTGTTGCTGCTCTTGCTGCGAAGTTTATACAGGGATGGGAACGCCGTCAGCCTCGGATCGAAGCGCGAGACGAAGCAAGCCACGAGCGCCGACGCACCTGACGCTGCAACTCGAGCAGCTGCTGCTGGCGCATGTACTCCTCCATCTGCGCCTGCTGCTGCGCCTGATACGGGTTGAAGCTCATCCACCCCGTCTGCATCGGCTGCTGGACCGTCGGCGCGTCCATGTCGATCAGCGCGTTGGCATTCCTGCGCGGCCGACGCTGGATGAATCAGCTCCTTGCGGTCGCCAGGGAAGAGAAGAGACGCCAAGTTGCCCGGACGCACCTCTGCTGCTCATCGAACAAGTTCCCGCCACCATTCGCCGCCAACTCCCTCTGCCTCCTCTCCTCCTCCTCCCTGCTCAACCTCAGCGCCTCCTCCAGCTCATCCTCCCCCTTTCCGCCCCTCTTCCTCCTCGCCTCCTCCTCCGCACTCCTCTTACTCGCCTCAATCGCAGCTTGCAAATCAGCGTCTCCTCCTGCTCCGCCGGGGGGAGGCGTAGCGCGCGAAGGCCGCTCGTTGCGAGAGGGAGAGGTCCGACGGCCGGCCATTCGGTTGCGCATGTCTTTGCGCGAGGCGCGCTGAGAGCGCATGCGGTTCTCGTCGAGGAGGAGGTTGGTGATGTCTTTGGCTTTTTGGCGGACTGTGCGTGCGCAACGGGTCAGTCGGTAGCGGTGAGTGAGAGTGAGAGAGGGGGGACGAACCGTTCGCGCCCTGATCTTTGCCGTACTCGTCGATGTACTGGAACTCCTTGAGCGTCTTGACGACGTACAAGTTCTCGCTGTCGGCCGGGCACGGCCATTGACACTCGTCAGCGCCTCCTCCGAGCCGTTTGCGAATCACTCGTGCACGCCGAACTCACCGGAAGTACTGCACGACATTCTCGCTGCCCGCATGGAGGATGTAGTCGAGCACGGTGAGCGACTTGAAGACGTGGCGCCAGTTCTTGCCCTTGTCGTTGAGGCGCTTGTCGAGCATCTCGATGATCTCGACAAAGTCTTGCCTGCGGGTGCGAGGGGGTTAGCGAGGAAAGGGAGAGAAGGGGGAGGGAGACGGACTGGTTGTAGGTGAGTTGGGCGAGTTCGGCCATCCTGTGCACACGAGCCATCCAAAAAGCTCGTCGTCAGCGTCTCGAGAGCATAGTACGAGCAACCGTCTCGGAAGGTGAACGCACTGAGTCCCGCTAGGCCCCCACGGGTCGTTGCTGGTCGCATCCCGCACCTTGGTCTGCGTGTCTGAATACCCCTTGATCGAGTTCTTTGCGACACTGTGCGCGCACAATCAGAATTCCCCATCAGCTCACGCCCGAGGGAGGGAAGCCTCGGTCGGGGAGAAGCCGAGGAACAAGGTGAGAGGGCGAGAGACGCACCGCATGACGCTCTTTCCCATGGTCTGGAGTCCTGCACTCATCGTGTCGTCGTTGCTCGTGCGAGCGCGGTGCGGTTCTCAGGAGAAGGAGGAGGGGAGGGGAGACGGTCGTCCGAGGCGGTGTGATCGAGGGAGAAGTTGCGAGCGAGGTCGCTCTTGAGATGTGCGAAGGACGATGGGGATGACCTGTGGGTGTACGAGTGTTCGGCGAGGTCTACAGCGCCCTCCCTGGCGAGTCGTGTGTGTCGAGGCTGCGGGTGTGAGCGGAGGGGGCCGGTGTGACGCAGCGGCGAGGGAGAGGTGGTGAGAGTCGGGCTCGAGTCCAGCTGGCAGTCGCACGAGCAGTCAAAGTGGGCAGTCTGGTGGTAAGCACAGCACAGCGTGAGCGAGTTGGAGGTGGCTGCGCAGAGCAGGACCCCGTGTGAGTTTGTAATGGCAAACGAATACAAACCAGCTTGTATTCGAACTGAATACAAATGTGGGCCCCACCACAGCAACGGCCGAGCCGCCGCCATCACTCCGGGACTGTCTTCCGCTCTCGCTCTTCTCCCACTCGCTTCTCCCACTCGCTTGACGGTGCTGCTGCTCACTCTGCTACACTCACACTGACCTACTGAGACCCCTACTGCTATCCATTTGTGCGCCAGAGTCTTCCTCACCCTGCCTGCTCCTCCTCACCGACTTCTCTTCGTCGTCCCCACAGCACTCGCAAAACACACAATCCAGACATGGGCAGTGCGTGCACGACATCAGAGACCGAGTAGCATGATGTTCGACTCAGCAGACTCTGTCCTCGCACGCAGAACACATCCTCAACTCGCCCAAGACGGCCATCCTCGACTCGCTCTCCGGCCTGGCGTTCCTCAACCCCGCGACCGAAGTCTACGACACGACCCTCCTTCTCCGTTCTCCCTCGCACGACCGCGTCCACATCGTCTGCGGCGGCGGAGGAGGCCACGAGCCTGCTCATGCGGCGTTCGTTGGAGAGGGGATGTTGAGTGCGGCGGTCAGTGGGCAGGTGTTTGCGAGTCCGAATGCGGGGCAGGTCGAGAAGGCGATTGGCAAGCTGAGCATGTCCAAGGGCGTCTTGCTCGTGGTGAAGGTGCGTCGGCGGTCATTCTCTCGAGGGAAAAGGCGACTCATCCTTCGTCGTTTCCTGCTCTGTGGCTTCTTCAATTCGCTTGACTCATATGCCTGACACTCTTCTGCAGAACTACACCGGCGACGTCCTCCAATTCGGTCTCGCCAAGGAGCGCTGGTCCGCAACACACCTCGAAGAAGACTCGGTCCGCATGGTGATCGTCGGTGACGACGTCTCCGTCCCACGCTCGCAGGGCGCTCTCACGGGCCGCCGCGGTCTGACCGGTACTGTCCTAGTCTACAAGCTCGCTGGTGCTCTCGCAGCCCAAGGCGCGAGTCTGGACGAGGTCGAGTTTGTGGCGAAATCGGTGGCGGAGAGGTGTGGGACTATTGGGATGGGGCTGGAGCATTGTCATGTGCCCGGGACGGAGAAGGGAGAGGCGTACCTCAAGGATGACGAGGCCGAGATTGGGATGGGAATTGTGAGTCTGCGCGTCCCGTCCCTGCTCTGGTCTTCGTCTCTTTCGTTGGTCTGGCATCTTTGCATGCGAAGCTGATTCACCGCATCCTTGCTTCGCGCAGCACAACGAGCCGGGCATCCGCAAAGTCTCCCCGATCCCCACCGCCTCCAAACTCGTCGACGAGTTCCTCACGACCCTGACCTCGACCAACTCTGACCCGGAGCGCTCGTACCTCCCCTTCAAGAATGACGGGCAGGACGAGGTCATCCTTGTTGTGAACAACCTCGGCGGACTGCCGGAGCTCGAGTTGGGCGTGGTGGTGAAGGAGGCGGCGGAGTGGTTGGCTAACAAAAGGATCACGGTTAGGCGGTGCGTGGAGCGGCCTCCTTCAGCTCGCTTATGCCTTCTCAAGCGAAACGAGACTGATCGAGAGTGTCGACTCTGCGCAGCGCCGTCTCCGGCGCATTCATGACCTCCCTCAACCTCCCCGGCTTCTCCCTCACGCTCCTCCTCCTCCCCCGCACGTCCCTCACACCCCCTCCCTCAACCTCCTCGCACTTCTCACTCGACACCCCCCTCCTGCTCGACCTCTTCGACGCCCCGACTCAGGCGCCTGCATGGAAGTGGACGTTCAAGGGTGAGCCGGAGATGAGGGTTTTGAAGGAGGGAGAGGTGGAAAAGGTGGGCAAGAGGGAGGAGAAGGTTGGTGAGGAGGTCAAGGGGCCGAAACGTGGGTCTTTTCGCTTCGCTCGCTCGGGTCTGTTTCTCTCGCGCTTCGCGACAGGGCTTCTTGGCCGGAGGATCCTGTCGCGATAGTTGCCCGAGAGGACAGCTGACCTGACTACGCACGTCCCGTTCACAGCCACCGACCCGAAGCTCTTCCTCGCGGCGCTCGAATCGGCCCTCCAGTCCGTCATCTCCGCCGAGCCCGAGATCACGCGCTACGACACCATCGCCGGCGACGGCGACGCAGGCTTGACGCTTAAAGCCGGCGCAGAGGGCATCATGGACGCCATCAGCCAGAACAAGATCCCATCCGACGATGTCGTCGCTGCGATGGTTGCGTGTTCGGCGGTGGTGGAGAAGGAGATGGGCGGGACGAGTGGAGGGTTGTATGCGATTGGGCTGAGCGGGTTGAGTAAGGGTATGTTGGACGCGGCGAAGGAGAAGGGGAGCGAGACGGCTACACCCGAGGTTTGGGCGCGCGGACTCGAGGTGCGCTCCAACTCTTTCACCTTCCTTCAATACAAAGCTGACTGGCGAGTTCTGCAGCTCGCTCTCAACACGCTCTACCGCTACACCCGCGCGCGCCCTCCCTCGCGCACACTCGTCGACCCTCTCTCCTCCTTCATCCTCACCTTCTCCTCCTCGCCCACCTCCCCGACCGCCCTCTCGCACGCCATCGCGGCCGCCCACGAAGCAGCCGAAGCCACCCGCGACTTGGACGCCAAGGCTGGACGCGCGGCGTATGTCGACCAGGAGAAGATTCGTGAGGCCGGCGTGCCCGATGCGGGGGCTTGGGGCGTGTGGAAGTTGCTTGAGGGAGTACAGAAGGCTGTTGACCGTGCGTCGAGGGAGTAGAACGGGTCAAAGGGTAGGTATGGCTGCAAAGAGTTTCTGCGTTGGAACGAGTTTTGTCGAGGTCGACCTTCGCAAGCCGCTTTTTTCGACGCACCGCTCGCTGTGTAAGGGTCTCTTCGTGTTCTCCTGCTTGTCATTGCCTGCACTGCGCCGACAACAAGCCTTTGGAAACGCTCCGCCGCATCGACCGCACCTCGCTCGGCCCTCGTGCTCCTTTTCCTCCTTCCTTCCGGCGCTCATCTGGCCCGCATCATGGCTGCGCTCGACCTGGCTACGCTGAAGCTTCGCTGTGCTTACAAGTCGGAGGGCAACGCGGACAAGTGGGACTTGGACCGCCTCGCGCCGTGGCAGGAGGACGTCCTCTGGGCAGCCTACAGGGTCAGTCCACCCTCTCCTCCTCGTTCGGAGGGCTGACCGCGGTAGAGACTGCACAGGGTCGCGTGTTCGAGATTGTCGAGCCCGACGGCGAGGTTGTCGGGACCATGCGTGTGCACGGGTTCAGGAAGGACAGCGATTGGGAGGAGTACGGAGGCTTGCACGACGCGATGAGGGACTGCGGCGGTGAGCTTCAAAGTCGGATCCGGGCGACGACCGGCTCGTAGTCTGACAGCGGGAGTTGCTTGCGCAGAAGGCGCCAACAAGGCCGAAGTCGAAGCCTTCTCGCACCTCTTCACCGACGAGGGCTTCTTCAAGCGCGACATCGCCATCAGCGGTCACGCCGCCTTCCAGCGCGAGGTGACTGACCAGCCGTACCTCGTCCTCCTCGACACGATCTGCATCAAGCCCGAGTACCGCGAGAAGGGCGTTGGCTCGTGGGCGGTCCAGAAGCTGTTCGACCTCGACGGACAAGACTTTCTCTTCGACGACGAGGAGACGGCGAAGATGAAGAAGGAGGAGAACGCTCGCATGGTGCAGGCGCGCAAGGAGGCTGCCGAGGTGAAGGGACTCTTCCAGCCCGGTGCCCTCGAGTGGGTGTGGAAGAAACACCCACTTCACCAGGTGCGCTTCGCGCTCCGCTTCAGCTCGCCATGCACGCAGTGCTGACCAATAGACGTCGCCAGACGGTCAAGTACCTCTTCGTCCACCCGCGCTCGCTCGAGTCGCAGCTCCCGCAGAGCCCCGACGCGACGCATACCCTCGCCGACCTCCGCAAGACAGCCGAGAAGACGTCGAAAGAGCGCGTCCTTCACATCTTCCACAAGGTGAGTCCGCCGTCGCCTCTGCGAAAAAGCAGGACCGACTCCTTCGACGACAGATGGGCTTTCGCCGCGTTGGCAAGACCTCCTTCCTCTGCATGTCGAAGTCGTCGGACTATCGCTCTCGCTTGATACCCGCCGACGGCGACGCACGCGAGAAGGACTAGCGTTGGCCTTCGCAGATCGCTTGATTCGTGCCCTCCACATTCTCGCATCCGCCGTAGCTATCTTGCTTTGCAACTTCGTGGCTTCACATTCGGATGATGTGTCAATGCATGCGACGGCCCCCGAGCAAGCGTCCCTCCCGCCTCCCTCCCTTCGCTCACCACGGCAACTGCCCCAACGCAAGCATCTTGACGAGCTGATCCTGGTTCATCGTCACGTTCTTCGAGTACTGCGCGTCCTGCTCGAGCGCGATACGGCGCGAAGGGTGGTTCGGGTCGCGCGCGAGGCAGAAGAAGGCGGTCGTGCCGACGCGGCGGTAGCCAGCCTGTCTCCGCCCACGAAGGGCGTCAGTCCCTGCGCTGATAGGTAAGAAGGAAGGGAGCGCACACACTGGAAAGTCTTGACGGCGCGAGCGGTCTGCGTGTCCCAGATCTGCTCGCGGTTTGGGTCGTCGCGCTTGGGAGCGTCCTTCGGGTGCGGCGTCGGCCAGGCAAAGATGAAGTCGACGGTCTGCTTCGCCCTAAATCAGCTTGAAGACCGAGAGCATTCGGAAGGAAAGATCGTGCGCACCCCGAAGTACGGGTCCTTCACCTCGAGCAGCCTCTCCAGCGCCCACCTCCCGACACCCTGCCCACGATACTCCGGCTCGACGCGGATTCCCTCAATGTAAGCGATGAAAGGGCGCTCGGTGACTTCTGCGCCCCAGACGCCGGTCCCTTCGCGCGAGAACTGCGCTTTGAGGAGCGCGCGGTCGGTGAAGAGGCCGGAAAACTCGTGGGTCTCTTCTATGGGTGCTCGCGCGTCAGTAGAGGTTTTGGGAGAGAGTGGGAGGTAACGCACGACTCTCCTCGTCCATGAACATGAGCCAGCCGCCCTCGTCCTGGAACTCCTTCGTGCGGAAGATCCACGCGATGTCCTGCCGACTTCCTTGCCGCTCGCGTCGACGATCTCGTACCAGAGGACCTGCATGCGAATCCACCCGGTCAGTCCGTAGACTCCGCGAGACGAACGAGCTGCATACCGTCTTCACGCGGTTCCTCCTCCCGCTCTCCTCGTCGAGGTAGTGCTCGCCCATCAGCGGCTCGTCCTCGTAGTCATGCGGCTGGCGCGAGTGGTAGCGCAGCGAGAGGGTCGAGAGGTCGAGCGGAATCATCTGAGGAGGTCTGTGCGAGCGAGGTGATGCGGGGAGGGCAAGAGAGGAGGGCGAGCGGATGGATGAAGGCTGTCTAGCGGAGTGCGTGTGTGGGGTGTTGGAGCAGCGCGCGGGAGCGGAAGAGCTGTGGACGGCCAGGTTCTGGGAGGAAGGTGCGAGAGCGGTGAGGGAGAGCAAAGTGAGAAGGTCGAGCGGGCGGGAGTGGAGCGAAGGAAACAAGCGCGCACGACGTGCATGACCAGCCATCCTCACAGCATAGCGCTGCAACTGTCCGCGCCCGCATCAAGCGAAAGAGAACACCGGAAACCGCCTCCACGCTCGGCTCCCTCACCAAGGCATCGTCCCCCTCGCGAGCATCCGCACCATGTCCCCATGGCTCATCGTCACGTCTTCCTCATACTCTGCGTCTTGGTGCATCGGTATTGTGCGCGACGGGTGTTGGGGATCGCGAGCGTAGCAGAGAAACGAAGTCGTGCCGATTCTTCGAAAGCCGGACTGCGAATGGGTCATCAGCTCGAGTCTTGCGAGGAAGCGAGGGACCAAACGCACTCGTTGGAAGAACTTAGTGACTCGCGCGCTGATCGCTAGCATCATGTCGAGGTGCGAGGCCGCGTCTCCACGGTCGCGGTAGGAGAATTCGGAGTTGAGCGCGCCGGGCTCGACGAACATGGCTTTGGCGGCCTAAGGGGAGAGCGCTAGTTAGCAAAAGGGCTCGCATAGACAAGGCAGTGAGCGGGACGCACGGTATAATGCCATCGTTCGTCCAGCATCGCAAGCAGCTTGTCCAGCGCCCAAGTCCCAAGTCCAAGCCCGCGGTACTCCGGCTCGATACGCATCTCATGGATGTACGCAATGTTTGAGGCTTCTGTCACTTCAGGCCCAAAGACGCCTTTGCCTTCACGGAGGAAGCGCGAGCGGAGTTGGGCGTCGCCGTCAAAGAGGCAAGAGAACTTGTGCGATTCCTCTGCAACCATGGGCAAGGTCAGCGAGAGTCAGTCGGATGTTGAGCATACTGACACACGGTTCCACTGGTCCATGAAAGACAGCCAGTCGCTCTCGACGGAGAATTCCCACGTCTCGAAGTACCAGATCTCGACCACTCCCAGGACCTTGTCCTCTGCGTCGGTGATCCGATAGTCGCAGAGCTGCGACCCTTAGTGTGAGCTTGCATGTTCCAGGGGAGCAAGGTGGTCCTCAACTGACACTAAGCACACGATTCCACCGTCCCTCCTCTTCGTCCTCGTCCTCGTCCTCGCCATCTTCCTCCTCCATCTCTTCCTCCTCCTCGTCTCGCTCGAAGCGGTACCGTACCGACGCGCGCAGTTTGAGCGTCGAGAAGTCGATGGTCGGGATACTCGTCGAGGGCGGGTCCGAGGGCAGTGGGCGGGGCATCTCAGCAGGCGAGCGGGATCTCTGGCGTCTCGTGCAGCTGTGCAGAGCGCCTGAACAGTAGCAAGAGAGTGGTGTCGACACGAAGACGGGCAAAAGACGGGCCTCGAGAGCGACGAGGTGAATGCAAAGTCTGCGCCCGCACGCGCCTGCGGGTCTGTGTGCGCTGGATGAGCCCAGCCCTCAATCAAGCCTCGTGCACGGTAGTCAGCACCGTGTCAGCGCGCAGAGTGAAGCGCGGGAGCGGACCCGTCGCCGTCTGCTCGGGTTCGCGTCGTCGCCGGATCCGAAGCCAAGTCCCTCTTCAACCCGCTCTCTCGCACTCTCAACGCTCACCTTGCACACACTCGCACTCGCTGGGACACTGCTACGACCCGCTAGACTAGCCCGCACACCCGCACACACCACTCTCGCGTCCCATCCTCATCACTTCACTCCCGACGATCCCTCATCGCACGCGCTCTCACGCCTCAGAATCACAGCCATGTGAGTCCAGGTCACTCGCGAAGATGCTTTAGACCATGGGCAACACCGTCGAGTCGACCCGACCGCAGACTGACCCCGTCTCGCCTCCTCCCCACATGCAGGGCCATCGAAACCGTCCTCACGCAGAAGCTCGGCATCCGCATCCCCGTCGTACAGGGCGGCATGATGTGCGTTCCCACCTCTCGCCCATTCACCTCGAGCTGACATCCCACCTGTCGCGCGCGCAGGTGGGTCGGCCTGCCCAAACTCGTCGCGGCCGTCTCGAACGCAGGAGGACTCGGGATCTTGACGGGTCTCACGGCTGGCACGCCCGAGCAGCTGCGCAACTCGATCCGCGAGACGCGAAAGCTCACCGACAAGCCTTTGTGCGTTCTCCCTCCCTCTTTTCCTCCATTGTACGCTGGCTGATTAGGTACGAGTGCGCAGCGCCGTCAACCTCACGTTCCTCCCCTCGATCTCTCCCCCTCCCTACGAACAATACGCCAAAGTCATCATCGAAGAAGGCATCAAAGTAGCCGAGACGGCCGGCGGTCCTGCCGCGATTCCCATCATCAAGATGTACAAAGAGGCCGGGATCTTTGTCATTCACAAGTGCACGAGTATCAGGCATGCGCAGGCGGCGGAGAAGGTGGGCGTTGGTGAGTCCCAGGGGCTCCTCTTGGCTGGACCGTCTGCGTACGTGTCCACGTAGAACGCCAGGACTCACATTCTCTGCGTCCGACAGACATGCTCAGCATCGACGGCTTCGAATGCGCCGGCCACCCGGGCGAAGACGACGTCGGAGGCCTCTTGCTCCTCGCTCTCGCCGCCCGAAAGCTCAAGACGCCCTACATCGCTTCGGGCGGGATCGGCGACGGACGTGGACTTGCGGCTGCGATTGCACTCGGCGCGGCGGGCGTCAACTGCGGGACGGTGTTCATGGCGACTAAGGAGAGTTATGTGCATGTGCGTCCTCGCTCTCCTTCTCTCTCTCCCGGGCACGACTGATAGAGCGACGGCGTGCAGGACAACATCAAGCAAGCGATGGTCCAAGCCGACGAGCGCAGCACGACGCACATCTTCCGCACCCTGCGCAACACCGCGCGCGTCTTCAAGAACAAAGTCGCGGAGGAGGTCGTCGCGAAGGAACGTAGGCCTGGGGGCGTCGAGTTCCCCGAGATTGCGCCCGTGCGTTCTCACTCTTCTTCCTCCTCCCAGGATCTGTACGAGGTGCTGATGAATCCGCTGGGCTGGGCAGCTCGTCTCCGGCGCACGCGGGAAGAAGGTCTACGACAACGGCGACCCCGACGCAGGCGTCTGGTCCGCATCGGGCGTGATGGGCCTCATTGATGATGTCCCGAGCTGCGAGGAACTCTTGAAGAGGATGGAGAGGGACGCGGAGAAGGTTTTGTTGGAGTCGGCAGCGAAGGTTAAGAGGGAGAGCAAGTTGTGAGGCAATGAGGGGTCTATTGCGCGGTGTAGGGCTCGTGTGTATGAGTAGGTTGTACAGGCTTCAGAACAAGAACAGGCTTTGCTATCCACCGAGGCGGAGTCTAG